TTCCTCCATTTTAAGCTTTTAAGCCCCAATTTCCAATGGAAACATGACCATGGATGCTTGAAAAACGAAGCAATTTGTCTCAACTATTCGGAATAACGGACCCTAAGTATGCGAGCCAGTCGCGTGTTCCTGCTAAGAGAAACATGGCCGTTCTGAGGACTCGTGAACCCGCCTATCAATAACTTGCTGAGGGCGCCTCTTCCACTCTGCATGTTGCCCCAAAAACCTGAACATGAACATAAATTCGTTGAAAAAAAGTAGGAATGCGAAAAGAGAGTGACGATTTTACACAGCTATTGGAAAAATTTTAGCTTGGGGCATAAAACGTGTTTAAAAAAGAAGAAATTATTCATTTTCAATGAAATTTAAAGTCACGAAAGCCTTCTGCGCTTCCAGAAACCCAACAAAAATTTTTTAACAGGCGTGTAGAAATGTCAAAAAGTGTTATAAGAGAGGTAATCCTTTAATTGAACGGATTAAGAACAGAAAATGATGAAAAATGAAACGAACTGGCAACAAAATGGAAGATCAAACATCAAGAGCAGAAAAGGAAGGAGGGTAAATTTTTTGGGTAAAAAACCGGGTATACGGCGAGTGCGCCAGAGTGTTTGCATGTCAAGGAGTCTTACCGTAATTCGAAAACTTTTATTAATTACCTGACAGGTGCACTTCAAATTTTGAACGAAAATATGTGAATTATTAAGTTAATTAAAATTTGAATAGCTGACATTCCATCAGAAACATTTCAAATCTACACTATTTTGAACGGAACACATTTTTGAACTTTTCATTCAAAAAAAAACGTTTCCTTCTGTTAAAACGTAAAAACTTGAGCAGAAAGAAGCCTTTTTTCTAGATTCACACTTTGGATAACTAAGATAACAACTGATAAGACTCTAACTACGAAAAAAATTCGCCGACAGAGACCAAAAACAACCCTGTCGGCAGCTGTTGTAAAACGAAAGAGAGATTTCGGAGCTCACTGCGACAAAAAAAAAGAGGCGATCGGTGTAAAATATTTGCTTTCTCACTCAATTGTCCGTTTTTCAGAGTGAATTATTAAATATTTTCAAGCCATTTTTTTCTGGGAAGAAGATGGGGAAGCTTCATTGATGCCTTTGGGAGAAAACATGAGCTTTTCAGCTTTTTTGAAAAATGGCAAGCCGGCTTTTTGCCGCATTATGTGATTGACGTGGATTCTAATCTCACTTTGGGTGGTTTGAGTGAAGTTTTGAATGGAGAATGAGCTTTACAGGATTTTTTTTTGATTGAAAATCAAACTGAAAACAGTAGATAAGGCGAAAAAAGCGAAAAGAACGGCATTCCAGTATAAGATGGCCATTTGTGTCTGTTTGTTTTTGGCCACGCAAATGAAGCCAAAATCCACCCGTATTTCATGTTTTCACGAGGCCTACGAGGGAATATGCAATATTTGGTCTCCCATGGACGTGCGTTCTGTTGTCGTTTTGACTCGAAAAATATATTTGGAGCCAAAATTGGAAAAGTCATTCTTTTCGGAAAATTTAATAAAGCAAAGAACGTGTCCATTTTCATTTCACAAGGGAGGACATTTTACTTTGCGGTTGAGAATTTCCTGATAGCTGGCCAGAACCTTTCTTGATGTATCAAAAGAAGATTCTGAAATTTTAAACCTGCCCAACTATTCAGTTTTCGAGAAAAAGGGCCTAAAGCCCCAAAATAGCCTATTTTAACGTATTTTGAGGGGTTTCTTCGACTTTCGCGGCGTCTTTTCTCAACAACGAGGAAGTTGTGCAGGTTTAGACTTTCAGAATCTTCTTCCGCTACATCAAGGAACGTTCTGGCCAGTTTTCAGGAAATTCCCAACCAAAAAGTAAAATGATCTCCCTTGTCAGGTTATACTTGAGAGAATGTCCTTATCTTTTCAAAAAAGGGCTAAAAATAAGAGGGTGAGCTTTTCCGATTTCTCATCGAGAGCCATAAAAACTTTTTTAGAACGCATAAACTCCAGTCGTCGATAAAGCTTCAAAACGCGTTATTTTTTCCAGTAAAATAGCGGAGAGCGTTATAAAAATGGATGGATGAGAGAAAGAATCGTTCATATGGCAGCCTCTCACGCATTCATGGAAGCCTGAACCTAAAAGAGAACAAAAAAAATTGGCGCAAGAAGGGGAGATTAAATTGGTTGCAATATTTCAATCGAACCAAACCGAAGGCGTTATTTCGAAGGACAGGTGGTTTTTTTTTTCATTATTCGAAAATTTTCGAAAGCTTTCCAGAAACTCGACATGCCGAATGAAGTTCTTCAATGTCTCTCCTCTAAAATTAATATTAATTTTTGACCAAAAAACTGAAAATTCAAGAGATTCCTCTTTTTTCACATTTTTGATGGCAAACTTCTCTAAATTTCAAATCTTTGAATCGAAAAAAAGGTTCTGAAATAAAAAAATAACCTTTTAATTTTTAGTCTTTCTAACATTTTTCATCAAAAAAACTCGAATAATTCATCGGGCCACAAAAAATCGAAAAGGAAAAAATTCTCGACACCCTTCAAACGAAATGCAATATAAAAAACAATAAATAATGTTTGAAACCCTATAAAAAGTCATTTCAACGCATAAGGGACGGTTTGGACGAGAAAAAAAAAACCTGTTGCGCGGGGCGACTTCGAGAAAAGATGTCCCCTTTTTCTTCTTCCTTTTCTTGAAGTGACACATTCTGACAGGGCGTTTCTTACTTTTTTTCGTGTTCTGAGCTTTTTTTTTCCACAGAAGTTCACTTCAATTTGGACAAAAGACACACAAGTAATTGAAAAAAGCCTTGAAGAAAAAATAATGTCGATTTCAGATCTAGTTCAATGGAAGCAACAAAATAAAAATTGAGACAATATTCGGCTTTTTGGTGAACAATAAACACACAAAGAAAAAGTTTTAAGAGCCCAAAAAGTGACAAAACTTGTCAGCTAAACTGTTCTTCTGAGATTTCACGAAGTAGTCCTCTTACTCGAGTGACACAGAAAAAAAAAACCTCGAGTGACCACTTGGATATCTAAAGTGTTCACTAAAAGAGGACTACTCCGTTTATCATCCACAAAAGTCTAAAAAGAAAATTATCAGCAAAAAAAAAGATAAAATTAACAAAAATGACCAAAAAGACCGAAGAAGAACGCAAAACTTTTCGAAAATTATTTGACGAAAGAGAAATGAGCTGCTCTGCTGCTGGGAAGGGAAATTGGTCTGGAAGTGAATTCCAGAGCAGTATGTTTCGTTTGAGAGAAAAACTGCTAGGATTATCCATTTCCTGTTGTTTTCCAGCGTCTTTTGAATGCAAATTTGCATTTTCCGTTTTTCTTCAGATCCAAAATGGAAAATAGCCATCTTTTACGATGAAGGAATGCAAATAGAAGAACAGAGTTCAGCAGAACCTTCCACTACTGCCATTTTTCAAGAACAACAAAAGGACTTCGATTCATTAAATACTCCATTCATATTAAATAGCTCGAAAAGTTTTTAATTTTGATGAAGTCATCCTAGTAAACTATAGAAGCCCAATGGTGGTATAAACTAATCAAAAATACATAAACTCATAAATTTTTCAAAGAAAAAAATCAAGCTGTCATCACGGCTACAATTAAGGGCAAATATTTTTACCAGTCCCTCAAAATCGGTATATTTTACAATGAAGAATCATGGAAAACAACTAGAAAGTATTAAATCGAGAAAAAATATAAAGAAAAATCAAAAAAAGAAAAAATAGAATTTTTTTTTTTTGAAAATGATTAATGTCGGTCGAGCAACTTTGCTGCAAAACTTGGAATCAAGGGGCATTTCTAGTGACCACTTTAGTAGCGTCTGCACTCTTAAGAGATCCCTAGAACGTCTGTTTAGCGTTACCAATTTTCGAGTTCGTTCAGTTTTCTTTTTTGGATTTTTTGAATGTCCGACTCGCACAGCGATTTGATGAAGCTCGCTGGAATCGCAAGGAAAATCTCTACAAGAAAAGCTTTTTTACCCTACCGAATTTCACGAAAAGTGGCAATAAGCAGAGAAGTTAATGATCAGTCAAATGAAATTGTTTGAGTAAACAACGAGAAAACTCTGTTTGACTTTTCCCCGCTTCCCGACTGCTAGAGTGAAAAGGTGTGAGTAGTTCAGACATTAGTTTGTTTTAAGTTTTAAATGTCGGAAGGGAAAATTGCAAACAGCTGCGTTCCAATTTATAAAAGTGCAGAGGGATTTCCTACTTGCAGAGCAATTTTGAAAAAAATATCTTGAATATTTTTAAATGTTTGATACAAAGTGATGTGTATTAGAGTTCACCAAACCGATCGTTCGACCAAACGTTCAACCAATATTTTCATGACATGTTACCAAAAATATGATTGATTAACATTTCTTGCTACCGAACGATTAACATGTCTCATGATTATGATCTCTCGTTTTTTCGACATGTCAACATTTCATTTAAATGAGAAATCATTTCGAATCGATCGTTCAGTTTTCGATTGATCGAAATGTTGTATTGAAAATATTGGTCGAAAAAATGATTGATCAAAATGTTGTTTTGAAAATATTGGTCGAAAAAATGATTGATCAAAATGTTTTTTTGAAAATATTGGTCGAAATAATGATTGATCGAAATGTTGTTTTGAAAATATTGGTCGAAAAAAATGATCGATCAAAATTTTATGCCTAAAATATTGGTCGAAAAAATCACATTGTGTATATCTGGTTCAAAATTTTTCGCTCACTCAAAATCTGTTTTTTCTTTTCACTGAAGTTGAAATTGAAGCTCAATATCATATGCGGAGCTTCCATAGTGACATTCTTTGGATGCACCAGTTTTTGTTTCTAATGACTTCAGGGACGTTAGTCGGTCACATATAACATATAATGAGGGTGTCGCCAATTTTTCCGGCGGCACATCCTGACAAAGGAAACATTGAAAAAAATAAAGACAGCGAAACCGTGTGATTTTCGAAATGAATTGTTGGCATTTGAAATGATTAGCAATGAAATATATCAGTTAATCGCGTAGGAAGTGAATTGATTTTCGTGGAATCCCGTTTCGACAGCCGCCTCGAAGTCTCGACCGCCGACCGGACATCCCCCTAGAAAAAAATTTGAAAAAAAAAAAAAATGTCTTCTAAAACTTTGAATGTTGAGAGTATCAAAAAGGTCAAGGAAAACTCACTTTCTGCCAGCTAAGAAAGGCTGAATTTCCTGTCTTTTCCTCGTCGAGGCAACTGTTGCCAGCTCTAAAAAACCACAAGCTAAGAAAATTTTTGACGGTTCTTCAAATCCTTAATGAAGCCAGCGATTTTCTTGATCTTCACGAAGTAGCACCACCGGAGCCAGTAGACCTCTGAAAAAAAATATGCAAATTAAAATTGCATATTCGTTTCGGAATATAACATTTCAAACCAAAATTTTTGATTACATTTTGAAAAATTCTTGAATATCAGTTCGTATGTTCAGCCTCTCTAACACAATACTATCTGATTGGCTAATCCTGCTTAAAAATCTCGAAAAAGGGCGTGATGCAATCAGAAATTAGGAGTTCAAAATACGAAAATATTTCTCAAAAAATTACCTTCCGCACGTTTCGAAGCTCCGTCCATTGACTTCCTTGTTTGCGCTCGGCCCTTAAATTGAAAATTAATTTTTATGAAGTGGGAAAAAACTAAATTACCTGCCGAAGGGCGCCAAACTCTGAAACTTCGTCGTTGTCCCTTCTACCGGTCGCCGACCTGAAAATGTAAATTTTAATTCGGAAATTAGTCGGTTTTGTTTACCCGCCCCATGAGAAAGCCCCCCTTTTTTTATTGGATAAAAAAATGTCTCTAAATTCTTGGTTTTTGGTTTTTGGTTTTTTTGAATTTCTATAGTTTTTTTCTCGGAAAGGTTTTTAAGAAGCTTCGAATGATAAAAAAATCGCTTGAAAATAATAGAAAAAAATAATTCAAACTTACCTGATTTCCCTCTTTGCAAATTGAAATGAAACTGAACCATTAGTATCTTTCCGTGAGCCACTTGGTTCGACGAAAAATTTCGATTTTCTCGGTGGAAAGTCGGAGAAAATCCCTTCGGAACCAGAAAAATAAACAGTTAAAATAAAAACCCCAATGCTGCTTTTGAGATTAGGAAAAAAAAGCCGAATAAGAAAGTGTAGGGGGTCGGATAGGTCCCTTGATAAAAGGACAAATGTGGTCCCTTGTAGGGGCCCGCCCCGGGGCCCCTAACTCAATTGCTATCGCGCCCTCGAAACTCTGGTTTAGGGCCCCCTATAGGGGTTGAACTAAAAGAGGCCCCAATATGGGGCAGGATCAAATTTCACTCGAATTCACTTCTAAGAAAAATTCCAGCGGCCCCGAAAATCTGGTTTAGAACCCCTAGAGGGGTTGAATTAAAAGGGGCCCCTATAGGGGGTAGGGTCAAATTTTCGTTCAAGTTCGTTTCTAAGAAAAGTTTAGGGGGCCCTGAAAAAAGGACAAAAGTGGTCCCTTCCCCAACTCAACTTCCATCGGGGCCGTGAAAACTTGGTTTAGGGCTTCCTAAAGGGGTTGAATTGAAAGAGGCCCCTATATGGGGTAGGATCAAATTTTTATTGATATTCGCTTTTAAGAAAAGTTTAGGGGTCCCTAACTCAATTCTTATCGGGGCCCGAAAAAATCTGGTTTAGGGCTCCCTATTGGGGTTGTATTAAAAGAGGCCCCTATAGGGTGTATGATCAAATTTTGACTGGAATTCGCTTCCTCAAATCCGTCCCTTACTCTTTCAAAAAACATCTCTTTAATAGAGAACGCAAACTGTCGTTTTGCCGGCAGCCTTTTATAACCAAAAAAAAGATCAAAAAAAGTTGAAACAGTTGAAAAATGTATTGGAGCTTTCTTGCTTCTTCCACTAAAATGAATATCTCAAAAAGCTAAAGGAGAAGAGTGCGCAAAACTGCGAATATCATATGTACTGCAGTTTTTTGTTGTTGCGAGAACTAGGACGAAAAAAAAATTTAATGCTAAAAATGAAGAATTTTTGATTTTTGCCTGGAAATACACTTCCCATGTGAATAACTATGGTTTGGAAAAAGTTAAATAAAAAACTTCGGAAAAAAAATGAGCTGTGTAAATGGAATAAGGTTAAACAGTTGATAATTTGATAGACTTAGCCTTTTTTTGTGGAAAATGAGGAAAAAACAGCTTCTTTTCCATGAAAAAAAGTCGAAAAAAGTTGAAAATGTCCGAAAAAATAATCGCTTTCTGCCTTACAGTTGAAAATTGTAATTTAAAAAACTAGCTGCGAAAAAGTGATAAAAATATTGAATTTAGCCTTTTTTTCTGTCGAGAGAGGGTCGAAAAAAACAGCTTCTTTTATGAAAAATTCAAAAATTGAGATTGTTCGAAAAAAATAATCGCTTTCTGCCTGACGATTGTGAATGAAAATTCAAGTTCTTGATGCAAAAAAAAGTGATATATAAATATCGAATTTAGCCTTTTTGTTTTGCTGGATAAAGGCGAAAAAAACACTTTCTGCCTCGCAGTTCGAAATGGAAAAACTAGAAAATTATGTGCGAGAAAAAAAATAAAAGATAGATTTAGCCTTTTTTGTCGGAAATGGACAAAAAAAAAAGATCTTTTTTTTATGAGAAAAAGAAGTCGAAAAAAATTGTGATTGTGCGAAAAAATAATCGCTTTCTGCATCAGTTCAAAATGAAAGTTTAAGAACTGGGTGCGGAGAACTGATGAAAATATTGAATTTAGCCTTTTTTGTTGTAAAAGGACAAAAAAACAGCTTTTTTTTCCACGAAAAAAAGTCGAAAAAAGTTGTAATTGTTCGAAAAATCGCTTTCTGCCTCACAGTTCAAAAGGAAAATTCAAGAACTTGATGCGACGAAGCGATAAAATGAGTCCAATCTGAAGGACCTTAGTTTGAAAAGAATACTTGAAATAAATTAAATTCGGGAAAGAACTCAGCCGCATCAAATAGAAAAACCATGAAAAAAGATAATAATTCTAGCCCTTTGTGCTGAAAAGGACGAAAAAAAATGGTTTTTTTTGGAAAAACTGACACTTTGTGCCTTGTAATTCAAGAGGAAAAATCAAAAAATTTAGAAAAAGGGCGAAAGTCATAATTGAAGCCTTTTTTTGCAAAAAAAAAGGACGAAAAAAACGGAAATGAATGTAAGGCGTTTTTGCCTGGTACGGTCGAGTTCCTAGCTGAATTTCTTCAGAAAGAAAATGGACCGTATCAATGTGAATGAAAGGGAAATCGAAATTTAATTTGTAAAACAAAATTTTGATCTATAGCCGAAAAATGAATAAAATAAACATGGAGCATCTAAGCTTCACCTCCTTTGAATTTACTACAAAAAAATGAAAAAAACTTGTGAAATGACTGAAAAAAACCTCCGAAAAGAGAAAAAAACGACCCCCAACCTCCATAATCAAAAAAAGACTGTTTGCGGCTGTTTTTTTAGCCAGCGATGCACTCGAAATTATAAAAAAATTTTTGAAAAAAACCATGAAAAAAAGAAATAAAAAAATATGAAAAAGGTCTTTTTTTAACCCTAATAAACTTCTACTTCATCGAGTGAAGCTGAAGTATTTCGAATGAGAAAAAAAAATAAAAATGTAAGGCGTTTTTGCCTGGTACGGTCGAGTTCCTAGCTGAAGTGCATCAGAAAGAAAATGGACCGTATCAATGTGAATGAAAGGAAAATTGAACTTGAATTTGTAAAACACAATTTTTGATATATAGCCGAAAAAAATGAATAAAATAAACATGGAGCATCTAAGCTTCACCTCCTTTGAATTTACTACAAAAAAATGAAAAAAACTTGTGAAATGACTGAAAAAAACCTCCGAAAAGAGAAAAACGACCCCCAACCTCCATAATCAAAAAAAGACTGTTTGCGGCTGTTTTTAGCCAGCGATGCACTCGAAATTATAAAAAAAATTTTGAAAAACCATGAAAAAGAAATAAAAAAATATGAAAAGGTCTTTTTCAACCCAATAAACTTCTACTTCATCGAGTGAAGCTGAAGTATTTCGAATGAGAAAAAAAAATAAAAATGTAAGGCGTTTTTGCCTGGTACGGTATAAAAATAAACATGGAGCATCTAAGCTTCACCTCCTTTGAATTTACTACAAAAAAAAAATGAAAAAGACTTGTGAAATGACTGAAAAAAACCTCCGAAAAGAGAAAAACGACCCCCAACCTCCATAATCAAAAAAAGAAAAAAAGTTAACTCACCACAATACATACCACTGTATTGATACCAGCCACGGCGAATTCAAAAAAAAAAAGTTAAAATTTTGAGATTTTGGATGCGGCTGTTTTTAGCCAGCGATGCACTCGAAATTGTAGAAAAAAAGAAACTTGAAAAATCATCTAAAAGAAATAAAAATGTAAAAAAAAACTTTTTAGCCCAGTATACTTCCCCTTCACTAAGTGAAGCTGAAGTATTTCAAATAAGAAAAAAAAGAGTATTCGATGAGTGCTGTTTTTTTAGCCCTAAATTCAACAGTAGAGACTCGTTCAAAACAAGTCTTTAAATAACCTAATAAGAAAGCCACAGAAAAATTACTGTGACTTGTAAGGCATTTGAAGGCGGCTAAAGAAGAAAAAGAAATTTAAAAAAAGCAGGTAAAACTCAGAACGGATAGCTCAGGCGGGAAAGATCATATAAAAAAAACTAGGGGCAGGCCTTTCGAAAAATTTTTTTGTTTTTGTTTTTGTTTTTTTGGTTTTGTTTTTTTGGTTTTGTTTTTTTGGTTTTTTTGAATTTTTTTAAAATTTTTTTGTTTTTGGTTTTTTTCGAAATTAAAAAAATTTTTTTGGTTTTTTTAGTTTTTTTCTCAAGGCCGGGCGAGGGTCCCTAAACTTGACAACATCACAAATAAGTCACCTATAATCTAAAAAAAGAGATTAACCTTCAAATGCCTCTAACAAAAAAGAAGATAGGAAATCAGATTAATAACAAAAAAAAAATAAAAATCGCAAAAAAAAAATGTTACAAAAAACAAAAACAGAGCCTTAATGAGGCTTCAAAAAGATAAAAAAAATTATGTTAGAAACAACAGAAATCAACATCCAAACTAAACTTAATTATAAAAAAAATCCATTGATCCGTTCGATACAAGGGACGCAAAATGGCCAGAGTAGCGAGCCAGTCTAGAAATTTCTGCTTAAATATTGAATTAATCAATTTGTTTCTTTTACGATTGACCAGTCCTTCTGTTCTAAAAGTCTTCCAAAACAGACAAAAAACCATTCTTAAAAAAAATCTTTCAAGTCATTCTCAATATAAAAAAAAATGCTGTTAGATGATTGAACTCACGGAAAAAGCGCTGGCCCTCACACAAGCTCTTACTGAATTTCATTTTAAGTAAAAGTATTTGAACTAGATTAGCCTACTCACACACGTAAATGTCTAATTAACACATCTAGTTTCAAGAAAATAGCACATCCTTTCCCTTTTAGCAGATTCCTGCTAAATCTCAGATACTTTTAGGTGAAAGAATAGGAATTTGCTCAAGGAGCGGTATAGTCAATGGTTCCCGACTTGAAAGGCGAGGGAGGCGGGGCAAGGGGCGGGACGCGTAGCGTGTGCGTACGCGGATCTTGGCACGAGTTCAATTCAAGCGCCAGCGAGCATTCAGAGAGCTCATTTATCGCTATTTTCTCTTCTTTTTTGATTATTTATTGATTATGTTAGTATGTGCATCAAAAATAGTAGAAAATACAGAAAAAGTGCGGTTGCCGAGCTTTTTAAATACTCGGCGGCGATTGAATTGATCTCGTGCCAAGAACCGCGCACAGTGTTCCCAAACGAGCGGCAGCTGTGGTCAGTAGGCGTGGCTGACTGCAACAGCGGCACGGTTTATTGCAATAGGGGCGCGGGAATGAGAGTCAAGTTTTGTGGATTTAGTGATTGGAAAAAGACCATTAAATGATGTTTTTCCTAGGTTCTCGCGAGTTTTCGAAGATTTTTAATGTGTATATATATATATAACGAACAAATTTAAATGAAAAAAAGAGACGAAAAAAAGTTTTTTTGCAAAACAAAATATCTCCCAAAAATATCGTTTTTTTAGGAAAAACTCGTCAAATCGAACTTCCAAAGGGAAAATTGAGAAAAAAAGCTCACAGCACTTCTCTTAAGAAATACCACTTGAACGTTTTAAAAACAAAAAAACAGATACATAATAGCTTGTACGAATAAAGTTGTCACCCAAAATGACATTTTCAAGAATAAATTCGTCGAATACTGCCTCGAAAAAAAAATTTTGAGAAAAATCTCACAGCGTTTCTCTTAAGAAAGTCCATTTGAAAATTCTAAAACAAAAAAACAAACGAAATATCTTATGCGAAATAAGTTGTCATCAAAAATGTCCTTTTAATGCAAATTTCTGTGACGAGAACAATCGAAAATCACTTCAAATCTCTGGAAAACGCGATAAACACGTTTTAAGAACACATACAGCGTGAAAAAATACGAAAGAATGGTAAAATACGCAAGAAAAAGAGAAAAAACCCTATTAAAAGTGAATGAAATTTTGTGGGGGTGACACGCGCCGCACCGCGTTGCGTTAGAAAAAACTCGCGTTTTCGCCCCATTGCGACGACCTTTTTTTTGGCTTGCCGCCGTCTCTTTTGGAACACTGTGCCGCGTACGCACACGCTACGCGTCCCGCCCCTTGCCCCACCTCCCTCCCCTTTCAAATCGGGAAACATTGACTATATAGCAGGCTTGCGAAGTTTTCTAAAAAAAGACTTTCAAACGGATTTTCCTTCAAAAATGTGCCAAAGCGGAAGTTTTCAAGATAAAGCCGTACTGAAACGTTTTCAAAGTCATCTACGATGAGCATATGAGTCTTCGAATATTAATAGATCCAAATAAAACTTCGAGATCTTGTTCAAACTCACTTCAGAATGCGTGTGCGATTTTCCTTCGCAACTTCTGCATCTGGGCGGCCGTGAACGAGCCGGCGACGAAGCCCTTGAGCGTTGTGATGGCCGCTCCGAGCCGCGTCGTCAGGTTGAGCTCGTCCTCTTCCATTTCCTGAGAGGCTCGCCGGCGCAGCTCTTGCCGTATTTCGGCGAGCAACTCGGCCGGCGACTTCCTCTCGAGGTCCGGCAGCATCGTGTGGGCTCTCGGCGCAACAGGGACCTGGCGAAGGCGTCCCGAGGCGCGCTGAGCTGGCCCGAAAATGCGGGCGCGGCGCTAAAATTGTTTTTTTTTGCTCTAACTTAAGAAAAAAAAATTCCCTTTTGAGCTCTTCGAAATCCCAACCCAACTCCTTTTTTCGGGGTGGATAAGCCCAAAACCTGTTTTTTTCCGAAATTTGAGACGCTATAAAAATTTTTTTATAAAATAAAAAAATTTATGCTATAAAAAAATTTAACTTTTTTTATCGGTTTTTTTCTCGAGGCTTTTCTAAATTTTTCGTCAATCACGAAGCTTGAAATTTTGAGGTCAGGAATGTTTTTTTAACAAGATTCTCACTAGAATTATTTTTTTAAAAAAAGCTAAAAAGAATGAAGTTTATTTTTTTGAAGTTATAGAAGAGTAATACCAGTGATACTTTATTCAATTGAATATTTTAGTGTTACCAGAAAAAAAGCAGTTTTTTCCGCATCTTCTCCCTGGTCATTTGAAAGAAAAAAGATAGGAATTCTAATGAATGATTTGAAGATTGCCAGATAAAGTAAGAAAATTATTACCTGGCGTGGCTGACGAAGGCGCACTGGTCCTGGAGCTGGAGCTGCCGCTGGCGGAAGGGCTCCAGCTTGAGCGGGACCCGCCGGAGCAGCCGCCGGAGGTGCTGGTGGTGAAGGTGGCGGTCCTCCTACGGCGGCTGCCGGAACGGCCGGTTGGGCTTCGTCGCCATCACGGCCCTGGACTGGATCTTCGGACCAGTCAACCACCATTTCCTCGTCCTTCAATTTCCACATTATTTTGTTTAAAACCAGTTCCAAAAGATTTTTAACCACTTATAAAAGCTTATATTATTTCCAAGCTTAGTCTGAACTATTTTTCATACATCAAAATCTTCACATCGCACAGAAATTTTTTTCTCGATAATCTTTTTCTTTTTGAATTTTTCTCATATAATATGGCAAGAATTTGGCAAAAAGGCGAGAATTTAAAGTTCTTTTTCAGATTTTTTTCCCTGTCATACTTTGAAAATATTCGAAAACCTTTTTTTGATATTTTTTTGAACTTCCAAGCAAAAAAACTTCGAACTCAGTGGAGACAAATGAGAAGTGAAAAAAAAATCGGAAATTCACGCTCATGACTATTCGCGGACCCAAAACTTCTTCCTGTCATCAAAACTCGACCAAAAAAAAAAGATATAGTCAATGTATCCCGACTTGAAAGACGAGGGAGGCGGGGCAAGGGGCGGGACGCGTAGCGTGTGCGTACGCGGTTCTTGGCACGAGTTCAATTCAACCGCCAGCGAGCATTTAGAGAGCTAATTTATCGCTCTTTTTCACTTCTTTTTGTAATTATTTATTGATTATGTTAATTTGTGCATCAAAAAAATTAGTAGAAAATACAGAAAAAGTGCGGTTGCCGAGCTTTTTAAATACTCGGCGGCGATTGAATTGATCTCGTGCCAAGAACCGCGTACGCACAAGCTACGCGTCCCGCCCCTTGCCCCGCCTCCCTCCCCTTTCAAGTCGGGAAAAATTGACTAAATTGAACCATCAAAAATTTCGGAATTCGAAAGATTTCAAAATTAAGCGGTTCATGAATCTCAAGAGCAACTTTTTTCCGTTTTCAAACTAATAGTGTTGGTTTTACTGAATCAGTAAAGTTTATCCTCTCAGAAATTTTCACTAAACATTTACGGTTTCAGTGAAATTGAAGAAAAAATGAATTCAGAAGACTTACCGAGAACACTGAGGGAAACATAGCCTCCAACTCCCAGTCGACCTCATCTTCCACCCCGGAGTAGAACAGCTAAAACAGTTTTTTTTTCAATAATAAAAAAATAGAAAGTAGATTTGCTGAAGTCACTGTTTTTTGTAATAAGGAAATTTATTTGTTTATTTCTATCATTTTTCATGTCTTCTACTTTCAAAGTATTTCCAATTCGGGTGAGGTTATCTTATTTGAAAAGCTTGATTATACTGAATATTTAATCACGCTTAAAGACTCAGATTTCAAGGGGGCTCGAATCTCTAAATATTTGAGTCTTGGAGAACGATTCTTGGAAATATTAATTCATTCTTGATTTTTTCTCTTTTTTTATGAAGAAAAATAAAAAATGAAAAAAAGATCGAAAAACGTACTGGGCTCGGAGAAATCTGGCTCTCATCGGCGTTCGACGATGGTTCCTAAACCAATATATATATCTGAAAAAAAATAATCAATTTACGGAGACTCTGCAAGTCGAGAAAGTTTGCCTAACTAGTAAGTCCGAAAATCTATCCAAGTTTTGGATGGTAGGTAGGAATATTAGGTCCACGAAGATTCGTGAGCGTGAATTGTGCATACAGAAATCTTGGGGGCTCGAATTTTTGAAAAATTTCAATCTTGGAAAACGATTCTTGGGAACAGTATAGTCCATCATCTTGACAGTTTTCGAGTGTCTTCGTCTCTCTGTTCCCTCCCCGGTGAGGGCAGAGAAACATGGAAATAGCACGTAAACTTGAGAGGGTCGCCGAGAGACGAGGAGGCGCAGAGAAGTCCCGCCCATTCAAGTCGCAAAAACGAAGTCTAACCCAACTTTTGATTAATTTTTTTTCCCTGACTTTTTCGTTTGATGTTTTATTGCGAGGAGTTTATTGCGAGCAAAAATAAACACGTATGATTTTTTTTCAAATCATTTTTTATCTGATAATGCATTTTCAGTTCAGTTCTCGAGATACCAAAAAAAAAAGTCTCACTTGTGGCGGCCCGACGTCTTCGCCTTGCTGCTGATCGTCCGTTTCCGGAACGATCTCGTCGCTTTCGTCTTCTTCTGCCTCCTTAACCAATTCATTGAAAACAAATAGAGTTGTTTTTGCTAAATCTCTCCTATTTTTTCCTGACTTTTTTTTTCTTATATATCTTATCTGAAAACTCTGTCTAGGTCCATTTTTTTGTATGCCGGTCTACCGGCGGTCTATTTCTGAGATCAGCTCAGATTGTTAAGCTTTTTTTCTATTTCTGATTTTATTTCTGTGATTAGCTCAGAAATCTCTATTGATACTAGTTTCTTACAGAAATCACGCTGGCAGCGGATATTTATAACAGAGAAAAATCGCATAACAATTAATAACTTTCCGGTCTTTTCAATACTTGTGCCACGCAAGAATTTCCTATTTTTACAGATCCCGACTATACTTTGAAAATATTCGAAGACCTTTTTTTGATATTATTTGAACTTCCAAGCGAAAAAAACTTCAAACTCGATAGAGACAAATGAGAAGTGAAAAAGAAATCGGAAATTCACACCCATGAACATTCGCGGAACCAAAACTTCTTCCTACCATCAAATCTCGACCAAAAAAAAAAGACTTTGAACCATCAAAAATTTCGGAATTCGAAAGATTTCAAAATTAAGCGCTTTATGAATCTCAAGAGCAACTTTTTTCCGTTTTCAAACTAATAGTGTTGGTTTTACTGAATCAGTAAAGTTTATCCTCTCGGAAATTTTCACTAAACATTTACGGTTTCAGTGAAATTGAAGAAAAAATGAATTCAGAAGACTTACCGAGAACACCGAGGGAAACATAGCCTCCAACTCCCAGTCGACCTCATCTTCCACCCCGGAGTAGAACAGCTAAAAAAACAGTTTTTTCAATAATAAAAAAATAGGCAATATATTTCCTGAAGTCACTGTTTATTGCAATTCGGAAAAATTTATCTTGTTTTTTCTTCCTTCATTCTTTAAGGTGTTCTGTTTTCAAAATATTTCACAATTCGGGTGAGGTTATCTTATTTGAAAAGCTTGAGTCCTACTATAATGAACATTTAATCAGGGGAAACAGCGAAAAGGTAAAACGTCTTAGAGAAATATTCGGTATCTTCAAAGTTATCTAATCTACAGTTTGAGTATAATGAGAAATCTTGAAAAAATCGGAGAAAATGGAAGGTTCAGGAAGCTTCAGAGGATTCTGACTGAGTATTTGAAGTAAATATAGCATGTTCTCCTTAGATGAGGGGAATGAAAATAATTTGACTTGCTGTAAAAAAAATTACCGGCGATGGTGAGCTTTCATCTGTGATCTCACCGCGGTCTGCATGATCTTCCGGATGATCACCGTCTTGATCACCCCGAGTTTCTCCACCCAACCGAACGTTTGACTGAATAATTCTCATTGAGAAATCAGAAACTGATCAGCAAATTTTGTCCTTTTCCGCCACGGACCAATTATTCTAACTCCATACATGATTTTTCTTCGAATTTATTTCAAGAAAATGATTTTTATTTTTGCACGTGAGCGTGTGCATTGACCGCAGATTTCCGTGTCTATGTCCAATATCTGGACTTTTCGGAATTTGTACTTTTGTGGCACAATTGTGACACGGTTTTTTTTGCGTCAAAGTTTCTCACAGGCCATGTAAGCTATTTTTTTTGGCTTTTTTTTAAAGCTTTTTCATTCGAGGCGTTCTGCGTAGTGAAAGAAAATGTAAAATTTTGGAAAGCGAAAGCATGTTGCTCCAGTGAGAACCATTCCAACTTAGTGCCGTGTTCAAAGTGATTCCGCGAAATTCAAAATAGCCGTCAGAGAAAGAGAAAGATAACTAAATTTTGGAGGGTCAGAGAGCATTTTGCATTTCGCGGAAATTACTTTGAACACGGCATAGATGTTCGGCCGCCCCGCGAAAATTCAAACACGACTTTTTTATATGGCCTTTTTTTATGCCGTGTTCAAAGTAATTTCCGCGAAATGCAAAATGATCTCTGACTCTCCAAAATTTAGTGATCTTTTCTTTTCTCTAACGGGTATTTCGCATTTCGCGGAAATTACTTTGAACACGGCATTAATTATTTTATCAAGTTCCAATCTTATTATTAACATTTGACAAGTTTTGGTTGTTTTACTCTTTTGTGAAGTTGATATTTTAGGACTTTTTTTCTTTACCGTTCATCAAATTCTCATTCCATTGTTTTACATACAGAAAGTGCTTCATAATTAATTAATAATGCAAATAAAAAAAGAACATTTTTTTCAAAAAAATTGAGAAACATTTTTTTAACCCAACTTATTTTTGTCGTGAAGTTAACTAGAAAATAGAAATGTGGTAGAATAATCCCAGTCTGTAGTTCTCAAAAAAATTTCTATTTTATCACTTTTTTTGTACAAAAAAATGTTTTTTTCGATTCATTGGAGTATGCAAGTTAGCGCCGTTCTGTGTATGCACCAACCACGTCATATATTACGAAAATTGGGGGCTAGACGTCGTAAAAAAGGCCGTGATTGTTTTTTCTCTTTTTTGAATCCATTGTGAACTTTATTCTCGTCTTCGCGTTTTCAAATTCAAGGCACTGGTTTCCGTTATCCACTTATCATAAGATCAAAAGGACACACTATTTTTAAGGCATAACGAGTTTTCTAGTGAAACGAAATGAGCGTTTTTGTAGTCTGAGATGATATCCCGTTCCCATGCCTTGGAGTTAGTAGATCTCATTTCGAGTTAACACATAATAGAACGGTGCTTTGATTTTTTATTAGAAAATTCAAGTTTCTAAAAGAAAAAAAAACTTACATTGACGGGATCTTCCGCTGTCCGTTTCGGAGCTGGCCCCGATTCCTCGCCGGATTCTGACGGTCTCTTTGCAGCCGCCCATTGTGCTGGTCCAGCCAAGAACTTCTGAATATCACTTTTATTTTTCTTTTTCTTTTCATTGTCCTATAATCCGAAGGCTGCGAAAAGTTTACAGTTTCCGATTTGAGGATCAATAAAAAGCCACAATGTTCACTTTTTTTTAAATTAATACAAAAAAATAGTTCAAAAATTGGCTCAATTCAAGATCTTGTGTTTGAAGTTTCTATGGTTATCAAGTTAATGTAAAGGTGTTCTCTAGATAATCAGTTGTCAAATTTTTCAAAATAACCTTTGTTGGCGGCACGGATGGACTTTCGCCTTGCTTTCTTTTGCGGTACTTGATTCCGCTGGCAAAATTCGATCCCGTTGGGGCATTCTACAAATTCCTGGTTTTTTTTTAACAGTTTGTCCACTGAAATCTTTTTTTGCAATTTTTTTCAAATTTTCAGAAGTCCTCAAATTTCAAAAAGTTCGTTATTTTTTTCTGGAAAAAAAAGCTTTTTATTAAATTCTACAGGAATACATAAACTTTTTTTCTTCTGAATGGTAATAAAATCATAAGGATTGGTTGATTTTTTTGAAAACTTTGAGATTTAAAAAAATGATTCCTCTAAAACTCGTAACTTATAAAAAAAACAATCGAAGAGGTTTCAACAAAATTATTGAAGTTTTTTCTCATTTAATTGTTTTTTTTCTATGGAAGACCTTTAGGAGTTATTAGATAGAACGAACCAAAGGAGAGCTCAAGACGATGGGATCGTCTGCAGGGAGTTGGAAGCTGTCCGATTCGACTTCGTCTCTTCGGCGCTCCACTGCATCTTCTCCCGCAGCGACCATGGCAGTCTGTAAACGTGAGTTTTTTTTCTCATTTCGATTTTCCTTTATTACTATCGTCTTTTTTGTAAAATTGCAAAAGTTTTCTTTGCTATCAAATTCAATTGTATCCTATCATATTCTATTATACTTTCAAACGCTTTCTTACTTCGAGACGTTCTTATTGAAACTATATTGGTCCTTGGGTAAACATTTTAATTTTAAATGAATCAGATGAACGAACCTCCAAGTTGTTGCCGGTGGGGACCAATGTCATTTCGAAGACCTATAAAAGAAAAATTTCCTCGTGCTTACGAAGTCCATTGTATCATGGTAAGCTTTGTTGAGATTTTGAAAATACGATCGATTTTATCGAAATTAGCCCTCAAATAACGTTTAGAACGAGTTTTTCGGTCTACGTAGCCTGATAAGACGAAAATTTATAATAAAGCCTCCTTTTTTCTGAACAGATTGAGAAATTCTGAAAAATTTCTGAAACGTTTAGGCTGAGGCAAATTGCGTTGAAGAACGTTTTTTTCAAAAAGAGCCGTTTAGCCTTTTTACCCATCAAAAAGAATCGAGCGAACCAAAAAGACTTACAGTGGCTCCGAATTGGTCGGTCCTCACTGTGACCTCGTAGCAGTTCCTCGCTGTGCCAGCAAGCTCTCGGTTTCTTTTCAGAAACTCGGCCAGCTGTAATGTAGCCAGGTAAGAGAGGTTATTGAAAGAAATATTGCAATAGTTTCTTTTTTTCATTGAATTTAAGCCTTTTTTAGATTAATCAGATGGTCAATTTTTAATGGTATGAAAAAGACCAGCCAAAATTCGAAAGGCGACTTTTTCCGATTTTTTTCGTATCGCTAGGGAACTTTCCGACGGCCACCTTTCCGCCGACTTTTTTTCCCGTATATTTCTGTTTATAAAACATCTATTAACAATCTATTTCTCTGTGTTTTTAATCCAACTACTTATTTTTATATAGGAAGATTCAAAACGAAGAGTTTATGGAGAAAAAAAGTCGGAAAAAGATTCGTCGGAAAGTTCCCTAGCGATACGAAAAAATCGGAAAAGTCGCCGTTTGAATTTTCGCTGGTTTTTTTTCATACCACCCAATTTTTTTGAAGTTTTTTTCTTTTTTTTTCCAAATTCATGCCTATTGTTCTAAAGATGGTAGCAAAACGTCTCTTAGGACAAAAATATCAAATATCTAGAAGTGTTGATTTCTTTTCAACTTACTTCAGCGGCCTGGTCGTCCCGGAGGGGGAGCTTGAAAGTGTCCTGTAACAGAAAAATTTTCGTTTTTGCAATTTGAACTTTTCAATTTGATGATATGGGAAGGCTCTTCGAGCTTTCTGAGAATTTATAGACTCTGGTTATAGCCTATTCCGCGCCAGCTTGTCACGTTTTTCTTTCCGCCAAAAAGAAAGTATACCAAATTAGATCAAATTTCTGCTTTTATAACGGCAAGAAACAAAGGTCTTGAAGCGAAGTTGGTTAAATTTGACCTGGCCTTTTGGCGGAAAGAAAAACGTGACAAGCTGGCGCGGAATGGCCTATACAGTAACTGAGTTGTTGCTTCCCAAATGGTCTCTTGAAAATTTCAGAAGTTTCTCTCTAATGGACCAGAGAGTATTTGAGAAAAATTCCAAAACTCTCGAATTTGAAAAAAAAAGTGATATCTGCGACTTTTCTCTCAAAATCTTGATTTTTTAAGGCTGAAAGTTGTTTTGAAAGCTGAAAATCGCAACCGGATCGGAACTAACCTCGCCTCGGAGGCTGCTCTCGGAAGACGGAGAAGTTCGTCTTCTTCTTTCATTTTGTTGGCCTTGGCCTGTGTGCTGGTCCATTTCGGACGTGCCTTAAACATTTTATGTGAAAAAAAAAAAATTAGTTTTTCAAATAAATAAATAAAATTTTTCATCGTAAATTTTTTTCCATAGTAAAAAGCAAAAATTCTCCTAAACTTTCCGTTTCAATTTTTTTCAAAACGTTTCGAAATATTTAATTTTATAGGTAATCATCATGATAGTGCTGTATTTTGTTTTTAGGGGCTTCGATTCGATCTCTCATTTGTTTCGAAGAAGTTTTATTTGATAGCAAAAAAAACGTACTTTTTTTTGCTTGAGCTTTAGCTCGGTTCGATGGCTTATCGAAAGCAATGAGTTTGGGAGAACAAGTTACTCTGAAAGAAAAAAAGATTTAGTGAAACTTGATCAGAAAAAGGACGATAGAGAAAAAAAAGAAAAACGGCTATATCAAATTCAAGAGATTCCTATAAATATTTGAAAAAAAGGTGTTGCCGGACATTTTTCACATCGGAATGGTTATTTAGGATCTTGGAAAAGTTTTAATTTGTCCGAAAAATCGAATTCAGATTCTCCATGGCTCCAGTAACATTGCAGTTTTGGACAAATTCCTGAGAACTTTTTTTTTTGTTTTATTCGTGGTTGGTTTCGTTTTTTTTTCTTGTATAAAAAAGTTATCCTTCTGTACTGCAAGTTATAAATGGTTTGTGTACATTTACAGACATGAAAATCGTGATAAATAATGCTCAAAAAAATTCGCGTTTTGATCGAAAAACCTTTTTAAGATTTATATCTGTTCGAAAAAGTGTCGCAAAATGAAAACCAGAGCCTAAGACTCGACGAAATAAGTCGAGATTCAAAAAATTACCGGGCAAATTGTCGCCGTTTTCAGTCTAGAAACATAAATTCAGGTTAAACAAGCAATGTATGATTGAAGGAATGGTGAAAATCAAGAAAAAAAGGAGAAAAATCGATTGAAAACAAAAAAAAAGAATGAAAAAGATTGGGCGGGAATGGAGGTAGATAGATCGAAAGTTGGGAGATCAACAGGCCCAAGTCTAATTTTCTCTCCTCATTTATGATTGTGCAAAGTGTTTTCGAGGGGTTTTTAGCATTTTTATCTTATTTTAACTGTTATATTCAGCTGATTACTTTATGAATCTGTAAAGATTGGAAGTAGCCACTTTAGGGACCGCAGATCAAGACTATTTTTTGTTTTTAAATGTGCAAAAAAAGTTTTTGCACAGTTTTTATGTTCAAACTTTGTTTGGAAAGATAAGTTCACAAATTTTATGTTTGAAAATATTTTTTTAGGGCTGAATTGCATTTGGGAAGACGGAACGGAAAAATTCGGGGTCTTCACAAATATAAATTGAGGTTTATTGAAATTTATTTGTTGAGAAATTTCGATTGATCCTTATTTCAGGAGTGATGAAAAATAATCTCGTAAAAGAAAAAAAAAATTGAGTGAAGGATTGCCAAATTTAAAATGATATTTTGTCGACTTTCACGTGTCTTACAAGCGTTGATTATTTAATTAATCCATTTCATCTTTTAAATTATTTCAACGTGAAAAGGTCGTGTTTCAGTTGATATTCATAAAATTTTGTTGGTTAGCAGGACTTTAGAAGCAGAGTAATGAATAAAACATGAAGAAACAATAGAAGGATAACTAAAATGTTCCCGCTTTTTCATTACTTGGAACATTTATCAATTTCATCAAAGTTTGCTGCTTTTTTTCAGTTCTCGATGTAGGTCTTAAACGATTTTCCGTGCTGGTTAGCTCTATAGTAAGTTGATTAGAACTTCGATATCCATGACGTCATTCGAAAGCGCTCTGTAGATGGCTCGCCCTCTGATAGGTCTACCAGACCAGTAGGGGCGGAGCTTAAGCGACGACTTGATATTCGATATCTGAACGGACTAAAAAGTATCCACTGCGTAAAAGTGCAGATAGGGTTTCTCATTTTCAGAGCGATTTCTGAAGAAAAAACGACTTACGAACGATTTTTAATGTTCAAGTTTCAGTATACATGATCCTTGTCGATTTGTAATTCAACCGCATTTGGAATGGCTTCAGATCTTGCGGCTGCGCTGCGGTCGACTCAAGCTTAATCTGGTTAGACGTTTTTTTCTGTTATCATTTCCGACAAAAAAATCGAGTCCCCTTCAAACGTGATTAGAATATCAATCCCTTCAAAATCGTCCGCAAAAAGATACGAAAACCGAATTCTTTATCGGTGGCTGTTTCATTGTTGGGCGGCAATCCAGTCCCGAGGCCGTTAACGGAGAATCTTTTAGCCGATCCAACATCCCTCGTAAGCTTCATCTTAACACTGTTCCTTCCTCTTTCTCTCTGTGGCTTTTGATAACTGTGAAGTTCGTGATTTTGTTGTTGTTTTTACATTTTGACTTAAGCTTCTTTGTTGTAAAACATGAAAAAAAAAAACTTACTTGCTAAATCATAGTTCCTGATGATTTTTAAGTGAAAAAAATGTCAAAAAAACTGATTTTTTTGTGAAGAAATTTGATCTTGTTGGACCAGGGCAGCCATTTTTACTCGAAGGGCTGGTCGGACCTGGAAAACGGGCTGGCCCTCGCAAAAGCCTATTTTGGATAAACGGCCTCAAAGTCCTTTTTTCCCAAATAAATACATGAAACAGTTTCTCATAAAATTTTTGTTGAGGTGAAGTTTTTCTTCCAAAGTACAGCGATGTCCGTATATTTAGTTATTTAGGTTGATCCTCGACGGCTTGATCTTAATTGAAGTGACAGCCAGAGAACGATTAGCCCTTTTTTCCTTTTTCAAATCAAATTTTTTATTTATCACACACAGAAGGTCTAAAATTCACGAAACAAGTACAGATTTTCTGCAGCAAAAGTGAATTTGGGGGACTACAGAAAATATCACGTCTAAGAGCATGATAGCAACAGCTCAAGTCAATCTTAGGAGCTGCAGAGTGGTCCCTATAGGGGCAATCTTAGGTGGCCCTTAAGGGTCCCTGTAGAAAAAACGCTGGTCGATTATTTTTAGAAACTCTACAAAGAAAAATTTTTATGATGATTTATTCAAGTTTTCCTATTTCTTTTTGAGTCTGATAAGCATTTTAAAAACTCCTATAAGGACCACTAGGGGCTTCCGGATAGGGACCGCAAAGCCACGCCCCTTTTCGCGATAGAAAAAGTGGCTTTTTTTTGGTTTTCAACTTTCATTTTGTTGTAGTTGCAAAATATGTGGAACTGGCGAATAAAATTTGACACACATGTACAGAAAAAGCTTCCTCTTTCGTTTAAAAAAATATTTCACGCTTTTTTTGATGCGTTCTCGCGGAATGTCGTACAAAAAAACGTGAATGGAACTAAAAAAATTTTTGTCATTTTTTTGCTTTTTTTCATGTGTTTTTCAGGTCGAACGCACTCTTTCTTTTTTTAAATAATGATTTTTGATTCAAGTAACGAAAAATTTTTAAAACAATAAAATAAAAAAAATTCGTCTTTGCCAAAAAAATTTTTAGGGAGCGCCGAAAGTCATAATTCAAAAATATCGTTAATAAGCGAATATAATCAAGTTTTTTTGTTTTTTTAAAAAAATTTAGATCATGGCCTTACTTAAATTTTTTTCTTCACAGTATCTGTGCTTGAAATAGTTGTTTAATACGCAAAAAAATGCTCTTGAAACTAGAGAATAAAATTAGCGGCGTTTATCACACAGAAAGCGGCCGAACGCAGGTTTTTTTAAACGATTATATACATTTATTAGTGAAAAAAATCTTTCAATTAAAAAGAATAAAATAAAAAAATTCGTCTTTGCCAAAAAAATTTACGGGGCCGTTTTTAAGGCAGCGATCGTTAAACGAGGAAAAAAAGCACTAAAAAAACAGTTTTTTTCGAAGTGAATTTTTCACGGAAAGTTTGAGTAAAGATTTGCGAACATATTCTGATAAAAAAATAGCTGAATTACTTCAAGTTTTTTTATTTTTTTGAAATAGGCAATCTGTGCTATCTAAACGGCTCAAGGGTAAGGCGGATGGAAGCTCCCCTTGCTAGACCTAGCAGCTTGGCGCAGCGCGTGCGCTGCGATTTTTTTCATTTTGAGGTCGCGAGTTCGATGCCCGCAAGCGTCAGTTTTTTTGTTTTTCTGGAAAATACCGACTTTTTTTCGGCAAACTAGCTGATGAGCATCATTTTAGCACTCTATTATGATTTGTTACATCATAATAGACCAGTATCAAAAACTTGTTCTAGAAGAAAAAAATCGAGAAAAAAATGTCAAAAAAATGAATAATACTAAAATTTCAGTACTAAAAAAATGGTGCGCGGCGCGCCACATTTTTCGTCATAACTTTTTTCATCCTCAATCTTTTTCGAAAAACTAAACGGTTCTGAGTTTTGAATCGAAACAGCTATCAAACCATACAAAGCTCAATGCTGAAAAAAATTTTTTGAAAATTGGTCTGCGGTCCCTAGCTTCCGGATCAGGCTCGAAAAACCCTATAGGGACACCTTAGTTTTACCCCTAGAAGGGCGTTTTTTTTGTCCAATCACGGAGCTGACTTTTTTCCTAACCCCTATAGGGGCCACTCGTTCTTAAGATCATTTTTAGAAAACCGAAAGTTGCGCAGGCTGAAATTTCGAAGATTTTACCGATTTCTAAAGAACTTCGCTTTGAAAGCCCCCGGTTATAGTTCTCGATTCAAGTTCCTTTGTAGTCCCTCGATAAGGCGTTCAAAATCCCGAGAAAACTTGAACTTTCGGCCGCCACGTGGCAGCAACCAGAAGAGGAGCCCGATAAGCGCAATTTTGCAGCGAAAAGTTGCCAGGCGACGACAATAACCGGAACGGCTAGCCCTAGCCGAGATAGCCACCGAAGATTCTGACCCCAAACAAGTTTCGCTTTCCTCCCATTGTCTTTTCGCTTCTGCCTTCTTGCCTTTTCACGCCGCCCCATCCCCGAACTCAAATCCACTCCATCAAGCAACGCGATTCTTCGCAAGTCATTGTTTTTCAACACGTCTTCTCCTCCTTTCGTTTCGGACAGATACCCATCCGAAAAAGGGAGACTTTCCACCACCCAATTTCTACGCATCCCTTGGTTATTTCGACATGTTCCGCTTCAAATTATCGCTTTTTTGCCCGACACCTTTGCTCTCCTTTGGATGTAATTACTGTGTAGTATTGAACGAAATTTCTCGAAAAGGGTCATTTTCATGGGTTTCTGGCTTCCTGCACTGCTAAGATCTTTAAAGAAGGGTAGGAAAGCTTTTTTAAAGTAAGTCTTTGAATTTCTGAATTTCACTTCTGCGATCGACAAAAGCATTTTTTCATCTCCTTCATAGTTTTTTGCCCTTTCTCCGACTTATTCTTTCAAATTCTGATAGAACTTGCTTCTTTTCATTTCATAATACTTAAAAGCAAACTTTTTTTTGATCCAAAAACTTTTCTAATGAAAAAATGCGGAACGGAAGCAGGTCATGCGAATAAATTAGCACTACTTTCCAAATTAACATTACCTTGCAGACCCACTAAATTCTCATCCCCGTTTCAAACCAGTCAGCGCTTTTTTCCATTAAAATTGTGCGTGGGGCTTTTTTTTTGGCTCTCTATTTTCTTGGGGATCTGATTTACAATATTTTAGACGAGAAAAAGTTGCTCGAAAGACTGGGAATCGAAAAAAATTTACATCATTTAGCCCCTCCTTCTCTATGGAAAAAAAAATACTCCAGTGGCCACTTAAGAGGTTCCTCAAGGACCACTTGGAGCAGACACTGAAGTGGCCACTAAACCACCTCTATAGAGGTCATTATTTTGCGTCTTAGTGGCCACTATAGTAGTTTTTTGCGGTCTAGTAGTACCATTTAACTTCTAAAGAGGCCACTAATTTTCAGCCACTTAAGTGCCCGCTACAGGGGTCAATTAAAACCCTAGAGTGGTCACTGAAAACTTTCTCAGGGTTCAAATTAGAAAGAAAATTTCATAAATTCTTGCCAAATTTTCCATTCTCTTGGTTTTTTTTAACCTTTTGATGAACCTTCAATATTTAGTATCAATTTTTCCATTTTTCCTGGACATTTGCTCTTTTTAAAAAGTTCCTTGCCTAACCTTTCAATTTTTTTTTTCGTGATCATTCGAACTCCCAGAATCCTGCAATACTGTAGCGAGAAGAAACTGAAACTTTGAATGGGATTCGATTTCAAAAAAGGCCAAATGAAAGGAGAACGATCAGTTGATTGGGGCCGCACGGCCCATCGCTTTTTGTTCTTTGTGCACCTGGACGGAAAAAAAAGGAAAGGACGACGAGCCATTTGCAGAATGCGTTGGCTGTCGTGTCTGACGGCGTGCGCCTTGCTTGGGCTGGGCGCCTCGCAGCAGCGTCTTTTCGACGTCAAGCAGCTCTTCCGGGTAGGTTATCATGTCGGGTAGAGCAGGTACAAGTCGGAAACGGTGAAAAAGGCTCCATAGAAGTGTTTTTTTTAGGGTTACAAATGTTCCTTTTTTTGCTGAATTTCGGCTCCATTTTCTCGACCTTTATGCACCATTTTTGACGCATCTACCTTTTTCCACCATTTCTTGAGCCCTTAAAATCCCAGAAAAACGGAAGACTCGAAAAAAGAGACTCATTTTGATGCCTTTCTGCGACCTTTTTGCGGGCTTTTTGCTGCCTTTCTGCGGCCTTTTTTAAGCCTTTCTTTTTTAGCGGCCATTTTCTATCATTCCGACTTTGCCTGAGTAAACAGCAGGGTTACATACATAGCAGCAGACCAGCCAATACTGACTGAACTTTCCGACAACACAAAGTCCTCTAGGTGCAGTTTTTTGCGCCTAAAAATCAAAAATCTGTCTTCGATTGAGCCCTTTTTCGATATAAACGACCTGGTGAGCATGAAAAATCGGTTTTAAATGAAAAAAAAAAACGTTCAGTTTAGCCTCAAGTTTTCACGGGCTTGAGACTTTCTACTTTTCTGTATCCTTTCAAAGAAATCTTTCTCGATCTGCGACTTGGAGCCGCCGTAACTTTTTCCGTAGGCTTCGAATGCAATTTTTGAGCGAAATTTCGGATTCAGCATACAAAACTGCATCTAGAGGACCTAGCCTAGTTGAGATGTATCATTATGGGAAAAAAAACTAGTCTTTGGTTTTACTTTGAACCTCGAACTTCGAATTGGCAAAACAATCCATTTGACATCAAACTTGTATGATTCCAGATCTTTCAAATTTCAAATTTAACTAAAAAAACGAATGAGACTGAAACCCTATTGACCTTGTGAAGACCAATTTTCGTCGCCAAAAAAAGTCGGGAAGCGCGAAAAAGTAACAATTGGCCGTCTCGTCAGGTCATAGCGGAAATTTTCGAATAAGCAAGGGAAAAAATGTAGATCGACGTTGTTCAGTTCCTTGAGATATCATTGGAAAGGGCCTTTATAGATAAATCACGGCTGGCTTGAGCTATCGAAAAAAGGTATCTGACACGATAATATAAGAGCGAGTGCCTGGTTCGTGGAGAGCGCAGACAGGCCACGCCCCCTTAGCGTCCCACGCTAGCCGTGAATCAACTATACAAGTTCTACCAAGAATTCTGAAAAAAAAAACCATTACTGACGTTTGGAAAACATTCACCTTCAGGAAACCATGGCGGCGATGTCGCAGATTCCATCAGCCTTGGAGAATTCCACGACTACTTCAGATTCCAACTCGACGTCGCCCAAGGAGAACAACGAACTGGCCAAGTTTGTACTCACTTTTTCGGTCTTCATTTTCTGGGTCTTTCCCAAAAATGACCTTAAAAACTCAAGGGTGCCTAATAAAGTCTTTCGAAGGCCTTCTAGACCTTTCGATCCATCTTGAAAGGATTTTTCAAGCCTTGGAAAAGGCTCTAGAAAAAGGCCTTTAAGACCTTTTCGGTCATTTTTTCCTGGAACCTCTATGGCAGACCCTTTTAAAAGGCCACAGTTTACACCTCCCAAGTCTTGCTTCATTAAAGTGCTACCTCCAGAATTTTCAACTCGATTTCGATTTGGCAACGCTACCTATTTCAGGTAGAAAAATATTCCTATACCTTATTTTGTGAATCAGCTTTTCCTGCCGGACTTGTTGGGTTCTTTACTTGTCCATTTTTGCCTAAAACCTCAAAAAGGACCTTACGAGCCAAGAGCCTTGAAAAGACTTTAGGTCTTCCCAGAGGACTTTTAGACCTTTTCGGACTTCTTTTTCCGGAACATTTTCAAGAAAGAACTTACAAACTGAATGAAAGCCTATAAAAGGTATTTGAGATCTCAATAAACTTCTTTTTTTTTCCGAAGTCTTTTCAAAAAGTACCTTAAAAACTGAAAAAATGCCCATAAAAAACGTTTAGACCTTTTAGCCTTCTTGAAAACGAACTCACAAACTTGAAAAGGGTCTAGAAAAGTCTGTCAAACCATTTTTGACCTTTTCGGACTTTTTATTTCTGAAGCTTTTTCAAAAATGATCTTACAAGCCGAGAGCCTTGAAAAGACGCTAGAAGGTCTTTCAGAGGCTTTTTCGATCTTTCGGGCTTCTTTTTATCTGGAGTCTCCTCAAAAATTGCCTTTCAAACTAAAAAGCTTTGGAAAGGCTCTAGAAAGGTCTTCCAAAGGCTTTTTAGCCCTACATGGCCTTTTTTTGGAATTTTCTCAAAAATAACTGGCAAACTACAAAAGTTTTCAAAAGGCTTCATAAAGATCTGCCACGGGTCCTTTTCGATCTTTTCGGATTTTTTTTCTGCTGCATTCTTAACGGAGTCCTTACAAGCTGAAATGTCTTTAGAAGGCTTTTGAGGGGTCTTTTCCAAAGGCTTTTTAACCCTATGCGGCCTTCTTTTTCTGAAGCCTTATCGAGAAAGAACTTACTAAACGGCTCTTGAAAGATCTTCCAAAAGCCTTTTTAGACTTTTCTATACTTCTTTTCTCTGAAGCCTTCTAAAAAAATAGAACAAGCTAAAAGCTTTAAAAAGACTCTAGAGAGATTCATTTATACTTTTTTTAGACTCTGCACAAGATTTTCTTTTGACCCTTCTTATATAGTCGATGTGCCACGACTTGAAATTTCATGGAACGACACTCCGTTGGGTGGCCGTGGCCGTGAAAGCGCCTTGCCTTTGCGAATTGCGGTCGCGCTTTCCATTTTTTTGTTTTATTCGAAATTTTCATTATTTTAATTATGTTTTAATAGTTGTCTTCGTGCCAAAATCATAATTATCTTTTCTAGAGGATAGACTGTTTCATTGATAAAAAAATAAAGTAGAGTTAGTTTCGAATTTTTAAGCGAAAAAAATGCGTTTATAATATTTGAAAGTTTTTTTCATGAGATGGTCTTTGGTTTTTGTTCAATATATTCCGTTATTTTACCTTCATTGAGCCTTTATCGACATTTCTTTTTTTCATTTCAAATCATGTAAAAAAATATCCCAATCAGAAATAAAATACACAGTGAATGATTTTTAAAAAAATTGAATGTTTCTACATTGACGAATTTTTTTATTTAAAAAAACAGATACATAATTTCAAAGGAAAAAAATTATTAGTTTTTCTGGACATTTCGTTCAGCACATCGTTTCCACTATTCCATGTGCCCACTGTTCACGCCCCATTTCTGACGCATAGTTCAGCAATACGATTTATCTAAAGCTCCATTTAAAAAAAAGGAACGAAAACCTTACTTCAAATTATGGTGCATGTGCTCATGGAAGTACACATCTTCATTTTATAAGGCGCTCACTTTCTGAAAAAAACAATTAACGACTGCAACAGAAAAAAAAAACGATGAAAACATTAAAACATGGCTTTAAAAAAAACACAGAAACTATTGTAGAATATTGTGGCGTTTCACCCGCAAATCCTTTTGGTAAGTCTTTGAAAACTTTTTTTGAGAAACGAGAAAAACAATGTCAAAGCGATTGAAGAATACATGAAGTTTTTCAAACTTTTTTTTAATCGCTTTTTTCGAGAAACATCATGAAATTTACTGTGTTCTTTCTTTTACATTTGTACAACGAAATCCTTTTCAACGATAATTTTACATTTTAAAGAAATAAAACAATAAAAAAACCGTCGAAATTAGAATGAAAACAAAAAAAAAATTAGCGTGGCCGAAGTTGCCAAATTCGCCAGATGCGCGCTACCGCACAAAATCGAAACAGCGGAGTGTCGTTCCATGAAATTTCATCTTGTGGCACATCGACTATATATTCAATATTTTTCCAGGCTCCTCCACCTTCCCAGCGGACATTGTCCACAGGATAGCTGAAGACGCCGGTTATGTAGATCCTGAAACTCCCAAAATTCCAGCCAAAGAAGGAAAACCAGAAGTGTGAGTAATAATACGCTTTTTTTTAATCGTTCATTCTTAATTTTTCAGAGAGAAGAAAGAGATCCCGACAGAGGCCCGGTCCAGCTTCAAGACGGTACTTTGAGACGGGTTTTTTTTTGGAAGAAATTCAAATTTTCAGTGGGAAGACGTGGTGGCAGAGCAGAAGAAGTTGGAAAAGGAGAAGGAGGAGGAAAAAGCCCCGAAGAAGAGTCTTCAGGACAAGAAAGACGGCGACTTCCTGTCCATTTCCAGGTATATTTATTAGTTTGAAACGCCTTGGAATGGTTATTTTTGTGGTAGTTTTGCTCATATAGTCTGATAATGATAAAAATATGAATAAAAATTCAAAAAATGTACAAAAAATAGTTAATAGAACTCAAAATCCGAAGTTATTCTGATCTTTCCTTCATCCATTCCTCAATCTCCAATGATTTTTTGAAAAAAAGTTAGGAAAACCAGAGAAGTCCCTATAGGGGAAACTCTAGAGGCCCTCCTCTGGGTCTACCTTCCACTATAGGGGTCACTAAAACTTGCAAAAGTGACCCCTATAGGGGTTTGCTACTGTTAGAGAAGAAGCATTGTATGCGGAGGAATTGATCAATTTTTTCTAGTTGACTTTCAAATATGACCAAAAAAAATGAGAGGCCCTATAGGGACTAATTGAGCTTCAGGGGCTTTGGTTCAGGCTTCTAAGCCCCTACAAGAATCTTAAATTCTAACCCTATAGAGGGCACTTTTTTTTCCTTTACGCGCCTGCTTCTCCTTCCTAAACCCTATAGGGGCCACTCTAGCGCTCCCAAGTGTTCCGAATCCCTTGTGGATAAAGTCAGTAGGCATCCTGAACGACTGATTTTTTTTGTAAAAGGTGACTTCACCAGGCTTTAATTTTGAATAACTCTTCAAAAAAAAAAATGACAGGTTGATCGAGGAGGCGTCGAAATCGCTTCAGGCGGCCGCCGAGCTGAGAACGGCTCCAGTTCTTGTTTCCTCCACCAGCACGACAACTGCTCCAGCTCCAGAAAAGTTGGAAGAACTAGCTTGAAACTGTTATAAAATGTTTTTTTCAGCCCCAGCATTGAGAAGGCGGAGATCCTCTACCGTCCCGTCAAGCAGGCTGATGGAAAAATGTAATTTTGTGGATTTTCTCTTGCAAGGAAGGGATTTTCATCTGGAAATTGGCCAGAAAGCTTAATGAAGTGCCGAAAAAGATCCTAACACCCAACATAATTGCCGATATCACAGCGGGCCGCACGCGATATAGCCAAGGCTTCTCGCTGCGACCTCGTCAAATTCTCGCTGCCATAATGCTCCCTCTCAAAAATTTGAAATTTGAAAAACATTTTTTTTTGCTTTATTTTTGACTTTTATGATGAAAATTTTTTCAGAGAGCGATATAGCGCGAGACAATTGCGAGGTCGCACCGAGAAGCGAGCGATATCGCTGGCGGCTCCCCCGCGGTATAGCATTACTCTCGATGCGATATAGTCCACAATATTGGGTGAAAAGTCTCACACTGCAAAATTTCCTGGTTTTTGAAAGAGGACACCTTAAGAACAAAAAAAACCCTTAAAATAAGTCATTTTGAGTCTTGGAGCTTTTATTTATCGAAAACAAGGGGTTTTACTAAGTTGAAATTTACGGGATCTCCGGTCCATCGCACGGCGTTTTTTTTTTTTTTTTGACGACGACACCCCCATATTTTTTCCGTAAAGTGCAGTGTGTCGTGTGCATGCACTGCGGCGCTCTCGCACATACCGTGTTCAAAGTAATTTTCGCGAATACACGGCGTTTTTGTTAGTGGAAGAAAATGCAAAACCAAAAATGAAGGGGCGTGGTCAAAACCTGCGCCGTTCTCATGTGACGTCATGGAAAACAAGCGTAAGCAACAGGGAATATTAAAGGCGCATTTTCAATGGGTCATGAGATGAATTTTTCTCTTATTTAAAAAAAAAGGTTTTTTTCTGTTTTTTTTTTAAACACATGCCGTGTTAAAAGTGATTCCGCGAAATTCAAAATAGCCGGAAGAGAGTGAAAAATATAACTGACTTTCGGAAATTTAGACATTATTCTGAAATTCGCGGAAATAATTTTGAATACGGTATGTGCGAGAGCGCCGCAGTGCATGCACACAACACACTACACTTTACGAAAAAAATGGGCGGGGCGTCGTCAAAAAAACGCCGTGAACTGAAAAACTCTCCAAGTTGAGAATTTCGGGAATGTTCTGGCCAATTTTCAAAAAGTTCCCAACCGTCAAGTAAGATGACCTTCCCTTTCACTCTAAAATTGAAATTTTGTCGATTTTCCAGCCTCTACGAACAAATGATGCTGGTCAAGTCGGTTGACGGCAAAGTGAGGCTCATTTCCAAGCCAAATCCGGAGTTCCTTCCCAACCTTCCCACGGCTTCTCCCGCTTCTTTCGGAGTTGGTTTTCATTTTTTGAAAATTATCGTGAAGAATCTTTTTACAAAAGAAGGTTTGATGCATCAAAAATTTCGATTTGAAGCATGTTTTCGTGAAATTCGGCTCTTTTTGCTTGAAAATGATAAGAGTATTGGTAAAATTGAACTTCTTTCCTGTAGACAGACCTGTCCGGGGTCGGCCCGAGCCGAAAAGTTTAAAAAGATTAGGACAAAAACGTGAAAAAACTTAGAGAAGAATGGCTTTTTTTTGACATAAATTTCGCGGGTCGGGTCAGCCCGGGTTCACCAGTTTCATTCTACGCTGTATAAGAAATCAGGATCATTTCTATAAAACATTTTCATTTTCAGGATGCTATAACAAGCCTAGACGGTACTTATCCCGCTCCGACCTTCCCACCAATGGTACGGATTTAAAAATGTTTTCTGAACCTAATATGTTTCACCTTTACCACCGTAGGCTTGTGTTGAAAAATACTACAGCCTCTTGTTTTTGCACACTCTCTCGTTTTATTTAGACCATTCAAACCGGAATTTTCAAAAAAAGGGATTTTTCAGCGATTTGTAACTTTGTTTTCAGACGTAATTTGCAATCGGATACTGAAAATTTCCATCAAATTGGCACTTTTCAGGTCAATTTCTTCAACCGAGAGCCGGTCACGACGACTTCAGCTCCTGCGACTACTCCAGCCGTCGTTGAACAGGTATGAGATTTCAGCTGGTTCACGGCTGGTTTGAGGCCTCCAGGCTTGTATCTGCGCCAGCCTGGGATAAGCTGAAGTGGGTCCTAGAGAGAGTTTGAGGTTTAGTAGGTCTTATAGAAAGTGTATTAGGACTAGGAAACCACTGGGTTCCATAGGGACCTCCTAGAGAGGGAAAGGGAAACTTGAAGGACCCATTATAGGAGGCCAATAAAACCACTTTTTTCGTTTCCGAACGTGGTCCGTCAGAGCCTACGTCAGCTGGATCTTACGCCCGCCTTTTGCCCGCAAAGGCCCCCTTTAGTGAAATTTCTTTTAAGAGTCCCTAGTATCGCCGGGAATCCCTACTAGCCCGCTGCAAACTCCCTGGGTCCTCTTTTCTATTCCTGAAGGACCCACTCTAGCTTTTCCGTAAATAAGCCTGGCTCGATGTTAGACTTTTTTTGTGAAAACTTGAATGGGCCGCCCCGATCTAGGCCGCTCAGTCTGACCCACAAGCCTGGAGCCATCGAAAAAGGGTTCTGACATCATTTTAAAAAAATGCGATAGTGACTGCTTGACGCCGTGGATCGGCTATATCAGATTTTCCTGAAAACTACTCTGAAAATTCAGGTGACACCGAAAGTGACGGAAAAGAAGCTGGAAATCTCGCACAAGAAGCATGGAAAGTCCAGGTAAATCCTTGGAGAACCTTGTCTCCTTTTTTAAACGCTATTTCTATCTTTCTATGTTTTCTATGACTTCTCCGGAGGGGGCATTGTCTATTTGAGTGTCAAGTACAATGACGTCATTCGAAAACGCTCTGTGGATGGCGCGCTCTCTGATTGGTTTATCGCGCCGTTAGGGGGCGGAGCTTAACATTTATAATCTGCACACATTTTTGAACCATGGAGAATGATAAATTGACAAAAATCCCTTAAAAACTGGTATAATTTTCAGACAATACGCTTCGAAAATTGTTGAATTGAACGAGCCGATCCATTTCGGGACCTCATCTTCAGCTGAGGTATTTTTTGTCGAGGAAAACCTGAAGTTTTTTGAATTTTTCAGGAGCAATCCGAGGCCGAATATTCCTCGGAACAGCGTCCAATGCGTAGAAGGCTTATTAAGGTTTATTTTCATGAGAAGGTTTTTTTTCACCACCTCGTACAGCTTTTCATTGAGATCCTAACTGTCTACTTCATTTTTTATAGAGATTCGTAGTTTTTTCGAGAATTTTATCTGAATTTGTGATAGGAAAAAGTTCATTCCAATGAAACCAACGTGAACTGTGAAGGAAATTCATTATTATTTTCCTGAACTTGGTATTTTTTTTGTTCCATCCAATTTATCAACGAATAATTTTCTGTGTATTTTTCGAAGTTTTTTTAGGCTGAATATTGAAATTCGCTCTAAATCAACGAACCCTTGAGTGGTCCCTGTAGGGTTTTGGGGAGGAAAGAATATCTCTAGTAAACAAAGAAGTTCAGAAGTACCCTTTAGGAGTGAAATTGAGGCAGATTCTAAGAGCCTGATCTTCAAATCTCAAGCGGACCTATAGGGTCTTTTCATTTTTTGTTCAGATTTGAAAAACTTGTTCAAATCATCTTCTGTAGATATTTTTTCATAGAAATAACGCTAGTTCATCGATTTTTATGCCTGAAAGTGCTTCTCCTCACGGAGTTTATAGAAATGAAAGACTAATATGACCCCTATAGGGACCACTGACGGAAACCCCTGAAGTGACCATTTATGCGGGAGTTGAAGTAAAACGTTGGAACGTCTGGGTAAAGATTGAAAGATGGTATCCCATATCTCAATTATGATTTATTTAACTATTCATAAACAACATTACTTTAGAAGCCACTCTCGATCCGCACGATCGAGCAACTTTCCCAACAACAAAAAGCCGAAGCCGAGGAAAATGGAAAGAAGGACGAATCGGCTCAAAAACCGGAGAAGAGACGCCGGTTCCGAACCCGCAAATCGCACAAAAAATCGAAGAGCTCTTCCTCTGAGGTTTTTTTCCATAAAAAGTGTGCATTTCATATTTTTCCATTAGGAATCCGTCACCGAAGCCCCAAAAGCTCCCGAGCCAGCCTCTGAGCATTTCTCCCAGAAGTTCTCATCCCTGCCTTCAGAAGCCGAAAAGACCAAGATTGTTAGGAGGAAAATCATCAGGAAGAGGATTTTGAAGCGAGTCAAAGCGGTAATTCTCCTTTCAAACTTCTGATAGAAGAAAAAGTTCCAGGCTTCCACTGAAAGCAAAGAATCGTCGACCGAAGCGCCGCCCAAGCCTTTGAGAAAGGTTAATATCAGCCATAAGGAACGGAGATTGGTAGTTTCTGAAAAAAAAAATTATAATATTTTGCTTTTTTCCAGAGCAAAAGCTCAGAAGAGCCACTTCCCAAGAGATTGAGGCTGAGCCACGAAACTGACTCCGAAGAGGAGCAGAGCAAGACTTCCGCCGAGAAAATCGTCTTGGAAAAGCCGAAGAAGATTAGAAAACAAAGGGTGCGTTATAAAAAGAGTAGGGAAAGTTCGCTCTAACGAAATAAGTCGTATAATAGGGAAAGTGCGCTCTAACGAAATAAGTTCACTGTAAAAACTGGGTCCTTGACCGGATGCTCCTCGAGGGTTTCTGAACAGTTCTAGAGGTCACTTAAGGAAGCTGACGCCGCTAGAGTAGTCCCTAGAAAAGCTCCGACACGTGCGAAGTTCGCGCTAATAACGCAAGCAGGACATTCTTGAGTTTTTGAAACCCCTTCAAGCCCCGTAAATCGCCCACAAGAGCTGGAATTTCGCGTTAGAGCAAACTTGTTTCAAGTAAGTTTCTATCCATCCTTTACAACTTCTTCTCTACCAAACCTCGGTAACGTAAAGCAAACCCGAAGCGCTTGAGTCTTTGAAGCTTCTTTAAGCCCCCATAAATCGTGCACAAGAGTTGGGATTTTGCGTTAGAGCAAACTTGTTTTAACTGAGTTCTCATCCTTTACAACTTTGAAAAGTCCAACCTCGGTAAAGCAAGCCAGAAGCGCCTTTTTGAAGAGACCACTCCAGCAGCTTCAGTGCCCTTAAGTGATCCCTAGAATCGCTCAGAAACTTCCAGCTCGAGTGATAAGCCGACCAGAAGCGTAGTTCGCTGGAGCAGCTTTGAATTTTATTTTCATTTTTGATATTTTTTTCAGAAATTGGTCACTCGCCCACAATGCTTGAACATTCGCAGCTTTGCCCGCCAGTTTGCTGTGGAAAATGTCAGGGAATTCGCTCAAGGTTCGTCGAAATAATAACAGTGATTCATGAAAATTCTGGAAGAATCCTTGTCGTAGAAAGGAAAACAAAAAATAAAATTTCAATTTTCATAGATGGTCACAAATTTTGAAGGACCAGTGGACAGTCTAGCAAAAGGTCTTGCAATGATTAGATGCACTTTTTAACTTCGAAATGACTCTGACCGCAGCGCAACCGCGACGCGTTCCGATTTATAAAAGTTGAAAGCCATTCCAATTGCGACCACAGTTGATACATTTTTCATTTCATAGCTCTTCCCAACTTCATGACAATATATTTCAGAACACTGCGGTTTCATCGAAAACTACTACCCCGAGCTCAAGTGCTCAATGATGGACGCCTACATGACCATCTGCGAGAAATACTACGAAGTTATGGCCTAAAATAGAAACTTTTTTTTGAAAACCAACATAGAAAGTGTGCTCCACGATATACGTGTACTTGAGAGATGTTTCCCGTGCAATAATATAATAAATTTCGAATAATAAATTTTTTTATCAATTCAAAGTCAAGATATGTTTGAAAAAAAGGAAGTGGAAGCGAGAGAGCGTTGGTCGGAAGAGACGGCAGAGAAAGAGAGGCTATTTAGCTTCTCTGGTGTCTCTTCCATTATCTATATGTCTAACAATATAGTCGACATGTACATTCAAATATACTGGGTTCCATAAAACTCCATTCTCTGTTTTCACAAAAAGGGGCGGGGCTGAAGATATGTTAGAAAAAGGGAAGAGGAAGAGAGAGAGGGCGTTGGTCGGAAGAGACGGCAGAAAAAGAAAGACCCTCTCACTTCTCTGGCGTCTCTGCCATTATCATTATATCTAACAATGTTGTCGACATGTTCATTCAAAAGTACTAGGTTTCACAAAAATGCATTCTCTGTTCTCACAAAAAGGGGCGGGGCTTTGCGGTCTCTACTTTTAGTTTTCTGTCAAGCCGCAATAAATGGACAATTATAACTAGCCTCTTGAATTTTAATCATGGTCCTGCCAAATACAAACTAGAAAAGCTTCAATATCCAACCCGAAAGAATAAAAAACCAGGAAATTTTCTCGCTAAATCTTGTCGCAAAGCTCGCGGAGCAGCGGATCGAGGACGGCGTGGTCGAAGCCGCAGAAAACCCGCACCATGGCCTTGTTCACCGTGTGAAGTTCGACGACCAAGGCCAACAGCCGGTTGTACTTCCTCATGGCCTCTTCCCTCGGGAACTCGACTTGCAGGACTCTGAAACCAAAGATATGCCCCTCTGAACACTAAAAAGCAACCAACTTGAGCAGGATGCCGTAGTAAATGTTCTGTGCTCGACAGACTTTGTGCTGCTCTTTGAGGTTGGGAAGTTCTGAGACAAAAATCATCATAGAAAACTAGAGAAATCAAAAAACCTGGTCTAAAAATGACGATAGCTGTGAGGAGGAGCATGATCGTGTAATTGGTCCTAATGTCTTCAGTCGCGTCGACAAGTCTAAAAGAAATATTAGGGTAGTGATAAGGTATACCTGAAAACCACTAAAGTAGACGCTAGAAATCCACCAGGAGTCACTTAAAAGGCTTCCTTATGACTCCCTGTAGAAGCTACTATCTTTAAGCCTCTTGAGTGGCCACTTAGAACTCGATCAGATTCATTTCTGACTCCTTATAGTGGCTACTATCTTTGAGCCCCTTCAGCGGCCACTTAGAACTCAATCATTGTGTTTTCTGACTCCCTATAATGGCTACCATCTTTGAACCCCTTCAGTGACCACTTAGAACTCATTCGGCGTACTTTCTGCCTTCCTGAAGTGGCTACTGACTTTGAGCCTCTCTAGTGAGCACTTAGAACTCAATCAGCTTAATTTCTGACTCCCTATAATGGCTACTATCTTTGAGCCCCTTCAGTGACCACTTAGAACTCGATTAGCGAGTTTTCTGACTCCCTATAGTGGCTGCTAACTTTGAGCCTCTTAAGTGACCACTTCTCCACAAAATTATATGATTCATACTTGAAATACTGCTCCATGAAGAGCTGAAGTTCCGGACCGTCGATTTTCAAGACGTCGATCTTGACCTCCATCTCGGACTTAATGAGAAAAGGTGATTCAGAAGGTGGGAGAACAACTTGCCGAGTGTCGCCAAGTCTTGGATTCTCTGTCAAAAGCCATCAGTCCCCGAACGGCCAACAACTCGCCAAAACCGCCTCAAACTTTAAAATGAGTATATATTCATTTCATGAAGCCTACTTTTGACCAATTGCATACGATCGTGAATTTCAAGGTCTCGGAAAGCCTGAAGCCTTCCAGCCATGACCAGAATCCGTTGAAGCGCCTCGCCGGAAATCTTCAGAACGCCCTGAATTCAGCATTTTGATGGCGTTTCGCTTTGAAACGGATTTTTTAATCTCTTATCGTTGCAAATTGTGTCAAAAGTTGCTCTTGCAAGACTTGAAATTCCTTTAAACTCACCGAAATCTCATTTTGGTTGTATTGATTGCCGATCGGATCTTTCAGCGGCTCACTGGTAATGTAGAGCTCATCCAGAATCAATAACTCTTCTTCGGTCAAGTTTGAGTACTTGGAGATTTCCGGATTCGTCATGGACAGGGAGAGATGATAGTCCCTTAACAGTTATCTTTCAAACAAAGCTCACCAGGGAATGGTCTCGGGAGCGAAACTTCAGAATAAAAACAAACTAGATGCAGTTTTTGACGCTGATTCCAAATCTGGTCTCAAAAGTTGCCACCGAGGTCTGTGAAAAAATTTATGGATCCTCGAAAGTCGAAACTTTCGATGTTTCCGATTGAGCTGATATTTGGAGGGTATATAGTTCTTGTTTTCCGGGTCACAAAAAATAAATTGAGCTTTTTTTTTTATGGAAAGGAAACAAGGATATCAGGGCCCTCCAAATATCAGATCAATCGGAAACATCGAAAATTTCGACTTTTGAGGTCCATAACTTTTTTCAAAGACGTTTTGGGCACTTTTTAAGACTAGATTTGGAATCAGCGTGAAAAACTACATTTAGTAAACTTGGTCTCATTCGGAAGTCCCACTGCGTCCAGAGATCATTCCCTGGTCAGAAAATATTCAAATTGTGTTAAATAACAGCTTTTCAAGCCTTGAAAGTTTGCTCTATAAAACAATCTTTACGATTATCCTAGACTCATGGGGAAGCTCCAGGGGTGCTCTACACCTTCCGGACAATTCAGATCACTTGAGTGGTTTTTGCGGCTCTTTAGTGTCCACTTGATCTCCTCAAAGTGAATCTAGGAAGCTTAGCGTTAGAGCAAACTTTGGAAGCTTTCCAAGTCAAAAACTAAATTCCCAATGAAGAACCAACGATGAAAAGGGCAAGCTGAGGTCGTGGAAGACGTCCCATCTGGAGACCGGAGCCATCGAAGGGCCGGGAAGGTTGAAAGCCGTGGCTGAGTGGAGATACTGGCCCATTTGCTGCCAGGCAGGGAACGCTGTGGGACGAGGAAGGACATTTGGGGCCGGTGGTAGCTGAGTGAACTGCGGAATCGAGACCGGAACCGAAGGTGGAGGGGCTCTGATGGCGGAGAAGCCGATCGGAGCTGTCGTGAGGTGTTCTTCGACGTTGAGTGGAGAAGGAGTCCCAAAAGGTGGCGACACGACTCCGCGGCTAGTGGACGTCTTTCTGACCGTCTGATCGTTCTGAATTATTCTTCATAGCTTCAAATTTTCTCTGAAAAAAGAAGAACGTTAGTCAAACTAGATGTTGCTGAGAACCCTACGAATCCGGCAAAACTGCGAAAAACTCTAGTGGCCTCTAGAGATCCCTCAAGAACTACTTGAAGGGGAAACAGGTTATCCGCTATGAGGTCATGTATCTTTTCTTAAGTGACCACTCAGAACTCAATCAGCGGATTTTCCATTTAACTGTAGTGGCTACTAACTTTGAGCCTCTTTAGTGACCACTTAGAACGTGTTTCCTGACTCCCTGGGACGGCTAGTGACCTCTTAAGAGATTCCTCAAGAACTACTTGAAGAGGAAGCTAAAGTGGCCACTAGAACCACCACTATAGAAGCCACTATTTAGCTTCTTAGTGTCCACTACAGTTTTAGTTGTTTACTAATACCTCTTAGACTTCTAAAGAGACCACTAATTTATAGTCACTTAAGTGGCCACTATAACCACCTCTATAAAAGCCAGTATTTTGTGTCTTACACTATAGGACTACTTGGAGAGAACACTGCACATCTTGGACCCTGAAGTGGCCACTTGAAATTTTTCGAGAATGTTTGGGATAGCGCCCGAAAAAATCTTTAGTCTCATCCAAAAAGTCTATGTCAACTTGAAAATTCTTATAAGCTATGAGCTTATAGTCAATTCAGTAGAAGCCCTTGCTAATTATTACAAATCCAAGATTTTCAATTTCAAGAAATGTTTTTGCTAGCTGTATTTTTGTTCAATATTTATCCGAAAAACAGTAAAAATTACCCCATCTTCGGAAAGTTTTGTACCCCGTTCGTAGAAGCCGCAAGTGCAGGTGCAAGAACAAGATGAAGGCCGCCTAAAAAATCAAAAAAAAAAAGCCAAGGTACACGAAAATCACAAAACTGACTTTTTAGCTTTTTTCTGCAACTCCTCCAGATACGCCTTCGACACACTAACCTTATCCTCTTCTTCATCAGTCGTCTCCACTTTCTGAAGTCTTCAAATTTTAGAAAAAGTTCCTTGGAACAAACGTGAGGTTTGATTTTCTTCCTCTTCAACTTTTGAGAATTCTTCGCGTCTGTCAGCCATTGGTTGTTCATTCCCACCTGAATTTGGAAATTTTCGAACTTTTCGAAAAAGTAATGTAAAACCCTAAAGCATTTGCTCAACCGGCAAGCCTGACAGAATCTTCTGGAAGACGCTGTGATCTCGCACGAGTTCGAAAAAGGACATTTGATGCTCTGAATCATGGAATTCGCTTTTCTTTTGTTTAAAGTTTTGTACCTCCACTCTCAAGGCATTCCTCCGGAAGAAAGCTTTACACGATTCGCAGGTTAAAATCCCGAAATTGTAGCCACTAGCTCGATCGGCACATATCTGTTTGTTGGGAATTTCAGTCAGAAAAATTTTATATACTAAGGAATTCCAGAGTGGTCCCTATAGGGGTTAGAGCGGAAAACAACCTCTCTAGGGGTCGAGAAAGTGGTCCATATAGGGTTTTAGGGTCTAATCTATGGCCATGGAAATGCTTCTTCGTTCGAGAACCTAACAGTTATCGGCTAGCATGTTCCCTATAATGACCACTCACTGAAAACCCTATAGGGACCACTTTTGCAAGTTTTGGAGGCTGGTAAAGTGGTCCCTAGAGAGAACACTCCAAGGTCTTCTAAGGGGCCACTATAGTGACCAATTTGGAGTTTCTAAGTACTTTTTTCAATTCAAGGAACGTGTTTCTAGCATAAATTTTGCGAAGAATACTTTAAGGACCTTGAGATTACATTGAACGTGCAAGTTTCTAACAATTATACCAGAATAATATTTTTCTTAAAGTCCTTTAATAAAAAATAATGAGTCACCACTTCAAGAGATCTTAAATAATTAACATCACAGTTGTGAAACATCAATCATAATCAATTGAAACTTACAACGCAAATCCGGCCTTCAAACTCTTTCGGAGGGTCACAAGCTCGTCGAGAATTCAGATCCGGTGTTTGTGAAGACATTACTGACAAAAAAAATTTACTAAAAGTCAACGAAGTGAGCAAAAACGCTTCAAACAACAGATAACAATCGAGGGAAAGATACGATGCAAACTATGCGGCTAGCTGACTAACTATATTATCAGTTTCAAGAAGGTGGGCTCAAAAACGTCAGGAATATCGATCGCATAGTTTTTAGCGCCAAACAATCGCCTCTGATAACGAAAGCGGGGAGCGCGCGCGATTCTATCACAAAACGATTACCAACTGTTGGGAAATGACAAGAAAATGATAATAATTCGTCTAGATGTAATTGTAGGCGATAGCGTCTTCGTTTTCCACGAAAGAAAGCTCCAATTTGACCGGTTGCTTGAGCAAAAGGGACAGAAATTCCTCGGCGAAACCGTACATCCAGTAGATCCGGCGAATGTCGAGCCGTCGCGAATATTGCAGGAAACCGGCGACGATCAGAAGATTTCCACGTCGTTTTATCACGAGCTGAAATCAGAAGATTTAAATAAGTTATTTGAAGCCGAAACTAACTTCATTCCCACTAACGACAACATTTTGGGGGAAAAATCCTCGGATAAACCTCCGGACGACTTCGTCTTGTGCTAGGGCAACTGGCTGCTGTTGTCGGAACTCTGAGAAATAATTTAATTGATACAATAAACAATCAATTTGACTTTTGAACCTTGCTCACTTCAAAATATTAATCTCTTTCAAAAATTTAATCGGATGGAATTCTTACCTTCAAGATTTTGAGAATGCCAGGTGAGCCACGATTTTCGGACGCCAATGTGATGAGGCTTTTGAGCCATCTCGTAGGTCAAAAGTTGTGAGCGATTCACTGTCGCCTAAAAAATATATTTAAAATGAGAACATAAGTTGAAAAAAAAACCTTATGCTTTCCTGCTTTGTTTTTAAGACAGCATTCTGACAGAGAAAATTGTCTTATATCAATATTCGTTGGCCTGACGAAATTGCGAAGCATTCTTGATTATATACAGAGATCTGAAATTGCAAAACATGATTGGAAGAAAAACACGCTGAAGACGGCATTATAAGTAGTTAGAGCCATATTCAAAATAATATAAACTACGAAACTTTCAAAGTAATGCCGCAAAATTTGAAAAAAAAGGTCTTTGACTCTTTAATTTTCTCGTTATCCTCTTTACGTTCTGACAGTCATTTCCAACCCGTCAAATCTATTTTGAAAGCGAAATTATAAATAAAAAGACAGAAAACCCGAGTAAAATAAAAAAATATTTTGAAAAATGCGGACACGTCCGACTATTCCAAATCGGCGTAAACTCGCTCTGGGAACTTCTGAGTGCCCCCTAGAGAGCTAAATGAACTTTAGGACTTACTGGATTGGTGTATTTCACTGAAATCAGAGAAAACTACTGTGGGAAAAATCCCAGCTTCTATTTTATTGAAATTTAAATGTAATTATTTTTCAAGGGATCACTATAGCGTCGTCAGGGTATGAGTTTTTTCTTGTGCAATAACCTTGAAAAAGTTCCCCCCGTTGGTATCATCAGTACAGTAGAAAACAATTGTTGGATTTTCTGCCTTTTTTGAAATTTCATTTTCGATGCAAGGAAAAAATAATTTATTACAAGATCGAATATTCTAATTTACAAATTTCTCAACGCTCGCATTGCTCCGAGTCTTCCAGGGGCTCCAGTTACTCCGCCTCCTGAAAATATAGAAATTATGCCTCGTTCATCTTTTCAAAAAGAGTTTTGATAAATAATATTTATTTCCACCTGGATGAGCCCCACTGCCGCACAAAAACAGCCCTTTGATTGGCGTCGAATAATTGCTGTATTTTGAGATGGGACGGTTGAAGTAAAGCTGGTCCAAGCCCATGGAACCATGGAAAATGTTCTCAAAAGATCGTTTTTATGGGCTCAAAGTGGCTAAACTCACTCCTCCGGTTATTCCGAACGTTTCTTGGATGTCAGGTGGCGTCAAAATGTCGTAGCCAACGATACTTTTCGAGAAATTAGGAGCATAGGCGTCGATTTCAGAAAAAACTGGAATCTAGGGGGTGGAAAAATTCTAATTTATGGGGGAAACCGTGGGTGGCGTATTCCTTCTTTTTCTCTTCAGTCCATGCTCCAGAATTCAAATGGAAGGGAGTGTACTGAGTGAAAAGGAGGACAACGTGATGGCCGTCCTGTTCGACGATCGTTCTGTCGACGGAGGAAGGAATCGTCATTTCTATTACCGGTCTAAAAAACTGATTAATGAAGATCGAAGATGGCCGACAAAAGCTCACTTCTTACTGTACTCGCCATTACGGTAGTCGAGAACACCCTGGTGGACGAGCTGCATGCTTTCGCAATTCATATGGATGGTGGTCTGATGATGAGGGGAGGGATTGTTTCCTTCGGTAGGTCTACAGGAAAAATTGGGCAGCTCTTTCACGGCGACTGAAAAAAAAAGCTTTTACAAGTTTATAAGGTTTTAAGGATTACCATTGATTTTAGTGACTGGAGAAGTGTAGTCGATTTCCCCGACAGCTCGGAGAAACTCGTGGGGTAAGGAGTTCTGGAAATTTTCAAAGCGTCAACTTTTATTTTTACAATGGCTTGGTGACAGATAAACTTCCAAAAAGAGCCAGATACATTTCCAAAATGTCTCAACTTGCGAATATTCATAGTTTTCGAGAAATAAAAACTTCTTCTGGTTCAACTTTGGTTAAAAATGAACTTTTGAACCTTTAGAAGACCCAGAAAAATATTACAATGTAACTATTTCGGTACCTCAGGCAGTAGATCCTTAAAAGTCACATGAGGAGTCGTATTTGCCAGAACTACTTTCGAGTGCAACTCCTTGCCATTCGCCAGTCGAACTCCTTTGGCCACGCCGCCATCGAGAAGTATTTCCTCTACATTCTGAATATTCGAAAGAATTTTTAAAAAAATTATTTCCCTCGAAAACCTGCTCAGTTCGGATTTCGGCACCGTGACTTTTGGCGCAATCTGCGATGGCTTGAGAAACAGCTCCCATTCCTCCGAAAACGTACCCCCAGGCACCTTTATGTTCGTCCAGGCCTCCAATAACGTGGTGAAGGAGCACATATCTGTAAATTCTGGCATTTTTTTATTATTTATGTACTCGCTCTAGTGAAACACAAAAAAATTCAAAAAAATATTGAATTTTTTTGTGATAAAAAAATTCCAGAGATGTTTGAAATCTTGCCAGTTTAAAGATATAATATGAAAAAAACATTTAATTACGCTAAAAAAATATTTACTAAAGTCTTGAAAGGAAAAAAATACTAAAAAAATACGAACAAGAATTCATAAATAAATATGAATCAATTAATAGATGAAGGAAAAATTTACAAAAAAATTTATTAGACAGACTTTTTTGATGAGTCCGAGAACCATCATGTAATTCAGAATATTTATAGTAAACAATTTTTCAAACTGCATCAGAAAATTCAATGTGGCTCTAAGTTACGCGAACAATTATCTACAAAAGAGCAAAAAGATACAAAAACGCTGGAAAAAAATACTAGAGAGCCCGAAAATTTAAAAACTTTAATACTTTAAAAAAATTTTTTTAGTGTCTTCATTATCTCTACCTTTCGCATCGTGTGACACAAAGTTTATTCAAAATAAAAATGTCTTTCTATCCAGAAAAAAAAAACGTGAACCTCATTTTCTTGATATCGAAATAATTAACACGTACAAAAAACCACGTGACAAGGCGTCATTTCTTTTTGTGACCTGGTTTCAAAAATCATTCTTGCTTCCCCACGGCTCGTCTCGCTTCATTCAACTTCAAGATAAGTTTTGAATCTTCATTAAACCTCAGAAAACTATTTTGGAATTTTAAGTTATAAGCGCTAGTAGATTAGGCCCGTGGGACTCCCGGAGTGCCGATCCTTTTTGCTTGCAATCTGGATACGCAAAGTCACGCTGAAGCCCATTCCTGTGGCCGAGGCACAAAATGTTGGCAGCGCGATGCTGACAAAGCGATGATGGGACCCCCACGGAAAATGCCGTCACGGCCTTCGGCGACTAGGATTCTTAGTTCTGACAAGGCCGAGCGGAGCTCTAGCGCACCGCCTAGTTAGTTCTTCTGACTGGATAAAGATTTTCTAACTTACTTATGACTTTACATAGCTAATCAACCAAAACATAACGATTCTAATAATGCCATCGATTTGCTTTTATCAATTTTGGACTTATTGCAGGAAGCTTCAGTTTATCGCGATGCAAGACGTTCGCCTCTATCAATCAAATCCGCGACGACGCTTTTGAACTAGACTCGAAGCGGACAGATCTCGATCAACAGCGAGGCCGACTAGACAATACCAGGTACCAGCCTGATGCTCTTAAAAGCAGCTGAGAGGTTTTTTTGTTCTGTGTTAAATTGCAAAGGAGAAAAGAAATAACATATATTCACAAAATGTTCCTTAATAGTACAAAAGTTGCAAAAACCTGTCCAATGCAGTCTAGCCACGCTTGTGCGAGGTCCAGATTGTCAACCTATCGGCCTCCGTCCATTTCCATAAGACTTTGATGGAACAAGTGAAAAAGCAAATTTTTTTGATAAAAAAATTTTGAGTTAAGATGCAAATTTTTTTGATGAAATTGAAAAATACTTTCGAAGCCTGGGTTGGTCCGAGCCCGCGCAAGCTTCATTGCTTTGGGCTTCAATGGCTCGGATATTGGTAACGCCAATCGGACTCGCCCCGAACGTTTCTTAGAAATTTTTTTCTTAGTTCTTTCTCTAGTAAACATTTGAAGTGCTGAAGCCGCTGAAGGAATCCTTAGAAATGCTGAGAAAAGTCCGGGGCGCGTACGGCTTGCAGTACCGAGGTCCGGGCTGGTGCGTCTGGTTGGACTTATTCTTGCGAAGAAGCCTACGCGGGCTTGGCTCAAAAAATTTGAGACTTCATTTTGTATCCAAACTCAAATTTCTCACGGAAAAACTTCTATTTTTAAATTCTTAGTTTTTGTTGAGCTTTCAGTACAAAAAATAACCAGAAACATGATTTTTCATTTTCATTTCAAATCTTTCGAATTTTTTGTCGTTAAAAAACTGACGTTGAAAGTTTGAGCTTTTTGGACCTTTTTTGCTCGATGCTTCGCTCAGCCTGGCCCGGGCTCAGAGAATGACTGGGCCGTTAGGCTGACGAGCCGGCCTCCGCACAGCCTTATCTCGGACCTCGGTCACGAAAACCGGACGCGCTCCGGACGTTTTTAAGCAATTCTAGGGACGCTTCAACACTTTCGGACATGTTTTTTCACATCATATTTTTCAAGTTCCTTTTCACTGTCTGACCGTTATTTTGAATTTCGCGGAATCATTTCAAAAGGGGCCTCGATTCCCCAAAAAGAAGAAAAAAAAAACCAAAAATTTGTAACGCGAAACGGACGTGTCCGGACATTTCTAGTGACCCTTTTAGAAGCGTCAGAATTCTTAAATAATCTCTAGAACAGTTCAGAAACGTCTAGAGCACGCCTGTTTCGAGTTACCAATGCCCGAGAAAATAGAAAAAAAAAAATGAATCAAAGAAATGTGAAAAAGAGCTAATGATGCCCTAATGATAAATCTGTGGTCAAGTTTTTCGTGGAAATTACTTTGAAAACAGCATAAACGATTAAAGCTTTCAAACTACTTATAAGTAGTTTGAAAGTACAAGACATTAAAAAAATTTTCATTAAAAAAATTAGCTAATTAGAAAAATTCAAACTTTACAAAAATCGGCTCTTACTCGCGCTATTGCGCTTTAAAAACCACTTGAGGGCTCTCCTAAGTGACAAGGCCACTTGATGTCCTTTTTTTCTGTTTTTTGCGTTATTTTTTTCTGCCTTCATCGAAAAGTGTTTTTGAAGTAAATTTATGTATGTTTTGGAACACTACTTCGTACTGTTGCTCTTTTTTTGAAGCTCTATGGAGCAATTTGAAAGTAAATATAAAAAAATTTACAAGAGAATGTTTGGTATTTTAACTTTAACTACTCTCAAATTGTTCTTATATTCAGCCTCGTAGTATGAAAAATGGTTTTTTGAACAAACTGACCCGGTTCCGGCATCATAAGGACTTGCGGCCAGGCCAATCACACCGTCTGTGCCTAGCGTCGCCTTCAAAACATCGCTATCGAACCATTTGTTCATGACCTGGAAAATCTTACTCAAAACTTCTTTCATACATTTTTTCCTTTTTCACAAGTCATTTATTTCACCTGGGAAAGACGTGATCGCAGTTTGAATGGCTTTAGCATCCCGGTCGCGTCAGACTCACGCAGTTTTTTTAAGGTGAAGGCAAAGAAGAAAATGCTTTCAAATCATAGGATCATTTTTTTTTCCTTTTTTCCAGCTGCCAAATTTCCACAAAATTGCTTTGGGCTATTTCAAGTACGATCACGGCGTTTCCTCGTTCGAACCTTGGAAATTGGAGCAGTCATAAGCTCGTAGAAGTCGGCGATGTTTGCTATTCCCAGGGGTTTCACTGAAATATTCTGTTCCTCTTTTTTTCTCAACAGTTGTTAACCAGTGTTATAAAGAAGATAGAGCTGAGCTAGTCGTTTGTTCAAGGATCGCTCAAAATCCAGAGGTTCATTATCCATCAGAGGCTCAAAAGCCTTGACTATCGTCGAGATGAAGTGTTCGTATTTAGGGAAGTTCTGAAAAATACCGTTAAGAAACATTTGACTGTTAGAACAAACCTCAGCATCTCGTTTTGAGAATTTGGCAATCTCTTTTTGATTCTCGGACATGTTCAATCCAAGCAAAAGGCTGTCTGAAGAGCTTCGAATAGGCGTAAAAGAACTGGGATTTCTGATGTGGTAGCGGAGGCCGAATTTCTGAGAGAATGAAAAAAAAAGAATATATGAAAAGAAAAACCTTTAAATCTAGTTCTTGAATGACAAGAGGACGTAGAAGACTGAGAAGGTAAGAAGCGCGAGAGAATCGGTAGCCTTAATTCGAAAATAGTCATTTTTATTAATTTTTTTCGTGTTTAGTCAAGTCTGACGTGTCTGCGTCTCTTTTCCATCATCTGCGAGATCATAGAAAAACGAAATTAGCGTGAGAGCGCAGAGAAATCACATCTTTTCAAGTTTTCAAGGCATTTTTTAGCTCATGGAAAACTTCTACTTGAAGTGCTTCAGCCTTGGATACCGTAATCGCTCTTGGAATGGCTCAACATATCATAGCCATTCCAAATGCGACCATGCGCTCACCTGGAATAATTTCTTCTGTGACGGCAGCTCCACCAATCACATGGCGCCTCTCCAAAACGCAGACCTTCTTCCCAGCTTTGGCGAGATATGCTGCCTAAAATAACTAGAAACTTCATCTATCAACGAAAAGTTCGGCTTTTAAATAGGTTAAAAAATAGCCTTACCGCAGTCAGGCCATTGTGGCCACCACCGACGATAATGGCATCGTAGGAGAACTTTCGGACCGAGTTTCGCAGCATGGCGATGAATAAATTCTACTTTTTACCCCTTATCTTTCTACACGGTGGTATCTTATCTTATATTTGCTATTCTCCTGGCGACTTCTGTTTTTATTGCTTCTTTTGGAGGTTATCAATGATGTTGATCTTTGCAAAATTTGGGAAAGACGGATATTTTCGGCGATTTTGAGCTGCCAGGGATATAATGCTCATTTTCAGGCTTCCAGATTGATTAGAGCTCAAGAAGTATTTGAGATGAATCGTCTCAGAAAATTTTTTTTTATTGAGCTTAATTTTCACAGTTCACATTTCAGCCAGTTTCTGTCACTAGAACCTTTTTATCACCCCAGATTTTCAAATATCGGCCGCCGTGGCCTACCATCACATTTGGGTTTCTAGGCCGCCGATATTTGGAATTTCAGGCCGCGATATTTCCGCCCTGCAAAATTTTTGAAACTTCGGGCATTTTCCCTTCACTTTTCTTCTTTATTCTTCCTTTTGAAACTTTGGTGGTGTTATTCTCAAATTTCTCTATGAGTTTCATTTTTTCTGAACGTCGAAATGTCTTTCTTTTTACTCTAGAACGTATTTGTTTTCTCTTCAGTTAACAATTTGTTTTCACTATTTTTCTTTTGGCAATTCTATAAGATATTTTCAATCGCCTTTTTCTTCATCAATCCTATTTTCCACCTCAGATGGAGTTTTCACAGTGTATATGAATGTTTTCAGCAAAATGATTGCCGTATCAAGGCTTCTGACGGCTTTTCCGACAGATTTCACGCCACAAACACTCACAGAACTCGTTTCTTCGATTTCCGCCCCGATAACTGATGCCGAAGAGGCTCTATTCCAACAGAAAGGCTCGAAAGAGGTAATTGTTTCATTTGGAATTTATAAGTATAATTGATTTTCAGGTGCCTTTTGCGGGAATGGACCGGAGCGGAAGAGCCGTTTGTCGAAAGCACACGCAGGTTTTTCGTTTTTGTTGCTTTAAAATAAAAATTCGGTTTTCTAGGGGATTTGTCCTTTTGGCCAAACCTGTCCGCTACGACATCTTATCGGTGAGAAAGCTGTCGTTTGTAAACATTGGCTTCGTGGCCTTTGTAAGAAGGTTTGTTGAGATTTTCAACTTTTCAAGTAGTCTTCAGTTTGAATAAAGTTTTGAAAACGTTTATGCCGTTTTTTTTCCGTATAAAGTTTTTCCAGGGATTTTTTCAAGGAAGAGCTGTAAAAAACATTTTCTGTACGTTTTCAAACAAAAATGATCATATTTGAAGAGTATTTTTAAACCCAATAACGGTTTTAACGCTTTTAATACTACGCAAAGCTCCAGAGAAGATTTTTGATTACAATGGAAAAGCTGAATTATCTCCATTTCACGGTGGAAAAGCTCAAAATTATGCTTTTAGGGAGATCAATGCGAGTTCCTTCACGAATACGATTTGACCAAAATGCCCGAATGCTTCTTCTTCTCCAAATATAGTCAGTGAAAAATCGAATTTTGGTTGAAAAGAAATCAAAAAGTTTGCAGTGGCGTGTAGCAACCGGGAATGTCCGTTCAGGCATATCGATCCAGAATCCAAAATGAAGGATTGTCCTTGGTACGATCGCGGGTTTTGCAGACATGGTTTTTTTTTTCTAGAATTTTTTTTTTGTGAAACACAATTTTTCAGGCCCTTATTGTAAGCATCGACATCGACGCCGTGTCATGTGTCCCAAGTTTTTTTGGCCGGTTTCTGTCCTCAAGGTTTCTTTTTTTCATTATTTTTTTAATTTTTTTGAATTTTTTTATTAAAAAAACTGTTCATTTGTTATGAAGAAATAAAAATAATGTTTTAAAAATTTTCTAGATTTTCAGAAACAGTTCGGCAGTTTGATGAAATTTTGCTAAGAAGTACTTTAAGTTATCTTGGTTTCAAACCAGATGAAAATAAAAACGTATTCTCCTGCTTTTTAGTAGACGCCCAAAACTCCTTTTTTTCTATTTTGGCGGTTTATAACCCAATTTAAGGGAAAATGCCTGAAATTATGCTTGTTTAAGGTCCCTGAGGACATCTCAGCTGTTTTTTGCATTACCGTTGTAAGAATTTTTCTCGAAATAGGTATTAAAATTGAACTCATAAAAAGATTGCCATTTTGTCAAATTCATTCCTCTTTAAGGTCCCGCCTGTTCCTATGCCCATCCCTCCTTTGCACTGCCTTCCGCCGAGAACTCGATGCTCAACAACAAACGAGCCTTCAACCAGCAGATCGTCTGCCACAATTGCCATGAGCGGGGCCACAAAGCCACCCACTGTCCTCATCTTCCCGGCCAGCCTTCTAATAATGTTCATTTACTGTCATATTTCGAAAGAAACTGTCTTTTTCCAGCCGGCTGACGGTCCTCCGATGAAGGCGCCTGAAATTTCCATGTATCCAGAGCAGAAGAACTTGGCCGAAGTTACTTGCTACAAGGTTGGGTGTCTTTTTTTAGTTTGAAAACGTGTGAATTTCTTTTTTGTATTGAGTAACGTTTTGAAAATGCAGTATAAGTCGTAGAATAAGTAGGAATTTCAGAGTAATCCTTATAGGGATTGATAAAGCGCTCTCTAAGGGGGGACCTTCCAAGGGCCCCTAAATTTGCCTTTATAGACACCAATCTAGAGTTCCTAAGTAGATTAGAGTAACGCTTGGAAGTCCATGACTTTTTCTGCCGTTTTTCAAATAATTTCGGTTATTTCGAAATTAGATTTTTAGAAGATTTCAGAAAATTTGATCCAAAAAATATCGCGATATGTGAATTTCACGCGCGAATTTTAAATTTCGTTTAAAAAATGCCTAAATGATCTCAAAATCAGGAAGGAGTTTCGCGCGTAAAAGTTACCGTAAAAAGTCACATGTGATATATCGTTAGCGGAATCATTTTAAAACTTTTCCCGAAATGTCTATTTTGCGAAATTTTTCAAATAACCGAAATTACTCCGAACACGGCTTTACGTCGCACTAATTTTTCCATCATTCCAGTTTTTTCTTTGATAAGTTGCAAGCTCTTTTCTAGAAGTTTCATTGAGTTTGCCTTCTCGGAAATTGGTAGTGCGTAACGGACGTGCTCCGGACGTTTCTGAGCACTTCTAGGGATCGCTAAAGAGTTCTGACTCTACTAAAGTGGTCACTAGGAATGCCCCGACACGTCCGATCCGCGTTACCAATGTCCGAGTTCAAAAGAGCTTTGTTGTCTTGAAATGAGAAATATTGATTAGATCTCACTTCTTCATATCCTTCTCTTCAATTTACAGTGTGGTGAGAAAGGTCATTATGCGAATCGATGTCACAAAGGAGCCCTCGCTTTCCTTTCAAACACAGCCCATTTGGCACAAGAACAACGAGAAAAAGACGAGAGGGAACAGGGCCGGTTCGTTCCTTTTTCCTTGATTTTTTGAGTCCAAATTCAACTTTTTCCAGATTCACGGGTATGCCTCGGTAGCCGACATTCTCTACGTGTTGTTTCATTTTTATGGTTGTTTCACTTCTTTGTACCGAATAAATTTTATTTTTTTTCCGGTTTTTATGTTTTCTTGTGATTAATCAGGTTGTGGGCCTGTTTGATATTTCTTTGTAAATCTCGTTTTTTTTTACATGAAGTTAGAGCTTGATAAGATGAGGAGTTGATAGAGTAACAAAAAATGATAAGCTGCAGACTTAAAATCTTCAAAAATGAAGCGAAAATGATTTTGAACTGTCCTTCAGGATTCGTTAAATTTTTTTTTGTTTTTGAGATTGAGTTTTTTGAAGTTTTTACAGTTGGATTTCTCGATAAAAATCTTTTTTTTTCTCGGGTTGTTCTATATTTTTTTCCGTCTGCAAACCAAACTATATTAAAAAAAGAAGATTAGATGCGAAAGAGAAACGTGAGGGTCGAGGCCGACCCCAGTACACTCAAATCTTCAGTAGCTGAGAGAGCTGGAGCAGCTAAACGCAGGAGGTTGGTGTTTTTTTATTGGATTTTTCAAAGTTTCCTATACTTTCTGTTTTAAAATTTTTATTTTTTTCATGACTTTTTCAGGAACTGGAAGTTTGGCCTGGAATCTAAAGACAAGGGACGAAAAAATGCCAAGAAAGAGGTTTTTTTCAGTTTCTTTCAGTGGAAAAAAATTGTTCTTGTGCATTTAAGAATGCATCAAAAGTTACACTTTTTTTAAATTTGAAGGAATTTTTTTCATAAAGAGCTGGAGGAATGAATCAGAAACATTAGAAACAATTCTTTACTCAATTTCTTGGTTTTTTTCTCTTCGTGAAATCAATCTATCATCTTTCCTTTAGATCTTACGTTGTTCTGAGGCTTTAATGGAGCACATGATTTTTTTTTAAAGAAGAAAAGGAGCTAAAGAATAATATGCAACACTCCGGAGGTTTGGAGATCTTCCCTGAAAGTTCTAGAATATTCTGGAAACGTTTGGAACTTTTTTAGAAAGATCCGCGGTTTTTTTTTCGATTGGAAGTTGTACATTTGATCCCTATGACATAATACAAGCGTGGAAGTCTAGAAAATGATAGAATATTCCATAAAAAAGCTCAGCTTGATACTACCACAGAATAGAAAAGAAAAACCCAGGAGGAAGAAGAGAAACCGGTGCCAGTGCGCAACGGAGGCCCATCCACGTCGGACTACAACTTTGACGACGGCTCCTGTAATGTCAACTTGAAAAGAATGGCTGATGTTGTGGTTTGCTCCCTTTGCGAGGTGATTTTGGCCGCTTTTTTAGAAACATTTTCGACTTTTAAGGGATACCTAGTCGATGCGACGACCGTCATCGATTGCCTCCACTCTTTCTGCAAAAGTTGTCTTCTCAAGTACTTTGATGTTGGTTTTTCCCTACCTTCTTTCTTTTTTCGACGATTTTCGAATCAAATTTGAGTTTTCAACAGCTCCAAGGGTCTAGAACGCCAATAAAATTGAAAAATAATCGTTTTTAACTTTTCATTTTGAATTTTTTTAAAAGTAAATTAATGTTCTTTTGGTAATTTCAGGACCATTGTTTGAAGATAATTTCGAACTTTTACTCCGTTGTTCTTTGTCAAAACGGCATCCTTTGGTGAAAAAAGAAACTGGTGAGAAGAGTTGAGAAGAATAAGGTATAATTGACTCAAAATTAATAGGTTTTTTTAACTGAAAAAAATGAGTATCTTCTTTTTCCTTTTCTGTCGTTTACAAAAAAAATTTATCCGGTAGAAGTCTAAGAACTAGGCTTTATAGCTGATTCACGGCTGGCTTGAGTCATTGAAAAAAGGGTCCTGGCGCGATAATGCACGAGATAGCGCCTGGCGCGTGGAGAGCGCAGACAGGGCATGATCCCTTGGCGTCCCAAGCTGACCGTGGATACAAATCTTTCGAAAGTAGCAAACATTTAGTAGAATATGGACAGAAAATGACGTGAATTATATTGATCAGGACGACGAGACGACGTGTCCGACGTGTGGAATCCTAATCCACCAATCTCATCCCGCTCAATATGTTTCCTTTGACCGAACAATGCAGGACGTCATTCACAAGATTGTCCCCGGTATTTGTATCCTTCTGACCATTTTCAGCTATTTTCTTGAGGTCTCATGCTTGATGAGCAGAAAAATCGGCAGGCCTACTTGCATTCGCAGAGGAAAGCCGCTGGTAGGAATGTCGAAGAGGAGGAGAAGAAGAAGGCGAAAATTCAGGAGGTTTGCCTTTTTTCGATTCATATCCATTGTTTGAGTGTTGAAGGCGTTATAAAATTTTCAGCGCTTTTAATTTTGCAAAATTCACAATTTTTCAGGAAGAGCGCGTCCGTGGAACGAATAGATGCTATCAAGGCAACCCGACGATATCCCACCATCGCTGTGATGACCAGGTTATTTTATTTAAATGGTAACTGATATTTTCGTCTTGATAACCTTGTTATACAGCTCAGTTTTTCAAGATTTGCCCTTTTTCCCGAGCTACAGAACCCCTCAGAAAGAATCCACTCGATGCGCGCGGCTTTTCTTTGCACATGCACCTTTAAAGTCTTGATAAACTTGTTATTTAGCTCAGCATCTCACGGTTTTTGCTTTTCTCCGAGCTACAGAATCCTTCCGGAAAGATTCCCTTCGATGTGCGCGGCTTGTCTTTGTGCATGCGCCTTTAATATAAGGAAAACTTCATGGTTAACTCAGACCTTGGTAAAAACCGGATGCGCCCCGAACGTTATTGAGCATTTCTAGGGGTCTCTTAAGCAGCGTTAAATCTCCTAAGTGATCACTTGAAATTCTCAGAAGCGTCCGGCGTTACCGATGTCCATGAAATGCGCAGAGACAGGAATAAAAGAAAAATTGATCCGGAATGGACAATATAAAAAAAATTCAAATAATCTCATTGCCCTTTTTGAGGAAAAAAGTCTTAAGCGTTTTCCCTCTCTAATGACTCAATTTTGAAGGTGGTCGTGCAGTTGAAATCTTCCGAAAACGAACTTCCACTCCCTTCAAGACCTGTCATCCGTTGCAGCGAAATGACCACCATCAACACTTTGAAACGGTAATTTCGCTTAAAATAATGAAGTTATGCGCAACCGAATTTGTGGTGCAAAAGCCTTTCTTGTTCAAAGAAAAACTTGAAAAACCTCTTCGTCGTGAGACCTTTTTTAATTTTGGTCTTGAAAGCTTTTAAGGAAAAACCGTTACTTTTTTCACCGTTTTCCTAGCCTCTTTTTACCTTTTTCGGCGATTTTCATTCTTCATTCTAGTGGCCACGGTGATAAAAATCGTACGAAAAAAATCTCCTAGCTTCATTGTTTTTTTGCATCTTTTTTTATAATGATTTTTCAAAATAATAAAATCATTGCTTTAAAAGCTACCTCGCCCTGTCGCTCTGGGAAGATATTTCACGCTACAACGAGCTCGACATTTTCTACAACGGCGAACTGATGGGCAAAGATTTCTCCTTACGGTTCATCTGGCTCACTCGAAAGCGAAATTGTCCTCGACATGAGCCCCTCGATCTCCACTACGCCTATCATAATGAATATTAAATGTATTTATTCTCACTCTCACCACTTTTTGTACATTTTTGAAACTTTTAACTTTTTATATGATAAACAGTTTTGAAAAGAAATTGACTTCGAAATTTGAAGTTTGTATTATTCCGAAGTATAATCTTACATCGAAGCGACGCTTCTCACAAAAAGTTTGAAAATTTCCAATTGCTTTCTTACGTTGATTCATTTTTTCAATCAGCCGATTTCTGCGTGAAATTCTGAAGATTGTTGTCGTACCGGATCGTTCAAAACGTGGCTGGCGGAGGCGTGGCATCGCGCTGGAGCGCACACGACGAGGAATTCCTCTTTCTGATCTTTTTTATTTACTTTTCATTTTAAATTCAGTTTTTCAGTTCTATAACCAATTCAGTAGGTTTCTGCAACATGCATAGAGGATATCTGTCATAATAATGTTCAAAAAGAGCAGGTTTCTCTTTCAATTTTTGATTTATAAGGATGAAATTAAACTTTTTTGTGCACAATTGGGAGCAGAAGAAAATTAATTATTTTGTTTTTTTCTAATTTTCAGTGCGATTCTCATGCTTTTATTTGAGTATACTCATTTAAAGTTCTATTTACCGCAATATAAGATCATTTTTTTAAAGATTATGTGTTACCAATAAGGGAAAATTGCTATTTTTTTGCATAATTATTTTTTTCTAATTTTTCGTTTTAATATACTAATTTAGCTCTGAAAAATCATAGAAATCTTGTTAAATTATTCAGTTGAGTTATCATTTTTGGTTTTCCGCTTTATTCCGCTTCATTCCCTCATCCGCTTTCTCGTTCGTCCAAATTTCCATTTTTTGATCCTCGAGATCTCGCATACCATTTACAGTAAAGAAACTCAATTTCCAGGTTATGAACTAACTTTGGGAAAAGGAGACCAAAATGAACCACGTTCTGGGAGACCTGCAGATCGTCGTTGAACGACATTCCGACGTTCTCCGGAACAATGCGCTCCCTTTCAGAGTTCTGATCGTCTTGAGGGCTTTGGGTGGGAATTATCAAGTTTCGAAAATGAATAATTCAAGTTTTGCAGGCTTTTTGCTGTCGTATTTGCCGTTCACCCGTGTTTTATTGTGGCTCAGGCCTTACCAGCTGTTTTCCATCGAGGTTTTGTTATTATTTTTGTTCACCTGTTGATATTATTTGAAAATTCTTAGTAGTATCCCTTTTTAGCTATTTTATAAGTTCATGAACAGTATTGATTTTTTATTTTGAGGTCTGGCGACTGATAACGACAGCATTTTGTGGGAATAACGTGCTAGAATTAGTCTGGACTGTGTGGAGTTTGCACCTGGGTACAAACTTGGCACGGCAAAACAACACAAATGAAGCGCTTCTCAAGCTTTACGCCATCACTCAGGTTTTCGAGACCTTTTAAAGTTGCTCCTTTAAACAAACATTATTGAAAATCGATAGGATGAATACAGTTTAATGTGTTAACTGTTTTTGTAATTTTTTTTTATTTTGCTTTTTTACGAGTTTACTGGTTGTTTTAAGCTCTATTTTGTCAACCGCGAAGTAAAGCTCGAGGTTAAAAAGTTGGAAACCTTCCCAGAAGCATTTTGTGACATTTTAGGTTGAGATTTTACTCAAATTTAATGATTGATTTTTCTAAGTTCTGATCATTTTTTAGGCCGTCACAACAGTGAGCATTTGCGCAATATCCTACGCGAGTTACGTGTTTTTCGGCCACACGTGGCTTTTGTACGACGAGCCGGTCGTTGGCTTGGTTCCAGTTTGTGCCGCCGTTCTTGTCCTCATCAAGCAGGTTAGATTATTCTTGTTTTTCGTACAGGAAAACCCTTTCTTTCTTTGTAGATTAATCAAAAAAGTCTGTAGCTTTTTGTCTTTTCTAACATGATATTGAAAAAATTTAGAAATTTCCCTCAAAAAAACCGTTAACTTGCAAAATTTTCCACGTTTTTCAGTACCCCAATGAGCTGGAAACGTTGCGACAGCATGAATATATCAAAAATATTTTCTGAAAAAAGCGAAAATTACAAATTTTTTCAATTTCCAGTCTCCTCACCGTAACAAATCGAAAGATGTGCTAGAAAACATTGAAAGTTTTTTTCCGAAAAAGTCAAAAAATTACATATTTATTCACGTTTTCCAGTATTCAGATGAGCAGGAAATCTTTGAAACGCTAAAAAAATATTAAAAGTCTTTTTCGAAAAAAAAATCAATAGTTTCATAATTTCTAAAGTTCTACAGTCCCCTAATGAGCAGGAAATTTTTTTAATACGCTTGACAATATTGAACATTTCTCTTGAAAAGTCCAATTTACATAATTTTCCAATTCTCAGTCTTCTAGTGCGTGAGGAATGTTTTAAAAAAGAAGAAAAATGTTGAATATCTTTTCCGAAAAGAGTCCCCTAATGAGCAGGAGAAGTTTAATCAGCTAGAAAATTTCGAAAGTATTTTTCGAAAGGCACAATTTGCATATTTTTCTCGATTTTTCCGTTTCCTAGTGAACACGAAACGTTTCATACATGAAAAATGTCTTACGACAGTGAGCAGGAAATTTTTTTAATACGCTAGATAATATTGAAAAGTTCAAAATTTTTAACTCATCATTTTCTTCAGTTCTTGCCGGACACCATTTTCTTCGGGACGCCTTTGGGTCGCGTCAAATATACACATCTTCCATTTTTGGCGATCGTTCTCTCTGCAGTCGCATCTTTCACCAGAATTTGCAATTATGTGGGTTTCGACGAGCCTTCTTGAACTTAAAAGTTAGAGGAACTAATTTTTATTTCTTTGAGCTGATTAGATACTTTAGAGTTATGAGAGAAAAAAGCGGGAAAAATGATTCTATGAATGAAAAAACCTGTTCAATAACAATATACTCAAGAGCTCCGGAGTGGTTTCTCAGATGCAATCTTAGGGTTCTTGAAGGTTCCCCTCTAGGGGCCACTAAAACTTTAGGGGGCATGCTAGTCGATTATCGTTGAGTCCACAAAGGGTGATTTGATTAAGTTTCTCATTTTAATTTTAAAATCAGAACAAACATTTGAAAAATTCTCTAAGGACCACTTGAACTTTAGGGGCTCAGTGGTCAACCGAACTTCTATAGAGATCACTCAATTTTTTTTTGAGGGGCACTTTTTTGTACTGTATGGGTGCTGTTTTTCTTGAACCCCTATAGGGATCACTATGGCGTTCCTAAGTATAGCACCTTCAACAATATTATCTTTCAAGGAAAGGCTCTAATTTTCCTAAAGAAGTCAAAGAATCCTTCGATTTAAGGTGACTTCTCTTCAATGCCTCATCGGAGTCCAAGTCGCCTGGACCTACCTGCGATTTTTCAACCCGAACGAAATGGACGCGGCGGTCGGCGACGGCAGTGAACATTTCACCTGGGCCAGGTTTTTCGAGCGCCTCTTTCAATGGTTTAATTAGCCTACTTCAGCTTGTTCCCGTCACGAACTCAGCCCATTTTCACGGTGATCGGTCGTGTCACCTTCCGTTCCCTTGTCAAGTTTGGCGTCTGTAGGAGACAGGTATTTTGCCTTTTCTTGTTAAGTTATTATAGTTTTATTTTCAGTATCGTTTCGTGAGCTCGATAGTTTTTTTTGAGCCCTTATTTAAAACTACAAATTATTGATGAAATGAATAGTAAAGGCATTTTTCGTAGGTTTTTTTGAATAGTGCTATGAAAAAAATGAATATCGAAAAGTTTCAATTTTCTTCGAGTTTCTCAGGAATCGCTCCACATTTTTTTGAGGGAAAAGTTTGTCTCTCTTATTCGGAAAAAAATCTTCTTATTCAGTTCTACAATAAATTGATAAACTTCAAGAAACATCAAACTATAAATAAGTTTGAATAAAAAAATTATTTTTTTAGGTTCGACACGTTGACCTGAACTCGCTCCAGTCGGTCGCAGTTGGTATAAATCTGCCAGCCATTGAAACTTCAGCTCGAGACGCCGAGAGAAGAAGGTTGGCTTTTTGAAAGACGAAACAGAAAATTTTTGAGATGTTAACGAGAACATTTGAAGTTATTTCGAAAAGAAAAAGCTTTTGACGAACTAAAAGTCCAAACGAGTAGTTGATTATGTCGAAATTTTGGTCTTTCGGTCTTTCGCCTCTTTCGTCTGCACGTAGTCCATTCAGTTAACCCTTGGAGGTCTCAGAATATGGCGGAGTTTTATCTGAGGCGCAGAAGCCGTGCTTTAGGTTGAGCTTGGGCGAGGGCCGGTCCGTCTGTCTATCGGCCTCTTAGCCATTTTGTAAGCTTTACTCAGTCCGGCCTTTATGAGGCCTCAAGAGAGATGCCCCAGGCTCAAAGGCCGTAAACTTTTTTTTTCATGACCATTATCAGATTTGTTTACGGCAGAAGTCCCGTCTTTGATTAATTTTTCATTTGAAAGGTAACAGAGACTACGTCTTGGAACTTTTTGGAAATTTGAAATTTTATTTGAAGCCTAGCCTGACTCAATCCTCGCCAGGAGCCTGGTCTGGTTTAAGCCTTCGAAAAAAAATGAGTCATAAAATCCGGCGTAGGCCTTACAAACAAGCCTGCTCTAGTTAGAAGTATCGAAAGGAAAAAGACCATTCCGAGTGTAGGCTTTACTCAGAAATCTTTTTAAGAAACCCCTTTTAAAGTTTTAATGTTATGATTTTCAGACAGAAAGCCCTGCGTGAGCTCAACGAGCGACTCAACAAAGTGAGGAAAACCGACGCGACCGGGTACGTCAATTGGGACGAGGATGACGTCGATACGGCCAAGTCTCAGGTCGAAGCAGCTGAACAGGTAGGTGAAATTAGATTTAGGTTCAAAAATAGGGGAACAATGGATTTTTGATAATTTATCGTGAATTTTGATCAAGTTCCAGATTATGCATAGAAGTTCTTCAGAGAAATGAACGATCAATTAAAAAAATTGATGGTTTCGTTGATTTTTGTGATTTCATTGTTCTGATCGTACAGTGTTTCTTCCATCATCCATTTTCTCTAGTGTAAATTTTCTGACCTCTCACTCTTTAGAAAATATGGAAGTTTTGAACTTTGAAGACATTTTTCCAAAATGAAGCGTTTTCAGGCCGAAAATCCCTCGTCTCCCCAACCTTCGTCCTCTCGTCAGGAGGAGGAGACCTCAGATCAGAGAAATGTATCGAATCAGCAATAAAATAACCGCAATGTGCAATCCAAACCAAGTATTAGATGATAGATATGAACTCAGATCTTTTTATTGCAATTAGAAGATATTAAAAATTGTTGGTGATCTCCTCTGGTGTTCATTTTTCTTTAACCAACTTTTATTTTCACTTTCCTGGAGAACCAACCCCCCACCTTATAATACGGTTTGTGCATTTCTTGAGGCTTTCATTGAACATACTAAAGCCTTTTTTGGGTTGTAAATTTTAAGTGTTGGAGAATTTATTTTTTGGGTCCGGAAGGCCTTTTTCCTGTTCTAATCGTGGCCTTTTCCAGCTTTCTCTTCTTGTGATAGTGTGTGATCTTAACGTGTTTTGGAGATAAAGAGTTCTAAAATTGGATCGAGATGATGCAACTGGGAAAAAGATTCTGACGAGCTGGTGATGACGTCCACGGGATAAGCGATTCCTCGCGACGTTTCCGCGTCGGCCGCCTTCCGGTTGAAGTTCCCATTTAAGGCAACTTTTCCTCTTCTCGGCGACTTTCAAAAAATTTCTTGTTTTTCAATTCTTCCATTTTCTGGTGTGCCTATTCTTAGTATTCGGTTTGATAGTACTGAAAAGTTTTTTCAGCTTTCAGAGATTTTCAGAAAAATTGGAAAAGCTGGTTGTAATAGGAATGGCAAAACGAAAATTTTTTGCTCGAGATTTTCTGTTTTTTCATTCCAGGAACACCATGACGATGAGTAGGCGGCCGAATTTTTAATTTCTAATTTTTCATTTCTTCTATAGTTCATTCACCGCTGGCTTTAGTTGAGACGTATATTTTCATATTTCTGCTAAGCTTGCAAATCGCCTTACTAGGGAATGGTCTCCATTCGCAGTGGGACTTCTGAATGAGACTGGGCTCCGGAACCTTTTTGAGAAAATTGAATGGTTTTCGTGACTAGGGAAACAAGGACTTTATACCTTCCAAAATAGCTCAATCGGAAACACTGAAATTTTCGACATTTGAGGAACCATAACTTTTTTCACAGGCCTCGAGGGCAGTTTTTGAGGCCAGATTTGGAATCAGCGTAAAAAACTACATCGAGTGGACCTAGTCTCGTTCATAAGTCCCACTGTGAATGGGGACAATTCCCTAGTTAGTAAATATTTTTCAAGGCACCGGTGAACGAACTATTAAGCGAGTTTAGCCAATTCTCGCTCTAAATTTGAATTTTTTTCTAAACGTTACGAATAAAACTATCACTGGAAAAGAAGAAGCAAGAGAGAAACTTGAGTCTGAAGAGACGTTAGCGAAACGGAATTCTCTCCTTCTCTGGCGTCTGTCCAGTCCCGTTCTCTAACTCTCGGGCAGAAAGAATCCTTTCAAGATGTTTTTGGCTGCTCCCAACTGTTTGAAATGACGTAAACGAGCCATTGTGCAACTTCTGAATGCCCATATTTGTACAAGACCCTATAAAACCGTTCTTCAATCACTCCGCTGCTTCTTTCTCCAAGGATTTTGCAACTCTTTCCCTATCCCAGATGAACGCCTATTTCGCCGTTTTCCTGCTCGCTGTGGCTCCATTCGCAGTGTTCGCCTACGAAAACGCGGCAGACTCAGGTTGGTTCAAAATCATCTCATTTTTGAAGCTATAGGCATTTCTGATCATCTACTGACTTTCAGACTTGACGGCAAACGGTCAGCGCTTCGCTCGGGACCTCCAGAACCAGAACAACAAGAAATTCGCTTTCGCTTTCGCCAAGAGAGGTAATGGAAAAGACAAGATTGTGAAAAAAAAAATGGAGCCGTTAAAAAGAAATGGTGCTACAACGATATATCGTGAGGTTTGACTTTCTACGGTGACCTTTACGCGCGAAACTTTAAAATTTGAATATATATATATATATATATATATATATATATAATCAGGAATTTTCAACGAATTAAAACATTCTCGCTTAAATCTCATCGTAAAAGTTACAGTAACTCGTTGTAGGACCTAATTTGTCTCCAGTTCTTGGAATTCCAATATTGCCAATTCAGCGAAATTATTTTGAATGAAAAACGCATCGATTTTGAAATCGTCTATATCACTTTGAACACTACATGACTTGAAAGACAATGAGGAATTAATAATTGGAAAAAAAAATGAAATCAGTTATAATTCAGCTCAGATCTGTCCCACGAACTCTATCTAGGCTTTAATCGCTTCAGAACGAAAAATTAATAAATAAATAAACGAGAATTCCGAAACTTGATGGCGAAATATATGGAAAAAGGCTTTTTCAACTTGTCATTTTTCAGGTGATGAAGATGCTGCTTCAAGATTCGCGTGGTCTAGAAGAAGTGGGGATTTTTTTCTATCATTTCATTCAAAAAATCACAAAAATTTGTGACGCGAAACGAACGTGTCGGGGCATTTCTAGTGACCACTTTAGTAGCGTCAACACTCTTAAGTGATCCCTAGGATTTTTCAGGAACCCGTATCCGGTTCTCGTTACCGAGGTTCGATGAAATAATCTTTAAATTGGTAATTTTCAGACGAGCAACCTTTCGCCTTCGCCCAACCCGATACTGAAGATTATCGTTTCGCTTTCGCCAAACGACGAGGTGAAAAAATATCATTTTTTGGATGAATATTGAAATTTTTCAGAAGCTGACAAATTCGCGCGATTCGCACGCGCATCTTCTCGGTTTGCTTGATTCTACTACACCTCTCAAGAGAAATCGAATCGAAAAATCCAAAAAATCTGAGAATGGGCGGACTTTATCAATAAACAACTTTTTATGTGACCGAAAAATCGGCTGCATGCTTGAAAGATACTTACAGGGAAGGTGATTTTACTTCGAAGTTGAGGATTTTCGAATGATTGGCCAGATGAAAATCCTGAGAATCACAATCTGCAAAACTTCCCAGTTTCTGAAGAAGGGCGCCTAGAACTCGAAGGGAACCTTCAGAATCTGTAGAAATAGGCTATTTCGACGCCTCTCGAAAACCAGGAAGTTGGGCAGGTTGAGAATTTCACAATCTTATTTTGCGACATAACGGAGTCTTCTGGCCGATTTTCAAGAAATTCCCAACCGAAAAGTAAAAAGATCTATAGTCAATGTTTCCCGACTTGAAAGGCGAGGGAGGCGGGGCAAGGGGCGGGACGCGTAGCGTGTGCGTACGCGGTTCTTGGCGCCAGTTCAATTCAATCGCTGCCGACTATTTAAAAAGCTCGGCAACCGCTTTTTTTTCGATGAGCACATGAACATAATCAATAAATAGAAATGAAAAAAAAAGCGAAAAACGGGCTTTCCAAAGAGTCGCTGGCGGTTGAATTGAACACGTGACAAGAACCGCTAACGCACACGCTACGCGTCCCGCCCCCTGCCCCGCCTCCCTCGTTTTTCAAGTCGCGAAACATTGACTATACCTTGTTGGTACTGGAAGTGAATGGCGGTGAATGAAGTATGACTGGAACTTTAGTTCGAAAGATCCTTATGGAAAAAGAGCATGATTGGAAGACCCCAGAAGCAGAACGATATGAACTCACTGTGCCGAAAGAATTCCATAATAAAAATCCCAAAAAGGAGAACTATAAGACAAGACAGATCCAAGTCTACCGTAGGAGTGACCAGTGGCTGGCGAGCAGTTGAAGAGCCTCAGACTCCTCCCTCGCCATCATCATGAGCCCCTCTCATCGAGCAATTTGTGTTTGCCTGTTGTCCTTTCGGATCCATTTCGGCGCAATTTCGCGTCGTGTCGCTTCCCTTGGTCGTGTTCGCCCGGCGGCCCGGCTACTTCTTTTCCGTCCATTTTTTCTTCGTTTCTTTGTGATATATGTCAAGTCGTTCCGGTGGAGCCATGCCAGACACCCTTTTTCCTTGGCTGCTCCGAGTCTTTTTGAGCCTTGGTTTGAAACCCGTTTGAACTTCTTTGCCTTTAAGCCGAAGGTCTTGAAGCGACGAGCCTTTTTCAGTAGTCTTCTAGGTCAATCAAGACTTCTGCGCATTTAAGTGTCAGTACTCGGACATTGGTAATGCCAATCGGACGTGTCGGGGCGTTTCTAGTGACCACTTTAGTAACGTCAGCAGTCGGCCTTTCTAGTGACCACTTTAGTAGCGTCAACACGCGGCATTTCTAGTGATCCCTTTAGTAGCGTCAGCACTGGGCATTTCAAGTGACCACTTTAGTAGCGTCAGCACTCGGCCTTTCTAGGGACCACTTTAGTAGCTTCGGCACTGAGCAGCTCTAGTGCCCACTTTAGTAGCTTCAGCGCTGGGCATTTCTAGTGAACACTTTGGTAGCATCAGCACTCTTAAGTGATCCTTAGAATTGCCGAGAAACGACCGGAGCACGTCTGTTCCGCGTAACCACTGTCCGAGTAATAGTTCCAAAAGGCTTTATTGGTTCTTATCAACCTGAAAAATTGTCGGAGAATGGTTAAGTTTGGAATAGATTTTTTTTTTTCGGCGGTTATCATCTAATATTTTCGAGTCTACACGTTTTAATGAAGATTTCAGAAGACTTTTCCAGAGCCAAAAGGATATTGAAAATCGAAATGAGCAGATGATCGAGCTGGTTTTTTGCTGTAAATGAGCACGAGAATTCTTCCAAGTCCTACAAAATGCATCATCCCACGCGAGTTTCTTCGCCTCTCCGATCTCCTTCGTTTGAGGTTGGGAATAGGATTGAATAGGAAATTCAGGAGGAAGTGAATATGGTAAGGTTCATTACAGTCCTTACAGGACCTTGACTTATAAGATTTTTTAGCCAGGATAAGCTCCAAATGGAGCTTTCCAAAACTACCTGAAGAAAGATAGAAGTCAAAACTTCAAGATTCGCCAACTTCCAGGTGGCGATAGCGGTGTCGCCACCGCTGTCGCCGGTGCGATCGCCTTCCGACGTCCTGACGCGAGTCGCCTCCAGCCGACTGCAATCGCCGATGACGTCGCCTCTGCGAGCACCCATCGCTGTGCAGGAATCGGCGAGCCTGACCGAGGCTGCATCTTCCACTGGTCCTGATGGCGACAACGGTACTTTATTTTTAGTTAGTCAGAATGATCTTTTTAAAGTCGCGATTTTTGAACGTCATTTCACGTCAAAACTTTTTTTTGAATTCTTGTTTGTTTTCAAACCGAAGCAACTTTTTAAATCTTCGAGAAGGAAATCTTGAAAAAAAAATTTGAAAATGGAGCAGAAAGAGTGGAAAACGGGCATTAACTCCAATCTCAAAATTTTTCAAGCCGAGTGACAAAAATAATTGAAATTTTGACATTTCTGAAGATTTTTGAGGTCTCATGCTACCCTCTCCCACATGAAAAATGTATTGTTAAGTAAATATTAGGAAATGCGACAAAAAGCCTTAGAGTATGACGTTATTATCTCGAAATTTAAGTCTTACTGACCAAATGTCTCAAAAATCGATATTTCTGATCCAGAAATGAATAATTGACATGAGAACAATTATAATCAGAACCTGATGAACTAATAGATCCACCCCAAAATGTATCCATCTTGACCGATCGAAAGTAAAGAGAGGGATTTGAACAAACAGCGGCAAGAAGTGACACGCCGTTAGTCATTCCCCAAGACAGTTCACCACATCCTTCCCGTCTGTTCGAATTCCAACCTGAACTTCAAATTACCATGAAAAGCGTCGTTTTCTGATGCTGGAAGCGTTGCGGAGTCGATGGCCCGCCGTCCGCAGCGCTGCCAACTTGTTCTTTTTGATCTCTTTCAGTGAGATTTTATGCTTTTTTTCTAAGAAAATCAAGTAAATAGCAATCTTCAGATTCTCATCATGAAGTTGAAAGGCCTGACGCGGAGCCGGAAGCCGTTCAGTCAGCCGAAGAAGAAGTGAGAGAAAGCGGAGACGTTGATCAACCACCGCCACCACGCCAAATAGTCTTTCCCATAGCTCCATTTTATCAAAGAAAAGGGTAAATTTTTTTGACGTGTACAGAACAAACAAGGAGTTGATTAACATAACAAAAGTAGTGAAAAAAAAGAAGAAAAAAAATTATTTGTTTAAAAAAAATTCGCGTCTTATTCGCCCTAATGCACTTTTTCAAAATCACTTCAGGACACTTTAAAATGTCACATTTTTATGTCTTTATTTCATCCTAATACTGCTTTCAATACGCTTTTTCAGTTATAATAGTTCTTACTAGTACTCCTGCTCACTTTTTGAAGTTTTTTCAAGCAATTTTTTAACGAAACTATGAAGAAATATCCTCAAGGTGATAAATGTTACATTATTTTTTTATATTTACTGTTCTAAAATCGTTCTAACCTCCAGCCACGCAATGCAAAAAGATCCCACCAACCTTTCAGTGTGCGCAAGTCGCCAACACTTGAGATTTACCGTATTCCCTGTTTTGCCTCATTTTCTCTTGCTTTTCCCTTTATCCACGACAGTCTTCGTTCAGATCTTGCTCGAAATGCTCTCTATGGCTCGGAATCCTGTGCGCCTTGTTCTTCCTCTTGAGCATCGCCCTATTTCTCGCCTGGGTCATAACCACCGGCGGATTCCAGACGATTGGAAAGAGTTCCAACGTTTGCAGCACCAAGCAGTGTATTGATATCGGTTTCTGTTCTCTAGATTTTGTATTTAATACGAGTTTTCATTCAGCGTTTCGGTTATCGTCGAACATGGACGACACTGTTCAGCCTTGCGAGAACTTCTACCAATATTCGTGCCGGAAATTCCACTCTCAGAGCCAAGATCAACAACGGAACTTCATTTTTGAGCAAAAGGAAACGACCCTTAGGAGTTTGCATAGTAAGTACAAGATTCATTGAAGACCTAGGAATTTCAGGTTGGTTCCTATAAGGGTTATGGCTGAAAACAACTCTTATAGGGGCCGAAAAAGTGGTCCCTATAGGGATAAAACTAAAGTGGCTTTTATAGGGGTTTAGGATTTGACCTCTTAGCTCCTGAAGCTCAAGTGGCCCCTATAGCGGTCTCTCAATATCTTTCAAAAACGCTTAATTATTCAGTTTTTCCCATGGAAATGCTTCTTCGCTTACAGATAGTGTTCACAAAATTTATCGACTCAGTGACCCCTATCGGGGTTGGTGAAGTGGTCTCTAGAAGGGACCCTCCAAGGCTCGTTAAGATTGCCCCTATAGGAACCACTCGGGAGTTTCTAATCACGTCAGAGAAAAAAAAAACTCTGACTTATCTGGCGTCTCTTCAGGGGGCTACTGATCTCTCCCTTCGCTTTTTTCGCTGGAAGCGCTTGAAAAAAATAATAAAATTTTAGGCTTACTGTCAAGCGAAGAACTTCTATCGAATGCGACAAAAAGCGAACGGCTTTCTCGGAATTTGTTCACTTCTTGTATGAATGCCGCTCAAAGGTTTTTTGTTTCTGCCAAAGTGGTAACTAAAGGGATCTTTCTAGAGCTTCAAGCGCTCCGGACGACTTGCTCCAGCTGTTACGGAACTTTCCCTGCGGACCTCTTCTGAGCGATTGTCAGAACTTTGATGCCGACACTTACAGGCTTGTTTTGTCATGATCTTAACAAAAATGACGATAATGCCAAGAAAGTTTTCTCGTTGATCATATGTAACTTTTGCTCGTTTTCATATAAGGTTCCGGCAGATTTTTAGATGTAATTTTACAATTTTGTATCAGAAATGGCAAAAACTATGCTCCGAGAGAATAGCCGCGCAAAAAGAGTACACGATTTGACAGTAGACAAATAAGGAGCTAATGAAGTGGCGCGATCAAGTGAGATGGACAGATACGCGACGAAAAATCGGGGCGTGCTCTCAGATTACACTAGAGGCTGGGATTAAGATTGAGTGTTTTTGCAGTTTTTAGGTCGTTTTTTGAGAAGTTTGATTGAAATGTCGGTTATGTAGAGCTTAGATTGCAAGTTTGGAAGTTCCCAAATTTCGATAAAACTGATCGAGATCTTAGTTCTAAAGAGCTCTCACTTTGATTGGAAAGTTTAAATTTTCAAAATTTTGGCGTGTCCTGTCTGCGCTCTCCACGATCCAGGCGCTATCTCGTGCTTTATCGTGTCAGGACCCTTTTTTCGATGGCTCAAGCCAGCCTTGGCTTTCAAGAGCTCTCACTTTGATTGGAAAGCTAGAAGTTTTAATATTTCGAAAAAATTGATCGAGCTTTCGACACTCAAGAGCTCCCACCTTGACTTGAAAATTGAAATTTTTAAGAGTTTGAGAACATTTATCGAAATCTTGGCTTACAAGAGCTTCCATTTTGATTGAAAAGCTCAATTTTTCATTATTTCGATCTAATTTATCGATTACTTGGCTCTCAAGAGCTCCCAAACCGATTAGAAAATTGAAAGTTTCGAGGATTCGAAAATCGATATTTCTTTTTAAAGCTGGGAACGGCATTCCGGAATGTTGGACTGGTACTCTGGGGAGTTCAACTTGATCATGTATGACCGCGATGTTCATCCACAGGATCGTAGTAAACTCGTCCTTCAGGTTCGTTCTGAAATAGTGAAAAGAGAAAAAAAAAACCTCTATTTCTTTTACCGCTGACTTGAGGAACTTTTAAAATAGGGTCTCCGAAAACTAGCGAAAGATTTTTTTTTAAAACTGAGAAAATCAGCAGTGACTATACTACACTATATTTATAAATTTTCTAACGCTCAGCCAACTTTTTTTCCAGCTCCGCCCGCCAAACTTGGAAAAAATCATCGGCGGAGTGAAAATGGAGCTGGTCCAGCTCGCGAAACCCAGCGAAACTGAGCTGGAACCACTGCTGCAGCTCTCGATCCGTCAGGTTTGTCTGACCTCAAAAATAGAACGAAAAGAACATCTAAAGAACGTCCTGAACGAGTTCGTCAGGCAGCAACTCCTACGTGATCCGCGAGACGTCCAGGCACAGCTGGACGAGGTCGCCCAGCTCATGGTCGAACTCGACAGTGTGAGCTCCTTTTTTGAAAGAGATTGGGAACGATAGATGCAGTTTTTTGCGCTGGTTCTGGATCCGTGTTCAGATTTCGTAAGGAATGAGTTTGAAAATAGTTACGACCACTTGAATTTTCGAAAAAATGGGTTTTTTATTTCTCATTCCAATGTTATAGGAGCTAGTCCAGGTGCACGTAAAGTTTTAAATTTTTAAATTTTTAGGCCGCCGCCATCTCCTCCAGAATGACTCCGAACACCACTTATATGACCTTCAAGCAGCTTTTCGAGGCGATTCCTCAAGTTTGTTTTAAGAGAAAAAAATTTCTGATGTTTCTATGCCTCTCGTGTTTTTATGTCAGCCAGCGGAAGAAAAAGAGGACAGAATATCTCGAAAAAAATTGAATTTTTTCAGTTGGACTTGAGAGGCTTCTTGAACGCCGGCCTCAGTACAGTCTACCATTGGGCCGAAGAAGATACCGTATCGATTCAGAATTTCGAGTACCTGGCTCGCCTGGCCAATATCATGGCGAGGTATAATTCTGTTATGAAAAATTTTTAAAGGGTGTTTGAAAAAGTTTTGGCGGCAAAACGGTTTTAAAGGTTGCAATGCTCTTACTTACCATTTTTTCGATGAATATCCCATTTTTTTGGATTTGATTTAATAGATTAAGGCTTGAGGCTAAAAAAGAAAGTTTTTTGGTTGAAAAGTATCATAGTTGACTCACGGGTGGCTTGCGACATCGAAAAAGGGTCCTGACACGATAAGAAAAGAGACAGTGCACGGTTGTTGGAGGGCGCAGACAGGCCACGCCTCTTTTCGTACCAAGCTAGCCGTGAATCGACTATATCTCTGAACTGGAACACGTCAAGGCGCGACCGACTGTTTCACTGCCTCTCTGACTGCGAGAAAACGACGAAATAGCATGTGGCAGAGAAAAGTTCGAGCTTCCCATAAGGCGCTTCAGTTCATTTTTTGGATTTTTGAGCTCTGAAAAACACAGGAAACTATGATAAAAAAGACCAGGGAGAACTAAGGAGTTTTAGAGTGGTCCCTAAAGGGAAATAAAAACCCCCTATAGGGGGACGAAAAAATGGTTCCTATAGGGGTTTAGGGTCTGACCTCTTGGCTCCTAAAGCTTGAGTGGTCCCTGTAGGGTTCTTTCAAAGCCGATGGTTAGTTTTTCCCATGGAAATGCTTCTTTGCGTAGAGTTCAAAAAAATTATCGACTAGAATGCGCCTATAGGGGCCACTGACTAAAACCCCTGTAGGGGACACTCCTAGTTGCCCCTATAGGGACCACTCGGGAGTTCCTAAGAGGTTTTTTTAAGTACGAGTCGACGAGCTGTGGCGAATTACCTTTTGACGGTTACGGCCATGAACCTCAAGCAGTACTCCTATTTTCCGAGCGAGCAGTTCAGGTGGGACTGAAATGTCCGTTTTCCCAAATAATTCAAAATCAGTTGGCGCGAATGTGTCGAGCAACTTTCCCAGTTGGAAGTCGTGTCCAAGCTCTACATTGAGCAGTTCCGACGCTTCGATCGCAGTGAAGTAACAGAATTTCAGAATCAAGAGAATATTTCTGAAATTCAGGTCTCCCAGTACCTCCAAACCCTCAAAACCGACTTCCTCTCCACGCATCGGAATACTCCCCTGCAGTACTTGTCCACGATAAATCGCCTCGGATTCTATGTCGGATTCCCGAAAAGGCTTCTGGATGAGGATTCCGTCTGGATGCCACTTTCTCAGGTTCCACCATGCTGCGAAAGACCGTGGTCGCATTTGGAATGGCTCGAAGCGGCGCGGTTCTTATGCTTTCCGATGCTTCTGCGCGCAAGTCGTTTTTGGTCGGATGCTTGAGCCATTCCACATGCGACCATGGGCTTGAGGACCTTCTGAAGCCTTATATTGAAAGTTTTTTACAGCTATCGCTAGACTTGACCGACTACTTCAATTCCATCGTTCGAGTCTCCAAAGAGGAGAGAAACTTTGCCCTATCGCAAATCGGAACCTACTTGGATAGGTTCGGAAAATTTAGAAAGGCAATGCCGCGCCAGCTTTTATTCTCCCTTCTCCTTGAAAAACGTGACCTGTTTCTCTGCATGCGCCTTTAATTAGCCTAAATTTTTCGTTTTTTAAAGGCGCATGCAAAGGGGCAGGCCGCGCGCATCGAAGGGAAGGATTTTTGAAGTTACAATGAAAGAAAAAAAACGCGAAGCTGGGACGAAATGGACTATAGATGAGCTTAAAATTGACAGAATAAAATAAATTCAGTGACGACGCTCCGAAATTCCCCGTCCTCAGCGCGGATATGCTCTTCGATCCTCATCTTGGAGCGATTGGTAATAATATATCCCCAAAATGATCCAAAATTCAACGTTTCAGTACTGCCGATGTCCTTCCTACAGGCCCCGATTTATGTCCCAGGTGACGACGTTCCAATGTACGGCGTTTATTCGAGTCTCGGCGTTACTGTACTTCAGATGATTGCCAAGGTTTGTTGAAGTTCTGGGCCTTTCGACGACTACCATACTGTAGTAATATTTACCAGATTTTGGCGGGAAATCAAAAGTTCAAAAATCTTGGCTTCTCACTGTAAGAACTCTAGTGCTCACTTAAGAGGTTTCTCAAGGACTACTTGGAGAGGACACTAAAGGGGCCACTTAAACTACCTCTACAGACTACATTTCGCGTCATTATAGTAGTTTTCAGTGGTCTAGTAGTACGATTTAGACTCCTCCACTAATTTTTAGTCCTTTAAGTGGCCACTAATTTGACTACTAACGGCCGCTAGGACGTCAAAATCCTAAAGGGCCCACTAAAAAACTTTCCCAGAATTGATGATTTTCTACAAAAAAAAAAGCTTCAAAAGTTGACAGTTTCTTCACAAAAATGCCTCTTTCAGGTCTTCTGGCAAGGCGTCAACCAGAATTCGCAGCTTCAATGTCTGGACAACGTTTTTCGAGGATTCCTTGGACCAGATCGTCAGAATTCCGTCAATCTTGATGTGAATTCGGGATATATCTTTGTATTGAACGTCACTTTGTTTCTAGAAAGATTTGATCTATACTATCGAACTGTCCGACGCCTTCAAAACGACCCTCTACGGCTACGCCAAATGGCAAAACGATCATTCTATTCATCATGTCAGTGGTCCATTGAAGCCTGAAAAGTAGAAGGAAAATGGCAAAAAAACTTTTGCGCGGAGAGGAGTCGAACCTGCTTCCTGTTTTAGGAGGAACTGGTCGCTAGCCATTACACCAATCTGCCAAAAACCTGGAAAAACACAAAAATTCAGATTTTTCCTTGCAAGTCATGTCAAATAGAGTACGAAAGTTTCTTCGTACCTTCAAATTATTGAGAAGGAAAAAATTATTCCAAGTTTTTAGGAGAAAACTTTGCCAGCCTATGATAAGTTCGATTCGATCAGCAGCCTGATTGTGACCTTTTCTACAGTGAGTTAACGTATGGTCGCACTTGGAATGGCTTGACGCGCCGCGGATGCGATGCGGTTCCTTCAGAGCGTGATTTGAAAGGCGCATGATGATGTAGTTGTTTCACTACTAGCTTAAAACGCAAAGGGGCGTGGCCTGTCTGCGTTCTCCACCAACCCGGCACTTTCTCTTTTTTAAATCGTGTCAGAACCCTTTTTTTCGATGGCTCAAGCCAGCCAGAAGAGTTTCAAGTTGGCTTTAAGGCTAACTTTGAACGCAACTCGTCCGCGTCGAGCCATTCTACATGCGACCACTACATATAGATTCAAAATGTATCAATATTTTTCAGTTGTTTTGCAATTTGGAAGGAATCGAGCCGGGCAGCGACTACGAAGCCATGTCAGTAGATTTATTCAAAAAAAAAAATGGGATTTTTAAAGGCGCAGCAGCTTCTAAAACGACTCGAAACCCTTTTAAACTTCAAACTTTTTCAGGATGAATACGGTGGCCAGCAATTCGCGCCAATACTCCATAAATTTCCATTGCTCTAACTCATCTCGGATTTTCAACCGTCGAACTTGTGTCTAGTCAAAAAAAGAGCCGATGTCTTTCAATTTTATTATATTGAAATTTGTTTTTAAAAAAAATTTCTTGTCATTCACCAGTGCTGCCTGAATATATGTGAAATCCTGGTTATCAATGCTCAATAAATTCAGTTACCAAGCTCAATTATTTGTTGTATAGAAAGGAATCTGGGGCGCGCCGTAGCGCAACGGGTTGTGTGCCTGTCTACGGTCCACAGGGTCACAAGTTCGATCCCAGCCGCGAACCAACAAACGAAGGATATGCCACTAGAGCCAGTGAACTGTTTATCACTGATAAGAACTCGATTCGAGATGCCGTCGGCATTAATTCTGATGACGGTATACTCAAAACGACGTATTATAGGGATAAGTGATAAGTTTATTTTTTATTCGAGAATTTTCTGAAATTTTGCTCATGTTAACCAAAAGTTATTCAAGATAAGTTGATAAAATACAACTTTTTTACATTCTAATGAATTTGGAAGCGTTCTAGTGGAGTGTCGTTAAGGAATTTTGGAGCTTCTCCGTCCAATTGTGTCTTTTCAAGTTACTTTTCAATAAAGGATCATTTTTTCTCTTTGAGTTTCTCGCTGAGCCATTCGAGGCCTTTGTACAGTCCGTCGCCGGTCAGGCCGTTGGAGCCGATGACAATCCACTATAAAATGATAAATTTATACCTATCAGAGAAAATCACTTGAATTTGAACATTTTCTCAAGCAGTGTGTGTTATACTAGTTAAAGATCCTGAGAGAATTGCAACCTGTGAAAATAGTTATAGCCTATTCCGTGCCAGCTTTTCAAAAGTGTTATTTTCCTCCGAACTACAGAACCCTTCCGGGAAAAGCTTCTCTTCGATGCGCGCAGTCTGTCTCCATATATGCGCCTTTAATATGAAATTAAATAAAAGTCATGCAGAACAACAGGCCGCGCGTAAAGTACACCGACACGGGCCTCAGGCAAGCATGTGACCTGACGCGCAACCTCGGAGAATGCACTTAATAAGACGCGCAAAAAAATTTTTCTGAAATCCTTCTAAGGTCATATCTCGGCTCCCAGAGAAGCTTCAGCTCATCTAATCACATCATTCGGTTCGTCTGAGCGTAAGCTTTCCAGTGTCTAAGATGCCTAGAAAAAATTCATGATTTTTCAAAGTTCAGGAATTATTTTGAAAAATCATAATTCGATTTTTTGGGGCATAGGAACTCAGAGACTTAGTTTTCCCTGACCTCCGTGATCTCCTCTATCGATTGATACCAAATTTAACCAATTTTAGAATTTCTGGTTTCGAAGTTTGATCGCTTATAACTGGGCTCCTATTTGACCTACGGAGGTCAAAACTAGCCTCCGGTTATTTTCTCGTCGAGATCTTTCGATTAATATAGATTTCGTCCGGAACGGCTTCCATGACCTCAGAAGCTCAAAAAAAAGCTAAGGGGTTAGACTGCACTTTTTTCGATTTTCCCGAAAACCAAATTTTTCCGGATTTTCATATCAATCGATAGAAAATGACGTCAGAAGTTCAAAAATCTAAGTCAAAAAGTTCTCAGACGCCTAGAAAAGAAGTTATGATTTTTTGAAGTCTTTGAAAAAGCATTACTCGATTCCTAGGAACATAGGAACTCAGAGACTTAGTTTTTCCTGACCTCCGTGATCTCCTCTATCGATTGATACCAAATTTAACCAATTTTAGAATTTCTGGTTTCGAAGTTTGATCGCTTATAACTGGGCTCCTATTTGACCTACGGAGGTCAAAACTAGCCTCCGGTTATTTTTTCGTCGAGATCTATCGATTGATATACATCTCTTCCAGATCGGCTTCCATGACCTCAGAAGCTCAAAAAAAACCTAAGGGGTTAGACTGCACTTTTTTCGATTTTCCCGAAAACCAAATTTTCCAAGATTTTTAGATCAATCGATAGGAAATGACGTCAGAAGTGGATATAACAAACTTAGAGGATTTCTAGGCCCCTAGAAAAAAAGTTATGATCTCTCAAAGTTTATTATTGTTCATAACTCGACTTCGAAGAACCTAGGAACTTCGAGACCTTGTTTTTCCTGACCTCAGTGATCTCCTCTATCGATTGATACTATTTTTGACGGAAATTGAGATTTTCGATCTCTAAGTTTGATCGCCTATAACTCAGTTCCTAGTTGACCTACGGAGGTCAAACCTGGTCTCCGGTTATTTTTTCGTCGAGATATATCGATTGATATACATTTCGTCCGGATCGGCTTCCATGACTTCAGAAGCTCGAAAAAAACTTAAGGGGTTAGACTGTACTTTTTTCGATTTTCCCGAAAACCAAAGTTTTCCGGATTTTCATATCAATCGATAGAAAATGACGTCAGAAGTTCAAAAATCTAAGTCAAAAAGTTCTTAGACGTCTAGAAAAAAAGATATGATTTTTTTCAAAGTCTAAGAATTTTTTTGAAAAAAATCATATTTCGATTCCTAGGAACCTAGGAACTCAGAGACCTCGTTTTTCCAGATCTGCTTGATCTCCTCTGTCGAATAATTCCAAATTTGACCAATTTCAGAATTTTTGATTTCAAAGTCTGATCGCCTTTAACTTGGTTCCTATTTGACCTACGGAGGTCAAACCTGGCCTCCGGTTATTTTTTCGTCGAGATATATCGATTGGTGTAGGTTTTACGCGGGCCCGTGAAGGGAAGGGTTCCGTAGCTCCGAGGTAACTTCGAAATCGTGAGAAACTGACAGGAAAACATTTTTATGAACCAACTGTTCGAAATTTTTCGATGATTTCGTACAGATTCGAGTAGAGTTTCTCAAAAAACTAATGATCAAGGCTTCACCCAGGATAACAAGCTGTAGTTGGTCAGAAATTTCCAAACGATATTCAGAACCAACCTGCCGACCGGTTATTTTCTGAAGCTCAAGTCCCTCGGTGATCTGAGGAATCGTCATCGCTCTAGGGAGGTCTTGCTTGTTTGCAAACACCAACAACACGATGTCTAAATAAGGTTCCGGTTTATAGGTACCAATATGAAGAGTGAAACTATTTTTTTAAAATTTGGTAGTTTTTTAAAAAAATCTTCAACTGAAGCTTTAAGGCCGTTTTCTGGCTGTGAAATGAGGGAGACCAGTGATAAGAACTTGAAATATTTCAGGACGAGTAGAATAATTCAAAATTACTTTTGAAATCAAAGAGAGGTCTCAAGGTGGATCTATGAGATTAATATAGTCTGTGTGCCAGGACTTGAAATTTCACGGAACGACATTCCGCTGTTACGCTGCGTGCGGTCGCGAAGCGTCTTTCGAATCTAGGTCACGCTTCAAATTGATTTTTATTGCTGTGGGAGCACAAAAGTAGAGTACCTTAATAAAAGAAAGAAAAATATTAAAAGCGCGACCAAGGTTCGCAAATGCGCGCAGCGGCACAGCGGAATGTCGTTCCGTGAAATTTCAAGTCGTGACACACAGACTATAATGATCACTTTTTTCCCAGTAAAAAATCCACTAACTCTGAAGTTCTGGATCTTTCAGCAAATTCCACAATTCTTCTCGAGCCTCCTCGACTCGCTCGGTGTCATTGCTGTCGACGACGAAGATCAGCGCCTGAGAATTTTTTTTCACCAACTCATTTTTGGAATGAAAAACCGTGGTGTTCGGAAAGTAGTATTTCCATAAAGCGCGGATTCTTTCCTGTCCGCCGACGTCCCAGACGGTCATTGAGATTTTCTGATAACTCACGTTTTCCACGTTGAACCCTGAACAAAATTGAGGAAATGTTAGCCTTTCACAGCTCTAGAAGTTTCGAATGAGCCAGGAAAACTTTTAAAATCAAATTTAGACGAGAAATGAATATTATGGGAGCCACGAGAAGCTTAAAACCCTCAAGTAGCCACTAGAAGCTTAAAACCCTTAGGGAGCCTCTAGAAGCTTGGAAGCCTTAATGAGCCACTAGAAGCTTGGAACCCTTAAGGAGCCACTGGAAGCTTGAAACCCTTAGGGAGCCACAAGAAACTGAAACCCCTTAAGTAGCCACTGAATCAAGATCAAGAAGAAGCTAATAATAAAGCAAAAAAAAAAAACTGACATTTCCACGTAGATTCCTGAACAAAATTGAAAAAATCCTAACCGTTTTAATAGAAAATTCCAAATCTCGATAAATTTCAAGTGAGTCAGAACTATCTCGGAAATTGGACACTCCTATAGGAATTCATAGCTAAAAAGTAAGAGCCGCAAGAAGCTTAAAACTCTTGAGGAGCTACTAGAAGCTTAAAACCCTTGAGGGGCCACTAAATAAACATGAAGTACAAACCAATGGTGGGAATAGTTGTGACGACTTCATTCAGCTTCAGCTTATAGAGAATCGTCGTTTTGCCGGCGCCGTCCAGTCCCAGCATCAGAGTACGGCATTCCAGATTCGGGAAAAGGTACTTCCAAAGCTTCGAAGCCAACAAGCCCATCTTACAGAAGATTCCAGAAGAGAATATATCTTTTTTCTGAGGTTCTTCATTTTATACTCCGCCGAGTTACGAGGTGGTTTTGCGAACCTCATTTTCGGCCACGTTCAACCGAACACGTCCTCAGCAATTTCGCAACCCGCTTGTTTATTCGTTGCACACAACTAATCACTCCTTTCTCACTCCCAAACCGGGAAAATTGGAAATATTCCACTTTCAAAATATACCTAGCGTTCTAGCGGAGTTTCGTTACAAAAAAATATTTTTTTCTCTCAGTGGTTTTTCATAGAAAATAGAAGCAAAAATAAAAACTCTCCCCCCGTTTGCATTAAATTTTTTTAAACTTAGCGTTCTAGCATAGTTTCTTAGGAACTCCAGAGTGGCCCCTTAGCCCCTAAAGCTCAAGTGGACGCTATAGGGGTCTTTTAAGTTCATTCGAAAAACGCTTATTTATTCAGTTTTTCTCATGGAAATGCTTCTTGCTTAGAGTTCATAACAATTATCGACTGGCATGTCCCCTATAGGGGCCACTTTTGCAAGCGTTAGTGGTCCCTAGAGGGTTTGTTGAGATGAAATAAAATTTTCATTGATTGGACGTAGTAAAAAAATTTATTTTTTCTGGTTGAGTTTCTCGCTGAGCCATTCGAGGCCTTTGTTGCGTCCGTCGCCGGTCAGGCCGTTGGTGCCGATAACATTCCACTGCAAAAGGACTTAAAAACCTGTAAACTCGAAAAATGGGGCAAGGGTCTAAAAAGGCCTCAAGAAAAAAAGAAAATTCATATTATTCATAACTCGAGATCCGATCCCATGACCAGTTTGGTGATAGCCTAGCACTCTACCACTGAGCCAAGGTCCTTACCTCACGACCTTCTATTTTGTCTAACTCGAGTGCTTCTGTTACTTGACAAGTTTCCATTGCTCGTGGAAGGTCTTGCTTATTCGCCAGCACAAGAAGAACCGGTTCTGGAATAGGTTCCGGTTAGAAAAGTGGTGGTCTTCAGGAAATTACAAAAAGTTTATTGTTAAAAATAATGAATCGACTTTTTTCAACATAGAACTTGAGCATAAGAGATGTCACTTCAAGAAAAAAAAAGCCAACTTTGTAAATCTGGATCCCTTAGCAAATCCCATAATTCTTCTCTAGCCTCATTAAGCCGCTCGCTGCTGTCGACGACGAAGATCATAGCCTGGCAAACTCAAAATTCTACATTTTTTGAGGATATGAACAAACGTCAGTGCTGGGAAAATAGTGTTTCCGTAAAGTGCGCAGATGTTCCCGTCCAATGTCCCAGACACTCATTGAGATATTTTTATGATTTACCGTTTCCACGTTGAATCCTGGATTGAATTGAAGTGGTTTTCATAACTCCAAATGTTGAATATGTCAAGGCTTAACGAAATAAGTATCATAGTTTGTCTGCCACCGAACGACATTCCGCTGTCCCGCTGCGCGCCTTTGCGAACTTTGGTCGCGCTTTAAATTTTTTTTTTTCATTTATTAAGCTACTCTATTTTCATGTGCTCCCACAGCAATCACAATCAATTGAAAGCGTGACCTAGATTCGAAAAACGCTTCGCGAACGCACGCAGCGGAACTGCGGAATGTCGTTCGGTGAAATTTCAAGTCGAGGCACACAGACAACTTTAAAAAAACCGTCAGAGTGAAGAACTAAATTTTGGATATCAGCGAAAAACTTTGAACACACAGTAAATATTTTCAAAAATAGAACCAAGCAATAGTGATAAATAACTGAGTAGTGCACTATAGGGGTGACTGATACAATCAATTTTCAAGTAGACAAAACTTATCGTGAAGAATTAAAAAAAAACTGAAATTCAATACAAAATTTCACTCGATTCTCGTAACCAACAAGTTTTCTGGGAGAAATAACAACAAACCAATGGTTGGGGTCGCGGCGATGAACTTCTTGAGCCTGAGCTGATAGAGAATCGTCGTTTTTCCGGCGCCATCCAGCCCCAAAATGAGAGCCCGGCATTCCAAGTCACGGAAAAAGTAGTTCCAAGGCTTTGAGGAGAATAGGCCCATATTTCATGTCTTTTTGAAAAGAAACTTCTATCGGAAGAAATATTGACCACGTTGGGACGCCTTATCGGCGATTTCGCAACTTTGTTTATTCCTCTCAACTTGAAGAGAAACTTAAGAACTGCTTGATTTTAAAGGAAACTGACCTTTAAAAATCAGTTTAGAAAGGACTTCTTATAGTAATTACTTTTTTTAAATTCTTTTAAACCCCTTTTTACTTTCTGAACTTATCCGTTCTCAGGCAAGGGGTGAAAATTCAAAAATTTGGGAATTTTTTCATAGTTTCCACGTTAGTTCAAATCATTTTATGACTGAAAACACACAATTTTTTCGAATTCACTTATGAATGACACATTGAAAAAAATCATGGTTTCTCGTTGAGTTTCTTCCTGTCCAACTGTACACAGTTAAAATGATAATTTAAAAATCTAGGAATTCATTTTTTTCGTGAATTTTTTTGACGCCAACCAGCCGATTCCCTCGCTTAACCCATCACCAGTTGTTCCGCTAGTACCGATTAATTTCCACTGAAAAAAATCCAGTTTAATAATAATAATAATATTATCAAAAACCTTTCTATTTTTGAGATTCTTAAGGTCAAGGTCTTCAAAAATTTCCAAGATTGACCGGGCCTCTGGAAGATCCTGCTTGTTGGCGAAAATGAGAAGGATGGCGGCTAGAATAATTCTTTGATATTTATACTATCTAGAAATTGAAATAAAAAGGTTTCGAGAGCTATCTTAAATGCATTTTTTTCCAAAGAATTTGCTCACATTCGACTTCAGGACTTTCTAGAATCATCCAGAGACGTTCCTTGGCTTCTGGCATCCTTTCAAAGTCCGTAGAGTCCACGACGAACATCAGCGCCTGATAAAATTGATGAATTTAAAATATTAAAGTAACAGTTGATTTTTTTAAGTCACAACTTTAAAGGATATCATTCGCAACTTTTTTTTTAAATCAATTTTGGGGGTTTATTTTCAAATCTCTCCTGTTTTAATTGTTCAGGCAACAAAAAAGATGTAAAAAGGAAACCAAAAAGCTATTAAAGTGTACGTATTTTCAGAGTAATACTCACAATGAATCAATAATGAAAAACTGAATTACACGATTTTCAACAATTTTACTATCATTTTTGTAGTTTTTTCCTTCAATTTTTCCTGCTTTATTCAAAAAAGACGTAAAAAAGACGATGAAAAGGTAAAAAATATGCTCAAATGGGACCATTTCCAAATTAATATTTATACTGCAACTAAAAAAAAAAAAAATAGAATTTGCAACCATTTTTTTACTACCGCTTCGTAGCCTTTTTCCCTCATTTTGATTTATTTGAAAAGACTACAAAAAAAGCATAGAATGACTACTCAAATGAAACCTTTAAAAGCAATTTTAAAAAATAAGTAAAATAAAAAGCAACCTTCGTTCCATGAAGATACTTGTGCCACAGAACGTGACTAACTCCTTGTCCACTCAAATCCCAAAACGAAAAATTAACGTCTTTGAACGTCACTGGCTCCAAATTGAAGCCTAAAAATCTTCAATTTGAAAATCATTTTCCAACAAACTTGTAGTTGGTAGAACTTCAACATCTTCTTCCTTGATTTTATAAAGAATCGTCGTTTTTCCGGCACCAGAGATACCAAAAATGACCACTTTGTGCTCTTTTTCAGGGGAAGACCACATTTTTCGAATAAATTTCAGCATTTTTTTTTCAATCTAAATGAACAGAGCTGAATTGAGACGAAATAAATCGATAAGGTTCTGGGAAAAGGTCAAAGAGACGCTGATAAAGTTTGAGCAAACAAAACTTTTTCGATGCTCCCTTATAAGGAACTGCGAATTTCCTGAAAATGATACCATAACTTAAAATAATCAAGATCTGGAGGATTCTTTTTGGCGCAGAGAGAATAGAATTGAACATCCAATACAACGTTTATTTGAAGAAAATTAAAAGAGAGATAAAAATTGGTGAACGATGCATTAGATTTTGTCGCGGTCACAAATAAACAGAAGATAGAAGGAAGAAGAAAAAAAATATAAATTATTGAGGTCATTGTTAACGAATACCAAGAAAACGAAGGAGAGAGAGGAACGTATTATGACTCAACTGTGTGTAACGTCAATACGAATTTTTCGAATCTTGTTTTTTCATTTTTTCACTTTTCAGCGTTCTTCCTGTTCAAGTCGGCGATAACTTCGTCGATGGAGGTGCGGAAATTTTCCAGAGCCGACGCCGGGACGGTGATCGACGTACGGTAGCCAGAGTTCTTCACCTGAAGTTTGAAAATGAACATTTTCTCGAGTAAAAATAAGGAATTTTTTGAAAAACAATATTTGATACCACACGTATGCTTCTACGCAGTTTACTCATTTTTCGATTTTTTATAGAAAATTCAGAAAAGTCTCAACAAGTATAATGGGAAAATCACGTAATTAGGATATTTAATTTTTCATCAAAACCCATAGCAATCGCTTCAAAATATATTTTAATCGTAGTTTTTGAATTTTCTGCTGTCTTTTCCGAAAAATGAGGCATATTTGATTGTATTTCGATCCTTCATAACAAATCGTGCAGGATTTCGATTAAAATTCACAAAAATTACAGGGTTCCTGTAGAAAATTTTGCATTCTGATAGATCTATAGCACTACGAAAAAAAAACCTCGAATCCGAAATTTCGAAAAAACAAAAAACCTCAGTGATACGGACGAATTGCCCGCGGTCGTTCTCATTCGGCTCGAAAATGAACTGTTTATTCTCCCCGGCGACGACTTTGTTCTTATTCTGAAACGAAAATATTGGAATTTAGATAAGAAAAGCGATAATTATTACAGAGGAAGAAGCCTCATCGAGATATCCGGCCGAGAACTTGTCGATGAACTCGGCGAACGTGTCCCTGATCTCGACGATCCCTTCTTCCGGAATGGCGATCTAAAAAATCGATTTAGTAAAAATCGACAGCAATTTTATGAACAATATTTTTCTCCAGCCGTTTCCACAGATCAGCTGTTAGATTTATTTGATTGTTTTGATGATTTATATTTTGTATTTGTCGTGCAGATTGCGGAATGGAGAATAAACATTTGAAATAAAATGAATTGAAAAACTATTGATTTCATAATATAATCCCATGAAATTTCTTATTATGTCTCAATTTTTCCTGGCTCAGAAAAAGTCCCCTTCAACTGGAATTTTTTTCTTTAGTTTTTCTTATTTGAACTAGAAGTTAACACAATTTTCGATTTTTCTTGTCAGGAATATTTTTCGTTTCAGAAACCTGCTGTCGGGTGGAACGCGGCGTGACGACGATCAGCTGAGAAATGCGCAGGAAACGGCCGCGGTCGTTCTGTTTCAGGTCGAGAAAGTAGCGACGAGTGTCGAACACCAGAGACTCCGATTTCAGGACCTTGTTCTGAGGGAATAATCATAGATGGCTTCAGGGATATTCGTCAAACTTCCGTGTTGCTACCGTCGGAATCCTTGAGGAGCTCGAGATATTCCAGCATTCCGGACAAGGTGTCGCGGACTTTGACCGCGGCGCTCATCGAGAAAACCAGCCGCGACTTGTGGACGTTGTCGATCTTCAAAGAAAGTGATTGATAATTCAAAATTTATAGTCTTTCCGGCAAAGGGCCTATACAGAAATTCAAAAAAATCTTTCAAAAAGTTGATTTTATAATTTTATAATGATTTTAGATATAATTTTAGTTCTTAGAGCCACTTTACCTAGACGTTTAGCTATAAAAGGAGATATTATTTTTTTCCAAATAAAATTAATTTGATATCCCAAGATTTTTTTCGAATATTTTTTTGAGTGAAAGCGAATTTTATTTGAAAAAAATCTCATTTTTCCGTTCCGGCTAAAATTTAATTCTAGAGTGATATTGAATTTAAAATGATGATACTAAAAAAATTTCAAAAAAATCGGGAAACCTCGGCGATTTTTAATAAAACGTCCGCGTTGGTTCTCCTTGACATCGACGTAGTATCTGCAAAATAAACAATAAATTACTTTAAAAATCGATAAACATTCATAAATGTAAATAAAGTCAAAGTCGTTCGAAAATTTGTTCTAAAAAAAAGCGCAACATTAAGAAAATTTAACACGGGGGTTTTTTTTTTGAATCATTTCCGCCTCTTTATCAAAATAATTTTTCCTTGCACTTTCTAAGAAGTTTCCAGCTTCCCCAAAATCAGAAAAATGTGTGAGAGACATTTTCTCGAACCTTTTGTACTGGACGTTGAGCTGCTTGCTGGCGAGCACGTCCTCGTTTCTCTTGGCTCCGCGTTCCGGGCTTCCGTCAGCCATTCTCGTCTTCTTCTTCTTTTTGTTTGAATTACCCACAAACCAAACTTTCACTTGATGTTGATTTACGACAGATTGGAGCCCTCGAGCTTCCCTTGCTCTTTCGATCTGAACGAAAACATGTTTTGAAGGCCATAAAACATGAAAAGCCGCGAAAAATAGAAAAATCGAAATGAACGAATTACAGAAATAGGACAAAAAAGTAAAAAAAATTTAACGTGACACTATTAATAATCTATTCATTTCAAAACATGCGTCTCAAAAGATATGCAATACTGACTATAGCGGAAATATTTGCTCTTTTTTCAATTGTACGTTCTGATAAGAATCTGGCTTATTCCGGAGATTCAAAAAACATCGGTTAGCTTCTTAAAATAACTGTCAATTCTGTAAAACACAGATTTCTACGAAAAAACAAAAGTAATCAGCGATACAGTTCAAAAGGTGCCTCTTGGAAGAGATGCATCCTTTCAGTGCAAAAATCCAACCTGAAATGTCTCGATTTTTCGGTGAGTGCAGTTAGAAAAAAATTTATCAACTATTTTTTTATGATAAATTTCAAAAACTTGGTAGAATGCGACTTTAAAAAAATTCTCATTGTTAATAGTTGACATAATTTCCAAAGAGGGACAAAAAGAGTTACGAAGTTGTGCACGCGAAAAAAGTGCGGGCGCAAATCGAAAAACTTTTCCAAGGCAAGTGCGACCAAACGAAGAAGCTCTGCAGTTGCCGTGAATTCAAAATTTAGGTCAACTTGAAAATAAATAATGACAGTTTACAGGGAATTTCTGTAAATATTCGAAATAAAAAAGAAATAAACATCTTTTTGATATTACAGAGCAACAAACTTCGATCGCAAAAATGGCCATAAAATGGAAAATTATTTTAAAAAAATGAACAAAAAATCCTGAAATAATCTTTATATGATAAGTAAGCCCATTGGGAACCAAAAAATTTGAAACGTAGAATTTAAAGAAGCTAAAATAAGAAAAAATACTACTTCCACTTGGCAACGGATCGTTATATTTCCGTTTAAAACATCTTTTAAAAGTAGACAGGAGCACTAAGTAGCATTATAGGAGCTTTAAAAAAAATGTATTTTTAAATGATTATTTTGAAGAAAAAGCGAAAAAAGAAGAAGCAAAATCCACACGAACGCGCAAAAGGTCACTGAGCGCGCCACTTAAATGCGCCCTCAAGTGGTTTAAAAAGTTCATTAGCGCAAAATAGACGCAATTTTTTTGTGAAAATTTTGAATTTTTTTGAATTATCGGTAAATTTTAGGTTTTCTTCATTTTTTCCACTTATTTTGTTGTGCAGTGGGTGTATTTCAAATTTATTCATGACATAGTTTATTTGTTGCAGAGTTTGAATGGATAAAAAAAATTTTCTATGTGAAATATTTATTAATTTTTGTTTGTTTTTAGAAAAACAAACCATTCTGGACGGTACGCTCTGTAATCTCTCCGAATCAAGTGGTTTTTCAAAATCCACAAGTAGCGTCAGATACGAATGGGTATGCTTCAGAAAGAATTTCGAAACTGCTCACGTTTATTTTTCAGGGAAGGTAGATTTCGAACTTCGGTGGAAGGAGACTGGCTTTATGCGTTTGGACTACAGCAGATACACGACGGGACGATTCTCGAATGTTGGCTTCCTATTGATTCCGCCAACACAACTTTTGCGATCAGTAGAACTCGGATTGGTTCGAACTTTCAGGAAAATTTATTAATTTCGGAAGTTTTCAGAGATTCAAAATTGCAGCACCGAGTCTTCAAATCCGTGAGTGCTTGCTGATTTGATATTCGTTGAATTGATAAAATTCAGGTGTCAATATGGCAAATGCATAATCGAAAACGGAAGTTTCTCCAAATTATCTTGTCTGTGCTTCGTTCAATACACCGGCTTCTTCTGTGAAAGTTGATTACTACATTTTGAGGAAAAAAAAAAGGGAAGAAACTTTCAGAAATGGTAGATGGTGCGACTTTTTATGAAGCAATGTTCATTCTGCCGTTGATCCTCTTTTTTCCGGCTCTTTTGCTCGTCGTGATTTTTCTGTATTCTCCAGAAGCGGCTCGAAACGCTGAAGCTACTGGGTAAGTTTAATATATAGGTCCAAAAATAGAAGAACTTTTTTGCTGCCTCTTGGCGCCATTTCATCGGCTATTATGCACTATTTTTGCTGGCACCCCTTTTTTTCAACATTTTTTGAGCCTTCGAAATTCCATAAAAAAATAAAATTATCAAGCAAGGGACTCGTTTTGCTGCCTTTCTAGGGTCTTTTTTGAGCCTTTTAGCGGTCATTATCCACCAATCTGACTTTGAGGCTATTTTTCTCACTGAATAGTTTTGAAACCCAGCGATTTTTTAGACCTATTAGGAGTGAGGGTGTCTTAGAGTACCCGAAGTAAAAAATTCTGCCATTGTTCGTACTATTTTTGGCGGAAAAGAGCCTAAATAGACTAGGCTTTATCAAAAATCTCAATATTGAGAAAATCTTCTTACAGCCCGGCGAAGGTCCTATTGCTCACGCAGCACATTGTGTCCCACGATCGATCCTTGGTTTCGAAAAAAGAGCTCTTCGACTGTTTCCTGACTTCTCCGGACGAGAAACGGATCGCCATCCCCGTCTCGTTCCTGACGCCAACTTCGATCGCACCAGATGGAATCACGTCCTTCAGAAACACTCCCACGTCCTCAGGCACCGTCGTCAATTTGTCTTTGGAGCATAGCCCAGTAACTGTGAACGAGCCACCGAAAATCATTCCAAAAGAGCGGAAATCCTCTTCGACCAAGAAAAAGAAAGCTGGTTCCGGTCCGCCCAGCGATGATACCAAGTCCTCTCCGGCTCCAAAGTCCAGCCCCGACCCATCTCGACCTCCGAAACAGGGAAAGGCACCACCGAAGTCTTCTTAGTCCGGCAAGGTCGCCGCAGAGTAATCCTCCTTTTCACTGCACATTTCTTCTTTTGTACAGACTAACTTTTGGGATACTGTTCGGAAATCAGGTCAAACGTGTCAATAAATTTGTTTCTCACTAGGTTTTTGTTCTATTTACTGGCCTTATAAGGGGGATCTTATATTTTTGTTGGGGTTTTCAAATCATATCTTGAAATCTTTACACATAAGAATACTGAGAAAAAGACGGACTTTCCAACAAACTACAGTAGAAATGGTCAAATTTCCTGTTTCAACCAACTTTCGAACTTGGATTCGGTTCCCTGCGCATAAGTCTTCTTTTGCGGCGAGGTTCAATTTCAATATACTTGGAAACTATTCTTCCTTCACCGCTACGGCAAAAAATACCAGAGGGAAACTTTTTTTTTGCCATTTGTCTGAAAAACCTCATCCCCCAGTTGGTAAGGTTCCAAATATAGGAAAAGCCGGAAAGGGTGGGGATAACTAGGAATGTTCCTTTAAGGCCTTTTTTGGTACCTATTTGCGCCTTTTCATCAGCTATTATGCACCATTTTTGCTGCCACTCCCTTTTTCCACCATTTCTTGAGCCTTTGGGAAGGCTCGATAAAGGGACTCTTTTTGCTACCTTTCTGCAACCTTTTTTGAGCCTTTTAGCAGCCATTATCCACCATTCTGACTTCGCCAAACTTCATTTCACTAGCGAAAAAAAGTTTCCAACAAAGAATTCCTTCCTCGTGAATAGTTTACGGTTTACTGATAGTAAAATAAAAAAGATAATTGGCGAGGGTCATCTGAACAAAGAAAAAAACCCATTTCGTTACACAGTCCCGAAGGGGGCATTGTTCGACCACTTTGTAACTTTTTGGCGCGTAATTGTGGGCGACTCGCCTCATTTGAAATGTGATGGCCATGACGTCATATAAAATAGTTTTGTTTGCAGATGCAAATCTTTCTGTGTACTTCTGAGGAAACTTCGGGGAGATGGTCGAAAACAAGGCGATTGGAGGAGGAATACAAAAAAATGGGGGTGTAAAATAATTTTTAAAAAAATCTACTGGACCTCGGGATTTTTGCATAAAAAAGTTGATTTATTGAACTTACGAGGCTTGAAAAAAAATTCTGGACCTTGAATCAATTTTTTCTGGAAGAGCTATCAGAATAGGCTTTTTTCAAAGTCTTCCTTGAGATTAGATTTCCAGAAAAAAATCCTATTTTAGTCAAGTTTAGGGCTTAAAAATTAAGCTTTGTTTTCTCAAACGATCCCACGGAACTTTACCTTTTTTGGTTGAAATTTCAATTTTTCTTTAAAAAGCTTCAAAATGTCGCAAAATGACACCTTGAATTCAGGTCCTCCAAAATAAAAATCGAAAAAAAAAACCAATTTGTGCCCATCGAACGACATATTACTCATCGAGGTCTAACTCGTATTCCAGTACTCTTTGGCAAAGGGGCAAGGAAAAGAAGAAAGGGAAGAAGAAAGGGGGAGTGGGCGGGGCGAAGACCGGTCTCGAGCCGCTCTGGTCTATGAAAAGGTCCAAAACGAAAACGGCGGTGGTATTCTGAAGGCTCCGAAATGATTCGAATCGTCGCTCTCCTCGCAGGTCAGTTCTTTTGATGTTTTTGAACTTGAATATTGATTTTGACAGTCATAGAAAGATAGGTTTGAGGTTAAGAGTTTTTGCGACACTATTAATGAAAAAAGTTCAATTTTACCTTTATTAAACTCATTTACGCTTCGTAAATATTCCTAATGATGCTTTCAGTTGTCGTCGCCTCGGCGCAATGTCAAAAGTCGGGCGGAATGGCTGAACTCAAGTCAATCACCGGCGATGCTCCCTACGATGGCGTTGGCAATGCTCCAGCTCTTCCACGACAGCCCATGGGCTTCTGGGGACGGCCAAGGTATCGCTTTGATGATTCTTCGTCTAGGACATGCTCCGTAAAGTAGAAGAAGTATAAACCGTAGATCTTCCCGTTGCTATTTTTGAACCTGAAGAACCTGTAGAAATCCCCCCTCTCGAAGAACCTGTAAAAGTAGACTCTGAATGAGCGGCAGCTAGAGATCACTAGAAATAGAAGAGACTTCAGAGACTCTAGCTTCTATGGCGTCTCTTAGCACTAAAATTGCTCTCTCTCTCTCTTTTGCTTATCTTCTCTCAGCTATTTTTGAACCTGAAGAAGTAGAAATCGCCCACCCCCACCCTCTCGAAGAACCTGTAAGAGTGGACTCTGAATTAGCGGAAGCTAGAGATCACTAGAAATATAAGAAACTTCAAAGACTCTAGCTTCTCTGGTGTCTCTTCAGACCACCATTGCTCTCTCGTTTTCGCGCTTTCCCAGTCCTGAAACTTTTCAAAACAGAAGTATACCTTCAGATACTCTCCCATGGCGTACAGTGGTCCCTACGGTGGCTCAATGTTTGGCTTCAACCCCTACGCTCCTGTCTACGACCCAAGATTTACCAGCATTTCGGGCAGTCCCTACGGATTGTGAGTGGCTTTTCCAGTAGTCCGTGGTCGCAGTTGGAATGGCTACCCAAAGCGAATCTTGACTCTGAGCCATTCCAAGTGCGACCACAGTATCTCAGACCATGTCCAAAGAAAATCACCAAGGTTGAAATCAGTATCCTTGCCAATATACAAAAGTGAAAAACTGAAATTTTCCAGAGGCACATGGGAGACGAACATCTAAGCTTCCAAAGAAAACTCCCCTTTGTCATATTTTCCAGTCCATTCATATCGCACTTTGTTTGTACATAAATCGCCTGTCTTGCGGAAATTCCTTCTTCTTGTTCAATGTTGTTAATGCTTATTTTTTTGCACTTAAAATTGATAAAATTTAATAAATAAATAAATATATATATATAAAATCTCTATGGGAAAAAAACATCTGACAATGAAAGAAAAAAAGACACCGATCGGGTAAGGCAATTTCGCAGGTTGAGTCAATTTCTCATTGAAGTAATATGTATAGATACCTAAAGACACATAAAAAATGATGAACAAGTGAAATGCGAAAGAAAGGAATGTTGGGGGGAGGAGGGGAAAATGAGCTTTTATTCAGTTGATCGCTGGGTACCCGATATCAAGCGATGCTGAAAACATTGATTATTCAGAGCTTTTTTTCAAAAACTGAAAACAAGTTGAAGTGACCAATATAGGGCTTTTAATTTCTAATAGTCTGAGGACCCGTTGAATCTCTAAGTGGTCTCTATATCCCTGTTCTGAAGAGACCTATTGGAATCCTGTCCTAAAGAGACCACTTAGTGATCCAAGACATTCTAAAGTGACCACTGAATCCTATAAAGACCTCTAGGGACCACTATAGGGCTCCTAAATCTCTAGTAGTCAGTTCATGGTGAAAAAAAAAACCGAAACATTGGATCTCTAAGTGGTCTCTATAGGATCCTAGCCTTGAAGGCTTCTAAAGTGACCACTAAACCCAATAAGGACCTCTAGTGACCCCTATAGGGCTCCTAAATCTCTAGTAGTCTGTTTATGGTAGAAATTCATTCCGAATGACGCCTAGGATCTCTAAGTGGTCTAATAGGATCCTAGCCTAATTGACTACTAAAGTGACCACTAAGTCCTATAAAGACCTCTAGTGACCCCTATAGGGCTCCCAAATCTCTAGTAGCCAGTTCATAGTGAAATCTCTTCTTTCAAGTGAAGCCTTGGGTCTCTAAGTTGTCTTCATAAGATTCTAGCCTTATGGACTTCTGAAGTGATCACTAAATCCTATAAAGACCTCTAGGGACCACTATAGGGCCTTTTGGTAGAAAGTCATCCCGAGTGAAGCCTTGGGTTTCTAAGTTGTCTTCATACGATTCTAGCCTTATGGGCTTCTAAAGTGATCACTAAATCCTTTGAGGGCCTCTAGTGACCACTTTAGGTATTTGTTCAACTTTGAAGTTAAAAAATAGACAAATTCAACTTTCATCTTTTGCCCAACTCAGTTTCCTGGAACTTTTCGAGGACACCTTACAAAACTCCAATCCCAACCTGGATTATAACTGGGAAAAATGTGAGCCGCACGTCTCAGGTCTTCTTCGTGTTGCTCGTAACAACGTCGCGAAGTTCTCGACTGCGACATTTCCGGCTGGATCGCATACCAGCGAGCGGAAGCGCTCAGAGCGTTTGAGTCTGGACAAAAAAGTAACTAAGAACCAGAAAAAAGCTCTTGCTGACGGGGGTTTTTAACAGATTTTTGAAATTTCTCAGTTGCTAAGTGCAGTTTTTTAATGATAACTTTGAACCTGAGCTCAGAAATTGCTAAAAATGAAGCTCAAGATGATTTATTCTTAATTTTGAGCCTCCGTAACTTTTTTGAAGCTTTTCTGAGCTCGAAATCAGGAAAGGCATGATAAAGTTCACTTCTGGAGGAGAAACTCTTCATCAGGATTTCCAGTCAAGACCATTTCCTACTGAGACCTTTCTAAATTTCGGCTAAAATCCTCAAATAAGGGGAGTCTTTGTTTACCTAGTCTGCTGGATTTTTCTGTAACTTCGCTCAAACAATCTTCGATAAACTGGGAATCGAACCGACAACGTCGCTATCTGCGCCCAGGTTCTGAGCTACAAATCCCCCCCCCCTCTCTGAAACTAGAAGATTGGCTAGAAAAAAGGTGAAAAATTGATTTTATTCCTAACTTTTCAAAATTTTTTTGTCACCTCCTCCTACACTTCTTGACTTCTTCACTTATACAGTTATGGCGCAGATCTGATTTTTCGATTTCCCGTCCATCAAAGGCTTTTCGAGCAAGTTGGTAAAAAGGTTTAGTATAAAGACTGCCAATTTTAAGTTCCTAAAATCAGTAACAGTCCCGAATTCGTACCGCCAAGGCTGATCTGAACGTGGCCCAAGGGTACGTCGTTGGTGTCTTTCTCGTAGTCGCAGACGGAAAACTCGAGGAACATGGTGGAAAGCAGCTGCGGCGGCACGTGGTATTCAAGTAGTTGGTTCCACTCCGGATCGCAACTTGAATCGACGAAACGCGTCCGCCGCTTGTGTGAGACCCTGTAAAACTCGCCACATCCTTTTTTTTTCCTGGCAACTTCAACAAACACGGTGGTTTTCGCGCAATGAAAACTGTGCATCCAGGGGAACAATTATAATTGTTATTAACCAATCCTTATAGGGACTACGAAAGCTTGCAAAGTGGTACCTATAGGGGACATTCGAGTCGATAATTTTTATGAACTCTAAGCGAAGAAGCATTTCCATGTGAAAAACTGATTAAATAAGCGTTTTTGAATGAAATTGAAAGACCCCTATAGGGTCCACTTGAGCTTTAGGGGCTAAGGATTCAGACTGTAAAACCCTATAGGATCCACCTTGATTTTACCCCTAAAGGGACCACTTTTTCGTTCTCTAACCCCTATAGGGACCACTCTGGGATTCCCAAGTATATGCGCGAAAAACTGAGCCTCCAAAAAAGGCATCATTCACGAAAAAAAGGTCCTCTGACTACTGTAGAAAGATTTTTAATCAAAGATTTTGGCGACTCAATTTTCGCAGCCTGGATCCAAAGGATCTAAGAAAGAATTTTTTAGCTTTCTCCCTGAGTTTTTTTTTTCCGGAAAAAGTATTTTTTGTCAAGGTGAGAGATTGTTGAAAGATTAGGATCGTTCGGAAAGCCGTAAAGTTGTTTTTAAGCTTAAAAAAGGGATTTATGTCCTATTTTGGTAGGACATGGCCTTAAATAGACTTTTGTAACTTGCGTTTCGTACCCTTATGGAATTTTTTATTTTTTCGTACCCTTCCGGTATTCCGGAGTTCTGTCCGTATCTTGAGAAAAACAGATTTGAACTTTTTGATCCTTTTCAAATGTCTAGAAACCAAATAAATCTTAAAAAGGCCCATTTTTTGAGTTTCGCGTTCTTTCAAATCAAAGGTCTATTTAAAATCGAACAGAAGCATGTAACTTAAAAGACGACTTATTCGAAAAATTCCAACAAGAGTGGTCAAACTATCGAAGACGTACTTGCGGCCCGGAAGAAGGTAGACTTTGACGAAGGGATTCGGAGCAGTTCTGGAGGTGTCGCGGGCCTTGAGTCCACGGGCTCGAAGCACTTGGACCGTTAGGAGGCTGGAACTTCGGTCGTAGGACAGGGCGACTTGGATGTGTCCGCAGGAGGAGTCCTAGATGTACAAAGTCTCTATGGGCTCTTTCACAAGTCCCAACCGAAAAAGAAGCATGAGGAAGGTTATTATTGTTGCCGTTCACACGGTGCATAGGTACAGGTGGAGCTCGGTCAGGAGAAAGCTCTGGAAAATATCTTAGTAATATATTAATGATAAAAATATCTTAGGTTCCATTCGAACTTTAAAAATCTATTTTTTGTAACGAAACGTTTCAAAATGCAACAATCTTGCTCTAAATGACTGTTTCGGAGCAACTCCGGCGTAATTTAACACAATTATATTATTTCTAAAAAGCACTCAAGCTTGAGATCTGGTCAATGATTAAAAGTTAAAAAGATTTTTCAAAATAATGCCCTAAATGCTTTAAGATTCCTTAAAATATGATTCCTCAAAAAGATTTTAATGGTACCTACTCAAATAAATTTTCAAAGAACTCAAAAACCAAACCGTCGGAACGCAAATAGCGATGCTGATCTTCGGAAACTCGGCCAGGTGCTCCTAGCTGGTTCACCCTGAAACCGCAATCTCAGATAAAGAAGTAATTATTTATCGACTCACGATCTGATTATCACTTCAACCTCTCCCTGGCTCGAGTTGATGATCCGCTCAACTTCTTCGAAAGTTTTCTCGCGCAATAAAATGCCGTTCCATTCGAGGACTTCATCGCCTAGAAGCATTTTTTTTTTCAGAAAAAGTCGGTTTTCCTGAAGACTGAGTTTGGTATAAGGCTCAAAATAGCAGAGGAAAGTGATAGGCAAAAGGAAAATGACCATCATAGATTGAGAAGTATAAAGTGAAGAGAATTTTGGAGTGACAGAGATCATTCTGAACACAGCAGTTTCATTTTCTTCTTTATTTTCCTACATCAAGATTTTTCAAATCGATTCCAATCTTTACCAAGCTTGATCTGGCCCAGAGTTTGATTATTCATCTTGCTGTTGACGGCAGAGACGTAGGCGGCTAATTGACCGTCTTTCTGTCGTTTTCCGCCGACGACACGAACACCGAGATCTGCAGAAGAAGTTTTTATGAAATTCAGAGATTGAATTTTGGAAAATTTCTGGAGAGGAACTTCTGAGATTCGGTCTGAACCATCAAAAATAAGAAAAAACGAGATTTCTGAGTGCAAAATAGCAATTCCAAGCCTGGAAAGGACCTTCCGAGGCTGATCTATACTTATTTTGGGATAGGATTTTCTTCGGAGATGCACCAGAAAGATTTCTAATCGTTTTCTCATCAATTTGGTCCTTCCCTTGAAAAGGAACAGACAAACTTCGAATTTTCATAGAATTTTCAAGACAAAAGGCCGTTTTTCGTGTTATTCTAAGCCAAGAAAGACTTTTGAAAGACCAACTAGTACTTATAAACTCACTAAATTGTTATAATCATCAAACTTTCATCAAAAACCAACCATTATAGATGTTATGATGACGGTAGCGACGAGTCAGAAGAATCCTTTTAACCTCCGGCCGCCGTTCTTCTTCGTAACGACCCCGATGACGTTGGTGGCCGGAAAACGGCTCCGAACGGGTCGTGCCGGTGTCATAATCCACCCTTGGCCTTGTGCGGTTCGACAAAGACCGGTAGTTGTTGGAAGGAACTGAATCATGGAACTCCATCACGAGAATATTGGAACAACCTTCAAGTTTGGGTATCAGATCGAAAAAAGGAAAAATTATGAGAGAAAGAATGAAAATCTCAGTTAAAATTCAGTTTTTACCTTCAAGACAAGAAATCGTGAACAAAACTGACCACTGCCAATAATTTTTAAAAATTCTTTTTTGATGCCAAATCTTGAATGATCGAAATGAGGTTACCGTGATGCGGATATTGATGATTCGATTCAAGATAGAAAATTTTGAAACTACAAAATAATTGATTTTTTTGCTCCATGACCAACTTTCATAATCCCGGAATAGAGAAACAAGCTTTTGCGTTGGGTTTGCAGGATATTTGTTGAAAAGTATTTTTTTGATCTTGACCTTTTTTCCATTCCCAATGTGTCCCGCAACACTAAACATTTTTCTCGATTCAAATTTGAATAATGGAAAAAAAGATGCGGAAAATGAGCAGAATATCAAATTAACCGAAGAAAAACCCTAATTTAAAAAAAAATTTTCTTTCATGACTTCGAAAATTACATGTTCCAGAGTCTCAACTTGAGCTATAAGCTTAAAAAAAATTTCTGAACGAAAATCGGTTAGGTGTCCCGTTTTTTTCGCAGTACTTATCTTTTACTCTTTTTTTTGTCTTCCTATGTAGGACGTCTTTCAAAACTTCTCAAAATCCCCCTTGAACATATTCAAAACTTATTGATACTCAGACATTCGTAACGCAAAACGGAAGTTTCTATGCAATTCTAGGGAACACTTAAGAGTGCTGACGCTACTAAAATGGCCACTAGGAAAGCCCAGAAACTTCTGGAGCTTGTCCGTTTCGTGTTACCAATGTCCGAGTACGAGCCGATTATTTACGTAGTTCCGTGGAGCGTACTTTCAGGGGTTTTGAAAGCTGTCATAAAGACAATATTTTAAACTTCGATCAAATCCGCAAGCTCAAGATAATTGAAAACTTCTTTCATGCCGTGTTAAAAGTAATTTCGCGAAATAGTAAAATAGCCGCCAGAGAAAGAAAAAGATAACTACATTGTGGAGAATCAGAGATAGTTTTTGATTCCTCGCAAATCACTTCGACCACGGCATCATAAACTTGAATTTGGCCACTTTTTCACAGAAAAATGATTTTTTTTATTGCCATTTTTGGATGATTCCTACTTTTTCACCATTCAAAACGGCTGAGATTTATATCTCCTACCACAAAAATTTCGTTAAAATCAAAAAATCATCCTCAGAAAGCAAGAAAATTTTTCTTTTAAATGCTGAAAATATCTCCAAATGTCAAATCAGCAGCGTTTCCGAAAAAAATTTGTTTCGCGCTAAAAAAAAAACTCTTTCACTTCGACTTTTCGGAAATATTATAAATTCGATTTATCCATTTTTTTATTTCTTGAGAGGTTTTTTTATAGATAGAAAAAAATATGACAGGCTTCTCCTAACAAAAAAATTGGCTTTTTAAAAATAGAACTTTTAGAGATTTTTAGTCAATTTTTAGGTTCTAACTTTATAAGCTTTGAAAATTCTCAAAAACGATTCAGCCTAAAAATTCGTTCGTCCTTAGAATTTTAAAAAGGAGCTCAGTGAAGCCGATAAAAAAACTTTTTTTCGTGTAAAACCTGACTTTAAAGGGAAAAACTAACTTCATAACCACCGCGTCCGGAAAACCCATGCAGCGAAACGAGGACCTCTGTGAAAACTTTTCTTTTTCAACGATTTCTTTTGTATCTTTATTGAAACCTTGCAAACCCAGCAAACGCTTGTTTCTCTTTTTTCTTCTTCGGAACATAACAAGAGTTGAAATAAAATAATTTATCCCTATAAATCGCAAAAAAACATAGAGAAGGACTTTATTGAAAGAAAATCGGGTCATGGAGCAGGTAAAACGGAGCCGTATCGTCAATAAAGAATGAAGTTAAATGCGCAATGAGGGAATGATCTCAATAGCACCTTATAAAAGTGAAAAAAGAAAAAAAAAGGTAGCAAGAATATCCGCATCACAAAAACCTAGCGTTGGGTGACAAATGCGAACCTTGGGACCGACGACGTCCGGCCGAAGCGTAGACGCGAGAGAGGGCGTCGTCACGAGGCCAGTAGTCGGAGACGTCGCCGAAGCCGACCCTGGCGATGGGCTCTCCGGGCGGCAAGGCGTACAACTCCTGCTGCTGTCTTCGGAGGAGCTGCTGCTGCTGCAGAAGCTGTTGATGGTGCTGCTGCTTCTGGAGGTTCGGCACGTCGTAAAGTTCTTTTCGACTGCCGTAGGGCTTGATCGGAACCACGGCCGAGTAGGGCTTTCTTACGTTCCCGTAGTCCATCAAACTCTGCTGAGCAGGTCTGGATCCGTAATTGGTCTCATTGCGGCTGTAGACATGGGCGGCACGCATCGGATCGCTCAACATCAGAGGATCGAAATGGTTGTCGAAGTTGGTGGTCATTCCTTGCCGAGGCTCTGAGAGCGGAGCGTCGTATCTGGTCAGAGGCATCATCGGCTGAGGCAGATTCGCGGCGGACTGAAGGCCAGTCAAGAACTGGGAATTGAGGAAACTCGCGTATTGGCTGACAAAATCTGGGTGTTGTTGCGGAACCGTCATGTTCATCGTGTCGTTAGCGTAGGGGAAGTTGGACGTGCCTAGCCGTTTGGTGTTGGCATTGCCATCGGCGTAAGAATCGTAGTAGGCTGTGCCAGGACGACCGTACATCGACGACGTCGACTGCGGAAGATTCATGTCAAACGCTGTGAAACTGTTGTATCGTGCCGGAGGAGCACCAAAAGACTGCTCATTTTCGATCTGGATCGGCTCGACGTTGTATCTTTCGAAGTTCCTCGGCAAAGACCCATAGTTGTAGTAGGGTGCTACAGGCTCTGGAGCTCCTCGGTAGGTGAAATCTCGGGTCGAGTCTGTTCTGACTCGAGGATAGTCGATCCGAGGGAGAGATCCATAGTGAGGGACGTGAGAGCTGTAGTCGCTGGACATGGCGTTGGTGGTCTGGAATGGCTCGACTTCGTGCAGAACTTCGCAACTCGCACACATTCTTTCCCGTCGACGGGCCAACTCGCTCAACACTTGAGACTTGCGTGACTCGGCGTCTTCGTCGTCGTGAAAATCGAAGCGTCTCCGCTGGGATCTTTTGGCCTTCTCTCCCAGCTCGCGCAGCTGTCGGTCGTAATCTTCAAAGTACTGCTTCGTGATCTCCAACAGATCACTGTGATAGCTGCGCGACTGTTCGTTTCGATCCCTTCTCGACTGTCGGTCTTTCTGAATGCGAGGGTAAGATCCAGAAAGGATGTTCGACCGATAATCCAAAGTGGGATTCGCCGTATCAGTTTGAGTCTCAGCACTTCGCTTGCCGACGTAGGTCATGAGATTTGGCCTCTTCTCAAACTCTAGCTGCGTCCTGAGCGACGTCGTTCGCATTTGATGGATGTTCTCTTCGTTGGCTTGCGTTGCCACGCTTTGAGAAGACGTGGCGCCAAGTTTGGACGTCATCGGCGTCGACTGAGCCGCAGCGTATCTTCTGGCTGTAGGCGTGTGCGTTTCCCTTCTGTTCGGCTGGACTTGAGGCAACTTCGCGATGTGAACGTCTCGTGTGATCTCCAGAGGCAAATCACACTTGACGACTCGTGGAATGTCATCTTCCGGTTTCTCAGGAAGCAGGCCAGTGACAATCATCTTCTGCACTTTGTACTGCCTCTGGTTCGCTTCGATTTCGCTGGCTTCTAGACGAACTTTCCTCTGCATCAGAACGTCTTTCAGCTCCTTCTTCAGCAGAACCCGTGCCAAGGTGTTCGGGATGCGGGCCGTGGAAGGTCTGATCTGCGAAGTCGTCGTCGACGTGGAAGGTCGTAGAGAAACTGGCTGTCTCAGATGCGGAACTCTCGAGGTGTAGGCTGCTCCAGGCAGGATAGCGGGGTTGATGTTGGAGGTGGAAGGGTAAATGGAGACGTTGCTCGCAGCAGACGCCGGTCTCGAAATGTCTTGGTAGATGGACATTGACGACGTCGGTCTGGAATCCAAGCCGGAGACAATTCCCGCCGAGGTGGATGGGACCGAAGTGAAGACGTTGGTGGTAGAAACGGCAGGGGACACCGTGGTCCGACTGGAGGTGATGTAGACCGGCGGCGTGGTCTGCGACTGGGTCTGACGTCGTGGCAAGCTGGAGCCACGGAGCAGCGTTTCGGGGACGATCGGATCTTGCGGCAGCGAGGTAGAGTAGTCGTCGACAAAATGACCAACGACGGAGTTGGAAAGCGGCGCTTGGATCGTCATCGAGAGGGGCGTTTGGAGTGACGGCGGGCCGGTCGACGTTGCTGGAATCGACGGCAGTTTCCTTCTACCCATTTCAGTCGCACTCGCAGCGCTACCATCGTCCTGCAATGTCAGCTCAATAGAAAAAGGTCCTTAAGTGATTCCTTAAAGTCACAGGTCAGTAAAAGTTCGGTGGAAATCCCCAATCTTCAAGCCAATTTCAAGCCAAAAGCGGAAAAAACTCCTTCAAGACACGTCGCGTTGATTTTTAACAAACTGGCGGCGAATGAAGTGATAAAAATTCACTCAATTTCTCTGTTGGCGAAAAAAAAAACAGCCATAAATAAAATATTCAAGGCATGAAAACGAAAAAGATTGAAAATTAATAAAATTTCCATTTTTTAAAGCTTTTCATCAAGAGAAAAATCATTATTCCCTATTCAGTATGATTTATAAAATGTCTCGTCCTCATTCAATCTTATTAAACGTCGAGCTTAATGATTTAAGATATTTTAATTTAAACTTTTTTTCCAAACTGAACTTTTTCGGCAATGATTTGAACAACATTTCAAGTGCATAAAAAAATTATTTACAAAAAAATTACAAATATATCGAATCTTTGAAAAAAAAACTCGATTTCCACTACTACAATCCTTTCAATTCATTTTTTTAACAACAAGTTGTCTCAACTTTTTCAAAAAAATAAACCTTAAATGGGTTGAAAAAAAATGATAAAATATCGTAACAATTTCGAAATAATGACCAAAAAAATGTTATTTTTTTCAGAATAATTTTTTTCAAGTGAAGAAAGTTTCCTCAATATTTTTTTCAACAATCTGACAAGGTTAAAAAGTATTTTTTTGCTTCTTATTCAAAGCAGAACGCTTCAAATTTTTGTGCGCTAGTAAAGAAAAAAAAGAAAAGATTTTTGGCATCTTTGATCATAACTCGGCTTGTACTGGAATCAGGGCCTCGAAGCAAATTTACAACTAAATTTTAAAAATCAGACCATTTGTCTGAAATACGCTATGACAAAAATTTTTTTTCAAGGATAAAGGTTGAGATTTGAAAACTAAGGAAAGATTTCACTTTTCGGGTGTGAATTTCCTGAAAATTGGCTTGAAATTTCACTGATGTAACAATTGAAGCTACTAAAAGACTTCCTAGTTTTTCGAAAACGACATCTTAAAGTCAAGAAAACCTTCAAAATCAGTTAGGAAAAGCTATTTTGAGATTCTTACAGGGAAGGTCATTTTACTTTGAGAATCTTCTGAAAAAATGTCAAACCTTGAAAAACCTAATTAAGGATCTGAAAACTTCAAGCTGCAAAATTGCCTAGTTTTTAGGAAATAAAAGCTCAAAGCCCCTAAAAAGACCTTTTCGACGGATTTTGAAAGTTTCAGACTTTGAGAAGTCCTTTCTCAAAAACTTGGAGGTTGTGAAGGTTGAAACTTTCAGAATCCTCTTCTGCTACATCAAGGAGTGTTCTGGCCAAGTTTCAGAAAAAAAAAGAAAAATGACCTTCCTCGTGAAGATCTTCATTTGTTACATCAAAAAATGTACTGGCCAATTTTCAAAACTGCGCCAACACAAAGTAAAATGACCTTTCTTGCCAGCCCAACTTATAAAGAAACATCGAAAAAGACTAGAGCTACTAATTTTTGGATCGAGGATCTAACCACTCACAGATGTTTCTCAGCCAAACTTTTAAAAATTGAAAGATTCTGAATGAATCCCCGAAAAAGACTACAGCTACAACTTTTTCCGATGAAGGAGGTGCATCCATCCATCCATCCATCCATCCATGTGTTGCAGTTTGAACACTCCCACACAACTCATTACGTGTGAGTGTGCGTGGATGGAGTGAAAACGCTTAAGAGTAGTGCCTAGAAGCTGTGACCGACCGAACGAAAAAAGGGAGAAAACGGCCGAGGTGTGCTGCCTGGCCTCTAGTGAGAGCCGGCGGCGGCACTCTTTTTGCGTATCGATTCCCGTTATACATACCGCTAGATTGGCTTTCATTGGGTTGGACTGGGGATTTTTTGTCCGGGGGACTTATCAACGTTGACCAATTTTGAGAAGGACAAGAATTTTTGAAAAAGTACATGAAAAAACGAACCGTTATGGCATGTGCATACTAACAGAAGGGGGCCAGGACAACAGATGGGAGAGGGATAGAAGAGAAGGGAATATGGCGGAGGGAGTTCTGATGCGCGAAGACGTCGCTCTCGCTGCTGGCGGGGCAAAAGCGGCCGCCTGGGAGGAGAGGAGGGGCGTGGCCTAGTGGAGCAGCAAGGACGCCTGTCTCCTTTCTCGGCACACCGCCCACTATTTCAACGACTTCTGCTTCTGCCCGCCCGAGCTTCTCACTTCTTTTTTCTTTCGGGATTGCCGAGATTTTTCATATAGGTTCAGACAATCGAAAGATGAAAATTAATAGGAAAAAATAACGAAAATGCCTTGCTGCGAGTTTAAAAAAACATTGTGAAAAGACTTCCAGGAAGTTTCATCATTTTTTTTTTGAAAAAAAAGGCTTTCGAAGCACGACAATCAATCATTTATCATTACAGATCGAATTTCAAATATTTTTTGAATTAGCGCCAAAAATGCTCCGCTGAACCTTCAACTCCCGGGTCATACAGTACTCTTAGGATCTATCCATAACAAGTTATAAGTATGGTTTCGATAGTCCAAATACAAACAAGAAATTTTCAATGTTCCCCCCAAGATTCCCTCCCGCTTCAAGATAGTTTCATGGAACTTCATGCAACAAAACGAAGAGTAAAAAATAACGAGTGAAAAACCGAAGAACTGCTGAAATAAAATAGAAAATAAATCCTGGAACTGACTTCGATATCCTGAAGCCACTTGTAGGCGTTGGCCAACCCGTCGATGGTATTCGGAACTTCCGAAGGTTGTTCATCGACGGTTTTGGCTGAGAAGGAGGACAGGGACGCCAGAGGCTCTTGAGACGGTAACAGCATTCCGGGAGAACGTTTGAGGCCTCTGAAATGTGTTCTTAAGACAAATTTTGGAAAATTTCATGATAATTTAGTCTTTTCTCATCCAGATGGATTTGAATTAAAGGTGCATAAAAACAGACTCTTGAAGCAAAGAGGGTAAAAAGGCCCCTAAAAACTTCTGAGGTAAAATAAACCCTAAAAGTTTCGGTCAAGAGCATACTTTTTTCTCCGTCAGTTCCTAAACTTCGCATCCAACATCTCAAAATCAGAGAGACCCGAGTGATCACTTTAGTGAAGGGTTTTTTGCTTTAGGGATCACTTAAAGAAGACAGGCTACTCCGGAAGTCACCAAAAGATAGGTAATTCTTTTTTTTTAACATCTCGGACTTTGAGAGGCTTGAGTGGTCACTTAAGTGGCATACCCACTCTTAAATGACCCCTTGAAGAGGACCTACTACTTCCGTCTCCGGAAGGTTTCCTTTTGTTCGTCAGTTCTAATACTCGCATTCAGCAATTCGGACCCTGAGGCTTGAGTGGTCACTTGAGTGGGTGATTTTCTATTAAGGGGTAACTTTTTCTTCGCTTTTCCTATAGGGATCACTTGAGAAAGACCAACTACACCGCTTGTCTCCGAAGTTGGGAGATAGTTTATATCTTTTCTTTTTCAGTTCAACACTTCGCTTCGAACATATCAGACTTAGAGAGACGTAAGTGATCACTTGAGTAAAGGAATTTTCCCTTTAGGGATCACTTAAAGAGGACCGACTACTCTCGAAGTCTCCGAAAGGTTTATTTTTGCGAGCTCTGACGCTTCGTACTCTACAACTCGGAATCATAGATACCTAAGTGGTCATTTGAGTGAAGGGCTGCCTCTTTAGTGACCACTTATAGAGGACCAACTACTACAAAAGGTAAAAAATTTCTTCTGCATTTTTTTTGCAGAAGAAATTTTTTACAAAATTTTGAGATAATAACCCTACTTCAAGAAAAAATGTCATTAAAAAAAAATAAATATTTGCCTCGGTGATAGGATTTCGGGTTCGGCGGCGACCGAGTCGAGGAAACTGCCGAGGGTGGATTTCTGGAGTGGGAGCAGGAAGGAAGGCGACGTCTCTCCGTTGCTCATCTTCTCTTGGGTCGCTTTGTTTTCTGCAAAAAATGGAACGACTTCAATTGGGCTATTATAGAGCCTTGCGAAAAACAATTGAAGAAAAAAAAAAGTTGAGAAGGAGTGATGTCAATGGGCTGAAAAATGTTTGCACAAGTCGGTTTTTGACTTTTACCTCTGGAAGAAACAGCATAATTTTCTTCAATTTCAAAGCAACTATCAATAGATTTCAACGAAAATTTCAAGGTTCGAAGCTTCAAAAGTTGAGATTTTCTTTATCTTTTCACACAAGAAAAATTATTCATAATCAATTTTTCTATTCTTTGTCTCAAGACGTTTTTCTTTAAAAAAAATCACTACTTCTTCAAATTTTCGATAAGTCTAGGCGGCTTTCCAAAGTTTTTTTTTTTTGAAAAATGCAAATGTTCAAGATCAATCATACGTTATTGGTGCTACCAAAAGGCGTTTTTTTGGTTTATTTGCTTATAAATTTAATTTTTTTGAAAGATCAGAATATGTAGCTGATGCATTTTGTGTGATTTCTGTCCTAGGAATTCCAGAGTGGTCCCTATGAGAGGGAAAACAGGAATCTAGGGGCAAATTAGGGGGAAAGCAACCCCTATAAGGGCCGAAAAACTGATCCTCAAAGGGGTTAAATTAAGGTGGCTCTTTTAAGGGTTTAGGGTCTGACCCCTTAGCCCTTAAAGCTCAAGTTCGTTATAATTCTCGATTAGCATGTTCCCTATAGCGACCACTAACTGAAACCTCTGCAGGGACCACTTTTGCTAATTTTAGTGCCCCCTATAGGGGATGGCAAAGTGGTCCCTGAAGGGGAACCTGCGAGGGCCCCTAAGGTTGCCCCTATAGGGACCACTCTGGAGTTCTTAAGGTCGTTATAATCCATTCCGATGAATTTCAAAATAGAAATAGAAAAAAAAAACATGGAAATGGGAAATTCGCTCTTGTCTTAGTATCACGTTATCATTAAATTGATTGAGAATTTGAAAAAAATTTTTTTCACAAAAGTATTTGTTTAAGGTTTCCAAAACAGATTGAAATCCGGAAACCAACCGTTGGAAGCTGTCGGAATCGCAAAAGAGCTTTGATCGTAGCAGAGCAAATTGGGCTTGGCCGAGGCGTTCGTGTACACTTGTCCCAGCTAAAAATTATAACTTTCATCAAAAAGATCAAATTGACTGAGACCAGGTCTTCGACTTCCGCCATTGTCTTGTCGATGGACGTGTAGATCTCAGAAGGGACATCATTGACCTCTTGAGGGGAGAAAAATGGAGCAACTCCAGAGGTCGGGATCGAGTTTGGCGAGGAGAAGAACGGCGAAGTCTCGGAGGTTATCGTTAGGGGCGGTGGGCGTTCTGAGGAAGAAAAATCATTGGAATTCCGACAAGGAGCGTGAAAAGGGTCCTGATTGAAATTTGATAGAAAATTGACTCATTTTTTGTATTTTTCTGTATGAGTTGTACTGTAGTTGGAACGGATTTTCTCAAATTTCTTCAAAAATAATTAGGTAAGGCTTCTTGCTGAAACTTCGATAGAACTTTGGGAATTTTTGATTTCAAATAAGACAGGAAAAAAACCGCCACCTTTTTAATGAAGCTAAGGTACCTGAAAAAATCCTAAAAGTTCCTGTTTTCTACTAGTAAAATAAAAATATCTTGATCAAAGCCATATAAACTTTCAATGCTTATTTCAGAATAAATAGAGAAGAATTCCGAAAAATTTTTTGGCCTGATTGATTTCAAATCAAGCGGTAAAAACTGTCTTTTACCTTTTAGCACAGCTATGATGCCTAAAAAGACGCCAAAAGATACTTGTTTTCTTAAAAAGGTAACAAGGACAATACCTTTATTAAAGTCATATTCATTTTTCAACACCTCTTCAAAAACTAATAAGTAAGGCTTCTTGCTGAAAATTCGATGAAACTTTGGGGATTTTTGATTCAAATTAGGCGGGAAAACTGCCTTTAACCTTTTAGCACAGCTATGATGTCTAAAAGACACCAAAAGGTACCCGTTTTCCATTAGCAAAAATAAAAATACATTTAAAAAATGGATAATATAATCTTACCACTCAAATTTATGATAGCGTAAGTTGTAGCCGGCGCCGCGACCGTCGTACTTTCTGTCGATTTCTTTGGCCGATCGTATTTGGCCAGAATATTGTCCGCCGACTTCTTCTGTCGCTTTTCTCGAGCTGGAAGAGTAACTTTCAAAAGTTACCATCAAAATATTCCCGATGGATTTTTGAGATTCCATGCATTTTATGAGCCCCGTTTCATATCTCAAAATAAGCTTTTCAAACAGGAAAAATGTTGGAAATCGCCATTTCCTTTTTCAAAACCCAGTTCTACCTGCCCTAAGAATCCTTTTCTATATCTTTAATTTTGTTAAATTTATTTTCTAGTCCGAAAATGTTCAAAATCACCATTCAAACGGCTCTCCGAGTTGCTCAAAGTGCCGTCGTCTTCCGATTCATCCTCGGCGATGGTGTAAACCGGGCCGGGCCTTCGCATCATTTGCGAATGGGTTTCGTAGAACTTGGCCACCTCGTTGTAGTCGACGTCCTCCATGTTGATCGTCTTAAAGAAAATCAATCAATAATCAAAAAAATTGTAGATCCAAGACTAACCACTTCCTCATCCTCCGGCGAATCGAGGAACGGATTCCGGACCGGCTGGAATTTGCCGATTTCAGGAGGTCGTGCCGTTTGGAACAGCATCTCCTTAAAAATTTTTCATTCTAGAAAAGGAAGGGACATTTTTTAATGATTGAAGGAAATTTTAAATCCTTTCTTAGGCGTTTCAAGGCTAAATCAATAAAAAACTGGGAAGTGGCCACTATAGGGTTTTGACGTTTTAGTGGTCACTAAAGTAGACAAATTAGTGGGCACTTAAGGGGTAAAAAATAGGGACCCCTATAGAGGTCTAAGTGCTACTAGTAGACTACAAAAGTTTTAGTGGCCACTTTAGGGGTCGCTGGATCAACATGACTAGTCCAATCTGTTTCTTTTAAAATTATCAGAGTTACTGGAAGGAATACTGGATGAAAAACTACTGAAGTGGCCACTAAAAAGGAACCTCTCTAGTGGTCACTAAAACGGAAAATAGTGGCCACTATAAAGGTGCGTTTAGTGGCCACTTTAGTGTCCTCTCCAAGTAGTCCTCGGCGAGCCTCTATAGTGGCCACTAAAAATTTTCCCAGAACAACACTATAAACAGTATTATTCACATTCCTCCGAAAGTTCAGCAAGAAATTTTTGAACAGGTTCTACTGAAATTACTTGAAGATAAGTTCAAAAAACCTCTTCAGAAAAGGTTATCTCAGGAGTCGTCGTTGAAGCGGCAGCTGGAGCTGTTGGAGAGTTCTGAACACAAATTTCAAGGAAAGACTTGGGACAGTTTTTCAATGCTGAATTTTTTTGGCCTGCTGGTTATGGTCCTTTGAACCTTATACCAACGTTCTGAGAACTTTCTAGAAAATGTCACCGACTTTTTTTTTTTTCAATTTTCCGGTCTATTAAAAGCCGCTATTTTATTCTTTAATTGCCAAATGATCGACTGAAGCCGAACCTCATTCTTGACAAGGTTCGAATTGGCCCACTGGACGTCGAATTCGTCATTGGCGGCTTCTCCGAACGCCTGGATCTGCTGCAGGACTTCCTTGCCGAGTTCTTCCTGTCGAATTCGCTCCCGCTCGACTTCTTCGAAGGTCGGAGCTGGCGCGATTGGAGCCGCCACGACCTGTGAAATATATTCAAGTGGAGCTGTTTTTAGCTTTTTTTTCTGGAAAAAGATCCGTCGAAAATTCTCGATTTCTTCCGACTTGAAAGCCGAGATGGACACATTGGCAAAAGCGGTGCGCTGCGTATATGCGACGCGGCTTTCAGCGGGAAACTTACGTTCAAACGCGAATTATCTTTTTTGATAGTTTTTCAACAACTTCAACTTTTTATGGTTTTGAAATTTATCAGTTGAACGGATAAAAAAATTTTCTCTACATTTTTGCATGAAATTGAGTTTCCCACCGAAAGCCGCGTCGCGTACGCAACGCGTTCCTCCGACCAATCTACCCATGTCGCCTTTCAAGCCGGGAATGAATGGATAGTCCACGGAAATTCTCATAATTCTCCTTATAATTTTCATAAAAGAACAAATTTTTCTTACACAATTTATATTTATTCCGTATAAGGTCTTATTTGGTCGCTCTTCTTTCAAGGCGCCAGTTTAGAACACGATCTCCAAGATCCAGCTACAAGGTCCGCTACAGTTTAAGCTCTCCAAGACGCAACAGGATGGACAGGAGAATAACAGAAGAACAAGGCGAAGGACCGTAAGACCATGGTTTCAACTTGATCAACTATACGTTTGGGCTTCTAGTTCGCCAAAGGCGGTGGATTCTCATAATTTTAAAGTTTTCATTTTCGCCGCCTAGTCGATCTATGTCTATGATTGATTGGTCACTAAACTCTTAAATTTTCCGAGACTTACCTTATCGGGATACTCCTCGTCGTCCTCCGAGACGCTTTCCTCGTCCTCGCTGTCGCTTTTCGGCTCTTCTTCCGTCGTGATTTTGATCTCTGGAGTTGAGCTCAGCGAAGTCTGCGATTCGAAGTTTATTTTTCAAAGTCCAAGAAATCCCTCACTAATGCCGTAGTCCTCGTGAACGTAGAGGGTCCATTTCTCAGCCCACTGATCTTCTTTTCTTCAACTTCAGACGCACCTAACGAACTATTATATTTCGATTGAATATTTCAAAAAATACCTTGCGAAGTTCCCAAGCCGACGGCTCTCGACTGATCTCTTTCTGAAAGAATAAGGCGTGAAATTTTTTCAAAAAAGTTCCTCAAACCCTGAGTTTTGGAAAAGTCCTGCTCGTGGTGAGGAAGTTCAGACTCGTCGCTTTCAAAGACGGTTGTCCACATCCTTCGGGAGTCCCACTCGTTTTTATCTTCTTTTTTCTCTTCTTCCTCTTCCAACTCTTCGACCTCTTTCTGTTCTTCGGCACTGTAACGTCATCGTTTCAAAAATAGCTGATAAGTGAGACAAAGTGAGAGAGGCAGTCTGGAGAGACACCAGAGAAGTCAGAAGCTCTCTCTTTCTCTCTAGCGCTTCTTCAAGGCGCAGTAAATCTCACGTGAAGCAAAGAGACCGAGAAAGGAAAGAAATAAAAGATGAAGAGCGGCATGAAGAGACGCAGAGAAATATGAAGCTCTCTCTTTCTCTGGTGCTTCTACAAGACGCAGTAGGTCTCTCGATTTTGTAGAGCAAAAGGACAAAAAAAAACAGAGAGTTAGAGCAGCGGCAGCCTGAAGAGACGCCAGAGAAGTATGAAGCTCTCTCTCTCTTTCGCTAGCGCCTCTTCAAGGCGCAGGAAATCTCCTGTGAAGCAAAAAAACCAAAAAAAGTATGAAATTAGGAGATAAAGCGGCCAAAAGAGACTCCAGAGAGATTTGAAGCTCTCTCTTTCTCTGGTGCCTCTTCAAGGCGCAGTGAGTCTCTCGATTTTGTAGAGCAAAAGGACAAATAAAAACTGAGAGTGAGAGAGCAGAAGCAGCCTGAAGAGACACCAGAGAAATGGGAAGCTTTCACTTTTTTTTGGAGCCTCTACAAGAGGCAGCGAGTCTTTCGCTTTTGTAGAGCAAAAGGCCGAAAAATGAGCTTAAGCGAGAGATCGCTTTTGTAGAGCGATATCAAAAAAAACAGAGAGTTAGAGCAGAGACAGCCTGAAGAGATACCTGAGAAGTCATAAGCTCTCTCTTTCTCTGACCTCTCTTCAGGCCGCTCTTCAAACAAGTGAAGCTAGAAATCAACACAAACCCAAAGAGACACCAGAGAAGTCAGATGTTAGTTGTTTTTTCAATGCAAAATGACAAACCTCTCAATATCATCAAAATGCATGATTCCAGCAAATCGTGAGTCCGAGTAGGTGAAGTCGAAGTCGTCGTTCTTGGCCTTGAGGTCGGGCGATAACGCGCGCTCCGGTCGTTCAGGATACTCGATGCTGTCGCGTCTGGAGCGAGCTCCTTCGCGAATCTGCGACGAGTCGTCCAGCACGTCTTCGTTGGCTTTTTCGTGTACCTCAAGATCAAAAAGAGGTTGGAATTTTTCTTATCATGTTCTTTTTGACTCAACAAATTATTTTTTTTTAATGGCGGGTATTAGTTTAACCACTTATTGGTATGTCTCCTCCACCGCAAAACCGTCTCGATTTCGCAAAATACAATGATTTGAATGGGGTTATTAAGATACTTTTGAAAAAAATCTCAAAAAAATTCTGAAGGGCTCTGAAACCTTCCTGATGCGAAACCTATGGCTAGCGTCTCATATTTAAAAAAACCCTTCTCAAAAACTTGAAAAAAAAAAATGAATATTGCTCAGAAAAAACCACAATCTTTAGAAACCTAGGAAAGAAATTTTTCAAGTTTTTTTGAAAATCTCAGAAATTCCAGAGTGATCCCTGTAGGGGTTAGGGGAGAAAACAACTTTTATAAGGGTCGAAAAAGTGGTCCCTATAGCGGTAAAATTAGGGTGCTCCCTATAGGGGTTTAGGTCTGACCCCTTAGCCCCTGAAGCTTGAGTGGATCCTAAAGGGGTAACTAGCATGTCCCCTATAGGGGCCAATAACTAAAACCCCTATAAGGACCACTCTGGAAAGTACATTTTCCGTGAACTTTTTTAAGTTCTTTATTAAATTTTTCCCTTTCTTCTCAATCCCTCTCATAACCAGTATAGGTCCTCGTAAGCACCCGGCAAGAAAGTATTGGAGAAACCAGAACAAAAAAAAGGCCAGGGAGAGATTCAATTTTCGGCGCCGGGGCTCATATTTCATATCCCTCGCTCACCACGTCGAAGAGTTCCTTCTCGTAAGTCGTCGACGTCGTCGCGTAGCCAGATTCCCGCGTCGGGGAACTCGGCTCCATCCGAGTACCGTATCTCATTTCTGGAAGACAAGTTTTCGTGGTAAAGTTCATCACTATCTCCTTTGGTTCTTTGAGAAAAAAAAAACAAGTTGGCTTGAGAAAACTTTGAAATAGTCTGACCCGTCTGCGTCTCTTGTCCCTCTTAGGCTAGGTCAGGTAAACATGCGAAATTTGTCGAATGAAGTAGAGGGCGCAGAGAAATCAGACTGTTTCAAGTTGGCAAGAATGAGCAATACTTAATTTTCGAAAATGCAGAGAAGTTGGATTGAGTGAACCTGATAGAAACTCAAATCAGAGCTTTGAAAAATATAATTCAAGATGATAATTTCGAAATTCCTTGTAATGGAGACACATACGTGCCCCAGACGTTTCTCAGAAATTCAAGGGATCACTTAAGAGTGCTGACGTTGCTAAAGTGGTCACTAGAAAGAAACGTTACCAAGGACCCAGGAGAATGATGATTCGCCATGGAGCGAACATGAACAAGATTATGGGGGATTTTATGAGGTTCGAGGAAAACTTTTTTTTACGAGTCGAATCAAGAAATCAAAGAAGGACTTACCATCTTCACGGGAATCAACCCGAGTCGCAATTTCGAAGTCTTCGGGCTGAACGGCGACTTCGGACGACTCCACGTAGTGTTCGTCAGGTTCAGATGTTCTTATGATCTCTTCGGAGCTGAAAAAAAGATTATTTTTTATTTTTGAAGTAAACTGAAGCTAATAGTAACAAGCCAGCTGATTTGAAAAAAAAATCAGTAGCCTAAAATTCTCAATTCAACTACAATTCGTTCCAAAATCCTTCCTGAAGTTATTAAAGGCGCAGGAGTCTTTTTGATCCTTTATTCGCCTCGAGACCCTTTTGAAAATGGTAATGCTTTCCAACAGGAATTTTTCGACTATAATAATTATAATAATGAAAAATTTACATTGGCGATATCGCTCTTTCTTCCGGAATCGCTTCAACAGGCGCTGCGGGAGGTTCTTCGGCGGCTCGGGACATTACGGCCATGATCTGACGTCGTTCTTCTTCGGAGAGGCCTTCCAAGCCAAAGTCCACATCCCTGAAGAAAAAACTAGGAATTTTCATTGAAAAAATCCAGAAAATGAGCTGGAAAACGGCTGAAATACGTAAAATACTGATAAATTTTCTGAGTGGCCTCTTTAGAGGTTTAATAGGACCTTTATGATCCCTAAAGCTTTAGGAGCTTAGATGTCAGACCCTCAAACTCTATAGGGGTCCCTAAACACAACAAACCTCTACAGGGACACCTCAAAAGTCCCTCACCATGGCCATCAATCAATTAAAAAAAGAACTTGATAGGTATTTTTAAATAGTAGTTCTAGAGAATGGCTCAACTTTTATAGAATTTCGAGAGAAAAGACTAGAAAAACAAGAATCTAGAGGGCTAGCCCGTTAGTCTATCAGCCATTTTCTAAGCCCGGATTAGGCCCGGGCTGAGGAAGGCTCCAAGCAAAAATAAAAACCTGGTTTTTCCTTGTTCACTTGTTAGATATCAACATGAACGACTATTTTTTCAGGGTAAACCGTCGGGCTGGCCCGTATCTGCCCTAAACCCACCTTTGCTGAGCAGGAGAAACGGCGGCCGAAGTTTGAGGTGAAGGACGCCAGTTACTAGGCTCCAAGTCGAGGTTGGCCTTGGCAGTGACGGCCCGGATTTGCTCCCGCTCTTCTTCCGACAGTCCAGACAGGTCCGGTAGTGATTCCCTGAACAATTATCGTTCATTGAAAGAAATACAACAAGCAAAAATCATATATCTTTTTATGGTTTTGTGTAAATTTTCATCAAAAATGAGCCCAGAGTGGTTCCTTCTCATGGGAAAAACTGAATAAAAAGGCGTTTTTTGAACGAAATTGAGAGACCTCCATAGGGTCCACTTGAGCTTTAGGGGCTGAGTGGTCAGATCCTAAACTCCTATAACGACCACTTCAATTTTACCCCTATAGTGACCACTTCTCCGGCCCCTAACCCCTATCCCATCAGAAACCTGGCTGGTGATGGCGTTCGGGCGGCGGAAATCGGCTTGAAGCCCTGCGAGGGCGAATTGAGGGCGCTTCGGGCGTCTTCGAACTCGGCGTTCGCAATAACCGACATTATTTTGAACCGTTCCTCTTCGGAAAGATCTTCCAAGCCGGGCGGTGCTGTGCTGGCGACACTGGAAAACATTCACATAGAAAATTGAAAAAAAAAGAAAAAAAAACCTGGTTGGTCGAGTTGGAGGTAGAGGCAGGGTTTGAACCTCTTCCATTTCTGCATTCGCCATCACGGCCATGATTTTCCTCTTTTCTTCTTCGGAGAGGCCTTCCAAGCCCGGGGGTTCGAATCTGGAAGAAAAATAGTATAAAAGGGTCCACGAATTGTCTGACTTCTCTGCGCTCTCCTTTCTCTCACCGGGAAAGTTATAGAAACATAGAGACAGCATGTAAACACGAAAGCACAGAGAAATCAAATTGGAACATTCTGACTTCTCTGTACTCTCTCTTCTCTCATCAACGACGTCATAGAGACAGAAAAGAATTAACTCGAAACAGTCTGATTTCTCTGCGCTCTCTTTTCTCTCAACGGCCAGGTCAGATAGAGAGATAGCACGTGACGCACAGAGATATAAAACTGTCTCTCTGACTTCTCTGCGCTCTCATTTATCTCACCGGTTAGGTCATAGAGATATAGAAATAGCAAGTAAAGGCGAGAGCTCATAGAAATCAAATTGGAGCAGTCTTATTTCTCTACGCTCTCTATTTTTTTATCAACGACTTCATAGAGACAAAGAAAATAGCACGTGAACACGAGAGATTCTAACTTTTCTGCGCTCTCCTTTCTCTTACCGACGAGGTCATAGAGACATTGTAAACTAGAGAGCACAGATAAATCAGACTCGTTTTGTCTGTTTTTTATCTTCTTCCCTGTTAGAAAGAAGAGAGCGCAGACTAGATGGACAGTCCAAAAAATGAGATCAAACTCACTGTTTCGGAGGCAGAGGCGAGGTCGGCATGATGTTGTAGCTGGGCGAGCGTGACGTCATCTTGGAGAGAGGCTGATTTCGCGCTTCGTCCATCTCCGCGTTAGCCATCACGGCCATGATCTGCATCCGTTCTTCTTCAGAAAGGCCTTCCAGACCAGGAGGGATCGGCCTGAAAGCACTGGGGTTCACACTGAAATTGATAATCAAGGAAAAGGAATAAAAAAATGCCCGAAAGGTAACGATTTCCCACTTCGCAGAAAAATGAAGCAAGCGCGGTTCAAGACTAGCCCTACAATGTCCGGACTGCAGTAATGATAACCAGACGCTTCAACTCAAGTGATCACTTAAGTACCGAAGCCTTTAAAGTCAGCAACTCAAGCGATCGCTAGCGTAAGCCTCTAAAGTGAGCCTTAGAAAAAAAAACAAGAAAAATCCGGGGCGCGTCTGGTTTTTGGTGCTCACTTTTCTCACCGGCTAGTCTATTACATCTTTAACAACGCCAGAGTGGTCCCTTTAGGCGTAACCTTAGGGCCCTTGAAGGTTTTCTTCTACGGACCGCACACCCTCCCACTATATGGAGCTTGCAAAAGTGGTAAAATGTCAATAGATCAAGTTTTACTAATAAAGTCTTCATTATTTTCAAAACTCAGCCCTATAGGGACCACTAAAGCTTTAGGCGCTTAGGGGTCAGGTCCGGAACCTCTACAGGGACTACTAAAGCTTTAGGGGCTTTGTTTTTACACTCTAAACCCGTACAGGGGCCACCTAAAGTTAACCCCTGAAGGGAGCGCATTTTTATCCCCTATAGGGGCAGTTTTCCTCTAACCCCCATAGGGTCCTCTTTCTAAAGCCCTCACATTGACGTCGCCGGCGGAGCTAGAGATCTCGTCGGCTGAGGAGTCGGCATCATGTTGAAGTCGTCCATTTCGGCGGCGGCCATCACGGCGAGGATCTTCCTCTGTTCTTCCTCCGTGAGGCCGTCCATCGGCGGCAGCGCGGAGGCCATTCCCGGAGACCTGCACACCAAACTTATCATATTCATTCACAAACCAAGAGCTTACTCAGCCGGCAATTCCTCGTCGACGAGCGATTGGGTCACAAACGGCGACCTGGAAATTATTCGATTTTTTGAGAAAACCGAATCAATTCTGGTCTTAAAGCGAAACAGTGGGGAAAAATAAGAATTTTAGGATCTCCATTATAAGAATTTTTTCTCCTGGAACTTTTCCAAGACTATAATCTTTTCAAGACCATTACACTCATTATTCTCTTTTTCAATATTTAACTTTAAAACTAAAAAGAAACGAACCTTTCTCGAGGCTCACGTCGTGCCGCATTGACATTAATCGACGAGGACTGAAACACATGTCAATGGGAAAAAAAGGCTTTCTCAAATTATTCGGCATGTTAGGCGACGACAAGGCTCTCTCATAATGGGTTTTCTTTTCCCGACAAGGGACAAATTTTGCGCTTCTCTAAAATATGAGATCGTCGCCTCGACATATTAGCCAAATCAACCAGAAAACAATTTGAGTGAATTCAACCTATAAATTATTCAAGAAAAGAATTTACAAACAGCCAAAATTGAAACCTCTGGTTCGGGAGCAGCATCGACCAAGTACTGCTCTTTCCGCCCCTTTTTTTCCTGCAAAATTGAATAATTTAAACAGAAAAAGTTGAATGATTGTCAAATAAAAATTTATACGGATATTTCTCATTTGAAAATTCACTGAACGAATAACGTATGAAAAAAAGAAGTGTTAATTTTTTTCTACGAAATTACAAATTTATCGAATCCATTTCTAATTTTTTTATTTTTTTACGCAACAAATTAAATTTTTTTGATTTTCAAAAAAACCTATTATTTTCAAATAGTTACTGTATACAGCGTCCGTTGTGATGACTGTGCCACTTAGAAGCGCCCTCAAGGGATATATGAAAGTGCATTGGCGCTAGTTTTTCATATAAATATGAATTTTTTTATTTATTCCAACATTTTTTTCAATAATTTTTTTCATTCAAACTTCTTTTTATAGTGTAAATTAACTCATTTTTTTGTACAAAAAAACAACTTGACACAGAAGTCTAAACTCAAAAAAATATATAGGATTTTTTTGTTTCAAGATGAAAAAGCCACATAATTTAATGAAAAAAAGCTGAAAGCAACATTTTTAAACTTGCACTTTGTGTTCAAAAAAAACCATGAAAGGAAATGGGATTCGACACAGGAAACGTAATTTGAAAGGATCGCTTGTTGTTCGCAACTTTTTCGTTTTTTTTTTCAAAGAGTGCACGATTGAATTTGAATCTTTTTTTTTGCCATATTGGTGATTTTTAATTGAATTTGAAACCGATGATGATTGAAAGGTGTTCATAAGGCTCATTTAATTCATATATTACTTTTTAAAAATTTTCGAAACTAAAAATATGAGGAAGAAGAGTTTTTTATGAAAGAATATGTGAAGAAAAAGGGGAGGATGCATATGAAAATCGGGCCGAGAACCTTTGCTGATGAGGCGATCGGGAATGCAGTGAACGACGACGAGTGCTGTTGCGTTGGCACGCCGCCGGCGACCGAATCGATTCCCCCGAGCTGCGGCTTTTCGCTCTCAGACATCGATTCCTCTCTTCCTAAACGTCTCCGAAAATGTTTTTTCCTCGCTTTGTTTGACCAAGGCAGGAAATTCGAAATTAATTCAGCGTTCAGCGGGGCCACTTGAAGTCTATTCAAAAGGCAAAACTTTGACGCCAGCTTTTTATGACTTTCAAGGAGTTTTTTTGTGTCCTTTAGTCCAAAAATCTTCGCTATGTTTTTTAAAGAGCGTCTTTCTAACTAAAAAAAAAAGGCCCTTTTACCTCAAAAACTTCAAAGAAAATGGTCCGGCACCTTGAAACACTCAGAAAAGATTCTAGAAAGCACTAGAAAAACGTTTTTGAACAGATTATACCTGCAAATCCGATATCCGAAGGAGGGACCTCATCCTTGGGCGTTAATTCCTCCTCGAGCCGCGTTGGCGTTGTCAAATCTTCTGAAAATCTTGTTTTAAATGAATTTTTCTTTGTTCTATAGGAACTTTCGACACGCTCAAACAGTTTAGATTGCGAACTTACAGGTCTTGAATTGAGTTTTTAGAAAAATCCACATAAATTAAATATATTTAAGCTTTTTCCTTGGGTCTGAAACAATTCAAAAAAATCGCACAAACATATTCAAAACTTGGAAAAAAATTCTTCTAGAAAAAGAATAAAGTTAAAGAAAACCAACCAGCGTTCTCAAAAAGCTCCTCCTCGTCGGCGATCGACTGCCGGATGAAGCTCAACTGCTCCTCGTACCACTCGCCAAGGTTCTTGGCGTTCCTCATCTCGCTCACCGAACGGATATCAAAATCGCTGCTCCGATGGCTGTGGATCGATCCACGGCTCGACGAGGAATGCATCGAAATACCGTCATGCGAGCCCTCCTCGGGAATCCGCCTTGAAGTGTCGTCCGGCGAGATTGAACTCGCGTGCGAGGCAAAACGATTACGCTCTTGAGAGGACGTCGGACTCGTCTCGGGGACCATCTTGTTCGAATCTCTCTTAGGAGGTACAGGAAGCGGCATTCTCGGATACATAGTCGTGACTTGAGCCTCGACTTCGGCCATTTGAGTGATCCTGGCGATGTGCTCCAGCTCTTCCTGAGTTAACTCGCTAGAATGAACTTCAGGCACCTCTTCAATGATAGTAGGTTTGGAGGAGGTCAGTCCTTCCAATTCGGCAATTTGAGAGATCTTTGCAATGTGAGCAAGCTCCTCTTCGGTGAGTTCCGGTTGGAGATCTACCTTGCCTTTTTCGGAAATGGACCGATCTGAAGGCATCGACTGAGCGATTCCTTCCTCTTCAGCAAGTTGAGCTATTCTAGCAATGTGAGCTAGTTCTTCTTCCGTTAGGTCAGGCTCAACTTCTTTAGTCTCTTCCACAGGTTGAGGAGTTCCTTCCATTTCAGCGAGCTCCGCGATTCTAGAAATATGAGCAAGTTCTTCTGCAGTTAGTTCAGGCTCGGCTACAGTTCTGATCGGCTCAAGGTAAGCTGGTTCTACTACAGTCCTTGGTTGAGTAAATCTTTCCATTTCGGCCATCTCTGCGATTCTAGCGTTGTGAGCCAGTACTTCGTCGGTTAGTTCAGGCTCGGCTACAGTTCTGATTGGCTCAAGATATTCTGGTTCTAGTACAGGTCTTGGTTGAGTAAATCCTTCCATTTCGGCCATCTCTGCGATTCTAGCGATGTGAGCCAGTTCTTCTTCGGTCAGGTCATTTTCAGAATCTTTCCTTGGCTCGACTACCATAAATCTGTTCAGTGGTTCCGTCATTCTTTCTTCTTCAGCAAGTTGAGAAACTCTGGCGATGTGAGCAAGTTCTTCGTCGGTCAGCTCAGGCTCAACTTCTTCTCGAGCTTTGACTTCTCTTCCCACATTTTGAGGTGCAACATCTTCCATTTCTGCCATCTGTGCGATTCTGGAAATGTGGGCGAGCTCTTCGTCGGTTAGACCAGACTGAACGATTTCCCTGAACCCATTTGGAGCGACGTCTTCTTCTTCTGCAAGTTGAGAGATTCTAACAATGTGGGCCAGCTCTTCTTCAGTAAGGCCAGGCTCAACTTTTTCCTTTCTCATGTCTGAAGGCCCAGAGATTTTCACAGGAGGTGGAGCAACATTTTCGATTTCTGCAAGCTGAGCTATCCTAGCGATGTGGGCCAGCTCTTCCTCGGTTAGTCCCAGGTTCGACAGGTTCTCTAGCTTTGGTTTCAACCGCCTCGATTTTGTCTTTCCTTCTTACGGCTACAGGCGTTGATTCCTGCTCTTCAGCCATTTGAGCAATCCGGGCAATATGAGCAAGTTCTTCTGCAGTCAATTCTGTTTCAGCTTGTTTCTTCGTAGGTTTGGGCTGAGGCTTGAATTCCCTGGGAACAGGTACAGCCATTCTTTCTTCTTCAATCTCAGCCATTTGAGCGACCTTAGTAATATGCGCCAATTCTTCCTCGGTGAGTTCCGGTTGAGTTTCCATCTCCTCGGCCATCCTATTTATCCTCGCGATGTGGTCCAGCTCTTCTTGGGTGAGTCCCATCTTCTCTTCAGACTTCTCGGTCAAGTTCTCTGCCGCGCTTCTGACCGTGTTGGAAGCTCTTTCGAAGAAGGACTTGACTCCGGCCACCGACGGTGTTGAGAATCCGAAATTTGGAGTTTCGCTGCTTCTTCTGGAAGAGTCTGTACGAGCGCTGTGAGGAGGAGTTGGTTGAGAAATGGCGATCGGAGGAGGTACCACCTGTAAAGAAAATATTTTTGTGAGAACCTTTCGGTAAAATGTGAATTTTGAGGTCTGGGAACATTTTTAGAGGCCTTTGAAAGGTTTTGACGTTTTAGTGAACACTATAGTAGTCAAGGTAGTGGTCACTATAGAGGTCTCAGTGCTACTAATAGACCACCAAAATTTTTAGTGTCCACTTTAGGGTCAATGGATCATCAAAACTGGTCAAATCAACATTTTTTGAAATTATCAGTGTTAATTTTCAAGAGGTTCTGTTGATCTACCAATTTCTTTCAAAATATTTTCATTTTTTCTTTTTGCTCTAATTTGAAGCACTGTATGACGTTGCGCCTGAAAAAAAGTACTGTAAGTGCAAAGTACGTGTAGGCAACTGCAAGCAAAAGATTTTACGCGCAATTGTTTGTTTGCTTCTCAGGCACTGACGGCGCGTGTTTGTTGCCAAAAGTGCGCATGCGCGCCGCCTGCTGCGCGCACGCGCGGGGTGTCTCTTTTGATTTTTAGCTTTTTAACTAATTGAAAAGTTATAAATTTAATATTTTTCATGTCTGTTCATCTCTTAACATTGCTCTGCACCAGTTTATAACAATTAGATTGCACAAAAATTGTGAAATATCAAAGTTTCACTTGGCAACTTTTTTTCATAAATTTGTTCGAAAGTGCTCGGAACAACTTTAAAAACGTGAGCAGGGGCACTGGGTAATATCACAAAAATATATAAAAATATATTTCAAAACCTTATTTCAGTGGAAAAGGCGAAAAAAGAATCAGTACCCCCGCGCGTGCGCGCACCAGTGCCTGAGTTTGTTCAAAATTTTTTTTTAATTTTTGTATTTTGTTCTTGATTTTTAATGGATCGGACAAAACGAAAACTGTTCTGAAACGCAAGAAAATTGCTGCAAAACAAAAGAGAATACTATTTTGGAGCAACTTTGGTGCGCCAATGAATACGTTTCTGCGTTTCGAACCATTTTCCGTTTCTCCGATGAAAAAAAGCCATAAGCATTTTTAATTTATATTTTTCCATTTTTTTACCCTGCTCAACAGACTAATTTACTGATTTTTGTGTCATTTAAAGTTTTTCTATGTTTTTTTGAATTTTTCATTTTTCTCTTTTTACAAAAAAATTCATTCTTATAAGATTTCAATTGAATTTTTTAAAGAAAGATTTGCGAAAAAACCAGTGAATACAATTTTCAGCTTTATTTTGAAAAGATAATCTAGCTCGCAGTTGTATTCTCACTTTTATTGCATTGTTCGTAAAACGGAAAGTTGAGAAATTGTTTTTTTTATAATTCCTTCGGTTCTCTGCGGAATCTCTCCGGCTGACTAGGGAAATACGCGTACTCTAACACGCTGATCTAGTCAGTACAGATTCTCTGCTGAAGCGAAAGTTACTGAGAAAAATTCTGTTAAAAGTAGGCAGATAAGGCTTAATGAATTTAAGAATACTGCTTTTTCTTCAATTTTTTTGATAAAAATTTTTTTGAATGACTTCTCGTCAACAATTTTTTTGTGAAGAACATCTCAAAAAAAGTGAGTCAAATAGGAATTTTTCAAAGTTTTTTTGAATACCTGTTTATATAATTAATGACTTACCCTGAGAGCGCTGGTAGATCTTCTGGTTGAGATCGAGTCGGCTTGGTCTGTCTTCACTGGAGATTCCGAAGGAACTTCTCGAATCGTCAATTCAGAAGCCTCGAAGTCGTTTGACCAACGTGGAATTGAAGGGTTTTTCTGTGGGTTCTTGATGACGTAGGGGGTTCTACCTTCGGCTTTTTCGATGACGTTTTGGATGTGCTCCCGCTCCGTATCTGACAACGTGTCCATCTCGGGCAGCATTTGCAAGGCTGAGGAGCATCTGGAAATAAAATGGTGAAGGAATTGACGAATGAACATAAAAACCTTCTGGAAGTTATCGGAGAGCTGGATTTGTTCGACCGGCTGATAACAGAGATGATATGTTGTCTTTCAGCTTCTGATAATCCAACGAGAGCGTTGTCAGGCAGTCGAGAAGTCGGACTTTCACTTTGGAGGCGTGGATCCGCGCCAGAAGACCTGAAAGTTTCTTTAGAATATCACACTTTTTTTTCTGGCTTTTACCTTCTTAGAAGGTTGAGAATGTCGCCGGCAGACCGATCTTCAGAATCTTTCCTCATACCAGTATTGATATTAGCTGATGAGAATAGAGCAAGGGCAGACCGAGGTCGGTCAGTCAGGCTCTTCTTCTGAGAGAAAAAGGAGAAGAGGCCAAAAGAAGAGGAGCCATCTTTCGGAAGCGGTTCCACGACGTAGCCCAAATCGGCCCTACCTTCCGCCGACTCCTCTTCACTTTCGACACTCATCGGAGCATCCGAAAAATAGCGAGCTCGTGGATTATTGGCGTGTCGATAGAAAATGCGAAGGTCTCTCGCTGCATCGTCGGCGATGACCTCAGTGAGACGATTTGCGGCGAAATTCAGCCTCCACAACAAATCAACGTTTGAGAGCAGATAGCGGGGCTCTTTGAAGCTGTGCTGTTCGCAGATCTCATAAGCGTTCGGCCGTTTGCTTCTGACTTCGCCGTGGCTTGCCGAGCCGCGCAGAACTTCCCTACGCCAGTTTTCCAGCTCGAACGAATACTCACTGGCCGACCGTTTCGTAGTATATGGCAAAAGACTTGTGACCTTATGGTCGGATCGACCAGATGACGTGGGCAACGGTATGAAAGGAGCGCTTTTCGAACGTCTGAGGGAAAACATAACACAACGAACACATGGAAATGAGCCAGTACGTCCATTGTTGAGTTGGAACTTTGCCAGATTCAGAACGCGACTAGCATCTGCCTTCTCAAGCAACAACGATTTCTCGGACCTCACGAAAGGCTGAAGCATCTCTGACCTTTTTGTGGGGTGAATGAGACCCTCTGCCAAGTTTTCTTGATCAGCTGTTTCGTAAGCATTGGCGAAGCCTGTTTCGAACTGGTCAGCGATAGATGTTGCACTAGATCTGTCTTCGCTGAACTGCTTCTCCCAATCAGGTTTCTCGGAGCTGTCGGAAGATAGGAGAGGCGCTTCTTCAAGATCATCTAGATATGAAATAGAATGCTCGGCTAGGCTTGTGATGTAAGCGATGTGGTCCAGTTCCTGTTTCGAAAGAACTGGCTGAGCGAATTCTGTGCTCGGCTGTGGTAGTTCGGAACTTTCTTCCACTTCGAAGGGTGCTTGACTGACGACTTCCTGATCGGAAATGGCAGTGACGTCATCGAAAGAGCGCTCGTCAAACTGATCTGCATTGGAAGTAGCGCTGGACCTGTCTTCGCTGAGCTCTTTATCCATTTCATATTGTTCTGAAGCCATTCTTCTAGGCAGTGGAGGCCGTTGTGAAGCTTCGAAAGATGATTGCTCGGCTAGACTCGTGATGTAGGCGATGTGGTCCAGTTCCTGTTTCGAAAGAACTGGCTGAGCGAATTCTGTGCTCGGCTGTGGTAGTTCGGAACTTTCTTCCACTTCGAAGGGTGCTTGACTGACGACTTCCTGATCGGAAATGGCAGTGACGTCATCGAAAGAGCGCTCGTCAAACTGATCTGCATTGGAAGTAGCGCTGGACCTGTCTTCGCTGAGCTCTTTATCCATTTCATATTGTTCTGAAGCCATTCTTCTAGGCAGTGGAGGCCGTTGTGAAGCTTCGAAAGATGATTGCTCGGCTAGACTCGTGATGTAGGCGATGTGGTCCAGCTCTTGTTTGGAAAGAACTGGCTGAGCGAATTCTGTGCTCGGCTGAGGTAGTGCGGAACTTTCTTCCACTTCGAAGGGTGCTTGACTGACGACTTCCTGATCGGAAATGGCAGTGACGTCATCGAAAGACCCTTCTTCGAACTGATCTGCGTTGGAAGTGGCGCTGGACCTGTTTTCGCTGAGTTCTTCCTGCAGTTCAAATTGTTCTGAAGTCATTCTTCTGGGCAATGGAGGCCGTTCTGGTGCTTCGAAAGATGATTGCTCGGCTAGGCTCGTGATGTAGGCGATGTGGTCCAGTTCCTGATTCGAAAGAACTGGCTGAGCGAACTCTGAACTCGGTTGTGGTAGTTCGGAGCTCTCTTCCACTTCGTAGGGCGCGTGACTGACGACTTCTTGGTCAGAAAGGGCAGTGACGTCATCAAAAGACCTTTCTTCGAACTGATCTGCGTTGGAAGTGGCGCTGGACCTGTCTTCGCTGAGCTCTTTCTCCATTTCAAATTGTTCTGAAGCCATTCTTCTAGGCAGTGGAGGCCGTTCTGGAGCTTCGAAAGATGATCTTTCGGCTAGGCTCGTGATGTACGCGATGTGGTCCAGCTCTTGCTTGGAAAGAACTGGCTGAGCGAATTCTGTGCTCGACTGTGGTAGTTCGGAACTGTCTTCCACTTTGAAGGGTGCTTGACTGACGACTTCCTGATCGGAAATCGCAGTGACGTCATCGAAAGACCCTTCTTCGAACTGATCTGCGTTGGAAGTGGCGCTGGACCTGTCTTCGCTGAGCACTTTCTCCATTTCTTGTTGTTCTGAAGCCATTCTTCTAGGCAGTGGAGGCCGTTCTGGAGCTTCGAAAGATGATCTTTCGGCTAGGCTCGTGATGTACGCGATGTGGTCCAGTTCCTGTTTCGAAAGAACTGGCTGAGCGAATTCTGTGCTCGGCTGTGGTAGTTCGGAACTGTCTTCCACTTCGAAGGGTGCTTGACTGACGACATCCTGATCGGAAATGGCAGTGACGTCATCGAAAGAGCGCTCTTCGAACTGATCTGCATCGGAAGTAGCGCCAGACCTGTCTTCGCTGAGCTCTTTCTCCATTTCATGTTGTTCTAAAGTCATTCTTCTAGGCAGTGGAGGCCGTTCTGCAGCTTCGAAAGATGATCTTTCGGCTAGGCTCGTGATGTAGGCGATGTGGTCCAGTTCCTGTTTCGAAAGAACTGGCTGAGCGAATTCTGTTCTCGGCTGTGGTAGTTCGGAACTGTCTTCCACTTCGAAGGGTGCTTGACTGACGACTTCCTGATCGGAAATGGCAGTGACGTCGTCGAAAGACCCTTCTTCGAACTGATCTGCGTTGGAAGTGGCGCTGGATCTGTCTTCGCTGAGCTCTTTCTCCATTTCATGTTGTTCTAAAGTCATTCTTCTAGGCAGTGGAGGCCGTTCTGCAGCTTCGAAAGATGATCTTTCGGCTAGGCTCGTGATGTAGGCGATGTGGTCCAGTTCCTGTTTCGAAAGAACTGGCTGAGCGAATTCTGTTCTCGGCTGTGGTAGTTCGGAACTGTCTTCCACTTCGAAGGGTGCTTGACTGACGACTTCCTGATCGGAAATGGCAGTGACGTCGTCGAAAGACCCTTCTTCGAACTGATCTGCGTTGGAAGTGGCGCTGGATCTGTCTTCGCTGAGCTCTTTCTCCATTTCTTGTTGTTCTGAAGCCATTCTTCTAGGCAGTGGAGGTCGTTCTGGAGCTTCGAAAGATGATCTTTCGGCTAGGCTCGTGATGTACGCGATGTGGTCCAGTTCCTGTTTCGAAATAACTGGCTGAGCGAATTCTGTGCTCGGCTGTGGTAGTTCGGAACTGTCTTCCACTTCGAAGGGTGCTTGACTGACGACTTCCTGATCGGAAATGGCAGTGACGTCATCGAAAGACCCTTCTTCGAACTGATCTGCGTTGGAAGTGGCGCTGGATCTGTCTTCGCTGAGCTCTTTCTCCATTTCATGTTGTTCTAAAGTCATTCTTCTAGGCAGTGGATGCCGTTCTGGAGCTTCGAAAGATGATCTTTCGGCTAGGCTCGTGATGTAGGCGATGTGGTCCAGTTCCTGTTTCGAAAGAACTGGCTGAGCGAATTCTGTTCTCGGCTGTGGTAGTTCGGAACTGTCTTCCACTTCGAAGGGTGCTTGACTGACGACTTCCTGATCGGAAATGGCAGTGACGTCGTCGAAAAGACCCTTCTTCGAACTGATCTGCGTTGGAAGTGGCGCTGGATCTGTCTTCGCTGAGCTCTTTCTCCATTTCTTGTTGTTCTGAAGCCATTCTTCTAGGCAGTGGAGGTCGTTCTGGAGCTTCGAAAGATGATCTTTCGGCTAGGCTCGTGATGTACGCGATGTGGTCCAGTTCCTGTTTCGAAAGAACTGGCTGAGCGAATTCTGTTCTCGGCTGTGGTAGTTCGGAACTGTCTTCCACTTCGAAGGGTGCTTGACTGACGACTTCCTGATCGGAAATGGCAGTGACGTCGTCGAAAGACCCTTCTTCGAACTGATCTGCGTTGGAAGTGGCGCTGGATCTGTCTTCGCTGAGCTCTTTCTCCATTTCTTGTTGTTCTGAAGCCATTCTTCTAGGCAGTGGAGGTCGTTCTGGAGCTTCGAAAGATGATCTTTCGGCTAGGCTCGTGATGTACGCGATGTGGTCCAGTTCCTGTTTCGAAAGAACTGGCTGAGCGAATTCTGTGCTCGGCTGTGGTAGTTCGGAACTGTCTTCCACTTCGAAGGGTGCTTGACTGACGACATCCTGATCGGAAATGGCAGTGACGTCGTCGAAAGAGCGCTCTTCGAACTGATCTGCATCGGAAGTAGCGCTGGACCTGTCTTCGCTGAGCTCTTTCTCCATTTCATGTTGTTCTAAAGTCATTCTTCTAGGCAGTGGAGGCCGTTCTGGAGCTTCGAAAGATGATCTTTCGGCTAGGCTCGTGATGTAGGCGATGTGGTCCAGTTCCTGTTTCGAAAGAACTGGCTGAGCGAATTCTGTGCTCGGCTGTGGTAGTTCGGAACTGTCTTCCACTTCGAAGGGTGCTTGACTGACGACATCCTGATCGGAAATGGCAGTGACGTCATCGAAAGAGCGCTCTTCGAACTGATCTGCATCGGAAGTAGCGCTGGACCTGTCTTCGCTGAGCTCTTTCTCCATTTCATGTTGTTCTAAAGTCATTCTTCTAGGCAGTGGAGGCCGTTCTGGAGCTTCGAAAGATGATCTTTCGGCTAGGCTCGTGATGTAGGCGATGTGGTCCAGTTCCTGTTTCGAAAGAACTGGCTGAGCGAATTCTGTGCTCGGCTGTGGTAGTTCGGAACTGTCTTCCACTTCGAAGGGTGCTTGACTGACGACATCCCTGATCGGAAATGGCAGTGACGTCGTCGAAAGAGCGCTCTTCGAACTGATCTGCATCGGAAGTAGCGCTGGACCTGTCTTCGCTGAGCTCTTTCTCCATTTCATGTTGTTCTAAAGTCATTCTTCTAGGCAGTGGAGGCCGTTCTGGAGCTTCGAAAGATGATCTTTCGGCTAGGCTCGTGATGTAGGCGATGTGGTCCAGTTCCTGTTTCGAAAGAACTGGCTGAGCGAATTCTGTTCTCGGCTGTGGTAGTTCGGAACTGTCTTCCACTTCGAAGGGTGCTTGACTGACGACTTCCTGATCGGAAATGGCAGTGACGTCGTCGAAAGAGCGCTCTTCGAACTGATCTGCATCGGAAGTAGCGCTGGACCTGTCTTCGCTGAGCTCTTTCTCCATTTCATGTTGTTCTAAAGTCATTCTTCTAGGCAGTGGAGGCCGTTCTGGAGCTTCGAAAGATGATCTTTCGGCTAGGCTCGTGATGTAGGCGATGTGGTCCAGTTCCTGTTTCGAAAGAACTGGCTGAGCGAATTCTGTTCTCGGCTGTGGTAGTTCGGAACTGTCTTCCACTTCGAAGGGTGCTTGACTGACGACTTCCTGATCGGAAATGGCAGTGACGTCGTCGAAAGACCCTTCTTCGAACTGATCTGCGTTGGAAGTGGCGCTGGATCTGTCTTCGCTGAGCTCTTTCTCCATTTCTTGTTGTTCTGAAGCCATTCTTCTAGGCAGTGGAGGTCGTTCTGGAGCTTCGAAAGATGATCTTTCGGCTAGGCTCGTGATGTACGCGATGTGGTCCAGTTCCTGTTTCGAAAGAACTGGCTGAGCGAATTCTGTTCTCGGCTGTGGTAGTTCGGAACTGTCTTCCACTTCGAAGGGTGCTTGACTGACGACTTCCTGATCGGAAATGGCAGTGACGTCGTCGAAAGACCCTTCTTCGAACTGATCTGCGTTGGAAGTGGCGCTGGATCTGTCTTCGCTGAGCTCTTTCTCCATTTCTTGTTGTTCTGAAGCCATTCTTCTAGGCAGTGGAGGTCGTTCTGGAGCTTCGAAAGATGATCTTTCGGCTAGGCTCGTGATGTACGCGATGTGGTCCAGTTCCTGTTTCGAAAAGAACTGGCTGAGCGAATTCTGTTCTCGGCTGTGGTAGTTCGGAACTGTCTTCCACTTCGAAGGGTGCTTGACTGACGACTTCCTGATCGGAAATGGCAGTGACGTCGTCGAAAGAGCGCTCTTCGAACTGATCTGCATCGGAAGTAGCGCTGGACCTGTCTTCGCTGAGCTCTTTCTCCATTTCATGTTGTTCTAAAGTCATTCTTCTAGGCAGTGGAGGCCGTTCTGGAGCTTCGAAAGATGATCTTTCGGCTAGGCTCGTGATGTAGGCGATGTGGTCCAGTTCCTGTTTCGAAAGAACTGGCTGAGCGAATTCTGTTCTCGGCTGTGGTAGTTCGGAACTGTCTTCCACTTCGAAGGGTGCTTGACTGACGACTTCCTGATCGGAAATGGCAGTGACGTCGTCGAAAGACCCTTCTTCGAACTGATCTGCGTTGGAAGTGGCGCTGGATCTGTCTTCGCTGAGCTCTTTCTCCATTTCTTGTTGTTCTGAAGCCATTCTTCTAGGCAGTGGAGGTCGTTCTGGAGCTTCGAAAGATGATCTTTCGGCTAGGCTCGTGATGTACGCGATGTGGTCCAGTTCCTGTTTCGAAAGAACTGGCTGAGCGAATTCTGTTCTCGGCTGTGGTAGTTCGGAACTGTCTTCCACTTCGAAGGGTGCTTGACTGACGACTTCCTGATCGGAAATGGCAGTGACGTCGTCGAAAGACCCTTCTTCGAACTGATCTGCGTTGGAAGTGGCGCTGGATCTGTCTTCGCTGAGCTCTTTCTCCATTTCTTGTTGTTCTGAAAGCCATTCTTCTAGGCAGTGGAGGTCGTTCTGGAGCTTCGAAAGATGATCTTTCGGCTAGGCTCGTGATGTACGCGATGTGGTCCAGTTCCTGTTTCGAAAGAACTGGCTGAGCGAATTCTGTTCTCGGCTGTGGTAGTTCGGAACTGTCTTCCACTTCGAAGGGTGCTTGACTGACGACTTCCTGATCGGAAATGGCAGTGACGTCGTCGAAAGACCCTTCTTCGAACTGATCTGCGTTGGAAGTGGCGCTGGATCTGTCTTCGCTGAGCTCTTTCTCCATTTCTTGTTGTTCTGAAGCCATTCTTCTAGGCAGTGGAGGTCGTTCTGGAGCTTCGAAAGATGATCTTTCGGCTAGGCTCGTGATGTACGCGATGTGGTCCAGTTCCTGTTTCGAAAGAACTGGCTGAGCGAATTCTGTTCTCGGCTGTGGTAGTTCGGAACTGTCTTCCACTTCGAAGGGTGCTTGACTGACGACTTCCTGATCGGAAATGGCAGTGACGTCGTCGAAAGAGCGCTCTTCGAACTGATCTGCATCGGAAGTAGCGCTGGACCTGTCTTCGCTGAGCTCTTTCTCCATTTCATGTTGTTCTAAAGTCATTCTTCTAGGCAGTGGAGGCCGTTCTGGAGCTTCGAAAGATGATCTTTCGGCTAGGCTCGTGATGTAGGCGATGTGGTCCAGTTCCTGTTTCGAAAGAAGTGGCTGAGCGAATTCTGTTCTCGGCTGTGGTAGTTCGGAACTGTCTTCCACTTCGAAGGGTGCTTGACTGACGAATTCCTGATCGGAAATGGCAGTGACGTCGTCGAAAGACCCTTCTTCGAACTGATCTGCGTTGGAAGTGGCGCTGGATCTGTCTTCGCTGAGCTCTTTCTCCATTTCAAATTGTTCTGAAGCCATTCTTCTAGGCAGGGGAGGCCGTTCTGGAGCTTGGAAAGATGATTGCTCGGCTAGACTCGTGATGTAGGCGATGCGGTCCAGTTCGTGTTTCGAAAGAACTGGCTGAGCGAACTCTGAACTCGGTTGTGGTAGTTCGGAACTGTCTTCCACTTCGTAGGGCGCGTGACTGACGACTTCTTGGTCAGAAATGGCAGTGAAGTCGTCGAAAGACCCTTCTTCGAACTGATCTGCGTTGGAAGTGGCGCTGGATCTGTCTTCGCTGAGCTCGTTCTCCATTTCTTGTTGTTCTGAAGCCATTCTTCTAGGCAGTGGAGGTCGTTCTGGAGCTTCGAAAGATGATCTTTCGGCTAGGCTCGTGATGTACGCGATGTGGTCCAGTTCCTGTTTCGAAAGAACTGGCTGAGCGAATTCTGTTCTCGGCTGTGGTAGTTCGGAACTGTCTTCCACTTCGAAGGGTGCTTGACTGACGACTTCCTGATCGGAAATGGCAGTGACGTCGTCGAAAGACCCTTCTTCGAACTGATCTGCGTTGGAAGTGGCGCTGGATCTGTCTTCGCTGAGCTCTTTCTCCATTTCTTGTTGTTCTGAAGCCATTCTTCTAGGCAGTGGAGGTCGTTCTGGAGCTTCGAAAGATGATCTTTCGGCTAGGCTCGTGATGTAGGCGATGTGGTCCAGTTCCTGTTTCGAAAGAAGTGGCTGAGCGAATTCTGTTCTCGGCTGTGGTAGTTCGGAACTGTCTTCCACTTCGAAGGGTGCTTGACTGACGAATTCCTGATCGGAAATGGCAGTGACGTCGTCGAAAGACCCTTCTTCGAACTGATCTGCGTTGGAAGTGGCGCTGGATCTGTCTTCGCTGAGCTCTTTCTCCATTTCAAATTGTTCTGAAGCCATTCTTCTAGGCAGGGGAGGCCGTTCTGGAGCTTGGAAAGATGATTGCTCGGCTAGACTCGTGATGTAGGCGATGCGGTCCAGTTCGTGTTTCGAAAGAACTGGCTGAGCGAACTCTGAACTCGGTTGTGGTAGTTCGGAGCTCTCTTCCACTTCGTAGGGCGCGTGACTGACGACTTCTTGGTCAGAAATGGCAGTGAAGTCGTCGAAAGACCCTTCTTCGAACTGATCTGCGTTGGAAGTGGCGCTGGATCTGTCTTCGCTGAGCTCTTTCTCCATTTCTTGTTGTTCTGAAGCCATTCTTCTAGGCAGTGGAGGTCGTTCTGGAGCTTCGAAAGATGATCTTTCGACTAGGCTCGTGATGTACGCGATGTGGTCCAGTTCCTGTTTCGAAAGAACTGGCTGAGCGAATTCTGTGCTCGGCTGTGGTAGTTCGGAACTGTCTTCCACTTCGAAGGGTGCTTTACTGACGACATCCTGATCGGAAATGGCAGTGACGTCGTCGAAAGAGCGCTCTTCGAACTGATCTGCATCGGAAGTAGCGCTGGACCTGTCTTCGCTAAGCTCTTTCTCCATTTCATGTTGTTCTAAAGTCATTCTTCTAGGCAGTGGAGGCCGTTCTGGAGCTTCGAAAGATGATCTTTCGGCTAGGCTCGTGATGTAGGCGATGTGGTCCAGTTCCTGTTTCGAAAGAACTGGCTGAGCGAATTCTGTTCTCGGCTGTGGTAGTTCGGAACTGTCTTCCACTTCGAAGGGTGCTTGACTGACGACATCCTGATCGGAAATGGCAGTGTCGTCATCGAAAGAGCGCTCTTCGAACTGATCTGCATCGGAAGTAGCGCTGGACCTGTCTTCGCTGAGCTCTTTCTCCATTTCATGTTGTTCTAAAGTCATTCTTCTAGGCAGTGGAGGCCGTTCTGGAGCTTGGAAAGATGATTGCTCGGCTAGACTCGTGATGTAGGCGATGCGGTCCAGTTCGTGTTTCGAAAGAACTGGCTGAGCGAATTCTGTTCTCGGCTGTGGTAGTTCGGAACTGTCTTCCACTTCGAAGGGTGCTTGACTGACGAATTCCTGATCGGAAATGGCAGTGACGTCGTCGAAAGACCCTTCTTCGAACTGATCTGCGTTGGAAGTGGCGCTGGATCTGTCTTCGCTGAGCTCTTTTCTCCATTTCTTGTTGTTCTGAAAGCCATTCTTCTAGGCAGTGGAGGTCGTTCTGGAGCTTCGAAAGATGATCTTTCGGCTAGGCTCGTGATGTACGCGATGTGGTCCAGTTCCTGTTTCGAAAGAACTGGCTGAGCGAATTCTGTTCTCGGCTGTGGTAGTTCGGAACTGTCTTCCACTTCGAAGGGTGCTTGACTGACGACTTCCTGATCGGAAATGGCAGTGACGTCGTCGAAAGACCCTTCTTCGAACTGATCTGCGTTGGAAGTGGCGCTGGATCTGTCTTCGCTGAGCTCTTTCTCCATTTCTTGTTGTTCTGAAGCCATTCTTCTAGGCAGTGGAGGTCGTTCTGGAGCTTCGAAAGATGATCTTTCGGCTAGGCTCGTGATGTACGCGATGTGGTCCAGTTCCTGTTTCGAAAGAACTGGCTGAGCGAATTCTGTGCTCGGCTGTGGTAGTTCGGAACTGTCTTCCACTTCGAAGGGTGCTTGACTGACGACTTCCTGATCGGAAATGGCAGTGACGTCGTCGAAAGACCCTTCTTCGAACTGATCTGCGTTGGAAGTGGCGCTGGATCTGTCTTCGCTGAGCTCTTTCTCCATTTCTTGTTGTTCTGAAAGCCATTCTTCTAGGCAGTGGAGGTCGTTCTGGAGCTTCGAAAGATGATCTTTCGGCTAGGCTCGTGATGTACGCGATGTGGTCCAGTTCCTGTTTTCGAAAGAACTGGCTGAGCGAATTCTGTTCTCGGCTGTGGTAGTTCGGAACTGTCTTCCACTTCGAAGGGTGCTTGACTGACGACTTCCTGATCGGAAATGGCAGTGACGTCATCGAAAGACCCTTCTTCGAACTGATCTGCGTTGGAAGTAGCGCTGGACCTGTCTTCGCTGAGCTCTTTCTCCATTTCATGTTGTTCTAAAGCTATTCTGCTAGGCAGTGGAGGCCGTTCTGGAGCTTCGAAAGATGATCTTTCGGCTAGGCTCGTGATGTAGGCGATGTGGTCCAGTTCCTGTTTCGAAAGAACTGGCTGAGCGAATTCTGTTCTCGGCTGTGGTAGTTCGGAACTGTCTTCCACTTCGAAGGGTGCTTGACTGACGACTTCCTGATCGGAAATGGCAGTGACGTCATCGAAAGACTCTTCTTCGAACTGATCTGCGTTGGAAGTGGCGCTGGACCTGTCTTCGCTGAGCACTTTCTCCATTTCATGTTGTTCTAAAGTCATTCTTCTAGGCAGTGGAGGTCGTTCTGGAGCTTCGAAAGATGATCTTTCGGCTAGGCTCGTGATGTACGCGATGTGGTCCAGTTCCTGTTTTGAAAGAACTGGCTGAGCGAATTCTGTTCTCGGCTGTGGTAGTTCGGAACTGTCTTCCACTTCGAAGGGTGCTTGACTGACGACTTCCTGATCGGAAATGGCAGTGACGTCGTCGAAAGACCCTCCTTCGAACTGATCTGCGTTGGAAGTGGCGCTGGACCTGTCTTCGCTGAGCTCTTTCTCCATTTCATGTTGTTCTAAAGCTATTCTGCTAGGCAGTGGAGGCCGTTCTGGAGCTTCGAAAGATGATCTTTCGGCTAGGCTCGTGATGTGGGCGATGTGGTCCAGTTCCTGTTTCGAAAGAACTGGCTGAGCGAATTCTGTTCTCGGCTGTGGTAGTTCGGAACTGTCTTCCACTTCGAAGGGTGCTTTACTGACGACATCCTGATCGGAAATGGCAGTGACGTCATCGAAAGACTCTTCTTCGAACTGATCTGCGTTGGAAGTGGCGCTGGACCTGTCTTCGCTGAGCACTTTCTCCATTTCATGTTGTTCTAAAGTCATTCTTCTAGGCAGTGGAGGTCGTTCTGGAGCTTCGAAAGATGATTTTTCGGCTAGGCTCGTGATGTACGCGATGTGGTCCAGTTCCTGTTTCGAAAGAACTGGCTGAGCGAATTCTGTGCTCGGCTGTGGTAGTTCGGAACTGTCTTCCACTTCGAAGGGTGCTTTACTGACGACATCCTGATCGGAAATGGCAGTGACGTCGTCGAAAGAGCGCTCTTCGAACTGATCTGCATCGGAAGTAGCGCTGGACCTGTCTTCGCTGAGCTCTTTCTCCATTTCATGTTGTTCTAAAGTCATTCTTCTAGGCAGTGGAGGCCGTTCTGGAGCTTCGAAAGATGATCTTTCGGCTAGGCTCGTGATGTAGGCGATGTGGTCCAGTTCCTGTTTCGAAAGAACTGGCTGAGCGAATTCTGTGCTCGGCTGTGGTAGTTCGGAACTGTCTTCCACTTCGAAGGGTGCTTGACTGACGACTTCCTGATCGGAAATGGCAGTGACGTCATCGAAAGACCCTTCTTCGAACTGATCTGCGTTGGAAGTGGCGCTGGACCTGTCTTCGCTGAGCTCTTTCTCCATTTCATGTTGTTCTAAAGTCATTCTTCTAGGCAGTGGAGGCCGTTCTGGAGCTTCGAAAGATGATCTTTCGGCTAGGCTCGTGATGTAGGCGATGTGGTCCAGTTCCTGTTTCGAAAGAACTGGCTGAGCGAATTCTGTGCTCGGCTGTGGTAGTTCGGAACTGTCTTCCACTTCGAAGGGTGCTTGACTGACGACTTCCTGATCGGAAATGGCAGTGACGTCATCGAAAGACCCTTCTTCGAACTGATCTGCGTTGGAAGTGGCGCTGGACCTGTCTTCGCTGAGCTCTTTCTCCATTTCATGTTGTTCTGAAAGCCATTCTTCTAGGCAGTGGAGGCCGTTCTGGAGCTTCGAAAGATGATCTTTCGGCTAGGCTCGTGATGTACGCGATGTGGTCCAGTTCCTGTTTCGAAAGAACTGGCTGAGCGAATTCTGTGCTCGGCTGTGGTAGTTCGGAACTGTCTTCCACTTCGAAGGGTGCTTGACTGACGACTTCCTGATCGGAAATCGCAGTGACGTCATCGAAAGACCCTTCTTCGAACTGATCTGCGTTGGAAGTAGCGCTGGACCTGTCCTCGCTGAGCTCTTTCTCCATTTCATGTTGTCCTGAAGCCATTCTTCTAGGCAGTGGAGGCCGTTCTGGAGCTTCGAAAGATGATCTTTCGGCCAGGCTCGTGATGTACGCGATGTGGTCCAGCTCTTGTTTGGAAAGAACTGGCTGAGCGAATTCTGTGCTCGACTGTGGTAGTTCGGAACTGTCTTCCACTTTGAAGGGTGCTTGACTGACGACTTCCTGATCGGAAATCGCAGTGACGTCATCGAAAGACCCTTCTTCGAACTGATCTGCGTTGGAAGTAGCGCTGGACCTGTCTTCGCTGAGCTCTTTCTCCATTTCATGTTGTCCTGAAGCCATTCTTCTAGGCAGTGGAGGCCGTTCTGGAGCTTGGAAAGATGATTGCTCGGCTAGACTCGTGATGTACGCGATGGGGTCCAGCTCTTGTTTGGAAAGAACTGGCTGAGCGAATTCTGTGCTCGGCTGTGGTAGTTCGGAACTGTCTTCCACTTCGAAGGGTGCTTGACTGACGACTTCCTGATCGGAAATGGCAGTGACGTCATCGAAAGAGCGCTCTTCGAACTGATCTGCATCGGAAGTAGCGCTGGACCTGTCTTCGCTGAGCTCTTTCTCCATTTCATGTTGTTCTAAAGTCATTCTTCTAGGCAGTGGAGGCCGTTCTGGAGCTTCGAAAGATGATCTTTCGGCTAGGCTCGTGATGTAGGCGATGTGGTCCAGTTCCTGTTTCGAAAGAACTGGCTGAGCGAATTCTGTGCTCGGCTGTGGTAGTTCGGAACTGTCTTCCATTTCGAAGGGTGCTTGACTGACGACTTCCTGATCGGAAATGGCAGTGACGTCATCGAAAGACCCTTCTTCGAACTGATCTGCGTTGGAAGTGGCGCTGGATCTGTCTTCGCTGAGCTCTTTCTCCATTTCTTGTTGTTCTGAAGCCATTATTCCAGGCAGTGGAGGCCGTTCTGGAGCTTCGAAAGATGATCTTTCGGCTAGGCTCGTGATGTAGGCGATGTGGTCCAGTTCCTGTTTCGAAAGAACTGTCTGAGCGAATTCTGTGCTCGGCTGTGGTAGTTCGGAGCTCTCTTCCATTTCGTAGGGCGCGTGACTGACGACTTCTTGGTCAGAAATGGCAGTGACGTCATCAAAAGACCCTCCTTCGAACTGATCTGCGTTGGAAGTGGCGCTGGACCTGTCTTCGCTGAGCTCTTTCTCCATTTCATGTTGTTCTAAAGCTATTCTTCTAGGCAGTGGAGGCCGTTCTGGAGCTTCGAAAGATGATCTTTCGGCTAGGCTCGTGATGTAGGCGATGTGGTCCAGTTCCTGTTTCGAAAGAACTGGCTGAGCGAATTCTGTGCTCGGCTGTGGTAGTTCGGAACTGTCTTCCACTCCGGAGGGTGCTTGACTGACGACTTCCTGATCGGAAATGGCAGTGACGTCATCGAAAGAGCGCTCTTCGAACTGATCTGCATCGGAAGTAGCGCTGGACCTGTCTTCGCTGAGCTCTTTCTCCATTTCATGTTGTTCTAAAGTCATTCTTCTAGGCAGTGGAGGCCGTTCTGGAGCTTCGAAAGATGATCTTTCGGCTAGGCTCGTGATGTACGCGATGTGGTCCAGCTCTTGTTTGGAAAGAACTGGCTGAGCGAATTCTGTGCTCGACTGTGGTAGTTCGGAACTGTCTTCCACTTCGAAGGGTGCTTGACTGACGACTTCCTGATCGGAAATGGCAGTGACGTCATCGAAAGACCCTTCTTCGAACTGATCTGCGTTGGAAGTGGCGCTGGACCTGTCTTCGCTGAGCACTTTCTCCATTTCTTGTTGTTCTGAAGCCATTCTTCTAGGCAGTGGAGGCCGTTCTGGAGCTTCGAAAGATGATCTTTCGGCTAGGCTCGTGATGTAGGCGATGTGGTCCAGTTCCTGTTTCGAAAGAACTGGCTGAGCGAATTCTGTGCTCGGCTGTGGTAGTTCGGAACTGTCTTCCACTTCGGAGGGTGCTTGACTGACGACTTCCTGATCGGAAATCGCAGTGACGTCATCGAAAGACCCTTCTTCGAACTGATCTGCGTTGGAAGTGGCGCTGGACCTGTCTTCGCTGAGCTCTTTCTCCATTTCATGTTGTTCTGAAGCCATTCTTCTAGGCAGTGGAGGCCGTTCTGGAGCTTCGAAAGATGATCTTTCGGCTAGGCTCGTGATGTACGCGATGTGGTCCAGTTCCTGTTTCGAAAGAACTGGCTGAGCGAATTCTGTGCTCGGCTGTGGTAGTTCGGAACTGTCTTCCACTTTCGAAGGGTGCTTGACTGACGACTTCCTGATCGGAAATGGCAGTGACGTCATCGAAAGACCCTTCTTCGAACTGATCTGCGTTGGAAGTGGCGCTGGACCTGTCTTCGCTGAGCTCTTTTCTCCATTTCATGTTGTTCTAAAGTCATTCTTCTAGGCAGTGGAGGTCGTTCTGGAGCTTCGAAAGATGATTTTTCGGCTAGGCTCGTGATGTACGCGATGTGGTCCAGTTCCTGTTTCGAAAGAACTGGCTGAGCGAATTCTGTGCTCGGCTGTGGTAGTTCGGAACTGTCTTCCACTTCGAAGGGTGCTTTACTGACGACATCCTGATCGGAAATGGCAGTGACGTCATCGAAAGACTCTTCTTCGAACTGATCTGCGTTGGAAGTGGCGCTGGACCTGTCTTCGCTGAGCACTTTCTCCATTTCATGTTGTTCTAAAGTCATTCTTCTAGGCAGTGGAGGCCGTTCTGGAGCTTCGAAAGATGATCTTTCGGCTAGGCTCGTGATGTAGGCGATGTGGTCCAGTTCCTGTTTCGAAAAGAACTGGCTGAGCGAATTCTGTGCTCGGCTGTGGTAGTTCGGAACTGTCTTCCACTTCGAAGGGTGCTTGACTGACGACTTCCTGATCGGAAATGGCAGTGACGTCATCGAAAGACCCTTCTTCGAACTGATCTGCGTTGGAAGTGGCGCTGGACCTGTCTTCGCTGAGCTCTTTCTCCATTTCATGTTGTTCTGAAAGCCATTCTTCTAGGCAGTGGAGGCCGTTCTGGAGCTTCGAAAGATGATCTTTCGGCTAGGCTCGTGATGTACGCGATGTGGTCCAGTTCCTGTTTCGAAAGAACTGGCTGAGCGAATTCTGTGCTCGGCTGTGGTAGTTCGGAACTGTCTTCCACTTCGAAGGGTGCTTGACTGACGACTTCCTGATCGGAAATGGCAGTGACGTCATCGAAAGACCCTTCTTCGAACTGATCTGCGTTGGAAGTGGCGCTGGACCTGTCTTCGCTGAGCACTTTCTCCATTTCTTGTTGTTCTGAAGCCATTCTTCTAGGCAGTGGAGGCCGTTCTGGAGCTTCGAAAGATGATCTTTCGGCTAGGCTCGTGATGTACGCGATGTGGTCCAGTTCCTGTTTCGAAAGAACTGGCTGAGCGAATTCTGTGCTCGGCTGTGGTAGTTCGGAACTGTCTTCCACTTTGAAGGGTGCTTGACTGACGACTTCCTGATCGGAAATCGCAGTGGCGTCATCGAAAGACCCTTCTTCGAACTGATCTGCGTTGGAAGTGGCGCTGGACCTGTCTTCGCTGAGCTCTTTCTCCATTTCCTGTTGTTCTGAAGCCATTCTTCTAGGCAGTGGAGGCCGTTCTGGAGCTTCGAAAGATGATCTTTCGGCTAGGCTCGTGATGTACGCGATGTGGTCCAGTTCCTGTTTCGAAAGAACTGGCTGAGAGAATTCTGTGCTCGGCTGTGGTAGTTCGGAACTGTCTTCCACTTCGAAGGGTGCTTGACTGACGACTTCCTGATCGGAAATGGCAGTGACGTCATCGAAAGACCCTTCTTCGAACTGATCTGCGTTGGAAGTGGCGCTGGACCTGTCTTCGCTGAGCACTTTCTCCATTTCTTGTTGTTCTGAAGCCATTCTTCTAGGCAGTGGAGGCCGTTCTGGAGCTTCGAAAGATGATCTTTCGACTAGGCTCGTGATGTACGCGATGTGGTCCAGTTCCTGTTTCGAAAGAACTGGCTGAGCGAATTCTGTGCTCGGCTGTGGTAGTTCGGAACTGTCTTCCACTTCGAAGGGTGCTTGACTGACGACTTCCTGATCGGAAATGGCAGTGACGTCATCGAAAGACCCTTCTTCGAACTGATCTGCGTTGGAAGTGGCGCTGGACCTGTCTTCGCTGAGCACTTTCTCCATTTCTTGTTGTTCTGAAGCCATTCTTCTAGGCAGTGGAGGCCGTTCTGGAGCTTCGAAAGATGATCTTTCGACTAGGCTCGTGATGTAGGCGATGTGGTCCACTTTCTGTTTCGAAGGAACTGGCTGAGCGAATTCTGTGCTCGGATGTGGTAGTTCGGAGCTCTCTTCCATTTCGTAGGGCGCGTGACTGACGACTTCTTGGTCAGAAATGGCAGTGACGTCATCAAAAGACCCTTCTTCGAACTGATCTGCGTTGGAAATGGCGCTGGACCTGTCTTCGCTGAGCTCTTTCTCCATTTCTTGTTGTTCTGAAGCCATTCTTCTAGGCAGTGGAGGCCGTTGTGAAGCTTCGAAAGATGATTGCTCGGCTAGACTCGTGATGTAGGCGATGTGGTCCAGTTCCTGTTTCGAAAGAACTGGCTGAGCGAATTCTGTGCTCGGCTGTGGTAGTTCGGAACTTTCTTCCACTTCGAAGGGTGCTTGACTGACGACTTCCTGATCGGAAATGGCAGTGACGTCATCGAAAGAGCGCTCGTCAAACTGATCTGCATTGGAAGTAGCGCTGGACCTGTCTTCGCTGAGCTCTTTATCCATTTCATATTGTTCTGAAGCCATTCTTCTAGGCAGTGGAGGCCGTTCTGGAGCTTCGAAAGATGATCTTTCGACTAGGCTCGTGATGTAGGCGATGTGGTCCAGTTCCTGTTTCGAAAGAACTGGCTGAGCGAATTCTGTGCTCGGCTGTGGTAGTTCGGAACTGTCTTCCACTTTCGAAGGGTGCTTGACTGACGACTTCCTGATCGGAAATGGCAGTGACGTCATCGAAAAGACCCTTCTTCGAACTGATCTGCATTGGAAAGTAGCGCTGGACCTGTCTTCGCTGAGCTCTTTATCCATTTCATATTGTTCTGAAGCCATTCTTCTAGGCAGTGGAGGCCGTTCTGGAGCTTCGAAAGATGATCTTTCGACTAGGCTCGTGATGTAGGCGATGTGGTCCACTTTCTGTTTCGAAGGAACTGGCTGAGCGAATTCTGTGCTCGGATGTGGTAGTTCGGAGCTCTCTTCCATTTCGTAGGGCGCGTGACTGACGACTTCTTGGTCAGAAATGGCAGTGACGTCATCAAAAGACCCTTCTTCGAACTGATCTGCGTTGGAAATGGCGCTGGACCTGTCTTCGCTGAGCTCTTTCTCCATTTCTTGTTGTTCTGAAGCCATTCTTCTAGGCAGTGGAGGCCGTTGTGAAGCTTCGAAAGATGATTGCTCGGCTAGACTCGTGATGTAGGCGATGTGGTCCAGTTCCTGTTTCGAAAGAACTGGCTGAGCGAATTCTGGGCTCGGCTGTGTTAGTTCGGAACTGTCTTCCACGCCGAAGGGTGCTTGACTGACGACTTCCTGATCGGAAATGGCAGTGACGTCATCGAAAGAGCGCTCTTCAAACTGATCTGCATTGGAAGTAGCGCTGGACCTGTCTTCGCTGAGTTCTTCCCGCAGTTCAAATTGTTCTGAAGTCATTCTTCTGGGCAATGGAGGCCGTTCTGGTGCTTCGAAAGATGATTGCTCGGCTAGGCTCGTGATGTAGGCGATGTGGTCCAGTTCCTGTTTCGAAAGAACTGGCTGAGCGAACTCTGAACTCGGTTGTGGTAGTTCGGAGCTCTCTTCCATTTCGTAGGGCGCGTGACTGACGACTTCTTGGTCAGAAATGTCAGTGAGGTCATCAAAAGACCTTTCTTCGAACTGATCTGCGTTGGAAGTGGCGCTGGACCTGTCTTCGCTGAGTTTTTCCTGCAGTTCATGTGGTAGCTCGCATCTCTTTTCAACTTCGTAGGTCGCTTGACTAGGCTTGTCTTCTGTTGAATCTTCTTCGAGTTCAGTTTCATGGCAATCTTTTTCTTTCACAGCTGCAATAAATATTTCAGTCCTGTGTGCATTCATATCCGTGGGAGCTCTTCTTTCTTCTTCCTGTATAGAGTCTGTGGTTGTGCATCGGTCTATCATCGTCTGAATATAGGCAATATGGTCCATTCTCATGACATTGACGTTCTCAGCTTCTGAAGCGGACGGCACGATCTCGAAATCGCCGTGTTTTTCGTTCCAGAGCGCACTGTCATCTAATGGGGAGCCTGTTTCAGATGTTAAAGATGTGGTAGAGCTTGATAAAGCGTAGTGGTCCTCCAAAATTTCCTCGAAGGCCTCCGTGTGGGTCGTTGTTGAAGTACAGGGTAGTCCGTAGAATAAAGGCTTATTTTCTTGCTTGTAGCTATCTTGCGCCTCTCGGATGTCTTGCCAAGGTTGCTCGATCTCGAAAGATGTCCTGTATAACTTCTCCTCTTCTTCGGTAATCATCTCATCGGATGACATTATTTCGTAGGTTCCGCAGGTTTTCATACCGAAGACTTGTCTCCTAGTCGATTGATCTGTATTGAATGAGGTCTCTTCCAGGCTTCCATTTTCTTGAGAAGAATTTCTGCTGTCCTCGCTGAGAGTGTCTTCGAAAAGTTCGTAGCAAAACGACGGTGATTGTCGGTTATCGATCGGTTCTTCTGAAAGTTCTTTTTTTGATCATAATTAAAAAAATAATTTTTTTCTTCAATGTGACCCTATTACTAATCGCAAGTTTTCAAGTCTTAAATGGACGTAGCTCTGTGATTAATTTCCTCACCAGAGACTTGTCTATAAAGGGGGAGGGGGTGTGACTCGAGGTCAACTCTGAGCCTACATTTTCTTTACCCTCCCCCAAGTACTTTAGAAAAAAATAGAGGAACTCCGATTAAGACCGTTTTAGGAAATAATTTTTTTTTTTTTTGAAAAACACTCACCGTCATCATATCTTCTTTCTTCCTCCTCGTCCTCGCTGGAAAGCATCTCGTCCAGTTTAACGGCATTTTCAAACGACTTGGATTTGTGGATTTCGCAGAGACGTTCGACGCTGGGAACGCGTTCGGGAAGTGTCCGCAAAATGTAGGAGTAGTAGATGGCTTGTAGGGCGTCGTCGGCGATTTGGGCGCAGAATTCGTCGATGAGACCACGTCTTCCGACGTCGACATTTGCTCTTTCCAAGTCTTTGTAGGCGAGCTCGAAGATGGACTTGCAGAGCTCCTCGCATAGTTTTTGGAACTTTTCCGAGTTGGCCAACATCCTCTGGCAGAGGGAAATGTGCGCAGCGACGAGGATTGCCTCACTCAGAGTGTTGATGTACGTCATCGTCAGGCTGCACAGCTCTGGGGTTGGGGTTCCTGAATTTTTCATAACCTTTTTTTTTTAACAAGTTGGAGCTCACCGTCACCAATAGGTTGTAGGAACTCGGCATAATCTCCGTCATAGTCAAGAGAATTGAACCAAGCGGTCAGGTGAGACTTCATCTTTTGTAGCTTTCCCCTCAGCGACTCTGAACAAAAATTAATATGGGGGAAAATCGGTAAAGTCAAGTTCAGAAATCTATCTAGCGATAAAATTCGATAAATAAACACTCTGATGAGTCCACACAAGTCTTGATATACTCTGAGCGGCAATCTCATTTCTCTCACCTCTTCGGCGAGAGAAAAGAGGGCGCAGAGAAGCCAGATTCGTCAAAGAATTAAGAAAGTGTCGTCGAGAGAGATAAAGAGAGGAGAGACATTAGAGATAAAGAGGAGTTTTTTTTACATTTTTATGAAATAGTCCACTCACAACCAGGCTTTCACTAAATTCAAAGAAACAGAGAATTTTCAAAAAAGTCTTGATGAAGGAATTGCTACAAAAATGTCACAATTACAAAAAAAAACTCACTTTGCTCTTCTGGAGGCTGTCTTGCGGTGGAAGGAGGTTCATTCGAAAGGTCACAGGTCACGACGTCTGGAAGATGTTCAATGAGAGGATAAATTTCAAAAAAGTCATACTTTCGGGTATGGAGTCCATTTGGACTAAAGACAGCCGATGCTCGATTTCTATCGATCCGGTGCCTTCTGAAATGAATATATTGATAAAAAAAAAAGTTGATGTGAAGAAACCAAATATTCATAGAAATGAAAGGCCGAGAATAGAAAGCACAGAAAAACTCGAAATGCGCTCCAACTATAATTCAAAGGCTGACAATAAAATTTACGTTTTCTACTCGGTCCTCGGTAACAAATCACCCCAGACGTTTCTAAGAATACCAAGTAATCACTTAAAAGCGCTAACGTCGCTAAAGGGGTCACTAGATCGGATTGCGTCCGATTGGCGTTACCGAGGTCCAAGTATGACAAAAAGAGGAACTCAAAAAAAAAACTTTAGCCATGGAGCACAATAGCTTTTTAATGGCTATTTTATGGGGGCTATTTTTCATGTCAGTCTAGAATCCGTTTTCAGGTGTTTCTGCGGTCATTTCGGCATACATCCTACAAGAAAGAGCAAATCCTACGTCACAGGACATACCTCGAAAGGCGGCCCGTCTCCGTGACATTTGGGCGAGTTGATTGGCGTCGATGACGACCCGCGCCCCTCGACGAGATTCGGCCGCCCGTTTCAGGACCTAAATTTTTTCCATATTCAAAAAAGAAGACGTTGGACGAAACTGACCGCCTCAACCATGGTTCTCTGCTGCTCGCTGAGCTCGTCGATGGCCTGAGAAATCTCCTCCTCATTGTTTTCCTGAAACATTTTTCTAAATTTGGATTTTGGATCAATCTAACTTGGGTATTAAGGAGTTCTAAAAGCTGAAAGTTTTCTCCTATTTCATTAAAGGACAATCTGAGCGGGTCAACACGAAAACTCAAAAAATAGTGCCCTCCGAGAATCAAAGTCCAAGAAACAAATCATTCCAGACATGAAAAACGTCCGTTCAACCCTATTATTCAACACTCAATCTCGATAAATTCAGCTGTCGTCGGAGAAAACCAATTTGTAAATTTCGAAGCAAAAAGGGCTGGAAAGAGAAAATCTCGTTTTTCAGAAACCATTTTTCAATTATTCCAAAAAAAAATATATGCCTGAGAATGGCAGGTCGACGGCTCTTCGACTTCTTCCTCTCGAACTTCTTCCAGTGGGTTTGAGGCCCCAGTTAATCTGGAAAACTTGCTTATCCGTTTCAAAAAAGTCATGGTCGCAGGTGGAATGGCTCGCAACCGACTTGATACGGTTTGCGCGCAAAGCCATTCCAGGGAGAAATCAAATCGGAGCTCACCTTAGATAAGAAAACCAAGAGGACATTTCGGGGGCGGTTGTCACTTTTTACGTACTCTCATCCTATAAAATTGTAGTTTTGAGAAATTCGAGGTCAAGGAGAGGTAGTTGGGCGGAGCGTGGTCGCATTAGGAATGGCTCGACGCGTCGCGGTTGCGAAGCGTTCAAAGGTTCGACCGACCATGAAGCGACTTGCGCACTATTCAAATCTAACCCGGTAAGAGCCTGAAACTTAATAGATCCAGCTCTAAGACGGGGACTTGAACCGCTTCGCGACCGCGACGCTTTGAACCATTCCAAACACGGCCTTGCTCAAGACGTTTCAAATAGAGTATAGTATGTATAGAGCAAAAGAAAAGTGAAAATTGGAAATTCTCCGCGCTACAAATGGAAAACGAGAAAAAAACGGGGCCGAACATAAATCAGATCCTCATTCCCTGGGCCTTCTCGCTGAAACGCTTCTAAATCTTGTGAAAAATATATGAGCTGGAAGAGGAGGAAGCTTCTCTGTATGTATTTTACGAGTTTCTTCATTCCTAATGCAGAGTTTTGCATGTCGGAAAGAGACCATTTTCTTGAAAAATCGACCTTTTTTGAGAGAAAATGAGCTCTCATTGAACTTAGATAGTCCAGTTATCACAACTTGAACAATTTTGACTTCTCTGCACTCTCTAATCTTCACGTGCTCTTCCTACTTCTATAACCTAGCCGGCGAGGGAAAAGAGATGCAGAGAAAACATAAATTTTCAATTCGTGGCGAATGGACTATTTTGAAAAAGCATTCATGAAGTTGGAAAAAAGTTCAAAGCCATTTTTTTTCGAATAAAATCCCCTAAATGGTATAAAATAATAGGTTTTGTTTGCAAACATAAATTTCAAGACCTTTCTTCAAAATAATAGGTTGAAAAAAGTTGGGGATAAATCTAGATATAAATTATGCAGAAAAAAAAAATGAAAATTAACTTTTTCGAGAGTGGAAATTATATATAACTAGGCTAATTAAAAAAATTTCAAATTTGTGTGAAAAATAATTTCAATGACTTTAGAAGAGTATATTATTTCAATTCATTGAAAAAAACGGCCTCTAATAAAATTTTTCTCACGCCGATAATTTGAAGACATCAATGAGCACAAAAAAAGCAGAAGACAACAAGGAATTTGAGCAGAAATAGACGAAATCGGCTGACAGACTTCACACAATACCAATTCCAATAAATACCTTGAAGGAATCGAAAGGATTCCCCCTAAACAAAGCTCTGAAGATATAAAAGAGAACAAAAGACATAAAAAAATCGCCTTGTTAATTTTTCTGGAGTGCCTATAAAAGGTATAGGAAAAACCTGAATAAAGAAAACCAAAGAAATAAAAAAATCCTTAAGGTGATTGATTTTTTTCGAAAACTGAAGTAATCAACATTTTTTTATAGAAACGGAAGACAAAAAAATTTAAAAAAATTTGAAAAAAATCTAGCAAAACTGGCAGGTGGAACGATTTTTCTTTCGAAACGAAACGGCACGACTTTTAGGAAATTTTTCTTGAGAAATTTTTTTCAAATAAAGAGTATGCTTTCAAGAGTCACAAAAAAAGACAGAAAAACTTCCAAAATTCATAAATTACTCAAAATTTAAGACTAAAAAGATTAGAAGCGAGTCTTAAAAAAAGCCCTTTTTGGCGGATCCTCTTCCTGGAGCGCATAAAAAATTGAATGAATTTTAAAGAAAAATGCAAAATCAGGAACGACAAAAACCTGGTTTCAAAAAAAGTCAATAACCAGAGTAGAAAAATGCCTTTGAGAAACCCAGAAAAAAAGAGAGAAAGCAAAAAAATCTGAAAGACCAAAAAAATAAAGTTTAAAAAAAGTAGTTTTATTTATTGATTGAAGTAATAGGCTTGAAAAGATCTAGAAGTCCTTCGAAAAAGGTTTTTTTGCTCGTTTTATTTCCTGAAACGATTGAAAAGCACGAAAATCCTAGAAATAATGAAAAAGAGAAGGAAAATGTGTATTTAAAAAATGCAGCTTTGCTTATTGGTCGCAGTGGACGGCTTGAAAAGATCTGGAAGCCCTTCGAAAAAGGTTTCTTGCTCGTTTTACTTCCTGAAACGATTGAAAAATTTGAAATTCTAGAAATAATGAAGAAGAAAAAGAAAAAAATGTGTATTTTTAAAAAAATGCAGCTCTGCTTATTGATCACAGTAGAGGACGAAAGATTCATGAGCAAGTCTAAAAAAAGCTTATTTTGCTTAAAAATCTTACTGAAAAAGAAGCTCAAAACAGCAAAAAAAATCAAAGATTTTGAGGCCAAGAATTTAAAAAAAAAACCCGCTCAATTATTGATCAAAGTAGTAATTTGAAAGATTCATGAGCAAGTCTAGAAAAGCTCCTTTTGCTAAATAATCTCCCTGAAGCGAATGAAAAACTTTATATAAAAAAGCAAGACGGACTAAGAAACGAAAAGAAAAGTGGCAGGTCGTTCCGAGAAGAATAAGAAGACGAAGAAGTGGCAAAAACAACTGGACCGGTGGTTTTTTCCGTGGGTTTCGGACCCCGAGCATGGAACTCGGGGCGCCGAGATCAATACTTAGCCGTGTGTCGGTCGTGGTGGAAGGGGGGGGGGCTCTCTTTTGCCATTCCTTTCCTAAACCTCTGACTGAGGCGTTGAGCAAAAATGGGGAAAGAGCCGCCAGGAAAACTCGAATAAAAACGGCCATTGTGCACATCTCGGCTGTTGGTTTGGCGTTTTTCGGAACGCCTTGCCTCGGATTTCCCCTCGCCCCCCGAATATTCAATTCTCTTCCGACTCTCCGCTCCCAAGTTTCGCCCATTCTCAACCATTTCAATCGCCTTTCCTAGCTTTTGCCTTTTTTTTGTTGTTTTTTTGGGGTCCAGAGTTCAAATCGCCATAAAACTTTGAAGGTCTATTTCAACTTTATTCATCCATGCCTTCAAGTCTCACTCAGAGATCTATGACACCCTAAAAAAGCCAGTTCAAGCTCTTAAGTGATCACTTGAGAAAATATTCCTTAACATAGGGAATAAAAGAGGTGGTGGGTTGAGAAATTCATGTAACTTGGTATATAGGTACTTTAGGACACCCTGATTCGAATAATGTTGGAAAAAAGTGCCTCTTTTGCGTTCTAACCGAGTTATAGCATCTAGAAGTTTGCACGCGAAAAAAGCATTGGAGGGAAGGAGGGAATCTAATGCGGCGACACACATCAGTTGCCAGCAGGCCGTTTGGTGTAGTGGCTAACAACCTTGCACTACGGAACCTATGATGCAGGTTCGGTCCTTTTTCGGTGAAATCTTTTTTGCCAGGAAGTTTTTCGAAAAAATTGATGAAGATTGAACGAAAAATGCCGTTCAAGGTGTTGAAATTCGTTATTTTAAGTCGTTTCAAGGAACAAATATTGTAAAGGACAAACTGAACTGAAACCCCTAAAGTGGCCAATTTCGCAAGATTTAGTCTTACCAGAGAGAGGTTAAGTGGTCCCTTGAGGGAAACCTTCAAGTGTCCTTATTCATTAAAAAAGGACTACTTCAAAGCTGAAATTAAAGTAGTTGATCGTCAATGACATGCTTAGGAACTCCAGAGTGGTCCCTATGGGGTTTGGGATCCCAAAAGCTCAAATGGTCCCTATCGTGAGCTTTCAGAATTTTTTTTCTGACTTGAAACTGACTCGAAATGTCTAGGTACCACTAGCGCGCTTTCCTAGAGTAACCACTTATAAAATTCCTAGAGGGTCCCTATAGGGGAGGTAAAGTGATCTCTAGAGGGAGCCTTGTAGGGCCTCTATGTTTGCCCCTATAGGGACCACTGTGGCGTTCCCAAATTCGAACGAAGAACATAATAGTGTGAAAACGAGAGAGTGAGAAGAGAAAAAAAACTGTCAGAGTAGGGATAAAATTTTTTACGAATCACACAACTATTCTGAAAAATAAAAATCGCATCATAGCTCAATTTCAGCCCATAAAACTTACCCCATAAAGTAATCGATAGGGTCAGTGGGAGTGGATAGACTGACGCTACTTATGAGATTACTTAAGGAAGCCGCAGGCCACCATATCGACTTCCAGAGGAACGAAACGCGGCGTTTGACTCGAAAACCTCCAAATTTGAATAAAATCCCATTTTTTGCATTCTTAGAACATTTTCCTGGCCGGTAAGATGGCTTCGACAAAACTTTTTCAAAGGATACCTTCCTAGTGTCTGCGTCTCTCTGTTCCCTCACCGGCAAGGTCAGACAAAAATGAAAAGAGCACGTCAACATGAGAGGGTCACCGAGAGACGAGGAGGGCGCAGAGAAAAAACCAACAGTCCCAAGAACGGAATATGATTCCGGAATAGGAAATAGATTTTCCATAATCGAATTATGACGCTTCAAAGTGACCAAACTACATATATCGCGGGGAAAAAGCGATTTGAACTTTTCGAAACGTTATAATTCGATCATGAAGCAAAAGTCAAGCATTTTGTTTCCTTTTTAGAGAAAAAAGGTTATAAAACACAGTTCATTCAAGTTTTATCAAAATTCAACCGAGACCTTTTATGAAGTTCGTTCATGCTCCTTTAATAGTCTGAGCAAGAATTTTTATGTGATAAATCAGAGAAATACTCCGGTTCAAGCTGATAAAAAAAAATTGAAAATAGAAGATCCCAAATATGGTTTAAATACAGATTTCGGAACCAATCGACGAACTTCTTGGCTCCAGAAAAATAACTTTAAAGTATAAAATAGACGGGCTAATGGTTAGATAGAGTTCAAAAAGTAGAAATTCAAAAAATGAGACGTGATTTGAAGATTTCAAATTTCAAAGCTATCAAACGAAATATATTTTCAGAAATGTCTTGAAAAATATGGAGAGGCCGCAGCGCGACCGCAACGCCTTAAGCCATTCTACTTGCGACCAGAACTTAGGAACTCCAGAGTTGTCTCTAGAGGGGCCCTGAGAGGGACCGCTTTACCAACCCCTATAGGGGCCACTTAAGCTTTAGAGGCTAAGGAGTCAGACCCTAGACCCCTATAGGGACCACTTGATCTTTAAAGGCTTAGGGATCAAACACAAAACCCTATGGGGACCGCCTAAGTTTTACCTCTATAGGGACCATTTTTTTCGGAAAAGCTTGTTTTCTCCTAACCCCTAGAGGGACCACTCTAAAATTCCTAAAGTTTTTCTCAAGTCATGGGGAACGGCATTATCTCAATTTCCATCTTCCCAGCTCCTCCAGCTCAAATTTCTCCTTCTCAAGGAATAAAAGTAACTTTTGCCCTACCAAAAGAAGAAAAAAGACTGTGGAGGCGCAGCTGTGCATTTCTGAAAGAAAATCCTGAAAAATTAACGACGCGGAAGAACGTCGCTCTTCAACAAATGTTTGCGCCAATTTCTCAACTGAGAAAAGTGTTATTCGATCCCTCCTTTTAAGGCAACTCTCACTCTCCATGGAAGCTGTGATTTGAAAAAAGGCGAAAAAAAAAAAAGTGTTTTATGTGGGGGAAAATGAGGCAACAATAACGGATAACAACATGATTAACATCTAAAAATCAACAAAAGTGAGTTCAAAAGGGCTATTGGACGTTGGTGTCTTTTTTCCGACCCAAGTTCAGGTTCGACGGCAGTTTCTTGAGGCCTTTCGTGACCAGGGAATTCGGTCTTCTCGTTACGGATTGCCGTTCGGCGACGTGGGATGCCTTGAAAATATAACCACTGATTTATTTTTTCAATTTGATATATCAGGCCAATAAGAATAATCCACTTATATCTGATTCACGGCTGGCTTGTGCCCTCGAAAATAGGGTCCTGACACGATAAGAAAAGAGACAGTGCCTGGTTACTGGAGAGCACAGACAGGTCCCAAGCAAGCCGTCAGCTATATAATTCCTCTAAAGGTAGCTTGGTAAAATAAAAAAAGGTTCTTTACAGATTTCGCGAAGCAGTACGTGAAAAGAGGAGGTTTAGACATCTCCGCAAATAAATGGAGTGTAGAAAAATTTCGACGTCTGAATCTCTCCTCTTCATACACTCTCTATATCTGAGCCTTGAATAATGTCTCGAAGCGACAGTGAATCGAGAATGGCTTGGAAGCTCATGGTCGCACTTGGAATGGCTGATATTTTTACGATTTCCGCGCAGTACATTGCCAAGTATTGGAAGAACCGGGTTAAGGCGACTTGACTAACCGCGACGCGACTGCAACTCTTCGAGCCATTCCAAATGCAACCAGAGTTTCAAGCCGCGGAAAAATTCCGTATAGAGAAACGACAGTAGGGAACAGACTTACGGCTAACTTGGGACGCTAAGGGGGCGTGGCCTGTCTGCGCTCTCTACCAACCAGGAACTGTTTCTTTTGTTATCGTGTCAGGACCCTTTTTTGATGGCTGTGGATCAACTATAGAAACGCGTATTTTTTTCGCGAAAAGTCAATAAATTGACGTTATTTAGGGTAGCGAAGTGCGAGTGAAGTAGAAAAAATTCGCCAAAATCCTAAACCCCCCCCCCCATCTTTCTTTCAGGATTATTTTCTAGGAAAATACCTTCTTGGCCTTGGCCTGATCCCTCTTGACTTCTGAGGCCCGTTTTCCAATCGTGAACTTCATTTCGCGACCGCCGAATGGGGCATCGCTCGTCTTGTCCTGAAGAAAGCCAATTTTGAGCTGAACTATCTTACCTCTTCAAAAAAAGCCTCTAACTATCAATTTTCAATGCTTGAATTTCCGAAAAAAGTACCTCATTCTGAGCCGCCACGTTGAACTTCTTGGAGACCCGATTCCGTTGATCCAAACTGAGGGATTCCTGGAGAGTTTTCATTGATTATTCTGGAAGAAACGCCAGAAAGAGACCTGTTTTCCAGCTCCTTCCGACGTTTCGGCCAATTTCTCATCGATGAACTTCCGCGTCGTTTCCGATGCTCCGATCGAATGGAGCACGAACTTTTTGGGTTTTGTAGCTAGCCTAGTTTCTCTGGAAATTTACATGAAGATCTTTGCCTGGAAAAAAAGACCAACTTTAATAATTCTCGTTCATTTCTTCTCGCTTCGAGCTTTTCTAGCCGTCGTTTCTCAGCCTCGGCACGTTTGGCCAGCTTCTGCTTCTGTTTTTGCTTCTGGAATGGTTTCGAACCGGTAAAAAGTTCGTTTGATGGTGTACTGGCTAGCACTTTGTCTTCTTAAAATTGAGACCAAGGTTCGATTCCTCTTCTAGCATTCCTATTTTTGCTGAACCTTCCTGATTTCCTAGGTATAGTCTGTCCGCCGCGACTTGATAATTTTCGAGTGTCTGCGTATCTCTGTTACCTCAGCGACAAGATTAGAGAAACATGAAAATAGCACGTCAACAAGAGAGGGTCGCCGAGAGACAAGGAGGGCACAGACACTCCCGAATGAGGTGAAAGGGAAACAGAACCTTAACGTCGTCCTCATCACTCTCGGAGCCTTGTCGGCTCTCAATGTCAGAATCCATCTCATCGGAGCGCACTTTGTCCTCATCTTCGAGCCACAAGGGCCTAGCGTTCGACTAAAAAAAAAAAACTACATGAAATATCCAAAACAAGGCTTCTAAATGATAGTATGTTCTCTAGATGCAATTTTTCATACTGATTCTAAATTTGGGCTCAAAAACATCTGAAGAGGTTTTTTAAAGTACTTATAGGCTCCGGAATAGGAAAAACCGGCTTTATTTTCAAAGACGGAAAACAGGATTTATTGATTTTCTTGCAAAATTAGGGTCGACATGAAATTTCTCGAAGTTGCTCACGTGGTTCGTAGTGGTTAGGCCGGCTCCTTTTTTTCAAATTCAAAAGCTCGAAAAAAATTTTCAAAGCGCTCCTCGGCAGCTTTGAGCCATCCAAACTATTCAAGATTTCCTTGTCGTCACGAACCATGCCACTGGGTCCTTCGTCGTCGTCGTCGCTGTCTTCTTCTTCTTCTTCTTCACTCTCACTGCCTTCTGAATCTTCGTCGTCCTCTTCAACCCTTCTCGGGGCTCTTTCAGCCAATTTCTTGGCGACGGCGGCGTTGCGTTCAAACTGTTCGCTGGCCTCGTCGACCTCGTAGTCGGCCGACTCGAAAAGTTTCTTGAAGCGGTCGTCGGCGAGCAGTGACGACGCGATCTCCGCCTGAAACGGGAAAATGAAGTGACATTGATCGCATCGATCTTTCACAAACTTCGAAAAATAGAAAGGTTCCGTCATTACTCGAAAATTTAAGATTTCCCAACTGAGAACTTCATTTTGCCTACCCTCTTCTTTTCACGTTTCTCCTTGGCAGACGCGGCTTTTTTCGTGTCCAGGACAGCTTCCTCCCGTAAACGAGCCGCCAGAATCGAGTTGACTGCGGGAAGTTTCTCTTTCTTCTTTTTGATCACCTCTTGGTCTCGTTCTTTTTCCATGATCGATTTTATCTGAAAAAAAAATCCCCATATTCAAAACTTTCTCTTGTGGTTTTCTTATTAACAAAAATAGGCCAGATCAATTTTCAAGCATATTCTAGTGTACTTTCTTGAGAATTTTTAAGGTCTCCTCCCAAAAAAAACCCAATAAATGGATTCTAGGGAACCCAGAACTCTACTAGGTGAAACATTCAAGCTCACTTTTTTTCATATATTTTTTTGGTCCATTAAAATAACTTCAGTTTATAGAGCTTCAAAAAGTCGTAATACCTAGGAGCGTCAGAGTGGTCCTTATAGGGTTTAGGAGAAAAACAGCCAGTTTAAGGGGCTGAAATTGCCCCTATATGCGTGTAGTTGGTCCCTATAGGGACTTAAGGCCTGGCCCCTAAAGCTCAAGTGGTCCCTAAAGAAGTCTTCAAACTTTTGTTTTTCATCTTCTTTTATTGTTTGTACCCTCAAAAAGTGCTAAACCATCGATTTTTTGCAAAGAAATGGTTTTTCTCACGAAGCCCTTAACAATAATTGACTGACATGTACCCTATAGCTACCACTAACCAAAACCCTTATAGGGGCCACTTTTGCAAAGTTTGGTGGGCCCTATGGGGACCACTCCAAAATTCCTAAGTAGAACCAAACCTTCTCAGCCTTGTAGTTCTCGTAGGCGAATGGCTGGGTCATGAGTTTCGCCTTATCATAGAGACGAGAATCGATGAAATAGCCGTGCATGTAGGCCCTCAGTAGATTCGTGCCTTCCAAACTGTTGAGGCCGAGTTCCTCCAGCTGCTTCTTCGTCACGAACTTGTAGTTGTCGTAGACTAAACAAGAGAGATAAGGCGGTCGATGAGAGGGGCGAGAAAACCAGAAGGCTCGGTCTCTTCGAGTTCCTCAGTGATGGAGTCGAGGTAGGAGCACCATTTTGGAGCGGGACCGATGGCGGGCAAGAAATATTGAAGCATTCTTTGGGCCTCGTTGGCGAAGAAGAAAAGGCCTAGAAGGTATGACATGATGGAGAAGAAGACTTTTCGGACCAGAATCCGGGAAGCGAGCGAAGTCGTTGAGCGATTTTTCGTTCTCAATGGCGGCGAAGGGTTCTCCGTCTTCCTGATGCCAAAGTTTCAGCATTCGAGAATCCATGGACGCCACTACATTTCCTTCATCTCTGAAGGAAAATTTTCTTGGTCAAAATCAAGATCTTTGATTAGCTATAGGCCATTCAGCGCTAGCTTGTCACGTTTATCTTTCCGCCAAAAGGCCAACTTTCGTTTCAAGACCTTTGTTTCTTGCCGTTTTAAAAGCAGAAATTTGATCTAATTTGGTATACGGTCTTTTTGGCGGAAAGAAAAACGTGACAAGCTGGCGCGGAATAGGCTATATCGATTGATACCTAACTTGGAGCTTACGACCGAATATCCAAAGCTAGAGAGCATTGGTAAACAAGGGAGCATTCAGAGAAGAATAAGACTCTCATTTTTGAACGCTTCCTAACTTTCGAAGATTCCAGTTCACGTGGTCTACTTGACCTCTTGGATATCGGAAAAATTCAAGAAAAATCTCAGAGATTTTTTGATACAGTCCTGTCAGAAAAGATGATCAAAACTTCCTTGTATGGAATTTGATCTTTCGGGAAGCTTTTGAAGTTGTGATAATTGTTAAATGCATCATTTTAGTGGAATTTCAGTCCGCAGAAAAAAAACGGAATTCTGTACACGAGGAATTTGCGAGCGAAAAATTTTTTTCGTTTTAATGGTACTGTATATTCAAGGTTTATGACCGTCTAATTCTTCAGAAGAAGATGTTTTTTCAAAATGTCCAATTTTTAGCTTCTCCCTTTCTAGCTTCAAAAACTTTTTCACTGCTTCTGGACCAAATCCCACAACTAATAAGGCAAAAAAGTGATTCCAACCGCTTAACGAAATCAATCTTCTTGATGGCCAACTCGTTTTTGTGGTCCTTTATGAGCAGGGGCCGTCTCGAGCGAATATCGAACAAAAGAACCTGGAAAAATGCTGTTAAACTGGGAAAAGGTACAAGGAAAGTTGAGCTGAAATAGAAAGAATAAACGAACGTGTCCAGTGCTGGTTCCGACGCCGATTTGAAGAGCGTCCGCAAAAGCGATCGCCGTAACTTCTGCGTTAGAAGCTTCGCTGGAAAAAAAAAACAAGGTTGGAAATCGTACAAGAGCGTCCACAATAGTACGAGTCAGAATTATTAATTTTCAGTTCAAAACTAACCCTAAAAGTTGAGAAATGGGTGTCGCGCAGTCCAGGATCCCACAGAGGGTTTTATCCCTTGGGTCGAAGGCTTCGACGCAACCTTTGGAAGTTCCTGGAAAACCATAGGATATAAATCACACATCTGAGGGTACGATACTCCTTTAAAAACTAAAACAAACGGACCACAAACGAGGAGTTGATGCTCCTTGGCAACTTGACAACAATTGATCGCCGGCGCCGTCGATTCCAAAGGCGTCAACCACTCGCCTTGCTCCAGATTCAGTCGATAAATATCTTTCCTATACTTATTTTGGGGTTTATATCAGAAATTGGCCAAGAAAAGCGTCATTTAAATACAAAAACCACGAAAAATGGGTGAAATCGGGATTTTCTGCTTCCCTGCGCGCCGAACGAAGACATTCTTCACATATCTCAAACTTTCTGATAGAAAAAAAAATCGGAAAAGGCTGAAATTTGATTCAAAATAAAGAACCAAACAAGAAAAAATTTTAGTGGCCACTTCAGGGTTTTCTAAGTTTTAGTGCCCAATATTATAGTCAAATTAGCGGCCAATTAGGTGGCTAAAATTAGAGACCACTTTAGGGTTTTTGAGCTTACAGTGGCTACTATTTCAGTAAAATTGATTCTCATTTAAGTGGCTAAAAATTAGTAGCCACTTTAGAAGACCATACGGTACTGCTAAACAGTTAAAATTTTCTAAAGATTGGCTTTAAATTCGCATATTTGTTGAAATAGGGTCATTAAAATACACAAAATGTCTTTTTTGCATTTGGCCTGCTTTTAAAGAGCCTTCGCATTGATTTTAAACTTTTTTCACTTTTTCCGAAACAGTTTTCAAGACTTTTATGAATAATTTCAAAGACCCACTTGGCGCCGACTAGGAACAAATCGCTGCTCTCCGTCGAATAGGCCATATCCCTTCCGTAACAAGGCATCCTCATACGAAAATACCGACCGAAAGTCGCGTGCATTTCGATATAACGCTCTTGTTCCAAAATCACGAGCTAAACGTATCGAAATTGACCGAAAATCAGCTTTTTATTAGAATTAACCTTGGAAAAATCCTCACTGAGGACGATCATTTTGATGACATCCGCGTCAAGTCCTCGCTCAAACTTTAGCGATAAATTCGACAAATCATAGCACTTTATGAAAGGCTTATAACTTCCTGAAACGCTTTTTATAAAAAAAATTTCTTGTCCGAAAAAAAAACCTGACGCAAAAACGTATTTTCCATCGGGTGTGATGTTAATTGTGTGGCTGACGTCTGGCATATCGAAATCCTGGATGAGTTGTATCCGTCGCCGTGCATCTTGAATTGAAAATTATAATTAATAATAAAATCCAAAAAAAGTCACCTAAATTGCCTCTTTCCAATTTCCGCCTCGCTTCCGATGACATCCACTAAAATTTCGACATTTTTAAATCAAATATTTTTATAAAAAAACCTACTTCTGGCACACTTTTTCCCCGCGCTGAGATTATATATCTTGACATCATTTACTCTGGAAACCTGCATCTCTGAAACAAATTTTAATTCTATAAAATAGAACAGAAAATTGAAAAATTTATGCCGTGTTCAAAGTAATTTCCGCGAAAAGCAAAATGATCTCTGACTCTCCAAAATTTAGTTATCTTTTCCTTTCTCTAACGGGCATTTTGCATTTCGCGGAAATTACTTTGAACACGGCATTAAGAAAATATGGTGAAAATGCGTAAAAAACAGAACTTTTTTCTAGAAAAGCGCGCCCCAGCGACAGGTTCCAAAAAGAGGAAACTCAAGGGCAGAAATGAGAACTGATCACTAGGATTGGGTCAAAATAAAGGGAAAAGCGAACTTTGAAAATTTTTAAATTTCCAGTTTCCGGCTAATAAAATCACCATTTCATGTTAAGGAAAATTTTGTTTTGTTTTGTTTTTTTTTTAATTTTGTCTCGCCAGTCGTTAAACCTTGTATGAGAAAGATTTAATAATGAAAAAAGAGTTTTAAGCCTTCGGTATTTGTAAGCTTGCCTAACGTAATTCGACAAAAGATTTGTCATTGGGGAGCTCTTTTTCACTCCTCTTGGGTTTTTTGTTCGAAAATCTATTAGGCTGGTAAGTTACGCAAATTATTTTCTACAAAAGGACAAAAAAAGATACAAAACCGCGGAAAAAAAAAACTAAAAAAAGCCCAAAAATTAAAAAATTACACTTAAAAAGTTTACCTTTTTACGTCATGTGACCTAAAGTTTTATACAGAATAAAAAACGTGAACCCAGTCGTCAGAAAAAAAAACGTGAACCCCGTGGCAAGGTATCATTTTCTGGATATCGGAAAAATTAACACGTACAAAAAACCACGTGACAAGGCGTCATTTCTTTTTGTGACCTGGTTTCAAATATCAATTCTGTTTCACTCACGTCTCGTCTGGCTTCATTCAGCGTCAAGATAAGTTTTGAATCTCCATTAAACTTCCAACTTCCAAAATAAGTTTCTGAGCTATAAGCGCTAGTAGATTAGGCCCGCGGGACTCCCGGAGTGCCGATCCTTTTTGCTTGCAAACTGGATACGCAAAGTCAAGCTGAAGCCCATTCCTGTGGCCGAGGCACAAACTGTTGGCAGCGCGATGCTGACAAAGCGATGATGGGACTCCCGCGGAAAATGCCGTCACGGCCTTCGGCGTCTAGGATTAGTTATGACAAGGCCGAGCGGAGCTCTAGCGCACCGCCTAGTTAGTTCTTCTGACTGGATAAAGCTTTCTTAACTGACTTAAAACTTCACATAGCTAATCAGTCAAAACATTGCGATTCTAATAATGAAATCGACTTGCTTTTTCAATCTTGAACTTATTGCAGGAAGCTTACAACGAAATTGATCGGATCAGTCCATGGAGGTTCAACGACAACTTCAAATAGTGCAGTTTGATGTCTTAAAAATTCTTTTTTAATAACTTTTCCTTCAGAAAGAACGTCTGGAGCTTGAAAAATTGGACAATTCTACTGACTACTTTTTGGAAAAAAATTGACGTGAGGTTTTTGAAAGTTTTTAAAAAAATTTTATGATGAGTAAAAAAAGGAGGCTTGACCACTGAATTAAAGTCAGAAGAACCTTGATCCGATATCATAGGCAAAGTCGGAAAGGGTGAAGGCTCCATATTTTTTGCTGCCTTTTTTGCTGCCTTTTCGCGCCTTTTCATCGGATCTTATGCACCATTTTAGCAGCTTCTCCCTTTTTTTTTAAATTTTTCTCGAGCCTTAAAAATCCCAGAAAAAATATAAAAGACTTTATAAAGGGACTCTACTTGAGCCTCTCCTTTTTAGCGGCCATTATCCACCATTTCTACTTTGCCCGAGATAAAAAAAAAATAATTCGACTTTACGAGCTGCTTTTTGCTTTTTCTTACGAGCTGCTTTTTAGAAATTCAATGTTTGTATTTTTATCCTATTTTACCGCATTTGAAAGTATTTTATCTTTGAAAATTTAGTTAATCGCGATGCAAGAAATTCGCCTTTATCAATCAGATGCGCGACGACTTTTTCGGACTGACTCAAGGCGGACAGAGCTCGATCAACAGCGAGGCCGACTAGACAATACCAGGTACCAGCCTGATGCTCTTAAAAGCAGCTGAGGGTTTTTTTGTTCTGTGTTGAATTGCAAAGGAGAAAAGAATTACTAATAGTCCACAAACACCTGTTCAATGCAGGCTAGCCAGGCTTGTGCGAGGTCCAAATTGTCAACCTATCGGTCTCCGTCTATTTCCATAACTTTTTATAAAATTTAATGGAACAAATGAAAAGTAATTTTTTGGTAAAAAAATTTTTGAGCTCAGATGCAAACTTTTTTTGATGAATTTAGAAAATATTTTTCGAAGCCTGGCTTGGTCGAACCCGCGCAAGCTTGCTTTGGGCTTCAATTGCTCGGACCGCGGTGAAGCAAATCGTACTCGTCCCGGACGTTTCTTAGACTTTCTAGTAACACTTAAAGTGCTGAAGCCACTGAAAGAATCATTAGAAATGCTCGGAAACGGCCAAAGCGCGTTCAGTTTGCGGCCGAAGTCTCTGGACCTATTTTTGCGAAAAAGCCTGCGCAGGGCAGGCTTCAAAAAATTTTGAAACTTCATATTGAAAAAACTGTATTCAAACTCAAAATTTTCACCGGACACGCTTATTTTCAAATTAGTAGTTTCTGTTGAACTTTGAGCATAAAAATAACAAGAAATACTTGAAGTAAACTTGTGCTTTTTGGGCCTTTTTTTGCTCGAGGCTTCGTTCAGCCTGGCCCGGGCTGAGAGAATGACTAGGGCCGTTAGGCTGACGAGCCGGCCCTCGCACAACCTTGTCTCAAACCTCGGTAGCGAAAACCGAACGCGCTCCGGACGTTTTTAAGCTATTCTAGAGACGCTTCAACACGTCCGGACATATTTTTTCACAGCCTATTTTTCAAAGTGACCAAATTGAAACTTCCGCAGCATGTCCGTTTCGCGTTACCATTGTCCGATAAGATAAAAGAAAAAAACAATGAATCGAAGAGGTGTGAAAAAAAGCGTCCTAGTGATAAATCTCTTGTCAATTTACGAGAGGCAAGCTGTACAAATACCGGAGGCTAAAGAGTTAACAGCGATGTAGGAGAACGAGGAAAAATGTAGAGCCAGATTGGACTTTTCAAAAATTTTTTAAAGAACATTATGAGCTTTAAAATGAGAGAAATTCCAAAATAATTCTCCACAGAACTAACAAAAATCAAATCAACCAAAAAAAGTCAAGAAAAATAAAGAGGAAAAAGGCCTAGAAAATTACGAAAATGAAAATATTTTTTTCATGTTTTTATTTGCGCTCCATCGGGCAGCCCCTGGCCTCTTAAGAACTGAAAAAAGTCTTCCCTTCAGGGGAATTTCGAATTTTTTTTGTTGTTTTTTTTTTCGTTCGTATTAGTTTTTATCATTAATGCTTTTGAATATTTGTTCTTGCCGTTGTATTCAGTCTCCCACCAGCTTTTAATAGTTGGCTCGGACTTTCGCCAAATATTTATTTTATTTTTATTCTTGCCGTGTTCAAAGTAATTTCGCGAAATGCAAAGTAGCCGTCAGAGAAAGAAAAATATAACTGAATTTTGGAGAGTCAGTGATCATTTTGCATTTCGCGAAATTACTTTGAACACGGCATCTGGCTTTGAATTTTGAATTTACTCGTTTTATACGATTTTTTGCCACGCGGTCTCGTAGTTAGGCTTTTTACGCATATATTTTTAAGAAAAGCCGGAAATTTACGGACCTTGAATCGTTTTCAAAAAGAAACTTTTAATTATGCTCTTTTAATGTACCAAGTCTTGTACATGGAACCACGATTGATAAAAAATGTTTTTATTTATGAAGTGAATAGTCAAAATTTGAACGCTCCCTTGAGAGTTACACGTAAATTAAGCAGACTGATTGATGATCGATTCACGGATGATTTCTTTTCGTTGTATGTAGTATGACCAATAGACAATCTGTAAAAAAAAGTATAGAAATAGACGTTCAAGTAAAAACTGACGTTAAAGACGAAAAATGAGAAAGGGAACATGAAGCTTGATATAGAGTCGATACGTTCCGGCGTCCAAGCAGACGATTGAGAAGTCTAGAAATAATAATGATTGAAATTTTGCAATTTTCAAAAACCGTAGAGGAGACCACGGCTGTACACCCAGGCGGAAACATGAACCGTTTTTCGTTGGCCAAAATTCCTTGAGGCGATTCTTCCCGGGAGAGCTGTAAAATTGATGAGTTTTTGGCTCGTAAACATTTTATTTTATTTATATTTATAGTTCATTCTCTTTTTCGATTATATTAAATTTGGTTGACCAATGCTTAAAGGTTGCTAGATATGATGTTCGAATCGCCTCAATTTGCTTTTTTTTTTCTAAGTGACGTTCCATTTTTCTAATTTATGTGTATAAAATCAACTTTTGAAAGGTCAATTTTTTTCAAAAACGAATTTTTGAATAGCTATGCCCTAGTAATATCCAACTAGCACATCGATGATCTTTATAATTGATTTCTAGATAGCTTTGTATTTGTGGTATTCCTTATTGGTTTTCCATGGTTTTCCCCACCTTTTTCTGTGTCGCTTTTCGCCTTCCCGCAGTTTCATCTCGAACCATGAATCCCACAATTGCCAACTCCAATAGCGAACAAAAGATAAACGTCATAGAAACTAGCATCCAAACGTCTGAAAAACTCTTTTCAATATTTGATTTATAAAAGAACGAACTCACCGATACCCTTGATATATGAGACCCTTGGCAAATTTCGCATAATATTTCCGAATTGGAAGACGATCGCCAGCAGACTGTTCACTCCTAACATGGTCCTTGCTGGAATCGCTCGTGGTCCCAGAGCGAATGATACCCAGCTGAATAGAGGAAAATTGGAGAAAGAATTTTGTGGAAGACAGAGCAATTGTTACGGCGAATCTTGTATTTTTTGTGTTTTCATATCGTTTTACGATATTTCAGTTTTTAAGATGCCGTTTTCAAGTTCAATACGTCGCGATATTCGACTTTTACCCGCAAAACGTCAACTTTTGAAGCTATTTGGACATTTCGGTTAAAATTTTCAAATTCGCGCGTAAAAGTCACATGTCCTGATATATCATGGTGGGGCCAAATTTTTCCAGAGGACCAATTTTGCCAATTTCGCGAAATATTTTTAAACGAAAACGCGTCAATTTTGAAATCCCCGAAATTACTTTGAAAATATATTTATTTCTCCACGAAAACCCCATTTTTTTTTCTGTTGACGATTGACAAAACTAGGTGAAATTTACGGCCAATAACTCCGATTACTTATTTTGAAATGATCAAAAAGTATTACCATTTTGCGATTTTTGAAGTTTAATAACTCTTTCCCTTTCATTCTCCCACAACTTGTCTATTTTCCGTTTCTTTCTTCAAATATTTGCTTGAAGTTTATTTCGAAAGTTGTTTTTAAGAGTTTCGCAATTGTTCAAACGTCTACTAGGCCGCCATCAAGCTGGGAGCAGCAGCAATCTCAGTAAGATTTTCTCTTTTTGAAATAAAATCTGATAAACCTGATGAAGATAGTGAGATAAGTGGGCAGATAGGCTTGCATGAAATACCAAATAAAGCGACGTTCAAAAATAATTTTCACGTGCAATTCGTCCCACATTCCAGCTGGATAAGGCTGAAAATTTTGGTCTCAGTCATATTTGATAAAATGTTAAAACCTCTTGGATACGAGCCGTTTGGATGTCAAACAAGTCGAAATCAGGCAAAACTATCTGGGAAAGGGCAAAAACGGGCTTTTCCGCCTCGGACCATTTCATTTGCACCTCGTGGCGGTTGTAGTTGAAGCTGGAGTCTCACATTTTGAGTAGAGATTAAGGGAAGCTTCTACCTTTCGTATATTAAATTGCAAGTCTGCAAATCGAGCGGGAAATTTGAAAGATCCAGGCTGCAGGGTCCTTTGACTCGAACTCGGTAGTTGACCATAACCGTTCCGTTGGGAAAAAGCATCAGGAAGACGCTCCTGAAGTAATATTGCATTGTGTAAAAGGCTGTAGAAAATCAAATATTTGATAATCTAAGAAAATAATCTTGTATCTGTGAGCTGTAAGTAATTCCTATTGGAAAAGGGGAAAAAAATATTGTATACATTGTAATATTTTTTTTCCTTAGGTATCTCTTACTCTCCAAACTTTTGTTATCTTTTCATTTCTCTGACGGCTACTTTGAGAGTATCTTTGGATACGGCATTGAATTTCCTGTATTACATGGCTCCTTAGAAAAATTACGATTTTTGATTTCATCCTTTATTTTTTCATTGCTACTGAGTTAAATGCTGACAAAATCCTGTATTTTGAGTTTCCACTATATAAATCAGCTGAAAAATCTCCATTTTTCGCAATTTGACTTTTTGGCTGAAGATAAAGCTTCTTTTAGACTTGAAAAATGGGCTGATTGAATCTAGAATATATTTTTAAACCTTTTTTAATTATTCAATAACTGGAAAATTTTTTCTTCACTTGGCGCCTCTTCTATCTACAAGCTTCAGAACGCTCTTTTTCAGCGACTGGGTTAATAACCCTATCCGGAAGGCTTCGACAAGGACAAAATGCTCCGAAATGCGCTATCTGGGAGTTTCGACACGATTTTGACCGTAAAAAGATGCAATTCGCCAAGTTTTCACGTTTCTCGTCGCTTCCTGGCCGTCGATTATTCGGAGGAAAAGCCTGGCGCCCCACAACTTGAACACATCCAAAAGAGAGTCACAGAAACGGTTCCTCTGATGTTCCGACAACGGCTCGATTACACCTTCTACCGGAACGACGTTTTCTGTGACAACCAGATTCTGAACATGCAGAAGAAGGGTCGGACCCAGCTCATGAGCCACTTTGGGTTGATCGGCACCCTGGGACAAGTCGCCTTCCCGCACATTCAAATGGAAGTTATTTCCGTCGTGCCGATCCTGGAAGATGGAACGGTCCGGTGTCGTTGGCGAGTGAAGTACGTCTCCTTCTGGCGCCTTGCCACGAACCCTCGCCTCTTCCGCTTCGACTACCGCATGAAGAACTTGTCCTGGTTCGACGGCTACTCCGTCTTCACGGTCGATGGAAACGGCGACGTCTACAAGGTCACCGTCCAGAAGACGATGAAAGACGAAGGTCAGAAGTCCCTTCTCGGCACCTCGGCGGAGAAGGTGAAGCAGAAAATTGCCGAACTGCAGCAGCAACCTAGTGTTAACGCGTCCAAGACATATTTTTTCCTCAGAATGCTGTTTTAGATTTTTATTTTTCTTTGTTAAGTAGTTTTATGATGAGACTTGAAGCTCTTTTAAAAAAAAATATTGAATCTTGTGGTAGTGGAAAACAAGATCTTCCAAACAATAGAAATCATAAAATTCGTAGCGATTTTTAGGAGTAGATCCATTTTTACTGTTTTTGGAGCTTAGTTTGAACCTAAAAGTTGCTTTAAATCGACTATAAAGTAAAGTCGAGGTTGAAATTTGAAGGTTTTTTTATTTGCGGTCTCACATGGACAAAAACTTCATCCAAGAATTTATCTTAAAGTTTCTCAAATTTGCATTTTTTTCTGTTAAGTAATAAGACAATTTTTTTCATAAGAAAATCCTTGAATTTACCTTTTTTTGCGCCTTGAAATAAACAAAAAAAGATATTTTTGCAAGTGGTTGCAAAAAGAACAGATGTTCAGAGTTTTGAGTTTTTTTCATATTTTATTATTATTTTTTTCGTTACTGCTTCTGAAAAATTCTATGATTACGAGTTTGTTGCGCCATTTTTTTCCTCATTTACGTTTGTTTTTTTTCTCTTTCTTGTTTATCATACTTTTTCAACCCTAATAAACTTTGATTTTTAAATGGAGTTGGGTTTTTTGAATTATTATCTGATGTACCGCATTATTAGTAACTTTTACTTGTTGGAATTTGAACAAATGTTACCTGAACGGTGAGTTGTGGATCTGAGCGACTTTGCTGTTGATGAAACAGCTGTTGGGTGTCCAGAGACGGTCCAAAACTTGATGATTCAGCGATAAGTTTCCTGAAAAACAATGTTTCTCTTTCAGAAAAAAAAAATCTAGTAGATTCACTTATTTTTAACATATGAAAGTCGAAAAATTAAAACTTTCGATTTCTCAAAAATAGCTTTTTGGTCTAGTCAGGTTTAGTTTTGAAACTGACCTAAATTTTTTTTGTTTTGCAAATTACTCGATGAAACTTTCATTTTTGAACCTAGCAGACGAAGAGAAATTGATTCACGAAGTTTCAAAAAGACAAAAAAAAAGATTTCCAATTTTTCAAAAAAGACTCCTTTGGACGGACCAACTAGTGGTCTCAAAAATGATCAAATCCTGTTGGTTTCATTGATTTTCTTCAATTCTCAGTCCTGAGTCCCAAAAATTATGAGAAAGGTTCAGACTTTCAGGATATGGTTTTTCGTGCATTCAGAAAAAAATGACCTTTACAAGGAGACATTTTCTGGAAGTTGAGCGCTGGGTCGAGCCAAGTTTCTGTGATGTAAATGTCCATTTCGAAGTCGTTGGTCAGTTCGTCGATTGAAGTGATCGCTTGGATCCAAATTTCTACCACCACGGTCATCCCTTCTTCTTCTGAAGTTCAAGAATAACCATTAATTTATTTAATTTTCGGGAAGCTTCTGATTTGGTTCACCTTTTCGACCTTCGAGCTTGGGATTTTGATGAATTTGGGCACAAAATGACTCATATTAAGGCTAAAAAATTATATTCAACTCAAAGGGAAAAGGCTAAAAGCTTGATATTTCAAAAATGTACAGCCTTCTTAGGAATTCCAGAGTGGCCCCGATAGGGTTACGGGAGAAAACAAACTTTATAGCGGTAAATTTAAGGTGGTCCCTATAGGGGTTTAGGGTCTGACTTCTTAGCTCCTAAAGCTCGAGTGGACCCTATAGGGGTCTTTCAATTCCATTCAAGGAACGCTATACCATCATAGAATAGCTTGTTCCCTATAGGGGCAACCAACTAAAGCCCCTATAGGGACCACTCTGAAGTTTCTAAGTATTTTACCTGTGGCCTTTCAAGTCTTTCCTTCAAAATTCGCCAAATAACTTTTTACTACTAAGAAATGAACCAAGCTAATTTGATATCAAAACGAAACCGAAAAACCTTGGACCTTCGAATTTTCTGAAGATACTTTTTTTTCATTTGAAGTGTTTATTTGCCTTTCCGCGATCTGCAAGACAAATACAAAAAAAAAAACATCAACACAATCAAATAAATCTAACAGCTGATCTGTGGAACTTGCGAGATTTTTTTCCATTTTTACTCATAAAATTATATAAAACCCACGTGGTATGCGAAATTTATTGTAGCCTGTCCCATTCAGCAATCTGTCGATAATATCAGTGTCCCTCGTACAATTCCTCCCTTTACTCAGAGCTGTCGACACTTTCCGAGGGAAATGGATCGTTTCTAAAAATCCGATTGACCTTTTCAAGCATCATTTATGACCGTTGGAATTTTCTCTAAAGAATATCTGAAAACGATTTGTAAAAGCATCCTAGTACTTTTCCCTCAGTGTTTTTTTTCCTATCCGTTGGTTAAATGCCCTTGGGAATGCCAGAAAAAAAGAGTTTCTCGCACCTTCCGCTTTTCTATAAAGCTGAATGGGCGAAATGTGAACTCAACGGACTTTTATCCATCCTTTGACTGGATTTCTGGGTTGAGAGCAAAGTCGAAGCTTTTTTATTCTTTTTTTTTGGCTCTTTTATTGGAAAGATGTTCAAGATTTGACTGTGTTTAACTAAGGAAAATGAATTTTCCTCTTCTAAATTTCATTATCACGCTTCAGGAAGCATTTGAAACTAGCTCAACAAGTACCATAGTTTGAAAAAACAGCTCATTTTCAAAAATAAGGTCCAGGAAAGATTAATTAAAACTTTCTATGAGATAAGCTAGCCCTAAATCGAGCCCAAAAAGGGCTTTAATGGACTTTTTGAGACAGTTTTCCGGAATTTCAAACCTCTTCCTAAATGACTTCCTTTTTGAGAGAGAAAAGGCTGAAGTGGGCTATTAAGAACATAATGGAAGAGAAGGGAAATCGGCAGGCTTAATTTCGAGAGTTTCTGGTGTTTTTATTGAGCGTTTTTTTAGAAAAAAAATTTTTATTCTATCCCCCTTTGAAAATGTCTAATTTTTATTTTTGATTTGTTTTGAAATTAATAAACGTCATAAAATTGGTATAATTGGTTTCAAACTTTGTTGGAGACATATGTTCCCAAAATCCTATGTTCCCAAAAATCTCCCTACATTTATTTCGTAAATTTTAGTACTTGTGTGTGAAAAAAATAAAACATTTTGATTGATTTTTTTGAGACATGAATCGGTACAAATTTTTTTAAATCTCTAGAATATTTTTAATAATTCTCTGCTACTGTACACCTCGAAGCTTCATCGAAACGAGTTTTGACTCCCTCTAAACCTCAACAACTTCTGGAGATTAAAAATTACGTCGCTACTCGACCTCTAGCTGATGAAGCTTCATCCAAGTGAACTTTAATGAACTTGACCAAAATCTCACCGATCTCTGGAGAGTCAAAGTTGACGTCACCGTAGTCGGTGATCTCCGCCGCGACGTCTTCCAAAATTATCAGAAGCGACGCCATCACGACGACGAGTCGCATCGGTGCGGCAGTCCTGCCGTGGGACGTCGGTGCCACCGCCGCTCCGGAAATGACCTATTCGAACGAAATGCTCGGCAGTTATGAGCGGCCCGGGGAGAAGCGAGGCTCGCAGAGCACGTTGAGTTTAGTCAGGTGAGCCGCCGCTCTGGTCTCGACCGGATGTCGTCCCTGCAGTTCGAAAAAAAAGAGATACTTCACCACCACTCTCATATCCACACACACTCGCACACGCTTCACGTCGATTATAATTTTTCACCTCTTTAGAGTAGGGCAAGTTCAAAGAGAGCCTGTACTGAGAAGGAGGATGACCCTTATTTTTTTTTGATTGGATTTTTTAGCTCTTTTGGCTGGAAGAACTTTCCGTGAACGAAGGAAATTGTACATTTGAGATATACTGTAGCGACAAGGATTGTTTCCCTAATTACTTCAATTTTAGCTCTATGTGTTTCTTTTAGCGAGGTAGTTTTAAGTATAACTAGAGTCACTTTCCACTTCCCCTTATTTAGAAATTCTAATTCATTTTTACGCGCTTTTTCTCGTCTCGATGACGACTCCAGTGAGATGAAAGAGAGTACAGCAAGGTCAGAAAGTTTCAAGCCTTACTTAGGAATTCCGTAGAGCTCTTAATAGGGGTTAGTGGGGGAAAAAAGCCCCTGTAGAGGAAAAAAAGTGCCCCCTATAGGTAAAATTCAAGTGGTCGCTCTAGTAGGAGTTTAGGGTAATTCCTAAAGCTCAAGTAGTCCCTACAAGGGTTAGGAGACCAAATCTATGCGGTTTTAAACATAAACTCCTGAGCTTCCCCCTATAGTGACCGCTCTGGAGTTTCCTAAATTAACATTTGTCAAGATGGAACTGATTTATTCAAATTTTGACTTTATTTTCTTTCTCGAACTGGAAACAGTTTTCAGAGCCAAAGTCACTTTTGGAACATTTTTCTCAGTTTTTTCAAAGGACTTTTTCGAAAATAAGATAAAAAAGAGAAAATTTCCTTGATTTCAAACTTTTTTTTGCCAATTCCTGGCGTTCCAACTATCTGATAAAGGAGAGTAAAATCAGATAACTTGGACAGGGAGCTTAAGAGAAAGGAATGTGAAGTTTTAGATAAGAGCCCATAGGAAAAATGAAATATGGATTTTTTGCTCTGAAGAGCTTCCTTAGAGGAACTGAGCTCGAAAATTGGAATATATTAGGAGTTGGAGGATAACAGGAAATGAACTGACGTGATATTAAAATATAGCCGTTTCACGGATGGCTTGAGCCATCAAAAAAAGGGTCCTGACACGATAAGAAAAAAAGAAAGACTGTTTGGTGGAGGGCGCAGACAGGCCACGCCCCCTTAGCGTCCGTATATCGGCTATACTTATGGATCGATTTCATAACAGTATCGTGGCGAAAAGTTTCTGGTCTTTTTTGAGATCATTCAAGGCTTTTGAACTCTTCAAACACCTTACAAGAAAGAAGTAATTAATTTTTCTGAAAATTGGTTAGTACACTTTATGATCTTCCAGATGAAGATCCCGAAAGTATCAAAACGCCGAAATTCATAGTTTCCAAGAAGGGAAGCTTCAAAGTCAGGGAAAACTGGCTATTTGCAAAGTCTTATTTTAATTTTTTTTAAAAGAAAGGTTCCAGGGTCTTTATCCATTTTCAGAAACTTTAATCCGGGAGGTCATTTTACTTGGCAGTTTGAAACTTTTCGAAAATCGGCCAAAAACCTCCTTGATGTACCAGAAGAAGATTCTGAAAATCTAAATCTGCGAAACTTCATATTTTTTGAGAAATAAGCGCTCAAAGCCCCAAAACTACCCTGTTTTAGCGGGCTTTAGGGCTTTCTTTGGCTTTGGGGGTTCCTCGAAAATTAGAATTTAGTGCAAGTTGAGACTTTTAGGATCTTCATCTGGCGCATAAAGGGGTTTTCTGGACATTTTTCAAGAAATTCCAGACTTCAGAATGAAATGACCTTCTTTGGGACAGAACTCTTGTCAGCAAATATTTGGAAAAACGCAATATTGGATTCGGATCAAAGGGAAGGGAAGAACCACTTGGAACTTGGCGAATTTCGGATGGAAAAGACGAACGGACGATGTGTGGCCCGATGTCACTCGCAATTAGCCGAGCCCCGTCAGCACCTTTCTCGTCGAAGAATGAGAAAGGCGAAAAGCTGCCGCGCAAAGGAAGGGCTTTACCGCAAATTATCGCGTCGGATGCCGAATTTTATAGTGTTTGTCCGGAGTCTGTCGGCTCCTACGGGAAAATAATTGAATAATTGGCCGGCACAGGAACAGCCCCAACATTTATTGTTGATATCAAGGAGGAAAATGAGACGAGTTCCTTCATCAGAGCGAAACCCGTGTCGAAGAGGAAGTCGGAGGGAGAACATTTACATGGATACACGCTCATTATGATGCAAAGTGGGCGACGACGCGGCAATGGACAAACGTCGCTTTCAATCCTTCCTGCAGTACATTCATTCCCAGTGAATCTCCTTCTCGGAGCTGCACCAACCCGACAATCTTGATGATTGTAGACGAAATAGATGGAATGGGCCAGCGAGTGCAGGCAGAACAGCCAATTCGTCACGTCCGCCGCCATCACCGCTCGTTTCTTCAAAAGCACTTGTCAGAAGGATCAATTATTTGGGTTTTATCATAGTTGGTCTTCAGAATCCCTCCGTTTTTAAGTCTTAGAAAGACCCTTTTTAAAAACTTTTAGGACTTTTTTGACTCTTAATCGTCTCCCTTCACAGTCTAAAATAAGGAAAAAAGAAAAGAAAAAAAAAAAATCAAGTTTGGCCTTATTTGGTGAAAAGGATTAAAACTCAAAGAAAGTTTCTCTAGTTTCACAGCTTTTTGTTTGAAAGTTTATTCGAGAGAGTGAAATGATCATTCAAGTAAAAAGGTCAGAAGAAGGTTGCCTAAAAAGCTAGAAGAAGCCATTTATTTTGAAATTTAAAAAAGAGGCTTACTGCAAACTGTAAATCTTGAAATTTTTCGGAATTTTACGCTATAAAGAAGCTTTTCCGTACCGATTGAGGCTAAATACGGCTTTTTTCAATCAAAAGAAAATCGACTTCAAAAGTTTCAATGCAATAAAAATGGGTTAACATTTCATTTCCTTCTTCATCAACGAAAAAGTCATCATTTTGGAAAATAAGATAGCCAACCTCATTCCCGTATTTTAGTGCGATGCAAGTTATCAGTGGCACTTCCTGCAGGACCAAAGTAGCGACGAAGTGGAACTGAAGACATAAATTATCCAATCTCGAGTCGATAACTCACTGCAACTGGTCGAAAAACGGAGGTGTTCAGTTTGCGACACAGAAGAACGCCTAGGGTGACGACGCAGACGGTGGCGATGGCGGCGGAGAAATCGTAGGCCGAAATGACCGCCGTCGCCTCGGGCGAATCGACGCAAGATGATGAGTTTGTCGTCGCATCTAAGTTTTCCAGTGACTTATGGAAATTTCAATAAAGGTTGGCTATGAGCGGATAGCTCGAGCCACCAAAAAAGGGTCTCGAAACGAAACAAAAATTGTCGGATTTTTGGAGTGCGCAGACAGTTCCACGCCTTTTCGGGTTCCAACTTAACCCAAAATTGGACCATTTACAAATGTTTTTCACGAATCTGTGCTCAAAAAAAAAAAATCAAAAAAATCGGAAGTTTTATAAGCTCGATTTTTTTTTAAAGAATTGACCTCAGTTTTTTTTTATTTCCCGATTTTTGCAACTGTCACTTGGTCTATACGCTTTCCGCTTTTCTTTATTCGAAATGCGATTAAATTTGAGCTGGACGTCTTTTCTGTCTTTTTAGTGTATTTTTTAAATCAGAGAGCCTGAATCTAGTAGAAAAGTTTCCGTTCGAACTTTAGAGATGAGTTGAGACCATTTCTCATCTAAAGGTCGCAATAATTGCCCCGACTTTCTATTCGATAGAGCTCTCTCAGCCAAACGGCCCCTCTTCCATTTTAACTGGCCTGATGCCAGAAATTTGGCTTCATCATTTGAAAAAAAAAATCACCCACCAATCATGACTAAAGCGGTCAAAATAACGGTTGAACAGACTGCGCCGGCGATGAACGGCAAGATCCGCGATAGAAGTGATGATTTGTGAAAATAAACCGGCGAGAAAGCAGCCAAGGACCAGTCTATCACTTCGCAGAGCAATAGGAGCACCTGAAAAGGGCAAGTCATCAGATTTCATAGTAAAGACCTTTTTAAGTTGGATCTGACCTTATAAGAACCAAGAAAGGAAAAATGAGCTTTTAGAAGTCACGAGTTTTCCAGTTTCTTTCTTATTTCAATGCTTCACAATGCCCTCACGCGCAAGGCGTTTTTTGTCGGGCGCAACTTGAAATAAACCTGAAGCAATGGGATCGAGGTTGAAATGACCAATGTAGCTCCGCATTCACTTTCGTTCCTCTCACGATCCAGGCAAGCCAAAACGATTAGACTAGTCGCCGTTATAACATCGACGCCGAATTTCACTAAGATTCATAGTTTTTGAATTAAAATGAGGCTTGAGTCACCACAAAAGATGGAGTACTGTTGTCGGAGCCGAAATTGCACGAGAATCGTGATGAGAAGGATAATCGAGACGAGCAGGAGTATCGGGCCGAGGACGATGTAGAAGTAGAACTCTGTGGCCATTTCATCGGGTGTTCTGACTCAGGGGTTCCTTTTGCCCGACCTTCTGGATTTTTCTGAAAATTTTCTCAAATAATCGAACATACGTCGTTATCTGCGCGAAGAGGTATGAGCTTTAAAAAAAAATTCGTGTTAACACAGAAAATCACAAGTTCCATACTTCTTAGGAACACCAGAATGGTCCCTATAGGGGCAATTTTAGGGGCTCTTGAAGGGTCCCGCGGTCCCTAAAGCTTGCAAAAAAGGTCCCTATAGGGGTTTCTGTTAGTGGCGCCTATAGAGGACGTTCTATTCGATAATTGTTATGAAATCTAAGCGAAGAAGCATTTCCATAGAAAAAAAATTGAATAAATAAGTGAAATTAAAAGACCCTTGTAGAGTCTACACGAGCCTCAAGGGCTGAGTGATCAGACTTTAAACCTCTATAGGAACCACCTTAATTTTGACCCCTATAGGAACCAATTTTTCGGTCTATGTAGGAGCTTTTTCCTCCTAACCCATACAGAGACCGCGCTCTGAAGTTTTTAAGTTCGCAACTTTAAAAATCAAATCTTAAAAAATGGATAATTGCGCAGAAAGCGATTATGTCCGATTACCAGTCCATCGAATATGATTGTTTGAACAAATTCAGAAAAAAAAAATTTAGAAGGCTAGGTGAAAGGTCTGGTTGGAGCTGTATGGGAATGAACTACCCAAGAATTTGACAATGAAAAATGTTTCTATATAAAAATGATTGGAACGACGAGCGAAGTAGTGCATGAAAACAGGAACAAAAAGAAATACAGCTAATTTTTTTTTATACAGACGTGCTATCAAAATTTGGTACTTTAACGGCGGTCAATTTACAAAAATCTGTCCTAGTTTCATCATTCATTTTTTTCTCAAAAAAAGTTCTAAGCTCATTTTTTTAAGAAAAAAATTATTGAAGTTTGAGGTGATTCAAAGAAGCATCGTGACGAATCGATTTAAAAACATTAGAGAAAGCAGAGAGAAAAACAAAAAAAACGTTCCCAGAAACAGTGAGAGTGAGAATTTCATCGCATTGTGAGTTTTATTTGATTGATTTCGGCCCCTTTCTGATAAGGGTCCTGCTCATTCCCGAATCAAATAATCCTATTATAGAAAAACGTCATGTTGAGGCGGATCCACTTAAGGAAAAACTGTTAGGAAATACTTGGAAATTCAGGTTTTTGATGAATAAACATTTTAAATGGCCTCCGACCTTGGCGTTATCAATCTATGTAAAAAGCAAACAAACTTTGATGGGCGTGAGAATAAAAAATCGACGCGTATTTGAAAAATGTTGATAAGAGGAATTTATTTTTGTTTTTCGAATTTTGTCACGTGTGAATTTTTCAAGGCCTTCATGGAATGGCTCTAACCAGGGAATGATCTCCGATTGCAGTGGGACCCCTGAATGAGACGAATTTTCCTAGATGTAGTTTTTTACACTGATCCCAAATCTGGTCTCAAAAACTGCCGAAAAGATCTGTGAAAAAAGTTAGAATCTCTGAAGTCGAAAATTTCAGTGGCTCAGATTGAGCTCATTGTTTGAGCATTGACAGGTCTCGTTCTTCTGATAACATAAAACGAATTTCTTTTCTCCAAAAAATTTTCAAGTCTATATGATTTTTCAAAGCACGCCGTGATCGCATCCCTTTACGTTTGGGGGAGCTTTGAAAAATCATATATAGGCTTGAAGATTTTTCTGTAGAAGAGCAATTATTTTTGTGTAATCAGAAGAACGAGATCTGTAAATGCTCAGAAAATAAGCTTAACCTGAGACACTGAAATTCTTGACATTTGAGAGTCTATAACTTTTTTTCACAGATCTCCTCGTCAGTTTTTGAAACCAGATTTTGAATCAGCGTGAAAAACTACATCTAGTGAATTTTGTCTCATTCAGGGGTCCCACTGCGATCGGAACCAATCCCTGGTAAGCGTCGCGGTCGCGTCACTGTACAATTTTATAGCTGCGGCAGAACTTTTCCGACTTCTTCACTAAGATATCACAGGGCGCAAGTCGTTCCTAGTCGGACATTTTTTCATATTCTCACGCCTTTCAAAAAAAAAAGCATCGAAAGTTTGTCTTCATGCTTTTTTCATATTTTCCGAGCTCCTGTCACTTTTTTTCTGATTTGAAAAGTATTCCTTCCAATTCATCACCGCTTTTCTCCTAATTAACTTTTCCAACCCATTGAACACGCCCACGCAGTTTCTTTTTTCATCGCAAGAAGGAATAATCGGAAATTCTGATATCGTGGGAGCTTTCCCTTATGCGGCGGTGTTGATCGCCTTCCAATAGGATGAATAGTTGAAAAAGTCGAAATTTGGAGTGAAGAAGCCGCCGCGGATCGTGGGAAACGTCTTTTATGATTTCTTGGGATTACGGTAGCTTTCGTTATTTATGACGAAGTCTTACGGTAGCTGATTGAATTAGGCTTGACGAAAAAACTCTTTGAAGGCTTTATTTTTGAATTTTTCCGATTTAGACCTTGTCGGAGCGAATCATGTCGACATTTGAGAAGCTTACTTGTTTTAAAATTCGTAATTTTACGTCACTTTTTATTCAAAAATCTTGTCGATTTCATTTTTAGAATGTTTCCTGTCTTTCAAGATTAGAAGACGTTATTGGGCACTATGAAGAAAGAAAATAAAAGAATGCTCGTTTTATTCGACCATTCCGAACCTTATAGGTCCCATCTTTTTTGGAGAAAACGATGTCATAAAAAACTAAGAAAAATAAGCGAAAGTGAAAGAGAAACAAAGGTTAGAAGAGATGTTAGAGAAGCCAGAGTGGCTCTCTTTCTCTGGAGTCTCTTAGGATTGACGTTGATCTTCCAATTTTTTTCTCAGTTTTTTTTTTCAATTTTTTCTTAAAAATCATCTGTTAGTTTGCAGAAGCGAGAGAGCATTGACTCTCCGGAGAGACGTCAGAGAAATACGGTTTTTTTTTCTCTAGCGTCTCTTCAAAGAGTCGATGCTCTATCTTTTCCGTTTTTAAAAAAATCACTTCTAGCTTTTTAAAGACCCCTTTTTTCCAACTTTCAAGGTTTTTTGAATCTTGAGATGCTCCATCTTTTCATGCAAAATTGAAAACTCCAAAAACAATACAATTTTATTTCCTCATCATTCGTGGACAGTGCGGGGCAGAGCTGACAACCTTGAGAAACTGTGACATTTTTTTGGTTTCATTCATTTAAATTTGGAGCATTTCTGGGGTGGGTTGTGGGGATTAACGCCGCTCGAGGTGCAGGCACTGGACCGGCGAGAAGTAACAATTGAAGTTGTTCATGGCCCGCGTGTCGATCTTGTGCATCGGCGACCGCTTCCAGTACCGGAATGGCCGCAGAGCTTCCCTGAAAGTTATTCAAATAATCAATTATTTTTCTCCCAAAGGAACATCGCAACTTCTGTAGTAGGCTTTATTTCAAAAATTCGAAAACAGAACTATCGGATAAGCTCTTTAGGGTACTGTAACAGTATTTTGAAGAGCTCACAGACCGACTTTCTTCGGTTTTCTTAAAGATACATTTTTTTTTTCTGGTCTTGCTCTTAATATAATCATAGAAGTTATCTTAGAAACGGATATTCTGAAGAAGAATGGGTTTTTCAGTCTTTTTTTGCAAAATTTTTTTCGGTACCTTGGGGCGCCTAGCAGATAATTTTTTTATTTTGGAGTAATATTGGATTTTTCGGGGTTTCCTACAGAAAATTCCCTTATAAGAGAAACTTGCAAAAAAATGAGGCTAGAAAAGGAAGATTCGAATATTTAACTTCCTGTTTATAGAATCGTTGAACTTTAAAAAAATAACCAGCAACTTTTTCAAAATTTTTGGATTGATAAAAAAATCAGATTAAAATAAAAAAATTGAAGCTTATCTAAAACTTTTCGATAGTGGTTTTATGTCCCTCTGAGCTTCAGTTAACGTACTTTAGAAATCGAAAAATTTTTCTGTGAAGGACCTTTGAAGCAATTAAGCAGTAAGATTAAGTTAGGAATGCTCAAAAAATGACCAAAAAAATGACAAACGTGAAAACAGGTGATTTTCTGACCTTAAATAATCTCTCTTATCAATTCTTTCACGTGTTTTTGGAAACCGGAGTTATTTTCCCTTATGTTCTTTGTGACCGGAGGTCGTGGATAGAGGAAGAAGTCTATGATCAGAAAACTTGAAAAATGAAGAAATTTGCCTTTTTATGGAATTTATGATAAATTTGGAATTACTAGATTACATTGAATTATTCATCAAGCGCTGATTTTTCATGCCCCATTTAGAAAATTCGTCTGCAATTTTGTCCTTAATAAGGCAAAAAAAAAATACATTTCAGGGAACTTTTTTTCCAGAAGTATCACGTCACTTTTTTCATCCGTATAATCCAAATTTATTTTCCTATTCAAAATTCACGCAATATGTTTTCATTCTGGAAAAAAAAACTACACTTGATCTGTTATTTTATGCATCTTTTTCACACATATTCCAGCTCATCATTCTCAACTACCAGGTTTCAAGCCAAATGAATAAAATATCCGTGCCGAGCCTTGATCTTCAAAGACTCGAAAAAGAGAGAAAGTGTGTAGAAAAAGATAAGAAACGAACATTTGAGCCAAGGTCGGGTAGTCGGGTTCGGAAGATTGCAGAGCAGCGCTGGCGAATCTGAAATCGGGGTGATAAATTGGGTTTTCATGAAGATTATCAATGGAAAATGGGCTTGGTTTATTGTTATCTTTTTGATAGCTCCGAAGTTTGAAAAATTCTCACTTTTACGGATAGTACAAAAACCTTTCCTGAGAAGGTAAGGTTTTTATCAGCCGGCTGGGAATTCGGTCAAATTTTGAGGACTTCTGATTTTGAATCGAGACGAAAAATTCCCCGTTTTACAGCTTCGAATTTTTTGATAATAAGAGGAAAAAGTGGTTTATGACTTTTTAAAACAGTAACTCGACAAAAAAGGGAAATATGGAAGATTTTTGTGACCACGGGATCTCAGAATAAATTTTTTGAGTTTCTCTCCATTTCTCAGCCTTGAGGGGCTTTTAAAGGGATAAAAGCAACCTTTAAAATGGTCTCGAGGCGAAAAACCGTTTTTTAATGTTACTTTATGACAATTTAATCTTCAACCGTTTCATTGACCTCTGAACAGACTAAGAAAAACCCCTTTTGGACTTCTATTTTCAGCGCTTTTGCTCAAAAATCAGTGTTTCAAGGGATAAAAAACGTCTAATAATATGTTGACAGCTGCATTTAAAACAGGACAGAAATAACTTGTCTAATAAGCAAGTTGAAACTATATTAATCGTCTGTTACCGTAATCCAAATTATAACATGAAAAGGCATACTGTAAGACGAAGAGCAGGGAGAAGAACAGGACGAGGACCGACTTCATGGCTGAGAATGGAGCAAAAGTAGCGGCCGACCGGCTTTTATACTGAAAAAGGCGGGGTCTTGCGGAAAGATCTCCCCGCGGTCTTATTTGGAATTCTCTCAGCTTTCACCTCGGATTTGGAATGCCTCGGATCATCGAATTCTTGAAACTTGACATTTGGAGGGAAATTGGCATTTTGTAAGTTTTTAGACACTATGGTATAACTGTTACTATAGGTTGTTTCGGATTGAAACTATAGTTTTTTATTGAATTTCATAAAAAAAAAATAAGGTTGAAGGTAAAACCAAATTTCTTGAATATTTCTCGTGATTTTTCAGAAGTTCGACAAAGAATATTTGCTAGAAAAGTTTATGGAGTTTCAATTTTTAGGAATTATGTTCCAACTTGAATTATATAAAGATCGTTCAGAAAGTCTCCTCCCATTCCTTTGAAGGAGCATAGGAAATTTTCTCAATTTCCGAGAAAAAGCCATTTTCAGCGTTATAAGAGGTCATGTAAGGCTCCTTCAGGCTGCTTAGAAAATTTTTAGAAAAGATTTTCTTTGTCTTTTGTTCAATCTTTATTCTAATCCCAAACTTGATTAATCTTCATGCTCTAACTTAGCAGCAATCGCGCTCTTTCGAAATTTTGGTAACGCGAATGGGACACGAATCGAAAGGGTCCGGGGATTTCAAGTGACCACTTTAGTAGCCTCAGAACTCTTAAATGATCCCTAGAAACGCCCAGAAACGTCCGGAGCACGTTCGTTTCGCGTTACTAATGTCTGAGAACTTTTTTTTTGCGATTTTTGTATATTTTGGATAATTCACAATTTTTCTCCCTCAGATGAACAATCCAGTGAGACGTTACTTGTTCTGGATTTCGTATAATGGGTCTCGTTTTCCGGAAATGGCCCGGGGAGGAACCGGATTTGGCGTCATGGACCTTTTGAAGCAGGTTTCTTTTGAAGGGTTTCACGTTTGCACTAGTGGGGGAGTTTGTTTCATTTTTCATAGTTTAATTTGGTTTGTGTTGGGGGAGATTCACAGCTTTCTTGGGACGCTGTAGAAAGGAAAAATGAAGATTCAAACTGTTTTTTTGATAGGAAAAATTTATTGAAAGATTTGATTTTTTTAATTCAACCAAACTTAATATCCATGTTTTTTTAATCACTTTTTATTTTTAGGTAGTTTCGGAGAACATGTTCGGCCCCAGAAACTCACAAAATCCGCTCGCTTCGTCGCTACGTTTCGCTCCGAGCAGCAGGTAATCTACTTACCGAGACTTTAAAGGAGCATAGGTGAAATTCAGAAATGTATCTCGAGACGAAGAGCTTTTTTCAGGGTTTATTTGGACTCTGTGCCTTCAAAAATCTTGAAGACTTTTTTAAAGTTCCATTTGAAGCAAATTTTTCGTGTAAAAAGGATCAGTTGTTTATTGATTAATTTGATTTTTCCATGTCAAATATACTAAAATTAAATTAAATGGACAATTTTCCCAGTAAAACTTTTCAATTTCAGAACGGACGCTGGTGTCCATGCCCTTCGCAATTCAGTGATTTGTCAGGTATTTTATTTTCAGTCGAATAAAATTCTAAAGATACTTAATATTTAGGTTCCTCTAGAGTTTGCCAATCTTGACGAGAATGAGACAAGGAAAAAAGAGAGTTTAACGAGGTGGAATAGGGCGATTTCTGCAGTTTCTCCTGGTTTTCAATCACATTTTTAAGAAAAAAAAACCGAAATATTTACAGAAGCAATGTCCATTCTGGACGTTCATAGAGTTTCTGCCGGTTTTTGTGCACGTCGGAATGTTTCTTATAGGTATAATTTACTGACCAAAACTTTCAGGGGTAATTAAAGGCGCATAGGCAGATTCCTTAATGGATCTTAGGAGGAGAGCCATTTCTTGACGGGAAAGATGCGACTTTTAGGTTTCAGAAATTACTTGTGACAGAAAGAGTAGTCGATCCTCAAAGTCCTCCTTAAGTGATCAGTAGAGGAATCTTAAGAGGTCACTCAACATTTTTTGTAGTGATCACTTGAGTAGCACCGGAGGGATATATGCAGTACTTGGAAAATATTCAAGGTCACAATAGGGGGTTCTCAAGAACTACTTGGAGAGGTCACTGAAGTGGCTACTAAAATGTCGAAACCTTGAAATTTTTAGTGGCCACTGTAGAGGTTCCTCAAGGACTTTTTGCAGGACACTAAAGTGGCCACTAAAACATCAAAACCCTACTAAAGTGGTCACTAACATTTATCCAGTAAGCGGCGACAAGATTCATCACTACAGCAAGCGGTCATAGCTGATTCACGGGTAGCTTGAGACTTACTCGAGGCTCGAAAAATGGGTCCTGACACGATAAAAAAGGGACAGTGCCTGATTGGTGGAGAGCGCTGAGACAGGCCACGCCTCTTTACGTCCTAAGCTACCCGTGAACCATCTATTTAAAGGAAATATTCTCATTATTTACTGATAGCAAAAAAAAAAGTTCAGTGCAGGCGTTACACCTACCGATTGGCCGTAGGACGTGACTGGGACCTGTGGGAGTCGATCCGAGAAGATCCCACCCTTGCCTGTTTCTCCGAGCAACACTACGCCTGGCGGATTCCCCCCGGCTTCGATCCTTCCAAGTTGGCTCAGGCTGCCAAACTTTTCCAAGGTCTCGGATTCTGAATTCTTCCTCAAAAAAGTCCTTGGATGGTATTGTAAAGCTTCTGCCTCTGTTCCTTGGAGGATGTTCGAAAGGTTTTCAACAAGAAAACAGCTTTCAACGCTTCATACTCACCTGTAAGAAACCTTCCATCAGGTTCCTGATAGGTAGTCAAATTTTCTCATTTTCAACCTTCCTAGGACTTCACAACTACCTTCCAAACGCCTAGATACCTCCTTTCGATAACCGTCTCAAAGTGTCCCTCGGATTAGCGTGAATATAGCTGATTCACGGCTGGCTTGAGCCATCGAGAAAAGGGTCCTGCCACGAAAAGGGACGAGACAGTGCCCTGGTTGGTGGAGAGTGCAGACAGGCCACGCCTTTTTGCGTCCCAAGCTAGCCGTGAATCGTCTATAGTATACATGCTTGTCACGTTTTTTTTTATCGTTGCAAATATACCGTATACCATTAGATCACGGGTCTTAAAGCGAAAATCCAAAAACGTGCAGGTCTCGGAGTGGTTCTTTCCATGCTCTCTGAAAAAAAAAAACTTTACAAGTTAGCGACCGCATTTAATTCTCAAACAAAGCAAAAAAGAAAGATAAGACAGTTTTTTAGAGACGCTTCAAAACTGAAAAACACTGTAAAAATACACGTCGAAAGAATAAAAAGAGAGAAAACAAAAGCTGGAATAATGTCCCATTTTTTTTCAATTTTTCAGGAGTTCATGTGATGGGATCTTTTTTTAAACACGGCGAACGGGAAAAAAGGAAAGAACCCGTCACGCCGAACGCCATCAAAAGCATTCTACACGTTGGTATATATCCAGGTTTTGGACATTTTTGAAAAATTGTCTCATAATTATTATTTCTAGGCGAGCCGTATTCCTATGAAAACGATATTTATGACTACTACAATGTCACAATCGTTGCCAAGTCTTTCGTACGGGAGCAGGTTTGAAAACTTTGATTGTTTAAATGGAATTTAGTTTGAGCAGAATATTTCTCTGTAGTTTTCGAAGGCGGAAATTTAATTTTTGGGACAATTTTTTTCTAGGTAGGGACCGCAAAGCCACGCCCCTTTTTGCGATAGAAAAAGTGGCTTTTTTTTGGTTTTCAACTTTCATTTTGTTTTAGTTGCAAAATATATGGAACTGGATAATAAATTTTTGACACACATGTACAGAAAAAGCTTCCTCTTTCGTTAAAAGAATATTTCACGCTTTTTTTGATGCGTTCTCGCGGAATGTCGTACAAAAAAACGTGAATGCAACTAAAAAAATTTGTCATTTTTTTGCTTTTTTTCATGTGTTTTTCAGGTCGAACGCACTCTTTTTTTAAATAATGATTTTTGATTCAAGTAACGGTAATTTTAAAACAATAAAATAAAAAAATTCGTCTTTGCCAAAAAAAGGGAGTGCCGAAAGTCATAATTCAAAAAAATCGTTAATAAACGAATATAATCGAGTTTTTTTGTTTTTTTCAAAAAAATTTAGACCATGGGCTTACTTAAATTTTTTTCTCCACAGCATCTGTGTTTGAAAAAAAGTTGTTTAATACGCAAAAAAATGCTCTTGAAACTAGAGAGTAAAATTAGCGGCGTTTATCACACAGAAAGCGGTCGAACGCAGGTTTTTTTAAACGATTATATACATTTATTAGTTAAAAATCTTTCAATTAAAAGAATAAAATAAAAAATTCGTCTTTGCCAAAAATTTACGGGGCCGTTTTAACGCAGCGATCGTTTAACGAGGCAAAAAGCACTAAAAAACAGTTTTTTCGAAGTGAATTTCCACGGAAAGTTTGAGTAAAGATTTGCGAACATATTCTGATAGAAATAGCTGAATTACTTTAAACTTTTCTTTTTGAAATAGGCAATCTGTGCTATCCAAACGGCTCAAGGGTAAGGCGGATGGCAGCTCCCTTCTCTAGACCTGACAGCTTGGCGCAGCGCGTGCGCTGCGAGTTTTCGTTTTGAGGTCGCGAGTTCGATGCCCGCAAGCGTCAGTTTTTTGTTTTCTGGAAAATACCGACTTTTTCGGCAAACTAGCTGATTAACATCATTTCAGCACTCTATTATGATTTGTTACATTATAATAGACCAGTATCAAAACTTGTTCTAGAAGAAAAATCGAGAAAAATGTCAAAAATGGATAATACCAAAAATTCAGTACTAAAAAAATGGTGCGCGGCGCCCCACATTTTCCGTCATAACTTTTTTCATCCTCAATCTTTTTCGAAAAACTAAACGGTTCTGAGTTTTTAATCGAAACAGCTATCAAACCATACATAGCTCAACGCTGAAAAAAAATTTTTAAAAGTTCGTCTGCGGTCCCTAGCTCTAGGTGAGGAGGGCATGGATATTTTGAAATAAGTTTAAAAACTATTCATTGAATCTTGAATCATCAGAGCGAATGGTCAAATTGTCCCTTCAGTTTCTGAGAGTTGATATGAAATATTTTTAGCGAAAACTTTGCTTTTTCAAGATCCGCCGAATGATGTCGTGCCTAGTCAACCACGCCTATGGCCGTCTGCCCTTGGAAAAAATCGTCTGGTTACTGAAAAATCCGATCAGCTCCAACTTCTACGACAACAGAATACCTGTCGCGCCGGCCCAAGGCCTTTTCCTCACCGATATCGTCTATGAGCCTGAACATTTCAAAAATCCCGTCCCTTATCATTATCACTCTTGGGACTATGTTGACTAACGATTGAAACTCGCTTATATTCGATTTTTCTGGATACATGTTGTTATTCATTATTACTGTATTTTCGTCTATGAAATTTTTTCGAAATTCTAGTTCTTTATCATTTTATTGCCACCATTGGTTTTATCAGTTTCGGACATTTTTTATGTTCGCATAAATCATTTAATTTTTTTTGTGAAGAAATTTTTACGGATCTAAGGTTTCCCTCATTATTTGGTGATCTAAAATACAACAGAAATTTGGGAGTTGAAAAAAACGCCGTGATGTTTTTTGACGACGCCCCGCCCATATTTTTTTCCGTAAAGTTTAGTGTGTCGTGTTCATGCACCGCGGCGCTCTCGCACATGTCGTGTTCAAAGTAATTTTCGCGAAATTCCACTAAGAATAACTGACGAGATAAACGCGAGCTCGGTGGCGGTACATTGACTAACTCGCAAAAATGTCGCTTTTTTCTAGGCGCGATCCCGCATTTCTCTCGGCGCGACCTCGCATTTTTCTCGGCGCCATCTCGCATTTATCTTGCATTTCGGAAATTTTCAAATAGCGAGAGAAATGCGAGCTCGCGCCTAGAAAAGTGCGAGCTGGCGCCCAGAAAAATGCGAGACCGGCGCGAGAAAAAATGCGAGATGTTTGCGAGCTCGTCAATGTACCGCCAGTGTCTCGCGTTTATCTCGGCAGTTATTCTTAGTGTTCAAAATAATCCCTGAAATTCCGAAAGTCAGTTGTATTTTTCACTCTCTGGTGGCTATTTTGAATTTCGCGAAGTTAATTTCAACATGCCATGTGTTTAAAAAAAAAGAAAAAAATCGCGTTTTTTTATAATGAGAAATAGATTTGTCTAAAAAAATACTTCAAAAAAATATAGGCGGGCCATCGCTAAAAAAACGCCGTTAATTATCATATCAATTTGTCCTCTGATTTTTTTGATAATAGAGCGTGAAAGCGAAATCTGGCAGGTTTTTTTACGTACACAAGTCCGATATCGCAAAAATTTTTTTGACATACTTTACCTTTTATTTTTGTTCAAATTTGAATTTTGGTTTAATATTATTTCTCTTTGAATTCAGTAGGTTTCGCCGAGTTGAATGATATTTTTTTATATGTAAATATTAACGGAAATCATCGAAAATGTCGAGTCTGATCGAGTCAAAAATTTTTGACCCCGCGTCATACGGTCATTGGGTCAAAGGCCCGGGAGAACTCTCCAGAATGGCGCCAAATCCCGGGCGGCGAAAACAACAACGTCATTCTTTCCTTTTTCCTCCGTGCTCGACGGTGTGTTGCTGTCGCTCGTTTCTTTTTCGATTTCAATTAACTTTATTGTTTTTTTAATCATATTTTTTCATAGTCGATTATTGTATTATGTTGTAATCTTCAAAAACTTCTTTTTTCAAATGGTTTTACGACATTTTTTCGTTTTAGTTTCGAAAAAAGACAATTTTTGCAGAAAAAAACTATCCTCAAAACATTGCTTCTCTTTATTTTTTTCGTGTTTCCGCTTTTAAATTTAAAACTTTTACGCAAAAAATTAAATTTTTTAAACGCTTGTTCTTTTTTCACACACAAGCGGATCGAGTGGGAGTATCGAGACACCACCTGAGGTATATTCAAGGAAGCTTATCAATGGTCGACACGTATACTTCTAAGCATTTTGATCGAACTCAGGCTTGTGCGAGAGCCGGCATGACCCGACCTTAGGAGGGTCCCCAAGATGGGGCCCAAAAAAAGCTCAATTTTTTTCTAGTAGAATATCAAGTTTTTTTTACGAGAAAAGACACGGTTTTGCTTAATTTTTCACTTCGAGTTCAACAAAAACTATTATAAAAAGTAAAAAAATTTTTTTCCGGTCAAAATGTTTTTTTAATGAAATTTTTGTATTATTTTTTTCGAACTCGCGAAAGCCTTTTTCTCAAAAAAATGAGGCCCAAAGCCCGGGTCGCCTGTCCTTACGCCAAAGCCTGACCGAACTGCGATAGACTTGATGTATATTCGTGGACACACTATGATACACTCCCGATTCGCCTGTGAACGCAATTAAAAAAAAAAGGTTTTTGCCTTAAGTTTTCTGTATCATGTTTCCGATTTCCTTCGTCTTTTTTTTCTCGTGCGTTATCATTTCGTTATTTCTCGAAATTTCGGCGATCGACTTTTATTATTCAACTTCATTTTCAGTGCGGCAAGATGACTCGTGGCGACGTGATAATGCCTTGGTCTTCGAAAAATTCCAGGATTTCTTATAATTTAAGTTTTTGAGCAACATTTTCTCTTTCATTTTGCTCTCATTCAAATATTTTTTAGCCATTTTTTTTTCCAAAGAAGTTGATTTTTTTTATTAACACGAAATTTCCAGAAAATCGGAAAATAAAAAAATACGAGAAATCTGACGACTACACGAGTGCGCGAAGTACACCGGCGACGACTAAAATGGGTAGCTTTGAATTTTCTTTTTTTTTCGATTCCCTTTTCCTTTGGGATAGGAATCGTCCAAAACTGGGGCGGCTGGGCGTCTTCTTCCCAGGAAAGTTCTCGGAGTCAGTTCACAAAAAGTTGAAAAAAAAAAAATTCAACTTGTTTTTGTAATATTACATTTTTCGAAATTTTTGATCATTTTTTTAAGAACCGTATGAAGACAGAGTTTTATTAAGGTCCGAGTAGTAAAAAAATTTTTTTAAAGATTTTATCATATTTTTTTAGATACCAGAATTTTTCAAGCTCTCTTTCGACAAAAAAATTCAGAGATCAAGTTTCCAAGTTTCCAATTTATTCAAAGGTTTTGCCGCGAAAAAAATTAAGACTTTAGTTCTTCTCACACATTTTTCAGGTTTTTTAAAAATTTATTTTCGGCTGACGCTTCTAGAAAAAGAATCAAATTTGAAGAAAAATTCCAAGTTTTTTTTTTATTTTGCTTTATTTTTAATTGTTTATTTAAACACAAAATTTTCACATACATTTTTCCAATTTCATTTTCTTTCGAAATTAACAAAAATCACAATAAACTCGAGTCTTTTTCATTCAACTTTGATGCTTTTTTCAAAGTTTTGCACTTCAAAACTTTGAAAAATAAAACTTCGTTTTCATACGAATTTTTGTTACTAATTTATAAGTAGTTCAAAAAGTCCGAGAGCTTTCCTGGGAACAAATGGCCCAGGGTCGGCCTCTTTTTTTGCAGGGGCTTGGGTGGATGGTCGACTGACGGGTCCAACTGTTTCGCCGATTTATTAATTTTGATTTTCTCAAGATAAACACTTTCAACTTTCGAAATGAATAAAACGAAGTCGTAGGATTTCTGAAGGCGTTTTGTGTTGCAGATTCGAATTTTATCCAGTTTTGATGTCCTTTTTTTAAAAGTTGAATCGAAATTTTCAACTTTCACGAAGCCCAAGTGGTTCATTTCAAAAGCTTATTAGTATTTCGCTTTTTAAAGATAGTTCTCTTTTTTTGAAGTTGAAAATTTACTGACAGTGGTTTTAGTAATTCATTTTTTTGTGTATGAAAAAGCCGCTTTGCATACATTATTTTTACGCAGTAGTGAGTTACTTTTAGAAAGTTGATTTAATACGATTAGACTCGAATAAAAGAGCTAGATTTTTTTAAAAACGGCATTTTTCCTCGTGATAATGAAGCCACTCGGGGAAGTTTTATTTTTCATTTTTATTTGTCGATTCTGATTTTTTTCCATGAATCAAATCTATTTATACCAGATTTCATAAAAACTTGCAGAAAAAAAGAAATTTTTGTAGAAGTGGTTTCGTTATCAACTCAGTTTTTTTCCGTTTAGTATCTACGAGCTGGTAAAAAGTTGATCAATTTTTTTAGTGAATAAGTGTGGTTTGAAGTTTAAAGTGACGATAATTTCAACAGGTGATCGAAATTTGAGAAAAATCTTTTTCTCAACAACTTTTAAAAAAATTTATCAGGTAGATTCAAAAAGAATGTAGGAATTGAAATAAAGCATATTACTTTTTTACAATTTTTTTGGGTCAGCTTTTTGAAGTAACCTCGGAGATCATAAACGGAATAGGAGTTAAAAATGTAGTTGATCAACATTTGTCCGCTCGTCTATTGAAAATTTTGTGGATTTTTCCGGAAGTAGTCGCATTTTGAAAAGTTTTCAACTTTACTTTCTTTTATTTATTTTAAAATAAGTTTGAGTTGGGACCTGCAACACAAATCCTTTCTATTGATTTATTCCTATAAATTCGAATCGGTTGGCGAAACAATTGGATCCGTTAGTCTGACTGGAAGCTTATGAATAGGGGGTCAGTTTTTGCAAAGTTTCACAAAAAGTCAGTGGAAGTTTTTCAAAAAAGGCAATTTTCGTTGAGATCCACTGAAGGGGGAAGATTGTCATGTGATTCATTGACTTGGTAAATTGCGAAGGGATTTTGTTGATTTCATGACAAAACTCTGTCTTTCTGTGATCATTGAAGTCTTTTTTTAAAGCGATTGCAAGGTTCTGATGAAACTTATGCTTAGAGGCAAAGGTTTTCAATTTTTCGACTTTTAGTTGTTTCTTTTAAGCTCTTGGCGTTAGTTCAAGGAAGTGTTCGCCACTTTAAATTCTCGAAAAAAAGAACAGCTTTTTTTTCTTTTAATTCCAATACCTTAAATTTTTTTTTAAAGCAATTTATACTTTTTTTGGATTTTTTTTTTCATGCCATCCAACTTGTCGATTTGGCTTCAGAATTTTTGTTAAATTCTTGAGAAGACCTTTTTTGACATTCAAGAACCTACTAATTTATCAAAGTCGCGAATTCTTCATTGAAAGTTTGAAAGTTCAATTTAATTCTCGAACTTAGTACAAAAGCTCAACTTAGGCTCAGCTTCACATCTCTTTCTGTTGTTTCTAAGCTTGAAATACTTGAAAAAAACTTTATCTTTTGCTTTGAGACGCTTTAAGAAAACAGTAGGAAAAAAAAAATGATTTTTTATTCATCAGACATTGACTTCATTGATCAAAAGGAGACTTGAGCTTTTGACATGACTTCTCCAAAGAACCTTTGCCTTTCACTTTGTCATTGAACCACTTGACAAACTTTACTCCTACAGAGGGTCTCAATGAACTTCGTCTTTTTGGAGAGCTTCTGCTGGCCTTTTGTAAGACTTTGCAGAAATTGATCTTTCATTCAGAAGCTTTCAGTCAAGAGACCTTTCACCCAAGCCTTTGCAAAAAAAAGAGTCTGCATTGGTTCATTTGGAGAAGGCGGCCAGTACCTCTCAGAATTGGAAGGTTCCAAGACCGAAGAAGGGGGTTAATGGGGAGGGTTTCAGGTCGAGTGATGTGACGGGATGGATGCCGGTCGAGACGCGAGCCGGGATGGATGCCGGACGACGTCGTACTCCGAGGGCGGCATTGAACCGGAGACTCTGAACCATGATTTTTAATAAAGAATTCTCCTCCCCCGTTTGTACCTGGTTTTATCCGGCAGGGTCAGAGCCGCTGCCGGACTTTCTTTTGGAGCTACCGTTGCCGCTCGGGGTCCCCGATCTCGGGCTCTACAGCTGCCTCTGGAATCTGAGGCGAAGTCCCCAACTCGAGCCTTAAGGGCCCAAGCCGGAGACCCTAGCCTCAGACTCCACAGGCTGGCTGTGGAGCCCGAGCCGGAGGCCTCGACCTCAGGCTCCAGAGTGCAGTGGAGCCCAAGGCCGACTCTTTGATGGGTGGCTTGGGGCTTGGTGAGAGTCCTGTCAAGCGACGCTTTTTTCACCTCTGATCTCGTCAATGGACAGCGTCTTGCAGAGTCGTTTTCGTCTCTTTTCTTCTCTCACACTCTCTAAGCTTCTCCTGAACCAACTGAGCACGAACTCCTTCAACTTGATCTGCAGACCTTTTGAAAAGAAATGCTGAATGTACTATATTGAAAAAGTGCTCTTGAAGTTAGGAGATTTTTTTTTGTTAACTACAAAGATTTTTATCTTTTTAAATCTTCAGTAGTTTTTTTCCAGGTCAATCACGTAAACCAAGACAGAATAAAACAAAAGTAATTAGAATAAATGAGAATTAAATAGAAAGCTTTTCGAAACATTTTGAAAAAACGCACGTTTTTGAATAACTACTAATTTTTGCAAGTGATAGACTTGGATGAACTGGAGAAGATTTGAAACTGCAACAAGTTTTTGATAATTTTGAAGTCTAAGAGACTTCCAATCATTAACCGTTCACTACGAGGTTCATTTTCCAATTTTATTCCAAGTTCAACTGCATGGCTTCACATATTTCGATAACGTCAAAAACTTTTCGACACCTTCTTCAGTTTACCATGTGCAATTCTTCATAAAGCAATGAAGATCTAAATAAAAAAATCTTTTTGAAATGCTTGATCAAAAAAATCGTGTTTTTCAATCTTTATTTTTCAGATTTTTCCTACAAGCTGATGAAATGAGAAAGTTTTGTAGTTCGACAGAACTTAGAAAAGAAAAATCAAAATTTGAAAAATAAAGCTTATAGTTTTTTTTGTCATTGTCTTCATCCACAACATCAATGTCAATAATATAAAAAATTGAACGTGAAAGTAAAAAAGTTTTCTCAAAAAAATGCAAAGTTTCTGTGCTGTTTTTTCGATTTTAATGTGATCGACTGTGATGAACTGGACAAAATTCCAAACTTCTAGGAATACTCTGAAAAGAAAAAGCCTTGCAGGTGAAATCAGAACGGAATTGGAAAAAGTTCAAGAGCACCGTTTCAGCAAAGTATATGTCCGTTGCAGATGATCTGAGGTTCAAGTTGATGGGGTTCTAGCTCACTTGGCTCAAGATGGAGCTTAGAGAGTGTGAGAGACCAAAAGAGACATTAAGGACCCCGCAAAACGCTGTCCGGTGGCGCCCGAACTAACGCAAAGAGACTATGCACTGGTTGGCTCAATGGGAAACTATTTTTCTAAAAAAAGAGAAATAGAATGGAATGTAACTATTCATATGAAAAATGAAAGATTTGGAGAACTGGTGAAGAAGGTCCAACTAATTCAAAACATTAGAAAAGAAACTATTTTGATCAAACTTTAAATTTTCTTTCACATTAACTCGAGGAAAAAAAATTGTACTTAATAATAAAAATAAAAGTTGAAAGAAGAACTACCGTTTTTGAAGAAGACTCTTGGACGTAGTTGAATCACGAAAAAAAAGATAAAAAATAAGCTAACAAATCTCAAACTTTCACGTTTAAAGAATGAATTTTTTTGTAGTTTTTTCGCAACTTCTTCATCGAAATTAAAAAAAATAATAATAAACTGAACTTTAAGATAATTTCGGTATAAAGCGATCAAGAATTAAACTTATGAGCTTAGTGCGGCTAAGTTTTTTTTTTGAAAATAAATACAAACGCTTTAGACACATTTTAATATATGAACAATTATCATTTTGTTCAAAAAACTACTGCCGAAAATGGGTCAAAGCTTAACTACAAAGAAAAAATAGTACTAAGAAATTTTTTTAAACCTTCGTCTCAAGTTTTCCAAACCGTATTTTTAAAGCCACTACACCAACCAGCAGATTTAATATCTTTGCATGAACTCGGGAATCATATCAGATGTGTACGAATAAATTCCGATCTTATAAAAACCAACTGGAATCGGAAAAAAAAAACTATAAGCTCAGAAAAGTCTCTTAGAAATCAAACTAACTAGAAACCGTACGTATGGAGGTTTGAAATTCGTAAACTTGTTTTCAAGACCAAATTATCTTCACTATCTTCACCATCTATATCGGTTTCCAGCCGAAAACGTTCGAAATTTGAAATTAAAGAAAAACCTCAAAATTCCTGAAAACCATTCACGAATCTTACATCCCATACATACGACCTCAGGGCTACATTATCATGATCCCCAATAGAATCTTCGCTAATGAATCGGTGAATACTGACAATGCTTTCGTTAGAGAAAACTCAAAAAAAAAAAACTGTCACTTTAGCCGCCGTAGAGCTAGAAAAAATAACGCCTAAATGCCTCAAGGTCAACCCTAACTTTTATAGTAACAAGTTCTAAAACCCCGTGAGGATCTAATGAATTTCGCTACTGAGCCAAAAAAAAAGTTCTAAAACACGATATGTATTCGTACACAACCGAACTTACTGGACGCCACCTTCGAATTGACAAGCCCGGAAGGAAAAAAGCCTCGCCTCACAGTACTCCCACTCCACAGAGGAAAAGGCGCATGTATGCTCTGCTGAAGCCGGCGAGAGAGCATGGAGAGGCCAGACTACAGGCCTCTCATTTTTTTTTTGGCGCTTTCTCGTACCAGACGAAAGCCGAGAATACAGTCATATTTTTCTCTGCGCCGCCACCTACCAAAGGCCCGAAGCCGGCAACATTCACCCCAAAAGGACAAGGCATGCACGAAAAATAATCATTTTCTTCTCGAAAATTCCCCTATTTTAAATTTTTCTTGGAAATAAGCATCGCATGAAACCAACGATCGAAAATTACTTAAGCTATCTTATAACACGAAAATGGTCACTAACTAAAAGAAAACTGAAAAAGTAAAACATCTATAAAAAAAGACCTTCAAAAAAATTGAAATAGAAATAAGTGCGAAGCGGTCGCCTAAAAAGTTCAATTTTGGATCAATCGAACAGGGACAACTTGTCAAGCCAAAAATTTTAATCACATCTTTCTTCTCCTGGAAAAAATTGAAGAATGAAAAAATCAACATCAAAAAAAAATATTACAAAAAAAGTTTTGAAAACCAATTATTATTTATTTTTTGTGAATCGAGGTTTTGAAGAGAAAAAAGAGAATTGCTGCCTTGTACTTGACAAGTCGACTGGGGATGGACTTTTTGGAGAAAAAGCCTGAAAATCAAGTTGACTTCTGAAAAGATAAAATCGAAAAATTCCAGACCGCGTCGCACCTCGACTAACCTCAACTAAAACCGGAATATGTTTTTTGATGAACACTAAAAAAAAACTGAGAAAAAAAACCTATAAAAAAGTGAGGACTGAGCCGCTTTTTAAGCCGCAAACTAAAAAACTTCAAAAACTTCAAGTCAGAAATCTGAAAATGTAGTGAAAATGGTGATTTTTTTAAATCGAAAAACTAAAGATTGTCCAAAAAAACTCGAGAATGTATGCCTTGCAGCTTGAAAAGTGACCATTAAAACACTCTATTATTATGAAATAAAATCCTGTATTCATTACTGGCAGAAAAAACGAAAAATGACCGATGACTTCATGCGACAGATTCTAAGAGTAAACGTGAAATATGATCTGGAAGAATTACTATTATTCAAGTTTTGGGAATTTTTCAAGAAGAAAAACTTTTCGACACCACTTTTTCACGTTGAGAGACACGATTTATGAAATGGAATTTAAATTGAAATTGAAAAAAATTAAGGAAAGGTTTATTTTTTTAATTGAAAAAAATTCTCAACGCAAAAAAAGCGACACCTGTTGGAATAATTAATATTTATACCGATAAAAGGTGACGACCTTTTTATTCCATTGCATCCCGTCAGATCCACCTATTAATAAACGCCGCCGCTTTGAAAAAAATTGCGCTCGGTAGATCATCATTAAAGCGGCGGCGTTGTTGATCCATCCGTGCTTCGGTCTAGAAAAAAAGAAAAATATTCTTTTCGATCAAAAAAATTGTTTAACTCATCTTTAAAATATCTCAGAAGATGCTCCCGAGCTCGATCAGCTATCCCTCAGAAACTCGGGCCTCTGAATCATCAATTAAGAAAAAGAAATACACGTAGACCGAACAAAGAACACGGAAAAAACGCATGTTAAAATTTTTCGATTTCGAATACTCAGAAAGGAAAAAATCGTCAAAACTTCTTGCGTCGTTCGGCAAAGTATTGTTACAGATGCTACAAAGACTTGGCAAATAGTAAAACTTTGAAAATAATTTCGTCGAAAAAAAATAGGTAATTTAAAAAAATTTCCATCAAAAAGTTCAGTTTTAAATTTCAAAACACTTTTTTAAAAAAATATTACTTCAAAAAAAATTAATTAAAAAAACAATAATAAAGTTAATTAAAAAGTAAATTTGAACGCAGGGCAGCAACACACCGTCCAGCGCGGAAGAAAAAAAGGAAAGAATGACGTTGTTGTTTTTCGCCGCCCGGGATTTGGCGCCCAACTGCAGTCCTCTCGCGCCTTTGACCTAATGACCGTATGGGGTCAAAAACTTTACCAGATTAGACTCGTCCTTTTTTACGGTCTCCGGCCGGGTTTTGACTTGAAAAAATCTATTTGAAAAAGGATAATCTTCTCATATGAATCTATTTGAAAAGAAAATTTACGATAATAAAAATATAAATAAAAAAAAACTCCTCAAATCTCGTCGAATGATGCTTATTCGCCGCAATTCAACAGTTACCGTGCTTGCGGCGGTGAATACAGTACCTATCACATTTTTTTTTAATCGTTTTTTTTCACATTTTTTTCACATTTTTTTGCTCTAAAAGCTCAGTCCGTATCATTTTTCAGTTTTTTCTTGTAAGAATTCAAAATTTCAGCGTTTTTTTTTCGAAAATTTTATTTCGGTTCTAAAAATAGCTCGTTTTTTGTGCTTTGAATATTATTCCGCTTCAAAATTGAAAAGAAAACACTAGAAGAAAAATGTACAGAGTGCGATAAGATCTCTAGAAAGTGCCGTAAGCAGGTGAATCACAACGAAAGAAAAAATAATCACAACTGAAAACCGGAGGCAAATTTCAAATAAATTAAAAATTATGCTAAAAAAAAATCAAATATATACAGAAAAATGATAATGTTTTCATTTTAGCGCGGAGTTTCGAGGCCCAAGCTTCTCATTTCCTCCTCCAGCTCCCGAAGACTTCGCTCCAACATCTCGACCTCATCGAGGCGACCGGACGAAGCCGCTTGTTCCAGATAACTGCATGATTTGGTAGAAAAAGAAAGACTGAGTCATTTTCACAAAATTTGATTGGCAAAAAACTTCTGGGGTGATTTTCAAGCGATTTTAATATTCTTCTTTGGATTTTAAAGGCGCAGACGCCTCACTAAACCTAAACCAACATTAGAATCGCTTCCAGACCTTCAAATTTTTTTAAAAATGCCAGTAGATTCTGCACAGATATAGCGTGACAAAGATTTCTGAGGATTTTAAAAACTTTGAAAACTTTTATGTAAAACTTTTCGAAAAAGATTCTTGAGATAATCTCGGTTCAAAATGCTTAACTTTTCCAAAACTCACCCTTTCAAAATATCTCGCTGCTCGAACATGGGATGAAGCATGTTGGTCTCCTCCATGAACGGGTTGTAGCTTCTTAAAAATCGAAGTTTTGCTTCAAAATGGGTTTTTCTGATCACTTGGTGTTAACGGGCGTCCATCCATCATCAGCGACGTTTTTCTTGGCATTGGGTGGCGATTTCTCGACCAGAGCCGAAGATGAACCTGGCGCTGACATCGGCAAGCTTTTCGTCTGCTAATTTTTGTCTTCTTCGTCTTTCTTTTTCTGGTACCTTCAGTCGTTCCGAGTGAGGTAAAGCCTTCGAGGCGGCGGATCTTTCTCTGGCTTCAGCGACTTGTCGAGCCATTTCCCGTTTGTGCCGCTCTACCAGCTCCAAGTATTGCTCTTCAGTCGGCAGGGGGGACATCTGGCCTGCTAGGCCCTGGAAAACTTTAAATTCTTTATTCGAACTTTCAAGGTTTATTAAAGACTTCTAACCAAAAAGAGAAAACGATATACTCGTCTTGTGAATGTAAAAAAAAAATTTTCTAACTGGGCCCTACTTAGGAGTTCCAGAGTGGTCCCCGTAGGGGTTCGGGAAAGGTCCTATAGGGGCCGAAAAAGTGGTCCCTATAGGAGTTTAGGGTCTGACCCCTTCGCCTCTAAAGCCCAAGTGGTCGCTTTAGGGGCCTTTCAACTTCATTCAAGAAACACTTAATTATTTAGTTTTTCGCATGGAAATGCTTCTTAGCATAGAGTTGTAACAATTATCGACCAGCATGTTCCCTATAGGAGCCACTAACTAAAACCCCTATAGGGGCCTGCTTTGCAAGTTTTAGTGGCCCTTATAGGGGTTGGTAAAGTGGTGTCTAGAGGGGACCCTCCTAAGGTTGCCACTATAGGGAATACTCTGGATGAACAAAATTTGACAGAAAAGTTTATTTTTCTTCCAAATTGTTACTGATTTTTCGGCTACTACTGGAATTTTTCCACGATTCCAAAAAATAAGTTCTTTTCTTATTAGTTGATTCGTAAATCTTTCTCGAAACCTGCAAAACATTAAGGGCAGCCATTCGGATGTTCCTCCTCATCTGCTGCTCGCGAAGATGCGAAGTTTCCGCCTCGCCGCCTTCGGCTATCCGTTTACTTCAATCAGAAAGTTTCACTTTCAGTCTTTTCTTTAGTCGAACCTCAAAATATCCGCATTCCTCTGCTTGGCGGCAACTTTCTGGCGCATTTCCTCCGCCGATTTCAACGTATACATCGTCTCGCCATTACTAGATAAATAAAATTTGCAAATTTCGGATTTTCCTTGGCCGCACTTGGAATGGCTCGACGCGTTGCCGTTACGAAATTGAAGAATGAATTTGAAACATCGCGGTCCTGCGACTACAAAGTAACTTCCTACACCTCGCAAGACGGTCAGGTTTTCCAAAAGCAGAAGAAAAAAAAGCTACCGTAACGCACAGCTTTTTCGAACATTCGCTTCAAAAATAGACAAAAAAAAACTGCATAGAAGCGGAAAGCTGGCGTAAAGTGACTTATCCGCTCAGCGGCCGCAACGCACTGAGCCATTTCCCACGCGACCAACCCTTCTCATTTTCAGGTTCAACGACTAGACACTAACTTCACACTGTTTGCCATCCTGACATAGGTCGGGACGAGGGCGGTGAGTTCCTCCAGCTGGTCGTGCAGACTGTTGTACTGCTCGACGACGGCGCCGGTGCTGCTCTGGTCCATCATCTGTTCTCGGCGGCGCAGGTCCGCGAGACAAGTCACACAAAGCCTCAGACACTCTGAGCCGTCCTTAAAATCTCAGACTCAAACGAGTAGAAACTGTTGTCGAAGGCTCTTAGATACCTTCCTGCGGCTTGGAATGACGAAAGGACAACAAAAAGTACGAAAACTCAGACAAAGGAAACAACTTTTTTTTCTGTGAACCTGTGAACCTCACCTGCAAGACGAGCGAGCTGACACTGGAATCCTCAGAATGGGAGCCTTGGATTTTGCCGCCGATCAAGGTCATCATGCGGCCGGTGGCGTTCTGCGTGAGTTCCATCAGACGACGTCGTCCGTTGGAAGGCGAGATGACGGGTTTGACGTCGGGAACGGTGGAAGCGAGGCTGGAGGCCGCTGCGGCCACCTCCATCATTTCGTGGGCCAGGGCTGGGTTCGTCAGTTTTCCTAATCAATTCTTAAGGTTCCAGCCTTTATAGGTTCAGCCTTACTAGCGGACAGGAAGCTCAGGAATTCGCTACAAGCATGACACGTTACGCGGCCACATAGTCGGCAGTGATGACGCCGTCGGGTCATGCCGAATTTGGTGGCGCACAACGGACAGACGGCTACTTCTGAGTCGTCGACCCATGGCACGATTTCTCGCTCGAATTCTGGAGCATGACGTGAGAAAATGGACATCATACAAAATAGGAATCATGAAATTTGAAGAGATCAGTCTGCACTTGTCAAAAGTTCGCTCTACCGGATTACAAGTCTGCTTGGCTAGCCAGGCCATTTTTTGCCGTTTTAAGAAACGCCTCAGCCCTAAAGACAACCCTTCACTCCTCGTGCCTCTTTGAAGAACGAAACTTCCAGGGACTGCCGTAATCCCTTGAGCATCTCCCTTTAAGGACCACTTTGTAAAGCTTATATTCCGCTCCTACACAACTATTTTACATCAAAAATACACTCTTTTCCCCCGGAAACCTTTCCGCTTTGTTGGATCTTTCGGTGAGTGATGAATAAGCCTGTCCAATCGGATAATCAGCATATTCGTCCTGATAGCCATCTCGTTGATGGATTGATCGCGGCATTTCTTGAAATATTCTGTCGATGATCGAGTGGCGCCTGGAAAACTTTTTTTTGTTGGAATTTGTTGGTATAGTCGGTTCAGGGCTCGCTTGGGACGCTAAGAGGGCGTGGCCTGTCTGCGCTCTCCACGATCCAGGCATTATCTCGTGCATTATCGTGTCAGGCCCCTTTTTTCGATAGCTCAAGCCAGCCGTGAATCAGCTATAGTTCTGTTAAGAGGGAGAGGCAGAATGAGAAAGTTTATAGCCCATTCCGCTCCGACTTGCTACATAACCCTTCTTTTCGAGGCGCGCGGCCTGGCTCTGTGTATGCGCCTTTTTATTAGGCCTAAAATTTCCGTTATTTTAAAGGCGCATGCGCAGAAACAGGCCGCGCGCCTCGAAGGGAAGCTTCCCGGAATGGTTCTGTAGGTTTCTGTAGGGAAATGAAAAACGTAGCGATCCGGCACAAAATGAAATATACTATTGACGTGTCTAAATTAATTCCGCGAAATAAAAATAGCCGTCCGAAGGTGAAAAAGATAACTGGATTTTGGAGAATTAGAGATAATTTTGGTTTCGGGAAGATTAATTTTTACATTTACTAAGTAAAGAAACCTAACTACCAAAAAGTATGAAAAAATATATTGAAAAATTTAAAAATAACGACAAAAGGTATTTTGAAAAAATACACAATTTTCCGCTTTTTCTTTGAACAAACCTCGCGGGACCGGCGAAACTGGCCGTCGGATTCGAATATTTTGCGGCTTTTCCTTTGGCTCCGAGCTTCCTTCTACGGCCTTTTCCACGGCCGACGTGGCCAACGAGGCCAAATCGGCCACACTTGATGATACGCCACTGATATTTACCTAAAAAGAAAAAAAACATTCTCGGGAAACTGTGATAACCTCACATTTGATATTTCCGTATTGACTCTGGCGTCCAATTTTCGTATCCCTCGTTTGGCTTTGCCGAAAAATTCTGAAACGATATAAGTAGAAGGAAAATTTGAAAATAATTTATTCATGAAATAGCTAATTGTCAAGCTTCCTCCATTTTCTGATGAAATTGTTAAGTCTAATTAAACTATTCTAAAGAGAAATAAATTAAGCTTGTTAGGAAGTGATTTTTTTTAAAAAAGGGCTTAACGAAAAAAAGAGGCATGGTACAAACGAAGTATATTGAAAAGACTAGCCAAAAAAACATTTAAAATTCAATTATTCCTATTGTAAAAGCTGAAGTTCTTGCATTTTGGATAATATTCTGCAAAGATTTTTCAAGAGGTAAAATCTCCAGCTTTTTCTGATTGATCAGAAAATTTCTTAAAAAAATTTTTTTAATGTTGCACAGGTGAAAGTAGCTTTTTTCGCTCTCTTTTCACCTTACTCTTTGGTATTTTGATATTTCACCTTCTTACTTTTTTAGTCGCCTTTTTCATCACTATTTCCATATGTCGGAATAGGACCCTCGAAAAGTTCGTAAAAACGCGTCAGAAAATGTTTTAATTCTTCAATTTTTTTCCCTCACGAAAGCTTCAAAAATATTTATAGTCTGTTTTTTATGTCAAGTGCAATGACGTCATTCAAAAACACTCTGAACAGACTATATGCACACGGGCTTCGATCATTATTTCACAAATTTTCGTGATCCGCTCTATTTTTTATGCACCTTTGACATTTTGAACAACGGCATCTGTCAGGTCGGCTTCTTCTTCTTCGCCATGAGCCGATTCGACGTGGGCTTGTAAAGGCGGATAATCGCCGAAATCAACCATACAAAAGGGACAGATGAAGCCCTGGAAGGTTCAAGTAGGATGAAATGAGAATGACTTGAAGAAGAGGGTTTGAAATAATTGAATTTTCAAACATTCATAGTATTTACTTTTTTTGTTCGAAAAGTTACAACTACTTCATCTTCTTTCTCCTCAGAAAAACACATTTTTTTAGAAATCGAGAAACCGATCAATTTACAAAAAAATCCCTTTATTTAATCTTTTTCCGCAAAAAAACCTTGCAATCAGACAAAAAGAAGAACAAAACGATTATAAAATAAAATAAAGAACTACCTGTCGAACCTCAACGTCCATGGCGATGCCGCCCTCGAGATCTCTCGAAAATTCCCAATTTTCTCGATGATAAACTACCATCGTTTACAAATACCTTGGACGAAACCAATCATCACGAAATTCTTGGATGAAAACCACAAAAATTGAGCTTTTTATTGGGAATCCGTATCAAGATACAAAGTGACAAAAACTCGTAGGTTTTTAAAGTGAAAAAGAATACAATAGAAGCTCTAGGTAATATGAATTCTGAATATAGCGAGTAAGGCAAGAAAATTGATCACATCAAGTCGTCAATAAGGCGGTCATAATCAAGGATACCGAAGAAGCGGATGATACAAAAATTTTCGCGACATCTGGCCAAGATCGGCTTCAGGGCCGGCAGAACGAGAAGCGAGTTTCCGATTCGAAGAGAAATCTGAAAATTTGAAAGCTTGAAAGCTTGAAAGAACTAAGGTTTCAAAATCCACGGCATTAGCTGATATATCAACATATTCGCAAAATGAATAGGCTCAAGTCTCTCAAAATGGCGTTCAAATTCTAAAATAACGAGAACTGGGAAGAAAAAGGATAGTTCAACAAGATTCTAATACAAAATTCTTTCAGTGACAAAGTCGGAAAGGTGGAAAAAATCTCCATAGAAATGTCCCCTTTTTGCGACATTGGCTCTTATGCACCATTTTCGCTGCCTTCCACCATTTCTTGAGCCTTTGAAAACCCAGAAAAAGTGGAAGGATCGATAAAGGTACCCTTTTTGCTGTCTTTTCTGAGCCTCTTACTTTTAGCAGCCATGATCCACCATTTCGACTTTTCCCAAGGCAAAAAACTATCAAAAAGTCTTGTATGAAATCTTTCTCTAATAATTATTACAACGTACTATACGTTTCTACGTCAATGTATAAACAAGCAATAAAATATAAATAAATGTTAATATGATAATGAATAAAACCTCATCAATGGAAAGACCTTGCTCTTCATAATGACGAAACCAATCTCTATAGAACCGATCTCGAAGTTCCTCCATGACGCGGCAAGATTCTAGAGGCAGATTTGGGGCATCTAGAAAAACATAAATAAGTCTTTCATTTTTCGACAAAACGAACAAGGATCGAATAAGAATACAGCCGAGACAGCGCAAAAGTCGACTTCGCTCATTTCGGCATGCTTCATGGCGCTGTCGAAACTGTACAGGCTTTCGCGGATCGGCGTGTAGAAGACTCTTCAAGAAAACAGAATTTATCGGCTGGGACTACTAATAAAAAACCAAATTTGAGACAGAATGTATTCTCGCTACTTTACTTCAACATATAAAACACAAAGAGCTTCTAAAAATTGTGTTACTCGTTTTGAAATCATCAATTTTACTTTTCGATTTTGAATAGGTGATCGAAAATAATAAAAAAAGGTCTTTTAGAAGCGACTGTGAAAGAGCGAAAAAAAAATCCGGTAAAAATAATCTTTCGTGGATTCAGTGGATCAGCTTTTTATAGAGATCTTGGTCTCGGAGCGAAAAGTTCTTTACAGTAAAAACTGAAAATTCAATAAAAAAAACTGGCATATAAAATTAGCATGGTGGATAATGGTCGCTTGAAAGGAAATATCCTAAAAAAAAAGGAGAGACTCAAAAAAGGTCGCAAAAAGGCAGCAAAAAAAGTCCTTTTATCGAGTCTTTCATTTTAATTTTAAAGGCTCAAGAAATGGTGGAAAAGAGAGAGGCAGCAAAAATGGTGCTAAATAGCCGGTGAAATGGCGCAAAAAGGCAGCAAAAAAAGCCTTTTTCATCCTAGAAGGAATATTTCTATGGGCCCTTTTCCGACTTTGCATATGCTTCTGAAGCATTATTCAATTATTAGCAAGAAATTCCAAAATTTTTGTTTGTAACTAATCATAAAGTCCGCCTTTTTTCAGAAAATCGAACACACAGTCAAAAATTTACTTCAAAAAAGTCTCGTGATCAATGACGCCCTCCAGAAGTTCGACCTCGTACTGCGCCCCGTTGTTCGTCAAGTCGATGTAAGCTCCATCCGGGGACATTATTCTTGAAACACAAAACTTGATTTTAGATAATCACAAGCTTTCAACACCTGTTCAATTCCACGCCGCCGAGCTTCACAGAGTTGAAATATCGTTCAAAAACGGTGAACTGGACCGCGCCGTTTCTCACAATGGCTATCTTTGAGAAAAATAAGATTCTATGAAAACTGAAAGATGAAAACCTTGGTCTCGTGATTCAGGGAAGCAAAAGCTTCAGCTGAATTGAGCAACTCGATAAAATTGCACAGCTCGAAGCGAACTTTTCCGGGGGCGAACTTTGTCTTGAAAATTGCTGGACGAGGTTCCTAAAAATTATATTTCTTGATGATCGCGAAAATGAATGAAAAGCACAGAAAATTCTCTGAAACTATGAAGGAAGACGCCATTTAAAGAAAGCAAAGCTGCCAAAGTCGGAATTGTGGAAAACGGGTGCGAAATGGACGATAAAAGGGTTCCGTTTTGCGGCCTTTATTAAGCCTCTCATTCTTAGTGGGCTAAAAAGCCTTAAATAGGGTGGAAAAAGGGCCGCAAAAAGGGTGAAGAAAGGGTGCCATTGGTAATTTTCTATTTTATTACTGTAGCTCATTTTGGTTCATACAAAGCCCCTGGTAAAGATCATTCTCAGTTTATAAAGTGTTGTGTTTCTCAAATGGGTCCAAAAAGGGTGGAAAAAGGCCGATGAAAGGATGAAAAAAGGCAGTGAAAAGGAAACCGTTGCAACCCGTTTAGGAACAATTAAGGGAACCCTTTGCCTATGAGAGTTTTTTTTAAGGCTTTTCTAGATTTCTCAGACTTTTTCTGTGCGATATTCGTACCGCGGGAGTTCCGCCAAGGATGTCGCTCAAGGAATTCGGACAATAGAACATTCGGCGCCGCTCCATCAGCCTTCGATAATTGGCGACAAAATGTTCAACTACATTTGAAGCGGTAGGGATCACTGAAGTGTTTCTCGACGGCAGAGAGGGTCCTGAATTTAGTTTTGCAGCCTTTTTCGGCGAAATTAGAAAATTAGGAGGCAAAAATTAAGCTCTAAGAAAGCACGATTTTTGACAATTCCTATTTTCATCGAAAAAAAATTCGTTAAATAAAATTTCTAGCATCTTCTAATCTTCTTCAAAAGTTATTTTTAAACCGGAATCAGAAAGAAAGCTATAATTCTCGCAAAATTACTGTGGAACCTTCTTTTCAAAAAAAATTTTTTTTCGAATGGAAAATCCTTGAAAACCTGGCAAATCAAGAGAAGATAAACGACCATCAACCGGAGTATCCGGGTTATAACAGAGAGTTTCAGAAGCTTGAAAATCCGAATCAAGTGCAACAACTTCAATAGGACCTCTGTAATGAAGATAGATAATGAATCTTTCTAAAAAAAGGAAAATAAAAAGAAGAAGAACCCAAAAAATCCGTTCTGAATAAACTATACCTTCCGACAAGATTCTTTAAACTATTTTGCAATTGATCTTGAGTAGAATTCGGCTCTTCGTCCAAAACTTGCTCAAAATCGTTCTCACGGCTTTCCGATTCTCGTTTCTCTGATCCATCACCAGGATTCGGTATCAATGAATCACGGTGCGGCTGAACACCTGTAAGTATAGAAGATCAATTTATCAAAAAAATAATCACAAACATTCCGGATTCATGCCTTGGGCGAGGCATTTCAACAAACGGCAGGCTCTACAAGTTGTACGACGCCCTTAAATTTTTGCTGCAAAAAGCTAAGGCTTGGAAGCGAATTTTCCGGTACCTTGCATAATAATACATCGATTCCCACGGTTACAAATATACGCCCTTTTTTCTGCGATTGTTCGGCGGAAAAAAGCCGAACAAGCGGCGCAGGCGAAGGCTCCAAAGTGGAATCCAGAGTTTGGGGCGCGACAAACCTTTAAAAATTAACTAATCAAAGTTAACAGCCAAAAAAAGCTTCTTATTTGCGATGAATTCACGAGAATGAGTATGAAATGAACAAACCGAGCAGTCGCTTCTCGCCAACTCATCCCGCGGGCGTCTAATTATACGGGATGACATTGGGCCTGAGTGTTCCGACCCAAAGCCGTTGCAGTTCCATTAACTAGTATCTTATCAATCGATTAAAAGGCAGCAATAAGAAAATATACAAAATAATAAAAAATTCCGTTTTTCATTTTTCACTCGGTGTACTGTACATTTTCGCTGTGCATTGCAGAACAAGGTATGATCGTAAACATCAACTTTCGGGAAAAATCCAGCTACTGCCTTTTTTTTCAATTACTTTATATCATAAATATAACTATAGCGACACAAAAGGAAATAAAAGCGAAGTGAGGTGATGTTGAAAGGTCTCCTGAGTTTTTGACGGGGCGCGAGGTATTATAGACAAATATACAAATTTACAAGTCATGTATATGTCACATAAATACAAATCGGGAAGGGATTTAGAGGCAAGGAAGGTTGCGCTGTCGGATTCGGTCGATGAGCTTCTGATAGTCATTGTCGGTGAAGGAATGGGCGCCGTCCTGCGAGACCTCCTTGAGCGTTTCGTTGTTGGTCGTGACGGCGTTCTTCACTTTGGCCTGGAATTACCAAATAAGCTGATAAAAAAAAATACTTTCTACCATGAAGGCATCTTTTTTCAAAGACCTAGAAAGAAGAAATGTTTGCTACAGAGTTGATTACTCATTTTTTTCAAGGAATAAAACCTTTTTTCGGCTTCTCTAAAACTATTTTTATAAAAATATTTCAATAAAGACTTGATGTCCTACTCGCTGTTCTTGAGCAACGCCATCTTCGTGAATCGACAGAAAGCTCTTTTTTGAAGACTGAATAACGTGTAAATCTACAGTTAAAGATCCTCGAAGGGGTTCAAGCATACAGAAAAGAGTCAAATTCTCAAAGTTAGCTTATATTTCTGAACAGTGTCTCAATTATCGTCTCTTTGGGGGTTCTTGGCTACCAATTTTCGTTCCTGAAAAGAAAAATGACTTAACATTTATCCTTCAAAAGACATATTCCATAAAAAAAAAAATTACGATGCGACTATTTAGCGACGACAAGTGGTGACCGAAAAACCGACGTTTCAAACACAAAAAGCACCGTATCCCAAAAATTTCTACAGTAACTCAAGTTGGAATGTACTGTAAAAGTTTCTAAAATTGGATTACCTATCGATTGATATATCACTTGCCTTGTAAAAACTCTTCAATACTCAGATACGCAGGTCCCCACCTGACTACCGTAACCCGGCTACAGTAGGAGGAAATGGCTTTAAAAAATGTGTCCGCCTTTCTGATGATGGGTCATCACAGAAATTTCATCAGAATCAAAAAATAAAACTTTTTTTTGTACCCGTTGCTTTTGAGACTTTTTGAAAATTCCATTCCAATCCAAAAAACAAGAAGCTCGTTCCAATCGACAACAAATATCAAATATCGAAAAAAACGCCCCAGAATCAAAACAAATAAATCATCGCCCTGGTCTACTAAACTTCTCCTCTTTGATAAGTAGCCGCGTGATTTCTCGCCAAAAAACTCGTTTTTTTTTCTCGCCTTCGAAAAAAAAAGAGTACGATTACCGTGTAGGCGACGGTAAAGACCTCGAATCCTTCGCTGACGGCTTTTTTGGCCATTTGAGACGGGTCCGGGCCTTTGTTGCTCCAGCCGTCCGTGAAGACGACCATAACCTGGAAAAAAGGGTTGAGACCTTCGGGACTTTAAAATTTGAGGACCTTGGTGGCGATTCCAGGTCTGGCGCCTTCTTCCTCACTGGCCATGGTGGTACCAAGTCGGATTCCTTCTCCTGAAAAAAACCATTGGGAGCCAAATTAGTAATCATTTCTAGGAAAAAAGCTTCAAAAATCAGCAGAGTTCTGAGATCTTGAGAGCTTCCTCAAGGCTTAAATTCATTTTCGAAACCTGTCGGAACACTCTTTGATGTACAAAATGAATATTTTAGAAGTCTTCCTTCTAAATTTTGAGAAGGAAAAACCCTTCAAGGAGCATTTCAGAGCCGAAAGAACTATCCAAAGTAGGCTTAAAAAGCCGTTCCAAGACCTCATTCCCAAAAAACTTGAACATAACGCAAATCGGGCGCGCTTCGGGCGTTTCTGAGCAATTCAAGTAGTCACCTGAGAGTGCTGACGCCGCTAAAGGGATCACTGGAGAGAATCAAATACGTCTGGGGCGCTTCCGAGGCACAAGAACTAACCAGGGAAGGATTTCAGGTCGCAGTGGGACCTCTCAATGAGAATAAACTTTTTAGATGCAGTTTTTCACGCTGATTCCAATTCTGGCCTCAAATACTGCCGACGAAGTTTGTGAAAAAAGTTATGGACCCTCAAAAGTCGAAAATCTCAACTTATCCGATTGAGATCAAGTTCGGCGAGGCTTTGAAGGAGAATATCTGAGCTCCAAAATTTTTCTGAGGCTAATTTGATGGTTTTCCATGGAAAGAGGGACAAGGTCTATATACCCTACCTAAATGAGATCGGTCGGAGACTGAAATTTTTTACTTTTGAGGGTCTGTAACTATTTTCACAGATTTCCTCGGCCTTTTTCGAGACTAGATTTGAAATCAGCGTGTAAAACTACATCTAGTAAACTTGGTCACACTGCGACCGGAGAATATTCCCTGGTAAGACGCAGGTTGACCATTTCATAGTCTTGATAGTTGAACCGATCTCAGAAAATTCCCAATAGCTCACTTGTCAGTTTCTTGTGACTTTCGCCTCAAAAATAGCGCCAAGTTTCGCAGTTCTCAAAGATCATCAAGCCTTAACCTATCGATAAGAGACCAAGAAACGCGTTAACTATGCGGCGAGTGACGTCAGGTCAGCGAGTTCGACTGTAACAATGGGACAAGGTCAAACCGATGGCGGTGGTGCCGCCCTTGGACTCCAGACCGTTGATGGCTCTCAAGACTTCCTCCTGGGTTTTGAACTTCTTCAGGTTGAACCGAACTCGAGTTCGGCCCACCGTAGCGAATGTCACGACGGCTACCTGGAAAGAAATATATTCTGTCTATCTTTCTTCAGCTAGGCGACCCAAAAGACCTCAGAATCTTTAGAATATTGAGTTAAAGCAGTAAAAAAGTACTCCTATTTCATGAAATGACTTCGCATATTATACCTCCTTGGAAAGGTCTGTAAAAAGCCAGAAAACGCTACCGGAAGGTTCTACCGATCTGGTAAGTTAAAAATTATTTTTTTCAACACCAGCCTGCATTTTAAGTCATGTTATCATACCTAAGAAATCTCTGGATATCTGGCGATCTATAAAATTTTAAAAACTGCAAAAGATCCTGAAAATACTTCAAAAAGGTCTGGAAGGACTACAAGAAGACTAAGAAAGACCTAAGAAGCCTGAAAAGTTTTTTAAAGCACCTAGAAGCAGTTAAAGTTCAATTACCATGCATCAAAAGGCTCTGAAAGTCCTGCCACTACCTAAAATTTTTAAAAAAATTCCACAAGATTCTAAAAAAATACTTTAAAAAGGAACTTGAAATACTACAGGAAGACTTAGAAAGATTTGAAAAGCCTGAAAAGATTTTTCTAGGCACCTAGAAGCAGTTCAAGTCCAGTTACCTTGCTTAAGAAGGCTCTGAAAGTCCAGACACTACCAAAAATTTTAAAAATTCCAAGAGATTCTAAAGACTTCAAAAGGGTCTGGAAGGACTACAAGCAGACTTCCAAAGATATGAGATATCTGAAAAGCTTTTTCTAAGCATCTAGAAGGGATTCATGCCCTTAAAACGTATGAAGGTACAGAAATCTTCTGAAAATTCTTAAAGTTTCTAACAAGGTTTCAAAAAGGTCTGAAAAGCCTACAATAAAACTTTGAAAGTCAGAAAACAAGAAAGAAAAAATCTGAGAAGTCTGAAAATATTATCTGAGAACCTAGAACTTTTCCAAGCCCAGAACTTGGCTCCTACCTGTGTGTAATGAGGACCAATCTTCAAGGAAGACACGAGGCGCTTGCTGAGGTCCTTGTAAAATCCAGATATTGGGTCAGTAGTCGTAGAGAAGTCGATAACGAGAACAAGGTCCAATTCGCAACCTCAAGTAAGAGCTTTTTGAATTTTCTTTTCTTGAAATGTTAGAAACCCGTGATTGGGTTGGTAGTCGTGGTAGTCGTGGTTGTGGTGGTAGTAGTGGTGGTGGTTCTGCACTTGTCCTGAGCCTCTCGGAGCAATCTTTTCGTGATATCCGTCGCGAGTTCTCTGCCTCGATGCATAACGATGTGGTTGATGTTGCCGGTGATGTCGATCAGTTCACGCCTGAAGTTTTTTTTTCCACGGTAAAACTGTTCGAAATTCCTTCTGACGCCGTTTTCAGAAAGCCGCCACCGAACCTCCTGCTCATCAAGATTTCGATTTTAGGAACAATTCACCCCGGTATTTTGAGCTCAAGACTTTCAGAATCTTTCTTACATCGAGAAGTTTTCAGGCCGAATTTTTGAAAAGTCTGAGATTTAAAGTTTCATGACCTTCCTGGAGAGTGGGGCGGCTTCAAAGGCAAAGTCGAAATGGATTGAAAAAAGCTCTATAGAAATGCCCCTTTAGAGGTGGCGTTTCTTTTTTTCACCATTTCTTGAGCCTTTCAAATCCTATAAAAATGGAAGGCTCGATAAAGGGACTCTTTTTGCTGCCTTTTTCGAGCCTCTCTCTTACAGCCGTCATTGTCCACCATTATGACTTTGCCCGAAATCTCAGATTTTATAACCTCTTAAAAGCTGTGAGACTTGCGATTTTCAAGACTAAAAAAAAGTCTTTTGAACGGAATTTGATGGCTATCTTCAACTCTGTGGTGCCATTCATTGTGAAAGAGGTGTCAATGGGGGTTATGACTTTCTGGATCTCACCATACAAGAAATAACCTTCCTAGTGAGAGTATCAGCGGTTCAAACTAGTGCTCCTATCTTCTTCTCTACACTTTCATCTGCCCCATTCCCCGCTCACTAACGTGTCAACCTTCTCGGACTCTCCAGCTATTTCCCGGGAAACGAGGGCTCAAAGACTAAGAGCAGCCCTTCTTTAACGGATTCGAAGGCTATCTTGAGCTTTGAGGTGTCTTTTATTGTGAAATCAGGTGCTAATGGGGGTTGAGACTTTTTGATTCACCATTTCCAGTTTTCAAGGAAACCCTCACCATACGTGAAATAACCTTCCTAGTTAAAATCTGCGGTTCAAATAAGTCCTACTATCCTCTTCTCTACATTTTTATCTGACCATTCCCCGCTCACTCACGTGTCCACCTTCTCGGGCTCTCCAGTGGCGGCGGCAAAGACCCAAGTGTTGTACAGCTGCTGCATCTGTTGTCCGGGGCCCTTCGGATCGTCGGCAGATCTGCAATCAGACCAAGAACTGGTTCCCGCTTCATTTGGTTCAAATTTATGGTGTCTGACCGACAGTTGTTTGTGTGACGAGGGAAGCATTGTCTTCCCCCCTGTGTTCACAATAAATAATCACTCGCCTGCCATCGGTGACGACGAGGACGAGGGTCGGGATCGTCTGATTCCTCTGGCTCAGCAGCTCCAGTCCGACTTCCAGAGCCTGGATTTCGGGTCGTTTTTGAGCTGGAGCAGCATTTCCAAACCTTTTTAGTGTTGGTAGTGCCTCCGATAGCTCGAAGATTATTGGTGACTCTGACGAATTCCTCGTTGGTCTTGGCAAAGTTCCAATTGAAGACTTCTCGTCGGTAGCTCAGGCCGGAGTAGACGATCATCGCCATCTGATCTCAGAGATTTTTATTTTTGCAAGAAATTAGAAACTATATGGTCGCATTTGGAATGCGAAGCGGTTTCTCCAGGCCTGAAACCGAAAAAGACGCGCCAGACCTGAAACGACTTGCCCCCTAGCAAAGTTATAGTAAAGCATCAGAACCAAGCGCCACGTAACCGCAACGCTTCAAGCCATTTCAAGTGCGACCAAGACGAAAATTTCCCCTTTTTGTAGAAATATTTACCCTATGCTTCGACGGTCCGATTTGCAGTTCTTCAGAGACATCTGTGACGAACTTTCGACTTTTGTTGAAGCCGCCTTTGACGGAATCCGATCTGAAACTTCATGAATGCAACAAGAAATCGATAAAGAAAAATATCGATTTTGTTCTCCCGTATAAAAACTGTCGGATCTAATAATATTCAACCAAACTTCAAATCGGAAAATTTATGATGAAAACTAGGAAACCTCCGTGAATGAAAAAAAGCTAGTCCCTGAAACATTTAGCTTTCTGAATTTACTGCTTGACCTCTTTTTTTCAGCGTCCAGTTGCCTAAATTTCTAACCATATATGGGGAGACAATTTTCAGAGGCCAATAATATCTTTTCCTTAAATTACAAAAAAACCTCTCCAAGGTTAAAAAAATAATATAATTTTTTTAAATACTACCTTCGCGATGTTAAAACATTTTTATACACCCCCGAAATATTCCACAGAACGCTTTTTTGGTCAAAACTCCCTCGTATCTTTCTGAAACCTTCTGGAGTTGTCATGACTGTTATTTGTAATCCTCTGGGAGAATTTCAGAGAAAAAAATAGCTTGTTAGAGTTTCAAAAATGTAGAGCTACATACGAGTAACTTATATGAAAAAAAATTTTCGTATATATTCTTGTGCTAGGGCTTTTTTTTGAATTAGAAAACCAGAAACCGTTGAACAATTTCTACTTTTTCTTGGCAAGAGCCCACCTTGGTAACTCAATTTTTCCAGGAGGAGGGACACGAAAATTGACCTGAGCACTATGTTAAAATGATTTCTGAGATCAGGGAGATAGGATTGGCTACAAAAAATATTAACGTCTGGGAGATGATAATGACTTTAACTCCAGAAACTTTAAAGGAAAGGTGATAGCCTTAAAATATGGTCCGGCTGGCTTGGAAAGCCGAACGGGCGGTTCGATTTCCGCGGCAACGACGACAACCTATGCGCCTTCCATAAAAGCCCCCTTATTAATTTTTCTTTTTTATTTGGCCAATTTGAAGAAAACCTGAAAACCAATGAAATGAATGTTAACAAAAAGTGACTTCAATCGAAACATAAATAATTCATCAAATGAGATTCTTATTAAAGGCGCATGTAATGCCGCCATGATCTACCACCGCCGCGCAAATTGAACCTCCAAAGCCAGCCGTGAACGGGCTTTATGGGCGAGATCTACGGAGCTCTAAGTCTTCAGTAGAGTACCTTTTTCTCAACATTTTGCGTTCAACACCTACTCCTGGACTAACTGATTTCTGTACTTGTAACATGGACCCAACCTGTCGAGGATGATGAGGACGTTGAGCTCGCAGGCGACGGGGAAAAGCGGCGTCGTCTGGGCCTGGAGGACGACCAGGAGCGCCGCGAGGGCGGTCACCTGCAACAGCAGCATTCTTCGGGGGTAACTGCTGTCGTCGAGAACGCCGGGGGGTCAACTTTTTCGTCTTTTCCTTTTTTCTAGTCCCTCCCACCTTGTTCTGTTGGAATTGTTCGCTCATTAGTTATTTTTCTGGTCAAAACATTGTAACAGCTCATCAGCCGCCGAGTCGTCGTCGAATTTCTTATTGTTTACGAGTCATTCGTCTACCAGTTTCGCGTTGAGGTTCGGCTTCTGCCTCCCATCATCGACGCGCCCTTTTTGTCTGTTATTCGAGAATTCGCGTTCGCCTTTGGTCTACTTTCAGAATGGGGAACTGAAAACTAAAGAACAGTTTACCTACTTGGAAATTGTTGAGTGGTACCTTTCGGAGTGACTCTTAAGACACTTGGAAAAATTTCCGGGAACAAAAACCTAAGAAAACTCTTCAAAATTGTACAACTTTCATATAGATCCATATCTTTATTTCTACAGGAACCTCTACAACTAACAAGGGAGCGTTTTTCACCCCCCCAAAAAAAGCTTCAATGAATGCAAAATACGCAACTTATGAAAAAAAGGGGTTATTTCAAGCTTTTTGAAGCGGCTTCACTCGAAAAACTAGATCTATTCTCTTTTTCTGAAATCAGGAGGTTCTGAAGTACACTTCAGCGAAGTTTCATCAAAAATGGGGGTAAAAAAATTTTTCCTTGTAAAAAGGAGCTTTTTAGTGTCAAGAATGGAAATTTCTCAAAATCTGCTCAAAAACTCTCTGAGTACTCCTTCTTTCTTTTTTTTTCTTCATTCTTCATTGCTCTCATTTCGAGGCTTCCACGGTATCCGGGCTCCAGATACAAAATAGGTCGTATTCTGAGCTCGCCAAGGCGCAACTGGTAGGGTTACGCGAAGAAGAACGAGGAGGTTCGTAAGAGCATGCATTCAACTTGATCAACTCGCCCTTTGGACTTCCAAAAGCGGTTATTCGTTAGAGTTTTTCAAATGTTCTTGTTCACCACCTAGTCGATTACACCAATGACTAAAAATATTTATATAATTGATTGAAGTTCTAGATGAAGTTCTTCCGGACACCTGCGCATAACTTCTTTTTTAGAAAAATGAACTTTCAAAACTTCAAAAAGTCCTTTGGAGACGTGCTTCGGTGTGAAACTCAAACTCCGGAACTTCACAAATTCTTTTTTTAAAAAAAATTTGCATCCAGACTTTCATAAAGAGATTATAGAAAGCTCTAGAGATTCCCAAATTTGAAAACAAAAAAGAACCTCTTTGTCAGTTAATAAGATGTTTTTGTATAGACAAGATATCTCAGTGAGAAGCTTCAATAATTTAAAAAAAAATATCTGAAAATGGGTCCAGCTTTTTCTGACTACGATAATTTCGAATTCAAGAACGATAGGCCTAGACCAAAATTTGATAGACTTCAATATAAACCGTGTAAAAACAAACTTGATCTGTGAGTAATCGGAAAAAAGGTTAAAATCCCAATTTACCCGTTGAAAAACTAGCAAACAAAGCATTTGGCAGCACAGAAGATAAAAGCCTAACTAGATTTGAGTCTGATCATCTTGGATTACCTTTATAGAGCAATTCTTCAAGTTCAAGTAACCCAAAAATGATGGAGATAGCTCAAAAACAAACATCAGAAAGAGCTAAACTCTCAGATCATCTACTGAAGGATACTGTAGTTTCAGAAGTACTGTAGAAGACTCACGGCACAGAGGAGGTGTAGACGACCAGATAGCATCGAAGTCGAGTGGCTAACTGACTTTTCGAGGTGTCAGGTGCCCCCAAACCGTTTCTTTTCTTTTTCCGCTTTCTGAGGCATTTGCCAGCCGATGCGTTTTGACAACCTATTGTTAACCATGTGAAGCGCCGCCCGTCTCGTGAAGGTCAACTGATTCAGATTCCAACTTAAATATACTGATTTGATTGTCAAAGTGACCTTCGTTTTGAAAACGGTTTTTTTTAGAGATGAACTCTGAAAAATGGGATGATTTTTTTAAAATCTGCCTTTTGATATTTTTCAACCTATCATCTTCGCTAAGGGGTTTCGAAGAAAAAAAAAAGAAATTTTGAAAATTTCAAGCTGGGAAATTATTTTTAGGATTGAAGCCTGAATTTTAGGCTATTTTTCCAAGAAAAAAATGATAAATTTCTCCTTTTTCTACCTATCAATTTTTCTCTTTGAGATTAAAATCAACTATTTTTCTGAACAAAAAAACCAGAAAGTAAAAAAATTCGACCTTTTGAAGTCGGAAAACGATTTTTCTTCAAAAACTCTGGAAAAATACAGTCTTCAGGCCTAAACTTCAAGTTCAAAACGTTCAAAAAACCTTCCCAACGCATAAAAAACTCAGAACACAACTTCAAAGTACGTAAAAACTTTCAAGTATTTCCCAAACGAAAATTTCACGTCAATATCATCTTCACGTTCAGAAATCATAGAAAAAACATCTTCATTTTCTGTCAAGGCACAAATCAAAAAAGAATAACACGCTACAGAGGTCTAAAAATACTCGCGCGGCCCTAATTTGAACAGAAGGGCCGAAAAAATAACAAACAATCCTCACGGCAAGGAAAATTTTGGGAAAGTAGGAGTAGAAAAGGTGAAAGACATTTGAGTATCCGGAAAAAGAAAAATTGGCTATTTTGGCAGAATGAGCTTTGGAGGTATGAGATCAACGACCCGGAATGCATAGAAAGTCAAAGTTTCAGTTTTAAATGCAGAAAATTTTAAAATTACTAGGAAACCGCGTCTTAAAGAATTCTGACTTGTCTGCGCACTCTCTTCGCTCATCGGTGAGATAAAAAGAAAACTTGTGATCAGATATGAAAGAACGAGATAACGCAGAGAAATCAGACTATTTTGGGTAGCTGGGAAAATTTTTAGTGACCACTTAAGTAACTAAAATTTAATGGGCTCTTTAGGAGTCCAGGTAATACTATTAGAGCACAAAAAACAACTATAGTGGCTTCTGAATAGGTGGTTTTAGTGGCCACTTTAGTGTCCTCTTCAAGTAGTCCTTGGGGAAGCTCTCAAGTGGCCGCTAAAATATTTCAAAGAATGCTAAATTTTTATCTGGCAATGAAAGCACGTGGAGAATGGCTCAAAGCGTCGCGGTTGCAATTTTTTCAGCTTGAACAGAATTCTTCTATGCCACAAGATGCCACAGGGCGTAGGTAGTTTTCAGTCGGACGTGTCAAAAAATGACCGCAACGCTTAGAGCCATACCAGAGGACTTCGTGAAAGACGGAACTCGAGGAAATCTTGAGGGAACAGGTAGAAGCTGTAATGACAAGGAAGTTTCACCGGAAAGATTCTACTGAAAGTCAAATTTTCTCAAACATAATGGGTTCTACTGGGTAAGGATCCCATGGGGGGCGGGAGCGACGGTTCGTGCCAGGATTCGCCCCGTTTCATCGACGTCTTGAGGCCCTCGTCGTTCTAAACTTGCTCTTTTTTCAGAAAAGAGCTGAAAAAGTTCTCTTCTTACAATGTCCCAATCACTTCTTTCTGAACCTTCTAACTTCTCCTCGGCCATCGGCTTGCCGCTACGCCTCAGGAACGTCATCCACAACGCTTCGGTCACCTAAATTTTCATAAATCCACCATTTTCGATCTTCAAAACTGCAGTCGGGTAAAAAAAAGATTGTCAGGTTGTTTAAAGACGCAAAAGTCTCATTTATCAGTAATCCCTATAGGGGAAACTTAGGGGCTCTTGGAGTTTCCCTGACCCCTCTAAGGACCCCTTTACCAACACCTATAAGGGCAACTAAAGCTTGCAAAATTGGTCCCTATAGGGGTTTTAGTTAGTGGGCCCTATAGAAGACATGCTGGTCGATAATTTTTATGAACTCTATGCGAAGAAGCATCTTCATGTGAAAAACTAAATAATTAAGCGTTTTTGAATGAATTTGAAAGACCCCTGTAGGGTCAACTTGAGCTTAAGGGGCTAAGGGGTCCGACCCTAAACCCCTATAGAAACCACCTTAATTTTACCCCTATAGGGACCACTTTTTCGGACCTCTATAGGGGCTGTTTTTCCTGCGATCCTTACAGGGTCCACTTGAGCTTGAGGAGTCTGAAGGGTCAGAGCCTAAACCCCTACAGGGACCACCTTAATTTTACCACTAAAGGATCCACTTTTTTGGCCCCTATAGGGGCTGTTTCTTCCCTTTATCTCTACAGGGTCCACTTGAGCTTAAGGAAGCCGTTGGTTATTAAAGGTAAGGCGAAAATTTTGAAAGCCTCAGTAAAATATTCTACAAACATCCTATTCATTCGATTCTGAAAAATCCTTTTTTCCGTACAAATCTTACAAGTTTATTACAGAATCCCTACAAACCTTGGCACAAGTCAGATTCCCAGCATGAGAGGCGATCATTTGCAACAGGAAGACGCCGTCCGCACGCAGAAACCGATGAGTGAACCTTCCTATGAAAGTTTCATGAGTTTATTCTGAGATTTCAGGGATATCTCGAGTTACCAATCTGATCGCTCTGCATGTCAAGGTGTTTTGCGACGAAATTCTCCCGACAGGTACACGAGGCCAATGAAACCAGCCAGAAAAGCAAGTTGAGGGCCGTTATTGCCGCGAGGAACTGTAGAAATTGAAATATTCATGCATTTCTAACAAAAAGCCCTTTGAGACCTTAAAAGACCCTTTAAAATCCTAAAAAGTCCACATTTTCGATCTTCTACTCAACTCAACCAGCATAACTTTGAACCGTGATAAAAAAAATGATTTATTCAGCTTTCTCAGAGCTTCAATCTCTACTAGCAAGAGTGTTTTCAAAACAAGGTTATCTAAGGTAAAAAGAACCTGATTGGCTTGAAAAAGTGATATTTTTCTTTCAAAAACAGCCATTCTCTACCTCTTTTTTGAAGTCCAAAAAATAACTTTTGAACAATTTTTCGTTCACTCAAACACTATCACTACAGAAATTTAACATAAAATTATCAATGAAACTTATAAATATTTTAAAACTTCAGAAAAAAAAAAAGCCTCAACTGGAATCAAAACTAGTCAAATATTGAACAAAAAGCCCTAACTGGAACTAAAAATAGGAATATTTTTTCAAAGAAAACTCATTGGAATACTCAAAGAAGAAAACTCGCCGTGAGCCAAATCCAGAGAAGGATGAAAATCTTCTCGGTCAACATGTTGATGACGAGGACACATTGGACCGTGTGCCGATGGACGTTTCCCAGGACGCGAATTTCGAAATCGCAGAGCGTCACTCGCGGAAATTTCCCCGAGTCGCGCCATTCTCGGCCCTGAAACTATTTTTTCAGGTCCGAATTTGAAAATCTCCCTTTTTTCTACATCTGCAAGGAGTGAAACTTAAGCTGGTTTGAGGCGAAAAATTCATGAATATTAGCTAATTTTCTGACAGTTCACAAAGAAATAGCTAACTAATTGACCTAAAAGTTGATTTTTCTCATGTCTTACATACATGGGATGAGTATGACTGGCGACAGCAAAGAAATTTTTACGTTTTTTTGCCAACCCCCTCCGTCTCCCGTTTTTTTCCTCTTTTTCAGGTCCCAACGAGACTATCCCATGTATGACGTCTTCTAGCAAAAATTTCCTACTTTTTTTCGGTTTCCAATGGGTAGAAAATTCTTCTCCAGACCCAAAACGGCTATCGTAACTTTTTTTACTCATATTTTTTTCTTTCCGCTTTCATTTCGAGATTGGCTACACGAATTCATGAATTATTCGGGTGGCTATGCTTTTTAAATGATTATAAATTAATAATTCTACACGTTTTTTGACGTTTTTACCATGAAAAGATCGTAGAGGACGTGAGCTCCGAATAATGGGTAGTCTGAGGTTTGGAGGAAGGAGTTGAGGAGCACGAACTGGAGCACGACATTGCACAGGTGTAGCAGTTTGATGAACAGGTAGACAGAGGAAACGTAGGCGCCGTAGAACTTGCCTAGAACTTCTTTTTTGCCGGGTAGGTTAGAAAAAAACCCTCAAGGTTTCCAAAAATAATCTGAAAGCTTGGAAAAGTTTTTTGATAATATTGGGTCCTTTTCCAGCCTTCATTGAGCTTTCAAAAATCTAGGAAAAACTGAAATTCTTGATATAAAAGGACCTTTTTTCGACACTTCCGCTTTTTCCCTATGGCCCAGCGATACGAAAATATACACGTTTAACCGATTATCTTTTCTGGCTTTTTTGACTTTTCTAATGGCGTAAATAAATCAAGGAAGCTTTTAAGACGGATGAGACTAGGTGCGAAAGAGAAACATTGCGACGACCAGCTGTTCTCTTCGGCCCGGGAAATTATAATAAACAATTCCTGAGGGCATTCATTCGTCAATTGAGGAAGTATTGTTGGATATTTTCAATGAGAGACTGGAAAAATTGAGGTTCGAAATAAACAAGAGAACAAGAGAACAATAGATCATCTATAGTCAAGAGAGGGCAAAGAAGTCTGATTCCTCTTTCTCTAGCGTCTCTTCAACACCGTCACTCTCTCACTTCCGCTTATTTTTGACTGACATGGTCTTTAGAGCCTCGTTTGTTTCGAAATCATGAAAGGACCATAATTTTCGAGCCTAGCTTGATCCAAAATCTCTTCAGAGTAACATAATGAAAACAAAAAACAGGATAAAGAGAGTAATCAAAAGAAGAAACCACGCATCTTTATTGTACTAGTTTTCAACTCACCAACACGAATAATGGCAAAAATGTAGACGTTATTCCTTCGGGCGCCGTGTTCCCTTTGATACATCAAAGCGTCGTCGATGTGTCGCGCCAGAACTTCGACGGTTTTGTCGCGGACCAAGGGGTCCACATTTTGATCGCTCACCGCCAATTGCAGCACTAATCCGGCGTTGAGACCTGCAAAAGTTGAATTATAAGGTCATTCTAGAAGAGCATTCACTGCCAAAGTCGGAAGTGCGGAAAATAGGGGCAAAATGGCCGCTGAAAGGGTTCCGTTTTTCGGTCTTTATTGAGCCTTTCTTTCTTGGTGAGCTAAAAAGCCGCAAAAAGGATGCTGAAAGTCTCGGACATTATTGATCCCCGATTTTATTACTGTAGCCCATTTTGGTTCATACACAGTCATTGGTAGAATTATTCTCAATTTTTTGATGGAAACTTTTGCATCTATATTTGAAATTCGCTGAAATTACTTTGAACACGGCATAAACTTCGAAACAAGGATAAATGAGTATTCTAAAAAAAAATCCAAGAATTCGAAAATTTCCGCCTCTTTGTGTTCGCCTACAAAAAGAGTCAGTGACAGGGCATTCTTAAAAAAATCAGTAGCTTTATTCTCAGAGAAAATAAAATTTGGACCTTTTTTTCCTGAAATACCCGAACTTCATTAATGGTCTACTAACATAAATTTCCAATTATTCGACATCAAAGGTTGTTCTTAAGAGCTTTTTTCTTCTATAAGGTGGTGGATTATCATTATTTTGACAATATCATCGAAATAACAAGATAGATTACCGCTCTGGCCGGCCAGCATCCTCCAGACCGACGAAGGAATATGGAACATCAAAGCGGCGACGGCTAAAACGAACGGAACCCATTGATAATAGCCCAACTGACGGCGTTCCCGGTCGTCTAACCGATGGGGAATCAGATCCTGCAAAAGTCGGACATTTCGATTTTCCTGACAAGGACAGAAACGGTGAGCATGAAGTGACTTGGTAATTGGCGATCGTGTTTTTCAAAAAAAAAAAAAAGGCTCCGGTTTCCTAACTGTCGTGTATACTCTAATCAACGCTATCTTGGGCAGGCTTGCCCGGGCCAGCCCTGAAAAAGCCTGATTTTGGGACAAAAATGTGTCTGATTCTCTTTTTTCCGCACATTCTTTCGCGTCAAATTCCGTATTTTTTAGCAAGTCGTGATTAAAATTTAGGTTTTCGATTCATTAAAGACCTCTTAATGTTTCAAAATTCTCAGCAATTTGTCTCTTTGAGAACCTAGGCCAAAGTTAGGAAATGAAGAGCTACAAACGTCTGAACCTCTTCTCTTGCACACTGTTTCGCTTATCGTGTCAAAATCCTTATTTTAAACACAAATGGATAAAAGATAGGTTTTTGACATACTAAAGACGTCAAAGTCAAGCCCTCGACTACGTTTCTTGATGTTTGACAAGCGTCCGCGCGAAAGTAGCTTTTTGTCGGGCGCGCTGGAGAAAACCGCTTCGCGACCGCGTTGAGGTTCAGACGAGCTCAGAATAATATCATCTTTAAAAGTTCTTCATTAAAACTGGTTACTTAGCAACTCGGGATCTTACTATTCGCGGTGATCCAAAAACAATCTCTCGAGTGCAAGCCTCGGTGTGGTCTCTCTTTTATTTTTGACACAAATCTGCACCTGCCGGGCTTTCTCGTCATTTCTAACAACTGCTCTTTGCTGAGCTGCCAATTTTTTTTCCGTTTATTGTTTCAACTTGGAACCAAAGGATGCACCTGGAAAGGAACCCAATAGGTATTTTGGACCCAACAGTAGTTCTCCGTGTACTGCTCCATCGCTCTCGTGAACTGAGCCGGCACGAAACATTCTATTGGATGACCAACTGAAATATTTTCTTTTAGAAAAAAAGTACAAAATAAAAAGAAAAGACTTCCTAAAGGTTCATTTTGAGGAAAATTTTGCCAGATTAGATTTTGCAGTCGTTATGGGTAAGAGAAAAAAACAAAAAGGATCCGTTTTTTTAGGAATTATATTTATATTTTTTTTGAAAGCTTTTACTGACGTTTTTTTATGAACAAAAAAACGGAAAAATTATCGTAATTCGAAACAAAAAAAAGGGTTTTTGAAGCGAGCTACCTTGTGAAAAATACGCTGTGAGGCTTTCAAAACTCCAGAAATATACTTTAATAGGATTTACTTTCATAAATAAATTTTACTCCCCTGTTCACTATAATGATTTTTTTGTCATTAGACCCATCTAACTTTCCTCAAAAATTGACATACTTCTATAATTTTTGAACAAATTAGCTCATTTTTTTGTTCACTGGAGCGAAACGGAGATGCTTCGTGTCATTAGAGCCATCTTATTAAGAATTGAGAGTAGCATTTCCTACTAACAAGATGAGCATACTCAAAACAGTAGCTTCCTTTATTCCTTTCCTAAAATGAAGGATTTTTAACTAGAACGAAAAGAAAACAACTCGTTTTTTTCTGCTCTTTTTTCATGAGGTCAGTGTGATTGAGATTTATTAGCGCGAGTTATTTGGCTGCGAGGGCGAATTGATTGTGATAGACAAGAGCATCGACTATTACACAAAATGTACATGCACACATTGCGTTTCGAAGCAAACGCGACGCCTTGACGGAACATGACTCCAATTTCGAAACGTAATATACCCACAACAAAAACAACAACACAGCTGATAATATTTGGTCGTTGGTAAAATAAAATGCAAAATACGCCTTGAGACCGGAATTCAAATTTTTAAAACTATCCGAACTCAATAAAATGGTTAAAGAAAGCAAAATTAACCAGAGGTTATGGAAAAAAAAAAATTAAAAGAAAAATTTTAATTTATAATCAAAGACAAAAAAATCGTGAAAGAAATACACGGTTTTCTGAAGTTACATGGCTCCAGATTAATCAACAAAAAAAACATAAATAAAGTGGAAAAAAATTGAAAAAAAACGATTTTTTTCAAAGAAAACTCATAAGGCGTCTTAATGACGCTCTTGAGGGGTCATTTAAGAGATAACAGAAGTGCCGTGGAGCGCACATGAACGAGATATTTAACAAATACCGAAAATTTTTCATTTTTTATTCAAATTTTTGTTATTTATTCATTATTTCTTTTTTTTGAATCTTTCTTTGTAACAAAATGTCTCCAAAAAAACAAAGAAAGGTCTATTTTTATTCAAAGTTTACTGTTTTGGAGCGTTTCATCAAGCTCAAATTTTGCCTTTAAGACATTTTTCGTTTTTTCTTCCGCCATTCATTACCCCATTTGCTGCTTCCATCATATAATGTGGAATTTTTCAGAGAAGATTTTCTTCCTTTTTTTTCTCTCTTTTCAATACAGACTTCTCCATTCGAGTAATACCTACCATACTGTTTTGCGGAAACCAAAACGGCGAACATGAGAACCATCGTCGAGGTGTAGAGGTAATGTAATCGGTCGACAAAGTCGTCGTCGACTCTAAAAAGAAAGAGAGTATTGTAGTCGGTTTTCATGGCGGTTCAATGTCTTTTGACCAGTTGTCACTTGGGCCGCGTAAAGCTTACATTTGTGCCTCGCAAAAGCGAAAAGGAGAGCAAAATAAATTCTCGAACCCAACAGCGTGCCCTCCTCGCGTTTTCGTGTATACATCGCATTTAGAAATTGCAAAAAGAAAATCCAGCCAAAATATCATGAGAAGATATCTCCTTCTCCTTTTTTCCGGGTCCCTTTTTCTACACATTAGAAATATTTTTCCTCGAAGAAGGGGATATAATTGAGGGTTTTTGAGATCAGGTATAAAAAGGAATAATCAAGTGTTGAAGTGTAGAGCTAACTTGAGAAAGTGACGTTGAAAAGTACATAGTAAATGGGAGGTTATTTGTAGTTAATTCCCAAAACAGCTTGTTGGGTTTTTGAGGGTACAAAAGTCAGGTGTGACTCAATTTATTGCAGCTGCTCTGATTAGATTCTTAAATGTTCCTTTGCAAACTTTTTTTTCGAAATAAATAAAAGCTTTTGATGTCGTTTTCATTGTGCCTTTAATGGAGAAAAAAGGCTCAGAAAGGGCTTGAAAACATTCTTTCAATGTATTTCAAAGATTTCCACAAAAATGTCATAGTATCAAATTTTCAACTACAAAGCAAAAAAAGGCTCCAAAAACTAGCTTTTCAAGTCTAGAATTCGAGAGCATTTCCTCAATTTTTGTTTAAGAATTTGAAGAAATTTATTTTCCGCAGAAAAGATATAAAAAATATGATTTTCAAAAATTTGACCATAAAATAATCACAAAAAAAGTACATAAAAGCTAATAAAAAGGTGAAGTACACTTCTATGATCTCATCTAAAGTGGAAGTTGTTTTGAACCCCACAATTATATGGTCAGCTTGCTGGGAAAAGCTCAAAAGTCGAAATTGGCTCAAATCTACACTGATGAAAGCTTCAAAATTTAAAAATCTGTGAGTTGGATATTTGAAGGTGCTGACATAACACGGAGAATTTCAAAAAATCTACTATGAATGGCTTTGGCTTGAGACAATAATGAACAAAGGTCTACACTGGATTAGAGAAGCAGTTTTTTTCGACGGAACTAGTGGCATAACTGCGAATAAGCTGGGGCCAAGGTTTCGAGAACGACCCGAGCTCCTACCTGGGCTCAAGGAATCGTAGTGCAGAGGCGAGAAAGTGCATGCCGATACGGTAGCCGCTCACCATGAAGTCGGTCTGAGAAGACGAAGTTCGGCGTCGCCAGGAATCTCAGCCTGACAGACACGCCAGACACTCTTCGCCTCGGGGCGGAGTCGCCGGGTGGTCGGAGACGCAGGGGGGCTCCTCCGTCGGCGCGCTGTTGCCTCTCCCCCCGAATCGCTGTTCCGTGGGTCTTCGAAGTTTTCGGGCAACTAACAAAGGTTGAATAGTTACTTTTAGGCCTTTTTCGATTATTTTTTTGTATTTTTTTAAATGACTCTATTGGGTTTTTTTGAATTTAATAGAACGTGATTTTTAAGGTTGCCAAGTTTTTCTTCGACTTTTTCAAGCTTAAACAGTAATTTTCTGACGTTTTTTTTTGAACTACAAACCTTTTTTTGGTGAAACACCTTACTTTCTGAATCCGGAAGACTTAAAAAGGCTCCAAAAACAGTTTTAAAAGAAGCCTATCCCTTTTCCACTTTCTGTATTTTCCGCTTTTCAGGTGTTTTTTTGTAGCTACTTGATTTTCCCACCTTTCTCCATTCATCGCAACTCTTTTCGAAAAAAAAATGTTCAAAAAAAACGTGAGAAAAAAGTTGTTTGCGCCTGTTTTTTTGATAACGTTTACCCTGTTAGTGTCATTTCTTATCTTTCAAATCGTTATTTGCAAATCGCTCAATTTTTGTTTTTTTTTTTCAAGTTTTGTTTCAATTCGTTCCACTTCTCAGGAATTGCGCAGCATTTTACGTCTTTTCTGCCTCTCTTCTATGCATTTTTGTTACTCTTTTAATTAAAAACGGCCTCCAGAAACCTTATTTGGGAGCCATTCACTTAGATGACGAAAAATGTTGCAAAAGGCGTAAAATGGTTCTGTTTTGATCGCCGGATGCCAGTTTCGCACCCTTTTATTAAGCAAAATCATCCTTAACGAAATTTTCGCCTCCCCCGTTTCACTCGAGCAGCTTCGTCCAGATAGAGTTTCACGCCCTTTTCACCCGTTTTCGTCCCGCGGGTCATCCCCGCAGCTGACTCAATCGCTTCTCAATCACCTGAACTTCATTAGCTCGGGTCCATTTCTAGGCGCCTCGATGCGATGACGACGCCCCAAACGCCGCCGGTGCCGACGACGTCGGACGAGGAGCTCGCCTGGGCCGAGAAGGGGACCTTGCTCAGACGCGTCAAACGGTACGTCATCTGAAATTTTAGATTCTGAGGATTCCTTCCTTTCTCTAGTGATAATTTTTCGATAAAGCAGACTTCGATTGAAATTCCAAAAGTCCATCAAAAATTTTCATCCTAGCTCAAAATTTTCACTAAAATTCAAGATTTGTGTCGAAATTTGAGCGAAAAAAGGACGAAAAACGTTATTTTTGTCGTGGTAAAGTCTGGTATTTGACTAGAAGAATATTTGCGCCCTTCGGGTCGGCCCGGCAGTTTTTGCTTGAGGCTAAGCTAAGGCCGGGGCGGGTCGGGCTTAAAATGGTGGGGCCAGCCCTGCTTCGAGCCAGACGGCATGTAAGCGCTCATGCTCTAGATGAGAGAGCATGTAGAATGCGGAGACGGCGTCGGTGATGTGGATTAAAGAGTATGGTAAACGTGGAGACATCAGCCAGTCTCCGAGTTCTCGGCGCTTTCTAACCTGATCCATGCACGCTTACATGCCCTGTCTTCCCTTAACAAGGTAGGTCATTTTTACTCTGCGGTTGGGAATTCCCTGAAAATCCGTCAGAACACTCCTTAGAGTACCAGAAAAGGATCCTGAAAGCCACAAGCTGCCCAACTTCCTATGAGGGCCAAAAGAAAAATAAAAAATCAGTCAAAAGGCCATTTTTGGGACTTCGACCCCTTCTTGAAAACTAGGAAGTTGTGCAGATTGAGACCTTCAAGACCCTAATTAGATACCTCAAAGGAGATTGTGATAAATTTTCAAAAAAATTCTCAACCGCAAAGTGAAACGACCTCCCTTGTAAGTGACAGTCAAAAGCGTCGTTTTGAGCCCAAAATCAGACAGAGAATGTTTTTTTTTTTCGAAAAATGGCAAGACCTACCTAGTTTTAATCACCTAATTTTCTTATTTCAGAGGGAAAATCCAAGATTTGAGTCTGTTTTCGATCAAAAATCGAAAATATCTCAACTACCTGTCGTCCTACTGCTTCAAATTCCTTCCCAATTCGCTAAAATCAGGTTTTTTTGTTTTGAATATTTGAAAAAAATTTTTACGCAATTTCTTTTTCTTCATTCATTCGTTTCGTGTTTTTTTTAAAATCATATTTGAGTTTCCAAATAACTTTTTTTTCTTGCTCAAAATCATCAATATTTCCGAAATAGTTGGCTTTAGTTTCCCTTTATTTTTCGTATTCATCTTCAGAACTGTAAATTTCCGTTGTTTTTCTCCAATTCTTGTCATTTTCTCAGGTCAATTTGCCGATTTTTTTCCCTTCACCCAAAAAACAAAAACAAGAATATTTTTGTTTACCATGTCCCGAATCAATTATCTGTGAGAAAACTTAATATTTTTTCTGTTAAGTTATTTTTTTATAAATTATTATACTAATTTATCATTTTATCTGTATTTCTCAGTTAATTTTATCCATCAAAACAACCACACTTTTTTTTCGATCCTCTTTGTTTGCTAGCCCACTCCGAAAGACACTTATTTACCCATTACATCGGGTTTGAAACCAGTTTTCGGCCACTTTTGACCTTCACTTTTTCTTCTTCTTTTTTTGCCTATTAATCTCCATTTTTGCAGTGAAACTTTCGGACCTTTTGGAAGTGAGAACCGGGTACAATACGGACAATTTGCACAAGGCTGCCAAAAAGTATGAATTCCAGGAAGCTGCGCCGGTGAGTTTGAAAAAATAGACTTCTTTCAAGTCATTCAGAAAACTATAAGAGAAAAAAAGTATTCAAAAAAACCCAAAAAAATATTTTTTTCAAAGATAAAAATCAGAACTTTCACTATAGACCTGTAAACTGCGAAAAAAACGGGTCTGACCATTTTTTTAAATCATTTTTTTCATTGGATAGGCAATAAATACAGTTAGGTAAGTGAAAAAAATAGACTTTTGAGAAAATATTTATTTGACAAAAAATCGGATCGGGTCCCATATGCAAATTCGGTAAGGGTGAAAAAAGGCTCCATAATAATTTTCCTTTTTTGCTGCCTTTTTGCACCATTTCATCGGCTGTTATTCACCATTTTTGCTGCCTCTCCCTTTTTCCACCATTTCTTAAGCCTTTAAAATCTCATATAATATCGAAGGCTCGAGAAAGGGACTCTTTTTGCTGCCTTTTTGCGGCCTTTCTGCGACCTTTTTGGATCCTCTCCTTTTTAGCAGCCATTATCCACCATTCCGACTTTGCCCGAGTCCAAAAATATGCTGCTGACAATTTTAAATTTTAGAAAAAAACGACATAATTTTTTTCCCAGGAGTCCCAATGCTTTTCTGTGATCTTCACCCACGCAAAGTTCCTCCACAAGGCGGTCGATTTTGTGGCCGATTCTAAAGAGGTTTCGGACTAGTTTTCTCACTTCTAATAATTCAAGTTCCTCAGGGTCGCGACAAATGGGTAACTGTCCTGAATCACCTCATTTCCGTGGCCAAACAACAGAGGGTCCATTTCAACGAGACGGCCTGGCTCATTGAGAAGTTCCATCAAACCAAGTCGAAAAAGAACGGTTTTTGGTGAAAAGAAGTGTTCTGTTCAATATTTGAGTTGTTCAAGGGTTTTTGACGTTCGACGAGGTGTGGAACTTGCTCAAGAAGATGAACTTGCAAATCAGCGAACGCTATGCGAGAGCCATTTTCAGGGTTGGTTCTGGATGATTTTTTGTCTTCTTAGTGGAAATATAGGTCTTTTAGATCTTTGAAAAGTTTTCTTCATGAAAATAGGTATTTTAGATCTTTTATTGAAAACTTTGAAAATTTGATTTTCCGTAGTGACACCTAATTTAGCAGAAGCTCACTTCACATTTGGTGAAATTGAAAAAAAGTTCCTTCATTTTTATTCGGTTTCTTTTTTTAAAGTTTTCATCGACTAGCTAACGAACAAATTACTTACAAGGAAGGAAATTTTGGTTTTTAGAAAATTGATAAAGTCCACATAAGAACATTTAAAGTTGTAGAAAAACATTTCCTAGATTTTCTTCGGCTATTTTTGAAAATGTTCATTAACTTTTTATCGGACTACAAAAAATTATTTTGGTTTGAATTTAGAAATTTCCCAGAATATTCAGAAGACTATTTTGAGTTTTAGATGAAGGTTCCCACTGCGCAAATTTTAATTACGGAAATGTGAATTTTCAAAATCGCCTTCAGAAGATCTGAACAGTCAAGCAATACATAGCAACTTTAAAAATTGCGAAAATCTCTAAAATAAAAATGTTTCTAAGTAGTAACTATGAGGAATTTTTACATGGACTGCCTTGAAGTTTCTGGCGGTTTTTTCAGAAAATATCCAAGCTTAAAATAAGACTAACTAACCTGTAAGGACTTTTAAGTCTTATTATGTAAAAATTTAACAGAAAGATTAAATAAACCGGGTAGGATTCTCAGAGGATAACTTTTATAATAATCCAGGAATCGGAGATCGAAAGTGAACGTGACGATATGTTGAACGAAAAAGAGTTCCTCAACTTTTTCGAAAGGCTGACCGACAGGCCAGACCTGCGCTTCGTCATGCAACAAGCGAGTTCCGACGGCGTCGAAACCCTCACTGTCCCAGAACTTCAGCAGTTCTTGACCGAAGAACAAGGAGTACGAAATAAATATCCCTTTTTCTTTGATGAAATACATTTTTATAGTTCACTGACGTGGATGCCGACAAGGCCGAAGCGATTCTCGACAATTTCGAACAAACTAAACAGGATAGTTCGATGCCGAAGCTCATTGGGGTTATTGGTGAGTTTTGGAATCGTGAAATGAGGGTAAAAACGTTCCCTAGTAAGAGATCTTACGATCTTACATATTTTCAACCTGTTTTTCAAGTCATGATTTTCTTTAAAACTTTAAAAAATTGTTGAAACTTGCTCAATTATTTTTTCAATACACTCAAAACTTATGCAAGAGATCACATTATACCAAAAAAATCATATACTTTTCATGTTGAAACTCGAAAAATTCTAGGTATGCGAAGGCTGATGCAATCTCGGTGGGGAGGCATAACCAAGCCCGGCATGGAAGGCGTTTTTATGGTAATCTTATGTGTATTTCTCAAAATTTTCTCTTGTTTTCAGGACATGGACCAGCCACTCTCCCACTATTTCTGCAATTCGTCCCACAATACGTATTTGACGGGGCTGCAGATGAAAGGCGAAGCCACGGTGGAGGGTTACATCGCCGCTTTGCGAAAAGGAGCACGTCTTCTCGAATGTTGGTTCGACAAAAAACAGAGAAAAAGCAAGCCGAAAAAAAAAGAAAGAGGGGAATTCCACAGTTAGAAGGGACTTCACAGTTTCTGAAATCGCATCAAAAATCGTTTTTATTCAATATTTCCTGCTCGGTAATGTTGATTTTGAACGTAAAAGTTTTAAAATTCACTTTTTGACCTTTGCCAAGCCTACCAGAGCCTATGAAGCTGTTTCTACGATGAATTATTCAACTGTAATCGTTGAAAATGCTGGCATCAAATATTTATTGAACATTTTCCTCTATGAGAACTTATCTAGAGCATTAGAGATATTAAACTAATTTAAAAGAAAAAAAAATGGATTTTTATTAAAGTGAGAACAAATGTTGTATGCTAGTAGTTTTTAGTAATTTTGTAAGAAAAGTGTAAATTTGATTTTTTTCAAAAATTGGGAGATTTTTTGAAAAAAAGGAAAATCACATGCATCCGTGAAAATATTGGACAAGGGGGATAAGAAGAAAATTCATTTTTTCAAGTCCTCCTTATTTTTCTCCAAAATTTTCAGTGGACCTGTTCGATGGTGAACACGGTGAGCCGGTTATCACCCATAAAAGGACGTTTATCGAATCGATCACCTTGCGAAACTCTTTGGAGGCCATCAAGGTGATCCTAAGCTCTATTCTTGAAGAAATTCAAAAAATCCAGAGATGCGCCTTTGAAACGAGCCCCTATCCGGTCATTCTAACCATTGAGAATCACGTCGGACTTGTTCAGCAGAAAGTGATGGCTGAGATTTTCCAGGAGGTTCCCACTAATCAATAATATTCCTTTCTCACAGTAATAACTTCCAGATCCTGGGAGACATGCTGTACAAAGCGCCACGCGATTCGGCCCGCCAGCCACTTCCTTCGCCAAATGAACTCAAGGGAAAATTCATTCTCAGGTCTTACAGAGAAATAACTTTTTCGAAGATTTTCCTAACTTCAGAGGCAAGAAAATCTTCACGTCTGATGAGGTGGAGGACAACGAGGAGGATGAATCTCCTACGGTACATCAAATTTTGAGGAAAAAGTAGAAGTTTTGAGAAAATTCAGAAGCCAACACATCACATCCCCTTGGACCCGTCTTTTTCGGAGCTGATTGGCCTGCCTTCCGTCAAATTGACAACGAATATCTTCCACGACATTAGCAAGCGTAATTCTTAGTTCATTCTAGAATATTCAGTGGAAGCAGTCGAATAATATTCAAATATTGAGCGCATTAGGCGCTCTATGGATAATTCAATGGCATAAAAATGAAACTGTTCAATTTCGAACATCTTAGCGATTCAGAAAGAAATTCGTGATTTTTTCAAACAGTAAGAAATAGAATAAAAGCTTCCTTTATGAATTAAGCTAAAAGCCAAGAGTTGAGAAAACACGTATAATTTCAAAAAAAAATTATCCATAGAGCAAAAAATATGCTTTTTTTTTCCTTCTCTTATATATTACAGCCTTATCCGTCTTCATTGTCATTTTCACTATGACGCAAAAAAAACCTAAACAATTAAAAATAAAATCCCAAAAAAAATAGATTCTCAGAATGATTCTTATACTGTAACCTAACTTTTTCCTGTCTTTATCCGATTTTCATGGCTCAATTTTTCAGCTTCAATTATTTCGTATCTCTCATTCTCACCCTTAAAAAAACTAAAAACTCTTATTTTTCTACAAAAAAGCTCGAAAATTACAGATCCTCACAATGATCCTTATTCTGTTAACTAGCTTTCCTTTTCCGATTTTTAAGCTAAATTTTTCAGCTTCATCTTTTCCCTATCTTTCATTTTCACCTCCAAGAAGACAAAAAATGATTTTGATTCTTATAAAAAGCTCTGAAGCTACAGATCCCCATAACCATTCTCATTCTATAACCTAGCTTTTTCTTGTCTTTTTCCGATTCGTATGGCTCTTTTAAGCTTTAGATCTTCTGTATCCCTCATTCTCACCCTTAAAAAGTCAAAAAACCCTGATTTTTCTACAAAAAAGTTCAAAAATGACAGATCCCGCCAACGGTTCTCCATCCCTATCGGAAAACAAAGTGGCGACAATGTTCGAAGCGGCAATTCCCATCTTTGCCTACACCTCTGAACGTTTTGTCAAAAGCTATCCCAAGGTAACTCAAAATCCTAAGTGTTTCCGAAATGGAGAATTTCAGGGTCTCCGCCAAGATTCTTCCAATATGCATCCAGTCTTATCTTGGATTTGTGGAATTCAAAGCGTCGCCATGAACTTCCAAACTGCTGGGGAGGTTTTAAATTCATTTCGTATGATTTTTCAAGGGATCATTTTTCTAGGAGTTGGACCTGAACACGGGCTTTTTCAGCATTAACGGCAACTGCGGTTACATCCTGAAACCGAAGATTCTTCTTGATGGAATCGGTAGGAAATTCTTTCAATATGCATCCATTCATCGGTAGGGAATAAACTTCAGTCTCTTCTTCTTCTTCCTTCGTACCGCTTGAGCGGCGTCGGCGGTCCAAGTTGAGACGAGGTCCTATCCTGATATCAGTGATAAAGACTGACTCTAAGGACCTAACCGTGTGACGACTAAGAAATTTGAAGCCGCGCTTTCCCCAAAATTTCTTGAACCCCTTGGTTGGGTCCCGGCGGGGATTGAACTTGAGAGCCTGTGGAGCACACAACCGGTTGCGCTACGGCGCGTCTGTAGAAAAAAGGAGCTAAAATACGACAGCAATTCCAGAAATCTCCACGGACAGTTTTCACTTGGAAATAGTACCATGAGTCTCCAAGATTATTCTCAAAAAACCTATTTTACTTCAAGACCCGCGAACCCTAATCCGACCTCGTCTGAGACTTGGTATCGGCATTTTCTCGGCTCAATACCTGCCGAAACCCGAGCCCGGCAAGGACATCATTGATCCCTACGTCACTGTCCAAATTTTTGGCGTCCCGCGGGATGAATACAAAGCCAAGACGAGGATCATCAAGGACAATGGTAGTTTCTGATTGGAATGAAGTGAAAAGAAGGAATTTCTACAGGATTCAACCCAGAGTGGCGCGACAACTTCTACATGAGCCTCTGCTGCCCTGAGCTTGCGATGTTGCGATTTTGTGTGAAGGTACTGGGGGAATTTCTAGTGGTCACTATAGTAGTCGAATTAGTGGCCACTTTGAAGTCTACTTCGTACTACTAGACCGCTAACAAACACTATAGTGGTCACTAAGACGCAGAATAGGGGCTTCTACAGAGGTGGTTTCAGTGGCCACTTTAAAGTTTTTTCCAGTGAAGTCTTCAGGAACCACTCAAGTGGTCACTAGAGTTTTTCCAGTTATAGAAAACTGTTTCTGTTCTTGTTGGACCACACTTCTTTGAAATCTCAAAAGACGAATTCGCGTCGAACTTCTCAATTTTTTTCCTCTAGGACTTCGATTCAACGTCTTCAAACGATTTCGTCGGCGAGTTCTCCATCCCAGTTACGGCCTTGCGACCAGGTGATTCAAATTCAAAAGACTTTCCAAAACTCTGAAAAATTCCCAGGTTACTCCCAAATTCGACTCAACACCGGCCATCTCCATACCGTCGACCCTTCGGCTTCACTTTTCGTCCGGATTGCCTTGGAAGAGCTCTGAAGAGCAATTTTTGTGTTTTTTTTGTGTGTTGTCTTATATATTCCAAATTTTCAAGCATACTATGTATATTCATCGCATTTTTCCCCAATCACTTACCGACCATTGCCGATTTTTATAGTATTATTTTCTTAAGTGTCAAGACAAGAGCGATTTTTCCTCTTCCAGAGAGTACTGTATGTGAAAGTCCGCATTTGGCGCGCATGTCATCGCTTTTTTTTCCACTTCTATTTTCCAATTTTTAGTTTTTGTTCAATAATAACTCTGAAAACTTGATGTAATTCATATGGAAATCCATATCGAAAAAATGTAGAAAAAATAACAACTCAAAATGTGCAAACACGCAAAGTGCACACGCCAACTGCGGTCTTTTACATACAGTACTCTTGGGAAATTCGCCCTTGTCGTAGCATCTTTTTTTGTTCCGTTTGTCATGTGATTTTTGGTTACGGTGCTGCCCATAAACTCTGTAGCTGACAGTTTTTTATACGATAAAACAAGATTTTTCTTCAGGACTTTAAAAAAGTTTTTCGAAGAGTGGCGACTGGAATGAAAAGTACAAAATTCATTTTTTGCTCTTCTGTGGAAAAAATGACACGATTCAAATTTAAACTCCCAAATTCACGTCACGGAAAGGCTTGACGTCAATCTACCAGTTCTCACCAGCCAACTAAAACGAGAATTTGCATATTTCAGTTCTCGTGCATATTCGTTTTATCGTTTCTATGGCACGTCGTACTTTTGTTGAAAAAAAACTTTTCTCTTTGCGGATTTTTTCTACTCTCTCGAAGTAGATCCATTAAGGTCCAAACATTTTTAGAAGTCCCGTGAACCCAAATATTTCTGATTTTTCGAGAATTCCAAATTTTTGATTGTGTTTACAAGGAAGTACATCTTCAATAATTGTTTTTTTTACATCTAGCAGGTTATTTCGAAGATGTTTATAACCTTCAAAGTCTTCGCCGAACAATATGAGCATCCAAGTTCACTTTATTCGCAATGAAACTATCAACTTCCTTTTTTTCTTCTTTTTCTGAAAATAAATCCTCTCAGTTGGAACGAAAAATTATCACTTAACGATTTAAAAAAAACATAGTAATTTGAATCCTCTCAGTATTTCCGCTCAGTACTTGTCAGCTACGTATAGAATGACATAAACTAACTTTGATAATCAAAAACTTCAAATTTTTGGTCTGCAGAACCTGCGAAAACTTTGTTAAAAATTTTATTCAATTCCATTTTTTGTACTCACCCTACTCTCTGTTTGTTTTTTATTCGTAGTGGATTTAGAATATTTCCTAAACTTACGAAAAACAAAAAAATCAAAGCTGTCATTTAGAGATTCTATGAAGAAAATTCCACCGATGCGTCTAAAACTCTTCTAATATCTTGCTTTTCTACCTAACCCTCACTGAATATTAACCCAAGACATCGGTAAATGAACTATCATGTCTCTTAAGACAAAGCTGCATGAGCTCCAATTTCAAAGCCTCTCCCAATGATCGGCAGAGGCGGAGCTCGACGCTAAACTCTGATCATCTGCTAACCCCAGGAGATGACACAGGAACAATGGCGGACGTGAACGGCGCCGCCCGGTGTTTCCGGTATCGGGAGCAGGGGAAAAGGTCGGTTAATCCGCTGTTTACACGGTCCTCCGGCGGGGTTGACGGACCTGTCGCGAGCGGCTGCAGCTCGTCCTGACGGCGGCTGTAGCGCCGGTGGCATCGGGGCGGCGCCGCCGCCGACGACCCAAGACACCGACGTGACACGTCGTGTCATCGATTCTTCTGTGTTCCTTCTGTCGCTTCACGTGTTCTTCCTGCTTGTCTTCACTCGCGGCTTCATCCCTTTCTTCTTCTCTTTTTTATTACGACTGTTTAGATGATTACTACTGTACTGAAGGTCAATGATAACATGTCTAACCTACTTTGTCCGAATTCTTCATTGTTAACTGGTCCCTCCCGATTCAACGCTTTTGTGAAACCTTTCTTTGCTGTTCATTCCCGGACTCCTTGGATTTTTTTTTTTAGAAACATCCGAGATATTGAATTTTATCTTTGAGGTTATCGTTTTATGCGGAGACATTTGATAAAGGCTTTTGGTTAATCAGCAATTTTTTTTCAATGTCTTCTTTTCAAAAAAAGATCCTTTCAAGTCCAAAAATGCTTATAGCCAATTCAAACTGCATGATGTACAATACACTATTGAAATTTCCTTGAAAAGATGTTGAAAATCAAAGAAATCCACGTTTTTATTATTTTTTTTTCCACAATACATTTTCCTTTATTACATTTCTCATTTTTATTGCTTCCTCTTAATTATTGACATCCGACCAACCCCATAACTTATATGATAACTCCACTTAGACCTACTAAAACTCCCAAATCTGTTTTTTGAGTTTCCGCGATTCAATAACATAAATCAGATGAATCACGCAGACCGAATCAATCATTTTGGTCACTTCCGATCTGGTTCGAAGCCAAGAACTTCTTTTCTCACTTCAGAGTGTAATAAGCAACCAAAAACTTCGGTTTTTGGACCTAAACTCTCAAAATGTTACGTCTTATTTTTTTGAAATTGCCTCTGAAGGTTAGAAGGACAGTAGTTTTCCATAAAAGAAATTTCATAAAAATCAGCTAGCAATCTCTTTGATCGACCAAATAAAAGTTGTGAAGCCTCACTCTGCAGAACTTTCAACTTTCAACAAAAAAACGGTCTCAATTTTTGTAGAAGGTTTATTTCAACCGATATATATATATATGGTTCACTCTTACTTCGATGTGTGTTTTTGTTTTTTTGAGATATCAGGAAATCTGGCCGGGTAGTACTTCTAGAATCTTCATTTTTCTCTTCAGGTTGACCATTTTTTCGAAAAAAAGACCTTTCTTGAATACTTTCTCTCTTGCTCTCCTTTTTCCAAGCTTCCCGGGACCGTTTTCACTTTTCCATAAATACTCAGTCTTTCGGTCAGTTTTCTCGATTCCATTCCATTGTCCGATGAAACAATGGTTCTACTCCACCAATAAAACTGCCCTGTTGTTTTTTTTTTTCCTTCTTTCCACCTTCCATTCGTTCTCTAGCCTTTCCGCATCCGAAGCCTATCGGTTCCTTTTGCGTTCCGAATTCGGCGAATATAACCCCACCACGACTCTCAATCACGTTGGTTGTCAAACCATAATCGCGTCCCAACAGACGAAAATTGGCTGACCAATTTTCTCGACCCTTTTTTACAAACTGAGTACATAAATGTTAACCTATTCATAAATTGGGCGGAACAAGTGTGGATCTAATAAAAAGTCGATAGTTTCCTCTTTCAATCTCATAAATATTTTATTTCCTATACTGTTTTTTTATTGTTTCTTCATTTCATGAGAAATGAAACGATAAAGACTACGTTTCAAGTGGTATTTAAATAATGAAACCTACATTTCATGTATTACTTTTAGTTTAAACAAGGCTGACAGTATCCTTCTCTTAAAATCAGAAAAAAATTTATTGAAAGTTCATCCTTTGTTTTTTTTTTGCGTCTTTTCTCTTGAGATAAAACATCGTATCGTTCTGAGGAGTTATAACTTTTTTTAAACCTTGATACCAGAAATTTTTTTATATTTATTAATTACTCTTTTGAAGCCGCTTTTTTTCATGAACCTGTTCACAAATTCCAACATACCCCGTTTAAAAATTTTTTTCCCTACTAACCCAGGCTCTTCAAAATGCATCCATATTTTTCATTTTTTAATTGTCCCCTCATCTTCAAAAATTAATTCTCTAGTCAAATTATAGTTTTGAATGTCTTGTTTATTATCAAGATAAAGTGTATACCTGTTCAGAAGACGTTGATGAAAGGATGTGGCGACGCTGTGAAATGATAAAATTCTGCGAGGAGAATTTGCTCCTCGTCATGACGATGGCCAGCGTCGCCCTCGGCGTCATTTTAGGTTTTCTTAAACCTTTTTAATTGTAGAAATTGGATAGAGCTTCAAGTGCATTTTTTAGAAAACAGTGGACTGAAACTAAAAGTTGACTGAGTAACCGAGCCACAGAGCAAACACTTTTTTTAATGAAAATTTAGATCTATTTTGTTTACTTCATTGTTTTTCTACTTCATGAAAGTTCAAATTAAATGAAGAATTTTTTTTTCAAATTGTTGAATAATGAACTCCCTTTAAGGCTTTGGACTGCGACCATTGAACTTGCCACAAGAAACCTTGCAATTGATAAATTTCCCCGGCGAAATTTTCATGCAAGTTTTAAAAATGATGATTCTGCCGCTCATTTTCTCGTCCTTGATTTCAGGTGAGGATAGATTCTTCTATTGTCTTTATACATACATTTCTCAAAATAATGTCTATTTGATTGGACAATACTTCAGCTTTGGCTCAAATGGACGCTAAAGAATCTGGTCAAATGGGTCTTTCCACAGTCTTGTACTACCTAACGACAGCTACTCTTGCTACAATCGTAATTAAAATTCGGATTACATCTCTAACAACTCATCTTGCAGCTTGGAATCTTTCTAGTGACGGTGATCCAGCCAGGGGATCCTTCGATCAAAGGCGACGACGTGGCTCACGCCGACACCGACAGCAACGTCTCGCCTCTGGACACCTTCCTCGACCTCGTTCGGTACGACTTTCAGGCAATACCAAGGTTGATGGACTCTTCAGGAACATGTTCCCGGAAAACATCATCCAGGCGACGTTCGAGCGGATGCAGACGACGTACGTAGCAATACGACCCAATATAGCTGCAAAGAATGGGACAGGACCCGTGTTAGTGAAGCGAGCCGTTGGCATGACCAAAGGGATGAACATCCTCGGCATCATTGTCTTCTGCACCGGATTCGGCATCGTGATCTCTCAACTTGGCGAAAGGGCACGTATCGTCGTCGACTTCTTCGTCATTCTCGATGCCGTCATCATGCGTTGGGTCGTCACGCTCATGTGGTTAGCGTCGTGACGTCTTCCCATACTTAATCATTTCTCAGGTTCGCGCCGGTGGGAATCACGTGCCTCATCTGCGGAAACCTTCTCGAGCTTGACGACCTCTCCGACATCGCCGAAGTCCTTGCTCTGTACTTTTCCCATCTTATGTAAATAAATGAGGAATATTTTCAGGTACACGTTCACTGTGGTAGCTGGTCTGCTTTTACACACCGTTCTGACCATTCCCTTGCTCTACTTCTTCATCACACGCAAGAATCCGCTCACCGTCTTCCGAGGGATGATTCAAGCGATTGTGACGGCTTTCGGCACGGCTTCTGGGTATAGCTATCCAATATTGAAAATGAGACTTTCTTTTCAGTGGAGCGACCTTGCCAATGTCAATGCAATGTCTGGAAGATGCTTGTGGGGTCGATAGGAGAATCTCCAGATTCGTTCTGCCGCTGGGCTCAACCATCAACATGGACGGCAACGCCTTGTATGAAGCCGTGGCCGTCATTTTCATCGCCCAACTGAACAATGTCCAATTGTCGATAGCTGAGGTGCTGACAGTTAGGTGAGCTGAGATTTCTGAAGCGTCAGTTCATTTATCTTCTAGTATAACCGCTACAATAGCTTCTATTGGTCTTGGCTCAGTTCCAGCCGGCCTAGTATCCATCCTACTCATCCTCAACACCGTCGGTCTTCCAGTCCGCGACGTTTCGATGCTTTTCACCGTTGATTGGCTTTTGTTAGTCGAATCGAGAAACCTTCTCCATAATCCTTAAAATTCTAGAGATAGGATACGAACGGCTGTCAATGTCCTCGGCGATGCCTACGCCGCCTCCGTCGTCCAACACATTTTACAGGTATCCAACTTCAATCAGATTGAGATCAGAAAGTCCTTCAGAAAAACCTGGACATCGCCGACTCCAGGAACGACTACAAGGCGGAAATCAAGGAAGAAATCGAATTGCTCAAGTCGGCAGCCACCAGCCGACGACCTTCATTCAGCTTCTCCGAACATTCCAAAGAAGTCGGTGAAGCTTTATTGAAAAAGTCAATCATATGGTTTAGATTTACTTCAACGCCCTGGCGACGGCCGGCAACTCGAGGATCGGGTCTCGACGCGGCTCCGCTTCCACTTTCAATCTCACTTGGCGAAACGCCAACATTGAACCGCCTTACACTCCCTTGCCGAATGTTGAAATTGTTTGAAAAAAAAAAATGTTGTTGATTACGCGTAGTATGTGGATTTCTCTTACACGTTTAGATAACTGTTCGTGTTTTTCTCGCGCTTCCGGAGAAATTTCCAAACCCAATGAGCTTTATTTCGTTAATTATATTTACTGTATGTATAAATGATTTTTTTGTTGTTGCAACGTTGAGGAATTGACCAAATATTAAAAAAATCGTCTTCTCATTATAAAGAAAGAGCCTTCAAGGCCTTGATACCTTATGGATTGAATTAAACCTTGCCATTTTTAATTTCAACCCTTGACCGTCAAAAAACAAACTTTGAATTTCGGTACAAAAAAGGAAATTTCGTTTCATTTTAAGCCATTCGGTCTCAAACTGGACCAACTACATGCCCTACCTCACGCTTGATAGTATCATCATAATCGCTTTAAAGGTTTTCGGTTAGGAAAAGAGGTAGAAAACCAGGAAACTATCGACAAAAAAAACCAGAACAAAATAATGTTTTTCCAGTCAATTTTAGAGTTTTTTTTTACAGTTTGAGTGGGCCTAACCTATTCAAATTGCGCTGAACTGGTATGGGTTCAATAAAAAGTTGATACTTTCCGCGTCTTCCTACGTTTTCAAACATAATCTCCCAAGTTTTGTACTTTGTAATTTTCTGTTCTTCTCTCCTGATGCCTGTTTCTCCGGCTTTCAAAGCTTCGAAACTGAATTTTTATGAACTACCTTCTGCTCAGTTTTGAGCCATGATAAGGCGGAGAATCCAATTTTTATCGATTCAAAATATTCATGCGCTTTATTTTGACCTATTGTTTATAACTAGCCGAGTATCACATTGATAAGAATGGAATAATACTTATTTATTGACAAAACCTTTATAAATTTCTGTAATACCATCTTTTTTAAAACATCGCTAGCCTTCCGAAAACTCCTTGTGTGAAATAGATGTTATTGAATCCTTATTCTTATCTTAAACAGTAGAAGTTGAGAAAAAATGTGGCAACGGGGTGAAATGAAAAAGTTGTGCGTAGAAAATTTACTACTCGTCTTAACAATGGCCGGCGTCGCTTTAGGTGTCATATTAGGTAAGTTTTCCAAAGTTCCGAATAATGAAGTTCTTTTCAGGCTTTGGACTGCGACCTTTGAACTTGCCACAAGAAACCTTGCAATTGATAAATTTCCCCGGCGAAATTTTCATGCAAGTTTTGAAAATGATGATTCTGCCGCTCATTTTCTCGTCCTTGATTTCAGGTGAGGATAGATTATTCTATTGTCTTTATAAATTCCTCAAAACAATACCTATTCAATTGAAAAATACTTCAGCCTTGGCTCAAATGGACGCTAAAGAATCCGGACAAATGGGTCTTTCCACAGTCTTGTACTACCTCACGACGGCTACCCTAGCCACGATCGTAACTGCATTTTTGATGAAGTAAAGATCCAAAAAGTCTTCAGCTAGGGATCTTCCTGGTCACAGTCATCCAACCTGGCGATCCTTCTATAAAAGGCGATCATTTGGCTCACGTCGACAACGACAACAACGTTTCAGCTATGGATACATTCCTGGATCTTGTTCGGTACGACTTTCAGGCAATACCAAGGTTGATGGACTCTTCAGGAACATGTTCCCGGAGAACATCATTCAGGCAACTTTCGCGCGTGTCCAGACGACGTACGTCACGATGCGACCCAACATCGCGGTCAAGAACGAAACCGAAGCATTTATGGTGAAACGAGCCGTCGGCCTGACTGAAGGCACGAATATCCTGGGCATCATCGTCTTCTGCACCGGCTTCGGAATCATCATCTCGCAGCTTGGCGAGAGGGCCAGAACCGTCGTTGACTTCTTCGTCATCCTTGACGCCGTCATCATGCGCTGGGTCATGACACTCATGTGGTATTCATACTGTCATAACAGCTTAAAGTCGTTCTTTCTTAGGTTCGCTCCCCTGGGTATTACGTCGTTGATCTGCGGAAACCTGCTCGAGCTCGACGACCTATCCGACATCGCCTCCGTTCTTGCTCTGTGAGTTTGAGTCCGTACCGTCGGAATGTTCTTCCAGCTATACTTTGACTGTGGTGACCGGCTTGATGATACACACCGTCATAACCGTTCCGTTGCTTTACTTCTTCATAACGCGCAAGAACCCTATCACCATCTTCAAGGGGATGATTCAAGCGGTTGTGACAACGTTCGGCACGGCTTCAAGGTAAGTTCAAGAGCCGATAAAAACTAGAATTTTTCCAGTGGGTCCTCCCTGCCGATATCCATGCAGTGCGTGGAGAACGCTTGTGGGGTCGACAGGAGAATCTCCAGATTCGTTCTGCCGCTGGGCTCGACGATCAACATGGACGGCAACGCTTTGTATGAAGCCGTGGCCGTCATTTTCATCGCCCAACTGAACAATGTCCAGCTGACTATTGCTCAAATTCTGACAGTCAGGTGGGTTTTTCGGCTGAAGTCTGTTTATCAGGCAAAGTCCCAGAAGAACAAATTTTGGCTGAAAAAAAGCCTATGAACGGCTTTTCATGGGATCAGCCGATCAGAAGATTCAATCTTCAAAAGTGCGCTAATGGGGGTTTCCCTTCAGACCAAGAAAATAATTTTTTTTTTGCTCTGAAGCTTGCTATTACCTTTCCCAAAAGCCTTCGAAGGTTCAAGGCAAAGATTCCTGATGCTCTCCACTTACGAAAATATCCAGCTTGGAGATATCAATTTCCAAAGTCACTCCTAACAAAATCCCGCTTGACACCAACCTTTCCAAGCTTAAGAAAAAGCCATATGTCCCAAGAAAAAAGTTGCACTGGTAGCGCCTGTGAAGGTCATAAGGAATCTTGATCTTGGACGTCAAAAAGTATTTGGAACATTTCATAGAAAACCTAGGGAATCCAACTTCCCACTAAAACAACCAGAAATCCCGCCTAATCTTCTCCTATTTTTCCAAGGCTACATAAATCTCCAAGGAAACCTTACAAAATCCTTCCTTCAGTATCACCGCAACCATCGCTTCAATCGGAACTCAATCCGTCCCAGCCGGTCTGGTCTCCATCCTACTCATCCTCAACACCGTCGGTCTTCCAGTCCGCGACGTTTCGATGCTTTTCACCGTCGATTGGCTTCTGTTAGTCATAAATCTGATAAATTTGATGATTTTCAAGATTCCAGAGATCGGATACGAACCGCCATCAACGTTCTCGGCGACGGCTACGCCGCTTCAGTTATTCATCACATTTTACAAGTAGGATCGGCTCAAAAAACCATTAGAAGGCTAAAAATAGATTTTCGTATAATTATGAGCTTCACAAACATACACTACTCCGAAAAAACCCAGGAATTTGGTTTGAACCAGGGAAAACCGAGAAGGCTTTACATTTTACAAGTAGGATCGGCTCAGAAAATCCTTCAGAAGGCGCATAATCCATCATGTACTTCACAAAGATAAGATTCTACGGAGACCCCACAAACTTATTGTGAATCAGGGGAAATCGAGAAAATAAAGAGAAAATGTGAAAAAGAAGGTTCTTCAGAAGAACCTGGACATCGCCGACTCCCGGAACGACTACAAGGCGGAAATCAAGGAAGAAATCGAGTTGCTCAAGTCGACAGAAACCAGCCGGAAAAATTCCAAAGAAGTTTAAGAACTTTATTTTTAAAAAAAAAATTGTTCCAGGTTCATTCGAATGGACGCAACGTCAATATCGAGCCGCCCTACAACCTTTTGCCCAATTTTGAAATTGTCTGATTAATTTTTCTTTGAAAAATCCCCGAACTACTTATTTAGCTTTAACAACTGTATTTATTGAATGTATAAATGCTTTACTTATTTTTGAGAATAATTCAGATTGATGAAAAAATAATCTGACCTGGTTAATTTCAGGAAAAGTAGATGAGAAGCTGTTGAAACTCCTCCAGAACTGCAAAATTTTTGATAATTCAAAACTTTCAAAGTGCTATTCAAAAAAGTTTCAGAAAGAGTTCAAATTTTTAAAAAAATATGCGGAATTTACGGACAATTTTGAACGTTTCAATTCTCAAATTCTCCCTCCCATTCTCTTGAAAAAAAACTTTGAACCTTATCAACTTTAAAAAGCTTAGTTTTTCGCTCACAAATACACCTCTCATGAACTTCAACTTTCTTCTTTCCTTTTCTTTAAAAATTGGTGATGAAATAATTTATTCTTACAATTGCAACAAAAAAAATAGATTCGCGCCAGATGGAAACTGATATAAAAAAAAGAGGAATGGTCTACTGCCGAAGCCTAGAATGCCAAGAAAACAAGACAATAATCATAGTTGGACAATCATAGGATTTACTGCTCGAACTCGAGTCCGAGACCGAATTTGTGGGCGTCGTTGGTGGCCAAGTTGAACTGAGTGGAGAGGGTGAGCTTGAGCGCTGGCGACAGCGAGTGAGTCGCCGCGACGGCCACCTGGCTGCTGTTGTTGAGCTTTCCGCGAAGGGTAACGTCGCGGTTCGGCGAGTACTTGGCCGCCAGAGCGAAGTCGGCGCCGTTTCCGCCAACCTGAGAAGGAAAAAAAAAAGTTAAAGTTACAGATGTTGTAGTTTTCGAAATGAAGCCCTCTTACTATTTTTTCGAATTCTGGCTAGGATGAAATCGTTAATTTCCTGATTCCAGAACAGAAAATTTCACTTTTTTCTGCCTTGTGACCCCTAAAGTTGACCGAAAATCCTCCTCTTCTTCCCTAAAAGGCTAGAGTACGAACTTCAAGGGGTTAGAATATGATATAACCTATTTTATTAAGCAAATTTTCAGAGAACTTTCGAACAAAGCCTATTTAACTTCCCTTGTAAAAAAAAATGTTTCAAATCACGCGAAAAATACATCAACTTGAAAAAACGCATCCTTTTTCTAAATTTTTGCCTATTTTACTTCATTGTTCTATCAAACTAGAAACAAACAAAGAAAAAAACATAATAAATACAAAAATAGTCGCAAAAATGAACCTTCCAGCCGAGTTGAGTTCCGAGCTCGACGTTGGGGGCGACCTTATGGTACAAGGAAGCTCCGAAGTCGGTCGAGTTGACGACGAAAGAGTGGAGGGTGTAGGAGGCGGTCGAGTGTCCGAAAGCCAAAGAAGTCGAGGCCAACTGAAAAAAAATATCATGGATAAATAGCTTTTTTTAAAGGTACCTTGTTGGTGGAAGTGTCAAAAGTGGCGTTAGCTCCGAAAAGCCATCCTTCACGGGCGAAGACTCCGGCGGCGTTGATAACCGGGGCAGAAGTCAAGGCAACATCAGCGGTAATCTGTTATCCAAACATGTTAATAATCGGACGAGCACTTGAAAGATTAAAGCTCCTAAGCTTTTATTTCATAAGTATTAGGAAAATAAATCTAAATATTCTGAAAAGTTCCAAACTGAATTTTTCAAATTAATCTAAAATTTACAAAAAAATAAATTAAAATAACCTTCAAATTAGGCAGCGAGTAATTAATCTTCAGCTTGGCGTCTTTTTGATCGAAGAGAAAATAAATAAGACTTACACGGGCGGTGGGGAGGGCCCAGTCGGCCTTCAGCTTTCCGCTTCGCTTTCCGGCGTGCGGCGCGTACAAAGAATCAAGAGTGAGCTTCAGTCCGCGGCCGAACTGCTCGTTGACCTCGATAACGGTGCCGAGTTGGTTCTCCGTGTTCCACTTCTCCGTCAAAGTGACTCCTTAATCAAAGTTGTTTGTTTTGTGTGATAGGTGAGAGAAAAATGCTAAGAGAGCGCAAAGAACAAACATTTCTTGCGGCAATGCCCCCCGTGATGACGTCAATTTTACACAAGAGTACAAGGTATTTACTGCATCAGACACTTTTTCTTTCGTAAAAAATTAGATAAATTGTTTCGATGGTCATGAAACTAAACTACCAATCAGCAAAAAAAAAAATTGAATCAAACCAGTCTAAAAAAGAAACCGCTCTTTTTTTTTCAAAATCACCAAATTGAGCATTGACTGAAATTCAGCAGAACATGATACTTATCCCGATACTGCTTCAAAAGAAAAAAAAAACTGTTTCATTTTTGAAGATGCGCGATGAAAATCAAGAAAAAATGTCATGACGCTTTCAGAAGTTCAACGATGAGGAAACAGAAATAGAAAAATTTAAAAAAACAGTAAAATGTGAAAAGAAGCTTACCATACTGGGGAATCTTGTACTTGACGTCCAAGTTTCCTCCGAGCTTGCCGGATCCGAGGTTGTGGGCGGCAGCGGTCTTGAACTCGACCTCCTTCGCGTCGCCGGCTCTCGTCGTCGTATCAACCTTGATGAAGCCAAAGTCTGAAAATTAATTTCTTGTTTTAGAAGAATAGCTAAAACGAAACTGTATCCCTTGTTGAAGAGGTCCTTGGCGGACTTTCCGAGATCAGCGAAGGTTGGTGGGGCCATAGCTGAAAAATGATCTAGAACTCAATATTTCGAATCGAGAATAATCGAAGAAACGAAGGAAACATAGAAATTTGAGAAAGTGCAAACTTTTTTGGAAAACTTTAAACTTCAAGGAAGAATCTCTCGATATTCTTTTTTACTGTATTCTTTCAAAAGTACGCAAAATAATGGAAAAAAAATAAATAAAAAGTGAGCTTTACTTCGCCAAACGAGAAGCTCGCCATTTCAAAGCAAAAGAAAAAGTTCAAACTTGCAAATTTAAATGGACATTGGAAAGCTTTCAAGCATGTGCAGTGTCCTTGTAATACTGCAGAAGCCTCAGAAACTGATAAATAGAACAATATTCAAGATGCAACCGGCTAAAAAGAAGAAGAAAAGCGATAAGAAAGCGGAGAAGAGAACAGAAATTCGAATTGAACTGCCAGTGGTCGGCCGCCCGTTCAGACAGCCGGCTGCGAAAGAGTGAGCAAAGTGAGAGGCGCAGGCGCTAAGCCGCGTTGCAGCCGCGCCGCGAACCCGGCAAAAGGTCGAATTGCGGCTGTCCGCTAGTAAATGACGTTTTTTCAGTCTTCTTCTCCTTGGCGGGAGTTTGAATTTTTGCCGTTGTTGCATTCGTAGTCTAGTTTTGAGCAAAATTTATAATGAAGAGCTTTAAAATTGTTTTAAAAACACATCAAAAGGGCCTAAAAAGTCTTCCAAGAAATTATTTTTTTCCGAAACTGGAAGCAAAATTTAAAAAAATTAATATATTAGTTATTAAATACTTTCGCGCCTACAAATACAATAATTTGTTAATAGAAACATAGGTAGAAAAAAAATTCAAAAAAATAAGGAATTTGGAATGTCCAAAAATTTACCCTGAACAAGCTCTTCGTTTCTTTTTTTATTTTTCGAAACGAGCCCCTGCTCCTTTTAAAAAAATAATATTTTTCCTCGCGAATTGTATTTTTAATTACAGGACGGACATTAACAAAATAATTTTTTTCAAACCTTTCTACTAAATAGCTCGCTGTGGAGAGAGAATTTCACTTCAAGAACAATTTCAATATTATAGTAGTAAATAAACTTTATTATTTACACTATAGCGTACGCAACAGCCATGTCCTGGTGAGTTAGAGCGATGTATAACGAAGAAAAAAGATGATGAATGACGTCACCGTAATTTAGGTAACTGGAATGGCTCAAAACAACGTCTAAAGGAAGCGAAATAATCAATTAAAGACAAGAAACATCACAAAAATAGAACTCTTCATTTGGAAATGATGTGAATAAGAGAATAGATATAAGTGGGGGCAATGACTCATTAAAACTTCTCGCACAACCTAAGATTCGGGGAAAAGACGGAACGAAATACCCTTAAACCAGACAGCCGAACTAGACAAAAAAAGTTCGAAAGCCAGTAGCATATGCGAAATCGGATGAAGACGCAATGAAAGGAAGGAGAAAAAAACATAAGACGAAATATGGAATCATTCGCGAACGTTGATCACAATTTGTTTATGCTTAGGGTCGTCGAATCGGTCCATGGTCTGGACGGATTGGAGCATCATGTAGCCGAAGATTAGGCCTCCCAGAAGGACTAAAGCGCTGATGATGCCTGTAAGAAAATGGGAATTAATTCATTTCGGGTTTTTAAATATCAACAACAACTTGCTGAGGCGTCTAAAGGAGCGCAAAATGATTTTATTTGAGCATTTTGACAAAGAGAAACTATTTCGGGGCGATAAAAATCGCCAAAAAGCTTATTTCAATCGAAAACTATGATGTTAGAATAGTCTTACTCAAAATTAACGGAAGAGAGAACAGTTACGGACTGTAGAGACATCAGAGAAGTAGTTCTTATCTATCTGTCTAGACTCTCTTCAGGCTTCTGTTGATCTCTTACTTTTTTGACATTTTATTCTCAAGCCAAATAAACAAGAGATCACAGCAGCCTGAAGAGACGCCAGAGAAGTATTAAATATCTGTTTCTCTAATATTCCTTCAAACTCCCTTCCACTATGAAAAAAAATAGACTTTATTTCCTTCAATCTAAAAAAAAAACCGACCCATCCAAGATCCGGGCGAGAAAGTTCCCACACAATCATCGACCTGTCTCGTGAAGTAGGCGTTCTTGTCGAAATTGGCCAAACTGACAAAGGTTTGGACCTGAAAAATGGTATTTTTTGATTCATATAGGCCACTAAAATATTCAATTAAGTTTACAGAACTTTGAAGCAGTTATTCCGAAGGTGATATGAGAAGATTTTTTTTACCTGAGTGTTGTACATAGCGATTCCGATGCGGACGCTGGGATCGCTCGTGTTGAAGAAAATGGCCTGAGTTTCGGAGCAAGCGAAGGAGAATCCTTGAACCGACTGGACTCCGGTGTATTGCACAGCGTCACGGCCGACCTTCTGTTCCTTCACGGAGGCGGACTGAAAGAACAAAGATTATTCAAACTATCATCAAAAATAAAAGTTTAGAGAGAATAGGTACTTTAGAGTCTGAGAAGTGTGGTGAGTTGGAATATTTAATATTTGGAGAGCGTTCAAAAATGAGAGGGCGGAATTTTTTTTTTCTCTGTACGCTCTCTTTTACTAATGCTCTCTAGATTTCGAAGAATCGAGCCTCGAAGATTAGAACAAAGAATTGCACCTTACAAATATTATACCTTAAAGACTATCAATTGATCCAAAAAAAAAGAATAATAGCACTTAAATATCAAAAAATAAAGCTCTCTATTCACCTTTTAAAGGTGTAAAGACTCGGACCTCGTTAACGCGCTCCGGACGTTTCTCAGAAATTCTAGGGATCACTTGAGTGCTGACGCTCCTAGAGTGGTTACTAGAAATTCTCTAACACGTCCGGGACGCATCACCAAGGTCCGAGGACCTACTATCTACCAAAAAAATCCGAATTTTTTTAAGACAAAAAAATATCTTTACATTTTTCGGTAAATCAATAAATTAAAAAAATTTGTCTTTTTTTGTCAATTTTTAGTGTGACAAACCAATTAGTGCAAATTGAAAAGAGCGAAGATTCTCTTGGAAATTTTAAGCAAAAATTTAAAGCATACATATTTCTTCTGATTCAACTGGACCTTCTAGTAATATTTTTTCCGAATCTCCATCTTCTTTTTTATGATTCTAACTCAAAAAATGATTACATCCAAAAAATATTATCAAACGGCTTGAGACAAGCTGAGGGATCACTTAAGTGGCCGTTAGGATTTGATCTTTACACCTTACGTACAGAAAAAAGAGCAAAGGGGCTTATCCTTTTCAAAAAAAGATTTTTTTCCCTTCTAAATAATCTCCTCTTTTCAGAATCTTAAATTTTCTTCAAGTTTTATGACATTTTTTTTTCAAAAAGCACCTTGAAGGTGCCGGTTCCCTTGACGTCAATGTTGTGGAGGGTGGCGCCGACGAGGCTCCAATATCCGGCCGAGTCTCCGGTGAAGTTGAAGGTGATGTCGATGAGGGAGCCCTTGGTGATGCTGACGGCGGGTTTGTTGTCGTAGAGGCCGTTCGCGTCGTTCTCCAGCCTCAGGTGAGCCGTGAAGATGTAGCTGCCGACGGAGCCGTTGACGCACTGGAAGTCCTCGTCGCCGGCGGTTCCCCTGGAAAATATCAGAATATGCACAAAACGCAAGAGATTCAAAACCAAGTCGTGTTGTCAGAACGGACAGGAATGGCGGAGTAAATGGCGCTTCCCTTGTCGTCTTTCTGTTGAACGACGACCGTCAGTCCTTCCATGTAAAACAGACAGGAGCCGAATCTGCACAATAAATGATTCAATAAAAATTCAATCAATAAGTCATCAGATCAAAAAAATCAAAATGTTATATTTCTCACACAAAAAGTCATAAAATGGCTGAATAAATGTAGGAAAAAGATAGGAAAATACAAGAATTGTGCTTGTTGAAGAAGATGAAATTAGAAAATGTCACGTCTTTTATAAAATTTCACTTTCACGAAGTGATCCCTTTAGAGTCCTCACTGATAATACTTAATCTGAAGCTTTTCCTAATTTTCACTCAAAAAAAATGTTTTTCTTTTCATTTTTCTAATGAGGGAACTTCTTTTTGAAGTTGAAAAAGGAAAAAAAATTATGATAATTGAGTTTCAGGAAATTTACCAGGTTCCTTTTTGCGCTTTAAAAGAAGAAATTTGTGACAAAATTATGAAAAAATAGCACGATTCAAAATAGAAGTTCAATCCTTATAATGTCAAAAAATCACACAGAACTAATCTCAAACCTTTTTCCATGAAACTTGAGAAAACCTAACTTCAGGTGAAACATATAACTCTAGCAATAAAGTCACGAAATTTTCAAATAAACTTCTTTTTCAGATTAAAGCTCGAAAATAATGTTAACAACCATGCCTATGTTGCTAATAAGTATCTCGAAGCGAAAAACAACAAAATGAATCTAAAAAAGCATTGCTTGATTAAAAAAATCGCCCTCAATTCTCACTATAAATCTCCGTTCTTATAATTGATATTTAAAAAAAACGAACTTTCCAGGGACGACGTTTCCGAGTTCAGAAACGTTGTATGGCGGCAACAAAAGCGGCATGGCGACGTATTTTCCGACAGTTCCAGAACCAGTCGTTCCAGTAGAGCCAGTGGATGCCGAGTTGGCATCAGCTTCCTGAGAAAATGATTGGTTTGAAGTTTTTTCATCATAATTTTATGATGAAAAAAGTAAAAGCACCAGTGAACAATAATCGAGAAAAAATGACATGAAGGTCCCAAATCAGAATAGGATAGCGTCCTCAAGAGAAAAAATTCATACAAAATTCCAAAATCACTTTTTTTTCGATTTTGGATGATTTCTGCCTAATTAAAGACATTTTCTACGTTTTCATCTAGAGAAGTTCTACGGAAAACAAGTAAAAATTTTTAAAAGAAGCTGAAATCGATTGGAGAATGACCTTTTTGTGAATTTCAAAGCATTTTGCTCGACTTGAAAACAAAAATGAACTCACCTCGTTCATCGCATCAGTGACAACTCGCTTGACACGCGATTTCTCGCTGGAAACCGCATCAGTGGCTGTCAGCACAAAAATCGCGGATTTCACTTTTTGGGAGATCTGAAAAATTATCTTTATTCACGTTGATTGAAAAAATAATAAAAGAAGAAAATACTTTTTATCAAATAGGGAATTTGGAAGCAATAAAGTTCTATTTAATGAGAAGAAAATGCGCGTAAACTGTTCCAAACTTCTCAGAATCTTGAATTTTTTGAGCTGTTTCAAGGCGTTTTGAAACAATTTTTTTGGACCTATAAAAATCGGGCTTTTATACAAACAAAAAAGTGACTTTTCAGAAAATCGAAATATACTCAAATCTATTATGATCACACTTTGAAAAAAAATAAAAACAAAAAAAGCATTAATCAAAAAGATTAATTTCCAAAAGACCTGCTCAGCGAGCAAATCCATCGAAGTCCACTCCTCGCCGGCCAAAATGTAGGAAGAAGCTCCGGGTTGATATTCAGCGACATTCGTGACAAAAGAAGCCTCGGGAGCCTCAAAAAACTACTCAAAAAGCGTTTTAAAGGACATTTCTAACATGGAATTGGTTGGCAAAGTATGTGGCGGCGTGATGTTTGCTGTCTTGGATCGTTTTCGCCAAGCCAGTCAAGGAAGCCTTGTCATAGGCATGAACCTTCTGTGAAAACTGCCCTAGAAACAAAATTCTTGGATAAAATGACATGGAAAATCGCTCACCTAACGTGAAATCGGGGTTTACGACAAATATTAAAGGAGCCTCGGGCGTCGCTTCTGACAACAATTTGTCCAACGACGAACTGCTGCATATTATTCAATAATATTCCCTTTTAAAGATCTATTTTCAACCTGATCGCTTGCTCTGATGAGAACAAGACGGCGTCGTACGCTGAAACCGCGGCGACAACGGCCAAAGCGGCTACGATTACCCTCATCTTCAACAAAAATCGATAATATCAACGTCTGGGCAGCTATTGGAACTATTCAAACATGTAAAATAAAAATAATCAATCGATTTCGCGTAAATACTGACTTTTGAAACAGAGAGTGTAAGGAGCAGACAAAAGATCGAATATCGCTCCAGGACCAGCGCAATGGGGCGCGTTTTCCCCAGAAAAAAGAGAACGTCAACAGGTTTTTTACGGGAGAAAAAAACTCGTTTGGACCAATTTTCAAATGATTTATTGCCAAAAGGAAGAAAAAAAAAGTTCGACCGCAGTAGAAGTTCTAATTCACGGCATTTAAACGTGAGATCATTAATAAATATGAAGGTTAAACGCGAAAAACTGCAGAAGAGGCCAGACTAAGTTTTCAAAACGATGAAAATAAAAACTCAGTACAGAAGAATGGAACTTCAGTTGCCGATAAAAATAACATTTCCCAAACCTTCAAATCAAATTTAGAATTTAAAAAGGTAATAAACTCAACGATAATACTATCAATATTATATTTCGCAATTTATCTTATATGGAGTATGACTCGAGAATTTTTGATTGTTGAGTTTATCTCCTTTAAAGACTGTAAAATCAATTTATAATACATAAAAAAATTTTTTTGAAATAAAGATTCATTGCGTGTTCATCGGCCTCCGATCGGAGAAACAGAAAATGTTACAAAACGTTATACCGTGTTGAGCTTGATTCTTAAAAATTCAAAATCACCGTCAAAAGTTGAAAAAAAGCATTGAATAAACTTATGATTCAAAGACAGTTTTGAATTTCGCGGAACTGCCTATAAACAAAAAAATTAAAAAAATTGTGCTCTTTGGCCTCCTAAAATTTCTCAGAAACACCAAATTTGTTCTATTTCTAACGATGAGCACGCCATTAAAATTTGAAAAATTAATCGTATTTCCTCGCGTAAATAAATCGATTTTTAGCAATAGAGCTCACTTGTGTTTTTTTAGAAAAAAAGTAAAAAAATATTCATGAAAACTTCTGACAATCTCCAATACAAACAAAATCATTACATTAAAAAGTTTATTCTCCAATGGACAACAAGAAAAAGCGAATCAGCAACTGATAATGATGATAAGATGATTGCAATGATGCTAACGTTGAACAAGTTACAGAAATGTATACATAAGGATTTTTTTGATTCGATGAGGATATTTTTGATGAGATATTTACTCGTTCATGAAGGTTACGTGGGTTGATTGTTTTTTTTTTCACTATATATTAGTTTGATTGGAATACGCTTATCACATCCATTGAAATGAGGACTGAAATGGAGAAATGTAGTCGATTCAGAACGGGTGAATGTTGAATTACCGTTGTTTAGAGAAAATACTTGATATAAAAATTATGTGGGAAAAAAGAGAATTAGACGATCCCCAAGATAAATGGAGTATACTTCTTAAAAAGCGAGTCAGTTGTGAATAAAGTATACTAGAAGTGATTAGGATAACTTTCTACGGGCGAAAGAAGCGAAAAATGAAGAAATTCAGAAGGGTTCGACTCTTCCTGAGAACGGAAACAGCCCGGAATCGAAGAAATTATGAAAAATAAACTTGCATATAACAAAAATACATAGGAACTCGGATATTTCAAAATTTGGCTATCCGGACGTAGAGAGCGCGATTCGGCTCATCCGGCGGCGGAACGATCGGCGGGTCTCGAAACGCGCCGCGGTACTGGTCGTAGCGGATCGAGGAGATCTGTGGGCGTGGAAGTTTTCATTTTGAAGGCTTTTTTCTGCTTACAGTGATCGGGAAACGGGGATTAATGAGGTTGCAGGCTCGGGAGCTGCTCGCCAAGGCCAAGGCGCCGTCGCAGCGTTCGTCACGCGCCGAATTCAGGCTGGAAAATAGATTGTACCTCAACTCCGTTTCTATTGAACTTCTTGTGTAAGTAGCATTAGATTGATTTTTGAAACTCTTTTCTGACAGTCATGTCTCACTGTGATACTTTCAGGTGATTAAAAAAAGTTGAACTACAATTTTCAAGCTTCCAATCGAATTTTCTAACTAAATTCTCAAACTTTAGAAAAACTTTTTGATTTCTTGATTTTTAACAAATCAGTGCTCACTTCTATACCAATTTAAGCCAATCTAACCTTCTTGACTACAATTATTTTTCCAAGCAGGACTCAAAACTCCAGAACCACAATTCTTATCCCAAATCGAACCCCGAAAACACTCGAAAGAGTTCCCAATTTCCGCCAAACGCCATCCCAGAAGGGGAAACTTCTCCCATCGGAAACGCTCTCGAATTTCCGACTTCCCCCCAGCCAGAACTTCATTACTTTGCACTGGAAGCCTCGCGTGCCATCAGTCACGATCAAACAAGAGATTTCCCCAAGGCAAAGAGTTGCAGTGGCCACTTTAGAATTTCGGGTGTTTAGTGGTTTTTTTTTAAAGCAACTATAGCCGTTTCTAGGACGTTAAGAGGCGTGGCTTGTCTGCGCTCTCTGCCAACCAAGTACTATTTTTTTTAATCGTGGCAGGACCATTTTTTGGAATCCTCAAGTCGGCTACAAATCACCTACTTGAAACAACCTGACCTGTCTGCTCTCTTCTGTCTAATCAGTCAGGTGAAAGAAGAATGAAAAGAGAACGTAAAAAAGTGTCGCTGAGAGAGAGAAGAGAGCGCAGAGAAACCAGACTAATTCAAGTTTTAGCGATTGAGCTGTACTCTACATCCATTAGAACTACCTTAAGAGGACACTTGAAAAATCAAGCCCTATAATGATCCCTGAGGAGAAAAGGGAACGTTTCATGGTTTCTGATTTTTATAAATGATTAGAACAGAATAGCTGCTAGTATGAGAGCTAAAAACCCTAGGAAAACTTAAAATCTGGAAAAAGGCGTCATGAACATGTTTCTTGTCATAAAAGCGCTTTTAAAACCCCTATAGCAACCACTTGATTTTCCCAAAAACCAAATTCCCACCAAGACTCGAGCATCGCCGTCCCTATGCCGTTCCTCCAGCACTCCTTCCGGACAGCCACGATCGCGACGAAGATCTAAAAATCAAGAGTAAAATGAAAGTTTATTGAAGAGTTTCTGGTGAATAAAAACAAACTCACAGGTTTCGTGACACCATTCTCTTCAAAGTGATAGCCGACGTCGAGCTTGTTGAAGACGTACTTCAGGAACTCGATCGCGATGCAAATCCTCTCGTCGGTGAACTCGTACTCACACAGCCGGTCAACCTGAAAGCTTTGATGGTTAAAAAATATTCAGTACCGTCAGAAAAGACACATTTCTTCATGTAACTTTTTTAGGGATGCATCAATCGACTGAAATTTTTCTAGGGGTTTCTTTATGCAGAGTACGGTATGTATAACAATGGAAATAGTGCAGTATGCACTGTCTGTGGAAGTGTCTACGGACATTTTTCGTTTTTTTTTTTCGTAACAGTATTTTTTTTATTATTTTTTGTTCATTTTTGTAGTATTGGACGACCTGAGGGCTCTCGGAGCGTAAAAAAAATTGAAAGTACCGTTTTGAGCCACCCTCAAACTTTGCCTGGTAAAGCCTGTGTACCACGACTTGGAATTTCACCAAACGACATTCCGCTGTGCCGCTGCGCGCCTTTGCGAACCTTGGTCGCGCTTTCAATTTTTTTTTTCTTATATTAAGGTACTATACTTTTGTGTGCTCCCGTAAAAATAACAATTGAAAGCGTGACTTAGATTCGAAATACGCTTCGCGAACGCACGCAGCGGAACAGCGGAATGTCGTTCGGTGAAATTTCAATTCGTGGCACACACACTATATTGCATGTTTACCAATCAAAAAATTGTCACCAGAGAAGTGTCTGAGGTGAAAATTACAGATGTGGCTCAAACTTCTGTACTGGGTCATTTCAATTTTTACCGACTTGAAATGAGAAATCGGAAGGTTAGCAAGGGAAGCAATGCGTGACGCGGTTTTTTTTTGCGAGAAACTAGAGGTTTTCAAAGACTTCTAATTTTTACGGGTTTTTCTGGTCGTTTAGGCAGAGTACCCTTATTTAAAACTACAAGTCCCAGAAATTTAGATTAGATCCATGAATTTCACTCCAGACACTTCCCAAATCAGTAACAAGGTTAAGAATTTGATAAAACTTGGTTCAGAGTTACTTCAGACGCTTGTGATTTCAAAAAAGTCGAAATAAACTTGGTCTTACAAGATTTAATAAAGTTATGACTCCTCAAAGGTGCCAAAATTTTCGTATTTTTCCAATTTAAAGGTAGATTCAAAACTTTTAGACGTTATAGATACACCTAAAATCATAAGATGTGAGTTTTCCTTATGTCAGAACTTCCTCAATTGCTCAAGAAAAGCTTTCTTAATTTGTAAGCCAAACTCGCGATTTCCTTATGAGTGAATTACATTGAAAATCTAATAATCCTTCTCTACTCTTTCTCCAAAATGTGTAATGAAGCTAAAATTTTGACCTGCATATCGAAAAGAGCTGCCTTGCTGGCGAGGCAGATCCCATTGAGCTGTCCACTGCGATTACACCTGGCGACGTTCGTCGAAGAGCACTGGAGACAGTCGCGGACCAGGTCCGTCAGGAAAATGTTCAGCTCATCTCTGAGAGTAAAAAATGGACTTATTACTGAAAAAAAAAATACTTTCAAGTTCAAGTTCAAAAATATTATGACTGATTCCGTGAAAAATCTTCACTCTAAGTGGTCGCTCTCATTCTGAGACTTCCGCCTAGAGCACGGTCCCCGGGATTCAGCTTCAACATCCGCTAAATTCTGAGTTGGTCAAGGGGCAACTGAACGGACTACGCGCAGAAGAACGAGGACCGTAAGATCCTCTTTTCAACTCTTTCGACTACACGTTTGGACTTCTATTTCGCCAAAGGCGGTTGTTCGTTATAGCTTTTAAAGTTCTTGTTCACCGCCTATATCTGACTAAAACCACAAAATAAATAAAATGATTGATTGAATAAATCTACTATAACCTTACTATTGACGGGGTAGAAAACTAAAAATCTTCATATTTTTCTCAAACTGCGTTTGAATCCCAAATCATGGGAAAAATGGATTTTCAACCACTTTTGACAAACAAAACGCTTCAAGTAAGTCTTTTTTGAAAACTCTTTTCTCTTCTCTGACAAGGAAGGTTATTATACTTTGCAGGTTTTCTTTCTCTTGAAAATTAGCCCTTGGCTTACCAAAAGATGATCCTAAAAGTATCAACCTGCAAAACTTCCTAGTTTTCGAGAAAAGACGACTCAAGGCCACCAAAAATTTCTTGTTTTAACATATTTTGATGTTCTTCGTAGAATTTGAGTTGTCATTTTTTAAATACTAGGAAGTTATGCTGGTTGGAGCTTTTGATAACTTCTTCTGGTAAGTCAAAGGGTTTTCTGGCCAATTTTCAGGAAATTCCCATCCGAAAAGCAAACTCCCTTGGCGATACAATAATCCATATGTGATAAGAGAACATAGAGAACCCGAAGAGACGCCAGACAAGTGAGAAACCTTTGATTCTCTGCCGTCTCTTCAGATCGCCGCTGTACTCTCGTTGTTTCTTATTAATTTTTTTTCAAACATCCGGAAAATTCACCTAATACTACTCCCATTGGAATTATCTTTCCAAGACTACTCCCTAAAAATGATTCAACTTACAAACTATTGAGCCGAAGACTGGCCAGGATCGGTTCCGTCGGCACGAAATTGTTGATCAGAAACTCGACAATCTAAAAGAATATCCATTTTTCCCATTCATTCTATTTTGGCAAAAGCAATGTGAGAGGAAATTTTCTCAGCAAAGCGTCACTTCAACTACAAATTTCGGGCGTCTGGAGCAATATCTTTTTCGAGAGCCAAAAAAAAACGTCGTAGAAGGAGACAAGAGAAGAATATTGTCGTTCAAGAAATCATTATTGTTTCAATAGGTTCTCAGAATTTCTACTTTGAGGTCAAGTTGGGAGCATTAGAAATTTTGCTTGTATGATGCCTAGGCTTAATTTTTAGAGTTTCTCCGTTTCCAAGCCAGAAGGTAGAAATTTATAGGTCAAAGAATACATGGGAAGTTGATTTTTGAAAGTCACACATCCTTCCTTCCAACTAATTCGAACTTCAAGTCATCACTAGCTTCCAAAATTGTGGTTTTGCGGCCACCGCTACCTCCCTGAGCTTGGAAATCATTTTTACTAAGTTTTTGGTCAATTTTTGTAAGCCATCCTCCCGGATAAATTGAGTTCTCTATTGCCCAAGTATGGGCCAAAGGCCTGTTAAAGATCTATGAGTAAAGTTTATTTATTTTTTCTGAAGTTCAGCCTTTTCTCTAAACCAATCTGCAGAGGTCTTAACTATTCACATAACTTTTCTCCGAGGTATCTTGCCCTTCAGCCTCTAGTTTATTCAAAGCAACTCGCTGAGGCTATTAAAGGCGCATCGAGTACAAAATGCTCTTCTTCTCAAGACCTTTCGCTAGAAGTTACCGGGAAACTGTTTCAAATTAAGCACATACCTTACTAAACTCATTAGGTCTCCTAGTTGGACCCAAGAAACGATCAATCAAGGAAACGAACCTCATCAAGCTGATGCGCCTGTGGTCTTTCGATGGTGATGGCGAGTTTTTCAGCGCTCATCCCGCCTGAAAACGCCGTACTTGATGAAGAGAAAAAATTGAAGAAAAAAGAGAAAATTCAATTAACTTCCAATCGGAGACACCAGAAGAGCTGGGAAGAAACAAAAGGATTCTGGAACAAAAAAAAACACGGGCCTCCGGGCGCGCGGATTGATTTTCTTCCACACAATACGAATACGTGTGGAATGCGGTGTTTGGCGAGAAAAAAAAAACGGTGAGAAGTGAAAAAAAAAAAGAAAAACTCAAACGACCTATTTCCGCTCAAAAATATTCGTCGGCTCTCACGGCACACAGCCGATTTGTTTCTCCGAACAAATAAAAGCAAAAAAAAAATGGAGAAATGGAAATTTTCTCTCTTTGGGACCAGAAAAGTGATCTCTAGTTTTCACGCTGTCTTTTTGAAACGGACTTCCAAGTTTGAGGGCTGCGGCTGCGTTTGAATATACCCCATCGCGCAAGTAGTTTTTGGTCGGGCGCGATGGAACTGTGAGCTCTGGAAGGCGACCGCGACTTATTGAGTTATTCTTTTCAGCTCATGAAAAATGAGTAAAAAAAAACTTGGAAAAGTCTTGTTTCTCTGCGCTCTCTTTTTTAGTTATTGTTTCTCTCGTCAGTGAGGGATAAGAGAGCGCAGACAGGTCAGACTGTGTGGGGACGCTTCTTTTCTTCAAGAACTGCAGAAGAAAAAAAAATCTTGAACTTCAGGACTTCAGGAGAGAGAAATTTTTGAAGAAAAATCGCTTTAAAGTAAAATCTAAGAAAGGCAACCTGGGTTTCAACTCATAAGACAGGGTTTTGAAGCGGCAGCTTATCGGAAACGAGATTAGAGCGAAACGTTAAGTGCCTATAATCCATTGGCGCGCAGAGGCCAAACCTCCCGTTCAATTTACATCTTTTTTCTCACCTCCACTGGTCAGAGAACCATTCGTTAAACGTGTATTCATTTGAAGTTTGAGATGGTGAACAGAAGTTACACCAAATCGAGGCGAGGAAGAGTTCTATCACATAATAATGTTTGAAAATCTCGAAAATTTTCGAATCGCTGCTGACTAGGGAACGTTCCCCCCCCGTTCAACTTTAAATGAAACTTCGCTGAAAGGTACTTTAGGACCTCCTGATTGCAGAACAAAAAGAAAATTTTTCGCAATATATCCTGTTTTCGAATTATGAAGCTTCAAAGACCGCAAAATACACAAATTATGACGAAAAAGCGCTTATTCAAGCTTTCGAAGTGTCCTAACCCGAAAACGAGATCTATTGCGAGAAATTTTCTTTCTTGTCCTGCAATCAGTGGGTCCTTAAGTCTATTTTTCGTCAAGTTTCATCAAAATTTCAACGGGGGTAAAAAGTTTCTTAGTGAACTTCACTAAAGCTTCATGCTATTCATTTTTGTAAAATGGAAATTTTTTCGTTAACATACGGATCCCACCCCGGGATGCGGCCTACCCCTTCTCAAACTGCTCTAAACATTCTTTTTCTTTTCTAAACTGAAGAACCATCTAACCCTTCCAAAAACTTGAGAAGAATGAAAGAAGCTTCTTGAAAACCACCTAACAAAGTAAAAAGCAATACTTTTATTATGGAGCACCTACGGACGCCCTTCTGAAGCCACGGGGGACGCTACAGTAAACACGTCCTTTTTGTTTCACTACATCTACTTTCCTAGTCAAAACAACGCCCACCTCCTACAACCTGACCGGAAACGTATCTCTTTTAGAGAAATCGTTTATGGTTTCTGAGATCAGATTCAAAATTAGCGTGAAAAGCTGTATCTAAAAAAATTCGAATTTTTCAGAATTTTCAAGTCAAAATTTGTCAAAAACCAGAAAATTTACAGAGCTCTTGAGCTGCCAAATACTAAGAAATGAGAGGAAAATGAAAACTCGAAGTTTTCTTCTGGTGAAATTCTCGGGAAGCACATTTTCTACCATCTGTTACATTACATACATGTGTGAAAAAGAGCTCGTTAAATTGCAGCTGAGAAAACTCGGAAATTTGGTTGAAATGATCCAAAATATATGAGTTCCTCATTCATAATGCTCTCAATTTCCGGCCGAAGAAGAAAACTTTTTTTTGGCGGCACGGGGACAATCGAGGTATGATTGCACTGAATTTTATTTGAAGCATAGAACTTTTTTTGGCGGATTTCTTAAAGAGATCTGCAAATCGACCTCTACTTATCAGCCTTTTCATTAGTTTTTTTTTTTCACTTTCAAAAAAATCATTTCCTTTTTTTTGATGGCTATATGATTCATCATTTTTAATGCCACTTCAGAGTATGAGAAAACTTTGGAGCGAAAATCTTGCAAAAAGGCGTTTAGTACGGTCCAGTGAACCCTTAGGCCGTTAAACTTTATGCTTGGAAAATCATAAAAATTAATTAAAATGGGGGCGTTTTTCTGAATAATCTTTTTCTCCTTCTTCCACCAGGTGAGTTTTGGATGCTGGATTCAATTATGATCTTGAAAATTTGCCAAAGAGACCTGGGAAAGATGTGAGGATCTTTAAAAAAAAACGTTTTTTTTCCTTAAGGTTTTAATGTTTAAAGTTACGTGTGTAAATTAAACTTACAAAATTTGTCGAGCCTTCTGTGAGCCTACTATATACGAGCTCGTCTCAATGTACCGTTTTCTTTTTCCGAAATTCAAGCTTCAAACGCAAAACAGCTCAACTAAACGCTCTTTTTTCTCGCATTTTTTTCCCGAATAACAATCAAAATTGAAGCCGACCACAACCAGCAGCGGTATAATAAGGGTCGTGAGATGGGAGAAGAAAAAAACGAGAGAGGTTTAATTGAAGACGCGCGGGAGCCGCAGAAGGCCTGGGCGCGGCGCCAGAATGAACGCCGAGCGAAAGAAGGGGCGGCGACGCGAAAGCAACGCCAAAAAAAGGAAGATGAAAAAAAAAACAAAGAAATAAAGGAAGCGACCCGGAGAATGGGACAATCGTCGGGACTTTGAATCTAATTTTTTGTTTTTAGCTTGAACCTTGAACAAAAAATCTGAGCCGTCTGGGATTATTTTTTTGGTTGAAAAACAGAGGATAGAGCCAGAATGAGGAATTTTTTAGATTTTTAGTAATTTTTTAATTTTATAGGCTCACATGACCTAATACAACACAAAAAACTGTGGTTCGTTTCGAAACCCTTTCAAAAATCTTTTGCACGATCAAGAATTTTCGAACTGACTTTACACTAACGAATTCAGAAAAAAGCTCGAAAATTTCGGTTCTAGAAGCTGAAAACAGTGTAAGTCATAGCACGGCCGTACACAAGAGACGCCAGAGAAAGAAGAAATTCGACTTCTCTGACGTCTCTTCAGGTCACCTTTTTTGGATTTCACTCTTTTGGACCGCTTTAAAATGATTATCACAACTTTTACATGGGGAGGCTTCGACATAGCTGAAAATTGAATTATCTCTGGACACTTCGGGCTCTAACAATTGAAGTCCAGAAATCTTTCCTTAAGAATGAAAGCTGAAACGTACCATTGCTGCGACGACTGCCGTTGCTGCCGACGCTCGTCGTCGGCGACAACTGACGTCGTGCGGCCGAAGACGCGTCCGGCGAAGCCGTCGAAGAGCCGGCGGTTGAGCTCGCCGACGACGACACCGACGCGACGAACGCCGCGACGCCGCGGCTCAGAAACCCGAAAATGGTGGCGAAAGGAGGGAATCAGTGGAAAATATTGGTTGAAATCGAGAGCCAACGCTCGGATGATTTATTTCGTTTTAGAATTTATAATATACAATTTCAGATTTTTGGAATCACTGCGGCGCCTGCAAAACCGTCCGACGGCGTCTTGACCTCGCCGCTTTCGGCTCTTCTAAAAAATAAAATTGAAATAAATCATGAAAAACGAGACGAAACAAATTCGCGTGAACTTTTATGAATAAAAAACCTAAAGTTCTCGGGAATTTAATATCAAGCCGTATTCAGTCCAATCAGCTGAGGAGTTTAAAGGAGCATGGTCTCGTGGAGAAGAGCCACGATTAATGTTAGTCATGCGACTTTTAAAAAAAAAGCAGAAATCTGTTGTGAGCCGACTATATGAGCCAGACAAGAGGAAGCACATCGAAAAGATTAAAAAATGGCATAAAAACGTTTTCAATAGAAAGGACTATAGAAAAATGCGAGTAGAATAGAACGGATATTCGGCTGCCGATAGCAAAAAAAAAACAGCATGACATGGCTTTTTTCACACTTTCACTCAATATTATAGCGTTTCGAAAAACTCGAAAATTAAAAATTCTCGCATTCCAATTAAATCTCACACACGATCACAATTATATCGCAATCATCAAATTATAGCACCTCTAATTAACTTCCCAGTACAAATTTCCCACCGAGAACTCCAAGAATTCAAGTACAAACTCGGAGAAATTATAGCCAAAGCTGGAAATCGGGCAAACCCTCGTAATAAATTACGTTAGAAAGAAAAATCACCGCGGAGGCCCATAGAAAGGGGAAAAAAGGTGCACTTTTCGGTGGCAGTTCATATCATGTGCTATAGCAATTGGGACCGAAATTCCCCGAACGACATCGTTCGTGAGAATTGGCAAGGAGTCAAAATAACTCGTTTTCGGCTAGCGATTAAAAAGAGCAAAACTGCTCATTAAGAAAAATAAACAGGCAAGCTGGAGAGTTTGATTGGCAACCGAAAACCAAAGAGAAATATTTCAGAAAAGATAAATTTAGACTCTTTACGATGTAAAGAGTTTCTCAGAAGTTAATTTTTACTAGGAATAAAATAGACAACAGAAAACACATAAGAAGTGAACGTCTTTTGTGAAATAAACAGGAAAAAAAAAACAAAAAAAAATTTCAAACAATTTTTTCTAACTTGATCGTAAAATAAATAGTTCAGGACGTAGTGGTGTATGCAGTAAAAACTCACTACGCGTAAATTTGCAAAAAAATCGCATGAAAACCCTTTTTTTCACATTTAATATTTTTTTCAATTTACTTTTACTTGTCAGAGTTTCGATATTTTTTTTTTTTGAAGGCACAGTAGCCTGACATAACTTTGAATAATTTTAAAATCAGATTTCTGCATCGAGAAAATGACTTTTTCGCCTTCTCTTTTGAAGATACTTGGAATGAAATAATCCTGACACCAAAACGACAAAAAGTATACGCCTTTGTGAGATAAAAATTAAAAAAAAAACAAAACAAAACAAAAACGTTTTTCAACTTGCTCGTAAAATAAATAGTTCAGGACGCATTGGTGTATGCGGTAAAAAAACTCACTACGCGCAAGTTTGAAAAAAATATTGAAGATTTTGTTTTTCTCTTTTTGCTTGTCAGAGTCTCAAAAAAAAAATATATTTTTGTATTCTGAAATAACTTTGAATAACTCTTAAATCAGATCCGCATCGAGACAATGAATTCTTTGCCTTCTTTTGAAGATTTTTGATCTCATTACGGGCCAAGAAAATCTCTGCGGATTAGATTTCACTGTCAGGACCGCAAAACATCCTTCTTTGTTTTTCTTTTTCGGTTAAACCTTGATAAAATCGCAATCAAAGAGAAAACCAGCTTCCAAAACAAGAAGGCCGTCTAAAAAGGCAAAAAAAGAAGATGAAATTGAGTGACGACCGCAGCCGATGTCTTCTCCGATGTCTTCTCATCTGTGTTCTATTCCAATTTCTCTAACACTAACCCTCAACCTTTCCCAGCTCTTCCCTCACCTGAACCTATTAACTGTAGTATATTTTTCTCCCCCGATGTTGTTTATAAATTTCTTGCCTCTCTACCTCCGAAATGTGGATTTTCCACTGATAATATTAACTTTCTTGTTCTTAAAAGATGTGCTAGATCTTTAAGCCTTCCCCTGTCTCTCCTATTTAATGAATCCTATTTAACTGGTGTTATCCCCTCTTCTCTAAAACACACTACGGTCATACCTGTACATAAAAAAGGCAGTTTGTCTGACCCTTCCAATTTCCGTCCGATCTCTCTCACTCATCCTATATCACGTGTATTGGAACGTATTATCGCCCATATGGTTAGAAATCGATTCGCTCATAAATTCTCTCGATTTCAATATGGATTTTTAAACCGTAGATCTTGCAAACTCTCTCTCATCTCTTCTATATCCGACATAAAAAAAGTCCTTGGCCTCCAATCTAAATGTCGATGTTATTTACTTTGATTTCAGCAAAGCTTTTTGATAGAGTAGATCACAATTTGCTACGTCTTAAAATGCTAAACTTTGGTTTTGATAATACTCTGAGCCGTTGGTTCTCTAATTTTTTATCTCACAGAAGTTCAATTGTTAAGGTCAACAAGTCTTTTTGCCAACAATTGCTTTTCCCAACCCTTCCGGTGTCCTCCAAGGCACTGTCAGCGGCCCTCTCCTCTTCCTCATTTTTCATCAACGATATCGAAAATTACATTGATTCCTCTACTTCTATCTCAATTTTTGCGGATGATATTAAAATCTATAGCTCCTGTCCCAGATCTCTCCAATCAAGCATTAACGGTATCCTTGAATGGTCTCATATTTGGTCTCTCCCACTCGCCTCAAACAAAACGTTCTCTGTTCACTTTGGCCCAAATAATCCTCGCACCCCTTTACTATGTTGACCTCCTTGAAGTTCCTCAAAGCTCCATAGTACGTGACCTTGGTTTATTTATCGATGACAAGCTTTCCTTTAAACAACACATCAGCCGTATTGCTGCTTTTTGCCACCTTACGTTCTAATCAAATACTGAATACCTTCAAGTTCTCTTCACCTTTTAACTACTTCCGTATGTTTCAAACCTACGTTAATCCAGTCCTTGAATATTGCTCTGAGCTTTTTCTCACCCGCCATTTCCTCTGAGGAATCTCACAAACTTGAATCTTCACTGCGTCTTTTTTTAGTCGGAAAGTTTTTCATTCGTTGTAATGTTAGTTTCACTTCTTACTCAGATCGCCTTAGTCAATTTAACATCAAACCGTTATTCATTCGTCGTGAAATTTGTGACATTATCACCTTGCATAAAAATCATCTGTGGCTCTGATCATTTTCTCGATCGCAATAAGTATTTCACTCAATCCCTGTTACAGAGAAATCCACTTCGACTACGGACTACTGGTCAGTTTTTCTAATGACTTTTTTTCTAGAACTATTCCTCTTTGGAATAAACTAACTTCTTATTTAGATTTTTAACGTTACCCCAGAAACTCTGCGTAAAAAAAGTTGAATGCTCTTCCGTTTGAAGCCTTTCATGAAAATATCCCCTCTCGTCTCCTGTGAATTTGCCATATTTCCGGGTACCCGTCAACTCGTTGGGGTTGACTCTTTCCCGTGTATTGTTAATTCTCTGCCTATTCCTTCACTTGATCATCTATTCTTCAATTATATGTTAAATAATGGCAGTGAATAAACTATCTATCATACTTGGAATGAAATAATCCTGACACCAAAACGACAAAAAGTATACGCCTTTGTGAGATAAAAAAATTAAAAACAAAAACAAAACAAAAAAACGTTTTTTTCAACTTGCTCGTAAAATAAATAGTTCAGGACGCATTGGTGTATGCGGTAAAAAAACTCACTACGCGCAAGTTTGAAAAAAATATTGAAGATTTTGTTTTTCTCTTTTTGCTTGTCAGAGTCTCAGATATATATTTTTTTGTATTCTGAAATAACTTTGAATAACTCTTAAATCAGATCCGCATCGAGACAATGAATTCTTTGCCTTCTTTTGAAGATTTTTGATCTCATTACGGGCCAAGAAAATCTCTGCGGATTAGATTTCACTGTCAGGACCGCAAAACATCCTTCTTTGTTTTTCTTTTTCGGTTAAACCTTGATAAAATCGCAATCAAAGAGAAAACCAGCTTCCAAAACAAGAAGGCCGTCTAAAAAGGCAAAAAAAGAAGATGAAATTGAGTGACGACCGCAGCGATGCCACGATTAATTTAATTTCGCCGCCGCAAAGGCACCCCAAACTTTTCCTGGGCAAACTTTCCCCATCAATCCTTTCGAAAAAATTAAGAAACTTTCTTTTTTTTGCAGTGCGAAAAGCCAGGAAAGTGAGCCGAAAAGGAGGCACGAGAGGATGAACCGCCACTTTTTTGAATATGCGATTAGGCGGGAGAGCCGTCTGTCACATATATATGTGTATATATATATTCCGGCAGCCTCCTTTTCAACACACTAATTTTCGAGGCGAAAATAAATTTGAATTAAAATGAGATATGCGCGAAAAAAAAAAAGGCGGTTCGTTTCGGAACCCATACTCAAACCAATATTATAATTCGCTGAATAATTTTTGCAACGGAGAGAAAAATTGAGCAAGAAGTTGAAAAATGACAGCAGCGCTGCATTGAATTAAGTGATCACTTGAGGGTACTTGAAAGACACTTTAGAGACTTCTGAATAATTTTCGAACTTTTGCCACTTTTCTCTCTGAGTTCTCTCAAAATTTAATATCTTTTTTTTTTGGTTTAACTCTCCCAAGTCGAACTATATATGATACAAGCTTTTTTTGAGCATTTTCGAATCAAACTCCTTGATTTTTCGACTCATCTAAAGACGCTGAAAGTACCACAAAAAAGAGCAAAAAACCTGGAAAATCGCATTTTCGGAAACAAAACCATTAAACGGACAACGTTAGGTGGAAGTGAAGAGAAAAAATTCACACCGGTGAATCTTTTTACGGCCCTCATTCCATGCTCCATTAATTTTATACAGTCGGCCTCCTATTTTGATCTCAATTCGTCATTTTCCCATCAAAATAACCAACTTTTCAGAATTTGAGAAAAAACTCTCACAAAATCGCAAAACATAGAGAAAATCTGGTTTCTCTGTTGCCTCTTATCTCTCAGCGTCTTTTCGTAAATATTTCTATGACCTCACCGGTGAGAGATAAGAGGGCACAGACAAACCAGACTTTCGCAGATCTTCGCGAATGACTTTTGTTCTACAACTATGAACTTTCAATACTTGGAAGGCTCTCAAAAGCTTAATGAGTATAGTGCGTTACACGCGAAATAGTCACGTTTTAAAATAACAGAAATGTTTTTTCAAACAACCTTTTGCTCTACAAAACTGGTCAAAAGACAGCAAAAAACAAAGGTCTTGAAGCGAAGATGCTTAATTTTGGTATAGGGTACTTTCGGCGGTAAGAAAAACGTGACAAGCTGGCTGTATCTTTCAAATCTGCTAAAAAGTACAAAATGAAACGCATGTAAATAAGAAAATGCTCGCGGAGCACGTTCGCAGGTATGCATATCTCGACCCAAAACCACGTGTTCTCTTTTTCTCTCTCATTTTTTTTTGTTGTGTCGTTGGCCGGAAAAATAGAAAAGCGTGAGCGGCGAAAAAAAAGGTATTGTATTTCTCGGAGAAGAAAAGTTCCCAGGAACTTTTTGAATAATAAGTTGGCTGATGTAATAAGTTTTGGATGATGGGAATTTCAAGCCTTTCGAAAAAAAAAAGATTTCAAGGGATCACTCGAGGGACCAACAAGACGCTTGCTAACCCTACTAAATGAGCCAAACTTTGCTCCTCATTAAGACTTTCAGCGCGAGGAGCAAAAAACAAAGGGAATTTTCCGCTCGGCTTCTCAAATAAGGCTTTCCTTTCTCCCAAATGTTTTCGAGTCGAGAAAAAGGCCTGGGAGGAATTTATTGGAAGTTGATTTGGATGTGTTTAACCTATAGATAAAAACCTGTTTAGAAATCATGCTAGAAAATAAGTTCCTGTTTTAATTAATAAAATCTGAAATCAAGAAAAAATATACGAACGACAAAAATAACTGAATCGATTTTTGAAAGAGGGTTATTTATAATGAAGGGTTGAAAGTTGTTATTGCCCTATAAATGATATTGCGGGTTGGAAAACAATTAAAAGTGGGTCAAAATTTGATCTTCACTGTTTGATCGGCATTATAACTGCAAGATTTTCAAAATGTTATGCTGTATAATCAATGAAAAATCAGAAAAAAACGACTCATTGTTCCAAAAAAAGAAAAAAAGACAAGTTTTATAAAGGTCTCGAAGAGTTATTGTCAGAACCATTTTTTCAAAATTTCAAGAAAAACTTTTTTTGGGGGTCATATGACAAGGAAGAGGGTTCAAACCATCATTCCTTTTTTCAATATTCCGCAATTATAGCAAAAAGTAAGCCGAACAAATGAAAAATGACAAAAGTCCAGAAAAAGCGGTATAAAAGAGCATATTCAAAATTCATAAAGGTCTCGCGGAAAAAAGCAACATTTTCTGTTGTTTTTGGTAACATTTCTAGAATCTTCTATAGTGATTTGAACAGACGTAACTAAAAATACGTGCCGAAGTACTAATAGGTGTTTAATTTTGGAGGAAACTGTCCCAACTCTAATTCAACACGGAAAGGTGGTTATGCATGTTTTGAATGAATTTCAAAACAAACGTCATAGCAAAAAAAAATATGGTCCAAAGAACCGAAACGTGATTATTTTGAACTTTCTGCACCACCAGTAAAGGACAGCAATTAACCCAACCTGATGAATAATGTTCACAGACCAAAAAGCAAAGAAAAGGGTTCAAACCATCTCTCAATTCCATAGAAAACTACGCCAAAACCAGCAGCAAAGGACAGAAATTAACCTAACCTGATGAATAATGCGAAAAAGGATCGGAAAAGGCGGTATAAACAAGGAGAGCGACGGGAAAAAGTGCACACACACGGGTGGCAGCGAGACAAACACTCAAAAGAGGCAGGAAAAGGGGAGGCAAAAGCAGCGGCAATGAGCGTGTGAGCGAACTTTCGCTCACGCTCACCGGAAAAAAAAAGAAGCTCAAACATGGGCCGAGCAGAAGTGAAAAAAAGAAGAAGAAGAAGGAGGAGAAGGAAAAATAGAAGAAGCATGGCGACTGGACGTGACGTCATCTCGGTGCCGTTCACAGGTCTATTCATAACCACGCGTGTTTCAGTAATCCGTCAAAACGTCATGAGGTGGAACTTTGAAAGGGCAGAGAATATAGAGATCTTTTGGTTGGGAAAAGCTGCTGAGAGAGTTTTGGAAGTATTTAATTCAAAGATCTGGTCTCTCTAGGAAAAATGGTCCTAAAACCTTTGACAATTCAGTTATGGAAAATTCGAAATTTTTTGCTCGAGGAGCTCAAAATTCCAACGTAAATTCGCTCCATGGAGAATTTTGGAAGAGTTGAAATTTTTCTGAATAATTCTCACCCAAAAAGGCTCAGTGATCATTGATTCTTGTCATCACGAGAGGAAAGAAATAAATATATTTTTCTCTTTGATTAGGAGAATTTTCCAGAATCAGCTAATTGAGATCTCTAAAGGCACGTGTGAGACAAGGTGAACCTCAAAAATTATTTTTTCCAACTTTTGCAACAAATAAGCGAGTATTCTCATGGAGAAGAGACGAGAGGGACAGGATATACTCTCCGAAAATAAGCTTAATCAGAGGCATCGAACTTTTCGACTTTTGAGAGTCTACAACTTTTTTTCACAAGCCTTGAGGGAAACTTTTGAAGACAGATTCGGAATCAGCGTAAAAAACTTCATGTAGATAGCTTAGTTTCATTCAGAAGTCCCACTGTGAGCTGAGAAAGTTCACTACAAAGAAGGTCAATTTTTTATAGTTGGGAATTTTCTGTAAAATCGGCCAGAATGCTTCTTGATGTACCAGAAACAGATTCTGACAGCCTCAACCTGCACAACTTCCTAGTTTTCGAAAAGAGAACTTAAGAACCTAAAAAAGCCTATTTTTATGGGTTTTGAGGGCTTTCTTTGACTTCTAGGTGTTCTTTTTCGGAAACTAGGAGGTCGGGCAGGTTGAGACTTTCAGAATCTTCATCTGGTACATCAAGGAGTTTTCTGACCGATTTTCAGGAAATTCCCTAAGTAGAATAACCTTCCTTGTTAGTTAGAAAAGGTTCCAAGGGTTTTGCAGTGTTAAATAAATCAAGTTGACAAAAGAAAGGTTTTTAAGAACTCCGAGAGACAAAAAAGCTCGAAAAGTCGAAGAGAAGATGAATGAAGGGACTTCCAATCTCGAAATGCGCTTGGGGATTTCAAAAAAAACGTTCCACATTCAACACAGAACGACACGTTTCCATAGTTTTTTTCTTTTTCAATTAAAAAGAAAGTTTTCGAGGAGAGGGGAAAGCGGAGCACTTATTCCCATTTGTAAATAATGTAATTCAACACTGAAAGCTGGCAAAAAAAGTAACAGAAGGGGAAAAAATTGGGCAAAAGCCCCTCAGCCGTGTATTTACTTGTTGAAGTGGTGTGGAACGCGTCAAATGCGAGAAAAACTTCTTTTTGTCAAAACTTAGGGAAAAACTATGGGGACAAGAAAAAGCGAGAAAACGTGGGATCCCATAGACAAAATTAAAAAAATACCAGCTTTAGTTAATTTTTTCAGATGGTCGGATAAACCTTAGAACATGGTAGATTGCTGTAGAGCCTTTTTATTTTTTTAATGAAAAAAAGCGTGAAAACGCATTTATATTAAAAGTGGATCTCCTAGACAAAAATTCGAAAAACTGTTTTTGGTCCATTTTTCCAGACAGTCCACTAAACCGTAGAACATGGTAGGTTACTGTAAAACCTGATTTTTTTTTTGAAGGGTGAAAAAAACCTTCTGATTAAAAGTGGATTATTTAGACAAAATTTGAAAAAAATCAGTCTTGGTCCATTTTTCCAGACAGTCTGGTAAACTGTAGAACATGGTAGGTTACTGTAGAGCTTAATTTTTTTCTTTCTTTTATTATTGAAATTAATGGAATGAACTACAGAAAGATACTAATAATCTCTCTTCCTCTCTTTTAAAAAAATAGGTGAAAACCTAACACGAAAAAAACCCAAGATTTGGAGCTACTTTATACTGTGTTGCAATCACTACTTGGAAAGAAAAAAACTAAAAAACAGCCCAATGTTTCCAACAAAAAAAGCTATTTTCTCCAAAAATTCCGAAAGAAATAACCTGAAGGATCCCTCTCAGAGCTGTCGTACCCCTCCTGGCCCAACCTACTGAGCAAATCGACGAATTGCGAACTCGACAGCGGGTATTTCATCATGAACTGGTGCAAACAGCTGCAAAATGGACCATATTTTCATTGGAAATGACCCTGGGACGGCCTACAAAAACTGATTGAGGCGATACGAATCGGCGAACCGGCTGCTGGGCATCTGATCCAGGGTTTCTTGGAGTTTCGGAGCAGGTCGACAGAAGGGAGGATGTCGCAGAAGGAGCGAGAGACAAGCCATCCGACTTGTGGTTATCTGAATTGATAGTGATGGGTTTTTTCGCTGTAATAGATAAATGGGGGGATAAAAAGGATAAGGAAAGAATTAGGTACAAAAAGAATTAGGTACAGAAGTTAGTCCATTTCGCGCCAGCTTGTCGCGATTTTGTTCCACCAAAAAGTTTTCTCGATACGCGCGGCCCGTCTCTGTGCATGCGCCATCAATATTGCGAATGTTCGCTATAATTTTTATCCACTTTAAAGGTGCATACACAGGAACGAAATTTAGCTTTATTAAAGGCGCATGCACAAAGACAAGAAGAACTTTGGTCTTGACGAAAACGTTGTTCGATGGTACAAAAACTTCTTATCTGAGCGTGTTTCTAATGTTCTGATCGATGGATCTCGTTCTTCTCTTACTTATCTCAATACTTCCGGTGTCCTTCAAGGAACTGTATCTGGTCCTTTGCTTTTTCTAATTTTCATCAATGATATTGTTAACTACATTGACCATGAAACCTCAATCTCTCTGTTCGCTGATGATATAAAAAAATTTACAGTTCTAACCCTGAATCTCTCCAACGTAGTATTAATTCCATATTTGAATGGTCTTCCATTTGGGGCTTGCCTCTTGCTGCGCACAAAACTTTTGCTATCAACCTTGGTCCCCTCAATCCCAAAACAACTTATTTAATCAATGGTCTGTCTATTCCCAGAAAAACCATTATCCGTGATCTAGGTGTTCTTATCGATGATAAACTAACTCTTGCTCCTCACATTAACAATATCGTTTCTTTAGCAACTCTTCGTTCCAATCAGATACTCAACTGTTTTCGTTCCAAATCACCTGATCTATTGTTCACAATTTTTAACACCTATGTAAGGCCTATTCTAGAATACTGCTCCGAAGTTTTTTTAACCCTCCCCTTAATTCTGATCTCTGCTACAAACTGGAATCTCCTCTCAGAATTTTTTTCTCGTAAAAATTTTTTTATTAGGTCCAACTTATCCTTTGAATCTTACTCTGATCGCCTTGAACAATTTGATATCTCTCCACTTTACCTCAGACGAGCTATATCTGACATTCTGACCCTTCATAAAATTGTCTTCGGTATCGATCATTTTTCCCCAGTTCGAACTTTTTTTGCCCTCAGGTCCAATTTAAGGCGAAATCCACTTCGACTGCGTTCCCAAGGTCAGTTTTTCTAATGATTTTTTTCTTTAAAACAATTCCTACTTGGAACAAACTCACTTCCAAATTTCAATTCAGCCACCACCCTAAGTCTTTAAAAAATTTACTGGTCAATCTACCAATGCACGAGATCTTCTTGTCTATTCCTCCACGACTCAAATGATGTATAACTGTATAATGTATTCTCTCAAATTCTAGATCCAAGTGAACTCGTTAGGGTTCACGCTGATCTGTCAATAAATTATTATTATTAAAAAGACAAAGTTTAGGCTGCATTTTTCGTCTTTATTAAAGGCGCAGAAACAGGGACAAAAGTTAGACTATACTTTGGTTTTTATTAAAGGCGCAGGCACAGAGACAAATTTTTTCGTCTTTATTAAAGGCGCATGCACATACTCTAATCTTAGGCTTTATTAAAGGCGCATAATCTGAGGCAAAGTTCAGGCTTTATTGAAAGCAAATGCATAGAGACCGATCTTAGGCTTTATTAAAGGCGCATAAACTGGGACGAAAACCATCAGGCTTCATTAAAGGCGCATCACAGCGGCTAGTACTCCACGCTAATTAGTGGACATTGAACAGAAAGTAAACCAGTGTTTTTTGAAAGAAAATAACTCGAAAAAACCGGAACTTGGAAGTTTATTGAAATGAGACGTGAATAACATCATTTTGAGCCTATTTCGATTTTTCCCGAAATGAACCTTTTTCTCAAGAGAATCGACGGTGACCTCAAAAGCAGCTCGCCAGATGGTTTCAATGGCGCGCAGAGATCTTTTTTCGTCTTTGGAACAGTTTTGGTCTGAAAACTTCAGGTTGAAATTGAAAAATTTAAAGTTTCTTGTTTGTTTTTTCAGTGAAAATCTTGACAAATACTTCATTTTCAAAGTTTTGAAGAGCCTCTAATCCACTTCTTCCTTTTTTGAACCTGTTTATTTTTTTCAAAACTAAGCGCTCCATTGAAATTCGAAGTGTCGGGACTAAAATGCAACTTTAGGCTTTTACCCTGAAATTTTCATAATTTTGAAAAATTTTTTTATTTTTTTAATCGATCGTCCTCATGTAGAAATGGTATTGGTGTGAGTCAAATGGGAAAGAAAAAACATCAATTTTCAGATGATAAATCCTTTTTTTGAAAGGAAATTCATTGAAATTAATTATACTCATCGCATTCATTAAGAAAAATGAAAATACCGTTCAAATTCGCGAAAACAGCGAGCAAGGGACACAGAAGTTGTGGCGTTTCCAGCTTTTCCCCAATCGATTTCAAAACATCGTCCTCCACTTCCAGAAGCTGAAAAGTTAAAAAAAAAACCTGCAAATTTGGTTGAAAAACTCACAAAATGACACTTGGCCAAAGTGGCTAGGTAGAGCTCATGGAAAGGCATGGACTTGGATGTATCTGAACAATTTTCAAACCAAACAAATCAAGTCAAAAGATACCTCGATTCGAAAACCTCTTGAAAATATTCGAAATGTTAGCCGAAGCCGAAGCGAAAGGAACTTTCGAATGAAGGGCCAAGGAATGGAAATACAAGGCTTCGATCCAATTTGCACTGGAATTTCGATTTTTTTTTAAATATTTGTTTTGAGAAACCTCAAACTCGATAAGACGCCCAATTGGTTAAGAGGGGCCCCATCAAAAGGATTGTGTCGATTCGCTTCGGTGTATAGATTTTTGGCAATTTCGAGTTCATTCTGAATTCAACGGGCTATGATCGATCGGGCGACGTCATCGTCAGTCTTGATCGAGTCTATGTTTTGTTAAAACGGTTTTCGAGGCTCTCATTGAAAAGTGATACAAAAAAAACGGTTGTAAAACACAAAAAAATAACAAAGAACAATGCTTTTAAAGGTGGACTTGGCCAAACTTAAAACTTAAAAAAAGTTAATTATGATGTTAGTTTTTTTAAATATAAGATAGGAGTCAAATTTTTTTAGATTCAGGAGAGAAATTTGCATAAGAAAATCTTTTTAAAAAAACTTGAAAAAAATTAAAATATTTCATCTGTCGAAAATAGCTTTTTGACCTGGTCAATTTGGATTTTTAAAAATGAATATAACTTTGTTCGCTTTGCGAAATTTACGAAAAAAATTATATTTTTTTGTATTCAGCGGAAAAATTCTGAACAAGAATTCGCTTCACGAACTTTCAAAGAGAGGTTTCTTCTCTAGAGACTGAATAAACTTGACCCTGAACAGTTTTTTTCTTCCAGGCAACGCTCCCCCCTCAGGCCAGCTCTCACCTTGTACCGCATCAGGTCGCCCATTCTCAGAGCGACGAAGGCGCAGAAGGCCATGGCGGCGGGTTTCCTCACTGCTTTCGCAGTTTTCTTCCGAAGTACGGACGAAAGTCGCATCGGCTCAAATTCAACTTCAGGAAGAATGAAGTTCTGTTGAACCACTAGACACAGGTCGGACAACATGCAAACGCAGAGGTTCACGGCATTTTCCCTGACCTGAAAAAGTTCTTGCTTAAAATTGCAACTTCCACTAAAGCAACTACTCAGAACCGGACAATCCTGAGTCACTCTAGTAATCACTAAATGGCTGAGAATCTTTTGGAACGCGTATGTCTCAGAGAAGCTCATTCGCCTCGAATCGAAAAAGTCTGACCTGTCTGCGCTCTCCTCTCTCTTTTCAGGAAAGGCTTACTACTGATTCCAGAGTGTACCCTATATGGATTAGGGAGAAAAACAACCGCAATAGAAGCCCAAAAAGCGGTCCCTTCCTGGGTAAAGTTTGAGTAGTCCTTGGGAGTAGTGTGTTCCTTATCTAGACCCGCTTCCAGAAGCTGTTCAGCTTCTTTGAAGCCATATATTTTTATACGTGTTTTGCAGAAACCAAAATAGTTTTCCCGAGTATCTACCCAATCTTTGCCGGAAACCAAAATCCATACTGAACATTCTTTATTTTGATTTTCAAATTTTTTTCTTGAAAGCTTAGCGTGGTATTGATAGTTTTTTTTTTCTTGTAAAGGTTATTACTTTCATCAATAAATGTTCCTACTGACTCTGGAAAAAATTTCTAAAAAATCTGCAAAAATAATTTTCGGTACTGACAAGGTAGTACTGAACGAGTAGCACTGATGGCCCCCCGGCATCAATGTTCTCTTGGGGCCAGACTCCTCAGGACCTAGAGCTCGAGTGGTCCCTATAGGGGCCTTCCTCTTTTTTCGGCTTTGAAAATGAACGATAATCGACTAGGATGTATATATACCCTATAGGGGTCACTCTTGCAAGCTTTATTGGCTCCTATAGGGGTTGATAATGTGATCCCTAGAGGGACCACTCTGGGGTTGTTAAGCAACTTGAAAATCGCAGGAAAAATGAGAGTATGGCTTAGAAAAGAGAAAGGCAGAGAAATCAGACCTTTTGATTTCTTTTTTTAAAAGTTCCGACTCGATACGTTACACCTTTAGAACTCAAAAAAGGGGCGTGGCCAGCCAATCAAAGAATTTGTGCGGTGGAGCAAACTTGGTAAGCGAAAACGGCTATTTTCAGTATTTTTAAACATTTTTATCTTTATAACCTTATTTGGTTTCTTTTTTGATCTATTTTCCCAAATATTCATTTAAAAATTCAAAAAATCACCGCAGATTCCGAACTGGCCGTGGCGTCAATCGTCGTTTTGAGATTCAACCAAAAAACTCCGTCCAACTGAACGGCCATCGACTTTTCCAAGTCCTCTATGAACAGTTTGGTGATGAACTGAACTTTTTTTCTGTTCGAATAACTTTTCTCATACAAACCTGGGTGTTGTCAATGACAGCGTCAGCGCTTTTTCTCAAATATTTCAGCTTTTTATAGGATTGTTCCCAATTTTCTTGCGTATTTTTCGTCATTTTTCACTGAAATCAAAGCAACGCTTATATTTTCCATTCACCAAAGCTTGTCTGATTTCTCTGCACTCTCTCCTCTCTCACTATATTTTTCCATTTCTATAACTTTACGGTGAGAGAAAAGAGACGCAGATAGGTCAGAATTTTTCAAGCCATTGAGAATTTACAGCAAAATAGTGCACGTAAAGAAGAGATTCAGGGGTCTTTTTAGTCCAAAGGGGAACGCAGTGAAACTGAAAAGTCTGGAATAGCTAATTTAAGTCGCACCCGACCTGAAACTACTTACGCGCGGGAAAGCGAGCAAAAAGCCGAAGCTTTGACCCATTCCAAATGCGAGCGTAGCTCTTAAAATTGAGACTCGCGGTCGCATTTGGAAAGGCTAGAAGCTGCGACGCAAATGCACCCGACTGAAAACGGCTTGGCGCGCTTTGACATCGACTTTTTTTTTCGAAACATGACGTAGTCTTGGTTTCTTCTACCCAACATCCAACTTTCAACAAAATGTCTTTCAAACATCATTTACCCGGCAAAAGGAATGATACTCAAAAAGGAGAGCAGGCGTCAGATACACAATAAAAAGAGTTAATTTGTTTCAAAGACGGGGGGCAAAATACACATTAAAACGTCGTTGCACAAAAGAGCACACATTTTTTTTTTTCGTATTCACAAATTTGAGAATTCCGGGGGATACACGAAGGTTTGGAAAGAGGATGGAAAATGCTTTAAACAATCTATTATCACATTTGAGAGCACTGGAGAGACAGTTGAGATATGCTTCCGGGGCGTAATTCCTACGCGACAGTACAGAAAATGTTTTTCTTCTTCAAAGCTCATCGCTTCCAAAGAACATATACAAAAGAAAAGAATATTTTTAGGCGGCCTAAACTCGATAAAACGACACCAGAAAACGGTGCATACAACCAGAAAAAGTGGTTTTTTTTGTTTCATGAAAAAAAATGTTTCTAAGTGAAAAGATCTAGTGAAACACATATAATTGCACACATTGAACAAGAAAAAAAGGGAGATAAAAATGATCAGATCAAGCCGTACACGTTGTTGTAGGTCTTGTGTGGGAAGTGAGGGGTCATGTGGAAGGCGGCGGAGATGAACGTCGGCATGGACTCGTTCGCCTCGGCAAGGCGACCTGTAGCTGAACTCAGATTCGGCGACGACTGCGAGCGCGTCAGCTTCGGCAACGTTATGTTTCGCAATCGCTCCAGGACCTAGAAGAGCGTTTTTTTAAAGTCAAGATTTCGATTTCATCTATTTCGAGCAATTGGGTTCACTGCTGGCTTAAGCTTGAAATTCAAAAAAGTCTCGAAAGGAAGATAAAAAACAGCTTGGGAATGTAAAAGAAATAGATGTTTTGATACATTTTCCATCATTTTTCTTGAATTATGAGCATTTAAAAAAGATCTATGAAAACAATTCGGCCCGACTTAAAAAAGTCTGACCATTCTGCGCTCTCTTTACTCTCACCGATAGGGTCAAGGCTTCAGTGCCGTAAACACCTTATTTTTAAACATTTTCCTTTGAACCTCGTGGTGAGAATATGCCAATATCGATCAGGATTGAAGAAAAACAACGTAAAGCCATAGAAAGTCCCATAAAAGGTGATAAACGTCATACTTAAGAAGACAGCTTAATGATAATTTTTGATCTCCACTGTACTTCCTCCCAAAGTTTGAAAGCAATCTATTTCTTGCCAATACCACCCTCCTCAGATCAAAAACTATACTTATACCTTGTATTATAAAGTTTTTTGAAGGTCATCCTCCCGGATTTATTGATTTCTTTGTCCCACGTATGTCACCAAACAAACCTCGTTGAACTCCGGCCGTTCTTCCCGACTGAACTTGATACACCGTTCATAGAGCGACATCAGTACTCGAGGAGTATCCACGCGGATTTTCGCAGCGTCGGGTCTCAAATACCCTCGTCCAACCTAAAATGAGAAACTTTTTATGGAACAAATGGAAGAACGGACCATGAACAAGATCTGATCACGATTGTTAATGTTCGAATAAGGCAAGGAGCCCGACAGAACTTCATATATACAGATTCCGAACGCATAAACGTCGGACTTGGTCGTGTAGGGGTTGGGATCTTGCATTCGGATGACTTCGGGAGCCTGGAAAATGAAAAATTGTATGGTTCAAGGGATTCACAACCTTGAAGAATTTACTTCGATTTAAAAATTGAGAAAAGACAGAATAAACTTTCAATTAAATCAAGAGGATAAGGAGATGATATGTCTGAACTTTCTGTAGCGAGAGAGCGTTTTAAAATTGAGAGCCCAGACATTTCGTCTCTAGGCGCTCTCTTCTTTTCATGTGATCTCTAGTTTCCTAAGCTTTTAACGTACACTCAATGATACGGGAACAAAAACCTGAAGAGACTACAGAGAAAAAGAGATTTCTCTGGTGTCTCTTCAGGGTGCTCTGCTTGCTTACTAGATCTCATTTTCTGCGCTTTCTACCTTGAAAATTAACAAAAAAACTGAAAACTTCTTCGTAATAAGACCCATAACTTTACATATTTTGACGTTTTCAAATTTGAAGAAACAAAAGTTTTGTCTTTAGAAGATCTCTTCTTCTTACGTGGTCTCTAGTTTCATAAGCTTCTAACTTAGAATCCATGACACGGGAATAACAACCTGAAGAGACTCCAGAAAAAAAGAAATTTCTCTGGCCTCTCTTCAGGGTTCTCTGCTCTCTCGCTACTTCTCATTTTTTTTAGGTACTTTCTCTGGCGTCTCTTTAAAATTCTCTGCTCTCTCGCTCCTTCTCATTTTTAGGTCTTTTCTCTGGCGTCTCTTCAGGGTGCTCTGCTCTCTGAATCGTTTTTCTCTCTAGGTCATTTTCTGCGCTTTTTCTTTTCGAATTTACAAAAAATGAGTAAATCCCTTCGCCTAAACTCAAAAATCTACCCATTCTTCTTTGCTAAAAAATTTTCGACTATCTTTTTTTCGAAAAATAAAAATCACCATCCACAAGATGCTGCCAGTGGGCTGTTGGTTCTGCTGCCCGGCCGTCCACTTCGATTTTACCGTGGCCAAGCCGAAATCGCCAATTTTCACCGTGGTCATGTCGTCCATCAGGAAAATGTTGTTCGTTTTCAGGTCCCTAGAAGATGAAAAACTGTTTCAATAGCTCCAATTGTAATTCCAACCGATGGATGATGCTCTTCGAATGGAGATAGTTCATTCCCAAGGCGATTTGCTTGAAAATGTCCAGGACGGCGCTCATTTCAAACTCGATTTTCGGTTCTGAAGAATTTTTTCGTGAGTTTCTACGGCAAAGACTTGAGATTAAGCTGACTTTTTGCCGTCAAACTTTTTTCTAAATGATTCTTCTACTCACCAACACAATGGATATGTTTGTAGAGACTACTTCCTTCACACCACTGCGTGATAATCGCCAATTCCGGCTCTCTGACCCATCCCATGAAGAGCAGAACGTTGGAATGCCGTGTCTTTTTCAGCACAGCCACCTAGAAAATCGAAATTTTAAGGTTCTTAATGAAAATATTCGAATATTCACATATAGTTTAGGACTCTAAGTGGGGGGGTCTGTATAACCATTATAACCTTTTTCAATTATAATTATCGTGTCAGGACCCATTTTTTTCAATGGCTCAAAGCAGCCGTAAATCAATTATAATCAACATTCGAGAAAAAAAAATAACTAAAAAATTTAGCCACTTTTTTTAAAATTTTCATAGCTTATCCCACTTTTTCTTCCAAGTGATTTCAAGGTCGTTGGGAGCCAGATTTCGTTCAGAATTTATCACAATCAAACATTTGAGAATTATTGCCAAGTGCGAATCAAAAATTTTCAAAATTGAAAAAGAATCAAAAAAAAATCCAAAATTTTGAACATCAATTTAAAAATTCGTATTTCCAATACCTGACTAGGGAACCACGCGAAATTTTTCAATCTGTCCATTTTCAGCAATATTTTTCTCCGTACCTCATCGGGATTTGCAAATAATACATATTGTTATCAAGTATTTTGACCTAGGCTCATAAAGCGCCTAAATCCGCAAATTAGAGTTCGCAAAACCGTCAGAAAAAACAAAATTTTCCTATTCTACAAGAAAACTTGATCATTTTTGACAATGAAAAACTACAAAAAAGCAATTTTAACCTCGTTTTTGAAAGCCTGCAGCTGCTGCAGCGTCGGCTCTCCAACGTTGAGTTTCTTGATGGCCACCGTTCCGAAAAATTCGCCTCGATATACAGTTCCAAAGGACCCTGACCCGACTTTGACATGAATCTTCAATAAAAAATATTAGTTTCTTCCTTTATTTTTCCAAAAGATACCGTATAATCAGCGGCTTGAACTTCCCAATCCTCATGAGTCAGTTTGTTCTGCAGGGCTCGGGTCCTCTGAGGTTCCAGCCGTTCTCCGGGAGACCTGCTCCGATTTCGGAAGAAGACCGGGGAGACCTGATAATGACAGTTTTCAACAATAATTTCTGAAGAATGGCAACCTTTTGAGGAGGAGCGCTTTGAGGCGGGGTCAGAGGCAGAGCGTGAAGGTGAGCCGCCGCCAGTTGGCTCATCGTCGAGCTCACGCCGGAGCTGATGACGCCTCCAGGCGGAGAAGAGCACGTGGAAGAGGGAGAGTTCGACCCAAGTGGTGAGCAGTCCAACAGCGGGTGAAGGCGGTTTGTTCGGAGGCCTGGAAAAAAGTGATACTTTCTTCTCCTTTCAACAAGTGACACAATAATAGTTCAGGAAACGTTATGTTATTGTAAAACTTATCAAGTACTTAGGAATTCCAGAGTGGTCCCTATAGGGGTAAGGGAGGAAAACAACCCCAACCCTATTCCGTTTTTTTCCCTTCTTCGCTTACAGTTCATAACAATTATCGACTAGCATTCCCCTATAAGGACCACTAACTAAAACCCGTATAGGAACTACTTTTTCGAGCTTTAGTGGCTCTAGGTTGGTGAAGTGATTCCTGGAGAGGACCCTCTAAGGTTGCCCCTATAGGGACCAGTCTGCAGTTACCAAGTAGAATTCTAATTACTCGTGTCTTGAATCCTTGAAAAATACAAAATTCTCTTTTTGGTAAGTAAAATTCAACACAAAAGTTCATTACACATTGAAAATAAAGAAAATTAGTATAATAAAGTCAAATTCCCAGGGAAACTCTCTCAAACTAATCAAAATCCATGCATTTGAGACATAAAAGAAATTATAAGAGAAATAATCCTTAAAATTCGCCTGTTTGACTTCCAAACGATAACAAAAAAAAATTGTAAGACCCCTTAGTGACCACTTAATCACTAGGGGCCTAGTGACCAGACTTTATCCGCCTGGAAGGACCACCTCAATTTTACCCCTAAAGTGAGCACTTTTGTCATCCACAGGGACTGTTTGACCCCCTGATCTCTCTAGGGACCCCTCTGGTATTTCTGATTGAATGCAACTAAATTTAGCGTGATACGACACCAAATGACCTGTATGGAAGTGATTTCTAGATTGAGCACTATTTTGTCCCCTACAGGGACTGCTTCCCCCTAACCCCTCTAGGGACCCCGAATCCAACCAAATTTACCGTGTTGCGGCACCAAATGACCCGATTGAAAGTGAGGACGCTGCCGATTTTGCGTCAAAAGCATGGAACCCGTTTGATCTCGCGATTCTTCTTCTGTAAAAATTATTTCGGGAAAATATTTTCGGAGTTCTTACCCAATCGCTGCGCTTCAATTGCATCAAGAATATGCTGCTGAAAATGAAAAAAATTCTCCATTTTAAGGAAAAAAAAATACGTACATTATGTTCAAGGTTAGCTTCATCGTTAATTGCGTTAATGTTGGGGGCAGATGAGGATCTGAAATTAGGAAATTGTGAGAAAAATGCCCATTTTTTCGTAAAATACCGATCTCTTGGGTAGGGTACAGCCGGAGAGAGCTGACTATTCTCAGCTTGCGGAGAAACGGCTTGATTCCGACGAACTCCACCAGTTCTAGAAGGAAAAAAGTAATCTTTAACTATTTCTAAAGCTCTTTTTCATGAATCCATTTCGAATGAAACCTCTCTTAAACTTTTCTAAAATCGAATTTTCTGGAAAGCACATCTGCTCCAGGACTTTCCAAAAAATGGACTTTCCAAAAAATGGAAAAAATGGAAAAAATGGATCGATAAAATAACTTGTTTCCCTACAAATTTCTCCTAGGAGTTTTTTGAATACTCAACTTCGTTTCAAAGATTCAAAAAGGATTAATTGAAATTTTTCCTCGACAAAAATCAGGATCTAAAAAACGTGATGAAGTCCTATAGTCTGTTCAGATTTTGAATGTCAAGCAGCTAACTCTACCCCCAAGGCTACAATATCTTTCGCGTCAATGTTTTATCTACAGATGACAATGGCCCTTCAATAAGGCTGCATTTTTGACTTCTTTTTCTATCTTTCAGATCAAAAAAGATCAAAATTAGTTCCGCGCGATAAAACATCGACGCGAAAAGGTACCATCTCAGCAGGGGCGGAGTTAGCTGCTTGACAAATCTGAACAGACTATACGAAATAAAATACACACAAACGTTTCCCTCGTTCAAGAAAATCTCTGACTCTCCAAAATTCTCGTTATCTTTTTAACTCTTTGAAGGTCATTTCTACCTTGCTTTTTGAGCGCGGTATTATTAATCATATCAAATAACTTTTTTCAACCTTGATATGATAGATTTGTACAAAATCGACTAAAAATCACCTCCGTATATTAGTCAAATCGTGGTGACTGCTTTCGGGAGTCGCGACGGGACTCGGACAATTATTCGGTTGTAATTGGGCCAGTACCATCTCTGCCGTTTGGGCGTCGGCTCCTTCGACTTCGGCCGCGATTTTGAATAATCGCTGGGCGATCTTAAAAAGGAGGCATACAGGCATAGGCAAAGTTGGAAAGTCATAATCAAGGCTTTTCTTAGCGAAAAGCTTAGAAAAACCTTAAGATAATCCTTCTACATAGACATAGTCAAAAAGGGTGGAAAAAGGACCATAGAAATGATCCTTTTAGAGTAAAAAAAGGTTCCTTTTTTGGTGCCTTTTTGCGCCATTCTCTCGGCTCTTATGCAACATTTTTTCTGTCTCTCCCTTTTTCCTAGAAATACCTTATTCTAGAAAAATGGAAAGCTAGATTAAGGGACTATGTTTGCTGCCTTTCTGCGGCCTTTTTCAAGCCTCTCCCTTTTAGCGGCTATTATTCACCATTTGTCCAAGAACTTTGTACAAAACGAGGGCTAAATTTTCCAAAAATTACAGCCTCGAAAGAGAATTATCGTTTAGAAACTTGGAATTATCACAAAGAAAAGCTCAAATCCCCATCAAAACTACTAGGAAAACGAAATTAGGGTCCAAGTTTTCATTAATATTTGAATGGTAATGTTAATTTGTCACTGAAAAAATTTAAAGAAAGTGAAAAAATTAAACCTAGGCCAAAAAATGTTTCCGAAACTCACCAGTTCATTATATTGAACCGACTTTAGGAGATCACAATAAAGCGGTACAAATGATGAACATCTCTGATGGAATTTGAACTGACAATTTTCACATTGATAACCCTGGAAATCAAGATTTACTATTGAAAAATTTAAAAAAAAAACAAACCATCATCCAGATCGGATTGCTACAGACGTCACAGCCCTTCGGTGGGATGAAGGTTCTTCTCACGATTGTGTGCTAAAAATATGAATTATCATTTTTTTGAGAGGGGACATTACTTTGATAGTGTTGATGGTGTTGAGATACTCGCTGTGGACCCACAGTTCGCTAGTTTCCAACCTCAGGGCGATCGATTCCAATGGTTCCTTAAGTGAAAACTCTTCAGAAAGTCGATAAAAAACTAGTTTAGGACAAATATTACAACGGAGCTTATGCCGTGTTTAAAGTGATTCCGCGAAATTCAAAATGGCTGTCAGAGAAAGAGAAAGATAACTAAATTTTGGAGGGTCTGAGGCCATTTTGCATTTCGCGGAAACTACTTTGAACATTATAAAGTTTCTACAAGGACTTCAAACTCACCGCCAGATCAATATGATCACTTTTCGGATCCGACGAGGCGCTGACGTGGCACAACTGCGGAGTTATGCCACGTTTCATCAAAAGCCTCGAAATTGCGTCACGCGCCGTTTCTCCAGGTCTTACCTGGAAAATAATGAAATTCGAAATGTTTCGAAATAATTTTGTGGAAACAAATTTATACTATAGCCCATTCACGGCGAGCTTGAGACGCTAAGGGGCATAGCCTGTCTGTGCTGTCCACTAGAAAGGCACTGTCTCTTTTCTGATCGTGTCAGGACCCATTTTTCAATGGTTCAAGCCCACCGTGAAACAGCTATATTCAGTAGTAGCCTTATACTTGATGTTTTAAGTCTGTTGATATCTTGAAAGTATATTCATCGCTCAAGCTCCGCCCCTAATGCGGTGATAAACCAATCAGAGAGCGTTTTTATGACGTCGTCCTACTTGACATTCAAAAACGATTTGTGTAACTCCAAAAATCCTTAAGTATTTCTTTAAAGGAGCATCGGCGAATATCCGAAGGTCTCAAGGCAAAGAGCCGTTTTCAGCCTTCCCTGTGCCTTTAAAAACACCAGACAGGATCTTTTTACAGATCATGTATGCTGATGAAAATAAGAAAAACTAAAAAAAAAAAACAAACCTCGAGTCTTGAATGCTGATCAAACGGCAAATGGACCGTGATCAGCCGGTTTTTCCACCTTCAAAAAAATATATAAAACTTTTTTGGAAACAAAAAAAACCTGCTATGTTCGCCGTCAGAAGACCTGCCGGACAGCGAATGCATACTGTCGCTGTGGCGCGGATTCTGAGGCGTCGAAGGGCTCAACATTGGAGATTGGTCCTGAAATATTCCATAAAGTTTCGAAAACTTCACATTTCCTGATCATATTCAGAAAATAATGAACCTTTCTCTCTGTAGAAGTGCTGGCTCTAATGCCGATCGCTCGGCTCCCGTTAGAAATTGGCTGACTTTGACAGCTACCTTGTTCTCTTGTACTCGTCCTTATCCGGTTCATCACCACCTTAGAAAAAATCCTTATAAAAAAGTAAAAAATATTTTTCTTTACACAAGCATTACGAATGAACACACTTTTCAAACAAAAATCTTGCGATTTCAATTTTTATAAATTATTCCGACAGTCAGAAGTTTTGAGGTGTTGCTCGGATTATTCATACAGTTTACCGAAAATACACCAATTAAAAAAATATTCACCAAAAAACGAGAAAAGAAAGCAATGAAATGATGATTTATCTCATTTATAAAAACGCTATCAAAAATTTGACCTTCTTGGTACTTGATTTTTTATGTCTTACACAGCTCAATTTTATTTTTTGATTAGTCTTACAATTTATCAAGTCCAAGGTCATAATGAGTCTGAATCTCAAGAAAACTGACTCGATTTCCAAAATTATAAATATAAAAAATCAGAACAAGTAGAAATGAGAAAGAAAAGATAAAACGGATAGATGAACCAAGAGCAATTCTCAAAGGAAATATTGAAGGAACGGAAAAGAGCGGAGAACGTCATCCACAGAAGAGAGTCGAGAAAAAGGGAGACATATTTTTTCGGCAGACTCGGTTTTCCAATACTCCGGCTCCCATCGCCGGGGGTCGTGCCTTGGGGCGGAGCCTCTTGGCCAAGAAACCGCGTACTCTTTGCATCGCTCTGTGACGTCAGTTTTAAATTTTGTCGCGGCGGCAATTTCTTAAAATCATCCTTTTTATTTAACTTTTTGACTACTTTTTGTATTTACCTTGTTCTGGTCAAGTAGAGATAAGGGCTGTGAATCTGAAAATGTCGAATTCAGTCAGCTTTTTACAATTTTTTTTTCTCATTTTTATAAGGGATTTGAGTTCGGGAAACTTATTTCAATTATTGTTAGAAAATCTTTAAAATAATTCGATCATCTTCTGTTAGAAATTATGGATGAGTACGGAACGCGGGAGGAGTCTCCTGACCACGAGATGGGAGAGCCACTGACGCATCAAGAGCTCAGAGAGTTGATTTCGATCGTGGAGAACGAGCCTCTGGAGAATGACGCTACATGGTAATTATCCTCATCCTGAATTCAAATTTTTAAATATTTTATCAAGGTTCGTCATCAGTCAAGCTTATTGGGAGAAGCTGATAAAAGCGGCGAATGATGGGTATGTGGAAGACGTCGGCGAGATCGATAACAGCAGTATATCCGAACTTGGTAGTTGTTCTGTGAGAAACTTTCGTAATTTCATGTATTTTTTCTAGGAAAAGGCGGCTATTTCTTGAAGAAAGGCCTTTCCGAAGCCGTCGACTATCAAACAGTCCCCGAACGCGTTTTCCAACGGCTCAATGATGCTTACGGGATGGCCAATGACAAGTGCGACTATATCCCGAGAAAAGTCGTTCAGAAAGACACCCGATTGGTTATTGAGATCTATCCGCGGATTGTGAATGTAAATTTGAAGCTTGGAAGGTTTTTTATGAGGAAATATGTTTCAGATTTCGCTCGCTCGTAATAGAAACATCGTGGTTGCTTTGCGACTGAAGGCTTCTGATAAAATGGGTGAGAATTTTTGAATTTTCTTTTTCTTGTTTAGTAAGGATTTCCGGAAGCTTGATAATTTTCTGGAATTTTTAAGAGCTAAGATTGTCGAATGAACTCGAAAAATAACCAAAGCAAAAACCTTGAATTTCAATGGTTTTTTCAAATTTTTAATGCTTGTTTAAACACCTGAAAACTCATTTTTAAACGTAAAATCATAAATTTTAGATGAATTCCACTTCATTTTATGCGTTTCCCTCAAAAAATGATAAATTTAACTAGTTAATTTAAACTTTCGAAGGTTCCTAAAGATCATAAAGACACATTTTCCCCCTTATTAGTCTTCAAACTATAAAAATGATTTCTATACTTTCAAAAAACGTTTGAAGTTGATCTGCGACGTCGAGCCATGGAGGAACTGAGTGTGACCGAGAAAGACAAACCGAAGTTCTACATCATGAACAACGAGGTCCCCGAGTTGATCGACACGACTCAAGAAGTCAACAGCTATTTTGATACAGCCCAAAAAGTGAACAATTTTGAAGTGAAAGGAAATTTTTAACTGGAAAAATCAAGGTCGTGGTGGACACCTTGGAGAACGGGGAATATTTCATTCGTGGCAAGAAGGAAAAAAAGTCGCCGCCACCACGAATACGTCGTAAGTTTGGAATTGTTTCTTAATTTATAGGGATTTTTGTTGAATTTTTAAAATTTAGAAAATCTATATTTTTTTGTTTTTTGCGTGCAGATCTCTCAGTGTTGTTTTCCGATTTATTAGCATTTTTTAGCCAGTTTTCTTCAAAAATGCAATTTTCTCCAGAAAAAATGGCTTGAAGTGCGATACAAAAAAAGCACATCGACCACTTTTCTTTATATCATCAACCTTTGCTTTAAAAAAAAGGCTTTTTCGTGCCTTTGCGCGTGTATTTTGATGCGAAAATTTTGCTTTGACATGTCCATAGGCAAGTTCGGAAGGGTGGAAAAAGGCTCTCTATAAATGTTCCTTTTAGGGTGAGAAAGGTTCCTTTTTCGCTTCCTTTTTGCGCCTTTTGATTAGCTTTTGCTGTCTCGCCTTTTTTCCACCACCTTTTTCTAGAAAAAATGGAAAGGTCGATAAAGAAACTCTTTTTGCTGCCTTTTTTGATCTTATCCCTTTTAGCGGCCATTATCCACCTTTTCGACTTTGCCGGAATCAAAAAGAAAAAAAAACCCTTTTGCCTGGTGTTTTTTTCCATTTCCTAGCGACTCATCGTTTGCTTTTGCACGCCTCATCGTTCATTCAGGGAGCTTGAGAGTGAAGAGGAGGAAGGTGAGAGTAGCAAAAGTTCCTCCGGAGACGGCTCACCGGACATGAGCTATAATGACGGGATCGGAGGCCGGCTGGCCGCTCCGTTCTTTCTTTTTTGGCACAAATTCCGGCTGCTCTGGTGGCAGTTCAGCCTTATGTGGCCCCAGGCCCTGCGTGACTTTGTTCGCTTTCTCTTCGGGTGGTGGATTCTCCGACCGCCGTCGAGGTCCGTCTGTATATCTACCTTCATTGAGGACCCTTTTTCAATAGTCCTGTAGAGATTTGGTAGTTGAGAAAGTGAAAAATAGTGGCGGAATCGCTGCTGGCTTGGTATTAAAAGTATAGCTAGTTGTAATGATTAAAAAGCTTTCAAAGTATTGAGCCAGCAGTGAATCAACCTCATATGACTGTAGAAAATTGAATAGGAAAATCATTTTTGTTTCTTGAACGCATACTGCTGCTAAAAATCGATTTTTGAAAACCCTTCTCAGTTTTGAAAGAAATTCCCAAGCTTTTCGCAAAAAAAGCATAGTCCACTCGGACATTGTTAACGAGGAGTGGACGTTTCGGAGATTTCTAGTGATTATTTTAGTAGCGTGAGCACCTTTAAGTGATCCCCAGAGATGCTCAGAAACGTCCAAATCGCGTTACCAATGTCAGGGCAGGAGAGTTCTCGTGATTTTTCACAGATTCATTACTTTTTTTTTTGATTTTGAAAGCTCTGATCTAGTTTTGAATCTACAATCTCATTATTTTTCAATTTATCCGACCTTTTCAGCAGTTGCGTTTTTGAAGATTCTAGGCGGAAAACTTCTTATAAGCATACGTTGGTTGGATCCCACCACGGGGTGCGGTCTATCCCCCTCAAACTGAGGTTTACCCCCCAAAAAGTGCTCAGTAAACTTTCAAAATTTTTTCGCGCACAAAAGGCTGGGATGGGATCCAGTCGATGTATGCTTATAAACCATATTAACAACAATTTTAAATGAGGAGAAAGGGGTCTAAGGCAAAATTTCGGTCTACCACTCTCACAGCGGACTTCGCCGGTGGTCCATGGCCCTTTTTTCGTATCGTCTTCGTCGGCTTTCCCCCGCCCCACAAAGAGAAAAAAACAATGCTTCTCGTTCGATTTTCGAATAAGAATCCCACGTGTTTTGCAGCATTTCTGGTCACTCTTTTATTGTCTACTAAATGTTGCGTTGCATGAGATGGAGACTATTTCGCTTGCGCGTCATCAACTTTTTTTGGTTTTTCTTTCTCTTGAAACTTTTTCGGTTGATGAAAACTGCTTCCTATCACACACACACACTGACTAACCGGTTTCGAAGCTTTTTTCTCTACTTTTCGAGTGTGTGGACCGAAGTTTTGTCGGTTTTCCTCGTTAACACTGTAGTCAATGTGATGGTTTTTTTTTTGAAAAGGAAATAGTTACCAAGAATTGGTGAATGGTCCAACAGTTGAGTAATTGAACTTTATGTTACCCTCAAGGAGGCATAGTCGATTCAAGGTTAGCTTGGCCCAAAAAATGCGAGGCCGTGTCTGCTCTCTCCGTCAAAAAGGCACTGTCTCTTTTCTTATCGTGTCAGGACCCTTTTTTCCAAGACACCGTAAATCAGCTAAAGTTTCACTGTGAAGTTTGGATTTTTCTGAATGTCTTGATGCACAGGCAAAGTTCAAACGACCTTAAAAAGACCTTAAAATTAAGAGGCTTAAGTTTCTTTTTGAGTTCCTAAAAAGGTGTCAAAAAGATCTAGGAATCTCCTTATTTTTCTAGTCCTCCTTAAAAGGTCCTTTTCAGAAAAAGGTCTAAAAAAGGCGCATCTGAGACCTTATAAAGGCCTTTTTCCCAAAAGTCCTTTTTGAGACCTTTGGACTTTGCCCATGTGCTTGATTTAGACGTCTAGAGAGTGTTTCTTGGTTATAACTATAATTATTTCCCTAGAAGCTTTGCTAAAGTTCAATTTTGGACCATTCACCACTACTTGGTGAAAGTTTTTGTCAGAAAAAAGAAATTTTATGAATAATTTTTAAAAAGGAAAATTAAAACCTTTTTTTTGAAGGTCCCTGATCGGCAGTAGTTCTTTCGGTTTGCCGTTCTCCTCGACCATCGGAGAGCCCGATCAAGTGCCGCCTGGGATGACCGGCTTGACAAACTTGGGAAATACCTGCTTCATGGCTTCGGCTCTTCAAGTTTCCCCCAAAAAAGTGGCTCTTGATGATAGGTTTCCATTGCAGTGTATGTCAAACATGCCGCCTCTCCGGGACTTTTTCGTTTCGAACAAGTATGAGCAAGACCTTAACCGGGAGAATCCCCTTGGTACGCACGGCGAACTGGCGGAGGTAGAGAAAGGATAAACTCGAAAAAACTATTTTTTCGAATTCTGTAGGCTTTCGGCCATCTGGTCAAGCACATTTGGAGTGGGAACTACCGAAGCGTGGTCCCTAGAAGGGTCAAAAACGTGATTGGGGCCTTTGCGCCGAGGTTCAGTGGATATGCCCAACAGGATGCTCAGGTACCTTATTTTAGGAAAGTTAAGGATAAATTATAAAAAAGCCCTAAGGGTAGTTCGAAGAAATGGCTTTTCAATATTTTCCTATCAAAAAAAAAAAAACTTGTCCAGGAACTCCTTGCCTACGTCCTCGACGGCCTCCATGAAGATCTGAACCGGATCAAGAAGAAGCCCTACATTGAGGACAACGACGAGTGGTCCAAGTTGCCTGATAACGAGGTGATTTTTTCACCTACATCTTCAAAAAACTTCATAATTCAGCTGGCCGAAAAATCCTGGGAAATGTACAAAATGCGCAACGACAGCATCATCGTGGACACCCTACACGGTCAACTCAAATCGACCCTCGTTTGTCCCGTTTGCGAGAAGGTTTGAACTGTTGAAATTGGGGAAATTCAGGATTTTGAGAACTGTTGGTTGTTGGATAGGATTTTGTAGCGAATGATGGAGCTTTTCTGATAATAAGTTTGAAACTAATTCAGGATTTTTTAGAAGTTTGGGAACTTTTGATTGTTAGATAGAATTCTGTAGCGATTGATGGAGCTTTTTGAGCAGAACTAATGATCTTGAAACGGTTTTTGAAGGATCCTTTATAAAATTGATGAAATTCGCGTCTTTAGCTGATCTGAAAACTGGTAAATCGGTTGAAATTCGGTGAAACCCTGCTAAAATCTTATACAGTAAAATCTGGTAAATCAGTGGTAAAATCTGGTGAATTTGTGGTGAACATGGTAAAATCTTGTAAATCTACGGTAAAATATGGTGAATTCCTGGTAAAATCTGGTAATTTCCTGGTAAATCCACGGGAAAATATGGGAAATCCGTGGTAAAATCTGGCGGATTCCTGCTAAAATCTGGTAAATTCTGCTGAACCCCTGGTAAAATCTGATAAATTCCTGGTATCATTTGGTAAATCTCTGGTAAATTTGGTAAATCAGTAGTAAAATCGGGTAAATCCTTTGTAAATCTGGTAAGCTCCTGGTAAATCTGGTCTGGTAAATCCCTGGTAAATAGATCTTTCACTCGAAAAGATTTTGTTCAAAAATAAGCAAGAAATTAAAAATAAATCAACTTATTTTGATATTAAAACTCTAGAGAATGGTACCATGGTGTTTTGAAGAATGTGTATCTTTGAACTATTGATTTTTCTTCATATTAAACTATATTTTGAGAATTTTTCTTAGGTGAGCATCAAATTCGACCCATTCGGCTGCTTATCGCTCCCCTTGCCACCGAAGGACGTCCACGTGAAACAGACCGTCACTGTCGTGTTTTTCGGAAGAAAATGGGCCAAGGTTCAATTTCATTATTCATTAAAAACTTCTCATATTTTCTCTAGTTCATGTTCACGGTGACGAAAAAGACGACGATTGAGGACGCCGAACGGCTGATTGCCGCGAAATTGCAACTCGAGAAGAAGTTCAGCGTATGTTGATTCTGAAAAGAGTAGAAGATTGGAAACAAAGGCAAAGGGTGGAAAAGGCTTCTTTTTTTTCTGCCTTTTTGCGCCATTTCACCGGCTATTTAGCACCATTTTTGCGGCCTCTTCCTTTTTCCACCTTCTCTTGAGCCTTCAAAATCCCAGAAAAATGGAAGGCTCGATAAAGGGACCCTTTTTGCTGCCTTTCTGCGGCCTTTTTTGAGCCTCTCACTTTTAGCAGCCATTATCCACCATTCCGACTTTGCCCGAGAACGGAGAGCTAAAAAGAAAGTGAAAAAATTTGTCTATTGTCGAAAAAATGATAATTTTTCGCCCTGTGCTGTTAAAACCACGCACACGAGACCGATCAGAATGATTTCAAAATTTTCTTTCCCCCATATTTTTATTAACGTCATGAAGTCGCTTTTTTTTTGATATTGTTTAAAATAGGTAACGCGAAAAGTTATTTATATCCTAAAAGTTCAACTACAGCAAGAAAAATCTCTTCATAATGCATATTTCATCTTTTAACTTGATTTTTCTTGAAAATTGCAATTTATAATTCCTGTCGGTTGTAGATTTGAAAATTTGAGCAATCTTAGTCTTCTTCTTCTTCTTGAAGTCTCTTATATTGATTTTCTTGAGACTGAAAGGCTTTTTGAATTTTTCTCAATCCTTTTTCTAAACCAAAGAAGTATTCAATTTATTGTTTTTATAATTTTATTTCCTAGCAGTCCCATTTCTTAGAAGATTTACAAAAATGTCATTCCAGCTGGTGTTTTTCCAAATTGCGGCGTCCAATTCGATGAATATCCTCAACGACGAAGTGACCTTGCTCCGACCGACGGATTCTGTGTTCCAAGGCGGCCGCGAGGTCTACGCCGTCGAAATGGAACACGACCCCAGCGAAACAAATACGAAGCTCCTTGTTGTTTAGTCAGTTTTTATAGGGTAGAGAGAGAATATTCGATCCGCAAATGTTCGCGGCCGTATATCTCATGTCCATACTTGTCTTCAGACTATAAAACTATGAAATTACTTGATATTATCGAAGACATTACGACTTCGAATTCATGGATCGAATATTTCGTCCAATCATCTGAATGAAACTGCCTTTTTCACAATTTTGCTTGCAGCAATCGCTCGAAGATCGCTCGGCCGTGCTCTCTCCCACTGATTTTCGCGATTCCGAACGGCGAACTGACCAAGGAGTGGATCGTCGACGTTCCTCTGAAGATGATCAAAAGACTGTACTTCCACAACGCCGAAGCCCTTGACGGCGTCAACGACGAGAATCATGGAGAAGATCGGGGTCCGATTTCATTCCAATAAAACTAGTTAAAAAAAAGAATATCAAAATTGGCGTTTAACCACGAGGGGGGGGGAGGAAAGTGTGAGATCTGAAAAAGGTTTAAAAATAGTTTAGACGGCTTGATTGTGGCACAAAATCGATTTTTTTCAACCCCCCCATCATCTAGTTGGTTAGAACTTGAAGAAGAGAAAATAAAAAAAGAACCGGTTAACCAGGAGTGAGGAAGGTAAGTATGAGCTTTCAATGAGGTCTAAAAAAAATTGAATGTGACAAAAAAATTTAATTTTTTTCAATCCCCTCCCCAGCTAGTTTGTTCTGGCGAATATTATATAACTAAAAAGTTTTTATTTGAGTTAGATTTCTCAATTTTTTTCTATGGATAATGGTCCAAAAATAGAATAAAATCTCCAAAACAAGTGAATTAAGCCATTTAGAAACGTTGAGCTCCTGTTTCTCAATATTCAGAAAATTTCTACGGTTGAGAATTTTCGATATACTCCTCCATCACTGAAAAAAAACGACAAATTCTCAATAAATTCTCAACCGCAAAGTTATATCACCTTACAAACCTTGATTACCTAAATTCAATAATTTTCTTACGTTTCCAGAAATGTACACGATTCAACTCAACGACAAGAAGTTGGATGGAAGAGGCGACTCCTACAGTGACGTCAAAACGTGCACGTTCCTCTGGAAAGATGCCAAACTCTTCAATAATAACCGTGGAATGGTCAGAACTTCATTGGTTTCCATGCGAAACTCGCCATTTTCCAGGACTTGGTTGAACGCGAAGTGACGGTTCCCCTGCGGCGGAAGATCCATCTGATGGAGACTCTCGAATGGTTCACCACCATGGAACAACTCGGCGAGGACGACCTTTGGTATTGTCCGAACTGCAAGAAGCATCAAAGGGCTACCAAGAAGTTGGATCTCTGGAAGCTTCCCGAGGTTTTTTTCCTTGAAATGCTCAGAGGGTAGTGAGAGTAGTCTTATTGAAAATAGGAAGGCTAGTCCCTTTTAAGGAAATATACGGTCTAGGAAAGGTACAAGATGATTATTTCTATCATAGGGCCAATAGTTTTGACGATTTCATCGAGATCAAAATGTCTGTAGTTTGCTCAGAATTTAAATGACGTCATTCGAAAATGCTTTAGAAATGGCTCGCTCTCTGAATTGTTTATCAAGTCATTAGGGGCGGAGCTTGAGCGAGGAGTTGGCGTTCAAATTCTGAACAGACTATATAGCTAACTTGTGACACAAAGGGGCGTGGCCTGTCTGCGCTCTCCATCAAAAAGACACTATCTCTTTTCTTATCGTCTCAGGACCTTTTTAAGATGGCTCAAGCTAGCCTGAATAAGCTGTACACCAGAAAAGATGAATTGAAAATAAACAACGATAAAGGAATTTTAAGAAGCTTTTTCATTGAAATTCCAGAATGAAAAAATATAGAAAAAAAGCTCTTATTCACTTTTTACAGATTTTGGTCATGCATCTCAAAAGATTCACCTACAGTCGTTGGTCCCGCGAGAAACTCAACTGGGAAGTGATTACGCCTGTCACGTGCGTTTTTCCTGTCCTCCCTAGATGAATAGAGAGGTTGAAGGGCTCTGGACCTGACGTCGAAGGTCGCGAATCCGAACCACGACAAGGCGATCTACGATTTGATCGGAATGAGTTGTCATTACGGCGTCCTCAGCAGTGGACACTACACCGCCGCGGCGATCAATGACCTCACCGGACAGTGGTTCGTTTGGAAAATGAGAAGTTGTAGTTCCTGAAGCTACTATGGGGTTTTTAAGAAAATAAAAATCATTACTGAAAAATCGTGAAAAAAAAGAAGAGACGGTCAAGTTTATAAAGAACAGCAGAAAAAAAGCTACCGTACAAACAGTTTGTTGCACGATTGGTCTAGAAAACTGCAAAAAAGACAGCAAAAAAAACAAAGGTCTTGAAACAAATTTAGACACTCCAGAGTGGTGCCTTCAGGGGCAACCTTAGAGGCCCTCGAGGGACCACTTTACCAACCCCTAAAGGGTGACTTTAGCTTGTAAAAGCGGTCCCTTTTGGGTTTTTAGTCAGTGGTCCCTGTGGGGACATGTTAGTCGATAATTTTTATGAACTCTATGCGAAGAAGCATTTTCACAGACCCTAAACCCCTATAGGGACCATTTTTCGGCCCCTTTAGGGGCTGTTTTTCACTCAATTCCTATAGGGATCCCTCTGAAATTCCTAAGTGGGGTCGAATTTGATCAAATTTGGTATACGGTGTTTTTAGCGGGACAAATGGGCCTGGAAAAAATTTATACGCATTTATTCAGTCTATAGAGGAGACTCTCGGCTGAATCGTGGCAATATTGAAAAGTTGTTTGTCGGTTACCGAAACTGACGTTGGTGAAGAACTGCGCGTAGTTCAGAAAGTCCTTTTTGTGATAGTTGTAGACGATTTTTGAGAGCTTCGAAAATCATTGCCTCTCTAAAAATTTACATGTTTTCGTACGATCATGATCATAATTTTACTGGAATTGCGATTATAGGGTTGACTTCAACGACTCGCACGCCTCCGTCCGTCAGCCTCCGTCGGATCCGATGGAGGCCGCCGAGCCCTACATGCTCGTCTACCGTCGCCGTCCCCTCGGCCCTGACGGAGAACCGACGGAGGTCCCCCTGGGACACATGAAGACGCTCTACAGACCGGTCAACGTGCCAATGGTCCACGATGAAAACGTCGAGATGGAGCAGGACGACGAATATGACTACTAATCGACCAATCAGTTCTTCGATTGCCTTTTTAGGCTCTCTTTCTTTTGATTTTTGATTGTCCCCATTGCAAAGGCCCAGAACTTTTGAAGACGTAGGCTCTTGGTGATTTAGTGGAGTCTTGGTCGCATTGGGAATGGCTCGACGCTTTTTGAAGGTTTGCCTGATTTGAACCGCAACACTTTGAGACATTCCGAATGCGTCCGAAATTTCCAATTTTACATCGGAAACAAATTTTTTTAAACCTAATGCCTATTTCCCACTTTTCTTCCCTCTCTAATTCTCTTAGGTCGTTTTTCGTCTTTCAATATTCTTTCGCTCATTTTTTTATCCCAACTAATTTTTATTGATTTTTTTCTCTCTTCCTGCGGAAGTTAATCATTGAAACCTATTTGTGAACGAATTCAATTTTTTCAGGGTTCCTTTTTTTATTTTTTTGACCTTTTCTTTGTGATATTTAGCCTATTTTTTTGATTATATTTAATTATTTTTAATTATGAAAAAAACTTATGTTTGTGAACGGCTTTTTTTCATTTCTTTTTAGTCCCCAATTAATCATATTTTTTTCGCTCTATTATGCATGTTTTCTTTACGTGTTCATCGTGTTTTATGTAATACGGTGTTTTTATTGGATATTTGTTCATTTATGAGAGATCAGATCAATATTTTTGTTTTTCCACGCGCCGGTTGCCGCTTTTTGCGGCTATCACTCGGTTCTACCCGTTTGGCTAATATTCTCCCATTCAAACTAATCTTTTCAACGTTCTGTATTTATCATAGAAAAGCGGGCTGACCTGGTGAACTTTGCTGTTTGACACCCATCCCAGTGCAACCAAAATTATACTCGTCCTGAAGTTAGTTCTATTGACCCGGTGTTTTTTTTACTCGCAAATGAATCTGCTACAGAAATTTGATTGGAAGTGTTGCATTGTGAAAATTTACAACTTTGTATTTTTCCAAGTTATTTCGCCTTTGAAAAAATATTCTTCAAGCGATGTTCGGGACGACCTACTTGAGCGATAGGCTGTGCGTACACTTTCTCGAAGAGTTTCAGAAATATGGCCTTCTGGAGCAGGTGTGTTTTCAAAGGCGCATTGAGGTCTCGAAGCGAAAAGCAATTTTTCATGATTTTAGGTCGACGCGGAGACAATCGAAGAGGCGTTACTTGGTCGGGAAAAAGTTCTGAATTCATCAAAATGGTCCTCATTTGGAATGGCTACAACTTCTGCGACGGTTCTCACCGCAGGAGCAGCGCTTCTCCTGCGTTTCTGGAGCGGATCCGCTGCCACTGCCGCCCTTTTCGGATCGGCTCTCGTCGGGACCTTGGCCTATAGGAAAGCGAGGCGTTACTTCGACTGCCGACGACACCTTGGCAGCGTCACAAAAGCCTTGAAAGGACTTCACCTTGCCGTTCGGAGGAGACACGCCGTCGCGTTTAGGTAGAGTCAAGTATAGCCGTGAATTGACACTTTTCGAGTGTCTGCGTCTCTCTGTTCAAGGCAGTGAAAAATGAAAATATTACCTCAACAGGAGAGGGTCGCCGAGAGACGAGGAGGGCGCAGAGGAAATTTAATAAAATCGAGGTTCTAGTGGCCACTTTAGGGTCTTAAAAAGTTCGAGCAGCCAATTTGAAGTTTTGACGTTCTAGTGGCTACTTTAGGGTTTTCAGGTTCTAGTGGTCACTATAGCAGCTAAAATAGTGGCCGCCAAGACGTAAAATAGCGGCCACTTTAGGGTCTGGTGTCCTATTGACCACTCTAGGGCTTTGATTTTCTTGTGGCCACTTTAGTGTTGTGACGTTCTAGTGACACCTTTAGCGTTTTGAATTTCGAGTGACCAATTTAAGGTTTTGACCTTCTAGTGGCCGCTTTAGGGATTTCACCTTCTAGTGACCATTTGAGGCTTTTTACGCCCGAGTGGCCACTCTAGGGTTTTGACGTTCTAGTGGTCACTATAGTACCAAAAGAATAGTTACTTTATATGTGGTTTTAGTGGCCGCCATCATGTCCTCTCCGAATAGCCCTTGAGGAACCCTTAAGTAGCCACTAAAGTTTTTAAGTAGAAATTTAGTAGTCAAGATTCCCAAAACCCTCATGAGGAGAAATCTGAGTTTGAAGGAGGGCTAGTATTACTGAATAATGTTTGATTTTGACCTGGAAAATCACGTATTTCTGTTTTTTTTTTTTCAGCGTGGGGATAAATATCAAAGTCCACTCGACGCCCCTGGCTGTACAGCTCCGCCTCTTGGCTGTCGAAGTGATCCGCTGCCTAGATTCGGCATCGACTCAGCTCGCTTCACGGTTGTTAGTTAGAATTGAAGGGTTCCAACAATTTTAGAAAATTCTAGAAGTGAAGAAGACACTGACAGGTTGTTGAGCAACTTCTACAGCGAGGGAATTTGTGAGATTTTGGAGCAGAATGTTGAGGACCATGGCGAGACCGGTGAGAGAGTTGTTGAGGTTGGAGTTGATCATTTTTTGAATTTGAGTGGTTTTTTAATGACCAAATCGTTATTAGATCAAAAATTTCAATATTTTAAGCGGAAACATGATTCGTTAGAGAAAAAGGTGCTTGGAGATCAGATTTTTCTTAATAAATGATTTTTATGGCTTGTTCTTACTGTCTGACGTGTCTGCGCTCTCTTTTTCTTCACCAGCGAGATCATCTGAAGACGAGAGCACCGGGAGGAAAGAGGGCGCAGAGAAATCAGACTTTTTCGATTTTTAGCTGATGCCGTGTATCGAAAAGACATTCAAAAAAAATTTCCTGACAACTTTAAGCCGAACTGAGGGATTTCTCAGAGGCCCCTGTAGGGGTTTATTGTTTTAGGGACCCCTATAGGGGTAAAAATCCTTCTTCGAAATTTCAGACCCTCCTAGACCTGACCTACCTCCACGTGAGCGAGTACTGCCGTCTCCTGATTTTCTCCCTTTTTTCAACGTCTGACTTGAAAAATCTTCTCTCAGTTATTTCAAAATCGCGCCAGACTTTCACAAAACTGTCTTCTTTTGTTGAGAGAGCAAATGGTGCAAATTTCCTAGTTTCTAAAAACTTCAAACTGGTTTCAGAACTGAAAGAGCGTTGCTTGAATGTCAAACTGTCCTCGAAACAAGTCGAAACCCGGAAAAATGAAAGTTTAATCCCTGTTTCAAGCCTGACGAAGGTGGCGTTTGCACTGGAAGATGTCGTCCAAGGGTTCCAAAATACATGAGAAAAAAGAAATTTGTAAAAAAAAAGTTCAGAATAGCCTCCGGTGAGCTGGAAGAGCAAGAAGTTGGGGATGCTCTCCGGAGAATCGCCCAACTGATTGAAATCCCGGTCTCTGGGAAAATTCCCAAGTCTGAGGCTGAAAACGTCACGGCGGAACTTTCAACGGCGATTCCTGAGGCTCCAGCTCATCCAGCTCCAGTTTTTGAAAGGACGGATGTTGATATGGTTTGATTTTCTGTCGAACAATTGATTAAAAGTCTCTAAAAAGTGACCTTTTCTTTTTTGGAAAGCTTACTGAGCCTGTCGAGGGCTGTCTTGAGATTCATTCATATTTTCAGCTTAAAGTAAAGTTACTATTAAAGGCGCATGGGAAGTTTCCGAAAAGGTCTCTCACCCCGCCTAATTTTCATTCTAAAAGCCAATCGTTAACAAATAGCAAATAAAATGAGACAATAAGTCATTTTCACTGGCCACTATAGTAGTCGAATTAGTAAGCACTTAGGTGGAAAAAAATTAGTGGCCTCTTTAGAGGTCTAAGTGGTACTATTACATAACTAGAAATCACTAGAGTGACCACTAAGACGCAAAGTAGTGGCTTCTACAGAGTGACCACTTTAGTGTCCTCGAGGAACCTCTTAAGTGGCCACTACGGTTTTTTCCTAGGAAGTTACGATACGATTTTTCTTCAGAAGTGAAGAATTTTGTGCGATTTTAAATGAAGTCGAAATATCTCGATTTTTTGAATCTTTGACCCTTTTACAGCCGAAAAAATTTCTACATTTTCAAATTGTACTATTTCGAGCCAATATTTGTTATTTTATTAACGAATCTTGGAATTTTCAAGAAAATGTATTGATTTCAGGTCTTTGAAGGAGTTCCAGATCAAGATGAACCATCCACAATTGATAGAAATGTGAGATTCCACTTCATTCCGTGATTCGGAATCACAATTTCAGTTTCATGATACGGATTTCGACAACGCCCCGGCCAATGCTTCTCTAATTGGCGAGCTGCAATTCGCCCTCCTCGATAGACGTGATGACTTTGCCCGGCGCGAAAAAGCGGCTCGGGCCAAGTTTTACGGCGTTTCTGAGGCCGAGCTGGACGAGATCGACAAGCGAGAAGCAAATGAAGACGTTGAGAAGGAGAAGGAAGAGGTGAGATTGAGAATAGATTAGTAAATGGAATATTCAATTGTCACTCCGATTGATCAACTGATTCTCATTCTTAAGACCAACTACGAGGGTACCGGCGAAGGTGGCGAGCCTGACGTCGTCACTAGCTGGCGCGACGCCATCTCGACGACGTGTGGCGTGCATCAACAGATCAACGACGACGCCTTTCTGGCCGCACTCGCCTCACGACGGATCCCGCAGAGCCACATCGGCGACGACAGCGAGGAGGAGTCCGATGAGGGATCGTGACCTTTTGGCCTATTTTTTGGTCATCTTGGCTCAAGTGATCACTGGAAAAATCTAAGTGGTCCCTTTAGTTACCCCTCTTACTTTATTTGTCCCTTTTCAAGGCCATTTTTGGAAGTTCTCGCATTTCAGCACAAGCCAACTGGTTTCAAAATGTAGAAGAGGGATGATTTTAATGAAGCATGGAACATTTTAAAGCATGTTTCACGGATTGTGGTCTACTTAAGAACTCCAACGTGATCTCTATAGGGGTTAGAGGGGAAGAAAGCCCCTATAGGGGCCGAAAAAAGAGGTCCCTATAGGGGCTGAAAGTCTGACCCATTAGCCCATAAATCTCAAGTGGTCCCTATAGGGGTCTTTCAATTTCATTCAAAAAATGCTTATTTATTCCGTTTTTCGCATGAAAATGCTTCTTCGCTCAGAGTTCTCATCGACTAGCATGTCCCCTATAGGGGACACTAACTGAAACCCCTAGAGGGACCACTTTGCAAGCTTTAGTGGCCGTTATAGGGGTTGGTGAAGTGGTCCCTAGTGGGGACTTACTAAGTACCCTAACGTAGCCCCTATAGGGACCACTTTGGAGATCCTGGTATGGTCAATTCAAAGACGGTTATTTATGGATTTCGTTATTGAAAATTTTTTTCTGTAATTTTTTTATGATTTTTTTTTTGACAAGGCTCAATTTTGTAGTAACATTGTGGATTTTTGTGCCTTCCAAACGGGTTGTTTCTTTTTGCTAATATTTATTAAATATGAATAAAATAATGAAAAATATGTGTATCAGTGTGTTATGTGTGTTCCTCGGGAATGACAACGTTAAACAGAGAAGAAAGAATGATTTGGCAAGAAGTGGGAAGGGCAAAAAAAAAATGACGTGTGGATCTTTACACAATGTGGACACCCATATTCAACGCGTAGATCTGTAAATTTTGGATTTGTTTGGGATCAAAACATTAAATTTGAACCTTTGGCCACTTGATCTGTGAGGGAACTGCGCGGGTGTGCCTCCGGTGTACGGGGCGCGACGATTCCGGCTCGCATTCCCAGACGCCGGTTTTCGTGAACAGAATCACCTAACAAGGATCGTATTTTACGCGAGAAGATTCGTATAGTCTGTTCAGATTTCAAATGTCAAGTCCTCGCTCAAGCTCCGCCCCTAATGGCGCAATAAACCAATCAGAGAGCGAGCCCTCCACAGAGCGTTTTTGAATGACGTCATTCTACATGACATTCGAAATCTAAACGGACGAAAAAAGTATGAGAAAAACTTAAAAGTTCCAGAGTGGTCCCTAGAGGGTTTAGGGCAAAAAACAGCCCCCATATAGGGACCGAAAAAGTGGCTCCTATGGGGGTAAAATTAAGGTGGTCCCTATAGGGTCTAGAGACTGACTTCTTGGCCACTAAAGTTCAAGTGGCCCCTATAGGGGTCGTACAAATTCATTCAAAAAAGGTTTTTTTTGTTCCTCGCATGGAAATATTTTTCTCTTAGAGTTCATAACAATTTTCGACTAAAATGTCCCCTATAGGAACCACTTTTGGAAGCTTTAAAGGATACAGGAAGGTTAAGTGGTCCCTAGAGAGAAACCTTCAAAGGCCCTAAAGTTGTCTCTATAGGTACCACTCTCTCTAGGAATTTTCCGAGAGTTCTCTTTTTTGGAACTTCCAAAAACCTCTTGTTCATTTTTTGAACAATTTTCCTTGAAACCTACCTCTTTCAACTTATTCTGCTCAATGTACGCTTTCAGGAGTGCGTGGGCCAACTCCATCGTTTCAGCGTATAGGCAATAAATCTGCAAAAATTACATTTAATTGGGGGTTTTAATCCGAAAGAAGATGAAGTATTGCTTGAGAAAATTTCCCAAAATCAAGCAAAAAAAACGATAAATGAAAAGGATCTTTTTGCGATTACTAGAAAACAGGAATAGAGAACGACGCTTGAAATTTCACAAAATGACACTCAAAATTGAAAATGGACTTGTCAACGAATTGGGAAATGCTTAAGGGGTCAATTAAGAGGTTCCTCAAAATCCCCTTGGAGAATACACAAAGGTTACCAGTGAATCCAGCTCTTAGTGGCCACTATAGTAGCTCTAGAGGTCTAGTATTAGCACTTAGACTTCTAAACAGGCCACTAAATTTCAGTCACTTAAGTTGCCACTCACTCGATCACTATAGTGATCACAAAAAGTTCAAAAACCCTAAAGTGGTCACTCAAAATTTTCCCAGTACTTGAGCGAGGGAGCAGTCGCGACTTGAAGAGACGCCAGAGAAGTCAAAGTTCCATTTTATCTCTAGCGCCTCTTCGAGCCAACCGCTCTCTCGTTTCACTTTAAACACAACTTCGATAACAAATCTCGTTCCAAAATCATCAAATTTTCAACTTTTTCTTCAAATTCAGTTCTATTTTCACCTGTGTTCCCTTGGCGGCGATATAACCATCGATCGCGCCGCTTTTCGCGACCAAAATAGCCGATTTCGCCGCGAGAACCTACAATTTGCATTTTTGAACACTAATTTCAAAATTCTATACTATTATCCAACCTCTAAATAGGCGTCACGTGAAAATCCGCAAGCCGAATTATCGAAATCTGCGAGGCCGTCGAAATCCTCCGGCTTATAGGGAACAATGGTGACTCCTGGAAAAAATGATGAAGTTTCAGAAAAGGAGATGAAAAACCTCAAGGGACCACTAAACCTGAATTTTTTAGGCCGATAATTTTTGACAGTATGAATTCAAAGAATTCTGCTAACCAGTCTTGAACCTGTTAAGAGGTCATTATTCCGTCCCCTTCAGGGACCACTTAATGAAAAAATTCGTAAGGGGCGACTATACCTTTCTCCAGCTCATTAAGAAAATTTATCGAATCGAAACAATTTTCCAAAATTATCGAAATGACTTAGGAATTCCAGAGTGGTCCCTATAGGGTTTAAAAGGGAAAACAACTCCTAGAAGGGACGAAAAAATGGTCCCTATAAAAGTAAAATTTAGCTGGTCCCTATAGGGATTTAGGGTCTAACCCCTTAGCCCTTAAAGCTTAAGTGGTCCTTATAGGGATCATTCACTTTCTTCAAAAAAAGGCTATTTATTTAGTTTATCGCACAGCTCATGAAAATTATCGACTAGCATGTCCCCTATAGGGGCCACTAACTGAAACCCCTATAGGGACCACTTTTGCAAGCTTTGGGGCTCCTATAGGGGCTGGCTAAGGTTGCCCCTATAGAGAGCACTCTGGAGCTCCTAGATTTTGAAAACTACGCACCAGAAGCCGGCTGAAGAGTCTTCAACAGCTTGGCCGACCCGAAAGTGACCTGCTGGTAAGTATTCCGATCCGTGACGATGAAGCCGGCGTCGTCGCGCCACGAGTCGTTCAGCTATAACTCTTCCCGATTCTCCGCTTCAGAATGCTCAAACTCACGACGAACGAATCGATGGTGACGTTCTTCTTGAGCTCGAGGTTAAAGCGACCCAGGGTGTGCTCGGCGAGCAGGTCGGACAGGTGACACTCGGCAAGCCGCGCCTCAGGCACCGAGTGGAACTGCGCCGCGATCGGCATCAGACGTCGGTTCTCCTTTTCCACCTCGGCGTTCTGGAAGTGGCCACTTTAGCAAATCGACTTTTAGTATCATAAAACGGTCAGAAAATTTCGCTTTTTTCCCTTTTATTATAGCAAAAATGGCAGAAAACGGGTTCTGATTCATTTAATGACCACTCAAGGGGTCACTGTCAAATCTTCACGAAATTCAAAGATCAAGGTCTTGCGAAAAGCTCTAGTGGCCACTTGAGAGGTTTCTCCAGAACTGGAGAGGACGCTAAAGTGGCCACTAAAATCACCTCTATAGAAGCCACTTCAGTGGATTCGTAGTACTACTTAGACCTCTGCACTCACTTAAGTGGCCACTAATTCGACTCCTATAGTGGCCTCTAAGGTGTCAAAACCCTAAAGTGGCCACTAAAAATTTCCCCAGTGAACTTTTCTCAGAGAGAGAAAATTTTCCCAATGGCCGAAATCCGAATAAAGTTCGGAATGAAAAGAGAAACTTCTGGACTCGATCTCCATCAATTTTCAATGTTTATTCGTTCCCTCTCTCTCCCATTCTCGGCGTGGAGAAATCTAAATCACTTTCGCCCACTTCCATCTCCCTTCTCACGTCTAATTGGCCAGCCGCCATTAAACCTTAGGAACAGAGTGGTTCCTATAGGGCAACCTCAAGGGCCCTTCGAGGGACCATTTCACCAACCCCTATAGGGATCACTAGAGCTTGCAAAAGTGGTCGCTATAGGGGACATGCTAGTCAGGAATAAAACATTAGCCAGCCCCTTGGGAGCCCTAAAGCTTGCAAAAGTGGTCTCTATATGGGGTTTCAGTTAGTGGCCCCTATAGGGGACATGCTGGTCGAAAAACTTTATGAAATCTATGTGAAGAAGCACTTGCATGCAAAAAACTGAAAAATTGAGCAACCCTATAGGAACCACTTAAGCTTTAGGGGCTAAGGGGTCAGGCCATGAACCCCTATAGGGACCACCTTGATTCAACCCCTATAAGGACCACTTTTCCGGTCGCTATAGCGGTTGTTATTCCCCATAATTCTTATTGGAACCACTCTAAAATTCCCAAGACTTTGGACATGTTTCGAAGACTCAAAAACTAACCTCGATGCTGCCGAGCTTGAGGTGGAGGTCCTCCTCCTTCGGAGCGACTTTGATCGTCTTCCCGGCGATCGACGATTCCAGATCGGTCAGGACGACGTAGGCCTGCGAGGCTGTGTACTTGACGATCGTCTCCTTGGCCAGCGATTCGCCTGAAGCTTTTTTCGATATATTCAAGTCGAAGATTTTAAAATTACAACAATGGTTTGGAGTCTGAAAATTCAGCACTGGAAGAGCGATATAAACCCGGATTTTCTTCTTACTTGAACAAAAAAAGCTCTAGATCAACTTGCAAAAAGAAAAAAACTATCCTAGGACTTTCCATTGAAACTTTTTAGCACTTGGAACTCAAAAACCGGACGTTTCTGAAACATTCTAGGGATCACTTAAGGGTTCTGACGCTACTAAAGTGGTCACTAGAAATTCCCCGATCCGGTCCCCGAAGTCCAACTTTAATAAAAACATCACGAATGAGCCCACTATTTTTATAGTTTACTCACCTGTAAAATCCTCTACATCATTTAAAGGCGCAGGATTGTATCTCGACCTTTGAGGGTCCATAACTTTTTTCACAGGCTTCGGTGGCAGATTTCGAGACCGGATTTGAAATCAGCGTAAAAAACTACACCATGAACCATGAACTATTCCCTGGTCAGAGAGTTTATTGCTTTAGGACCTTTTTTGAAACCTTCCTATGCTCCTTTAAAGTCTCTAACCAACCTTTTTGATTGATAATCTGGCCGGTCTTGGCATCGGCGCTTCCTTCGAGCCGGAATCCGGCGGCGCGGCTCAGTCCCAGCACATCTGCCATCTCTGTCTCTCTGCTGAAACTTGGAACTTGGGACTTGGAATGATTCCCGAAACGACGTGAAACTTGGGAGGAACGAGAACACGAGAACGGAACGATTGAAAATGGAAAGAAGAAGGAATGATGGGATTCCGCCTGAGGCACGCGACGCCGACGCCGCCGCAATCCGCCGCCTTCTCCAAAAAGGAAACTCGTTTCGCGCCTCACGGATCATCTGTGCAGCTGCGGTCGGTCACTCATCGATTTTCGACTTACTTCGGCAGTTTCCCGGTTCTTTTTGGTCTATATTTTCTACACATAAATCTCGAAAGCGCATTTAAAGGCGCAGAACTTTCGCAAGAGCTGAACCACTTGAAAAAGTCTCTTCGCTTCGATACTCTTTTCAAATTTGTCTATGATTCTTCAAAATCCTCCGGAAAATGTCCTGGACTCACTTATTATTATTTTTTCAACTTATCAAAGTTTTGAATTGTAAAATCAAGCCTGAGACACTAAAATAAACGATTACTTGATCATCCACAGCTTCTGAAACTCTCAGGTGGAATTTTCAAAGCCTCAAGAAAAATAGACTACGAAAATTGAATTATGTGCACCTCAAAAACTACAGCAAAACCAAGAAAACGATGAAATTTCCTTCCAAAAAAGTTGCGAAGAACGTTTTTTTCTGCTGATCCGGCCAAATAAGAATTCACAACACAATGGGAGAAAACAAGCGGGGCGTTGAATGGGTTGAAAAAAAAAGTGAGAAGGAGAAAAACGGGCTCTCGAGAGAACTGGTATTGTGGTGAGTGAGAAATTCCGTCGGCATCACCAAAAATCGTATTCTTGGGACGATAACAAAGAACTGGTCAAGGTTCAGAGGATTCTGGAGGTCGAAACTTAAAATATCGAAAAAAAGTGAAATCAGGAATGTTTCACAGGCTCCTGCGCCTTCAATTAGTTCTCAAATCTCATATAAAACAACCATTCTTGGGTACAAAGTTCACGACGAGAATTGAGAGAAGAAGAAATCTCAACCGCTACGCACATCAATTATATAAGGTTGACTGATAAATCGTGTCAAAATATCTTTCCTCTGCACTTTTTGATTTATTAAACTGATTCGAAACTTTCTTCTATCTACGGATGACAAAGAACTTTAAAAATAAAGGCAGGAATGTTTTAAAAATCAGTTTTCATTGTGCCATTGTATAGGGCAAACTGAAAATTCGCAAAACGACATAATTTGAGTTATTATTATAATTACAATTTCACATCCGTTAAATTTCCCTTCATGACCGTCTGAAAAACTAAAAACGGCTCATCGCTTCGATATCCTCGTGAAAAATACACATATTTTTTTAATGAAATTTATCTCGGACATTGGTTACCTTTCTGGGCATTTTTAGTGACCAGTTTAGTAGCCTCATCACTCTTAAGTGATCCCTAGAACTTTTCAGAAATGCCCGAAGCACGTCTGTTTCACGTTAGCAATGCACAAGATGGAAAAACTTCTGGCGTTTAAAGGAACGTGACCAACTTTAAAAAAGGTCTTAAAGCGAAGAGCCATTTTAGTGCTTTCTCGAGTTCTGCACCTAGAAAAGTTAACACAAAAAAAAATAATAGAAAGTTCTAGACGTGAAAGAGAAAGAGTTGCAAAGATGACGTCGAATACGGCGAATTCGGTGGCCCATCGGAGGCAAGGTCGAATTCGCGACGACGTCTTCAGACGCCGCCCACATCCTTTCCGATATCAACTAATCAGCTATCAGACGCCTCAACGGCACACCGAAATCGCCGCGCGAAATGTCCTTTCTAGTGAGGGGACCGTCTGGCACTCCGCGGAGGTCTCTTCACTCTTCACGTCAAATGAAAAGGTTTTGAAACAACCTTTTAGGACTGATTCGAAGATAGCTAACATTAATGCCGTGTTCATAATGATTTTTTGCGGAATTCAAAAAGGCCCTCAGACACTGAAAAAGACAACTTAGTTTTGGAGAGACATGATAATTTTGAATTTTGTTTGAATTATTTTTGACACGGCATAATATTAGGGCAAATATATCCAAAAACTGCATTGAAACAGCTTCTGACGAAAATTCTACAAGCCTAATTGTGTTTAAAGTGAGGAACCAGTCAGGAAAACAAGAAATTCAAATAAAAACAAAAAAAATAATGGGTGAACCGAATGTATTCTTTTAATTGAAAGGCTCAAGCTGGCCCAAAAAATAAAAACCTGAAGGAATTATTTATATTAAATTGGTCTGCCATATTCCTAGTTTGAAAAAAAAATTTTAAAAATAAATAACTGTTGAAAACGGGATTAATTGATGATTTTCACAGAGTTACAGGAATTCGTAGAAAAAATAGTAAAGTATCATTTTTTGGATTTGAGAGGTTCCAAATGCAGATATGAGGTAAAATTAACAAAACATACTGCAAAAAAATGTTAGAAATTTACAATAGAGTTCAAAAAAATAATAATAATGATCAAATTTAAAACAAAAAAACGAAAAACAAATTGTCCATCAATACTCTTTGATCTTTCCTTACTTAATGATCTACATTTTTTTACAATTTTTGTTTGATAACATTAGTTGCATTTGAATATCTGTAGAACAATATTATTGAAGTTTCATGAAAAAGCGAATGCAAAAAGAACCTTATCAGTGCCGAAGATGACCATAAAGGAAAAAAAACGTGTTGTAACAACGGGTTCAACGGAAGCACGAACACGTTCTTGGTCTTGAACAGCGCCATAAAAGCGGTGAACTAACTTTGCGAAAAAGCTGGAACAAAAGAACGAAGGCGAAGCAAAAAAATAAAGAGAAAAAGTCGATGGTAGGACGAAAAATTTGATCCGCAAAAATACGTCGCGTGAAAATTGCGACCACATAACCTATGAGCCACGAAAATTTTAAGCCTTCAAAATTTTTTCGTAAAATTTTAAAATTGCTCAGATGATGACTTTTTGAATTTCTTTCTTTTCCTTTTTTTTCAATTTTTTTCCCTTTATTCTTGATATTGATTAATTCCAGAGCTAGAGCCACTGTTTTCGGTGGGTTTCTAGAAATTTCAATCATTATCATCAATAAGAAGTCTGTCATTTTTTGTTATAAACATGGAAAACGTATTTAGTTGACAGATTTTGAACTTTAATGATTTATGGCACAAATTAATTGGGAAAACAGAAGAAAAAGAGTTAAAACTCGAAATTAGGTTTCAAAACGTTATCAAATCCTGGGATCGCCGGGATAACTCAACGCAGAAATGAGAATCAGGACTAGAGCAGAAGTTTGAAGAAGACCAGAACGAAGAAAAACAGAAAATACAGAAATTGAAAGCCTTATATGCAGGAAATTTCTAATTTAAATGGACAAAATTTTAAAGGCTTAAAATTTTCGTGGCTCATAAGTTATGTGGTCGCAATTTTCACGCGACGTATTTTTGCGGATCAAATTTTTCGTCCTACCATCAAAAAGTCAGAGGAGAAATAAATAATAAGAATTGCGCGTGAAAAGTTCTTTCCGTAATATAGCGTCGCCGTGTATTGAAAAGGGTGAGTTTCAATATTTTTTTTAATTTTAAAGTTTTTTCTTCCCGTTTTCACTTTCGCTCATTTGGTTTTGTTTTATGAACTATCACAGGCTGAAAAAAAAACAGTTGGCTTATACAGAAACCGTGAGAGCGACAGACTCGGCATAATTGCTGGCTTTCGGAACGAAATGGCTGGTTTAGTAGAGGTCGGAATTCGGGTCGTCGTCGTCGTCGGAAAACCATTCAGTTTCCCACAATACGAAATGGACGAGGAACACACTGCCCATTAGCGTGAAAACAAGGAAAGGGCGGATGCGAAACGGGATTCGACCACTGCGAGAACAGTGAAAGTATTGCGGTTTTTCAATCAAAAACAGAAACATCTTTTTTTTCTGAGTTGGGACAAGTTGTGGGAGGACCTGTTTACCGTCGTCGAGAAGAGGAACAAGGTCAATGGATCAACGCCGTCGGAGCCAATAATAAGAATGAACTTTGAAAACTCGAGGTTTTGAAATCGCTATGGCGATGACCGATAGGAAAAAAAATTGAAAATGATGGTTTTTCATTATAATTTAATTTTATCTTGTTTTGATTTTTTTTTTGAATATCGAAGCGAATAGACTTATTATACTGAAATAACTTTGGAAATCTGTTATACTAGAAGCTTCTATAAATTTCTCAAAGTTTTTCGTAAATTTAAATAATCGTGGAAAATGAATTATTTTTCCCTCAACTTACTACCGATTCATTACAAATATCCGTTTCATAAAGGTTAATTATTTACAGCGAATTTATATCTTGAACTATGAGCTTTCAGGGCCTTAGGGGACTCGCGACAATTCCGTTAAGCTGACTACAAAACATTTTTCTGTAAAACAGCCTCATTAGAAAACAAAGAATGCCAAAAAAATAACTCTGGAAAAGTTCTCTGAACCTACTGGTCGCACGAAAAGACGGACAAAATGGTTCAGGGACACGAGAAATAATTAAAATCTTGAGTTTTCCGAAATTCTGCCCAAGCCGAGACGGTCACTGAATTCGTCAGTAGTAAATCGAGGTCGCGTCGGATTTCAATTCGCTACGACCGCAATTGTGTTGCGATTTGCGTAGATATCCGCGGGGGACACGTTGAGCCGATCTCTGGTGACCTGGTCACACGTCTTTCCGACTGAAACCGGATCGTAGCCTTTTGTCGGGAAGTTTTTTTTTGATATACGGACAGAGGAAAAAAGAGAAAACAAACAAGGCAGAAGTTGTGAAAAAAAGTTTTGCGCGTGGCTCTGTGCGTAGGCTGCAAAGTCACGTGGTGGTGTAATGTGTACACGATTTACGTAAATCGTGTAAATTTTCTTTTTCTGAAAATTTTCCTTTCCCTTTTCCCTATTTGACTCTCTCATTTTAATTATTAATGAGAGATGTTCAAATTAATACGGTCGCTTAAAAGGGTCCTGACTTGCATTGAGTCAGTGAAAAAGTTTGCGCGTCGTTGAGGAAGTTTTTAAGAAATAAGTTCATGTTATTTTGTTTCGTACACTTTTTTGAGTTGTTTTTAGCTCTTTTTGAGCAAAAAATTTTCAAATGTCTGAAAATAATGCTGGAAACTGTTTATCGTCTCAAGAAACTCATTGAATAGAAATTTTTTTGTACCATTTTAGTTTCACTTTTTGAAAAGGTTGAAGATATCACTTTTTTTGGTCTTGTTATGAAAGAATAGTTTATAGAATAGTGAAAAAAAGAATTTTTATTTCAATATTTGATATATGAAAAAGATTATTAAAACTAAATTTTTGAGTAAATTTTTTTGTTAGAATAAAAAAAGTTATTTTTTTAAATTACCATAGTATTGTCGCATAAACGAGCCGAATTTTTCATATATTTATTTCGAATAGAAATCGTTTTTCAAGTCAGTTCTTTAATTGAACTTATTTTTTCTTTGGCTCTAAATTACTACAGAGGCTCAAAATTTTTTTACCGTCTATTTTTTTAGTCAACGATGTCGGGACTATATAATTTCCTTTCTAAACTGTTGTAAGAACTTTCCGAAATCTTAAAATTTTGAAAATTGGGGATTTTTTCAACTCACTTCTTTTTCAGGTTTTATCAAAGACCGGGTTTCCTGTGCAATTTTCCGGAGAATCAGTTTCTTCTTTATTATTTTTTTTTCGTGAATTAATCACTACATTCACCGCTGACTTGAATTTGAAAAAATGATTCATGGTCATTTAAACCTATCCTTTTTACAAAATCTTTCTTTTGTAAAGTCCCAAGTCAGCGGTGATATTTCTTGTACGCAAAAGTGTTGAATAACCTTGCCAATTAATAATATTTCGGACCATAAAAGACCCAATTCGGAGCAATAAAATATTCCATTAGACGCCTAATTTTCTGATTCACACGACTTTTGAAAGGACTCGAAGAAATAATTGTCTTTCTTTTCCAAAACCCGAAAATCGGCGTCGCGCAACGACCCATTCGGCGCTGTTGTTGCAATTCGGCGGCGGCCACGCCCATTTCGTGCGTTCTTTTTCTCTGGCACTCTCCGATCTCTAGCTCGCGAGTCACGAGACCTTTTTCCTTTGTGCGACTTGTTGCAAAAAGATTTATTTTAATCAAAAATGGAGACAAATGAGTCGGATACGGTATATACAAGGATTTACATCGATAAGATGGGTGAAACTGAGATTTTTTGAGAGGTAGTTCATGACATATACGGAGAATTTTTGATGAGATTCCGGCGACACCGGCAAAAGGCAATTCGTGATGAACTGTTCAAGATTTATTTCTGAAAGAAGTTGAAGAAGATATGGAAAGAAAAATGAGCTGAATACCTTGGCGGCGGCCTTTTTGGGAGCAGCTTTCTTGGCTGGAGACTTCTTGGCGGCGACTTTCTTGGGCGCGGCCTTCTTCTTGGGCGAAGCCTTCTTCACTGGCTGGAAAAATGAGAAAATGTCTATTTTGTAATGAAAAAAAGGCGGTGTTGGTGGGAAAAGTTAGCTTTTTATTGAATTTTGAGCTTGATAAAATGGAATTTTTCAATCATAACAGCAAGATTCTCTGAGCAGAACTTAACTGGGACAGAAATTTTTGTTCATAACGAAAGAAAAAAATAATAGAATTCTACATTCAAAAAAATTACGAACCGGAAAGACCTTCAAAATCTCTTAAGTGACCTCTTTAATTTTTTTGAGACTGAAATTTGGCTAAAATAATGACTCAAATTGGAGCTAGAGAGCGCTTGAAAGACAGAGAGACCAGAGAAAATCACTTCTCTAATCCTTCCTTTTTCCTACGCTCTATAACTTTCTTATGCTAGTTTCAATCGTTGGCAAGTCTGTTCTAACAAAAATCTGACCTCTCTTTGAAGGGGTCACTTAAGAGATTCTCTGGTTCGTACTTTATGATCAAAGGTATCATTATGAGAAGGGGAACATAGATTTTTAGCAGCAGAGAATTAAAAAACGCCAACCTTAGTAGTGGCCTTCTTGACCTTGGGGGCCTTGGGCTTCTTGGCGATCTTGGACTTCTTGGCAGGGCTTTTCGCGGCGGCGGCGACCATTTTCGGACGTAGAGAAATAGAGAGAGAGGACTGGTCTGGCTGGACGACGATGTGCTCGTTTGATCCGTGCGCTTTTCGCTTTCTCTCTTTCTGACTCCGCCCCTCTTTTTCCGAAGCGTTGGCAACGCGCCATCGCTTCGTGGAGAGGCTCCGCCCATAACCCTGGCACGCTGCCAACAGAACTGAGCCGCGTCTGCGTCTGCGCCTCGGCCAAAATGTATACACATACACACACACAGAGACAGAGAAGAGCCCGGCCAGACGTTGCTTTGTTCGTTTTGGCGTTGGAGAAAGGAGTAGAACTTGTTTGCACCAACGTTTTCGCGACGGTCGTTGGGGTCGATAATTACTGTCACCTGTGTTGTTGCTGTTGTTACTAGACGGCGGAAGCCGAAAGCGAGTATCAATTTTGAGGAATTTCGAAGCATCCCAAAAAAAGTTTTTCCATGGATTTTCATAATCTATGAACAATCTATGAAAGAACATAGAATCACTAAACTTCATTTTTATCCAATTAGCCAAGGATTTAGTTAATTGAAGTCTGGGAGAGAACTTCGATTCAAATTTTGAGATTTGAAACTGGACTTTTTGATTGACCCTAGTCAACCGAAAAATTGTCCTCGGCACATCAAAATTAGCGCGTTTCACGTAAAAAGTATCAAATTTGAGAACCAGAAGTTAAAAATTACATTAATAAAAAAAACGAACAAAAATGATCAAATAGAGAAATCAAAAAAATATTGGGTTTTCAGAGAACTTTTCTGATTTTTATAAAATTCTGAAGGCGCTAAGATTGTGTTGGGCTGAGCCTCGATTTCAAAGCGAAACACCAAAAAATTTATTTGAGCTTTCAAAAGCTTTTAGAAGTGCAGATTTTAATAAGTCCCCAATAGCCTCGAATCTACATGATTCTGAAAAAAACGATTTCCGTTTTTCCGGGTTTCATAGTCACTTCTTTGACCTTCTTCTTTCAACATTCAAAAAAGCTGAGAAAGACCCTAAGAAGGGCTGTTTGAGGTTTTTTTCAGAAGCTTCATTCAACCAAAAAGTATTAAAAAATAACGCTAGGAAAGAATTTCGAAGGTCCTGGGAAAATGTTTAGTTAATATTTAGAGGCTCGCCAAGGACTACTTGGAGAGGACACTGAAATGGCCACTAAACCCACCTCTATAGTGGCCACTATTTTCCGTTTAAGCGGCCACTATAGAGGTTCTCACCCAGTAACTCTGATAATTTTAAAACAAGCAGATTGGACCAGTTATGTTGATCCATTGACCCCTAAAGTGGTCACTAAAATTTTTAGTGGTCTAGTAGTAGCACCTCTATAGTGGCCACTAATTTTGAACCCCTTAAGTGACCACTGCTTTGACTACTATAGTGGCCACTGAACCATCAAAACCCTATAGTGGCCACTAATTTTTAACCCCTTAAGTGGCAACTAATTCGACTAGCAGCTGATCATCGGAACGTTCAACTTTCTAACATTACTATTGAAAGAAGGACAAGATGTTCTAAGAGCCTTTCTTGGTCAAGGCGACTCCGCAAATTGACGACCCTCATAGATCCCATGATTCAGCCGATAATATAGTCTGAAGACTGAATAAACTTTTCAGGTAATCTTTAGAGGATGTTCCTTTTTTCTTCCGCCTGAGATTATTCCAAGATATTTGAAAACAAGGCGAGCGATATGAAGCTTTTCGCGATAATTACCCAACCCGTGGCCATATCACATGGTCCGTAGGATTACCATATCGGAGCCGGCTGTCGTCCTCTTTCTCCTCTTTCTCCTTCTCTGCCTCGTCAATTAACCGTTCACGCATCGGCTGTCCCTCCCATTTGCATAGTATTGTCTGACGAGCGTTGTGAGCCAACTACACCTTATGTTTAAATAACCGATCCGGCCCCGTCTGAGCGCACGAACGCATCACTTCGCGAACCCGAAAACTATTGTAGATGACTCGATGTTCAAGAAGAATTATTAGAAGTTTCTGAAATCTTGAAAAAAAAAGTGGTTTCTACGGAATTTTCTCAGCCTTCAGAAGTTTCTGAAATCGTGAAAAAAATGATTTCTACGGAATTTTCTCAGCCCACAGTGGGACTTCTAAATGAGAATAAGATCTAGATGTAGTTTTTCAGGCTAATTCCGAATCTGTGCTTGAAAGTTGCCCTCGAGGCCTGTGAAAAAAAGTTAGGGGATCTCAAAGTCTTCGATTGAGCTCTTTCTGTAGGGTCCATAGCTCTTGTTTCTTATTCAGAAGTATAACTGACTCAACTGTCCAATCAGCTGATATCTTGAGAAATCGAGTGAACTTGATTCAAGACACCCTAGTTTCAAATTCGTCGGAAAAAAAACCGCTTTTTGTCTTTTAGTAGAGTTTTGATGCTAAAAATCCTCTTTCTTTCCTCTGAACTAGTGGAGTTCAAGTTTCGAGGTTCATAAATTTACTATATCCAGCGTACCACGACTTGGAATTTCACTGAACGACATTCCGCTGTGCCGCTGAGTGCCTTTGCGAACCTTGATCGCGCAATTAATTTTTTTTTTGTTAAGGAGGTACTCTACTTTCATCAGCAATAACAATCAAATCAAATGAAAGCATGACCTAGATTCGACAGACGCTTTGCGACCGCACGCAGCGGAATAGCGGAATGTCGTTCCGTGAAATTCTAAGTCGTTGCACACAGACTATATTAGGCTAAAAGCACATTTTTTCGACTGACTGTATTGAAATGAAGGTCTTGAAAATAGTTTTGATTGATGATTTTTTGCTACGATTTTGGTTAGATTCAACTGTCCAATCAGCAGATTTTCGATTGAGAAGTCGATTGAACTTTATTCAAGTCTCATTGATTTCAAATCAGTCATAAAAGATCCGTTTTTGTCATTCAGTGGAGGTTTGATGCCAGAAATCCTCTTGCTTTCCTCTGAAATAGTGGAGTTCAAGTTTCGAGGTACATAACTTTACTATTAGGTCAAAAGCACAATTTTTCGAATAACTGATTTGAAATGAAAACCTTGGAAATAGCTATGAAAGATGGTTTTTTACTACGATTTTTGGCTTGATTCAACTATCGAACCATTGCAGATGTCTCAATAATGATCAGAAGTTTCTGGATCGATATCTTGAAAATAATTTTGACAGTTGATTTTCTACCATTTGATTCCACAATCCGATCAGTATACGTAGCCAACAAAAGAAGCCCAAGAGATGTTTAATGGTTCATTCTTTGTTATCACTTGACTCTTGGAAATACCCAAAATCCATCGTTTTGATACCCGAGACCATTTGCGGCGATACACACATATATACACATAAAGGCTTTGGGAGGAAATCGGCGGAAGGCGGTTCTCAGGCGGCGGTGAAGTGGCTCCGCCCATTTATCGATTGTCCAGAGAGCGGTGTGACTCGCGAAATGGGCTTCCAAGACGAATAAGTCTAGGATGGGGACTTCCTTTGGAGGACTCGAGGTTTGAAACGGTCCTAGGAGATTTTTAACTATCTATGGTGAAATAAAAAAGAGATTGGAAAATCTCGTGACCAAAAAAAATGTTCTCAGCTCACTTTGAAACTTCTAGATTTATTAGATAATTTTTCGACGCTCTCAAGCCTTGTAAAAGGTTATTGATGCTCAAAATTAAAAATCAAGTTTCCGGATAAGCTTATTTTCCTGAAGGCTTAGTCATCACTAAAAAGTGAATTTCCGTTAAACAAGTAATCAATATTTGAAATTCCTCGGGCCTTTCTGAGCACAAATTTGAAATCAACTTGAAAATATGATTCTATGGAATTCCTTTTTGAAAGTTTAGGATTTCTCCCTTTTTTTGAAATAAAGAGAAGAGGTGCAAGTTCAATATACTGCTCTTTTTCTTTCCTAAGGATTTATGAAGGATCATAGAAAAGTTTATTTAGAAAAAAACGGTGCTAGAAAATAGTTCAAGCTCTAAATCCAGGCATCAGATCATTTGAAACTTTTGAAACTTTTATTCAGTCTTCAGAGAAGAAGTTTTCGTTAAATCGCAAACCGCTACTCCCTGACGTCATTTCATGACATCATTCGTAACACAAGAAATAAGCGTAATCGAAATATTTGGCTATATATTCATTTTATTCACGTGAACATGATTCAGCAGATTATTATTATCTCATTTTATCACGTCGACTAGTCGGTCTCATTGCCGCTCTCTCATGGGATAATATTCCGACGCCCGTCAGCCCTGGACAAGATGCGCGCCGTACTGTTCCAACATGGTGAAGCAGTGTATTCGCTAGTACTACCAACGGGCCAACATTATTTCCCAACGCCACCTGTCACTCCGGGACGTATTGGACAACAATTGTGGACCGTAACCCGCGCCGCGCCGACGACTAACTCTTCGATTATACCATGATTCAGCAGAGATTTTCTTCATCTTACTCTGAAGACTGAATAAATTGAATTGAATTGAAATTGAAATTGAAAAAATTGAAGAATGGGAAGAGCCTGAATTGCGCCTTTGCATTAAAACTGCGCCTACAGGTTCATGCATTACTTGAGAAAATAGGCTTAGTTTTAAGGCTTCACACGGAGGCGGAGCGCACATAGCGCGAAGCCGACTGTGACTCGCTTCGAAAAAGCTGAGCCACAGTGAAAAATTCGTCAAATAAATAAATACTTGACATAAAAGGCATTTAGTTTCAAAAAGTGCACACTAATAACACTATCAGGTAGCTCTAAACGAGTTGCAAACTTGATACGCGTAGCGAAAAAATCTGTGAAATGTATTTCCTAAAAAAAAATTAAAAGGGGCATACTGTGCGTAAGCGTGGGCCTCGACGCCTCGGATTATTCCAAACCTTTAAAAGGTTTCTAAAAAAAGTAAGAAAATAGAAGAACGAAAAAAAGTTTCCAATCAAAAGGGGATTTTCAAGTGTGATATCTTTCTGTTTCTCATGTGACCGGAAAAGTTTTCACGTCGAATCTAATTTTATAAATTGGAACGTAAAAAATGAATAAAATGATATGGCTGCGTGTGCGAAATTTGCAAATGAAGATGATGTCATAGGGATGACGTCAGGGAGTAGCGGTTTGCGATTTAACGCGAAGTCTCTGCTGAATCATGGAATAATTGAAGAGTTGTTCGTCGGTTTTCGAAACTGTCGTTGATCAAGCGTAGACGGCGCGTAGAGCATCTCCCTTTTCTTGTGATTGTAGTAGACGGTTTTCGAGCGTTTCCGATGATAACTGTTTCTCCATGTAGGAACAGTACGGCGCCCAGCTTGTCCAGGGCTGACGGGCGTCGGATCAAATCTCAGGCGAGAGCGGAAATGAAGACCGACCACTCGGGTGGTAGAAATGAGATAATAATCAATGAGATAATAATCAGATCATTTACCCCTGAGAAAAAAATTTTCATGGTCTTATAATCAGAAAATCGATAAAAGTTACAAGCGTGGTTACTCGCAGAAAACTAAACAAATCATGAAAACAAATCAATCATATTCTGCGTGGAAAAAGAACTTTAAATAAAGATGATAAGGAAAATGACGACACCAAGAAAAGTCAACGCGACGAGTGGAGTCCCTTAAACAGTCATTCAAGCCGTATAAATCCAATGGAGAAGCTTCCAGCTTTCTCCGACGTAGAGAATGGGAGGCACACGTCGAAGCCGAGAGGATATGGAGGTATACATTCAACGATTTCCTAATGTTTCAAAAAAAAATGCAGACCCTACATTAGCTTCCAAACTAGACTTCTGAACTGTAGCGCCTCAATTCGCGTCTTACTATTTCTCAGCCGCACGTTCACTCTATGGCATGCCGCAGAGAAATATTAGTTTGCGTCTTAAGGTTTAGAGTCTCCGTAGAGTAAAACTTCGAAGTAAGTTTAAAGTAACCGCCCAAGAAACCCTATGGAATATTGAAAACTTGAGAGCATTGTAGAAAATACCAAAAATACGGTTCTATAGTCAATGTTCCCCGACTTGAAAGGCGAGGGAGGCGGGGCAGGGGGCGGGACGCGTAGCGTGTGCGTCCGCGGTTCTTGGCACGTGTTCAATTCAACCGCCATCTATTCTTTGGAAAACCCGTTTTTCGCTTTTTTCATTTCTTTTTTCAATTATTTATTGATTATGTTCATGTGTGCATCAAAAATTAGTTGAAAAAATTGAAAAAGAGCGGTTGCCGAGCTTTTTAAATAGTCGGCGTTAATTGAATTGAACTCGTGCCAAGAACCGCGAACGTACACGCTACGCGTCCCGCCCCTTGCCCCGCCTCCTTCGCCTTTCAAGTCGAGAAACATTGACTATACAAATTCTTCACAATATTAACGATTTTGAGCTTTCTTTTCTTAAGCAACCTCTTGGAAATTTTGGTGGCTTCTCAAGATCTTTCCAGGTTTTGTGAACACAGGGCTTTTATAAATGGAGAAAGGTCTTTTTGTCTCTTTTTCTCAGCTTGGGAAACATTTTGAAGCCTGCTTTGAAGTTCTCTTTAAAATAACATTCCACCCATATTTGTGACAATGCTATGGGGGCTGGTCAGTTCCGGAGCACGGAAACTTTTTAAATTTGTTTTTCCAATTAGTTAAAGACCGATTTCTCGAGGTAACAAGATGAGCTGCGTCACAAAAAATACACAAGCTTTCATTTTATTACCGAAAAAACCCATAAAAATTTCATCAAAGAGAAAACACTAGAGCTCATACAGTCCAAATTACCGGATCTTCGAATCTATGTCATATAAATTTTATCCAAAGAATATTTTTAAGAAGGAGAACCGGAAGCGATTTTTTATGAAAATGAAAGACTCCATAGCGGAGATGAAGCCATTCCGAAAACGCTTTGTGAAGCGGTGAGCCCCAACCAAAAAACGGACGGAATCATCATCAACAAACTTAAGGAAGAAGGTTTTTTCTTACAAAGTTATTAATCATAGATAACCTCACCAATCAATCTGAGAATGATGAAGTGAGCAACGTGATGATTTCATGAAGGACTCAAAGTATAGTTTCGAAAAGTGACCGTTCGACCGACCGTTCGACCAATATTTTTTCAACATTTCTTAATAAATGGTCGTTGGTCGAACGGTTGGAGTTTCAACACTTCAGAGTGACATATTGGTTTTTGACCGTTTCTTCAAAAATGGTCGGTCATTTTTCGATCGTTCGAAATGTCACTTCGAAATTGGTCGGTCATTTTTTGACCGTTTGAAATGTCACTCTTAAAATGGTCGGTCGGTTTCGTAAATTTCAGAAATTGGTCGGTCAAACGAACGGTCAGAAAAATGACATGTTATAACCGTTCGAAAAACTGAACGGTCAAATCAGTTGAATGGTCTAATTGGTCGAACGGTCAAATTTTAGAACACAAACTCAGAGGCAGAAAAATTCAGATTCAAGTATTAGAGAAAACCTCAAAAATCAAAGAAATGCCTTGAAATTGGTGAAAATTGACCATTCTGAGATTTTCTTTCTCGAAGACTAAGAAGTTTTGCACTCCGGAATTTCATCTCGTTCAAATCAAAGCAAATTTTGAAAGTTTCTTAATTTCAAATTGAAATGAACTTCCTTGTCAGTGAGAAATTCCGAGTTGGGCGATGATTCGCAACTTGAAACGGCTTTTCTCTGCGTTCTCCTCGTTTTTCAGCGACCCTCTCATTTTGCCGTGATGTTTTCCTTATTCTCTGATCTCGCCGGTGAGGAAACAGAGATTCGCAGATGCTCGAAAACTTTCAAGTCGCGGCGAAGGGACTATATTAGAAATAAACGCCTCTTTTTCAGCTGGGTTGATGAAAAAGATGGTTTTTGCTATTTTGAGGCGTCATATAGTCCATTCACCGTAACTTGAAAGTTCTCGTGTGTCTGAGTTTCTCTGTTCCTGGCCGGCGAGGTCACAGAAACGCAAAAATAGCACGTCAACAAGAGAGGGTCGTCGAAAGACGAGGAGGGCACAGAGGAATCCCGCCCTTTCAAGTCGCGAAAAACGGACTGTAATCTGAAATACAAACGGTGCCGTTTTTTGACCGTCATATGAAACTGAAAGTTAGAAAACAAGTGAACTTTTTTTTTGAAAGGCCGGTGTTTTTCTCAATAGAAACATTTTGAGAAATTGATAAATTTTCTTATACCAGGCGTATTTCAAAGCATCCTAAAGGCCGAATTTGTTTTTGGTCGTCGAATTCTCACAAACCAACACTGGGACCGTTTCGTAAAATCCTCAATTTTACTTTTGGGAAATTGCCTTTAGAGAACAGCTTTTTGATAGTTTCGAACCAAACCGGTTTTCCAGATCAAATTGTTACAAAATCCTAATGAGCTATCTCGAAAAAAGGGATAAAAACGAAAGTTTTGCAGGCCCGACGGGCTACGAAGCTGTAGGGAATTTCGAGTCAAAAGAAATGAAAGGAGACTTGCTAGAGGAAAAGACGAATGACAAGAAAGAAGACAATACCAAAATTATATCGGAAAACGCACTGACGGACGCTACGCAAAAAATGTCGACTTTTTCTCAGCCAATGAAAGACCTTGCAGAAAGAAGAAAAAGCATGAAAAGTGAGTTTTAATTTTCCTTCGGTCGCAGAAAAAAACTCTGAAATTTTTTTGCCCGTTTCAAAGGGCAAGTTCTGAGCGAAATAAAAGCAAGCTGGAAAAAAGTTTAGTGACCACTCTAGGATTTTGACAATTCAGTGCCCACTATAGTAGTCGTATTATTGGCCACTGAAGTGGCTGAAATTTAGTGGTCTCTTTAGAGGTCTGAATGGTACTACTAGAACACTGAAAGTTTTAGTGGCCACAGAGACGAAAAATATTGGCTTCTTCAGAAGCGGCTTTAATGGCCACTTGGGTATGCTTTTCGAGTAGTTTGAATAACCTCTTAAGTGGCCACTAAAGTCTTTTTTCCGAAGAATTGAATAGCTGACCAGAAGCATACGCCTAAACTCATAGAACACGCATGTCGCGGACACTTGTAGACCAAATAGTCCGGATTTTCGCAATCATTTTCTTATTGAACAAAACCACTAAAACTCTGTGAAAGATTTATAAAAAAAAAGGCAAAAATTTCATCAAAAAAGAGAAAAAAAAAACAGTTTTGCGCAAGATAATTTTCACCGTTTTAACTGCAGGAGGGGAAGTTAAAGAGTTGCTTGTGCCGGAACGAGAAAAGAAAGAAAAAGAGGTACCCCGAAGTGATGACGAAGTTATGGAGCACCTAATATATTTCCACGGGTGAGAGTTTTTTGACTGGACTGCAATCGGTCCTTTGCAGGTATTTGCCGCAATTAGAAGCTAGAAGGTTTATAAGGAGGGAAGGTGACTATCTTTTCAGAAAGTTTGAAGGTAATGGAAAAAAAAACATGATTGTCTAGTTAGGACTTTTTGAGACGACGGGAAGCATCATCTTCTTCTGTCAGTCGGGGTTTCGATGGACTGTGAAAAAGACGAAAACGATGGTAATTTATTTTCTTTTTTTTTAGAATCCAAAGTTTTGCGTTTCGAGTTACTCTACTCGATTCAACATTTATTCTTTCCCCTTTTTAAAATTGAAGCGAAAATGCGCTGCAGTGGGTTTTCCCTCCAGGAACAGCTCATATTGAATGCAGCTTTTTTGATTAAGAGAAATTGATATAGGAATTCGAGATTTAAAAACTACTGTTTTTCATCCTGAAAACTTTTCAAGCGTATATACTTGCTCAGATGGGGAATTTGGCGCCAAAAAGACTGGATATAAAGAATTAAAGATGAATTTAAAATCAATCGGGGGAGGGTTTATCCTATATGAGCTGTGTTCATCGGAAAAGGTGAAACTTTTTCCAAAACGTGTCAGAATTGCACCAAAAAGAAGGCATTGTTGTTTTGGAGGAATATTGAGAGCTCGAATGAACACTTTTCGCCCTTTTAAAAACGTGCTCGGACCTTCGCAACCTTTTCCGAACGTGTCGGAGCATTTCTAGTAGCCCCTTTAGTAGCGACAGGTCTCGAAAGTGATCCCTTGAACTGCTCGGAAACGTCCGAAGCGCGTGGTCCGACTTAAATACTATTGTTCAATTTTCCATCGAGCGTCTGTAAAATTTTTTGCTTGCATTCTCACTTTTCTCATCCAAATTCACAGATTTGGACGACAACTATGCAAAAGACCAGCCAGTCCGAATCGAAGACTTTGTGGTTCGTCGGGATGAAATTAGCGTTTTTTTGGAAGACGAGAACCGTTTTGAATGCCTCGAGGATCTGTTAACGTTTTATATACTGCATCCGGACAAGGTGGAAGCTTTTGAGAAGAGGGAAAAGATGTTAGAAAAACCTTCTTTCAGGACTCGCTGAACATCAAGCTTCTACGGGGCTGCCCCATTCACCTGTTTCAAATCAGAGAGAGGAATATTGTTAGGACTAAAGACGTAAGTAGCAACTTGCGAGTGAAGCAAACAGCATTTCCAAGCTTTAGTTACCTCAAAATCCTGGTCGTAAGAACTGAAAAGAATTTTTGGAATGAATGTATTGGTCTGGTTGGACTAAAACCCTTTCGCAATTTTTGAGGTCCAATCAGTTTGATTGAAGCAAATTGAAGCGGATTTTCAGGAATTTGAAAAAAAAAAAGATTTTTAAGAAAAATATAACCAAATAGGCTTTTACGTGTGTAAAAATTTTGGAAAAGCCAATTTTCTCCCTTGACTGTTATTTTTTCATTAAGATTAATAACTTGATTGCTATAAATTTATATATTTAGATTTTCAAGGTCAAATCAATGTGGTAAAGGGAATAAGAAGCGAATTTTTAGACATTTGAAAAAAAGGTCTACTTTGCTCTATGCATGTATCAGAAAGCATAATCCAGTTGACTTATCCAGAACTGAACGACTTTTTTAAAACCAATTTCCGTGAGAAAAAGGGGACGCTCAAACTGAGTATACTTTTTTCAGTTGGGAAGCGGAAACTTCGGCGACGTCTTTCTCGGCGAGATCACGTCGCTCGCAGTACTTGATAGATTTGCGGCTGTCAAATCGGTGAGTTTAACGGAATTTGCGGAAATTCGTGATTGCAGTTGAAAAAAGACTGCCCTGGGATGCGGGAGCTTAGTAACAAGATCATATCGGAAGCCCGTGTAATGATGAATCTCTACCACGAGAACGTGGTTGAGTTTTTAGGCTGGATGATTGATCGACAGCCCTTCATGTTGATTCTAGAGTACTTGCCTGGTGGGTGGCTTCCGACTTTGAACAGGTGCTCAAAAGTTAGGAACATTTAGTTAAGGAAAATAACTATATTAATCGATTTTTTTGCTGTCTTCTATTTGAAAAAAATTTTATATCAGTTTTTGTTTCAAACTCTTTTGTGCTTACGTGGGCAAATAAAGAACTGAATAAGTCCGGGAGTAGGGTTGATTTGAAAAAGTTTCAAAATTTAACTTGGAGGGAGTTTTATTAGTATAAACGTTAATTTTGAACTCGGGAAGTAGTATTGACTTCAACTCGGAGAGACTTGGGAGAAAGGGATGGTGGCTTTGAAAAATGGTCTCCACTAGAGTCTGCAAAAATGATCTTCCGATCAATCTTTTGGTCAACATTTTCATAACATTTCACCTAAGATATGATATGTTCACATTTTGACTGCATAAAACGTTGACATGTCTAAATAATGTGATCTTTCGTTTTATTTGACAGAACAACATGTCCTTTATAATGAAAGATAATTCAAAATGAAATGCCAAAATTTGATCTTTCAAAATGTCATCATGAAATGAATAATCAAAATTTTGTTCTTTTAAAATGGTTGGAAGATCATCTTTGCAGACTCTCTCCACACTCGCATGCTGATCAGGTGTCTCAACGGGTGTACCCGTATTAAACCCGTGTTTCTGGGGTTATTTTAGTCTCAGTTGGGCTAAAACGGGGGAACAACGGGTGTAAGAAAAATATGTAACCCAGCTGGGCTAAGGCGGGGTCTCAGTTGGGCTAAAAAATGCCAAAAGTTCTATCAGCTGGGCTTATACGGGTTTAATACGGGGGCACCCGCGGAGACCCCGTGTTAGCACGGCTGGGTTACCCTGCTCAGCATTCGAGCATGTGTAGGTATGCAATAATCCGATAAGTTCCCGACTAATCTCATAAAAGGAGGCGGGACGCGTACGCGGTTATTGGCATGAGTCCAAATAAGGCGCCACCGACTACTTCATAAGCTCGTTCTCCGCTTTTTCCATCGATTCTTAAAAGAGAAAAAACAAGTAAAAATAGTTGTAAAATTGAGAAAGTCAATAAAGAAAGTAAAAATAATTGAAAAAAGCAATATACGAGCTCTCCAAATAGTCGCTGGCGGTTGAATTGAACTCGTGCCAAGAACCGCGTACGTACAGGCTACGCGTCCCGACTCCCTCGCCTTTCAAGTCGGGAAAAATTGACTATACAGTGATCCAAAGTTTCCGAATATCCTTTCTTTCATAGTAATCTCAACCACTCATCGGAGAGATTTTATGAAATGAATCACATTTCCGTTCTCATTTTAATCTTGAGCGCTTTTCAGGAGGCTCTTTGGAGAACTTTCTCCTCAAAAATTTTGATGGCATTAGTGACTCGCGCCTAACAAAATTTGCTTTGGACGCGGCCAAAGGGTTAAATCATCTCCATGAAAAAGAGCTGATCCATCGTGACGTAGCCTCGAGGAACTGTCTTCTAGGTTCCGACCTAACGGTTCGAGCCAAAATAAATCCAATCAGAAGGAAGAAAAATTCTTTTAATTTTCAAGGCAAAGATTTCGGATATGGGTCTCACCGTACCCGGCAGCACGTATTGGATGTCCAAAGCGGAGACCCTACCGACGCGATACCTGGCGCCGGAGAGCCTTGCGATCTACTTGTTTGCGTACTCTTCCGACTGCTATTCGTTTGGCGTGAGTTGCCCTGCATCGCCCTAAACGGAGAAAAGAACGATTTTAGAACCTTCTGTTCGAAATTTACAGTGGGGGTCTGATTCCCCATGAGGATCTGAACTGTGCAGACGCTCGAAAAAAAGTTTGTTTAATTCTTTCTTATCTTTTTTTTTTCTACGCTCTTGTGCCGCTTGAGAGGCTTCGGCTCCTAAGTTTAAACAAGTTTCTGTCCTGATATCAGTGAAAATCAGTTGACTGGCTCTAGGGATCTACCCGTGTGACGGCTGGGGAATTCGAAGTCGGGGTTTTCCACCACCAAAACTTCTTGTACCCCTTATTTTGGCACCCTGTTGACCTAGACAGGCACATACAGGGTGGCTCAAAATTACCCGCACAAGCTATAAGTGCTATATAAAAAAAAGTAAAAGTCAGAAAACCATGGGGATCAACAAAAAGTTTATTCATGATCATAACAACAATTATAAACTACTCGTGTTCCATCCGATCTCCTCTCTTTCCGATGACAGCACGAAGACGTCTAGGGTACGCGTCGATGGTTGCACGCAGGTAATCTGGCGACAAAGTGTCTCATTCCTAGACCAGGGTCTTCTTCAGGGCCTCGATACTCGAGTGGGGTTTGACGTTGACCTTGTTTTGCAAAACCCCAGAAGGAGAAGTCCAAAGGATTGAGGTCTTGAAATGGATAAAATGATGTTCCTCGGCATCATTCCATTCTTCCTTTGGGAGCAAGCCCGACTCGGCATATAAGTCTTTATTCCGTAGCGCACGTTAGCAGTGCGCTACGCCAGAGTGATGTTGTAAAGAAAGTTGGGGCGAACGCCCACAGGCATTCGTCACTCAAGAGCACATGTTCACTTAACACAATGAGATATAAACAACCATTACATCCCCTCCGATTACGGAAGATGCTTCGTCCCCGAAGCAAAGAAAAAAAAAATGTAGGATATTAAGAGCGAATAAAAAAAGTTGGGGAGAGACAGAGGAAAAGAATGATAAAAGAGAGATGCTTAACATTTCAACACTATTGAGAAATATAGAAGAGGACTATCACATCCCCCCCTTCGCCGAAAGTCTCGTCCCGAGACTTCATTGAAGTGAGAGAATGGTTGTCGAAGTGAACATGTGAAATAAAGACAAGATGGAATAAATGCCGGACTCTGAATGCCTGAGTTCGGTGCTCAACAATTGATTCGCTACTTCGACTTGAAAAGGATAGAAATTAAAATTTTGAGTGGAAAAATCTCTGATGGGGGTCTTACAAAATACAACTTCTTAGTGATACGAATTCATACTTTAACAGACCACACTAACTGTCAAAATGCAAATTAATCAACAACATCCGAAATTGTTATTTGAACAGCCATTCTTACTGAACAATTAATAAACCATTACATCACACCACAAATGTAATAAGTTTGAGAATCATGTATTGTTGTTTGTGTATCACTAGAAAACGAATTAAAAAATAAGGCACATAATAGATATGGAAAAAAACAGAAAAAGTTTTACTTGCGTAACCCAGCGAACCGCAAGACAGTTGTTCTTCATCTGCTCGAGTGCTACTTCGTAGAGGTCTCGCAATAAGCCACGGTAGAGCGAGCGACAGTTAATATCATCGAAGTAGTTGTTGAATGGACTGGTAGCGAATCAAGGAGTAGAGGTAGCTTTCTTAGATGGAATATGAGGAAGACTGGAGTAGATCTTCCGCCGGATGGTACATGGCGGAAGTTCCCGGGACCTCCATGAAATGGATAAAATGATGTTCCTCGGCATCATTCCATTCTTCCTTTGGGAGCAAGCCCGACTCGGCATATAAGTCTTTATTCCGTAGCGCACGCTAGCAGTGCGCTACGCCAGAGTGATGTTGTAAAGAAAGTTGGGGCGAACGCCCACAGGCATTCGTCACTCAAGAGCACATGTTCTTTAACACAATGAGATATAAACAACCATTACAGTCTGGTGAAAACGGTGGCCGTTAGTCCTTCGGGATGAACGCAGGCAAATGGGTCTCGGACCACTGTTGCGACAACTTGGCTGTGTTTGCTGGAGCACCGTCTTCTTGGAGCATCCAGGGACGTCTATTGAAGACCTTCTGAGTCCAGGGAAGAAGTGTCTTCTCCAAAATCTCCGAAATGTAGACTTCCTTGTTGATTTTTACTTCTTGATCGACAAATAGCAATGGTGTCTTGCCATCAGCAGACTCTGCTCCGAAAACCATCACACTAGCGGGGTGAGAGGCTCGATGAATGGTCCTTCCGTTGCCAAAAGCTTCGTCAGACGTCTTAGCAAGTACTCGATGATTTTGAGGGTTGAATTCGGCCTGTACCGTGATCAGCTTCTCGTCAGAGAACACTGTAACCAAGCGTTCTTCAGTGCGCGTGCGCTGAAGGAGCTTTATTGATATTTCAAGCCGTTTCTTGGTTGTAGCTTTCGAGAAAATTTTGAGGATCTTTTCCATCGAACTTCGACTAATTTTCATATCTTTCGCCATCTTTCTGATGCTCCGGACTGAATTTCTTCTGGTTCTCTCTTTCACAGCTTTGATCCGATCTGGAGTGACGACTGTTGCTTTTCTTCTTTTTCCACATCTACCCAAGAATGTGCCGAGCTTTTTGAAACGAGAAATCGAGTCATAGACGGTTCTACTTGGGACTCCGAGCCGTTTAATGATGTCAACCGGAGCGACTCTTGCTTTGAAAAGGTGCAGAATCGAAGAGCGATGTGGATTTAGTGGTGCCATTTACCGAAAACAGAACCGATTGATCTGAATTTCGGCAGAATGGTAAAAAACATACATTTAATCAAAATTTTAAGTAATACGCGGCCAGAATTGCGTCGATCGCCTTTCTATATCGCGTCAAACTTTTGTGCGGGTAATTTTGAGCCACATGTACCTGTTGCGCTACGACGCGCCCCGGTTTCAATCTCGTCCTTAAAGGGCCTTCTTTCGTTCATATTTAGAAATTAAAATGAAACACTAGATCAATTCTCAACATTTTTTATTCAAATAGCGCCATCATTGAGTTGAAAAAGGATGAACATGCCTCTTTTCATAAATTTCATAACAATAATAGACTAGCATGCCCCCTGTAGACTAACCATAAACCCTATTGAAGCCACTAACCATAAACTCTACAGAAGCCACTTTTGCAAGTTTCAAAGGTAGAGGGAGCCTTAGATGGAGCCTTCACGGGCCCATGAGGTTGTTCTATACTCCTGGAATTAGTTACCCTTTTCTTTCTAATTTGATGGTAATGTCCATGTTTTAAGCGTCACCTCTTCATTAAAAAATAATAGGAGCCGTTTTTTTGATTGATTTTTTAATTGAGGTACCCTAAAGTGATCGATATTTTTGTCAAAATCTTTGCGCTCTCCTATTCAGAGAATTCTTTGCATTAAGATATTGGAAGGAAAAGCCAGCGATCTGGAACAAACCCGAGTTCCACCAACTCTTCGGCCCTTTATCAAAGAAAAACTGTGGAACTACAGTATGCGCAAAAGAGCTCCGATGGACGAAGTTTGCGTCATTTAGTCACTTCACTATTTTTTTTCGAAATTTGCAGGTCGTCAAGTTCTTGAAAAAGACTTACCGCAACTGTAAAAAGGTCAGTTTAAATGAAGAGATAGCTTTTCTAATTGAAAACATCTCTGCAGCTAGAGGGGTTACCGAAGACGACCACGAATGAGGAGAGTACCGTGAGTTTGAAACTTCAGTTTTTGATAGTGCATTTTTGAAAATTCCGAATTTCAGTCGAATAAATATTATATCATTATATGAGGGCCAGCGATAAAATAGGAAAATCGTCGAGAAATTCGACACTACTATTTGTTTAGCAGAAGTCTTACTTACTTTTGTGAAAATTGATCAGATACTCAAAATTCATCCTGAAAGGTTCAGACTAAAAAACTTGCGGCTTTACTAAAAACGAAGGATCCCATCATTAAAATTTCCAGTTTTGATAAGGGTTTTATTTTATTCTGAAGGCTCTATTCTTGTGAATTTGTAGATGTTGAAATTGTCAAGGCTTTCGTAGGGTACTGCAAATAATATTCTGGTCATCTTTTAGAGAATTCATAACCGAAAACTTCAACGATAGCAAAACTTGTGAAAGTTCGAACTTTCTCCTAAAATCACTTCAGGGAGGCAAAGGAGACGGTAGTTTCAACAATGCTCTCAAAAACCGCCGACGCGAACCCGTAAGCCGCAATGTCAGTTGCACTTTTCTCCTGTCCCAATATCAAGACTTTTTTTCCCAGGTTATTATGGAACAAGTTTGTCCCACAAAAGAGGACTGACGGCATTGACGAATCCTTCTTCGTCGTATTTTTTCTGATCTTTCTCTAGTTAGTCGAATAAAAGTCCCACTTGAAAACTTGTGTAAAAAGTCTATTGGCATCGATTTTGTTCTTGAAAAAGAGAATTTTTCAAAAAGTGAGAAATTTTTTTAACCGAACTTATGTTGTCGTGAATTTAACTAGAAAATAGAAATGTGCCAGAATGAACTTTTTCCAAGTCTGTAGTTCTCAAAAAATTTCTATTTCATCGCTTTTTGTACAAAAATGTTTTTTCAATTCAAAGAAGTATGTGAGTTAGGGCCTTTCTGTGTGTGCACCAAAAAAACGTCATATATTACGAAAATTGCGGGCGTGGCGTCCTCATGAGGTCAGGCACTGGTGCGCGCATACGCGGGGATACTGATTCTTTTTTTCGCCTTTTTCCACTGTAATACGGTTTTGAAATATTTTTTTATATTTTTTTGTCATACTACCCAGTGCCCCTGCTCACGTTGTAAAGTTTTTCCGAGCACTTTCGAACACATTTATGAAAAAAAATTGCCAAGCAGCAGGCGGCGCGCATGCGCCCTTTTGGCAACAAACGTGCGCCGTCAGTGCCTGAGTCGTAAAAAGTACGCCGTGCGGGGCCTCGAGAAAAAATGGCCGGCCCGCAGGGTTGCACGGAATTCCGTTATCCGCCTTCCGCTTAAATTTCTTAACCCGTGTTCCGTCTTAATTTAAAAAAAAATTTCGTTCCTTAACCCGTGTTCCGTCTTCCTTAAAAACTTTTTGCTCTTCAACTCCTATTTTAAACTGATAGAAAAATGCGTGTTTTCGGTGTTGTGCGTGCACTCGCTTTTTCTCAAAGGTAAGACTCATAGCCCCGGATTTTTTTCCGTTGATTCTTGCATGCAATACATGTGTTTTGTCCTTTTTCGTTCATCATTTTCGCTCGCGGAATATTTAATGATAAGTTTTACAACCCAAGTTTTAGGCGGTCACTCCCGAAAAAACTGACAGGAGAGCAGGGTTATTTCATTTTCAAGTGTCCAAACGCAAGCAGGGAGCACCAGTCAAGAACTAGTGAGTTGCTTTTATTTCCAAATCAGGTGAGAGAAAAGAAACAAAAAGTCAACTCAAACAAGTTCAAGTTCCAATTCTACTCGTTTTGAACTTCACTAAAGAGCCTTTTTCACTAGATTTACCAAGTTTATCTCAAACCAGACCAATATATAACCTCATATATAGTCTGTGTGCCATGACTTGAAGTTTCACCGAACGACATTCCGCTGTTCCGCTGCCTTCGTTCGCGAAGCGCCTTTCGAATCTAAGTAACGTTTTCAATTGATTGTTATTGCTGTGGGGGCACATGAAAGTAGAGTACCTTAATAAAAATAAATAAATAAATAAAACGCGACCAAGGTTCGCAAAGGCGCGGAGCGGCACAGCGGAATGTCGTTCCGTGAAATTCCAAGTCGTGGTACACAGGCTATAGTGATCTGTTTTTTTTTTGTGACACAGATATTTAAACAACAATTTGATAGAAAAAACTCAAGGAAAAATGTAGAAAGGCATTTACTGATTCAGAAAAAAAAGTTTGAAAAACATTAGGAAGACAATTTTCTGTTTTGAAAATCTTTTTGTGTCGATCCGATTAAGCGGCCTCAGTTCTTTGTTTTTTTGTCCTTGGAGTTTTTGTCTTCCAACGGCTTCCTAGCGGGCGGTTTTTCCATTCTTTGTTGCAAGCTCCTTTTCTCGGGCTTTTCTTCCGGATGGTTTGTGTAATAAACCTCGAGCAATTGGCGGGTAAGCTCATCCATCCGTTCTTCAGTTTCTGAAAAAAAAATTTCCACCGAATAAAAATGGATACCGGTCAAGTTTTCGTTTGAATTTGTGTAAGAGACCTAAAAGCTAAGAAAAAACCAAGTTTCTTCTAACTAAAAATTTCAATTTGGTACGAATTATTTTTCATCTATCTCAATGTGGTACTTACTAAAAATTCTCTTAGCAGCGTCGCCGATTCGCTCTCCGGGAAGAACCGCTTGCTTAGGTTTTACAGTGGCTGAAAAGTTATAATAAACTTTCTCGAATAACTTGACTGTCCGTAATTTTCTTCATCATATTCTCTCCACCTCTCAAAACAGCCACACATCGATGGTGTAACGTTATCGATTTCGAGGTGTTCGTTGCAATTGACTGTTTTGACTGTTTCTGAGAACTCCTTACTTTGTACCCCAGTTATTTCCTTTTCAAGAAAAGAGAGGAAAGACACAAACAGTTGAAATAATAGAAATAGTTCAATCCCTCTGCGTGCAGGAGATTGGCCATTGTGGCGTGTTCAGATTCCAACAGCTCGAGGAGTCTTTTTTCCTTTGCATTGGAAGACAAGCGCAACCTTTTTAGCTCGTCGTAGCCCACTGAAAAGTACCTTGCTGAACGGGAAAAGGCTAGTTTTCCACGATTTGAAACGCTCTTGTGCCTCTTTATGAAACTTAAAAGAAAAGTCGTTTTACTTTGCTGAAATTTGGCCAGAACACTCCTTAATATATAGTCTGTGTGCCAAGACTTGTAATTTCACCGATCGACATTCCGCTGCTCCCTTGCGTGCGTTCGCGAAGCGTCTTTCGAACCTAGGTCACGTTTTCAATTGATTTTTATTGCTGATGAAAGTAGAGTACCTTGACAAAAAGAAAAAAAAAAATTAAAAGCGCGGCCAAGATTAGCAAAGGCGCGCAGCGGAACAGCGGATAGTTATTCCGTGAAATTCCAAGTCGTGTTACACAGGCTATACGAGGAAAAATTTCTAAAAGCCTCAACTTGCAAAAATTCTTCTTTTTCGAGAATCAAGGGCTCAAAAATCGAAAATAGCCTACGAAATATTAGGGGGGGAGGTTTGACTTTGAGGTGTCCTTTCTTGAAAATTATAACTTGTGCTGGTTCCGACTCTCAAAACCTTCATCTGGACCATTAAGAATTTTTTTTTTCTTCCCAAAGCTTCGACTTAGAAAGATGCGAAATCAGTGAAAACATGCAGTTTTTTTTTGAAAGAAAAAGTTCATTAACGACTCCAGAAAGTCATGCTCCGCTAAATAACAATAAAGGATGATTTTTCGAGCTCATTCCTTTTTATAATATGTTTGAAATAAAAGACTATAAACATTTGTCTCTCGCCTTTCAGCTTAAAAAAATGAACAAAATAAAATCGTTTCTTTCTTTTCGCGAAATCTTACCTATAGGTTGGAAGGGGACGTATTCAAATGCGTGTTTTTTAGACTTCTTTGCCAATTTGTACGGGAAGTTGGAATGATATGCCTCACGAGAAGCGTTTTCCCTCACATTTTCGATTACTTTGACCTCGACGTCGCTGGCATTTAGATTAATAAGCTCCAGGGCTGAAATCGAAAGAAGTGAGCGCATTTCTTGTTTCTAAACACCTTTCCCGTGGATTTGGTAGTAGTCTTGTAACTCATCGAGTATCAAGACCATGACAGCGAATGTTTCCTCTGCAATATTCTTTTCTTTCAATTTTTAGCTGTTTTGACATTTTTTTTTTACGCAAACTTCTAATCAGGACTCCTGATTCAGGAGAAAGAAAATCAGGCCATAGTCTTATTTGAGAGTCTCGCTTTGAGGTGGAGAGGGCTTTTTTTGTGTGGGCCTTGTTATTTTTTAATAGCCATCAGGAATTTTGAACTTTCATTTCGAAAAGTGCTCTTTCTTAATTTGGTAATGCTCAACAAAATGAAAAACTCACGTAAAGCTTTTGACTTGCCCTTGAACAACTCGTAAACGATCGGAACAGGGGTCGTCAAAGACAACGGGTGACAATTCTCAAGCGCCAGCGAGCCGAGGGGCATCGTGAAGGTTTCTTTAGGCTGATCTTCTTTGAGGACTCTTTTGACGATATCCTCTGGTGCCACGAATATCACCGGCTGTTCGTCTTTTTTTCCGATCTCGTTCTTCTTCGTCTCGCCTTTCTTCGCATCACCATTCGTCGCATCGTTTTTCTTTGTCTCATCTTTTTTTGCCCCACTCTTCTTCTCATCTTCCTTCTTTGCATCCATCCTCTTTGGCTCTTCTTTCTTGGGCTGGTCGGTTTTGGCAACGCTGTTTGTAGGCGGATCAACTCCACCTCTCTGTCGTCTCTTCAAAACCTTCGCAGGCTTTTTATCCTGCTCTGTTTGTGCTTTGACATCGACAATCTGCTGTTCATGTAGCTTCGTAATCATCATTTTGTCCAGATCCTTCAGTCGAAGGTCCGACCAGATCCGAGTACCTTTCGGTGGGTCGAACTCTCTACCAGCTACGTGCGCCTTTCTGACCGTTTCAAATTTTTGAGCTGCCTCGACGAAATCTTCCGTCAGATCATGCTTAGCTTGAAGCTCAAATATCAGTGGTTGTATCCAAAATTTTCCTTTTTTGTCGCCGAGATCCGTTTTGGGGTCTAGAGGTTGATTTGCCTCAAATTTCTTTTTGCGGATCGCTGCCATATCGTGGGAGTTTTTCACAAGACGCACTGAAAAAGAAAAGAAAAAGGGTGACGAAATGGTACAAATAATATTTTTTTTAGAACGCCGACGTGGGCGTTTGCAGCTCAGTCTATCTAACAAAGACGACAGTCAAGCTTTGCAGTTGTGAAAGTTTAAATAAATTCGTAAAAGCTCAATGAATATTTTTTTTTCCTACGAGATTGAGATCCTGCAAACTCGATTTGCAAAGCTTCCTTGATCTCGAAAAATAAGGGCTCAACGTCTAGAACTGACCCCTTTTTTTTAGCAATTTTATGGGCATTTCTGTTTTCTTAAAAAAAAAGTAGCAAGTTGTTTTTTTCTGTTAAAAATTTCAATATCTTATTCCGGTGCATTAAAACACGCTTTTGCCGGATCACAAAAATTGCTCAACGCCAAACTAAAATTGTCCTTTTTTCTTGGTGTATCGTTTTTTTGACGCTCAACAATACTTACACAGGTCTGTGCGTTTCAAAATTAACCCATCCGCCATGTAACCGTTAACTGCAAAAACTTTGATCGAAAAGGCGACGGTAATTTCGAAACGAACGCATCGCTTTATCTCTTCCAGACTCCATAAAAATAGTAGAGTTGAGAAGTTGGGCGGCGTAGGACACTGAAATGAGATCACGAATTAGTTATCTGGAAAACGAGTTCTTCATGAAGTTTTCCTCAGAATCGAACCAGCTCGAAAATGATGTCTTTTTTACTAACAAAAAAAAAATAAATTCTCATTTATTTTGCTTGAAAGCTTGTTTGAAATTTCCAAATAGTCATATATATCTCACTCAACAGCACTATAACTTTTGGTTATGTTTTTTTTTAATCGTAATCGATACGTTGTTCCGCGAGAGCGAGGTCTTCATTCTTCCTGAAAAAAAAAAGCTTGACGGCACAGGACGTCGCAACGCATAACAAGATCAGGAGGATCGCTATCGCAATTATTCCTCCGATCATCATTTCGGCTGCAAATAATTCCATTAAAAATACTGAAAACATTGAAATTGAGATATTACACGAGCATTGACAGTGTTTCTCTTCGGCTTTGGCCTGAGCTTTCGCAGAAGCGACAGCGAGAGCGGCTGAGACGCTCCGGACACATTGCGGTGGAACGACGGGGGTGCCGTTCGACGTCGCCGTGGGAATAGTTGGCGCAGCTGTTGGTGCTGCCGTTGTCACCTTTTTGCAGTCGGCAAGGGTCTGAACAGAACGTCTAAGTTGGTATTTTACGATCTTTTCAAAAAAATCTTCGGGAGACGCGTCACGGCTGCGTTCGACGACTGGAGAAAGTATTAGGTCGTTTACTAAGTTTTTTTTCTTTTTTCGGTTGAAAGTTACTTGGTGTATAACTTTTCAATTTTGGATTCAAACAGCAAACAATTTTTTTCCCCCGTCATCCTCAGCTATCTGTTGACATGACTGTTAATTTTTGGATTTCCTGACTTTGAAACGAGCAATGATATACTCAAAAAAAGGGCAACTAACTCGATTTCAACCCCTCTTAGAAAATTTTTTTGTTTTTTTCTAAAAAAATTTATGATTCAAAAGTTTTGTAGTTGATGACAACGAGGGAGGATGGAAGTACAGATAGAGTAGGCAAGCTGACTTTTTTTAAACAAAAAAACCAGCCTAAAAAAATCTTTTTTTCTTTAAAAAGTTTCGGTCAGTGATCAATGACAATGACATGGTCGCTGAACATTTAGACGCTTTTCTCATGAAAGGCTTTGAGGATGATTTTGATTTTTTGTGATTATTTAGTACAGACATGGTCTGTATCAGTCACGTTTTCTTCAGAAGGTCTAAACGTTTGACGCCGTCAGAGAGCCTCCAGAAGTTCATCAAGATGTCATTTCAGTTGATTACCGTTTCTCAAAATTTTAGGCCGGAAAAACTCAGTTGAACCACTTCTGCTTTGACACATGGCTGCAGTGAACTTTGTTGTACTTGTTTTTTATATTAACTTGAGAGATAGCAAAAGAACAGAAAATTTGAGAGTGCATAGAAACCACTGCCCTGGTGCTATAAAAATTTTTTGATGAAAAAAGGCTGTAAAATTAAATCCTCGAGTTTCACGGTAGCTGCCAGTTGCTAATGTTATGCCTTTAGTTTTTTTCAAAACCACAAACCTGATAGATAATTACAAATATACTTCGGGGAAAATCAAACGAAAACAGGACGCGCATTGTTTCAACAATGTTGGCCACTCATAAATTTGTATGGTCTGGCTTTTGAATAATTAACTCATTTCTCAAATTTTTTGGAAGACTTTCACGAGCAAGCAGACGACCTCAGTTTACGTTTTATGTAACTCGTTCGAATGATAAGATTGAAAAAGTAAGATAAAAAATAAATTCGTAAAACTTTCCAAAAATCGAGATTTTTCGAGTTCGGACAAAGTTCTGTATCTTTTTTCTGCATAGTGTTATAGTAGTACAGTTAATTTTAATCTGAACTTCAGATTATGTAGTAGTAAATACTATATGAAGCAAAATTGTGAGAAGTGCTTTTCTGGTTGAAAACTTTTTTAAAAAAAGTCCTTCAAAAAAGAAAGAAACTTAGTAAACAACCTAATAGCTGATAAATAACGAACTGACGGCTCAAATCAACCGCGACGTAACCGCGCTGCTTCAAGCCCTTTTACGTGTGCCCATTTTGTTTTTGCTGAGGTCTTTGCTACTGTTAGTGAGACTCGAGTAGCAAACTTTTTCCCGAGTGAAGTTGCTAAGAACGATAGAATAAATAATGTACAAGAAACTCAAAGATCTACAACTACCACGTTTCTGTGGTTAATTATTTAAAAAAAAATCGAAATTAGGGCGGTTTTTTTTTTGAGTTTTCCTCACAGCGCCTGAAGATTGCAGGAGCATGAGGAAAAATAGCACTCACTCGGTTTGCAACAGTTTCCAGTCGTTCTCTTAGATCTTTCCCTATCGGACCTTCGAGGCGCAGAAGATCATATTTCTCGCAATAACGAAGATGATTGTCGACAGATATTTTGTCTAATTTTATAAAAGCTGTCGGCTCGTGGAGGCTGGAATTTCGGAGATAGATCGCTGGGCCTGAAGAAATGAACACAGTGTTGCGAAGTGTCGGCTGAATCTCGCTCAGTGGCAACATCATCTCTTATTTCATTCTATTCTTTTCTGTTTTGCCGGATTCAATGCTGACGCGCGCAGCGAAACAGTTCTTCTGGTTCAAAGGCTCGAGCCTAAATGCAGCGAAACGAGATGGATCCCCATAGCTTGACTGGATAGCTTCTCGGCAAATTTCCAATATTAATTTCGTTTCAAATTTTTTTTTTCGAGTCAAGAAAGGTACCATTTGACTCGCTAGGGAACTACTCGGACTCTGGTACGGGTTTCAAGTTTAAACTTTAGTGATTTATAGACCCAAGTCAGAAAACTTGAGAACAAGAGAGAATATCTGCTAAACCCTATAGAGAACTGAGAAAAAAATAAAGAAGAAAATGTGAAAATTAGACCTGAAAATTTTCAGAATACTGCTTTTTAACTTAATATATTTTAAAACAATCGCCTTGAATGATCCAGCTATGATTATTTCTAAAAAACTTTTTTCCAGCCAAAAGATAGGGACCGCAAAGCCACGCCCCTTTTCGCGATAGAAAAAGTGGCTTTTTTTTGGTTTTCAACTTTCATTTTGTTGTAGTTGTAAAATATGTGGAACTGGCGAATAAAATTTGACATACATGTACAGAAAAAGCTTCCTCTTTCGTTTAAAAAAATATTTCACGCTTTCTTGATGCGTTCTCGCGGAATGTCGTACAAAAAAACGTGAATGGAACTAAAAAAATTTTGTAATTTTTTTGCTTTTTTTCATGTGTTTTTCAGGTCGAACGCACTCTTTCTTTTTTTATATAATGATTTTTGATTCAAGTAACGGTAATTTTGAAACAATAAAATAAAAAAATTCGTCTTTGCCAAAAAAATTTTTAGGGAGTGCCGAAAGTCATAATTCAAAAATATCGTTAACAAGCGAATATAATCGAGTTTTTTTGTTTTTTTCAAAAATTTAGACCATGGGCTTACTTAAATTTTTTTCTCCACAGCATATGTACTTGAAAAAGTTGTGTGATACGCAAAAAAATGCTCTTGAAACTAGAGAATAAAATTAGCGGCGTTTATCACACCGAAAGCGGTCGAACGCAGGTTTTTTTCAAACGATTATATACATTTATTAGTAAAAAAATCTTTCAATTAAAAAGAATAAAATAAAAAAATTCGTCTTTGCCAAAAATTTACGGGGCCGTTTTTAAGGCAGCGATCGTTAAAAAGAGGCAAAAAAAGCACTGAAAAAAACAGTTTTTTTCGAAGTGAATTTCCACGAAACGTTTGAGTAAAGATTTGCGAACATATTCTGATAAAAAAATAGCTAAATTACTTCAAGTTTTTTTCTTTTTGAAATAGACAATCTGTGCTATTTAAACGGCTCAAGGGTAAGGCGGATGGAAGCTCCCCGCGCTAGACCTGACAGCTTGGCGCAGTGCGTGCGCTGCGATTTTTCATTTTTAGGTCGCGAGTTCGATACCCGCAAGCATCAGTTTTTTGTTTTCTGCAAAATACCGACTTTTTTTCGGCAAAATAGCTGATTAGCATCATTTTTAGCACTCTATTATGATTTGTTACATCATAATAGACCAGTATCAAAACTTTTTTTCTAGAAGAAAAAAATCGAGAAAAAAATGTCAAAAATGAATAATACTAAAAATTTCAGTACTAAAAATGGTGCGCGGCGCGCCACATTTTTCGTCATAACTTTTTTCATCCTCAATCTTTTTCGAAAAACTAAACGGTTCTGAGTTTTGAATCGAAACAGCTATCAAACCATACAAAGCTCGATGCTGAAAAAAATTTTTTGAAAATTCGTCTGCGGTCCCTACCAAAAGAAGGAGGAAAGCAAAAATTTGATAATTTTCAGTCCTAAACTGTTCAGTTTCAAAAAGCTTTTTCTGAGAAGCCTATGGAGTTTAGCAGATTATCTCTCTTGTTTTCAAGTACTCTTGCCCGGGTCTATAAGCCACCAAAGTTTCAACTCGAAACTCGTACCCGAGTCCGAGTAGTAACCTAGTTAGACTGCTTTCTCAAGGTCAGTTTCAATGATTTTTCTTCAAAACAACTCATACTTGAAACAATCACACTTTTAAATTTCAGTACAGCCATCCAGGGCGTTTTAAAAATTTATTGGCTGTTTTTTTTTTTTACCAATATACGAGTTTTACGTATCAGTTCCTCCAAGTCATGTGTAACTTTATGATTTATTTAATTAAAGGCATAGGGGCAGTAAAAAACGGTGTTTCAGTTCAAAGTAGTACTTTGTAGAGCTTTTCATTGCAAATCGAACGGTAAACTTGGGAACGTACCGAACTTCCTAATATTGAAGAAAAAATAATTCAAAATCGGAGAAAGGAAAGCTTGAGTTCCCGCGAAAAGGGCGCTTTGCAGTAAAGTTGCTCTATGGACAACAGGCTTCGCCTTTTTTCGGATTTTCGCTTTTTTCTTCGTTTCTTTCAATTTTCCATTTTTTCTGTTGTCATCAAAGTTCTTTCTGTCACAAAAGCTTTCTATTCATGTATAATTTGCAAACTTTGATTGCAAAAATGCTTCTTTGTTGAAAAATGATGATTTTACGCAGGCTTCAATTGGGATAGCGTTGTTTTGTGTTTTCTTTATTATCATTGTGTTTTCCTGTTTTCTTAATCGATTCTTCATAAACGAAACCCTTAATTTGAAGCAGATAGCCGGTTATTTCTCACAAAATGCGAGTCTAATGAGACGTCCGCAACATCGCGTGCACAGCTACTGTAATCAGTTGTCTGAGCACCGATCCAAAGCTTTTTTCAAAAAAAAAAGCGGGAAAGTGAAATCGCGTTTTTCTTCTAGAGTTGTCACATCTGTAATTTTTTGAGTACACCGTTGGATTCGCAAAGAAAAACAATACAAGATACTTCTTTCACCTGAAACCCCATTTTTTACTGCCCCTATGCCTTTAAATTTTAGATCCTAGGGATCATGAATTCAAGGAATTCGAGAATCAAAAATGATGGGAGTTACGCGAAAATAGCTACTAGATCCTTTTTATGGTTTTGAAAATGTCGTACCTGGACCATTGACAACGATTTCTTTTACAACTGCAGCGCTGACTACCACGGTGTTGTCGAGAATCGCGATGGGGCCCGTTTTTTTAGCTGTATTGAGAAACTTCACAACTGTTTGTTTCGTGTCATCTGAGCCTTCAATGTGAATCACACTGTCGGTACAAAATAATGTTATGCATTCAGGCGGCATGGCGTCTCCTGATGAATAGGCCCACATTGATCTTTTGCAGCATTCGTCTAAAAATATGCATTAGAAGGTCCTGCTGTTTAGAAGTAGAAATAAACAATTGATGAGATTTTTTCGCAAGCATCATTCAGCTGCTTTGAATCTGAGGCAAAAAAAAATTACCTGCCGCGGAAAATGATGACAGCGTCCACAGGATTCCGAAGATGTAGAAGATCCAGCTTTTCAGACGAGCTTAAGATGAAGCTTGAAGAAAATGTTTTTTTTCAGAAGTAAGAAAAAAATTTATTTGAATTTAATCTTCTGGGGATCAGAAAAAAAACAATTGTTTTATCTGTAAATGGACAGTATGTACTTTCTGAGAAAGGACCAAAATGAGCAAAAAATGCTCTCTAAACAGAGAATCTTATATTTTATCATGAACTTTATTTATTCATAGGAATACAGAACGAAAAAGTATAGAAAAGAAATCGGTCAAAAAAGTTTCAAAAGCGCATTGAAATTCTAGAATCCGAGGCTCGAGTAGCAGTTTTTTTGGATTCGCTTCCATAAAACCCACGAAGAATATAAAATAAATCGAAATCGCTATAAATTACCCATCGCTGCAACCTGAAGGCGAGCCACGAAGATCAATGTCCGTTTTACACGGCTAATTTTAAGCCGATTTCGGTACTTCCTGTATTTATTATTAATACACTTCAAGTAGGGTTATTTCTCGTCCAAAATTCATCTTCAACCTTGCGAAAACTGTATTTCAAAGCTATGCAATTTTTCTAGAAACTTTGGAAATTTTTCTAGGCTCAAACTTTCTCACGAAAATCGTGAAAGCCAAGGTCAATTCTATCTTCCTTCAAAAACTGAAACCAATCATTTTTCCAAGTTTCAGAGCTCACAATTTTTCCCAGACCTCCAGGGAAACTTTCAAACTCACAATAGGTGTGAAAAAAGCATCTAACATAGTTTGGTCTCATTGAGAAATCGTATTATGAGCTGAAAAAACTTACCGAGAAAGAATTGAAGAAGAGAGGCTCTGACTTTTTGACTCTATTCAACGGAAAAGTTTTTAAACCAGCTCTGTCAGGATTCACTAACCAAGTTGGTTCAAAACACGGTTCGTTGCGTTTATTGATTCCAGGAAATTACAAGTGGGACATCTGTACGACAAAAACGAGGGCTTGAAATGTTCGAATCATGGTTTTCAATTATGAGCCCTGAGCCGTCGTAGCTGTGACAGTAGTTGTTTGAGAGTTCGACGAGGTTCCAGTTCCAGTGCTATCTTTAGTCGATGTACTTCCACCAGCCGGGGTAGTGCCCGCACCTCCGGGAGTTCCTGTTGAAGCTTTTTTAGTCGTCGGAATCGGCGTCGTCGTAGCGCATTCAACGGTCGGGTTCGGCGGAGGAGTGATGGCTGGAATCCAAAATAATGTTCTGAATATCAAGACAGGAATGGAGACTTTGTCCTGAGTCGCTGCAGCTGAGGCCTTCGGTGCCGTCGGCGCAGACGCAACGGAAGGCGCACGTAGTGGGATCGCAAGAGTCCGTGGCGCAGTAGCCGTTGCCGGCTGTCTGGCCACACGCCTTCTTGGCTCTCGTTGTGCATGGATTCGTTGTTTCTGGAAGATTAATTCATCTTCAGATCTATAGCCCGCTCACGGCTGGCTTGCGACAGCTAACGGGCGGTTTAACTTGCGCGGCGATGGTAGATCATGGCGGTCATACATGCGCCTTTAATAAGAGCCTCACTTGGTGAATTATTTCTGTTGAATTTATATCATTTTTACATTCATTTCATTGTTCTTTAGATTTTCTTGAATCGACAATTAATAAGAGAAAAATAAGTCATAAAATGGAGATTTTATGGAAAGCGCATAGATAGTCGCCCTGATCTACCTTCGCCGCGAAATTTAAACCGCCCGTTCGCTGTCCCAAGATAGCCGTGAACGGGCTAAAGGATGAGTTATAAAGTGTTCAAAAATGGGTCCAAAAAATGAATCATCGTTTCTTTGTGATCATCAAGATCGAAAAGGAGCTGCTATAGCTGATTCACGGCTGGCTTGAGCTATTGAAAAAGGGTCCTGAAACGATAATGCACGAGATAGTGCATGGCTCAAGGAGAGCGCAGAAAGGACACGCCCCCTTAGCGTCCCAAGCTGGCCGTGAATTAGCTATAGTCCGTTTCTCGCGACTTGAAAAGACGGGACTTCTCTGCGCCCTCCTCGTCTCTCGACGACCCTCTCTTGTTGACGCGCTATTTTTGCGTTTCTCTGACCTCGCCGGCGAGGGAACAGAGAGACACAGACACTCGATACAATCTATCGATAAAGATTAATTTTTCTCTAGGACTTTTTGATTCCAAAACACAGTTTTTGCTGATCTCTTACGGCTGCGTATCACAGGATACTAAAAAATTGACAAAAGCCCCTGAAATTGCTCGAATTAAAGATTAACGGCAACAAATCATAGATCAGAAGGCCAAGATTCATCAATCGTTTTCAGAAAATTTGAAAAAAAAAAATCAATTTTTCACAACTTTTCCACACACATTAAAGGTGTCTTTCAAGCTTAGATTTGAAATCAGCGTTGAAAGTCGCCTTTAAAGGGCTATAAACCGAGTTTTGACTTCCTAATAGGTAGATGAGAAACCTGTGCAAAGATCTCCAGTGACGCAGGGGCTGCTGCACTGGCACCTGGCCTGTCCTGAGGGGCTCACGATGCATTTCGCCTTGGGATCTGCAGTTGTGCAGTCGAGACTGTCGCATGGGGAGGCTGAAATCGAGGTCCCAATGGAAAAGTTGAAACTCTCTCAAATTCCCAAAAAAATGGTCAGGATGATCTCGCTTGTCTTAAGTTACAAATACCGAAATTTCCAGTTTTTTCAATAGGTTCATATATATCGAACATTTTTGTAGCGGATGGATGAATAGTCTCTTTTGGAATAAAATATGTGAATCGAATTTTCCCGTCTTCATATTTCAAAAGTAAAGTTTCAATGTTAGCTGAGACCCTTCCTCGTTGAGCCCAGGCTTGTGCGAGGGCCAGCCCGTCAGCCTCCCGGCCCCAATCATTCTTTTTGCCCTGCCCGGCCTTAAGAGAAAATAGCCCGCGTGGCTCAAAACGGGCAATTTTTTCAAGTTTTTTTAAGACAAAAAATACGTTTTGGCTCATTTTTTCACTTAAAGTTTAACAAAAACTATGATTTCAAAAGTAAAATTAACATTTCGGTGAAAATTTTTTAAACGAAATTTGAAATTTTTTGTTAGCCCGCGGCCTGACGCAAAGCTTCGTTGAGCCTAAGCTATGCTCGTGGGACAGAACGGGCGGCCCGGGCCAGCCCGGTCATTCAGTTTTAAGAAAAAGCTCTGCTTCGAAATAGTTATGAATTTCATTATAAACAACGGAGAAATTATGTTGAATCATAGTTCGATTACACTCTCTGAAACTAAAAAATGAGCCAAAAAATCACGTTGTAAATTGAAAAGATAATCGACTTGAAGAAGGGCCCATCTTTGCTTGCCTCTCTATGACCGGGCCGAGCCAGGCTTGGAAAGTGCCCAAACGGCGGGCCGGCCCTCGTACAAGCCTGTCCTAAGCCCTAAGCTATCCAATTGGAAACTTGCGAGCTTCGAGTTTTTTCCAAGGATAAAAAAAGCCCACATTGTCGGTAATCAACGGTGAAGCCGATCTGACTGGACGGGCTTGTCCGATAGTTCAATTTCACTGGAGATGTGAAACTAAGGGACGATGCTGTGGATGTGTTGGTGAAACTGAAATTTAGACAAGAAATATCCCTATATTTGCTTGATCGAACTCACGTGCTCGTGTTGCCCGTCCGGCCGACGATTTCCAGCGTCGCATCTCCTTGGATGGTAACGCTGACGTTTAGGAAGATTTTCGTGTTATCATCGCCTTGGATGTTGTTCGCGCAGCTATCATACTGGAATTTAGTCTTTTTGGAATTTAGATTGGCTTCAGAAGGGAAATGCAAACATAGGCAAATGGACTTTTTACGGGCCCCTTTGCCGTTATGGGGGCATTTGTTGTTCCTAAACGGGTGGCAACGGTTTCCTTTTTACTGCCTTTTTCCCTCTTTTCATGGGCCTTCATCCACCCGTTTCGGGCCTTTTCAAGAAACACAAATTTTTTATATTCAGAATAAATTCTACTTTTTCTACCAGTGACTATGTACGAATTAAAATGCGCTAAAGGAACAAAATCGGAAATCTTCAATGGCCGAGACTTTCCGCAGCCTTCTCGCACCCTCACTCTTTCTCCACCCTTTTTGCGGCCTCTCCCCTTTTCGCACTGGCTTGAGCCCACCAAGAATGAAAGGCTCAATAAAGGCCGCAAAACGGAACCCTTTTAGCGGCCATTTTGCAGCCTCCGCTTTTTTGTACCCGTTTTCCGCATGTCCAATTCAAGTTCTGTGAACCGATGCTGATAGGCAATTCCAGGCAGGAACCCCCCCTCCAAATCAGTCGAAGAAACTGCACTTTCTTATTCTTCTACTCCGTTTTTCGCGGCTCTTTCTCTGCGTTCTCGTCGTCTCTCGGCCACCCTCTCATTTTGCCGTGCTGTTATCCTTTTTCTCTGACATAGCCGGTGAGGGAACAGAGAGACGCAGACGATCGAAAATTTTCAAGTCGTGGCGAACATACTATAGTAGAGTTAGAGCGACTAATTTTTTAAAGGGGGTGAAGAAAAAAGACGGTTTTTGTTATTTTGGGGCGTCATAATTCGACTAAAAGACAACTTTCGAGACGTTTCATGATACTGACGCCAAGAAAAAAGTAGCTTTCCGAAAAATCGTTGTTTTCCTGAAATAATATTAGAAAAGTTCGAAAAATTGATAAACTTTCTTAAAGCTCTTTTTGAATAGGATGAATTGTAAATTGAAGCTCACCCTTTTCGAAGGCACTTGGAATGATTTCGAGTCGCTGACAGCCTTGGCCGGATCGCCTGGACACGTGCCAGGAACTGGGAAGGACAATTTTTTTAAAAAATTTGAGAAGAAATTTAATACCAATGGTTGGACGAGCGGTACTGGGAGTCGGTGAAGCCTGAGAATTTTTTTAAATTTATAATCCGGAATATTCAACCCACAGTAACACAACTGGACGCGGCAAAGCAGGAAAAGTAGGAATAAATGTTGGTCACGTTGGCCTCTTGCTGGTCTTGGACGTCGTTGAGTTTCTGAAGATAAAATTACTTTTCCAAGTCTGACATCATCATTTTTCGGAAGTTTCGTGCAGATACCATATCTATACCTACAAAATCTTACTTGGAGCGTCTTAAGGTAACTCTGAAGGGTCCTGTTCTGCGTATCCACTTGGGATTGGAGTTGGGTCAAGTTCTGGAGCAACGGAGAGTTGGTGATGTTGAAGTCGGAGGTGACGCTGTTCAGCTCGTTGGTGAGGCTGGAAAATGGGAATTAGAGACGGATTCCTCATTTTCAAGTGTCCTTAAGGTTATTGGATAACTATAAAAACTTCTAAAAATCGAATGAGCTCAGATAAAAATTAGAGAAAGGAGCCGAAGCGAGGTCCATAAAATTCTCAACGTGAAGGATCCACAGGCGAATCGGGAGGGTACCCTAATGTGTCCACAAATATACCTCATCTGGTTCGTGAAGACCCCGTAATATGTCCTCCAGCATACCTTTTAGCTGTATCTGAGCTATCTCGGAGGTACTTTAGAGTCTCTTTCAAGCCCCTCTCATTTCGCTCAAAGTCCTCAGAGGTATACTCGAGGTACCATCGTTAGACTTCAGACCCTGCGATATACCTCAGATGGTATCGCGATACGATTCGCCTATGTCGTTTCTCACTAATTTTGTGGATGCGATTCCTAGAAAGAATTTTGAAAGAGGTAGATGAAACATGAACTTGAGAAACTTCCACGCTATTTTCAAGACTTCTGATACTCCTAAATGTTTTCGATTTTTCAAAGTACGAATTTTGCACAACTGACGCCAGAATCTGCTGGTTGAGAAGAACGGCCTGTTGCAAGACGATCTTGGCGTTAGGCGGCGTCTGCGCGTTTTTCATCGGGAACGTCGTGAAGGCGATCGGCTCGACGGTCGTCGTCTGGGCTTGTGACGTTCCGCCGGTACCGCCGGTTCCAGTCGTCACCGTTCCCGGGGAAACTGTTGTGCCTGGAGAGGTTGATGACCCTGGCGTGACCGTAGCTTTCGTCTGTTTTGAAGAAGATGAAGCTTCTGAGGTCGGACTCGTCGCAGATGTTGCCGCCGTCGTTGCTGAAAATTCCTGATCTTCGATGATTTTTCTCGTCTTCATACTAATCAGCTTCTGGAGAATTTTCTGCAACTCATACTCAAACTGATAGAAGGCATGATGATTCTAAAGCTCTTCTACTTTTTCTTTTTCGACTCTGAAAGTTTTTTTCTTGCCCTCGTTAAAGACCTTTACAAGAGGAAGCCATTTATAGGCTTTTAGTTCAAAGTTCCTTGAGATTCTGACCTTCTTCTTCGTTAACAGAATATAATTTTGAAATGCAGAATCTTGTTCTTCATTCCCAAACCGACAGTCAATAGGAAGTAAGGGCGTGTGCCTTTTTGACTGGAGCACATCAGAGGCAAACGCGATTAACTATGACGATAATTGGTGATAAGAAGGATTAGCCCGTTCCGAACTGGTCTACTTGCATTCCAGGCATTTATTGATCGTATTGATTCAAATATTTTTACCAACCATCGACATTTAGTGATCCACTGAGCAAGGTCGCAAGTAGCAGCAGACAAATTCTGAGGTCCATCCCTGAAAACTCAAATTTTAAGTTTTTTTTTGAAGTTCTGAGCTTTTAAAGTTATTTATTCAGCTTGAAAGAGACGTTAGAAAAAACATTAATAGCTCATAAAGTCCAAAAAGCGAAAAAGTAACTGTCGAAATAGGGAAACGGTAGTGCGGGCGAACCGGAGGGAGCTCCAAAATGTCAAATTATCAAGATAAGAACATTGAGGTCTTATCAAACCTGTGCAGCCGGTTTGATTAACGAGCTGATGTTAAAATTTATGATGTGCTTGGAGTAGCGTCCCGTCCCGGAAATAATTTACAATACTACGAACAGTTGGTTTTTCTGTGAAATTTCGGGGGATGAATCACTGGAGAAGAATCGGAAAAAACTCATGTTCAAAATTATGAAATTCTAAAGAAATAACTAGTTCTGATAGCCAAGAAAATGCATTCTCAATTCATACTCGGTTTCGAACAATTTTCAAAAAAATAATGGCTTTTAGAAAGGGAATTTTTGAACCGTCAAATTTTTTAATAAAGATCTTGATTTAAATTGAAATTCGTTTAGTCAAAATTTTTCCTTTAATGTGAGTGTCTTTTTGCTTGATATTTCACTGGATTCTTCATAAAAACTTTCAAGAAAAAAATAATATCTTTTTGGGTTGCTGTAAGGGTCTCCATGGCGCATGCACACAATTATTTTTTTACTTACGCGCAAAATATTTACGCGAATTTTTTTAGCGTTTCAAAAATTTTTCTTTTTCATTTTTCAATATTCTCACGAATTTACTTTCGGAAAACCTAGTATTTGACTCTAATAAAGATGGCAGAACGCTTCGATATGTTTTTCTTTACCGTCCTATTGAGAGAAACTCTGAAATATTTTTCTACAGCCCATTTTCATTGTTTTGGCCAAATTGCAAATATTTTATTTGCAAACAAATGTATTTAAGAATGTATAACAAGTAGTTTATTTTTATTTTGTAAAGCTACCACGGGAAACTTATTTCCAAAAAATCTCTTTTTTCGGATGGCGACTTTATTGCAATCGCGTCTCGTCAAGTACAAATGCAGTTGCGACGAATGGAGCGCCTTATCCGACCTTTTCTACTGCAAACATTGTAGAGCTTTAAAGTTTGTTCATTTTTTTAAAATCTTTTCTGTCAAACTGAATTTCAAGATGCCGTGGCTGTTCGTCTAATGAGATCGATATGCTTTTCTGCCCGAGTTGCCTCGAAAATTCGTCGGTCACGGAGGCGCGGCTGAAAAAATACCGTTGCATGAGCTGCAATGAATGTCCCAAATGCGGTATTTCAATTAAAATTTGATTGTTTCAAGTATTTTTATTTTTAGGAAGACTTTTGGCTGTGAGGACGGCCAATGAAAAATTCTATCTGGTTTGTATCGGATGTCGTTGGACGACGAGAGAAACGGATACTCCCGACCAGCAAGCGAGCTCCCAGTGGCCAATGTTTGATTGAATATAAAAAATGAAGAAAATGGTGTTTTAGGCAGGAAAATCCGTATGAAGAGGAGATCCAGAACGTCATCGAGAAAATGCGAGGCCTGGCGAATATTGAGAAAGCCCAGCGCGATCAGAGGGACCTGAAAAAGTGAAATTTTAAAAATGAAGTATTTTTTAGGTTGAGTTCAATATGATTGAAATTAGGAATGGTTCTTGTTTTTTTTTTTCCGAGTTTCTCAGTCTCCTTGAGGAATTTTTAAAAGGGTTTTATTTTCGTAGGATTTCACTTTTTACTGTTTTTCACGGTCAATGAATGCCCAGTAGAACTTTGTAGCCTTGTAAAATTTTATTATTTGATTATTTTGACTCGAAGATTGAAACAATGACTTCATCTGTTCGAACCAACGGACGTGTCGAAGCATTTCTAGTGGCCACTTTAGTAGATTTAGTACTCTTAAGTGGCCCCTAGAACTGCTGAGAAACATCCGTAGTTTGTCCGGTTCATGCTACCAACTCGGACATAGGTCTTGGACGTGTCGGAGTATTGTTAGTGACCACTTTAGTAGCGTCAGTACTCTTAAGTGGTCCCTAGGGCTGCTGAGACACATCTGGGGCCCGTCCGGTTCATGTTGCTAACTTGAACATTGGTAACGCCTTCCGGACGTTTTGGAACATTTCTAGTGGCCATTTTAGTAGCGTCACTACCCTTAAGGGGTCTCTAGGACTGCTGAGATACATCTGGCGCCCCGTCTAGTTTTTGTTACTAACTCGGACCTTGGTAACGTGTCCCGGACGTGTCGGAGCATTTCTAGTGGCCACTTAGTAGCATCACTACCCTTAAGGGGTCCCTAGAATTGCTCAGAAACTTCTACCGAAGTCTGAGTAAGTTAAAAACATGGTGAGAATCATTTTAATGGTAATTTTCCTTCTACCTGATTTTTCCTCTTGCTTTTCGTTTCAAATTCAAAGAAATTCAGAAGACCGATGAACTCCGGCTACCGCCTGACGGACAAGTTTGGGCTGCAGCAAATGTATGAAAGACGGCGGAAAACTTTCGAAAAGGCGACCGTTGATGTGCCGGTTCATGAACCTGTGGATGTGAATCATAAAAGTAATACAACGAAATGTATCTTTTTTCAGCCCACTCCGTTTTCTTTGGATTTTCTGAGCGCTAAGCCTCGTCCGACCTTGGATCAGATCATGAGACAGCCTCTCGCCGGCGACCAGCCTCCCAAACCCGTTCACGTCGCTTTGAAATCGAGGAAAAGCATTAGGTTTTGGAGATTTTCGTCTGGATTACCATTGAAATTTAGCTTTTACTTCACAAAAAGTGTCGTTTTTCGAAACTTTTTGGCTGATTTTTCGCTTTCTTATTGTCGAAAATGGTTGAAAAGGGCTCCATAGAAAGGCTCCTTTTTTGCTGCATTTTTTCGCCATTTTCTCGGCTTTTATGAACCATTTTTGCTGCCTCTCTCTTTTTCCACCACTTCTTGAGCCAATCCCAGAAAAAAATGGCTAGATAAAGGGACTCTTTTTGAGCCTCCCCCTTTAAGCGGCCATTATCCACTATTATAACTTTGCCCGTCCCATTTTTTTCGTCCCATTTTCCATTTAAAGAACCTTTTTTTAAATCTTTAAGCTTGAAATTTCAAATTTTGATTTTTTTTTTTTTAGATGTAGCTGCCAACACACGCTGGTGAAGTTGGAATACGGTCCTTCTACTATCAAATACAAGCTCAATGTAATTTTTGCTTATTGATTGGCTTATAACGACCTTTTTTGTGTTTTAAAGGAGCATGGATAATATTTATGAAAGGTCTCGAGGTGAAGAGCCTGTTTTTGAATTGAAGAAGATTTTAGACTATGCGCTTTTAACTATAACAGAAGGATAATATTATTCCTTCAGTTATATTTTGATAATATTTAATTTGGTTCTCACAAATGACGAAACAGTGTGCGAAAAAAAGAGATTTAGACGTTTCCCTTGTTTTTTGTCTCAAATGGAAGGTGAATCGATCATAATTGATTCAGAAAAGCTTTTTTGAAGTTTATCCATTTTTAAAAACTCCAGGAAGCTGTTTTAATGAACTATAATGTTATTAAAAGTATATAAGGTATTTTTCCAGATGTTCGCCAGGAATTTTATACCAGAAGTTCGGCTTTCGCGAACGCCCAATTTGAAAGCCGGAAACGAGAATTGGGTCATGATTTCGCTGACCAACCACACCAGCTGCAAACTTGATGTATTTTCAAACTTCAAAAAATTATAACTTGTACATTTGCTCAGTTAACACTGACGCCCGAAAGCGGCGAGGGCCTGATGAACTGTTCGACGGGCGAAATCGCCCTAAATCTGCCCTTCGCCGAGGACAGCTCCGATCTCCTAGGAACTGAGAAAAGAAGCGACAAGTGAGAAGAAAAAATGATTTTCCCGAAAAAAAAAAGGGCTGCAAATTTCGCCAAAAACTTGCTCAAAAAAGCATGAAAATTATGAAAAATTCGCAGAAACGAACGAAAAGTAGCCACCAAAACGCGCGAAATTAAGGTTTTATAACTATATTTTTTTTTTCTTTGTTCAATAAAGTATGTTCTATAGAGTATCATAGTTCTAATATATTTTTTTAAATCCATTATTTGTTTTTGCTAGTTAACAATGGTACCCCTAAGAATCCATTTTCTGCATTTTTCAGCGAGGCCGTCGTTTTCCGGCAACGACACCGCGTCGGAATCCGTCTCGACGTGTCGCAAGTCGCCGAGGACGCTCCTCCGCTCGGACTGATGATGAATCTGCGACTGGACGACTCCTTCATCCAAACGCCTCTGACGAAAAACGAAGAAACCAAGCCTTCGGATGAGCCACAATGGCTGGCCATTCCCGTTCGTTTGACTCTCCAAGACTCGTGATTTGCATAATATGGGTCCCTTTCTCCGGTATAGAATATTTATTCGTTTATAAATCGCTTTAACAACAGGAATCGTTCATACCACGTGAAAAGAAAACAAAGATTGGAAAAGAAGGATAAAATTTTGAACAAGGATTTGCGGTAGTTGTGGTTCGATTTATTGAAAAACAACTTTTGGCTTTTTTTGATAAATAATCAAGGACCTCCAGCTTCCAACAAAAAGCTAAAACTCAAAAAAATGTTTTTTTGAGAAATTTTTGAAAAATCACTGCTCTTCAATTTAAAAAAAGACGATTTTTTTGGCTTTTTTTCCTACCATTTTCAAGTACAATAGAGATAAATAATGAGGTAATGAATCTGAAAATTCAGTTGCTAGAAGTTTCAAAATTATTTCTCTAGTTGAATTTTTTCACAAAACCCTCAAACCCAACTGCCGCGTATCCCACACTTCAACGTTCAAAAATCAACATTACACGCATTCTTAGCCGGTGATGGTTCATTAACGGCCGGCGGCAGGTGCAAAACTCGAATTTCGAAGCCTTTGCGGCTCGCCTCGAAGACCAGATCGAGGATCGGCGGCGTATGGGTTCCAACAGTGGCCAGACGACTCAAGGAAACCAGCCGGAAGTAGCCGTTGGCCGGCCCCAAATGCTTCATCTGCTGCTTCTCCTCGTCCTTAAAGGCGACCAGCTCAACGTGGATGTCGGCGACGACCTCCAGTTGTCTTGCGAGCTTCTCCGACAGGTTCAGACTGTTGGTCGACAGGTAGACGATCCCGTAGGCCGTTCTCATCAAAGCTCGGAGAAGTATCAAGAACTTCGGGAGGTCTTCACTGTCGGTCCACAAGGGAGAACCGATATTCTGGATGACGACGCGGAGAAAGTTCTTCGGAGGTCCCCCACGACCTGAGGTTTTTGTGTGCTTCTCGTCTTGGTTTATCGTGTTGGAGATGAACTCGTAGACGTCTCGATAGGAGCAGCTTGAGAACACAACGACGTCCTGTGGGTCTTCTATCGGAGCGAAGAAGTCGTAGCTCTCCTTCTTGGACAGATTCGCCGGCTCGGCCCTGGCGTTTTCATAACGCCAGGCGATTCTCAAGGCATCGTCGCCGGCTGGCTGATTCCTGGGCTCAGCGCGGACTTCGGCTTCCTTCCGAGACGGGATACCGGAACGAAGCACTTCGTTGTTATCCGAATCGGGGCCGATGATGACGCAGGCGTGCTTGTGGTGAAGACCCTCGGCCAGGAAATAGCGAGTAAGGAAGGTGTGGAACTTCCGGGACCGCGGCTCGTTCAGCAAGACGATGCCGGAGTTCGGCAAGGCTCCGCCGCAGAGCGTATCGAACGCTTCGCTTCCGCTCGACGTCTCCAGAAGACGTCGTTTCGTCGAGCAGCCGGCGATTTGCACGACATCGCCGATGTTCATGGCCTTCTGGAAGGTGCTTGATGAGAAAATGATTTTTTCAGGCAGAGAACAATTTTTTTTTGAGAAAACTGGTTCACTTACTTTTTATTTGAAATGGTTGAGAATAAAGAAAGAGAAGATTTCTTTTCGCTCTTTTTCCTGAAAAAATGAAACTATAAAAATTATCCATTAATCCATTGATTGAAAACGGTTGAAGGAGCTTAGACGTAATTTCTAAAGATTTTAAGACAAAAATCCAAAAAATACAAGGAAAAATAAGATTTTTGCGTCTTCAAAAAAACCTAGCAAGGTGTTTTTGAATTGAATGTCAAACGAAATAACGGGGTTTACCAGTCTTTTTAAGAATATAAAAAAATTCAGAAAAAGCTAATAAACTTTATTACAATCTATTTTATTAAACACGTTAATTTTCGACGATGGCAATCTTTTTCCGGTCGACACCCGTTAATTTCAGCTCCCGGCGAAGTTGCTCACGAGCCTCCATCTCTTCCTTCCTTCCCATAACCACCTGAAATGTCCGCATTTTAAAAGGTCGGTTATAAAACTAACAGCAACGATTGGACCGAAATTAAACGCTTCATCCACCTGTGATTTGACTGTGACGAAGGCGCCGAAACCGACGATGATGATGAAAAAATAGGCGATCCAAGTGTTACGGTGGTTCTTGTCCAGGTCGTGTTTGTTCACAAGCTGAAAAACATTTTTTTTTTTAAATATAAGCCGAAAAACCTCTGATCTGTAATTCCATCTTTGCACTTGATCCCCAATTTTCATCTCCCGTACTGCCGCCCGCTGGCGGATCCTTTCCTCGAGCAGATCCATGTTTCTTAAATAATTTGTTATCTTCATTGGATAATCGAATAGAAAACTCACGTGATGTCTCTCTGGTCTTTGCCTCGATGAAGATTTGGATTAACCGGAGGAACTTCGACGTCTGACGTTGTGGGCTTCGTGGAGAGAGCTCGACGAGCACATTGGATGAACGAGTTGGTTGAGCAGGAAGCCAAACGATTGCTCATGGGAGTGATTTGACAGAGCATCGTGCTGGAATAATTGAAAACTAAAACACGATTTAAAACAAAAAAACAAAAAATAAATGTATCTGATTTAATATTTCGAATGAAAAGATGCAAAGAAGTGAGTGAGCATGTGAAAATTAAGCACCTATTACTCTAAAAAACAGTATAGCCAATTAACTGAACCATCATTAAAAAATGAATAAGTTTTGAAAAAAATATATCCCTCAAAACTTTTTTTCAAAAATTACGGTACTCCGCCTTTCGCAATCTTGCGTGAAAGTTTCAGCAGATCGCGTCAGCGCACACATTCTCTCCATTTCTTTTTATTACGCCATCTTTTCTAGAACTGTCCTCATTCTCTCTCTTTCTCCTTTTCTTTTGCCTTTATTGTCGTGTCAAGTAGTTCTCTGACTTCTGGTATGTCTTGTATAAAGCTTTTAAAATCTTTTCGACATCATTATTCGCATTTAAATTTTTCTCAAACTCATTTTTCACGTTTTTCAATTTTGGAAAGTTGGCGTTTTTGTTTCGTCCAATTTTTCATGTTGTAACTTACAGAGAAAGTTTATTGAGAATGTCGAAGTACGGCTGCCCAACCTCTGATACCGATGCTAGCTCGGTGACGGTGCTCACCAAGAGGGGTCCTGTCGCAAAAACTTTGAAGTCCGCTTCGGTTCGTCATTTTTTTTTTTCAGTTTCAAGGTTATTCATGAAGTTTCAGGCTGTGAATGCTGCCAAGAGAAGCGGCCTGGCCGTTGAAACCGAAAAGAAAATGATGGCTGGTGGCAACCGTCAGCATACATCCAACAAGGATACTGCCAGGTTTTTAATTCTAAATGTAACTGGTAAAATGAAATTTTTCAGGCTAGACGAAGAAACTGAGCTCCTTCACCATGACCGGGTCTCGCTTTCTCTTGGAAAAGTGATGCAACAGGCTCGGCAGACGAAAGAGTGGACCCAGAAGGATTTGTCGACGGTAAAATTAGAAAGTAATTGAAGTTCAAATTTTTTCAATTTTCAGGCCATCAACGAAAAACCACAAGTGGTGTCCGAGTACGAGAGTGGTAAGGCTGTGCCGAATCAGCAAATTCTTAATAAAATGGAGAGGGCTCTTGGGGTGAGACATTCAATCATTTTTTCAATTTATGAAGGAAGTTTCGTAGCTTAAAAATGCGCAGGAAGTTCTATAATAACCCTGTCAACACAATATCTTACATTTGTTCCTTTGATGAATGATTTGAAAACTATTTTTGAATCAAAAACGTTTTTTGAAGTGTTAAAAGGCGCAGAGAGGTGAAATGACTTCTGAAAAGGCTCTTCGCCTCAAAACCTTTGTTAATTTTTTCCATGCTCCTTCAAAAAAATGGTTTATATTTCTTGTTTTTCAATAAAAGTTTTTTCAGGTGAAACTCCGTGGAAAGGACATGGGCCAGCCTCTCTCGGCTCCAAAGAAGAAGTAGCCTTCCGCTTCTAGTTGCTTGCTTGTTACATCGATTTTTTATTGTTTATTCTTTCTTAATTTTATTTATGTCTCAATTTTCGTTCCTGGTTCAATCGTTTTGGGTACTACCTATCCCCGTTACTTTTTTTTTACGTCTCTAGTTTTTTTTTCTATCCATTGTTTTGTACATAATTGCGCAAGAATAAATTTTTTCTCTTGCCTGATTGTTCCTTTCGTAGACATTCTATACGCCATACACGTTTCGATAACTTTAAATAATCTTTTGATGAAATTTGATTGGGAAAGTCGCCAAGGTATATGGGAATCGACAGCCTCGTGGAGTCGGTGACTCCATATAGGCTGAAGCCCATCTGGGCTCATACCTATGTCGCGCCTTTTTTCGGTAGGTTCCAAGCTTTTCTTTTGAGAAATAAATATAATTTGAGGTTGTGATTTTTGAAGATTTTTTTCCACGCTTGAGACAGTTTTTAGCGATTTAGTGGTCAAAATAAGAATTTCAGTCATTTTTTTGTTTTTTGTCCCGAGAAGATGATAATTTTGAGCGTGATTTGAACATTTTCGAACATAATTTCAATGGGAAGTACCAAAAATTCATTTTTAAATTCTCGTATGAACAATATTTCTTATTTTTCTCATGCTCTTGAAAAAAGAATTGAAATTAGGTGAATTTGGCGTAAAATTTGTTGAAATTTGTTTTTTTGCTTCGAAAATATAGGCAATTTGTAGAGAGAAGTTAAATTTTTTTGTGGAGAAAAAAATCGAGAAAAAAAGCTGAAATTAAAAAAATAGAATGTTTATTATTAAAAAAATTGGAGTGATGAAATTTTTCAAAAAAAGTTCAGTTTCCTCTTTTCAGAACATTAAAAAAAGAACCTAAATTTAATTTTTGAAGACCCAGAAAGAGTATGCTCCGAAATAACACAAAAAAATGCGGTTTTTTTCTTCGAAAACTTTATGAATTTTTTTGAAAAAAAGTTAAATTTTTCTGAAGATTTCATTTACGTAAAGCATTTTTTTGAAAGACATGCGTCAAATTCACCCATTTTTTGCAGTCCTCTGCGCAGCATGGGCGTACGTTTGGCTGGAAAATTACGGCTACGAGGAATATTACGAGCTGGGAATGATCGGATTCGCGATAATCGGCGTACTCCAAGCGCTGGTCCTGCTCTTCTGCCATTGGCTGGTTTCCGTCCGATGCGCTCTCACTTGTACCTATGTCCGTATTTTATTAATTGACGTTCAATTTCATTTCCTCCTGTCTTCGTTTGATGTTAACAAAGGAATTTTGAACGATTTTAGGAACCAAACATGAACAACGCGACTTATGTCAAAGTGACCCCAATGCCGAACAATGGATGGGCCGAATTGGTACCTTTGGTTCGAACAAAGGTAAATTTTGAGAGGGAAGTTGATAGATTTGAGGGTTATTTTAAGAGTGAAAAGAGGAAAGGAAAAACAAGAAATATCATTGGTAACACGGAAAATTTTTGGTGAACCCTCAGAAGGAGATGAAAAGGTTCCGCTGAATCTCCTAAAAGGTTGAAAAAAAAGTTTTTGAGCTCCTTTTTCTTATCCTTTCTTGAATCCTTTTTGAAATGTCTTGAATATTTTGTAGTTGATTTTTCAGTATCTTTTTCAAATAAGTATTTGAATATATAATAATAAAAATACCTTCTGAAAAATCTTTTTTTGAAAAAAATTTGTTTTACCCTGAGATAACTATAACTTCTTGGGTTTTTTTCAAACATTTGAGTTTTATATTCATTATTTATATTTAAAACTGTGTTCCAGATTTTTTGCTCTTTTTGATAAACCGTAAATTGACCAGACAAATGGTGAGATAAATTTGAAGTTACTTTTCCAAAACCCCATCATTTTTTTAATTAAAGTAATGTCTTAGCTGTTTGAAATATTTTTTTCTTTATTAGAAATTTTTTTGAGTCCCGATTGAATTTTTTCAAATTTTCTTTTCCACGGTCATGTTCTTCTTATGATTCAAGTAAAGTCGTAGTTGTTTGAAACGTATTTTCTAGCATTATAACTTCATTTTGAACACATATATTGATAGAAGAACGGCGAAATTTCTTATTATCTTGGGAACTGCAGTTGAAAAGTTCTTTTTTTCGAAAAACCTTGTCAGGATTCATATTTTTGTAAATTTCATGGGACCCGTTTTTTTTCCTGGCTTGAAATTTATTCTTTCCCATGGCTGATTCGCTTGATTCCAGCGAGGAAGCCAGACCAAATTATGGTTTGAGTTCCAAAGAGTTCACTATACCTGGAACGCCGACGTGAAATCCTTCGAAACGACGGTTTTCGATACGTGCCGCCCGATGGTCTTCTTCCAAAAGGCGCAAGGTTTCGAAAGCGACGAGCAACTTGACGACGCCAAGTACAACTTTGGAGAGAACAAGTGGAAAAAATAGTTAATTTCCGTCCAGTATTGAGATTTCCAGAACGGAGATGGTCTTGCCGCAGTTCTGGGAGCTTTTCAAGGAACGGGCCACGGCTCCATTTTTCGTCTTCCAGGTTCTTTTTCTATTAGGATTGATTCAATAATTTCAACTCAGGTGTTTTGCGTCGGATTGTGGTGCTTGGAGGACATGTGGTACTACTCCCTGTTCACCCTCTTCATGTTGATGACCTTCGAGGCGACGCTGGTCAAGGCGCAGATGAAGAACATGTCGGAGATCCGGAACATGGGCAACAAGAGCTTCCTCATCAATGTGGGATTTTGTATCCAATTAGCTTGGGGCATGTCTGCGCTCTCCACGAGCCAGGCACTATCTCGTCCATTATCGTGTCAGGACCCTTTTTCGATGGCTCAAGCCACCGTAATAAACTATAGAGCAAGAATTGAACTTTAGGCCAAGTTTGTTAACTATATCTTGTCAATATATTATAGTTAATTCACAGCTGGCATGGTTAAAAAAGTAGTTTCTGCCGTTTTTTGGTTCAAAATAGCGTTGAATGAAGTGTAGCTCGATAGAATGGGTCTTGACACGATCCAAGGATAAATAGTGTTTTTTTGGTGGAGACAGGCCACGCCCAAGCTAATGGGCTATATGTAGTCTGATCATATGTTGAATGTAAAGTTCGATGACGTCATTTGGAAGCTCTTTGAATGGCTCGCTCTCTGATTGGTTTATCGCGTCATTATGGGCGGAGCTTGAGCGACGATTTGAAATCCAAAATCTGACTAAATTAGCCGTGAATCGACTTTCAAGTACAATGACGTCATTGGGAAAAGCTCTGTGGATGGCTCGCTCTCTGATTGGTTCACCATCAGGGGCGGAGCTTGAGTGACCAATTGACGAATTCTGAACAAACTATGGAAATATTTGGTTCTGAAATTTGATTTTTCTTCTGGATAAAAAGCATTTTGACTGTATTATACACTAAAAGATTATTTTTACTGTCTTTTTCATTTAGGGAATGTATAACGTGCATTTTTCTTTGAAATACGGCTCAAATTTGTTTTCATTCAAAATGGATGGCTTTCTTCCTTACAGGTGTACAGGAACAAAAAATGGACGAAAGTGAAGTCGGACGAACTGGTGGCTGGGGACATCGTTTCCATAGGTTTTTTTTATTTCAAATCACTGAGGAATGAATTTTGATTTCAGGAAGATCCGCAGAAGATCACAGCGTTCCCTGTGACATGCTTCTCTTGAGAGGCCCTTGCATCGTCGACGAATCCATGTTGACCGGAGAAAGTGTCCCCCAGATGAAGGTCCTTTTTTCGAGTCATTAACACACGTTTTCCGAGAGAATCGATAAGTTGCCAAACCAGTGAGGCATGAAAATTTCATGTTGCTGTTTTTGAGCTTTTAACACAATAACTACATAAGCTTCTGAAACTTTAAGTTAAGGTTTTGACAGGCTCCGCCCCTTTTGTGAATTACTGTAGCCGAAATGCGAAAAAAAATCTAACTTTTTCTCTGTCCAAACCCTTAAAAGGGATAACTAGGAGGCAAAGTAGGGGCTTCAGTGTACTCTCCAAGTAGTCCTTAAGTGACTCCTTAAGTAGTCACTTAAGTTTTCCACATGGGCTTTTTGAGAAGCGGAGAGCAAAAAAAAAAACAGAAAAAGATAGAGGTAATGGTGATTTTAGTGTCCTTTCCAAATAGTCCTTAAGTGACCTCTTGAGTAGTCACTGAAGTGTTTTCCCCTTATTTATAGCTTTATAAGAGACTGAATAAATATCAGCAAAAAAATAATTTTCGTAAAAAATTGATCACGTTTACATTGAATTTTTGTATAGATATGTTTTTCAAAACATAAATTTATTGCTAAAATATGAAAAAAAATCTTATTTTTCCACAGTTCACAGATTCTTTTTTGCAGGAACCCATAGAAGACGTCGAAAAAGACCGGCTCTTCGACATCGAGTCCGACAGCCGACTTCATGTCATTTTCGGCGGCACGAAAATTGTCCAGCACACGGCTCCGGGTACCCTGAAGCACTTTGAAAATGTAGATTTTCCTACGGATTTCCAGCCAAAACCGGCGAAGGGATCAAGTCACCCGACGGCGGCTGCATCTGCTACGTCATCAGGACTGGGTTCAACACCAGCCAGGGCCGACTTTTGAGGTGCTTTGGAAATAATGAGACCTTGGGACAGATTTTGGGGAAAGGGAGGAAAATTGTATTGGTAGAAAATAGATGAGTACCACGGACAAGCTCCGGGCGTTTCTGCGCATTTCTAGTGACCACTTTAGTAGCGTCAGCACTGGGCTTTTCTAGTGACCCCTTTAGTAGCTTTGGTACTTTTTTGGGTATTGCTAGTGACCACTTTAGTAGTTTTAGTACTTTTCTGCGCATTTCTAGGGACCACTCTAGTAGCGTCAGCACTGGGAGTTTCTAGTGACCACTTTAGTAGCGTCAGCAATGGGTTTTTCTAGTGACCACTTCAGCAGCTTTAGTACTTTTCTGGGCATTGCTAGGGACCACTTTAGTAACGTCAGAGCTCTTAAGTGATCCCTAGAATCGTCCAGAAACGTCTGGAGCTTTTTCGTTTCGCGTCACCAATGTCCGAGCCGAGAAATCGAAAAAAATCGCCCTTTGGCAAAATAAATATGTTTTATAGGGGCCACTCTGAATTTCCTAAGTACTTCGAAGACTAAAAGCTGCGATTATCTGGGTTTATTTCTGAGAATCTGAGTTCCAGAACGATTTTGTTCGGTGTGAAACGAGTGACCGCCAACAATTTGGAGACGTTCGCCTTCATTTTGTTCCTCTTGATCTTCGCCATCGCTGCCGCCGCTTATTTGTGGATCCGAGGTTTTCGCCTCAGATTTTCCTGATTTTATCGAAAATCAATATTCCAGGAAGCCAAGATGAGTCACGAAGCAAGTACAAGTTGTTCTTGGAATGCACTCTGATCCTCACTTCGGTGATCCCTCCAGAGCTTCCCATCGAACTGTCTTTGGCTGTGAATTCGTCGTTGATCGCCTTGCAGAAGCTTGGTTGGTTTTGGGGGGTTTCATGGTTGGATTTCGGCTAACTCCGCTCCCGTGGTTACGGTATCTTTCGTGTCGATACTTTATGCCGCATGATACTTTATTAGCGCTGCGTTTTTTGACTATAAATGCGATCAGATAAGAAAAATATGCAAATTTTTTTGTTAATGGAAGAAGGCGAAACCAAAAATTAAGGGGGCGTGGTCAAAATCTCCCCCTTTTCTCATGTGAAAGTAATTCAATAACATCTCAAAATCTCAAACTTTCTTCAGGAATTTTCTGCACAGAACCTTTCCGGATCCCATTCGCGGGAAAAGTCGACGTCTGCTGTTTTGACAAGACTGGAACTTTGACCACCGATAACCTTGTTGTTGAAGGGGTCGCTTTAAGGTTTTTCGAGGTTTTTAACCCGAAAAAATACTTTTTTTTTTCAGTTCAAACGAAGAAGATGGAATGATCAGAACGGCCTCTGCGGCCCCTTCTGAGAGTATCCAGGTTTTTACCCTTCAAAGGAACAAAATAAGGCCATTTTTTAGGTTCTATCGTCCTGTCACAGTCTCGTACGGTTCGAGGATGATCTGGTCGGAGATCCGTTGGAAAAAGCTTGCCTCACCTGGTGCGATTGGACTTTGACCAAAGGTAGGAAGGGAAAAAAAATGTAGAATTTTTTTCTTTGTATAATTTTGAACAGATTTTCAGCTTTCAACCTTAAAATTTGTCTGAGTAGTTCTTAAATTTCATTTTTATGAGGTTCTTGATTTATTTTTTTCGATGATTCTAGCTCAACCTGGGAAAGAACTATTAGAAATTTAGATAAATTTGAAAAAGTCGAAGATTAGAACGGCAGGCCTTCAAAACTTTGAAAATCTGAAAACCGGATTTTCATGAAACGGAGTATTACAAAAAGTTCAACAGATCTTTTTTGACCGTTTTTAGACGAATTTTTCGTGTCCGACAAGTTTCTAGTGTAGGTTTTATACAGAGAAGTTGAAAAAAAAGCATGAATTGAAAAAAAATTTTCAACACCCCAGTGAAAAAGGCACTGAAGAGTTTTTTTTACGGTAGCTCTCACTCCATTTCCTCAGTAGCTACAGTAGCTTGATTACGGTAGCTCTCACTTCACTTCTTTAGTAGCTACAGTAGCTTGGTCACGGTAGCTCTCACTTCATTTCTACAGTAGCTACAGTAGCTTGATTACAGTAGCTTTCACTTCATTTCCTCAGGAGCTACAGTAGCTTGATTACGGTAGCTCTCACTCCATTTCTACAGTAGCTACAGTAGCTTGATCACGGTAGCTCTCCCTCCATTTCTACAGTAGCTACAGTATCTTTTTTTGAAGTTTAGAATTACTTTCAAAATCACTTTCAGAAGATACAAGATAGGCATCAAAAACACGCAAAAAAGATCGAGAACGGACTTTGAGAATATACAGCTTTCAATGTTTCGGAATGCTCTGTTTTGCAAAAATTCAAAGACCAAAAATCGAATTTTCACGGCTTTTTTTTCAATTCAGCCGACGCTGTCATGCCACCGAAGAGCGCAAAAGGAGCGTCGGGCCTGAAAATCTTCCACCGATACCATTTCTCCTCGTCGATGAAGCGGATGACCGTCGTCGCTGGCTATCAAACTTCGCCCTCTGCTGATCCGACGCTCATCGTCACCGTCAAAGGGGCTCCCGAAGTGTTGAGGGACATGGTGAGAGTTCAGAATCGATAAATTCGAAGGCTAAAAACTTTTAGAGTTGATTTGAAAACGTAAAAGTTGGGTTTAAAAATTGGTAGTGAGCTTTTTTTGAAGCAAAGACAACCGTCAAGTTGAATTATCTACCTGAAAAAAGTGTAAACATGAGGTTGAGCGAGAGAGCAAGGGCGGGTAGAAGAGGGGTCGGAGAAGCTAGAGATTCTCTCTTTCTCTGGTGCCTCTTCAGTGTCCTTTGGTTTTTTTTCTCTATTTTTTTCACCTTGAATGACGGGAAAAAATGAACTTTTGAAATTTAAACTAAAAGTTGCTCTTTTCGAGATTAAACTGACCCCATTTCTACAGTAGCTTGGTTACGGTAGATCTAACTTCATTTCTACAGTAACTACAGTAGCTTGGTTACGGTAGCTCTCACTTCATTTCTAAAGTAACCTGGCTATGTTGAACTTGCTGGGAATTGGAAAAACGATCATTTTCCTGTAATTTTTCAGATTCATGTCAAACTTTATGACTTTCGGGCTGTCTTTCACCTTTTATTTCTCGAAATTGCCAATATTTTCAGTACGAAGATCTGCCTGCCGACTATGACCAGACCTACACGAAACTGACCAGACAAGGAGCTCGAGTTTTGGCGATGGGAATCCGAAAACTCGACGAAACCAAGACAAGCGAGGTATTTTATCCACCATAAAGGCGAACTTGACAAGTTCATCTACAGCTCCGAGACAAGAAGCGAGAACAGTTGGAGCAGAACCTTCGATTCTCCGGCTTTGTCGTAATTTCCTGCCCCCTCAAGCCGGATACGAAATCCATGATCAAGGAGATCATCGACAGCTCCCATAGTGTTCGGAAAATCAATAATTAGGATGCGAGTCAATAAAATTTTCTAGGTCGCCATGATCACCGGAGACAACCCTTTGACGGCCTGTCATGTGGCAGAAGTCCTGAAATTCACGAAAAAGTCTTTGAAAACGCTGGTTCTCGACGAAATCGATGTGGCTGTTGTTACCTGGAAGGTAATGTTTTATTAGAAGAAGGCGAAAAGTCGTAGCGCAACAGATTGTGTGCCTGTCTCAGCCCAAAGGGTCACAAGTTCGATCGCCGCCGCGACCCAGAGTTTTTTGCGGCTGTTCTGAGAAAATGACAATAGTTTTCGTGGATTGGAGTGTCTGGTATGCAAACAGCGTACTTGAAGAAGGAACTTTTTCTTTTTCTTCTGGGAGTGACCAATTTAGGGGGTTGAAGTCCTATTTGCCACATTAGTAGTAGGCCAAGCGGTCACTTGAGTGGCAATTTCAAAAGTTGTGGTATCAAATCAAATCATTTATTTTGTTGTTTTAGTCTGATGTAATCGACTAGGCGGTGAACAAGAACTTTAAAAGCTATAACGAACAACCGCCTTTGGAGAACTAGAAGTCCAAACGTGTAGTCAAAAGAGTTGAAAGCATGGTCCTTCGTCTCGTCCTTCTGCGCGTAGTCCATCCAGTTGCGCCTTGACGAGCTCAGAATGTAGCGGATGTTGAGCTGGAGCCCGGAGACCGTGCTCTAGGTGGAAGCCTCAGAATGAGAGCGACCACTTCGAGTGAAGATTTTACACGGAATGGTGTACATTTTTTTTTTCAGGGACCCCTTAAATGGTCTCTGAAATTGAGGTCCAAAATTTTAGCGGCCATTTTAGGGGTCAATGAAAAATGTAAAAAAAAAAATGAAATAGAAAACTGCGTTTTGAGATCTTCCGATCGCAGGTAAAAGGGTCTAGCGAAATAGTGTGCGAAAAGAAGAGGTTCAGACGTCTCTGCAGCTTTTTTTGTCACTTTTGAGTAGTGAATGAGACATCACGAAGAACTCCGTGCTTTTCTCAAGATAAATAAATTCAATTTTCATTCGCTTATCGATTTTTGCGACACTTTCTCGCCATAGTGAACGAAGATTTTTTGATTTTTTGAAAGTTTTCCTCGATTTTCCAGTGGTTTTACTTTCAAAAAGAAGATTTTTCCATTGAAAAAATATTTTTCAGTCGGTGGACGAGGAAGTGGTCCTGCCATTGAAACCCGGCGAGAAACGCAACGAACGGCTGGCTTTTTTCAAAAACTACGAATTCTGCTTGACTGGAACGGTTTCGTCGGAAAAAAAATGCCTTCATTACTTCAAAAGCCTACTTCCAGGCGTTTCAATACCTTGTCGAGAAGGAGCACAGGTTCCTGCGTGAATTGATCCCCCACGTGCGAGTTTTCGCTAGGATGGCTCCGAAACAAAAGGTGGGGGTACTGTAGGATACTGTTACAGGATTTAGTGAAGTTTAAGGTCCGAAAAATTCCGGAATTTAGCTCAAAATCGGTCTCGAAGCGATTTTTCACTTTGATCGCTTCAGCCCGTATTTTTCATTGAGGGAAAAGAGATAACTAAATCTTGGAGAATCAGAGAAAATTTTGGTTTTCGGTAAATTACTTTGAACCCTTCTCATGGATGAGTCCAGGAACGTGTGATCAACGAACTGAAGTCGCTCGGCCGCGTTACGTTGATGTGCGGCGACGGAACCAACGACGTCGGCGCCCTGAAACACGCGAACGTCGGCGTCGCGCTTCTTTCGCATCCCTACGACGCGACCAAAGCCGCCGAGAAGGAGAAGGAACGCAAGGAGAAAATCGACGAGGCCAAGAAGCTCGTCGCCGTCGGAGCCACTCTACCAACGCCCCCAGGAGTCGCGAGGAGAGGAGAAGCGCCGGCTGGAGCCAGGGCTAGGTATGGGTATAACTTCTTAAATATCAAAGTTGCAAGTCTTGATTTCTCTGACGTCTCTTTGGCCAACGTATCTTCTAACTTCTGTAGGCTGGATTGAAGAGACGCCAGAGAAGAAGGCGGTCTCAATTTCTCTGGCGTCTCTTTGGCCTCTGTTGTTCTCTGACCCAAGATAGAAGCTGGATTGAAGAGACCCCTCTCTTTCTCTAGAGTCTCTTCTGATCACCCCTGTCCTCTAGCTTCTAAAGAAAGAGAAGAGCATTATGAGCAAAAGCAAAAGATCAACGATGGTTTGAAGAGACGCCAGAGAAGCAGACAGTCTCTTTCTCTAGAGTCTCTTCTGATCGCCCCTATTCTCTAGCTTCTGAAGAAAGAACATAATGAGTAAAAGCAAAAGATCAACATTGGTTTGAGGAGACGCCAGAGAAGCAGACAGTCTCTTTCTCTAGAGTCTCTTCTGATCGCCCCTATTCTCTAGCTTCTGAAGAAAGAGCATAGGGAGTAAAAGCAAAAGATCAACGGTGGGGAGACGCCAGAGAAGCAGGTGGTCTCAATTTCTCTGCGTCTCTTCTGACTGCCGTTGCCCTCTCGCTTCCGCTCGTTTTTAGCCATCTTAGCCCAGACATCTCTCAAAAAGGAAATTGAGATCAAAGGCAGCCTTTCTTTCTGTGTCCTCTCTTTTAAGTTGCATAACTCTCCCTCTTTGGCCTTTTTTGGACCTTATTTCCAATCCCAACACCGTGGAATAATCGAAAAATTTTTTGAACTGTTTTTAAGTTCTACTCCTACTTCTACTCAAGTAAATGAAAAGGAATCAATAATTTACTTTAGAGCCCAGGTTCATCCGTCAGTCGCAAATGCTCAATCTCGTCTTGACAAGCTGATGAAGGAGCTGGAGGAGGAGGAACGAGCTCAAGTAGAAAACTCTATCTTTTTCCTTATAGTTTGTAGTTTTTTAGGTGATCAAACTTGGCGATGCCTCCATTGCCGCTCCATTTACAAGCAAATATACCTCGATTGCTTCAAGTATTTTTTGAAGTTTCCAATTTGTGACTCCGAAAAATCAATTTTAGTCTGCCACGTGATCAAGCAAGGCCGATGCACGCTGGTGACGACGCTGCAGATGTTCAAGATCCTGGCCCTGAACGCCTTGATCTCGGCCTATTCCCTGTCGGCGTTGTACCTCGACGGCGTCAAGTTCAGCGACACGCAGGCGACCATCCAAGGCCTTCTCCTAGCCGCTTGCTTCCTGTTCATCTCACGGTCCAAGGTAAGAATAAAGCAGAATGGCCTGAAAATTTGAGCCGCAAAAAATAGCCTTGGCGAATTTCGCGCAGATGGAATAAGCTGAAAGAAAGGTCTGGAAAATCAGACCGCCAAAAAGTTTTTTGACAAGAGCCAGAAATAAAGTCTTGGGGAAAAACTAGCCCGAAAAATAGCCGCGAGAAAAATAGCTCGAAACGAGAGCTTTCCCAGAAAATTTGCCCGTTGCTATTTCTCCGCGGCTTTTTCTACCCAGTCCATCTTTTTACGGGGCTAATTTTTTCAGTGCTTATTTCATCAGAGCCGTGGAGAAAAAGCAGCCCGAAAAATAGCCGCGAAAAAAATAACTTCAAAAGAGTGGCGAAAATTTCTTCTTTTCTTGAAAATTTGCTCGTTGCTATTTCTCCGCGGCTCTTTTTATCCAGTTCACTGGGCTATTTTTTCGGAGCGCATTTCATCTGTGACAATCTTTCGTAGTTCTTCCGGCCATTTTTCTTAGCCGCAGTTATAAAGTTGAAGCTATTTTTCGCGGCTCTTTTTATGCAGACTATTTTAATCGAAAAAAACAGAAAAGATTAATTTCAGCCTTTGAACACTTTATCGCGGCAAAGACCCATGGCCAACATCTTCAACGCGTACACGCTTCTGACAGTAACCCTTCAATTCGTCGTTCATTTCGGATGCCTACTTTATATCGTCAACCTGGCTCATCAAGCTGATCCCAAGTATTAAACCAAAAAAGGTGTCTCTCTAAAATATATTTTTTTCAGAGAAGGCCCGACGGATTTAGAAGCCAAGTTCACGCCGAACATTCTCAACACGACGGTTTACATCATTTCGATGGCCCTGCAAGTCTGCACCTTTGCTGTCAATTATAGGGTTGGCCAATAAATTGGGAACAGAGAAGCTAATTAATATTTTAGGGCCGGCCTTTCATGGAGTCGTTGTTCGAGAACAAGGCCATGCTCTACAGTATAGCCTTCTCTGGATTTGCCGTCTTTTCCCTTGCCTCGGGCTTTTCGCCCGACATGATGCAGCAGTTCGAGCTCGTCCTTTTGCCTGAGGAGGTCAGAATTTCTAGTCATATAACTGATCAAAAAGATAGGCCTTTGAAGGGGAATATTTAAATTCCGAGTTAACGCTTACAAGGACGGTAAGTGTGAAGATAAATGAGCTGGGTTCGATTGAAAATAATCAATAAATGAGCAAAACGGAAGAAAAATGATAAAGGTAAACGGTAGACAGTACTTCAATTTTTATTTATTCCAAGGATTTGCGAAGAGTATACCCGTATTACGGCTAACGTGAGACGCAAAAGGGGCGTGGCCTGACTGCCCTCTCCACCAACCAGGCACTGACTCTTTTATTATCGTGTCAGGACCCTTTATTATGGCTCAAGCCAGGCGTTAATCAGCTATACATCATCGACTCCCAAATTTATTCAATTTTTCCGGGTTCCAAAAAAAAACGCGCGGCCTGTCTGTGCGCATGCGCCTTTAAAATGAAGTAAGTTTGGGGGCTAAATTAAAGGCGCGTGCATAGAGACAGGCGGCGCGTTTCGAAGAAAAGGCTCTGGTGAAAACAAATTGAGACGAGCTGGCGCGGACTGGGATATATCGACGGGTCATTCAAGTTTCAATCTATTTTTCAAAAAAATTTTCAAAAAAAATATTAAGTTCGGATCCTCATGGAACAGCTCTCCAATAATAGTAGCATATCTAAAAGACTTGATTGGAGAATAAATATAACTCTTGCAGCTACGAAATACGCTGGTCATGTGCGTCTCATTTGATCTCATCGGCTGCTACGTCATCGACCGGGTGCTCAACTTTTTCCTCGGCGACATGTTCTAACGGCCATATATATTTTGCTTAATAATTTATTTCTCCTTCTTTTTGTTTTATTTATTCTCGGTTCATTGTGATTTCAACTATTCTGTACTTTCCTGGGCCAATTTTGGTGAATTTTTTTTTCTAGAAAAAGGTTAGTGAATCATTTTTTTCTTTGTACAAATTTCAAAGGAAAGCCCTAAAGCTTGCTCGATTTCTGAGCGTTCTTCTTGAGCAGTTGGCCAAGGTCGGCGAGCCATGCGGGCCTCTCGTCGGTGTGGGCCCGGAACTCCTTCATGATGTGCTCGTAGGCTCTGAAACGGGGACTTTTCATAGAGGGTCTCGGAAAAATTATGTTAAACCAAAAATGGATGAAAAGGCTGTATGTGGCTTATATAGGTGTGCAAAATGTGCTCCATGTGAAAAAAAAAAAATCAATACTTGACTTCCAATGTTCTCACAGCTCGGACATGGGTAACAAAAACCAGACGCACCTCGGAAGTCTTTAGTGATAAGTTTTTACTAGAAAAACCGTCTGGTTTCTGTGGGCTCTCGTTTTTACGCGCTGTTTTCATGTTTCTATGATCTCATCGGCGAGAGAAAAGAGAGAACAGACATATCAGACACTGTTTAAACAAGCTAAATCTCAAGGGCCCTCTAGGGATCACTCATGATGATTAATCACTTTGGAGTTATTTGAGTCCAATTTCATGCCCTCCAAGAGTTTCTCAACCCACTTTCCGTCAGCTGTTCCAAGAGCCGAGTTGAGGACGAAATCAGGAGGCGCGACGGCGTCGACCAGCGCTAAAGCCTCGTCTTTTAGGGCGGCGACGTGTTCCCGGAGCTTCTGCCGGAGTTGCTCGCCGAACTCGCCGCCGGTAGCGTAGCCGGCTGGGAAATGTACATTATTTTCTCGTAATGACTGCTTCATTACCAATGTAAAGAGTCGCAAGATGACGTTCCAATACGAACAACGCGTAGAGGGAGACGCATTTTCGCAGAACCTGGAAAATATAAACATGAAAAAAACAATCTGAATCCCCTAAAATTATTTCTTGAAGGCTGAAAAAGGGGTACTTTATACTTTTGCACCCTTTTATCAGCTGCTAATGACTTTCTTGTTTTCTCACTCTTTTATTGGCCTCTGAAGCCCTAAAAAAGTTTAAAAGCTTATAGGATCCATTTAGTGATCTTTTTTCAGCTAGTCCTTTTGCCAAAGTTTCTGATACTCTCCCAGAGTACTCAAAAAGGTTTAGTGGTAACTATAGGGCTCAGAAAAATTAGTCAAGAAGCTCCACCTCTCGGACGTCCCTATCCTCAACAGTGTCCAAAAATTGATGTGCCCAGTCAATTATCGTGTGCTCCGTGTAGGAGATCGACAAGGTCAAAGCTCGGTGGACCTAGAAATAAAATATATAAGTTTAATGTTTCACGGAGACGTGAACCTGAATATCATTCCTGACGTCAAACGAGTTCTTTCCGGCCTTCTTCAGCCGATCGGCGTCTTCGCTCGAGATCCTAAGCGTGTAGAAGAGCAGGAACTTGTAGGCGTCGAGGGCATCTGAATTTCCCGCTTAAAATCATGAATTTCGGGTCTATTCAACCTTTGACGACGTCTTCACTCCAGCCGGAGAACTTGGTCGGCTTGCTGTTGAAGAAATTCATCGTGTTCATAGGCGTCTTGACATTTTGTCCGGCTTGCGCCTGGAAAAAGTTCGATAATAGCTTTTCAAACCATGAGCTTCTAAAATCTCCAATTGGCTTGCCAAAACTGCGGAAAAGGGCGTGGCCAGCCAATCAGACTCTGAAGGGCCGGTTAGTAAACTTTAAATACGAAGAGAACTGGCGGCTACAGCTGATTCACGGCTGATTTGAGCTATCGAAAAAAGGGTCCTGACACGATGATGCACGAGATAGTGTTTGGATCGTGGAGAGCGCAAACAGGCCACGCCCCTTAGCGTCCCAAGCTAGCCGTGAACTATTTATATACAGAAAAGAAACCAGCTATGATTTTCTAGAATTGCTCAAAAAAATAAATCCTCGAACCATCCGCGAGACAGTGTGGGAAATCAAGAGATCTCTGGGAACTTTTTTGAGAGCCCTAAGTTACCCCTAGAGGGACCACTCTGTAGTTTCTAAATGATATAGCTGATTTACGGCTTGAGCCGATGAAAAAAAAAGGTCCTATCACGATTTTTAAAAAATAGACAGTGCTTAAAGGATGGAGAGCGCAGACAGGCCACGCCCCTCTGCGTCTCAAGTTAGCCATGGATCGGCTATAGAATGTCATTGCTAGCTATTTCTTTCTCAAATTTGGATTAGATTCGAAAAAAAAACCTTGGCTAGTAGGATGTTGCTGGACTGCTGGAGGATCATGAAGTTCTCGCCCTCGTAGGTCTGCGAGGGGTCATTATCGTTGCGGAGTTCGTTCAGACGCGACAGGTGCAGGTATCCGTGACCGCCGCAGGCTTTCCGGGCTTCTCCCAACGCTTCAACGCCGAACCAGGTGGAAACCGGTTTGGCTCCCGAGGACAGCGCGTGGACTTCTTTTGAGAACTCGGCCTGGAAAGTAGGCATAGCACGAGAAACGTCGAAAAAGGGGTCCTGACACGATCAGGAAAGAGATAGGGCCTGTTTAGCGTAGAGCGCAGACAAGCCATGCTCTTTTCCTTGAACTTGAAAGAGGGCAAAATATTTAATCAAGTTTTAGAAAGTCGCGTCGCTAAGTTCTTACGGTAGACATACCGCTCTCACTTAGTCAGGAATAACTCTAAATTTTCTCCCAAAAGCTTACCATTTCTTCGGATTTGTCGCCCTGCATCACGCGAATCATGTACTCAGTGAAGTGCTCGACAAATCTCCGATGGAAGATTCGGATGACGAAAGAAGCTGCCAAGTAGGGGAACAATCGGTACTGCTGCATCGGATACTCCAGAACTGGCACTTCGTTCTCACCTGAATTCTCATAACAGTAAGTTTCATTGCCCGTTTCCGTTCAGCTCAGAAAGAAAGTAATTTAAAAGCTTTACTTCGCGATTTTTCCCCCCTTTTTGAATTTTTAGGTTCGACGATTCGGGGCTTGCGGAAGATAGAGAGCGTTCAAAAATGAGAGGATGTGCTTCTTTTTTTCTCTAAACGCCCTCTTCTTTACCAGCGCTCTCTAGCTTCGAAAATTCGAACGTATACTCTCTTAAGCTTTCAGAATCCTGGCAAAGGCCGCAGAAAAATGTCCCTTCCTGCCAATGCTTTCGAAACTTCCGACACTGTCAGAACTTTTATTATTTCGCCGAAAATTATTAATTTTAGATTGATGGCTCAATTATTTTAACATCGCTCTATCCCCCTTTATTCCCCATACAAAACTCACATCCTTTGGTGGGTCCGAACTGTCGTCTTGCCACACTGTACCGAATCGCGATCGTAGATCCCATCTGACAAGCCATCATTCCCTTGGCAATGATGCCAAGTCTGAAAAAACCGCACCTTTTTGTTTTTTTTTCTCAGCTGCCTAAAGATCAGTTTCATAAAATAAACCAGAAAAAAATGAGCCCAAGAGCTAAGGCAGTAACGACTCGAAGAGACTCCAGAGAAGTTAGAGGGTCTCTCTTCTTAGGTCTTCCTTTTAATTCAATGTATTAGGTTTGACTGGAGCCAGAGAGTATTTAAGGAAGTTAGAGTATCTTTATTTCTCTAAAATCTCTTCAGATTGCCTAGTTTCTACTCCAACTTCCCCGTCTAAACCAAAACTATTTCGAGTCGAAGATTTCAGTTAACTTCTAGACTGCACTACCAAACATAGGCAAAGTCGGAAGGACCCTCCGAGGGTCCATAAAGGACCATAGAAATGTTCCTTTTAGGGTGAAGAAGGCTCTCTTTTTGCTGCCTTTTTGCACCATTTTCTCAGCCCTTATGCACCATTTTTGCTGCCTCTCCGTTTCTCCACCATCTCTCGAGCCTTTAAAATCCCAGAAAAATGGAAGGCTCGATAAAGGGAGTCTCTTTGCTGCCTTTCGCTGCCTTTTTGCTGCCGTTCGCTGCCTTTTTGCTGCCTGTCTGCGGCCTTTTTTGAGCCTCTCCCTTTTAGCAGCCATTATACACCATTCCGACTTTGCCCGAGAAGTCGGAAGTGAGGAAAACGGGCGCAAAATGGGGGTGACTGCAAAAATGCTGCTCAAAGGGTTCCATTTTGCGGCCTTTATTGAGCCTTAGTGAGCTAAAAATCCTCAAAAGGAGAGAGGCCGCAAAAAGGGTGCAAAATGGGCTCTAAAAGGGTTCCGTTATGCGACCTTTATTGAGCCTTTCTTTGTTGGTTGGCAAAAAAACCTCAAAAAGGGTGCTGAAAGACTCGGCCATTGGTGATTTTCAATCGTATTACTGTAGAACATTTTGGTTCATACACAGTCACTGGTAGAATTATTCTCAATTTAAAAATGTTACTCAAAAGGGTCCAAAAAGGGTGGATGAAGGCCGATAAAAGGACGGAAAAGGGCAGTAAAAAAGGAACCGTTGCCACCCGCTTCGGACCCTCAAAGGGCCCTTCCGACTTTGCCTATGCTGTGATATACCTTCCAACAGAAAGAGTGCCAAGACTGACGCTCTGCCGCTCGCTGGCCGACTTGTAGCTCGTGACGTAACGACCGTCCGGCGTGACGTCACATCCCTTGTTGAGGAGGGCAAGAAGAGGCGCCCGATGTCCTTTGAACTCCATCCAGCCGTTCTCGACGCCGTTCCAGACGCCTGGCTTGCCGCCCATGTCGCCGATCGTGATCCCCGGCAAGGATTCGAACGTCTCCGGGTTTCTGGAGATAGATTCTCGTTGTGAAGCTCACGAAGCACACCTTATCTGGAGACAGAAGGCGTGGAGACCTTCATTTTTGCCGCCGACGATGAGCTTGGCAAAGACGACGGCGTGGGTGGAGGAGTGGGCTGGAAGTTGGAAATTTTGACCAGTTTCTTCGAAAATTCAAAATTCGAAGCTTGTTTCAGGCGTCAATCCGAAAAATTACCAAATTATTAAATTTATTTTTCAGAAAACATCTTCATTTGTTCAAAGCACCTTTTCGGAAGGATCAAAGCCCAAAAAAGGCGGGAAATTGAAAAAATCATCGCGAACGCTTCACACACACAACATATGCCGTGCAGAACAGTTCCGAGCCGAGAAAAATGGATTTTAAAATAAAACCTGAACATTTTTTGAACATGATGATGATACATAAGATTTTCGTGAGTTAAAAAATAATTATTTTCAGCTATAAATTTTTAGATTCCATCCAAAGTTCAAATAGGCCACTGTGTAATGATTCATGAAAATAGAATCAAAAGGGACGGAAAAAAAGTAAGATTTATGACCAAAAAGTAGAGAAAGAGAGGGGAAGGTCAAGCATTGACCTGAGGTCAGAAGTAGAGCAAAAAACAGTTCTGATGGAGTGGGTCCAATTTTTCTCATTTCTGGGATTGGATTGCTTTGAATTCCTATGCTTCTGACGTCACAAATATCGGGCCATCACAGTATTACATAACAAGGTTTTTTTTTTTGAGAAAATTCGGAGAAAAAGTTCCCTTTTTTTTATCAATACCAACTCTACCAAGAACTCCATGATTCTTTGAAGACTGAATAAACTTTTTTGATCTCACAAAGATTTCCGGCCCAGCACTTGATGGCGCCGTCGTTGGGCGTGTCGAAGACCAGCTCGCCCGCATCGAAAGTCGCAGTGGTCTGCATCTCGGCCGTGTTCGAGCCGTGGCTCACCTCCGTCAAGCAGAAGCATCCGACCACCTGGCCAGGTAATATGTGTAAAGCTTGAAGGGGCCCGCTCAGTTTGTTTCGAGGTATCAGGGCCACATTGTCCAGGTTTTTCCGGTCCTTGTTTGAGTAAAACTTGACTTTTACTTTTGAAACTTTTTCGGAAATTCAAAAATGACATTCGAAACGCAATAAGAAGCTCTATAGGATTGCATAAACTTAAAAATTCATTAACCCTGGACAAGCTGAGCGCCGTATAGTCTGTTCAGATTTCAAATGTCAAGTCCTCGCTCAAGCTCCGCCCCCTAATGGCGCGATAAACCAATCAGAGAGCGAGCCATCCACAGAGCATTTTCGAATGACGTCATTCTACTTGACATTCAAAATCTGAACGGACTATACTGTCCCTACATGGAGAAGCAGCTGAATTCTCAAAATTGTCTAAAACTGAACGTGCTGAACTACTTGGTCAACGCCAGTTTTGAGAGCCGGCAACTCTTCAATTATTCCATGATTCTTTGAAGACTGAATAAATCTTTCATATGTTATACTGACAATGTAAGTTTCAAGGAAAACCTGATCTTCAATCTCTAAAACCTTTTTTTATTGCCCAAAACCCTCAGGAATCCTGAAAGATGTCCAGAAATCATTGCCAGGGAGTGAAAAAGAAAAAGTCCCCCCTCCCCCCATTCAAATCCCTGTTATCCTGGCACCAACCTCGTTGTTGTGGATCCTCTCCAGAAGCTTGGCATGCCTCTCAGTGCCCATCGATTGGACGGCGGCACCGAAGACGTTGGCGTGGAGGAAGAGCCGCCCCGAAAGCCCCTGGTCGTACTGCTCGAGGACCTCGCTCAGAGCGTGGAACCTTTCGATGTCGGCGTAGGGCTGAAGGATTAGAGATTCATGATGCCCAAGAGAGCTTAGGAAACATCTGTGAACAAGTCCATCTCGACGATCTTCCTCCATCGGCGGTAGTTGACCTCGCGTTGCTCCTCGCGGCTCAGGACCCGGTAGTCTCTTTTGAACTCGGGACACGCTTCCAGTCGCTTGTAGATCTCTTCCTGAAGTCTTCTTTGAGGGAAAGTTCTAGTGGTCCCTAGATGAGACACCTTTGAAGTCATGGGAACAAAAATGGTCATACTAGAAATAACTTGGCGCCTTGATAGAAGTTTAAGTGGCTTCTTAAGAGTTTTCCGATTTAAGGGGTCACTTTAGAGCTTCAAGCAGAACGTGTCTTTTCTATTCAAAGAGAAAATTCTAGTGGTCCCTAGAGGTAACATCTTCAAATTCATGAAAACAACACTGGTCATACTAGGAATGACTTGGCGCCTTGTTAGAAGTTTAAGTGGGCCCTTAAGAGTTTTTACCTCTTAGTGGCCACCTTTGAGCTTCAAGCAGAACCTGTGGATCCAGGCTATAAAAATAGAGTAAGGAAAAATTTGAGTGGTTTCTTAAGTGACCACTTCGAAGATGCTTGAGACTGAAGATTTCAAAAAACTTGAGCAGAAAAAGAAAATCTAAAATCGTATCAAGATCTCACTATACAGTGGCTGCTTAAGTGTCTCTAGAAGAAAAAACACCAATAATTATCTAGACAACCTTCAAAGCGACGTGTTCCTCGCCTTCAATCGTCGTTTTCAACTTTTTCCAGTCAAAAGTCGCCTTTTTCCGGTACTCGTCGATCAGCGGCGTCGTCATTCTTCAGCTGATAAAAATTAATATTATTTTCTTTTTAAATATCAGAGAAAAAAAGGACAAGGAAGCTTATAACTGAGTGGTTCGAAAGTTATTCCTTATCAAGGCAAAACAAACTAGAACGTGGTGTAGAGGCTAGATCGTAGTCAGCAAAATTGCCACTTTTTTGTACTAATATGGACCGACAAGCAAATAAATGGAAGAATCGGAAAACAACAACCTCCTGAATTGCATGTAGATTATTGGCTTCGATTTGACGATTTTGTGCATTCTGGCGTCGATTTCAGATTTCCGCGAAAGGAAAATCGGTCTCTAACTCTCCAAGCGTCGATTTCCGCGAAAGGAAAATCGGTCTCTAACTCTCCAAACTTTAGTTTTATTTCTCTTTATCTAACGGCTATTTTGCATTTCGCGGAATCTCTTTGAACACGGCATTAATTTTTAATCATAATCCACTCGAAAATTTTTTTTCCAAGTTAATCAGCTTCTTTACAAAAAAAAAACCTCATTAAAACTTACTTAATAAAAAAACCGTGAAGTACGAATGAATTTCCAACTTTCACGACTCAAACCATTCTAGAATTCAATATAATTTATTGCCACAACCATGAAAAATTGCGAAAACTTAAAATTTGAAGCGTGCCGCTAAATATATTAAATATACAATTGAAAGTGAAGTGAAGCGTCGGAGGGATTTTTCTTGAAAAAAAGCGGTTATATCGGATGAAAATCAGCTCTGCTGCAGCGTTTTTCAGCTTGTCTTCTGCAAAGAATTTCGTTTTGTCAATATTTCAAATTAATTTTCTGAACAAAAAAACTGTATTTTTATGACAGAGCGATCGTAAAGCGAAAAAAACCTTAAATTGAAAGAAAATGCCACACTTTTCTGGTCTCTAAACTTCTCTAACTTTCAAAAGTTAATGGACATCTTAATCGGTTTTTTAATCAAAATTTTTTCGACAGAAGGGTAAGGGAAAAATATTGTTTCTACTGGGACAATATGCCAAAAACCGAAAAAACTCTTTAAGGAGACAAATCGTACTCAATAACTTCGAATACCTGCTCTTTTCACGCTAAAATTCATCCTTTCTTGACAACTTCAAAGCAACGAACCGAGAGCGCTGACGTACTGTTCGAGGATGATGGTGGCTTCCTCGAGACGCCTGGTACTCTCATCCATGGCGTCGATTTGCGTCAGCCACGGTCGTAGTGATTCATCTGTAATAGAACAATTAATTCCAGCAGTTCTTATGATTTTCCTCACATTTCTCATTCAAAACATCTAGTTTTGTCGCGACTTTCTCAGCAACCACCTTCATATCAACGTATCTAAGCAATTTTATTTAAAAATATTTTGATAGGTTCCTGAAAACCTCTGGGCCGTCGTCAAGTTCATGTTCTCCAGGAGTTTGTACTCTTCAACGGTGCCTGGAAATAAAACGATATAGATTTCTGTGCTGCCAATAAATTTCCTTTTAAAACTGACTAGTTCAAGAAAATATTATTGAATGAAAATAAAAAACAAAAGAGAAAAAACGTTTTTGGAAAGGTACTCATTTGGAATAATCTTCATACTTTCATATAATAGTTAATAATGAACGAACCTTGGATTTGGGTATTGAGGAACTGTCCGACCTTGTCGTACATGTTGTCGGCTAGCTGACGGATATGAGGCGTCGGAGCCGGCGTTGAAGGAACCGGCGGCGATGAAGTTGAAGCTCTTTCGTTGATTTCCGCCATTGGTCAAAGTATATTTAAAAATCGAATCAAATTGAACTCTGAAAATTCTTATTCTGAGAAGCGAAATAGCTCTTCGAACAAGTAAAACAAAAAAAAACGATCTTAAATTTTGAAATGATTCATCGCCCGATCTTTTTGTCTCCTGAATCAAAACATCGCATTTTGTGTCTTAAAAAAACTGGCGAGCGTTTATAAAGCGATGAAGGTCAAAACTGGTGATCTTATGAGAAAAAAAGGTAAATTTTAAAATTGTTCGTAAAATCAACGATATCCGGCGTACGATCTAACGTTTTTGGACGTAATGCACTCAATGCATTCAGAGACACGCGCAAAAGTTAAATATATAAAATTTTTTTTTCTTTTTCACGGAAAGAGCCATGAAGCCCTCAAAAACAGACAGCAAAATATAAAATGCAGCATAAAAATTGATATCAAATCATACTTTCAGCTCTTTTTTTCAAACTGACCATATTCAAAAAGTTGAATAAAAAAATCAATATTTGAGAGCAAAAGTTGTCGGAACCACATACATGTATTTCACACAGATTTTATGCAAATACCGGTTTCGAATTTCGCAACGACAGGAAAAAGGCGACAATTTTTATTTCACACGAAGAAAAATTCGAAAAAGTGGCAACATGTTGGCTTTAATCGGGGGCCAAAATTATGAGGAAAAAATAAGGCAATCATTTATTCACAACGCTTACATTATTTAAAGAAGTATATAGTTAGGTTATTGCTTCAGGCACCAAAATTGAGCTCTTGGAAGGAGAAATGTTACATGAAACTTGGATAAATTCGACAAGAAATGTAAAGAAGATTGGTTGAAAAGTGACAAAGTTGAGACAAAGGAGAGATGATAAATTTGAAAATTTCGATAAATTGGACTAATTTAGAATAGTCTTCTGGGGTGTTTAAAGGCACACGAAGCTTTCTTGACCTGAGTTATCACTTTAATAAAAAGCTTTTCGCCTTGAGAGCCTCATACTCCCTTTAAAAACTCTTGAAAACTGAATTATATAAATTACTCACAAATTCATGGATATAACGTAGATCACAGCAAAGACTTAGTTATTTTTAAATTTTCAATATTATTCTCTTAATTATTTCAATCGAGGATAATGAAATGCGAAAAACTAATAATGAGAGGCAAAGGACAAGCGAGAGTTGATAGTGTTTTGGATTTGCGCAGGACGAATCCTCGCGTTGGGTCCAACGGGAACGAAATTGGAGTTGACCGATTCGCCGACGAGCACGCGGACGGGCTTCTTCCGGCGCAACTTTTTCCTGATCATCGACGTGGGAATCGACACCGACACGACCTGCTGTGTCGGCGCCGACGAAACGTGCAGTCTGTTCATTTTTTCTTGCGCTCTCCGCTTTTCTGCAAGGTTTTTATGAACTCGACAAAAATTACAGAGCTTATGATACGCTCGCTTCAATTTCTATGTGTTAAAAAACTTAGAAGAGGAAGGCCGTTTAATTTTTTGCATTCATGTAAAACAATTTTTGATAAGAGGAGTTCAAAATATTCAAGCTTCAAAGAACTTTAAAATTTCCAACGCTGCTAGAAACTTTTTCATGTTCTTTTTGAAGAAGTTAGAAATTGCAGAGGCTCTTTCAAGACACTCTTTCTAGTTTCTAGCAGCGTTGGAACGTGACAAGCTGGGGCGGATTGGGCTATAAATCAAACATTTCCTTTTGCCTAGTTTCAAATTTGAAAGAAAAGTTGAACTTACAAGAAGGAGCAGAATCAACATCAAAGCTTTCATGAAAAAAATCAAAAATTGCAACTTTTTCAACTTTTTCAGAACTTTTTACGTTTCAACTATTCATCCAAAAGTTTTCAGAACTTAAATTTTAAGGAAAATGAAAAGAAAAAACCATTTCTGAAGACTGGCTAAAAGCGATTAGACTTTTTTGCTCGGAAAAATGCCAAAGACACACAGTTTTTGGCTCTTATTCAATAATATCTATGAGAATGGTCTATGAAAACTGTAAAAAGCCTCAAAAATCAGTAAAAAACTAACTGAGCAACGATGGCATAGGCCGCTTCACAACGGGGCCGGTGATACGAGCCGGCGGCGGCCGATCAGAAGAAGCAAACTTCTTTATGACTGGACCACCGATGACGTTCATCGGCCGAGGCTTCTTGGTAGCATGGAGGGCGCTCTGGATGAACGAGGCCGGAATCTCATCCGTCGAACCAATCGGACGTCTTTCCATCACCTTCTTGGGCGAATTGTTGACCGTCACGACCAGGCTACTCTCAGTGTTCGGAGCTGAAGACGGCGCTTGAATTGGACGTCGGATCTTTTGCACTGGCTGAGGCGGAGGTGGGACGTCGGCAACAACAGACGCGGGGGCACACAAAGAGAGATCAAGCAACGAAGGGATCCGCAACTTCGCAGGGTAGGTCAAACTAGAACCTGTAGGGGGTGACGTCGGCGGCGGCGGTGAGGGTGGTTTTCGGGTTTTCCAAGGAATACTCGGTGGAGAATCTAGAAAGGGAGTTTCCAAAAGCGGTTCTCTTCGTCGGTATCGATCTTCATGATGTTGATGGTGGTGATCTTCGTTCGAAGTGCGGCGTCGTGGCAAAGGTTCCCTCCGCTTTTCCATACCACCGTTCTTAAGGACCTCCGTCTCTGGCATTGGCAGCAAAGGCGGTACCTCGCGAGGTAGGTAAGAAGCCACTATAGGACTCCTTCTACGCCTGCGGTCCTCTTTTCGCCGCCACTGAAGTTCCTTCTCGCGTCGGTACGAATCCTTGATTGGCCTGGCGATGCTCCGATTGTCGTGGTGACGTTCTTCGCGTCGACGGTGCTGCTGCGGCGGCGGCGGACGTCTTCTCGGGTCGACTGAAGAAACTGTGTCAGTGTTAACTAATCAATCGACTCTTCTCAATCCTAATTTCCCCAAGACGTAATTGCAATTGGCTTAATAAATGTGACTGTAATTGTTGGGTGCAGAAAGAGAAGCTCTCCGAAACGGCAATGGTACCATGATCATCGCGGCTTCGCTGTTGCCGAGCTTCTGCGGGTCGTCTGGGCGGGTCTAGAGGAGCACGACGCTCCGAGGCCAGCCGATGACGATCTTCTCCGTCTTCTGATGAGGCGCCGTCGTCGTCGCTGATGGCCGTGGCGGTGATCGTGTCTTCTTGGATCTTTGGCCGTGGGATGCTCGATTGCGCGATGCGAGTGGAAGCCTCGGCGGCGCGCCGCATTTTCTCAAGGTCAAGCTCCTCGCCGAGGTCGGGATAGTCCTCCTCGTCGTCCTCATAATCGAGTTCGACGTCGTCGTCGTCGGATTCGACGGCTTTTTCCAGTTTCTTGGGGCTGGAGGTGGGGCCTGGGACGACGGCCGTTGCTTCATACGGCAACTCCTCGGCTTCGTCAGCATCCGACCACGAGGCGCTGTAAACATTCAACTTTTTTTTTTGTGAAAACCCGACGATTTTTAAATTTTCCTTCTGCTTGAAGATCACCGGTTCTTTGAATGGGTTCAAAACAGAAATCTTCTCATTTTAACTTTAAAAAAAAGCTCCAAGCCCACTTAAGAACCGTAGACCTTCAAGCTTTCTCTAAAATTCCCCCTGAAAAAAGTGGCTCTGTTCGTGTTTCAACCTGATACCCAGGAATGACCAAAATACTGATTCAAAAAGATCAAAACCAAGGCTTTAAAGGTTGAAACTTTTCATTGATACCCTTTGACAAACAAAACATGATAACAAATACAAAGAGCAGAACAAAAAACGTCAGGAAAAAAAAAGGGAAACCGAGCCAATGTGAAAGAAAAAAGAACACGTCAGGTGGGAAATTCGAGAATTCTTATGAACGTTAGTCGATAAATGAAATGCCGCTGGCGAGTGCCTACCCAGAAGGATGCTCGTTGTCGAGTGTGGCCGAGGAGGCTTCCGACGGCGCCAAATCTTCGTTCTCGTCGCCTGAAAGTACAGAGTATTCATTGATTTTTATCCGTTAAAAGGTCCATAAAAATCAGATTTGAAGTTAAAATTTGCCAAAACTCAATGAGAATGATTTACGCTCAAAATCTTGAAATCCAAAAGTTCTTATCAAATTCTTGATGCACTTTTTATCTAATAGTGATATCAGAAAAGCTTTGTGTATAGTACGTCCATCACGACTTGTAAGTTTTCGCTTTTCTGCGCCTCTCTGTTCCCTCACCGGCGAGGTCGAAGAATTATGGAAAAAACGCTCATGTCTCAAATTTTCACATACTACTTCTTCCTGTTATTTTGTCCTTTTCAAGTTTTCATTGGCTCACGAAAAAATCCAAACACTAACAGCAATCGATTTCCTCGAGGTGATCGAAATCGATGACTCCACCACCGCCACCACCACGGCTTTCGGAGGCAGGGAGCCTCTCACGATGCCTCCTGGTGGGCTGCGAACGGATCACGCGTCGCGGGGGAGGTCTCTCTCGCGGCATCTGCAACACGCCATACACAATGAAATGCGTTGCGAACTCCGTGGGAACGTCTCAGGTGTACAAATCGCGTGTGTTGCGGTTGAATTAAAGTGCAGCGCCGCCGGCGCGTCATTCACTCAAGTAACAAAGCAAACAACGGACCAGGGGGACAATATCTACCTGGTTGAGAAGATTCGGAAATTTATGTACACTGTTCTCAACGATTTTCTCGGTTTGTTCAAAGGATCTGAGGCGAAAAGAATCTTCTAGAATTTTAGGTTCTTGGTATAGAAAAAGAATTTCAATAGCATAGAAACAAAGAAACATCCAGAAATTTCTGAGAAGGCCTTGAAAAAATAGAAAAAAATGCATTTACGTAGGATCTTTCCTGGACAACCTGGGAAAATTTCAAGTGGCCGCTTAAGGGTTTTCACGTCTAGTAAGTTTTATATTAATTAACGTGTGTCTAAACTTTAAGCGGTTACTTAAGTGACTAAACATAAGTGACCTTTTCAGGAGTCTAGATGGTACTACGATACCACTAGAAAATACTTTAGCCACTCAGACGCAAAATAGTGACTTCTATAGAGGTCATTCAAGTGGCAAATTTAGTGCCCTCTCCAAGTAGTCTTTAAGGAACCTCTTAAGTGACCTCTTCCTAGATACTTCGACTCCCATTAAATATGAAAAATGGCGGCATAGTAAGAATGCCGTTTCAAGGGCTCAACTTCAAAAAATGGTCCTTCAATCGCAATTCGCAACCTCATACCAACCTCTCGGCGAACTTTCGTACTCGGTGGCGCAATGTAGGAGGCACGGATTCGGGAATCGACGCGACGTTGCGTTGAGGAGTCCTCACGCTCCGACGTTCGCATGTGACGGTCGCGTTCACGTCCGTTTCGCTCGTCGCGTCGCAAGCCACTCTCGCGAGGGCCTTCGCGACGACCTGACGGCCGATCTTGGTACTGAAAAATAAACTTTGAAGCCACTTTTTTTTTGTTGAATTGACATGACTTTAGTGGATCCCGAGAACGCAATCCATCAAGGTGACATTGAACTCGAAGAACCCGCAAAAATGGGATGAAAAAAATGATGGTCTTAGGAAAAAGCTAATGAGAACTCGAAGGAAATACAAGACTTTTGAAATTCTCCTGAACAAAAAAAAAGCCTCCCCCCTATTGGATAGCCCCTACCCTCAAATCTTGCTAAAATTCCCAAAAATCCAGTAACCTCTCTGATTCCAACTGAAATAACATACACTTTCTCTAGTATGAAGGTCGCCAGGAGCCCTCCGTTTGGTCTCCCTCTGACGTCGACTCGACGAAGTCCCGCTGCCGTTTCTCCGGTCAGAACTCGGGCGAATCCTCCGACAATCCTCAGCCTCGGCGTCTACCTCATCGACGCACTCCAACTCATCGAATTCGATCTTCTCCTTCAGAATGAGTGATCAGCTTTCAAAACATATTTTCGAATTACGTCTTCAAGATCCTCTGTGTAATCGGTCTCTTCTAGCTCGCGGAGGAACGCGTCGTCAGAGAAAATTGGCTCCTGAAATTGATTTTATTGATTGAAAACTTCGAAAAACGACTTTTATCAACGAAAAAGTTCTCATTATTCAACTTTTCCGAGTTGTAAAAGCGGAAAGAACTTTTTTTTTCGAGATACCTGAGAACTGAGCAACCTTAGAAAAACAAACTCATACCTGTTGACACTGAGAAGGGTGAAAAAAATCATTAATCATTATTCACCTTGGAAACCCCTGCAGAACTCATTCTTGACGACGTTCCCATTACACGCGATGCGTGTGGGCTCTCCTAGATCCTGTAGAACGTCCGAACTTCTTCTTTCCAAGGCTCTGAAAATGGTTTTGAACTGAACGAAAACCCGAAAGCAAGCAGTTGAATGAAAATAGAGATCGAATGGGAAAAAAAATGCGACATATTGGTTAAAAACAGCTTCATGTAGTGTTTAAAGGCGCACAAATAAAAAAATGGCCTATGCTCCTTTAAAAAACCAGAGACAAAATTATTGGAAAAACAAGAATGCACAGCTTTCTGGAGTGTTCAAAGGCGCATTGTGATCATTACAAAACTGAAGAAAAAAAAAAGTTCGTCTCGAGACCTTCAGAAATTCAACTCAGACGTCTTCAAAACTACATTGAGCTAGAAAAAAACATTATAGATACAGTTCGCGTTTATTCAACGCTAAGAACCATGAAAAAGCGAAGCATGATGACAAAAGTTTATCGATTCATACTTGAAAAAAAAATGTACAGAAAATTGAAATTAAATATATAGAGATCTTTAGTTTATCGGTAACAAAAAACAAGAAGAGAAGATTAACAGACCCTTAAAACACGCAAAAAAAAAAGGAAAAAAAAGAAAACGAGTAATAAATTATCCAGGAATCCAAATTGGAGCCAAAGGAGACGCTTTCACGTTATCAAGGTCAATGCGCTTGTCGATTTCCTCGTCGACTTCGCCAACGATCGCCCTAAATGAGAGAAAAATCAATAAAAGTTGGGGGAGAAAAAACAGGAGCTGGAAATCGACGCGCAGCGGGTGGAAGGAAGGAAACAAAAACGGCACTCAGCTTTCCGCGTCCATTTCGCCTCAAAACGCCCACGCGACCGGTTTCTTTCGAAATTGCGAAAGAATAACGGCTGTGAACGAGATAAAACTCCAACGAACGTTACTGATAGTTTTATTCGCGGATTATGCTGATCAATGGAAATTTTTTTATAATAGTAGTTTTATCAAGCTTCTTACTAATTGTTTCAATTTCGTTTAGAAAAAAATCATCGTACACATTTTTCCTTCCCCGCTGTGTTCAGACAATTTTTTTATAGACGTTTTTTTAAGCGTTTTTTTAAGAAGCAAAAAGAACAACGACGTTTTTTTACAGTTTTTTTCGCAAGCTGGCGATGAACACTGTATTTCCATTTTGGACGTCTTTCTAGAAAAAAATGAATTTTTTTAAATTTTTTTAGGATGTTCATCTTCCAATACTGCAAGATTCCTAATATTTCTTCTCTAAATGATTAGCTGAAACGAAAGAAAATTTCCGACTTTTTTCAAAATTTTCTATTAAACAATGAATATCAAGCTTTACCATCATTCAACATTGATTTATTATAAAACAAATTAATTTGGAAAACATTTTATCGAAAATGACCCCTCTTCAAACACACACAGTTGCACCCAACCGATGGGAGAAACGATGGCTGAGGATGAAAAAAAAAGCCGAGGATATGTCCTCGTACCCTAGCAAATGTTCGACATTACAACAGCCCCATTAAGACGGCCAGCGTCAGGAATCGCGAGCCAAAGCTCAAGAAAGCAAAAACAATAAGTATTGCTCAACTTAATCAATATTTAGACTTAGAGACTGAAGTTCATTCAGAGCTGACTTGAGACAATATCAAATAAAAGTTCCCGAAAGATTAATGGAAAAGTTTACGGGGAAAAAAAAGGTTAACTCTTTTCCCTTGTAATTATAATGAAAGGAAAGGAGCACTGAATTGAAGAAGAGTTATCTAGAGAAGGTGGCGTTAACCGAAGTTGGATTGACAGCTACATTATACGCGAAGGAACTAATCGATGGCGATGACGGCCGCGAGGGACATTTCTTTTGGGGGAGACGCAGCGCAATCCGCGAGCAAAAAGGGCGCGGTGTTTGTCAGAAGAATGAATTTTGCAGCGAGAGAAGATTGTATCAATTTTCAGAGACTCTTTAGAATAAATAACGACAAACCACGCCTATATCATCCCTTGAGTGGCCCCTTTTAAGAGAAATGCAAGAAGAGAAGGCAATTCGCTTTTGAATACAGTTAATTTCACGCGGGATTATTATAAGCTGCACTTACACAAAAAAAAAATGGCAGCTAATTTATATTTTAGGACGTCATAAAGATTTGGGGTTGAGAAATTATGACGCAAGGGATCGTGAAAACTTTAAAAGAAGGGTAAAAATAAGAAGACAAATTTATAAATTTCAAAACATGATTCTCTGCTTTATTGAAGGCTGGAAATTGAATCAAAGTGACTATGGAATGAAAAAAAAAACAGATAGAAACCGCCTTTTTTTTTCACAACTTGCAAGTCTTGATTCTGTTTTACACCTCAAGGAAATTACTCTTTTTTTTTAAAACCAGAATTAAGCTTTTCGTCGGGTACTTTGAAAATTTGGCACTAAATTCGAAACGTTTATCTCAATTTTCGTAACAGGTGAGTCGTAGCTTCAGTAAATATGCATGGAAAATATCAATTTAACCATTTTTTCAAAATCAAGCTGGAAATCATAAAACAAATGAACATACACATTGTCGCCGCGAATAATGTAGAGACCCAACGGAACGGTTTCAACGCCAGCTGTTTCAGAATAAACACGTTCATGAGCGTCTTCCAGAATTATGTTAATAAGCTGATCAAAACCCTGAAACCAAAAGATGGCTTTTTCAATCAGAAGACCTCAAAACCTTGAGCAATCCTACTATTGTTCTCCCGTCTCCCGTGATAACCGTTGTCACTCGGTTCATGTATCCGTCTAAGCTCGATGTCATCCTGTACTTCAACATTTCCCTCATCCACTTCAACCGAAAATCGAGTAAAAAATACTTTGCAGAATGTCTACCGCTTGATAACTTTCAAAAGATGAATGTCCTCCAAAATTTATTCTTCAAATTAATCAACATGTTGATCATAATCAAATTGTTAACACACGACACCTTCTACAAAAGACTGCGTGATGCGGACAAGCAACCCTCGAGAAAGCAAGAGATGCATTGAGAAACAACAAGATTACGATACAAACAGCGAGGCAGTCACAACGATTGGCAAACGACAGTGAGATTTCGTGTACCTGATTAACAATCAGTTACAACAAAGTAACAATACCTTTGAATCAGTTGAAAAAAATGAATACATCGAAGTTAATTAACCGATTCAAAGGCGTCAGGATTAACAAATCCAGCAAAACAACAACTAAAAGTAGCAAAATGAAAAAAAAGAGCAAAGAGAATGCAGCTTTCTGCACGCAAAATTTTTTTTACGTTTTTTTGTTAGACATAAAGCAGTACTGAATGAATAGATGAGAACTTTTTAGTACTTCTCTACTCGGCATGCTATAATGCATTTGTTCAATTGACAAGTTTGGGGTACAGAGAACAACAAGATTTTTGCTTTCACAGGATGAAAAAAAAACAGAAGGAAGGGGGCAATACAGAGAAATATTAATCGTGTAGTCGAGTTGCCAAAAACAGAAATTAAGGACCGCTGTGCGTATTGGGGACATTTTAGAGATTTTTTTTTCTTAAAGTTGAGAGTGGAGGTGAGATGAGGGAGGGATCGGAGACGTCACGAAGAAAGAAGTTCGAGCTTAGAACTGCTGAGGCTGGGCCGTCTGTTGATAACGCTGGCCAGAGGTATTTCCGTTTTGGCGACCGCCAGGTCCTCCTTGTTGGAAGGATGAGTCGTATCCGTTCCCTGAGAATTGATTTAAAGATGAAAAAATCGAGTAAGAACTACTCACTTGTTCCACCGTACGAGTTTCCATATCCGTTGTTGTTCTGTTGATGTTGGTGGCCGTAGTAGTTGCTGGCGGCGCCATACCAATCTCCCCAGGCAGCAGTCGCTCCTCCGTAAGGAATAGCTCCAAGCTGTCCCCAGCCGGCATACCAGCCACCAGCGTTGTTGGCTCCGCCGCGTCCACCGTATGGTCGAGCTCCGTTCACACGGCCACCGCCAACTCCACCGATGAATCGCTTGCCTTGTGGCACGGCTTTCTTCACATCGCATTCGCGAGATCCGAAAGTTTGTTTGGACTGAGAAGATGCCTTATCAGCGGATTCTTCTTCTTCGAAGACGATGAATGCGAAGTTCCTTCTCGCTTTCGTCTGCTTGTCGTACGGCCATTCGATATCGTCGACCTTTCCGAACTGTTCGAAATGTGAGCGAAGGTCAGTCTCGCTGAAGTCTGATGGTAGTCCTCCAACGAATACCTTCTTGTTTTCCCTCGACTTGGCAGGCTTGACTTCAACCTATAACAAATTTCACATCAACGGTCAATAATAATATAAAAACTAGGTTCATGGTTCCTTGTGATGAATTTTCCATAAAATCACGTCCTTGCCGCGTTCGACGCTAACTTGACGCGCGCTGAGAGAATCTGCCGCATTTGGCTGCGATTCGGCTCTTGCTTTTGAACAATAAAAACTGTTTTGCTTAGCGCGTCAAATCAGCTTTGAACGCGGCATTCAACTTTTTCGTTTCCCCTCCATGAATTTAGCATGACAAAGTAAAAAAATAAAAATATTTTTAAAAAGAATGAGGGAAAAAAAGGTATATAAACTCTGAAGAGAAACGAAGAATATCAAATGAAGTTTTAGTTTTTCTAAATTAAACCTGCTAAATTTGATGTTGGTGTATCAAATAACGTTCCAGATGAAAAAAATTATTTTAATGTCGTGTTAAAAAGCGTATTCCGGGAAATGCAAAACTATCTCTGAATTTAAAAAAATTTAGACGTCTTTTTTTATTTATCGGCTATTTGGGATTTCGCGGAATCACTTTAAACAGGGCATTAATTTTTCTTATGTTCCTATTGAAATTTTTGAAATGAATGAAAAAAGAAATCATAAAAATAGGTTCTACTTCTAACCGTCTCTTCAAAATAAATTTTTTTGAGGACGATAATTATCGAAATGGCGTGTTCAGCTGACAAAAAGAAAGTTTTTCCGAAACGCAAAAAGTTGCTCCATAATAAAAAATTAGTACTGTTTTGGAGCAACTTTGGTGCGCCAATAAACATGCTTTTGTTTTTTGAAATATTTTCCCTTTCTCCAATGAACACGCCAAAAGAAAAGATAGAAAAGTTGAAAAAAGGGTGTTTAACGCAATTACATAATTCAAACACACAGAGTCCAAATTTAGAAAAGGATAGAGCCATTTTATTTTTGGTATTATTCTTCTCGACTTTTTTTTTGGCAATAAAGTTCTCACAAACGCAGTTACCTTTTTATGTACAATCTGGTTTAAGTAAGTAAAAAAAATTTGAAAAAAAAAGAAAAAAAGGAGATCAAATAAATACTTACAGCTTTGTTCTTGATGCTTTGTTCGCGAGCTCCGAGAGCGGCTTTGCAGCCTTCGCCAGTAGCAAACTCCACGAAAGCGAATCCTCTTGATCTTCCAGAAACTCGATCGTATTTGACCTGGGCCTGGGAAACTTCGCCGAATTGGGCGAAGTGTGAGCTCAAATCTTCATTCGTGACGTCGTACGCGATTCCTCCGACAAAGATCTTCCTGCAAAGTTTGATTTCAAAGATAATATAAATTTTTAGAGAACTCACTTGTCCTCGTTTCCCTTAGTCGAGTGTCCATTTTCTTTAATAGTCTCATCGACATTACCGTTAATCTTGTTATCTTGAGCGTCCATTACTACCGTTCTGCGAAAAAAGAAATTGAAGTTTTCTCATTGAAAAGAAAACTCACTTTTACTTAAGAAAAACTGCACCAAGAGAAGACGTTACAAAAAAGGAAATAAAAAAGCCGGGAAAGAGAAAATAGTCTTAAGACTATCTAGAAAAATACCCTGAAAAAAATTTGAATTAGTCAGAGTTTATATAAACGCAGGAATTTTTAATTAATAAAAAAAGCGAGGTGAAGGCCTACAAATAAAAAAATTTTTTTCGAAGCGAAAGTTGAAAAAAATTTTTTTCTGGTTAAAAAAATATTCTAAAAAAATCTGAACCATTGTACGGGTTAACTATATATTTATATTTATCTATTTATAATAAAGGAAATACGGTAAAATTTAAAATAAAACTTCAAGCGTTGGTGTCCTACGGTGTTGCGCGGCGTCACTCAAGGTGTTCGTGCCGGGACCAATTTTTGCGCGCCAACGAATTGGCCGCTTTTCCCTTGTAATTCCTCTGTTTTGTGACATAAAACAGGTGTTTTTATTTTGGGAATTTATTCTGATGGGGAGGTTACAGCAGAACCTATAAAAAAATCTACATTTGAATGATAGTCTCATCAAAATTTTTGAATAAAAACTTCAAATTTGAAGGACAAAACGGAAAAACTTCTAAAAAAAAAGACCTTGTAAGGTCCCACAAAAGATCTTTTTCAAAAAGGACCTTGTAAGAGTCACAAAAGTTCTTTTACAAGCTACAACTACAAGCTGAGCTATGATCTTTTGAAGATTAGTCAAATGTTGAAAATTGAGTTTTTTGAAATTTCGACATATAAATCTAAGGTTCTTCAGGGAACCAAGGCATTAATATTATCAAGTATTAAATTTCAAGTGATTTGGTGCCAAATACTCGAAGTTTAGTAACCTACAAGCTGAGCTATGATCTTTTGAAGGTTAGTCAACTGTCGAAAAATGGGAGTTTTTTGAAATTTTGGACAATTGAATCTATTTTCCTTAAGATAACGTTGTACAACTAAGGCTCTAATATTCTCAAGCATTCCATTTCGAAGCATTTGGTACTGAACTTTCGAGTTTTGGTAACCTGCGACTAAGTTTGGATTTCTCTAAGTCTTTGAAATCTCGTAAAAAGTGGATCTTTGAAACTTTGACAATTTTTTTGCATGTTATTATAATTGATAGGAAAAATTTTAGAAGTCAAAAGATTGCAGCAAACCGAGTGGTTCAAGGTGCCTCCAGAGCCGGCCTCATTTGGTCTAGTAGTAGAAGTAGCACATCAATTCACTCGAATGACCCAAGAGGTCCTAAAACACAATGAAACCTGTTTGAAATCACTACCTAACTTTTTTTGAAGCCTTGAATATAAGCAGTCGCTTTTCTCTTTTTGAGTGAATTCACTTTTTTGATCATAAAACTAGACAGATTTTTTTTTAATGAGTTGTAACTGGATTAAATCATTATCGTTGACGGCTACCCGAATTTTTGAGAGGATTGAAAACTTTAAAAAATGAACACGGGCAACTGAAGACCTCTCGCAGAGCTATGGAAGAGATCACCACCTCCTTTCACACGAAACTATTCCGGAAAAATTGCAGAGCAATGGAAAATCTCAAAGACCATCCTTATTCCAAAGAAAGCCCATCTGACTGACCTGAACAACTTAAAAATCTCCCTGCTCTCAGTGGTCTACAAGATTTTCTCCTCGGGTTAAAATTGGGAAGATCTGCTTTCGGTTCCTCGGAAGGCGTTTAGAAGCTTCCCAGCAAGTGTTCGAACGCCTTTCACATAGCTTCCTGACACTTCTACGTAGAAAAAAAGCCTGGTGATCGCTTCTGGCAAGAATTATCCATTTTCACCTTTCAAATACCTTCTATCTACCTTCCAATACCTTCCCAGGATTCACCTGAGTCCAAAGACATTCTAAATCGCCTGGAGGACTTCGAACCGCCGTCGCAAGCAGGCTTCAGGAAAATCTTCGGAAGCATGGACCACATCCTCAACATCCCCCAACTGGTCGAGAAACATCGCGAATACCATCTCCCGCCCTGCAAAGCCTTCGCCGATTACTTTAAAGCTTTCGACAGTGTAGAAAACGGTCCTCAACGCTCTGATGGCCGCTGGCATCTCCACCGCCTACACCGATTTTTTTCTCAGAAAAACCTGAATAAATTTGTCAAAAAAAGAATAAATAACTTTTTATAACTTTCAATCGCAAAAGTTACTTAAAAAAACCGATAAATTTTTTTCTGATTCCAATGGGTCGTCACGTGTAAATTTGAATAATTTCATTGATCTTTTTCCAGTCAAACTTTAATTCCTAAACATCAAAGTCTGAAAAAAATATGTTTTTTTCTTCCTAAATTCTCAGCGAAAAAAATTTCTTGAAAAATTAAGAAAGTTCAAAGGTTATCTCGATCCCAAAACTTAACTGATTTTTCTTCTGAATTTTTCATAAATTGACTGACTTTTTGTTTTTGAATTATCAGGATTTAACCGTTTTTGTTCTGAATTTTTGTGAAATATTCGATCGAACTTCAAAAAACGAGTTTTTTTCAACGTTCTGTAGGCCTGGAGAGATGGTTCCAATGCATAGGAAATCCGAATTTCTTTTTTTTTCAGAATAAATGAAAGTCTGGTCAAACTTCAGTTTCAATTAATTCAAAGGGTGGAATAAAATAATTTTTATCATAAATTTTCCACTTACCATTAGTTTCCCACATTTCGTTCAAATATCCTTTCAATTCAGAACCGTAAATAAATATTTTTCTAAAAAATAAAATTGGGTGTTCCTTTAAATAGTGACTTTCAGGAAAAAAAGTCCAGCAGTACCTAAAAAGAGCCTTTAAAATCCCAGGCTTATTTTCTTGACCTTATTTTTTTAAAAAGGACATTTTTAGAAGAACAAAAGGTGAAAAAAAAGATTCGGAGAAACTCTTAACACCCTAGGAGCAAAAAAAGGAGCTGTAGGTTGTTTTTTTTTTGTTTTTGCCCGTGGCAGCGTTGTTCATTTTAACCTTGAGCTTAACAATCGGTTTGAAAAAAAGAAGTGAAACTTTAAACGGCTTGATATTGATAAAAGCGGCTCGTAATTGAAAAAGTGCGGCTTGAAATTGATGACTTTTCAAAAAAAAAGTCCCAGAGGTCTGAAATTCAAACTTTTCAAAGGAGGTACAGTAAAAGATCTTTGCTCTTGCGAGCTAAAATCCTTTGCTGGAAGAAACTTCATTTAAATGCGGTACGCGGAACAAGGATTGAAAGTCAGAATATTCATTGAACATGGCCGAAATAGCAAAGTTAAAATGGTAGATGAGAGAAAGAGGACGGCAGCGCGTCCGCGGCCGGATGGATCTTGTCTTTGGCTCCGTGTCGCTTGGTTTTATAGGCGCTGGACGGCGACGTCTGAAAGCTTTACAGTTAGAACGTTCGAAATAACTGCGTAGGAGGTGGTAAGAGATTGTACAGAAGCGGAGGCTCAGAGAGGAGCCTTCGCTCGGGGCTTTTACCGGTCGCGTCTGGTGATGCGGCGCGCGGTATTGAAAGGCTTTTAGCGTGGGTGCTGATGACGCTTTGATAAGGAGCCGATTTCAACGAAATCGAAGTTGTTTCTTTGATCGGTCAAGATCAAGAGATTATTCCCTACAGTACTGACAGGAACTCCAAACTGCCATTTTTTAAGCCATTTATTCAATAAAATGCCTCGTATTTTGATGGAGGCGACAAAATTCGGTCGGATTCCATCAGAAAAAGTTGGAAATTCCTGAAAAATGTTATATTTGAAATGTAAAAAGATAACCATGAAGCCTGAACTCACAACGGAAAACCTTTGAAAAAGTCCCAAAAAAAGAAATTTAAAAAAAGTCGTATGAGTTTTGTAAGCTCAAAAAAATCATGTTTATCGAAATTAAGAATGATTATTTGATCTCGACGAAATAAAGAATGTTCCGGAAAGCAAAAAAATGGGTGTAAATTGTGTCCCAAAAGAACTATTTTGAAGGAACTTCGGGCCAAAGTTGCTTCAAAATAGTATTTTTTTAAAGGGAAAAATTCAAGTTTTTTTCAATTCCTCGCATGTTTTTTTAAACTTTGTAATTTTTTTCCGCCACTATTACTAAATGGAGGAATTTTACAAGCCCCCAAACTTTTTCTAAACCGTTTCCGTTTGCTTTGGAACAGGTTGGTAAGCTCGTTAAACGGTTTTCTCGGGACCAAGTCGGCTGGACGCCTCTACGAAACCGGCAATTAGCATCGTGTGTGGCCGCCATTTGTCGGCAAGTTTGCTGGAAAAGAAGGCCGCCGACCACCCATTGGGCTTTTGTCCAAGAAGTGTGGCGATTTCCTATTCAGGCGGTGGCGCAACAGTTCACTGGGCCACCAAAACACCTGCGCCAACGATTCCGGAGAGACTTGGCTTGTTTTGAATTCGCTTGTTTGTGGGAGAAGCTTTGAAGGAAGTACTTCAGAAATAAAATTCCAAAAAAGGTTAAATCTCGAGTTTTTGGGCTACCTAACGAGGGAACTTTCAAACCCCGGTTGAACTTTTAATGAAACTTTGCTGAATTTTACTTTAGGAGCTCCTGGTTCGAGAACAAGAAAACATTTCTCGGAAAGAATCTTGTTTTCGAGTTATAAAGCGTTAAGCTTGCAAAATATTCTAATCATGCCAAAAAAAAGCGCCATTTCAAGCTTATAAAACGGCCCTAGTGAGTTCAAATTGAAATTTTTGCCGCGTCAATTTTTAAAAAGTCAGTTTTCACGGTTTAATATATAATTTTTCATAGATGAAACTGGCTTTTTGAGAAATACATGTTTGCCCTCGTAAAAAAAAATAAGCATGAAAAAATTTTTCGAAACCTCACGATCTATCCGCCATTCGGAAACGAGCTCAACCGAAGAAATATCAATTTCGAACAACCATAATCTCTTTCGCAGATCTCCTCTATAGATTTACATCAAAAAGTCAGGATCAGCTCAAAAAAAAAACTGCTCCTAGTGAATCGACTCTGATTCAGAAGCCTCACTGGGAGCCGAGAAAAGTCCCTCATGAGTAGAAATTCTCAAGTAAACCAAGACTTCCTATCATATTTCATCTGGTACCTCCACCGAAAAAAGGCTTCGAGTAGCTCTTCCGTACAAGGCAAAAACAAAGAAATGGAGAAGCGCCGACAGTGTTTATACACCGGCGCGACTCTTTATTGTCTCCGACCGAAACGCCATCTGTCGGAAAAGTAGACGTCGCGCATGCCGACGTACTGACACCGGATACGTCAATGGAGACGGGAAAAAGGAACACCAACGGCCGGGGCTAGCCTTGTTTGTCCGGCTAATCACGCGGAGACGTCGGCAAAACCAAAAAGAGCTGTTTGAGTGACGTCAGCCGATGCGCAATCAAATTAACGGCTCCCGACGTTACTGTTGCGCGGCTGCACCGTTTGCAGAACTGATATTGGCGGTCTCCTTTTTCCTTTAGTCTGGTAAACTCTTAAATGATCCCTTGAGCCGACTTGGAAAACTAAAACTGGTCTAAAAAAACGTTTTTGTCGATAAAAGTAACGAAAGTTACAATTACACATTTTTTTTCTTACTGTACGCAGGCTGACTGTATACACAGCGACGAGATTGCTAGAAACTCGATTTACTAAATTTTTGACGAGAAAATTTTACGTTTTTAAAACACTTTTCTTTCATTTCAATGTTCTAAATCGACGACTACAAAACAAAAGACGTGTTATAATTCCAAGTTCTTACCCGATTTGCTTTCGGTTGCCCCTTTTTGTTTTTTTAGAATGATTATTAATATTTTTTTGATGTTTTTAATACTATTTTTAGTTATTAATAAAGAATTTCCATGTTATAGACTATCAGAAAAGTAGCACTTTTTGTTGTTTCTGAAAGGCTTTTTACTATGTTCCGGAAGTTCCCCATTGATATCATAGTTTTAGTCCCGAAAAAATTTTAGCTGTTGCTTTAGCTAGGGCGGTACCAAAAAAGGGCCATACTCGAGACGGGAGCTTTCACCTGTTGAGCATTTCAGGTCGAGTGTGCTCTTCACTTGGCTTGGCTCTTTTTTTCCGCAACCGCTGGCAGATGTGCACCGAATTCCCACGTCGGGATTAACAACGGATAGAAAGACTGTCGGTTTTTTGTTTCTCTAATAGGTTAGCGACTTTGACCGTCATTCTCTATACATAACCTTTTTTTCTTTCTTTTTTTTGGATGTATAGTTACATTTTTCGTCGCATTAGTTATAGAGTCATTTCAAAAACCATTGTTGGGTTGTTTAAAGAAGCATAGGAAGTTCTCAAGGTAAAAAGACCTAAAATAATGCTAAAAATTGCTCTTCTACTCAAGACATTTTTTGAACCCCATCTATGCGCCTTTAAACAACCTAGAGACTTTACGAGAAAAATTATTCATAGGAGTGAATAACTTGGGGAAAAAATCAGAAGAACTTTTCTAAAAAAATTACTTCTATCCCCCTCGCCCCCTCCAAAAATTTTTCCAATCCTCTCTAACCAATTCGGTACTGTAAAAAAAGGCGAATAATGCGGGAAAATGGAGCGTCCGAAATTGGCGGTGTATATGCCTCTCTATTCTACCTTTTTTTTTCTTTCTTCTATGCCGGCTGGCGGCAAAATTGGAAGGCCGTTTCGCGGTGCGCCCCGAAACTAATAGGGGCCTTTCGGCCTGTTTAATTACCGTACAACTGGCGGCTACTGTAGTTTCTCACCGAAACCTGCAATTTGCTGGCTGTAAGGCCCATTTTCGCGCACAACTTTTTGCTCTTTTCTGTTTTTATAGGTAATTTGAGTTTCGGACTTGTGATCGCTTTATGTTAGGATCATTCGAAAAGATGAATTATTTTTTTCCACTTTGAAGCGTCTCTAATTTCAACAACTTGTTCTTTTTCTGGCTATATCTTCTAGGAGCTTTTTTTGAATAAGATCTGATTTCAGAAATTCCAGAGCGAAAAAAAAAAAAATGAAATCTCATTTTTTCCTTTTCAGTCATGATAAGAGGACTTTCATTCTTTCATTTGAAGCTTTCGCCAGTTTATTTAGAGGTTCAATAACTTCGAGAAAAAGCCTTGAATGGAGAAGTTCTTTAATTACTGAATAGCCCCCCCCAAAAAAAAATGGATTTTTGAATTATCATTTTTTTCGAACAAATACTTATCAAAAACTAAATCAAAAAGCCGGATGAACTGTCCATTTTGTTTTTTTAGGCCTATATAAGCTATATATTCCAGGAACTATGGAATTTTGCAAGTTGAGGCTTTCAAGATCTCCACCAGTTAATGTCTATTGGAATTTTTATCTCACTTTTATTTTAATTTTTCACATAGTTCCACTCCTTCCCTTGAAGGCAGCTGGTAACGTCGAGTCACTCGGTGGGCGAGATTGCCGTTGACAAATGCGTATCTTCTCTCTCTGTCTCGGCGGGTGACCGAATGCTAATATTCTCGGCGGATTGCACAACGGCGTCTCAACTGACAAATGCCCATCAACCTCTCGTTGGGCCTCTCCAAAAACGGATCTCATAACCGATGGTTTCCTTCGTGAAAATAGGTAGCTTCCAGATTCTGGAATTTTCTGATAAGCAGGTCTTCCACTCTGAATTTTATAAAAAAAAAATTGAGTGAAATCATTTTTAATGTACCTCGTGAAGACCCTGGAAGTACTGAGCCTCCAAATTTCTTGGATTTTGGAAAACCTGGTCCCAAAATTAATAACCTTTTATTCGGCTTTCTGGTGGTTTTTTTCAATTTTCAAAAGGATCTGTTGGAAAATTAATGAACACTGAAGATTTTTTAAACAATTCAACTTCTCAAACTTTAAAAAATCACTCTAAAGCCCTGAAGTCAATGGTTTTCATGAGACCATTTGAACCTGAAAAATATTTTCCACACCTAATTTTTATATATAGATCAAATCCAATTTCAGTTTTCGAAAGTAAAGGAGGTCCTTGAGCTAAAATTTACCTCTCAAACTTCAAAAAAGTAGTCTGAAGTCTTGAAGTTGCCCCTCCAGTGGTTTTCATGAGACCATTTGAACCTGGAATATGTTTTCTACACCTAATTTTACTATACAGATCATCCCCAGCTCTGGTTTCCGAAACTGGAGGCTTCGGAGCCAAGTTTACCTGTCACACTTCAAAAAAATTAGTCTAAACAAGGAAAATTTGTGAGGAGGACTTCACAGACCTGGTCCAAACTTCTGTGGTAGGTAGTCCCAGGTACAAGTACTCAAAAATAAAAAGAAACACATACTAAACATCATAGGGTACTGAGAAATTGCCTGTCGAAAATGTACGGAAAAACTGATTTTTTTTTTATCGGTTTTTCGTTTTTTAAAACGTCTACTGTTATTCACTACATCATCAGGAACACGAAAAAGTAACTTTTTATACAAAAAAGCCAAAGATAATTCTTTTTTGAGATTCTAATGTACATTTTCGACATGCTATTTTTCAGTACCCTATGGCGGCTAGCAGATAATTTTTCTTTTTTTCGAATATTCATACCTGGGACTACCTACCACAGAAGTTTGAACCATATCTGCGATGTTCATCTCACACACTTCCCATGTAAAAGTCCCTCTTTTCCACACCCTTTCTCAAATCCATCTTCATCAATGATTCTCATCATTTCCTGCAAAAAAAGGTGCTAAATCTCGTCCTCGTCATCCTATGCAAATCCAGCTGACGGAATTCCGCAAGCTTCACGGTCTCACCGCGGGGTGTTGATTTGCCACCGAAACGATAAATCCGTCGAGAAAATGTGCAAAGACAATTGGCGCCCCATCGAGCAGCATGTAATTAACCCTCGTTACGGTATGACCGTGAAGACAAATGCAACTCAAGCTTAATCCGGCCCGCTGCTGTTCCTTGCATAACCGTATCCGGTCGTTTTCCGGTCCAAACTACTTGGAGATGTTTGCAAACACAGGTTGCACAATAACTGTGTAAACTTCACGGGGAGTAGGACCAAAAGGTCTCAAAGGCGCCTTTTTTCTGAACCTTTTTAGGAAATTTTGACACCTTCTTAGGAACTCAAAAAGGAGCTTCAGGCCCTTTTTAAGGCCTTTTTGAGGTCTTTTGGACTTTTCCTGTGAGCAAGGAAATTCAATAAATCGTGTTTTGCTTTTGAGATTTTTTTTTTCTAGCGACCATGAGAAACGGATTTTTTTGAATTCCAAGTCAAAATACTTCCCAAAAGAACTTTTCTACAAGGGTGAGAAAACCAAGGCGAGTGACCACAAAGATGGGAACCAACCATTTTTTGCCTCATTTTTTTCTGTTTCTCCTCAAACTTCTTCCTACAGATCTTTTGATGATTCGAAAAGTAAGAAAAGACATAGGCAAAGTCGGAAGGACCTTTCAAGAGTCATAAAGGCTGCTGGAAGGATCCATAGAAATATTCCTTTGAGGGTGAAAAAGGCTCCCTTTTTGCTGCCTTTTTTCTGCTTTTTTGATGCCTTTTCGCTGCCTTTCTGCGGCCTTTTTTGAGCCTCTCCCTTTTTGCGGCCATTATATACCAGTCCAACTTTGCCCGAGTGACTTAAAAAGCAAGAAAGACGTTAGATTTTACAAGTGAATTTTTGAAAAAAAGACGACCTTTCTGATTTCAAATTCACTTTTCTTTGAACTAAATGAGAAGTAGGAGATTTTTTTTTTCAGAAAAATGACCCTTTTTGAATATTCAAAAGTAAAAAACTTGAAAACAACCTTTTTTTTAATCAAAATTATTCTCAAAATGTATATGCCGTGTTCAAAGTAATTTCCGCGAAATGCAAAATGATCTCTGACTCTCCAAAATTTAGTGATCTTTTCCTTTCTCTAACGGGTATTTTGAATTTCGCGGAAATTACTTTGAACACGGCAATAGAAACTCTTCGTATTTTTTTCTGACAGTCTCCTGGAAAAAAATTACTTTTTTTTTATTTTTCTAGAAAATGTTTCCCAAAAGTTTTTTTCTCAACATGTTTCATACAGTCCCTACGGTTCTCAAGCTCCATAAATCGAAGAAAAAATCTATCGAGATTTTACAAAATGACCAGAAGACACAGACAATCCTGAATCGGATACGGTTTAACAATTATCAAGATTCCTTCTCAGACTACTAAAATCCTCTGAATGATTTATTTTTTGCTCTTCTTTTCCTCAATCTTTTTTTCATACAGTCCCTATATTTTTTTTCTTCCATAAATCAAGGAAAAATTTATAGTAAGAAATGGCGAAATGACTGGCAGAAGAAGACAAACTTTTTGTATTTTTTAAAAAATTTTTTTGCCTTTCTTCTCCTCCATTTTTTTTTCATACAGTCCCTCTATCTCCCCATCTCCATAAATCAGAAAAAAAGATACAGTAAGATCTGGCAAAATGACTGGCAGAAGAAGACGACGTCGTTGGATTTGACGCGGTTCATTGGTCACGACGAATATTGCGTCACGGCTACATGGGCTTTGTCTTGGGTGGAAAAAAGTAGGAAAGGCCCCGTTTCCGGTCACATGCCTTCACCTGCTGCTGTCCAGTCTGGTCCAATTACCTGAATCGGGGTTTACGGTGACTGACCACGGCAAAAACTTTGGAAGAGTGGAGAAGAGGTGCCGAAAGGGACAAGGGCAAAAGTGGTCGGCCGACACCTGTCCAATGACTTCCGCCACACACTCAGGTACTTGAGCAAGCAAGTCCTGTGGTGTGGTCTGTTGGTAGCGTCTACCTTTGATTAGAGTAGCTCGACTCTTTGAAAAGGTGCCTTTTGGTTTTCCGCGACCTAAAAAAACCCAAAATCTAAGAAAATCTTACTGTAACGCCTACTGCGCCTTTGAATTCTTATTAAGGGTTCTTTTAAGAAAAAAAAAATGAGGTGATATTCATTTGGTAACCTTTACCTGGAAGTCTTAAAAGCCTCTCGATTCTTTATCAAAAATCTCGCTTCTAAGCTCAAGATGGCTAAAATATAAGAAATTCAGACTGTAACGCCTACTGACGCCTTTAAACTCTTGTTAAGAGTCCTTTCGAGCCGAAAAAAAAAATCTCAGGATCAGATGAACCTACTCATTTGGTAACCTTCACCTCGGATTCTAAAGTGCCCTTCAATTTTCATTCGAAAATTTCCGTTTTCAGGCCCAAAACATAGGTGATTCAAACTAGATCTTTTCAAAATCTTGCTTATTTTTTCTTTGAGCGAGCGGAGTCCTTGAAAAGCCGACCATTATTGAAAACTATCCAAAATTTTCAATTGGTTCAATAAGTCTATTTTAAAGCTAAACTAGCTCAGATTTCAATTCAATTCAATAAATTTATTTTTCGCAACATCGGGATGGTATGGTGATGTTGCAGGAAGGGAAAAAGACCACTAGGTGGGTTAACTAACCCCACCCTGAAGAAAAAAAAGTTTTTCGTGCGAGAAAAGAAACATAGAACCATAATAAGTAGATATTTAAAACCAAGTTGATCATGGCACAAATCTGTGAACACTTGAAAGAATATGCTCGACGCCAACATTTTCTGCATACACTAAAAAAAATGTTCTTAGATTTTTTCTTGTCTTCCTCTGCCAATAATTCATGGTCAATGTCGTTTCAAACATTAGTAATGCGATGTGATAAGAAATTGAAGAAAACCAGTGAAGGTTTCGTTTTTATTAATTTACAACCATTTCCTCTGAGCTGACTGGGACTTGGATAATAATCTATAGAATTTTTTTACTTTAATTCTTCTCAAACTTGTAAATTTTCCAGAATCTTAGGTTCTGATGTGGTTGGTTCGATCTAGAATAATCTAGATTTGCCATTTCTCCTTTCATATTTTTTTTTGGAGATTTTCAAAATATCAGAGCGATAAAGTTTTCTCAGTGAAAGTATCCTTCAGAGTTCAACTCCAATTCAGACCTTCTTCCGATCTTTTTCTCAGATTTCAGAACACCATTGTTGCTTCGTATCGACTCCAAAAGTGGAGCCATATTTCACTTGGCAAAAGTCATCTTTGTGACTTTTCGAAGGCAAATTCGACAAATGGCGCTGGGCCTGACTCGACACGTGTTCCTTTTGTTTCTGCGTCCGTCCGGCGTCGTGATGAAATATCGAATGGCCCTCGTTGGGAAGACAAACGGAGGGCCAAGCACTGACAACGGTTTGGCGCATTTGCCAGAAGTTGAAGCTGAGAAATGGCTTTTTTGGGAGTTAAAAGTGAGAAATGGTTTGTCGAAGTTTGAAGCTAAAAAATGGGGCGTTCTAAAGTCGAAATGGAGAATGGGTAGTTCAGAAGATTAGGCTTTAATCTGAAGCTGAAAATCGTCTTTTTTAGATTTTTGGGGTGAAGAATGGCTCTTCTAGAAGTCTCCAGAGTTGCTCCGGAGTTTTAGAATTGGCAGGTTAGGTTAATGGAGCCTTTCAGAAACTGGTAGGGCACTTTGAAGTTGTTGTTCCTTCTTGGAACTTCAGAAAACTATGAAAAACTCGTCAAAATCATGATTTTGGCCTCGAAATTGGACTTTTTCTCGCCTAACGAAGCTTAGGAACGGTTTTTCTCAAAGTTACTGGACTTCAGGACTAATCTGAAGCTTCATACTTTACATATTAGGTCTTGAAGTGAAAGTGGGTTTTTTTGAAGCTGGCCGGTCTTCCACTTACGGTGGAGGTCATTTTACTTTGCGGCTGGGAATTTTCCGAAAATTGGTCAGGACCCTTCCTAAAGAACCAGAAGAAGAGTCTCAACCTGCACAACTTCCTAGCTTCCGAGAAATAAGGGCCCAAAGCCTCAAAATAGCCTATTTTTATGGATTTCGAGGGTTTCCTTTGACTTTGAGGCGTCTTTTCTCAAAAACTAGGAAGTTCTGCAGGTTGAGGCTTTCAGAGTCTTCTTCTGGTACATTAAGAAGCGTTCTGGCCAATTTTCAGGGAATTTCCAATCTTGTTAGTTCTTCAATTCGAACCTCCTTCTAGTGGAAGACTTCAAAAAGCTTGTCAAACTTGTGATCCAAACCCAAGTTATTCGCTCGCAGAATACAAAAGCTCCAAAGACTGTTTATCAAGAAAGAAAATGTGTGACCTTGACATTGGATCTGAATAAGCCAGATACACCTGGAAGCTCTCAAGTTTTCCAGATGCCTTCAAGTGTTGGGGGTCCTTTGTGTCCAAGGCGGCGGCACACGTGCTTCCTGTGGTGGGCTCCGTCGAGCCCTACATATGTACATACTTTCCAGCAGTCCACCACACGTGGCTGGTGCACATGTCGGCGAGCTCATCTGTGTCGCAGCTGCCCGTAAATTCCACTTGTCGGTTTTGCCGGTTTTTTACGCCGAGGCCAACGACGACGGCAAGAATCGCCTGACAGCCGGACCTCATCTGGCGGGAAGTGGAGGTTGAGTCAGCTCAAGAAGGAGAGGGTGTCAGACTTTCCGTCTTCATCCTGACGGCCAGAAGCTTGCTAAACTCCAACTTTTGAACACAGATTTCTCATCTGAAGTGCGAATAGAAGAATGAGCGGGTTGAGCTAAAAATTAGGTTCTAGGGGAGGCTGAGGTGTGAGACAGACTTGAAGTGTGAGTCAGCCTCTCTTAGGGTGCAAAAATCAAAGTTAAGAGAAAATGTAAACTTCTCCAGTTGACAAGGTGATATTGGTGTGAAACTTGGGATTTTCTTTTCCCATCAACTTTAAAGGTTCTAAATAGAGATTCTTCAAATTCGTGACCAGGTCAAAATTCCAGTTTTTGAGGATTTTGAAGCGTTTTTTGTCGTTTTTCAAAGCATCATTTATCATTAAAATAAGCTGGCTATGAACATTTTTCTTGAAAATAAGCCAAAACCCTCCTCGATTCACCAGAAAAAGAATCTGAAAGTCTCAACCTGCACAACTTTCTACTTTACGAGAATTAAGGCCCCAAAATAGTCAATCTCATTTTTCTTTTCTTGAATTTTCTTTGACTTTGAGGCGTCTTTTCTCAGAAACAAGGAAGTTTTGCAGGTTGAAACTTTCAGAATCGTCTTCTGGTACATCTAGGAGCGTTCTGGCCGATTTTCAGGGAAATCCCAATGTGAAATGACCTCCCTTATTAGCCTCGTTGGAGCTGTCTCCACGAGAAAAATTCCAATTCGGCAGTTTTTCAAAATTTTCTGAATTTCTGAGAACAGAATAGCAACCATTAACCTAGACTTCCTTGTAAAGGTTCAGAGAATTTTTGGGAAAATTTCCGAAAAAGTCCAAACTCCAGGAAACCCTGTAAGGTCTTTCCTTCAACCTTCAAGATATACTCTGCTTTCTTAAAAAAGGGAAAAGGCTGATTTGAACATCAAACAAGCCCGCGACACACGTCTCTTCTCCTTCTACGGACAAAAGTTGGCCCTTTGTGGCCCCAGGCGGCGGCCACCTGCGTCGAGTTCCCACGGACGACGCCGTCATGGGAAAGCCTTCCGAGAGATGTCCTTTTTTAGTGGGGCTGAGAATCGACGGACGGACGATGGATGGCATCGGCAGATAGACAGAAGACGTGCAGATAAGAGGGGTGAAGGCGAGGTGACGATCCCACGGCGGCCGGCGGAGAGGTCGATGATTATCAGCCTCCGACCGCATACAAATTAGGCTCTCAGGTTGTAAAAACCGTCTTACGAGCCGTTTTCTTGACTTTGCTGATAGGCATACGGTAACGGTCAGAACGAACTTGAGGCATTTTGAAGCAAGAAAGTTTCATTTTTTATTTTTTGAAGTCTTTAAATAACTCTACATGAACTTATATGAGTTAGAGAACCTTCTAGAGCAAATTTAAGGCATTTTTTTGCATTTTTTATTTTTTGAAGTCTCTAAATAACTCTACATGAACTTGTATGAGTTAGAGAACCTTCTAGAGCAAATTTGAGGCAATTTTTGAGCATTCTGAAGCAAAAGACCTAATTTTACAATTTTTAAAGCTCGAAATGATGATCTAAATCACTTTACAGAGACTTGTGTAAACTAGAAAACCTTCCAGAGCAAATTCCATATTTTTTTATTGAATTTCCATACAGAATAAGCTTATTTTTGAGCTCGAAATGATGCTCTGAATAGTTTTACAGGGACTTGTGTCGGCTAAGGAACCAAATTTCAGGAATTCTTCAATTTTCAATCAGAAAAAGCTCATTTTTGAGCTCGAAATAATGTTCTAGATGACTTAAAATGGACTTTTATGAGCAAGAGAACCTTCAAGAACGAAATTCAAGGAAATTTTGATTTTGAAACGGAATCAGATCAGTTTTTGAGCTCGAAATGATGCTCTGAAACTTCTCAGGAGGTTATAGAAGCTATAGACTTTCCAAACCGGATTTGAGTCATCTTTTATTCATTTTGAGAGAAATTATCTTCATTTTCAAATTTTTGAGCTCTAAATGGGTTGCCAGAAGCTTCTTTCATCTACAGAGCTTTCCACGACGAATTTGGTGCAATTTTTAGTTTCGAACAAAAAAAACTTTCATTTTTGGGCTTCAAATAATGCTCTGAATCTTGCAGTCACTGTTTTGAAGAACATTAGGTTGACTAGAGGCAGTTTTTAAACTGATTCCGAATCTGTACTCAAGAACTGTTGAAGAGGTCTATGAGGAAAGTTATGACAGCTTTAATTTGAAGAATAATATATAATTTTTGCGCATGAGTTTTTCGCATATGCTTCTATGATCGTTGGGAAACTTGTGAACTTTGCAAAATTAAAAATAATTTAACTCTAACCTGGGACTTGTCCCAATTAATCTAAAGCCACTAAAACTGAACGGATAGTTACAAATGGCATAATTAAGTGGAAAAAGTCCTCCCAAAGCCCCTGTAGATCTGAAGACGGTTGTCAGTATGGAATATGGTCTTCTTTTTCTTCCTTTTCTCGCCACAACCGCAGGCAATTGACGCCAATTCCGGCCAAATTAACTTTTGTCGTCGTTGGTTCGTCGCACAACCGAAAATCGTCATCATTCAAATAATTGCTCTTCTCCAGTCGCGTTTTGTTCCAGCTCTAATTAGCCAGCCATTTTCACCAATTTGTGACTTTTTTGGAAAGGTTTGAAGGTTGGAAAACGACGAAAGTTGGTCGGAAAATCTTTGTTTGAAGGAGTTTCTTATTTTTGTTGATATAAATGAAAATTTTTTCCAAATGTTGATAACTGATAAAGTCGTTGTAAATTTATAAATTTTGTACAGTTTTTTATGTGTTCCTATGTCCCGAAATGCCTCCAATCAGCGAAAATTCGTGAAAACTGTATTTACGCTCATTGAGCCGTAAAAAGGGACTTACCATTAAGAAAACATGGCCTCATTTGGAAGCTGAGACTATTCCCTGGTTAGAAGTTTTGAGATTTTCCAAGGTTTTTTTTTTTCAAACTTGTACCCAAAGTATTGATTCATCTTCTTTGAGTGAATGATTTCAAACGTTTTTCCGTCAAAATTTGACACAAAAATTATTCTTCAAGTTTTTCTATATAATATGAATAGGGACCGCAGGCCAATTTCCAAAGTCAGTGATATAAAGTTGAAACCTATATGAAAAGAAAGCTGATGGCAATCGAGAGCTAACTGCGAAAACAGAAAAGAAAAAAATATGAAAAAAATGAAAGAAGTTATAAGCAAAAAAAAGTGGCGAAATCGGGGGAACCATTTTTTTGTGTAGAAACTTTCGTCAGGGTCGCAGGAAAAGGGGCGTGTTTATAGATGCCGCGCGCTCCTTGCTGTGCGTTAATTCACGCAGGAGACGTTTCGAAAAACATATTTATTTGAGTTTTTTTAGAAGTTTTTAAATGAAATATTAGAGTTTTTCATATTGAATATTGCTCTTTTTCAATATGAGCCTACTCTTCAAGCACTCACGCTGCTGAAAAGCGAGTTTTGAAGGAGGTTTCAATGCATTTCGTGAAAAAAGAAAATAACCGACAAAATAGATCTCTGCGAAGTACGAACAGCATCAAACCGAATTGAAAATGTAACAGTCTACTAAGAAATTCACTGAAAAATATGTAAATAATCACCAAGTCCTTTTTCAGAGAGTTTTTTAATAAAAAAAAGGGCGAAAGCGTTTTTACTTTTGACTTTCTACTTCTTTTATTTTTCTCTAAAGTTCGTGCGTCTACATGGAGTGTACGTAGACAATTTTTTTAGAATTCTTTACTTGACATTCCGAAAAAGTTCAAAAAAAGTTGAGTAAAAGCGAAATTTAATACTTTTTTCTCGCTGCTATAATGGATATAATGATATAGGAAAAAAAGATTCCAATTATGAAATGAGTAAAAAGCAACTATAAAGCCACAATAAAACGAGAAAACTTGAATAGAATACATAAATAGTTTTAAAAAAAACCTTCTTCACGCTTTCGAAAAATTTCGTGGCCTTCGCGGTGTCTGCAGATTTCCAGCGACGCGCAGTTTTAAAAAATACTTTCGAGCGTTTAAATTAACCTTACTTTTCGGGCCATCCTAGGAATTTTTTTATTTTTTGATATGTTGTAGAGAAATGTCTAATCTTTGATATTATGAAATAAAAAAACTTGCCCAGAACGCTTTGGGCCGTTTTTCAAAGCGTTACAAAAAAACGGAAATTTTAAGCTTTCATATAAACTATATAATCGATGAAAAAAACTTAGTTTTCTATTTTTTTAAAATTTGCAAACAACTGCAAACAACCGTTTAAAAAAATATAATCAGTAATTATCGATTGCGTTTTTTTCGAAAATAGGGAATTTCGAAAATCGTGATTTTTCAAATTGCGTTATTTTTTTGAGGCCAACCATAGAATTTTTTTATTTTTTTGCCAGAATATGCGTTTTTTTAGTTGCTTTATGATATTTAAGAATAAAAAGTTGCCCAGAAACTTTCAAGAAAAAAAACAGGGATTTTTTTATCCGTTTTTCGGCCACAAATGCGTTTTTAAAAAAACTGTCGTCATACATTCTTATTTCTTATTTTTTTCAGTATTTTTCTTTTTATGTAGGATTGTTAAGCATAGCCGATTGTATGTTTCCCCCAATTTTTTCCCAAATCGGTACAAGAGAACTGTTTTAAAATATGAAAAAGAACCAAAATGCAACGAAAATGACGAAGTTTTTTGAACAGCGAAGTGGGCGTGGCTCTGCGGTCCCTAAATATGAACCTCTGACCTCGTCTTCGACTCTCCAAAAGTTAAACCGCCTTTTTCACTCTCTGACGGTTTTTTTTTGAATTTCGCGAAATTGGTTTGAGCGTCTGAAAGCCATCAAATTTGAACCATTCCTTTTTTTTCAAGTTCAATTAAAAGAAAGTCTCCGATTCCTACTAAAACTGATGCTTTTTGGAAGAAGATACCAATTGAATAAATTTTCGTTTCTCCAGAATCTCCTAAGAAAAAAAAATCTGGAGTTCTTGGAGTCGTTCTTCTACTTCTGAGAACCTCGTCAAGTTCAATTTTATTTCAAATTTTATTTCAGACAAGTAAGTTCTGCGCTTCCTCCTAGTCTCGATCCTTCAATGAAAAAAAGCTGCCAATCGAATTAAACTTAGAATCTCAAGAATTTCCGGGATAAATTTGAGTTCTAGATTCCCTTCTGGGAATCCAATACTGACCAATTTGAACCTCTTTTTTCTATTTTCCTTCAATTTCGAACAAGACGGGGTTTCCAGTTCCTTCTAGTTCAAATCACTGAAAGAAGCTACCAATTAAATCAAACTTGGGGCCTTCAAGACCCTCCAGGATGAACTGAAGTCCTCAGAACCGTTTTGGAAACCTAATTCTGATCAATTTGAACCTCTTTTTTCTACTTTCATTCAATTTCAAACAAGATAAGTTCCCCGATTCCTTCTAATCTCGATCCTTCAATGGAAGAAGCTACATAATGGATAAAACTTGGCTTTTTCAAGACCCTCCGGGATGAACTGAAGTCTTCAGAACCGTTTTGGATACCTAATTCTGACCCATTTCAACCTCTTTTTTCTATTTTCATTTCACTTCGAACAAGATAAGTTCTCCGATTCCTCCAAATCTCGATCCTTGACTGGAAGGAGATACCAATTAAACGATTAACCCCGATGAAAAACGGCCGGCGAAAACGGTAAGAAGTCTGTCTGTCTCTCCCCCTCTCGCTCTGAAGGAGGCTTAGGCCACGCCCATCGTTTTTCGCGCACACACCCCCCACCCATTGCCACTATGGTTCCGCCTTCTTATTCTATATCTCGAATCGTCCACTTGTTCTCTTCCAGTTGTTCGCCTTTCGTGTATTTTTTCGTGTCTTTTAATTATTATTTATTGTACGAGTATTTTCAGAAACCATGCAGCCGCAAGTGAAAATCGCACCCAAGAAGATTGGAGTTCAAGGGCCTTCGATGAAGAAGAAAGGTTGGTTTTTTTTTTGAATTTTGATCGTCATGATTTTTTTTTATATTTTGGAAAATAAGAAAATTGAATAGAATTTCCATTAAAGCTTTTTTTTGGCAATTTATTTGAATTACTAGTTGTTGATTGCCATTGGAGAACCTCCAATATTGAAAATCATGACTAAAAAAAATATTATTTTTTTAACATCTCCAAAATGACCACTTGAATTTTTTTGTCATCAATAATTTTTTTATCAGATTTCAGAGAGCAAAAAAATAATCGAAAAAAAGTTTTTTTGAGAAAAAAATATAAACGTTACTGAAACAGTATTATTAGGAGAAATTGACGCTTTTTTTGAAAAAAATAAAAAAATAGAGATAAGATGAAAAAAATGAAAAAAATGTTTCTAAGGGATCACTTCAGGGTTTTAACTGAACTGTTAGCTACATAATTTTTCATTTTTTTCTGTTTAAAAATTGACTAGAAACGTGAAATTCAGCCATTGGAACATTATAAAAAAAGCGTTATTTTTGAGAATTTTCAAAAATAGTGAATTTTTCCGACTTTAAAACTTCTGATAGTTTGAAAAAAGGTGATTATTCTGAACCTCGAAGTATTTTGCTTGATTTCAAGACTTTTTATAATTTAACCACGAAAAAAACTGGAGAAAGGAACATTCCTTGTAACCGAAAAAAAACGGAATAATTCTTATAAAGTGGATTTTTCTGATATTTATTGATTTGTGTATGATATTTAGTGTATTTAGTGCATTGACGCCACTAAAAGACATTACTGTATAATTTCCAGCCGCCAGTCCGCCAGCGATCTCGTTCAACGCCGAGGAACGGGCCGAGCTGCGGAAGCTCTCGGCGATGCTGCCACCGACACCCAGATCGTCAAGTTCCTCGGACCCGACGGAAATCGTCGTCCACGCCGCCAACTACATCCAACGCCTGGTGGCGACGGTCCACGCTCGCGTCAACACCGGATCTTTGCCCCGAGGTTCGTCCGCAATCACTGTTAAGTCTCCTACCGTATACTTATAAGTGGACCTTGGTTCGTATTGAACGAATGAGAGCGGCTTCGGTTGAGTGAGTGTGTCGAGGCCGCCGCCGCGGAATGTCAACACGTTCCGATCGGAGGCCCGCGCATTCGTTCCTTTCCAATAGTTTTTGGGAATCGATGTTTCGATTTATGCGTGTAGATTGATTGGAAACTGATCCCGTGTACGGGGAAATGCGCGTTTTGTAGAGCGTTAGAAGTTCGTAAGTGGTTTGATTTAGGAGCCCTCTAGTGAGTCCTTAAGATATTTTAGGTTTGAGTCAAATGAATAGGTACTATTTCGGTTCGTAAGTGACCACTATAGCGTTTTTTTCTCAAAAAGAAATGCAAATTTTTAAAACAAAACCCGAAAAATGCTGTTCTTACATTTTGATTCAAAAGATAAGGAAAATCCTTAAAAACGAGCACTTTAAACACTATAGTGACCCCTTGCGCGGCACAATTTGTGAGAAGAAGTTGTCCAAGGTCTCCTCTAGAGTCATCACTTGAGGGATTCCCTAAGAAAAAAATTTTTTTGCAAGCTATTTTTTTCTTAATGAGTTTTGATCATATAAACAACTTGATATATATTAAATATGCTGTCTTGAACCTATTAAAACCATTTTTTTCAATACATTTTAAACCAAAAAAATCTCCATTTTCAGAAGTACTAGCGACTTTGCCGCCGGCCTTCAGCCCCGCCGTGGTCAGCCGACCTTCCCGCCGACATCACAAAAAACGGCGATCGGTCGAGAAGAAGCGATGAATCGACTATTCTTCCAAAACCTTCCCGCTCTGGCTTTAATATATACTTCCCCACAACTGTGATTATTCTGTTACCATCCGGGTGTCAAATCTACTTAATAATTATTCTTTTTCACTCCGTAAATGAAGAATGTATAATTTTTGATGAAAGCAAAAAAAAAAGTTTTTGGCAAGGGAGGAGGATATAAATTCGGGAGCAACGCAACTGTTGGTCGTGCAGCTGCTCCTGCTCCAAATTGGAACACTTGGCCGACACATGCGCCCTTCTCATAACTTCACAACGTCCTGTAGGAGCCAGGCAAAAAAAACTGGGGAATTTTTGGGGCTTTTTTGAGATTTTGAAGTCGGAAGAAGACACTGGAAGCTCTGATAAGCTGGGAAAAGTCATGAAATTCTTCAAAAGGGAAAAGTTTCAGTTCTTGCCTTTTTTGAAAGATTTTCTGTCGTCTTTTTAGACAAAACTAAGCTCCAATCAGCTCTTAAAATCCAAAAATAACCACTCTACCAAAAAAAGACTTTTTAAATTAATACTATTGGATCAACTTTGGTTACTTACAAAATAAAATGAACTGGGGAAATTTTGGCGTTTTTTTTTCATTCGAGATAGCTTAAAAAAAGCCATAAATTTCTCTAAAAAAGTAAAAAAATTCAATGCTTGTCTTTTTTTAGGGTGTGTTTCCGTACAAAGCCCTAATTTGGCTAAAAACTAGCCATTGAAAATTCAAAAAAACTTAGAAAAAAAGTTCTAGAATGACTCTTGGAATAGGGAATTTTGTAAACTAAATCAATTTTTTTATCAAAATAACGGCTTCAAGATGGGAAAAAGGATTTGGAGAAAATTCCGCCTAAACTTTTTTTAACACTTTGTTCGAAAATCCAGGAATTTTTTTAAAGGAGCATGGGAATTTTATTAAGTTCTCCAGGCGAAAAAACTGATTCTTCTATCATTTTAAGCCTTTTACGCCCCTAGAAAAAAAAAATGATTTTTCTAAATTTTCTAAAAAAGGGATAAAATAAATTCCATGAACTAATTTCGCTTCGAGAATCATTTATTACTAGCAAAGTGTCCAAAATTCGGTTCCTAATGTGGTCACAAGCTGTTGACGACGTGCAAGGAAAGGTGTCTACAGGTGTGCGTTCAATTAGGGGAATTCCTGCCACCTGCTAAGGCCTTCCTTGCCTCAGGCAAAACGAGGCACGACACGAGCTCAAGGACAATAGGTTCTAAAAAAGGCAATAGAAAATGATCGGGATATATTTTGGGAAACTTTTTACGAGCTCCCGCCACCACAACTCATTATTATTATACGTTTTACGATGAAGATAGGCCGACTGGCCGGTTCCCACGGATGATCCTGCCGTTTGATAAAGGTCAAGGGTCGTGGGAGATACCCAATATTATTAAGTTTTATGAGCTGAAGCGGTTATAAAGTTGGAAATGTTAGCAACTGTTTAGAATGATAAACAAAACTCGGCAAATTTCGATATTGATTCAACAAAAAACCCTATAAGTTTCTAAAACCCCACTGAAAATCTTTGAAAATATCCTTTTTCAGTTTCCTTTTTAAAAAAATTTTGAAAAAAATGAATCTATTTTTGACTGAAAATTTGACGTCTTTTTCTGATTTATGTAGAAAGTTCTGTATAAAATATGTTGTGCTGAAAGTCTTGAATAAATTTTTTTAATAATAAAAATGTACATCATCGAAAATCTATGCTAAGTGTTCCATAAACCTTTTTCAAAAAAATTTAAAAATTATTACTTTATCATCCAAAATCCTTGATTCCTTCTCTAAAAATTCGTACGCCTTCTCAATTTTTTTGAAATGAAACTCTATTCGTAAAAAGCCATAAATCTTGGATTTTTTTAAAGGAGCATAGCCAAAAGTCTTAAATTTCTCAAGTCGAGAGATCTCTTTTTGGTTTCAGTTTAGGCCACGGCCAAACTTTAGCCTTTTAAGAACCATTAGATTTTTTTACAGCGCAAAAAAGTGTCGTCAAACGTCAAAAATGGTCAAGATTATTGAATTAATAGTATTTTTTCTGGTCTACGTCATCGAAAGTCAAACCCTCCCAATAAGCTAAAAAAAATTAATTTTTTCAGAAATTTATTTGGAATTTTTCAAGATCTCCTCCAAGAGTCAGGGCTTCCCAATGAATCGATAAACTTAAGAAAAGCTAAACTTTGAAAATTCTCTCAAGCTTCCAATCTTCTCCAGTAGTCAAAAACAGAGCAGGTAGTCTCGGAAAAAAAGCCAAATTTTTTTGAAACCCTCTCGAATATACTCAAAATCTTCCAGATCTCCTCCAAAAGTCACGGCTTCCCACTGAGCCATTCATCCCCAAAAAGCCAAAAGAATCGTCTTTGATTGCAGGTCGATGAGCCCCCTTTTGTTTGCAAATGAATGGGAGAGGCCAAGGTATATAACTTATATTCCAAGTGTTGCGCAACGGGGCAGTTAATCGCCGGCCACTAAATGCTACGTGTTGCTCAGGGTCAGTCGAAAAAAGGAAGAATTCAAACAAAAAAAGGCGGAAAAGTTCAGCCGTGTCATCATAAATGGCAACTTTTACGAGGAGCCGTTAAGTCGGAAATTGTCCACCTGTTGCCGATTTCGCCTCGCAAAACCGCCTATTTTTAACTCCTATCTTTTGATCGCCCAGCCTCACAACTTGACAGTTTGAATTTGAATTCGAAACGCAGATTTTGTTGAATTTTCAAGGCTAGAAGTTGCTTTCTGTAAGTTGTAAGTTGGAAAAAAAAAATGAAAATGTTAAAAAATTTTTTAGGCATACGATTCTTGAATTATTGCGGGAAAGGCTCTTTTTTTTTGATAATTTTTTTATGGATTGGTCTATGAAAAAAACCTAGCATGGATTTTCGAAAGTCCCCAACACAAGAATGAAATTCACAAGTTACGAAAATAATTTAATTATTTTTTTATAAAATTAAAATAAAGGGGCGGCATAGCTCAGCTGGCATAACTCATTTCTAACGTCCGCGAGGTCGTAGGTTCGAGTCCCCCCGAGGTCGACCAAGTCTTTCATCCCTCCGGGGTAGATAAAATTGGGAGCTGCATGCAGCGAAAAGGCTCAATCTCTGCCATCGGCCTTTGGAAAGCCGGCACCGTACTTCTTCCTACGACCTCTCTTGTACCTGATGTTCTACGAGCGAAATTCACAACTTCTCTGCCTAAGCCACAGCTCCTGCCGCCGTTTAAACACAGTTAAATCAATGAAAGTCGATTGCACATGTACTTTTACATTGAAGATGCAATAAACAGTTTTTTTTTTTTTAAAAAATAAAGGAGCTCTCTTTTGATTTGTCCTGAAGTATCAACTTTCGCGTTACAAAACCAATACTTTGAACGTGATCGAAATTTGACAATGGATTTAAAATTAATTTCCTAAAACTTTGAAAAATCCTAGAGACCTCATTTTGCCGAAATTATCACTGGAAAGGCTCTTCTACTCGAAACCTGCATCATTAAAAAAACTTTTTTTGAATAAATTATAAAAACAAGAGAGAAACGAAAAAAATCTGGAAATTGCTAAAAAAAATTTTTTTAATTCTAAAAATAAGTGTAAAACTCGCGTCAAATTGCTACAAAACTTTGCAAATTTTTTTAGTTTCAGTAATTTTTGAGGCTTTCCCCGTTCCACAATTGAATACGCCACTCGGAATGAAATGAAAAAAATAAATAAATAAAATGGAAAAAAATAAAATGTGAAATCAATTTTAACTTGCGCGTGATTTCAAGAGTATAATGTGATGATGGGATGTCTGCGGACCTCACACCAACAGTATGTTTCAAAATGGAGCTTATCTTGTTCTTTTTTCGAATTTGAAAATTTCGCATTTAAAGCAATCAAATGCGTGATTCAAAGGGCAAACAGTGACGTCTTGAGAACTGTTTTGTGTGGACAGCTGGCTGGGCTAATCACCACGCACGATCTGTTACTTTCCTCGTCCAACTCTTTTTTTTTTCTTCTTCTTGACTGCGATCTAATTTTTTTTTTCTTCTTCTCGTCGTTGGGGAAGAATCTGATGGGGGAACGTCCGTAATTTATGTGAGGTGGCCTTGCTGAAATGAATATCTCAAGCGTTCGTCACTCAAAGTCTTCTCTCGTCGGCAACCAGTTTGCGGTCGGATTCCCTGAACAACTTCGGTTTTGAATGGAAAAAGTATCGATTCGTTATGGCCAATAAAATCGTTGAGGGTGTGGGAGCCGAGGGGAAAGGGAAGATCTTGAAAATTATGTCGGCAGGAGCTCTTTGAACTGTCATTCAAGACGCATATCTAAGGTACCTTGGAAAATTGCTCTGCATTCCTAACGCAATTTTGAGATGCGGACCATCTTTTGAGATAATTATCCGGTTAATATGCCTGTCAGGAAACGGAAGATGTTATATTTCAACGCAAATAACGAAAATTGAAAAAAAAAACTGACTTTGAAACATCAAGAAAGGACAATTTGATGGTTTTCAATTTAATTCTCGGACTTTTTGTGAGCCAAAAATGACCTAGAATGACTCATATCAGTAGAAATTTTATATCGAAGTCCAATTTTCTTGCTTCTCAAGGGCGTTTCCCATTGAATATTTCAATCAAAAATTCCCAAGTTAGGGAAAACCTTCAAAAGAAGGAAATTACTCGAAGACGATCAAGGTGTGCAGTCAAACGGTTGGTCGTTTTCCCATGACCACCCGCTGGTCGGACGAGTTCCGCGTGTGAAACAGCACTACCGTAAACCTTGGAGTTTCTAGAAGGCTTTGGAATATTAAGAAAAAAGGCAAACGTCGGGAATTAATTCAAAAAAAGGAGGCAATATCTGGAGTCACCAAAGAAAACTTCAAGAGTAGCCATACTCAGGAATATCGAAAAAGGAAGCTCCTGGGAAAAGGAACTTTCTAATAAACAGAAATAACCTTCTAGGAACTCTTGGATGACTTCGTGAGGCTTACCAAGCAGTTCGGGCTTCACAATATTCAAATCAAACTCTGAAAAGAAAATCTTAGAACTGACAGAGTTCAAGAAGCTGCTCTTCTGACTTCAGCCGAAGACTTGCTCCTCCAGACCTCAAAATCTTTAAGAAGACTTTGTTATTCTGACCTCAGCTCTTCTTGACCTTCTCAGAAGAATACTTCCAACAAACTTGCTTCTCCAGACTCGTACCTTCAGATCTCTCGATCCTCAAGAAGAGGGACCAAGTCTGACCGTAGTTCTTCTAGACCTTCTGAAGAGGAGACTCCAACTGATGACTTGCTCCTCCAGACTTCTCGATCTTCAAGAAGACTTGTTTCTTCTGACCTCAGCTCTTCTGGACCTCCCAAAAAGAAGAATTCCAGCAAAGACTTACACCTCCAGACCTCTTAACCTACAAGAAGACTGTCCACTGCTGCCCTCAGTTCTTCTAAACCTCACAAAAATAAGTCTTCCATTGAAGGCATGCTTCCCCAGATCTGAGCTGTACTAGACATACCAAAAAGAAGACTCCAGATTTGCTCCTCCAGACTTCTCGATCTTCAAGAAGACCTGTTTCTTCTGAGCTCAGTTCTTCTAGACCTACCAAAAAGAAGGCTCCAGTGGAGACTTGCTCCTCCAGATCTTTCAATTTTCGAGTTTCGAATCCTCTCACTTTAGTTCATCTACACCCTCCAAAAAAAAAGACTTCCAACAAAAACTTACACCTCCAGACCTTTCAAAGACCTTTTGTACAAGAAGACTGACCACTGCTGCCCTCAGCTCTTCTAAACCTACCAAAAATAAGACTCCAGATGAAGACTTGCTCCTCCAGACCGCTCAATCTTCAAGAAGACATGCTGCTCTCAACACCGGACGTCATCGGCACGCAGCAAAGGCGCGCGCGCTTGTCGTGTATGCCCAGCCGCGGCAACAAAAGAAGGGGAGATTCGCGTCGACATAAAATATGAGAACGAGGAGGAGAGCTCCTTTTGGCACGGGCGGAACCGCTAACCCAAACACCGCAGCTGGCAGCCAGGTGGCTGTTGATGTAACCGCGGCTCGAGCCGTCGCCGACACAATTGCAGCCTTTTTACCTGAGGACATATTGGCTCCGGCGGCTAATTGGTCCGCTTTCCGGATGATTATTGGATCAGCAAAGCGTCTGGAAGATCCTATGACTCAATATAGTTGATTCAAGACTATTATTTTGGTTGAAGGAGCATAGAAAAGTTTGAAAAATGTCTTGAAGCTAAGAACTATCATATTTTTTTTCTCTGAAAGGTCTGGAAACTTCTAAGGCTTAATAAAGTTGGTTCACAGCTGAACGTTTTGGTTAAAGGAGCATGGAAAAGTTTGAAAAAAAGGTCTTGAGAAAAATAAATATTTTTAATGTAATTTGTGATCTTCTAACATTTTAAAGGGTCTGGAAGATCTTATGAATCAATGATTTTGATTGACAGCCAAATTTTTTGGTTAAAGGAGCATGGAAGAGTTTGAAAAAGGTCTCGAGACGAAGAAATGTTCTAGGCGTAATTTGTGACCTTCTAGCGTTTTAAAGGATCTGGAGAATTCCATAATTGAATATTGTTGGTTCAACGCTCAAAAATTTTTGTTAAAGGAGCATGAACAAATTCAAAAAAAGGTCTCGAGACGAAGAAATTTTCAAATGTATTTTTCCCCTTCTATCCCTTTGAAGAGTCTCCTTTGAAGAGTCTCGCTGATGGGAATTAGCTTCAGATTTAAAATAAATAACTTCAGACCTTAGTTAATTATTTAATCCCTAATTTAAAGCCCCCCAGAGTAGAAGCTTTGATCAGAATCAGAACTTTTCGAGCTTCCTATAGCTCGAAGAAGGCTTCACGAAAAAGTTCCAACCCTGAAAAGGGCAAAGTTTGTTGAAAAATGACCTCAAAACGGGGCAGAATAGGTAATTTATCTTGAGTAGGGTCCGACGTTTATACAAATCGCTGACAGTTTGCGTAAACTGGCCTGAGAGACCTGCAATTTGGGTTCGTATTTCAAAACAGCAGGTAATTTCGGACCAAAGTTTTATGTATTGAATTTGGAAAAGTCGAAAAAACCGTATTTCTGAAAAACGTGCATAAGGATGGAAAAAAGACCCTATAGAAATGTTCCTTTTAGGGGGAGAAAGGTTCCTTTTTACTGTCTTTTTGCAGCCATTCTACGGCCTTATTGCGGCCTTTTTGAGCCTCTCCCTTTTTCCACCATTTCTTAAGCCTCTAAAGTCCCAGAAAAAAGGGGAGGCTCGATAAAGAGACTATTTTTGGGGCCTTTTTGCGGCCTTTCTGCAGCCTTTTTGCTGCTTTTCTACGGTCTTTTGCAGCCTTTCTGCGGCCTTTTTGCAGCCTTTTTTGAGCCTCTCCCTTTTTACAAAGCCTCTAAAATCTCAGAAAAAATGAAAAGCTCAATAAAGGGACTCTTTTTGCAGCCGTTCTGCCGCCTTTTTGCAGCCTTTCTGTGGCCGTTTTGCGGTCATTTACCTCCCTTCCAACTTTGCCCGAGTTCTTTTAGTCAATTCAAGATTATTCGAGCAAATTTTCAGATCTGGATGTAAAACGACCTCCTTGTGACAACTTGTTCCCATCGAGAAGGTAATCTCCTTTCGGAAACCTTGGCAAGAGAAGAAGAAGCCGCTGATCGTTATCTCGAACCTTTGGGGAGGAAATGATTGACAAGGCGTTTTCTCATGGGGGTCTCGCACCTGGAGATGAACTCGTCCTGATAGCGACGGTCGAAAAGGCGCACCGAAATCGGTCTCTCCCATGACGAGTGTGTGTTTATGAGTCGGACAGCAACAGAAAAAGCCGACGGCCGGATTAACCGGCGCCGGTCGTCACACGTTAATGTGGTTAATGAGAAGAAGCGGCCTGACTTAATCACTGGTTTCGACTCGAGTCATTAGAATGTGATCCGGATGTGATCTCGCCGGTTTTGCCAAACAAACTGAGCTAGGAAGTTTTGGGAGAGAGGGGGATTTCATCACGATTGTTTTGATTAAAATTTCAAAAATGAATCTCTGGAAATCTTTTACGATAGATTATTTAGTATTTATTGGCCAACTTTCAGGTTTCAAAAGTTCTGAAGCTTTGAAAAATCATAGAAAAGCCTAGAAAACCATTTTATCGAATGTTATTTGATTTTCTTAGCCACAGAGCAGTTTATACTAGAGAGTGTTTTTTCCATTTTCAACCATCTGTAATTTTCTTTTTTCAAATACCTTTCTGGCGATTTTTGCGACTTGATTTTGAATCAACGTTTGTTGAGAATGGCTCAGTAATATTCAAAGGGTTTTCATAGCTCTATTTCGAAGATTTGGTCCTTAATTCGTTATTATTACTATAGTTTATTCCAATAGTTCCTTAGCTAGAATGAGACAACGAGAATTCAAAACATTAGAAAAACCAAAGAGCTCAGGGAGTTTTTGAAAACGTTAGAGAAGCTTGATAATGTCTAACTTTGAACCTCTTTTTTTTTTTGTCAGTGGTCCACCTTTTTCCTCGTAATTGCTTAATGACGCCACCAAAACATAACCTATAAGGTGAGGCTCAAAAAACGGGCCGACACACACGCAACCGTTTACGGGCACTCGTTGGGTTTTTCGGGAACGGTGGCGCAATTCTCAACAAAACACGAGCCCCCAGTTTTGGCTCCTTTCCAACTTGCCGCCACGATCTTTTCGAACTCTTCGCACCAGTTACGGTGGAAAGGCTGCCTCAAATAGGAGATAAAATGTCGCGCATGTGCTAATGAGCACACGTGTGCATGCTCAATTGTCGCTCTGCTCGGCCGCAAAAAGGCGCGCCGATTTGTATGAGCCTTGCCACAAATTGGCAACCGCCGGCCGTCCCCCCACGCCATTGTTTGCAACTGTCATTCCGGTGCACGCGATCCGCTTTCTTAATGAACCGATCCTAGCCTTTGGCGGGGGATGCCGTTTTGTTTGGAAATTCATGGAACGGAAAATTTTGATTTTTTTTTTCCAAAAAATGGGGTAAAAAGGGCAAAGTTTTCACACCTTCGAAAAAGTTATGAACCGTCAAAAAATGGTCTTGACACGAAAGAAATAAAAGTCCTAAAAAATCTTGAATTTTTCCATGAGAATAAAGAAAAAATGGAGAAAGTTTGAAAAAGTTAGGAACTTTTTAAAAAATGAAAATATTTTGAGAAAGTCAGGAACTGTCCAAAATGGTCCTGGCACGAAAAAATTAGATCATTGAGCTAAAAAGTGACAGAAAAATCGTGCGAAAAAGCATTTCCAAAGCCAGGAAACTGTCAAAAATGGACATGGTACTAAAATATAAAAGTCTTTACCTAATCAATTTCTTGTAGATGATAAATTTATGCGAAACAAAAATAAAAAAATATGTCATAAAATTCATCAATTTTTTTCATGAACAAGCTTTAAGAAAAACTCAAAAATTGATAATTTTTCAAAAATGAAAAAGTTCAATTTTTTTCTTATTTTTTTATTTTTTTATTCAAAAAAACTTCCAACCGTAAAGTAAATTTACTGCAATGCTGCGCCGTCTGTTCCGGAGCCAGGAAATTTTTTAAATTTTTCCTTTTTTTCTCAAGTCAATAAGTAAAATGAATATGATTTAGAAAAATAAGCTAGAAACTTTCTAACCTACCTTAATATGACTAACAGCCGTTCTGCCTAAATCTCAGTCCTTACTTGACATTTACGGAGCGTAAACTTCAACGGCCAACATATTTTCAGTTCTTTCGGCTCTCCGTACTCCTCAAAAAGGATCCTCTGAGGAGCTCGAAAGCTTTTTTTTCATTATTTTAGGAGCCTTTTCATCTTCTCTTGAAGGTTCACCGGTTTCCGTTTCACCTATGGCCTTCATAACTTCAGATATTTCGGCTCTCCGTTCTCCTCAAAAAGGATTCCGATGATAAAGCGGTGTGCAGCCGGACGGTCCAGCCGTGAGGCCGTCAATCACGATGACCCAAATCTAGTATGAGGGAATGGAAGAACGGCTCGTCGGGCCGCCAAAGCGAACAAATTCACCTTGAAACGATCGTCTGGCTGAAGGAGATGATTGGATTAAAAAGCGACCCTCCACCGACAACAGAGGTCCGCCGCCTCACCTGTTATCCTCAAGGGGCGCCAGTGAAAATCTGATTTCATACGACTTATTTATTCTTTTATGTGGTCGATGATTGGGGCAAATGAATGATGAGGAAACATATGATATTTAAAAAAAATGCTGTAAAAAATTACGATGATATGATACATTTTCTCGTCTAAAAAGAACCTCGCAGTAGACTCTTCTTATGTGATCCCAACAAGCTACTTCAAAAAGATTGAAAATTTGTGATTTTTGAAAAAGCGGAAAGTTGAACCATTTTTTTTAAGAACAACAGCAAAGTTGCTCCATGGACAATTTGCGGTGGCTTTCGTAAATTTAATTTTTGTAAACGTTTTTTTAATAATTTAGTTATTTTTTTAGCTTCATTTTTCATTTTCAGCACGTTCCTTAAATTTAAAATCGTAAAAAAATATTTTGAAACGCTATTCGTTTTTTTGGAATTATCCATAAAATTACAAATGTAAAAAAAGGAGAAAAAAACATTGTTTTTTTGAGTGAATAATAATGACCTTATTTCGGGAACCATTACCATTTAAATATAAAAAAATGAAAGTTCTTCAGGTCTACGTCTTCAAATATAATCTTTTTCTTGAATTTTTTTGTTTATTTTTGATATTTTTGTAAGGTTATCGTGGTCTTTATGAGAGAAAAATGAGCTTCAATTCTAATAAAAAAAGTAATAAATCGATGCAAAATTAGTGTAAAAAAACCCAAAAATTTTTCGTACGGAAAAAGACAGTAGTTATGCGGTGTTCAAAGTATTTCCGCGAAATGCAAAATTATCTCTGACTCTCCAAGATTTAGTTAACTTTTTCTTTCTCTGACGGTTATTTCGAGTTTCGCGAAATCAATGGCAATAGAAAAATCTATAGAATAATGGCCACTTTTTTGACTTTCCCATACCAAGGAGCCATTGTTATTTGCCTACCCGGTGACCTGCCAAGTTGTCAGTAAATCTTGTTTGTACGGGACCCGACTGGTCCAGGTACATCCAAAAGTTCAACACCAACACAAACAGTGTCATCGGATGCGCTGACGCCGTTTCTCCCTTCTGAATCATTAGAAAACGATCTCTGCACCTGCAACCGTTCTCGATTCACTCGAAAGTGCCAACTTTGCGCAATCTCGGACCTGTATTATTAAATGTTGCGCGCCGTTCGCGGGATTGGCCCCCACAGATTTTCGTGGCGAAACTTGAAACCTCAATGCAGCCGTCGATCGGTTTACCGTTGTCTTCTTGTTTAGGCTCGAGACTTTTTGTAAGGGTCAGGTCGGCAGGTTGGAATTGAATAGAGGTGCTGTCAAAAGTTGGTTAATTGGAGCGTCGGAATGGATTTTTTCCTCTCGAAAATGTTTAAGGCGTAATTTGGAGCTTCGTAGCAGACAGTTCAAACTAGAGCTCTTGCCAAACGTCAACCGGAATGTCGTAGTTGCCTTTTTTGTGAATGAAGCTTTTTCCAGTTGTTCAAAAAAACGTCGTTGTAGATTTTTATGTCAATTGGAGCGTCGTACTGCCTTTTTGAACCGACTAGCTTCAGGCGTAATTTGGAGCATCGTAGCAAAATTTGTGAAATTCAGATAATCTTCTAATGTCATTTGGAGCGTCGTACTGCATTTTTTTAAACCGACTGGTTTCAGGCATAATTTGGAACGTCGTAGCAGAGTTTGGGAAATTCAAATATCCTTTAAATGTCATTTGGAACCTCGTATTGAACTTTTTACCTGACTAACTTGAGGCGTCATTTGGAATGTCGTAGCAGAATTTTCGAAACTTCAAAAAATCTTCTAATGTCATTTGGAGCGTCGTTTTGCATTTTTTGGGCCGACTTACTTGAGGCGTAATTTGGAGCCTCGTAAAAACTCATTTTTTGTCTAATATTCTGTATTTTGAAGAATGAAAATCTTTTGATGCATCCTGGGAAGAAAAAACTTCGAAAATCTGTTTTTGGAGGTACATTTTTGTCTAATTTTACATTTCAGTAATCTTTTTCATTTAGAAACTTTTAGTCCATTCAACAAACCTTCCTCAGAATGCTCTGACCGCATTCAGAATGGCTCGAGGACTCTCTGGGAACTTCAAGATGATTTTATAATGACTTCCCAAGGCTCTTTAAGGTCCTTATGCAGAAGAACCATTCCTGAGCTCCATTGAATCGACCGAAATTAAGAGATTATGATAATTCGAGAGCACAGGAATCCGATACGCATGTGTGTGTGACGTCAGACTCGAATAAGTACCTTTCTTAATCCGCTATTTTATTCCCGGCGAATTCTCGTGTTTGTTGTGCAACAGAGCCACTCGATTGCCATGTTTGCAAGGCCTACGCACACCTGCCGCAAGGATTCCTACCAACAAACTTTCTGGCGCTCCTTAAGAGGTCACTTGGTCCCAGCGTGGCGCCGCGCCTTCTTGCCTTCTTGTTTGCTTTTGCTTAGTTATAGACCGTGGTTTTTGCTGAAATAAGGCTCTTAAGGGATTTATTTAATTTTTTCACGGTCTTAAATTGAAGTTATTTGGAGCGTCGTAGTCGGTTTTTGGATGGATAGAATATTTCCAGCGTAAAGTGGAGCGTCGTAATGGGCTTTAAATACTTGAAACTTGTTCATTCGAGGCGTGTTTTGGAGCTTCGTAGCAGACTTTTTAGTTCGTCAGTATTCCCAAGCGTCATTTGGAATGTCGTAATTTTTTCACAAATTTTTTTAACCGTTTTCTGAAGTTGCTTGGAGCGTCGTAGTCGGGTTTTGGATGCATTAAATATTTCCAGCGTAAAGTGGAGCGTCGTAGCGAGCTTTAAACAATTAAAAAGCGATCTTTCGAAGCGTATTTTGGAGCGTCGTAGCAGATTCTATGAACTTTGATTGTTTTCAAGCTTCATTTGGAATGTCGTAGTTTTATTTCAAAGCTTTTTTTACTTGTTTTCTGAAGGTGTTTGGAGTGTCGTAGTTGGTTTTTGCATGTATAAAACTATTTCTAGCGTCGATTGGAGCGTCGTAGTGGGCTTCGAATAATCAAAAAATGTTCATTCGAGGCGTATTTTGGAACGTAGTAGCAGATTTTTCGATTTTTATCTACTACAAGCGTCATTTGGAATGTCGTATTTTTTTGATTTTTTTATTAAAAAAAGTTTTTTTCGATCCTTTTTTTGAGCTTTGTAGTAGACCTTTTTAGAATTAAACTTTAAAAAAACTGGAAAATGGAATTTTTTTATTCTGATCCAAGGCGTAATTTGGAGCTTCGTTCGAATTTAAGTCTAATAGTCTGGAATCCTTTGATGCATCTAGAAAACCTTGACTATCCCATCTTCAAGGATAGATTTTCTCGATGAATACCCCCAAATGCGGTAAAAGGCAGCCAAGTCGTTGGAGGGCGAAAAAAAGTGGCATGACGGAGGCCAAGAAGGCATGCACACCTGCATCGGAACCGGCGAATGACTGGGAAATGCAAGGTCGAATTTGGAGTGTTGCCAAAGAACACCTGTGTGTGCACGGGCCGTTTCCGGACGACGACCTCAACGCCAACTTTTTTCCCCCTTTGTTTGTTTGCCAAGTATTATGCAAGGCTTTTTTTCACTCGATCAAATGACGAGTAATTGCAGACGTATAGTATAAACAGTTGCGTGAGAGGCTCCAAGTGACGCGGGAAAATTGAGAAACTTCTGATCCGGCTATACTCCCATATAACTAATAGATCTGCGAACAAGATTTGAAGCAACGCTTTCATTTTTTAAAGTCTGAAGGCGATAAGTTTGAGAAGCTTGACTATGCTCTTCACTCAAAGTTCAGATCTCAAGTCGGGCTCCTAAAATTCCCAGTCATATTCTCAAAAAGTCTCCAAGGTTTCAAAAATCAATTAGGCTGGAGATTTTTAGTCTTGCTTTTTTCCTCGTTGATGGACCTCCAAAAGAGATCGTCAAGCTTTTTTTCAAAGGTCAGGAAGGACAATGAATTCAAAAAAAAACATTTTGTCGTGCTCCCAATTATTCTAGCCAAGCTCCTAGAACTTCTTTAAACTTCTAGCTCTTTTTTTTTTGAAAAGTCAGAAAGTAGAATAAAATGAGCCGGGAGTTTCAGATAGCTCCTAGAAGTTCTTGAAGATTCTAAATTTATCCAAAAATCCAGAAAGCCAAAAATTGAGTCGGAATCGTCTGTTCATGCTCATTTCTCTGGCCATACTTGCCCAAATCTAGCCAAACTTCTAGAACTTCTTCAATTATCTAACTTTTTTTCGAAAGGTCAGAAAGAAGTAAATCAAGTCGGGAACCTTCAGGAAGCTCCTAATTGCTCTAGCCAAGCTCCTGGAAGTTCTTGAGGACTCTCACTTTGTCCAAAAATCTAGAAAGCCATAAATTGAGTCTGAAATGACTTGCGATGATCGCCCAAATCTTGTGAAATTCTCAAAAAGTTTTCTGGACATCCCTTTTTTTTTCGAAAGTCCGGAAGGAATGAATTGAACTGGAGGTTTCAGTCATCAGAAGCACTTCTGATTTTTCAATCAAACTCTTTAAAATTCTTTTTCAAGGCTAGGAAGTGCAATAGTCTGAACATAAACCTTCAGTCAGGCTCCTAATGTCTCTAGCCAAACTCCTAGGAACTCTTCAAATCTCTAACTTCCTTCGCAATGATCTCCGAAAGCAATAAATCTGAGCCGGTGAGCCCCAACAAAAGTGAAAATACGACGGCGTCGAAAACGAGGTGTCTTTCTGTGTCCCGAGCAGCAGGCTGCTGCTGCTCCGCAGCTGCTCCGGTGGTGGCCGACGGACGGAGCCGCAGCCCGCAAGGTGCAAAACCGCATATTGCGCCGTCGTGTCGCCTACAGAAACACCCGCGCCATCTGTAAAGCAGTGTGGAAAAATAAGCAGATGCTTTGTGGAATCCCATCTGCGGCTTCATCGGCCGCATGTGGTCGCCCAATCCGTCGTTCTGATTATTTCCACCTGATCCGATGGCTGCTGTTTTTTTTATTTTCGCCGGAATTCGCACTTTTCCACTGAGTATTTTGAGCAACGAGGCTCCAAAGAACAGGACCCTTTTTAGCCAAACTGGATCAGAAGAGACTTACTATTCGCCCTCTGAAAAACTCAAATTATATCAATTTCTCATTATCTCAGCTTCTCAAAAAATCAAACTTTGAAAATTTTTCAAAACTAGGCATCTGGAAGACTGTCAGGAGACCAACCAGCTCTTAAAAAAAATTATTGACGAGTTTTCAAATTTTACAGATTTACTGATCTTCTGATCATCACTGGAGCACAAAAATCAAACTTTGAGAAAATAATTTTTTTCAAAACTAGGCATCTGCAAGGTTAAGACTGTCAGGAGATCACCGAGCTCTTCAAAAAAAAAATTTTCAGATTTTTCAGATTTACTGATCTTCTGATCATCACTGGAGCACATATGGCCCATCAAAAAACAGCCATTTCTTCCCAACTTCCTCTTTTTCCTGATCTTCTCATCCTCTCATCCAGCCCACGAGCTCATCTGGAGCCAAAAACGCGTCGTCGTCGCCGGGCCCGATTGAGCAACATCTGCGCATGCGCGCCAATGTGTCACCAAACGCGCCAGCCGCCCCTCCTCCTAATTGCATTTTGAATTTGCCGCCAAACTAACTGTGAAATTTGTCTCCGCACGTCACACCAAATGGCTGGGTTTTGTGATTGGAAATCGAGCCTTTCTGGTGGGATTTTTTTGGGAACGCTGTGATCAATTGGAAGTACCAACTAAGCAAAGTCGAGAAGGGTGGAAAGGGCTCCATAGAAAGGTTCCTTTTTGCCGGCTTTTATGCATCATTTTAGCTGCCTCTCCCATTTCCAACATTTCTTGAGCCTTTCAAAACACAGAAAAATTGGAAGAATCCATAAAAGGCACTATTTTGTTGCCTTTTTGGGGCCTTCTTGCAGCCTTTTTGCAGCCTTTTTGCAGCCTTTTTGCGGCCTTTTCGCATCCTTTTTTCAAGCCTCTCCTTTTGAGTTGTCATTATCCACCATTCCGAATTTGCCCGGGGCTTTAAAAACAGTGATTTTTGAAGAATGTGGTCATGAAACTATTATTTATGTGAAGTATGAGAGTAAAAATTACCCAAACCGAGCGAAAGATTTTTTCGTGAAATTTGAAGAGTTTTGCACTATTTTTTAAGTGAAGTATACATCATTATAAAAAACATATAAATCTCAAAAAATATTCCAGAAAATGAGAAAAACCTTCAAATCCTGATAAAAAGGTGCAATTTTGCCTACACCTCGGCTCATCTTCACCTTGTATTTTCTTGGACGACCAGGAGATCATTTTGGGTCAAAACATTTTTTATAAACCTGCCAATCACGACAAAGAAGTGTAAACCCCTTCACCTTATCCATCACCAAATCGGAGCAATTTTGTTCGCACACCTCGGCTCATTTTCACCTTGTACCCGGGGCCGGCTGACCAGGTGTTGCAAGGCGATTCGAGAGTCAACAGGTTTCGATGATGGAGGAGCTGGCTGCTTGCGCAACAGCTCCGTCTGTTGGATTGGAGCTGGAGCAGCTCCCCGGCCAGAAGTCCCATTTCTGAGCCGAACAACAGACGTGGTGTGTAATGGAAAGTTGGGCTGGCCGGACAGACGGCACCTGTGCCTTTTCCGACGCCGCCGAAGAACAATGGGTGTTGGCAACTTTTTCGGAAAGTTTGAATTTCCTGCGACGGAAAAAAGTTTTTTTTTGGGCCCTTACAGTACATCTGTCAAACAAAAGCCAACTTTGCGACTGGTTTTTGAATTTCTGAGCAATTCCGAGGCGTTCTTTTTGAGTTTTATTTTCAATCCTGGCCAGAAAGAATGGAGGTTTCTGTGGAAAAAAGTTCGGATCAAGGTAAATAATATAAAAAAGCGTGATTTTCGAAAATTTCTGAATGTTCACCTGTCAAAAATAGCTTCAGAAGCCACACATTTTGCGACAATTTTTTGAATTTTTCTACGATTCCAAGGCGTTCTTTTTTAGTTAGATTTCAAATCCGTGTAGCCAGGAAGATTGGAGGTTTCTCTGGAAAAAATTCAAATTACGGTAAATCATATTAAAAGCGTGGTTTTCGAAAAATTCACTCAAATTTTGAAAGTACACCTGTCAAAATGTTTCAAAAGCCACAATTTTGCGACAATTTTTTGAATTTTTCTGCGATTCGAGGCTTTTTTTTTGAGTTTCCTTGGAGCCAGGAAGAGTGAATATTCATAATAAACATTTCAGATCAAGGTAAATAATATTAAAAAGCGTGATTTTCGGAAAATTCCAAAAAATTCTGAAGTGTACACCTGTCAAAAATAGCTTCGGAAGTCACAACTTTCGCGACAAGTTTTCGAATTTTCCGCAACAGAATTGAAATTTCGCGGCTGTTTCCAGATGTTTTTTCGATTCTTTGAATCCAGGTAGCCAGGGTGTTCGACAGTACAGCCAAGGCCATAAAAACAGCTGTCGTGCCGCAAAAATTTAACCTCCTTTGAATTGAAGAGTGTGAAATTTCAGGTGGGTTTGAATTGGTTGAGATTGGAGGGTGATAAGAAGAGTTTCGGTTGGAAAACTCAAGAAGAAAATGAATTTGAGGAATCTGACAAGTTAGAAAATTTTTTTGAAGGTCTAAAAAGGATATATTTAATGCAGCGTTTTTCTATGATTCTCAACTTTTTCAGGCCTCAAACTGATAAGCTCTATTGAAGTCAGTTTCCTTCTCCCACCATATTTACGATTTTCTAGTTGATTTGATCTGAAGAAGGAAAAAAAAAACCACGACGCCACATTGTCCGACACGCTCGATAAACTTGGTATCGGAAAGTTTTCAGATTTTCCTCAAGGCCGAATCGAATTGAATTGAAACCAGTGGTCGTCAAATTTGACGGTTGGTAATTAGACAACTGTAAAATTAAGTTAGGATGGAATTTTTTTTTTGATTTGAATTTTTACTCGGTTTTACTTACTCAAAAAGCTTTGCACGACCATGGATTTTTATAAATCAAAGTTTTTAAGTTCTTAAGATTTTTATACATTTTCGGATTTTTGATTATTATCCAAATTACTCTAGAAACATGGGGGAGTAAATTTCGGGGACTTTATTGAAATTTTAATTTTTTGCCATGCCCAAAAAATACAGGAAATCGGTTAAACTCTAATTTGAAGCTGAAAAATTGGAAAAAATTGCCAAAAGTGAATTTTTGAACATTCTGATTGAAAAAATGAGAGTGAATAAGAAAATAAATTCATACTCCGTCCAAAAATCAAGCAGACTTCTCTAAACCTCTTATTTATCCCCACTGTTTTGCTGTCCTAAAAAGGATATTTTCTCAAGGAAGCAATGAATGAACTAACTTCCCCAAAGAACCCGAAAAAGGTTAAAAATAGATTTTAGGTCACTCTTGACGAAAAAACTATAATATACTTTGGATCAAGGACGAAAACAATACAGAACTCTCTAAACCTCTCAGTTTTCCACACTATTTCTCACCGTCGATGAATATACTATAAACTTGCAAAACTTATTAAGAAAAGTACCCACGAAGGGTGCTAAAAAAGGATTTTTAGGCCACCGTTGACTAAAAAAAATTGGAAATATTCTTATAACTGAAAAAATTGCAGATCACTCTAAACCTCACACTATTTCTAGCCATCCATGAATAGACTATAAACTCGCAAGACTTCTCCTCCGCAAGAACTCGTATATCTTTCGAGAACTGGTTCATCTGCCGCGGCGGCAGAACAATTGCTCGCCAAAAGCTCCAACTTCTGGCGTTCCAGCTGTCGTGCCGATTGGGGCCCGCCCGAAATTCCTCTTCTCTTCCATAGAATATATATTTTTTTTGAAATGAAAACATTTTGGTTTGTAATGAAAAGAGACCAGGTGCGTGTAAAAGGGGGGCCCTCTTCACCTTTGACACCTGTTTCGCAGGTGTTCCAATCCATGACGATACGTGTGTAAGCCCCGAACACGATAATCGCTTCTAATAATTTATATCTATTTTTAAAAGTTTTTGCCGACCGGAAAATATTTACAATGGAAACAACAGACAAAACAACGACCCGTAGTTTGTAAAAAAATATAAAGGGAAAAGTTATGAATTAGAGTCGGAAGGTTTGGAGGCGGAGGAGGAGGAGGCGGCTAAGGCGGTGCAATTGGAGAAGAGCTTCTCGAGGTCGGCGGGCAAGGAGTTCTCCTTGTCTGGGCATTCCAGCTGCGACTGGAGTTCACGGATGTAGGAGATGACCGACAGGACCAGGTCCAACTGCGACTCGCTCTCATCGGAGCCGACCAGCTTGCGCAGAGTGGCTTCGACCTGAAGAATTCGGAAATGAGAATTATTCGAATTTTCGTTAAGATGATATTCAAGTCATGAAAGTCTGCTGGAAAGCTCAAAAATAATAATAATGTTTTTTTAGTAAAAAAATTTCAAATTCAAGAGGCTTTTCGAGGGGCGAATTTCGAAAAAAAGAGCTTTTTAATATGTCAATTCTGAGGCAAAGAGTCCTTTTTAGGGTTAATTTTCAAGCAAGAAGATTTTTTTACAGTGATAACTTTAAAGGGAAAATCTTCTATACTTTTTAGTTTTGAAGTCAAAAAAACTTTTTTTATGTTTAAATTTCAAGATAAAAGGTTCCTAACTGCCGGAAAAAAACTATAATAAATGGACAAAAAAACTTGTTCAAACAGACCAAATTTGATATTTAAACGCTTTAAGGAGATGCTAAACAAAGATAGAAGATAAAAAGAATAAAAATGAAAATTAAGGATCCTGAACACTCCAGGAAGGACAAAAAATCAACAAAAAGCCCGAAAATCTCAACAAACCTTTTGCTTTTCCCGACGTTCCTCGGAAGTCTTGCGAAGACGACTCTTCGGCGAGACGTGGCTGATGACGGAACGAGGCTGGCGGGTGATGCTCTTCATCTCGAGAAACGGCAGACAAAAGATAGTTGAGGAGTGAGGGGAGACGTCCGAAACGGATTGTGGCCTGGCCGGGGGGCGGAGCAACGCCAGGCGGATCGCGGGGGCCCCGCCCACTCGCAGGTGCACGGCCTTTTCTGAGAGGTCCGCGTGGGAATCAGCAACTTTTTTGAAAGGAGACGAGCGCGGCGGCGTTCTTGAAAGGTCCATGTTTGGGAAGAAACTTTTTTTTTTGAAATTTTGTTGGGTTTGGATTTGATGTTGGAAAGAACGATTTTTAGGTCTTTTGATAGTTCAGAAGGCTGTGGTCAATGGACTATAAGAGTTTTGAAATCTTGGCAATCAAAGTCATAAGTAAGGCTGTTAAAGTAATAAGTTTATTTATACCTTAAGATTTCGCTTAAAATCAGGAAGGGTGGAAAAAAGCTCCATAAAAAGGTTCCTTTTAGGGTGTCAAAGGGTCCTTTTTTGCTGCCTTTTTTGCGGCATTTTACCGGCTTTTTTGTACCATTTTTGCTGCCTTTCCATTTTCCACCAATTCTTGAGCCTTTAGAACTCTAGAAAAAAAGAAAGGCTCGATAAAGGGACCCTTTTTGCTGCCTTTTTGCTGCTGTTTTGCGGCCTTTTTGCTGCCGTTTTGCGGCCTTTTTGCGGCCTTTTTGCAGCCTTTTTGCGGCCTTTTTGCTGCTGTTTTGCGGCCTTTTTGCAGCCTTTTTAGAGCCTCTCCCTTCTTCCACCATTTCTTGTGCCTTTAAAACCCAGAGAACAAATGTTTTTTTCTTAATTATTCAAAAATGAACAAGAAAAATATATCTGATAGTATGTTATTACAGTGTCTGTATGTGATCTATCCACTGATTTTGAAAGTTTTATTTCTCTTTCCAGACATTTTCAATCACTTTTTGACGTCTTCAAGACTTTATCAGGTCTCCAGAAGTCGTAAAACACTCAGAACCTTGTGGTCCTAGCCAACCTTTCGAGCGAGAGAACTGATTTATTCTTTTATAATCTGCAACTGAATCATTTTACGGGCGCTTTTATGGCTCAGCGACAGGTCAGAGGCCATTTGATATGCAAATGGATTGTGAAGAATATGGGGCTTTTTAGAACGACTTGACCATTTTTGAAGATTCCAGTGACCTAAAATGGATTTTTCTATGAACCTCTAGGATCACCTACAAAATTTCTAAAGAACAACAAAGTCCCAAAGTCGGATTTGCACCCAAGGAATGCAGAAAATGCGCGCAGGTGTCACGAAGGCGAAAGCGGTTTCCTTTTCTTCTTCTCGAGGAAAACTACAAGGTATCGACAGGTGTGCCCCCACCGCCAGTCACACCTCCAAAAAAAGGCACCGTCCTGTTTGTTTTGCTCTCCTTCTTCTCGATGAGAAAGTTGGAGGCTTTGTTCTCGGCGCCAAACGGTTCCAGGTGTTGCCAGGCAGGTATTTGATCAGAAATCGTGGTCGAGAAAGGTTTATTCCAACTTTAAGATTGCCTTTTTTCAAAAATTAAGAGGTTACTGTAGGCGTTTTTTCTGCAATTTTGCTGGCGGTAAGCTTTCTTTTGAACGTTAGAAGCTGGAAAAATTGCAAAATTCACACCTTTTTTTAAAAATTTAGATGATATATAGTTCAACTTGAGTACAAATTTCGAACTTTTTACGGCGGAGATGACCGTGTGTCAATAATTATGACGCACTAATATGAAAAAAATTTTTTTCTCCAAATTTTTTTCTGAAGACCGAAAGCTCCTAACTATCGCTTCTGTTTGGCCCTTCTAGAAGCAGATTTTTTTAAATTAAAAAAAATTTTAAGTTTTTGACTTTAGTCCCATTTGCGCTATCGCCTTGACGGATCTGTCCACAGAAAAAGAAGAAAAAATGAACTGTGTCAATAATTATGACGCACCCGGTTGAAAAATTCTCTTCTTAGGAATCCCAGTTCTAAGGTTCTTATAGCAAAATTTCCCAGTTTTTACTTTTTCTTTAGGCTCCCTAAAGTTCTCAACTTTCAAGTTATGGACTTTAATCCCATTACGTTATCGCCTTCACCGATCTGCCCATAGAGAAAAAAGAAAAAAATGAACTGAGTCAATAATTATGACGCACAAGGTAGGAACATTTTCTTCTTAGGAATTCCTGCTCTATGGTCCTTATAGCAAAAGTTCTTAATTTTTTCTTTCATTTGACGCTTCCTGACATTTCAAATCTTCAAAAAATCCAAGTTTTGGACTTTAGCCGCATGAACGTTATCGCCTTTACGGATCAGAGTGAACTTTGAAAAAAACGGATTTTGATGTTTTTTTCTTTTCAGACTGACCCATACTCATGTAAAACTCTGAGTTTGGACATCCGGTGCTTAAATTTACACTCGAAGGATCTTCTCACTTCTCAAGATATCTCATAAAACTGGATCGAGCTCCACTTATGGGAGACGAAGACGAAACCGGAAGACGAGAAGGAGTAATGAGCGTGCGGAGCAACTCTTTGGAGCAGCAGCGGCGGAGCATTTGCCCTGTGGCGCAATTAGAAGCAGCTGGCACCACATATGGCCTCTCGAACGACTTATCCGATTCACTCCAGCCAGCCGCCATGCCCAATTTTTCAGTACGAGTTTATCAATGAAACCGGAAAAAAAAATCGGTGGGTGTGGCTATAATTATGACGCAGAGGAGCCTTGTCTTCCAGGTTTGCTGGAGCTTATCTGAGAAGTTCTGGAGCAGTCTGTATCTGCGCAATGTCATGTATCTCAACTTTGGAGCTCAGTGAAGGGATTTATCAGAACGAGTTTGAATTTTTGACGTCATCAAAGGGTTCTAACTGAACCAAAAAGCAGAAGACCGGAAAGTGTATGCTTGGATGGGAGCCGGAAGCAAGTCTTGGCCAAGTTCTAGCCAATCTCGCTTCCTCCTAGAAGCTTGGAGGAAGTTACCTGTTGGACTATTATAATAAAGGTACGCATTTATTTGTCAATCACCGGCTTAGGAATGATTGCTTGCCTCGGGCACAGCCTTCCACTTGGCCAATTTTACGGTTTTGTTCCTCTTGACCGGCATATGGACCTCCAGATCTTCTCCTGTTCTTCGTTTTCGATTCCCAGTAGGCATATGGGCAATCTGTTTCTCCAGGTGTGCAAGCCGTCCTCTTTGAAAACAACGCGCCTCGGAAAAGACACCTGGGATCTCTCGGCATCCATGCAGCTTGCCCATATGGGCTGCGGCTGGAAAAAAACAGGCACACAACAAGGCGAAGTCGGCTGAAAAAAGAGAGAACAACAGCTGGCCAAAGTCGAGTTGGAAAGGCTGATAGTTTCGGAGGACTCTTGGAAGTTGAAGAAGGATTAACTAGAGAAAGTTTTTTACCCCCCTCCTTGAAGTATTGATGTAACTTCGCTGAAGTGTACTCTAGAACCTCCTGAAAAAAGTTTCCTAGTAAGTTTTTTTGGGAAAGGACTCTTCGATTTTGACTTTTCTGAATGGTGAACCATCCACGACTACTTGAAAATTTGTTTATAGTCTCTGGATTTCGAAAAATCAAGTTTAGAGGCTCCGAGGGACAGTTTTCAGAAGAAGTCGTTCCAAAAGCCCGCTGTGTTCAGAATTTCAAAATTTTCAATTTTTAAAAAATCGATACATTTTCAAAAATCCTCTCGAAGTCGACTGAATGAAGAAAGAATAGATAAAAATCTGATTTTTAAAATTTCCTGAGCCGCTCTAAAAAAAGCCCAAGAATGGATCGAAGCGTCGCGGTCGCGCTGCGGCTCTTGAACATCTTTCTCTCAATTTTTAATAGCCCATCCTTAAAAACTAGATTGGAGTGAACTACTTCAAAAATTATGATTTTTGAAGCTTCCCTTTCAAATAAAGAGATGTAAATCGATGTCGCCAATCTCAATTTTTGGAACTTCTCGAATCGATAAGTCATCTAATTGAAGACCGCACCCTCGATTTTTTAACTCCTTTTGAACATAAAGTAAAAAAAAACTGATCATTTCGGTCGCTCCTCCCAGGGGCCAGAAGCTCTTCCACTTCGGAAAGCAGCTGCTCGGCCCAAATGTTCATAACGAGAAAGAGCAGATGACGTCTGCTCCGAAGCCTTGTACAATATGTCTCCGGGTCTGTTACTCCGGAAAAGGGCTGTCAGGATCGGTTGGAACTTTCCCGCCTTTGACAAAAAGAACAGCTGTTGAGGAACGCTCCGTTTTTTCCAAAGTCGGTCAGGCCCTTTGTAGATTTTTTGGGATGATAGAAATTTGCAATTAGGTCGGGGTTCTCTGTGGTTCATGGTCTGGAAAATAATAAAAAAAAAGCTGAAAAAGGGAAATTTTTATGAACAAATCTCTATGCTAATGGTGACAGTGGGGGACGGCTCTCTGGAATTTTAATTTCGGGGGTCTTTTGAAGGTAAACTAAACTTCTAAGCACCATGTGGTGTTAAAAAAGTACAGAAGAAAAAAGTGAGAGGCATTTCGTGTCGAGACCATTTTTAAACCAAGCCATGCTTCTTTAAACTTTCAAGAAGAGTAAAACAATTTCATCAGGTCTCAATGAACCCTGTCCAAAATTTTATTCTGAATTAATTATTTTAGCTTGGGGGACGGCACACTGGAATTTTAATTTTGGGAGTTTTTTTTTGAGGAAAAAAACAAGTCAGAACCATTTCGTGTTGAGACCATTTTTAACCCCACCAATGCTCCTTTAAAATTTCCCGGCGATTCAAGAAGGTCTTAAAGCCCCTTTTTAAAAATCTTCTTCAAAATAAGTTTATTTAGCTTACTCTTGCTTCAAAAACCTCATCTTGGCTTTAGGAATTCATCTTCTTTCTCCTGACTTTCCAACAAATTAGGTGAAATTGACAGAAATATGGTGGTAGGTTGCATAAGGCGCGGCAGAAGATGTCGACTGACCAGATGTGTGTTTCAGATGTTCGGAGCAGCACATCTGCGGCGTGTCTGATGAGCTCCAAGCACCTGGGCTCCATATATCCCTTCGTGTTATTGTTTTTGACGTCAGCCACTTTTTGGGCAGGTTTTCTGGCTCTTGAAAGGTGACTGGAACAGAAGAACAGGGAATCATAGGAGCTCCAGAATGGTCCCTTCAGGTTTAGAATTAGGGGCCGGTAAAGGTACCCCTCTAGGGGCTACTTTACATGTAGGGGTCATGCTAGTCGATTATTGTCAATAGAGGAGAGATTGTTCGAGTCAAATTTTCAAATCTGAACAAAAAATTAAAACATCCTGTAGGAACCGCTTGAGTCCCTACAGGATCTTTTCATTCCTCCCCCCTCCCCTTCCTATAGGGCCTGATCTCCCCCTACCCCTTTAGGGACCACTCTGGCGTTCCTAGGAAAGGTGTTACCTTCGTCTTATTGTTCTTGACGTCAGACACCTTTTGGGCAGGTTTTCTGGCTCTCGAAAGGTGACTGGAACAGAAGAACAGGGGAACATAGAAGCTTTAGAGTGGTCCATTCAGAGTTAAAGTTAGGGGCTGTTAAAGGTACCCCTCTAGGGACTACTTCACCTTCCTTATAGGTTATTAGCTAGTGGCCCCTATAGAGGACCTGCCAGTCGATTATTGTGAACAGAAGTTTATGTGTTCAAGTTTGTATTTTAAATCTTCAAATCTGAATAAAAGTTAAAAGGCCCTGTAGGGGCCGCTTTAGGGATTAGAGGCACGGAAGTCATCAGTGCGATTCTACATTTTATTTCTCAACTTTGAAACTCTGATGTAGACTTTTGAAACATTAGGTTGAAAAATATTGATTTTCCATGACGTCATGCTCAAAACGCGATTGATTAATTCTTTCTGAGAAGTCACTGAAGATGAAACAGAAGTTCAAAAGTTTCAAATCATCGAACTACCCCCCTTCACAGAAACTTTTTATAGTTGAAATTTTTTTACAGCTTTATCATTAAAAAAATGACTTAATATGAGAAAAAAGAATCACTCAGTTCTTGACTTCCCAAAGGATTGTTTGCTATTGCAAAAACGTATCTTTTTAATTTTTCGCGGCTAAAACAAGATAAGATAACGAAAAAAAGCGGCCATATTGATCAATTTCCAACCAACGCGCCCAATGTCCAGTGAATCTTTCCCTTCTGAAGGCTACGTCGACCTGAAATCCGGCTGGATCGGCAAGAAACATCTGGTCGATCCAACAATTCGTCTGGCCCTCGAAGATGGTCATCTAGTTGTTGGTAAAAACGTCGTCGACATCGGCTGCGGATCAGGTTAAATCAATCTTTGTCTCTTCCAAGAACTTTTACTTTTCCAGGAGACAATGCCAAAGACGTTGCTGATCTGGGAGCCAAGAGAGCTTTCGGATTCGACTCCTCTGAAGAAATGATCAGAAAATGCCGTGAGACTTATGAATCCGACGAACGTCTTCGTTTCGAGGTCGCCGACGCCGTCAATTGGGAATCTGATGATGTCTACGACGTCGCTTTGGCTTTTTTCGTGCTTCAGTTTATTCATGAGAAGGAGAAGCTCACTGAGGTAAGATTAAAAAATGGTTTTCTATCGGCTTTTCGCGAAAATTAAGGACCTAACAATGGTAATATCTGAAAAAGCCTTATCATAGTCATAATAGCCTTTTTGTAGCTCTTTGTTTTATATTTGAATCGGTTTTGATTAGAAGAAGACCAAGAAAAGTTTTCCTTTTTTGCAAGGGCAAAAGGATCGGAGAAAGATCTTCTTATACATTTTTAGAAGTATCAAAGAGAACTTTAAGTGTTTTCAGGCCTTTCAGAAGGGTTTCTGGACTCTTGATATGAATTTTGTACTGTCAGGCGTTTTTTTCGACTTCTCCCATCAAAAACGCTTTTTTTAAAACAATTCAGTACCTTTTGTGAAGTTACTCATACCATTTATTCAGATTTCTTCAATCTTTTTCCCAGTTAACTTCCAAGTTTCAGGCAATCGCCAACGTCTGCAGGAAACTTTCACGAAACGGCGTGTTTATTGGAATCATTCCAGATGGCAGGAACAGTCATGATCCTTTGCCTGGCGCTGGTCCCAAGTTAGGTGGATATTTCCCATTTTTGTTCAAAATTCGAAAGGATCTTTTTAACCTGCTTTATATTTTTTTTTGGAAAGTTTCAGAAGAAGTAGGTAAAAATCAGAAAAAAAAAACGAGAATTGGTCCAAAAGTATTGTCGCAAAAGTTTGCGCCAAGGTGGTGCGGTTTGGCGCTTATTCCGTGATTGTTTAACTAATTATATTTTTTTCCTCATGTATTTTTTTCTATCTATATTCCCTTTAAGTTTCGTTATAACAAACGCGTTATGATCGGTTCATTTTCACAGAAATGGTGGCCTCTTTCTATGACTTTTTTAAAATATATTGAAGAAACTTTAGTTCTTCTTGTCAAGATTTTTTCAAAACTCTCCCTTCTAAATTTTTTATATTCCAGGAGTTGAGCTTATTTCCCTGGAAAAAGGCGAATATATCGATGGCGAGCTGGCTCAAGTTTTTTTCTTCGACGGAGAAAGTTTTTCATTATTTTCTCTGAAGAAATTAATTTGAACATCTTCAAGATTCCACTTGTCACTCAACAGTAGCTCTGCATTCGAGGCAGTTTTATCACGACGCGTTCCAAGCAGCCGGCTTTCGAAAGGTAATTTGAATCTGATCCCTTAAAGGGTTTGATAAAGTGCAATGGCGCGAAGTGAATGCGTTTTTTTTAATTCGTAAATCGACAAGAGATTTATCATTGGGGCGCTCTTTTTCACACCTCTTCGATTCATTTTTTTCAAATCTTCTTTCTTCTCGGACATTGGTAACGCGAAACGGACGGGCTCCGGGCCTTCCTGAGCAGTTGTAGGGATCACTTAAGATTTCTTACGCTACTAAAATGGTCACTAGTAATACCCCGACAAGTCCGATTTGCGTCTTTTTCGCGTTACATATGTCCAAATTCGTTTATTCTTTTCGGGAGTTTTTCATGCCCTTTATAAGCTATTTTTTTTTACTTCAGATAATTTTGTTTTAACGCAGAGTTTCAACTTTTTTTTCTGACACGAGACAGGGTTGTGCGAGGGCCAGCTCGTCAGCCCAACGGTCATTTTCTGAGCCCGGGCCAGGCTGAGCGAAGTCTCAAGCAAGAACAGACCCAAAAAGCTCCATTTTTCTTCAAGTCGAACTTCAATTTTTCATTACGACAAAAATTGTTTTTCTAGGTATTTTTATAGTCAAAGTATAACAAAAACTACGAACTTGAAAATAAGCGTTTTCCCATGAGAAATTTGGGTTTGGATACAAATTTTTTTTCAAAACAGTCTCAAATTTTTTTTTTTTCGCACCTTTTTGCACCTTTTTTTTTCGGCTCCTTCGCAAAACTTAGTCTAGCCAGACGCAAAAGCTCGGACCTCGGTACCGCAAGCCGTACGCGCCCCGGACTTTCCTGAGCATTTCTAATAATTCCTTCAGCGGCTTCAGCACTTCAAAGCTTACTAGAAAGTCTAAAAAACGTCTGGGACGAGTCCGATTTGCTTTACCGTGGTCCAAGCAATTGAAGCTTAAAGCAATGAAGCTTGTGCGGGCTCGGACTAAGCCAGGCCTCGAAAACATTATCATCCTAACTCAAAATTTCTTTTAAAAAACGATTATTTCTCACTTGTTTCATTAAAGTCTATCAAAAGTTATGGAAATAGACGGAGACCGATAGTTTGACAATCTGGACCTCGCACAAGCCTGGCTCGACTGCATTGAACAGGTTTTTGCAACTTTTGTACTATTAAGAGACATTTTGTGAATCAATGTTATTTCTTTTCTTCTTTGCGATTCAACACAGAACAAAAAACCCTCAGCTGCTTTTAAGAACTTTGGGCTGGTACCTGGTATTGTCTAGTCTCGCAGTTGATCTGTCCGCCTTGAGCCTAGTTCAAAAACGTCGTCGCGCATTTGATTGAGAGAAGCGAACTTCTTGCATTTCACTGAATTTTCAAAGATAAACGACTTTAAAACGCGGAAAAAAGGGTATAAATACAAAAATCGAATAAAAAAGAGCTGATCGTGAAGTAAAATTATTTTTTTCAAAGCCAGAGTGTCTACGGCTTTTAATCATAATCGATTATTTATTGCGATAAAAATTTTTACAAAATGATTAAAACCGCCGAATCTGGCGTGAGTTTCTAACAATCACATATTTCTAAAATTTTTATATATCTCGGGCATAGTCGAAATGGCGGATAATGACCGCTAAATGAAAAGGCTCGAAAAAAGACGCAAGGAGGCCGCAAAAAGAATTCCTTTATCGAACATTCTATTTTTTCTGGGATTTCAAAGGCTCAAGAAATGGTGGAAAAGGGAGCAGCAGCAAAAATGGTGCATAAGAGCCGATGGAATGGCGCGAAAAGGCAGCAAAAAAGGAACATTTCAATAGAGCCTTTTCCATTCTTTCCGATTTTGCCTATGCTATCAGATCAAGGTTTTTCTGGCCTTAATTCAGCGTTAATAATTTAAAGCCCTTTTTTTCATCAAAAAATTTTTAAAATATGCAAAACCTCACCTCAATTGTTCCAGTAGTCGGTAGATTATTTTTCCAATTTTCCGTGGTATGCTTCAGACGTTCTTTCTGAATGATATAAAATTAAAAAACAATCTTTAAGACATCAAACTGCACTATTTGAAGTTGCCGTTGAACCTCCATGGACTGATCCGATCAAGTTTGTTGAAATGTTCCTGCAATAATTTCAAGATTGAAAAAAGCAAGTCGATTTCATTATTAGAATCGGAGTGTTTTGACTAATTGATTATGTTAAGTCATAAGTGAGTTAGGAAAGCTTTATTCAGTCAGAAGAACTAACTAGGCGGTGCGCTAGAGCTCCGCTCGGCCTTGTCATAACTAATCCTAGACGCCGAAGGCCGTGACGGCATTTTCCGCGGGGGTCCCATCATCGCTTTGTCAGTATCGCGCTGCCAACAGTTTCTGCTTCGGCCACTGAAATGGGCTTCGGCGTGACTTTGCGTATCCAATTCGCAAGCGAAAAGGATCGGCACTCCGGGAGTCCCGCGGGCTTAACCTACTAGCGCTTATAACTCAGAAACTTATTTGGGAAGTTAGAAGTTTAATGGAGATTCAAAACTTATCTTGACGTTGAATGAAGCGAGACGAGTCGTGAGGGAGGCAGAAATGATATTTGAAACCAGGTAACAAAAAGAAATGACGCCTTGTCACGTGGTTTTTTGGACGTGTTAATTTTTTGGATATCAAGGAAATGAAACCTTGCCACGGGGTTCACGTTTTCTTTTTAGCAGAGAATGAATTTTTTATTTTGAATAAAATTTTGGGTCACATGACGCAAAAGGTAGAGCCAGTGGAGTCACTTGAAAACTTTTTGAAGTTTAAATTTTTTTAAATTTTTTTGGACTTTCTTGTTTTTTGCAGTTTTTTTATTTTTTTATTTTTCCTCTTGTAGATAAATAGTTCGTGTAACTTAGAGCCAAATTGAATTTTTCAGATGCAGTTTGAAATTTTTTTATAATAGGACTGTGAAAAAAATTTATGTACCAAATCGAAAAATTTGCAAAAAAATACCGAAGGCTAAAAAAACTCGTTTCGTTTCATATTAAACAATATTTTGCTCATAACATATTTTTGGATTCAGGTTGAATAAAACGTTTAAACTAAAGTTTACTCGAAAAACACGAATTCTCAATTTTTTCAAAGTTTCAAAGCTGCAAAATTTCTACAACGCTTCCTGAAAAGAAATCAAACAAAAAAGATTTTTTTTTCTGCAATACTTTTTGCAACAATGAATATGGACTTTTGTCATTTTCTCCTTTCTTCTTTTCATGTTTCCGCTTTTTTTTTTGCTTCCTGTTATGTTGAATCTTTTTTCCTTTTATGAGAATTGTTTCAATCAGGTTTTAAAAATTGAATCTTCTCTGGGAAATGAAAATTTTCTCATTGAAAATAACCTTTTCTCCATTTTCAGCTGATATTTCTTCTGGTTTCTCACGTTTTTCTTGTTTTTCCACGCAATGATATATATTAATAAGTTCAGATCGAGTGGATTTCCCCGATGTTCTCATCGGAAGGCCGACGTCTCCTGGGCGACGAGTTCTGTGATAAATTTGTTAATCCGCCACGCGACGTGCTCTTCCGGGCGTTCAAGTAACTTTTTTCTTATTCTGTCATAATTTTTTTGAGTTCCTCGAGGAAAAACAGTAAAAGTAGTATCATAAATAAAGATTGTTTACCCTTTCGACGGCTCACATTTCCAACGGAAGTTTAGTTTGTCATGCAAGCTTGTCGGACAAACAAAGGCTTGGTTTTTTTTTTTGGAATCAGAAATTGGACATTTTTTCTGTTTTTCGCGTTCCTTGGACAAAAAACGTGTTCCAAACTACAAAAATTTCCTGTTTCAAAGTAATTTCGAAGGATTCCGAACTCGGGTAAAGTCAGAATAGTGGATAATGGCCGCTAAAAGGCTCAAAAAAGGTTGCAAAAAGGCTGCAAAAAGGCCGCAAAAAGGTTGCAGAAAGGTAGCATAAAGAGTCCCTCTATCGAGCCTTCCATTTTTCTGTGATTTTAAAGGCTCAAGAATTGTTGGAAAAAGGAAGAGGCTGCAAAAATGGTGCAAAACAGCCGAAAAAATTGCGCAAAAACATTTCTATCCACCCCTTCCGACTTTGCCCATGAAACATGCTCCGATCAACACGTCATGCACTTTCCCGGGTTGGGAAGCTTGGAAAAAGCTCCAGCTCTAGATTGAAAGAGAAAAATTGGCTCTGCTGAAAAATAGGCCCATTGGGGAGGGAGGATAAACAAGAGGCACACACAAAAAAAAGTGGAGCTCCTGAAAAAAAAGTGAGAGAAATGGGAAATGAAAGCCGAACGGACGTCCCATGGCACCAGTCGTTCAAGTTCTTCCGCCAAAAAAATCACGTGTTCCAATTTTTTTTTCTTGCGAAAGGTTCATCTTACCTATTAGTGTAAAGAAACCTAGTTGATGCTTGTTTTTGCTCAGTTTCTTCAGCAAATAAAGGAAAAGTTCTCCTGGATATACACTTTAAGGATCGAAAGTTCACTTTTGAATTATACTTTTTCTTATTTTTCGTTGAAATGAAACATTATATTATTTTTTCTGCCCTTTTACGAGCAAAGAACTCGATAGAGAAAAAAAACCTATAGGTTTCCTAATTTTTCTCTCTACGGATAACGTCAGTCAAGGGGAAAATCCAATTTTCGGATAATTTCATTCGATTTTTTTTTCGCTTTCTGTTTCTATATATTCGTCATGGCCAGAAGTTCCATATATCTCTACATTTTTCCTTCATTTTTCATTTTCTCGTTCCTGAATGAACTTATCAGCGTAAAAAATAGAGTCCCAAAATATGAATATTTTCTTGTTATCCGTAGAGCGCAGTTTCCAAAATATCGCGAATTTTTTTTTTTTAATTTGAATTTTTTTTTTCTTGGATTTTAGTAATGAAAACCGGACGTTTCTAGGGATCACTTAAGAGTTTTAACGCTACTAAAGTGGTCACTAGAAAAGAACAGAAAAGTGCTGAAGCTACTAAAGTGGTCACTAGAAAAACCCATTGCTGACGCTACTAAAGTGGTCACTAGAAAAGCCCATTGCTGAAGCTACTAAAGTGGTCACTAGAAATTTCCAGTGCTGAAGCTACTAAAGTTGTCACTAGAAAAGCCCAGAAAAGTGCTGAAGCTACTAAAGTGGTCACTAGAAACGCCCCGACACGTCCGATCGTTTTGCGTTACCAATTCCGAGTAGTCGTAATTCATGAAAATTGAAATGAAATATGCGCCCGACTCAAAACGACTTCAGCAATTCTCTGAATTCCAAAACGCGACGCTTTGAACCATTTCACACGCAATCAAAAAAATACTACAAAAAATTGTTTGTCAGAATCCGTATAGACCAAAGCCGAGCCCACAAAAAAGACATCCGAAATCCGTTTTGTACATCATCAGTTAGCCTGGAGGGCTTTGAGCCTGCCCGCCGTATGAGAGACAAGAGACGCAGGCTGCTAGACGAGGTTCCTTCTGAAACGAGAGGAAAGGAAAAGCTTGGTGTACGCTGGGTATGTTGGAGGCAGTCCTATTGATGCCGAAACGCCGGCAGGGGGGAAAAATAGCGCCGTCTCGCTCCTAGGAAGGGGCGTGACTTGAACTTTGGCTTGGCTCCTCTCCCGAAGAAGCGCTGGTGTTTCAGCTTTGGTCCGTTTTCAGAAGCTGTTTTTTTTCAGTTGAACGTATGCATGAACGTTTACGAAACACAAATTTGACGAAATGAGTTCCAAAAAGGAATTTCTCCATTTTTCCTCTTTCTCAACGCTTTCTATCTACAAAATTTTCATTACTTTCATTTACTCTGCGTGAAGTTTTCCGCTTTTGCGCGAAACGTGAGCAAAATGTGACCTTTTTCCTGTTCGAAGCTTTATTAACGCTTTTTTTAAAACTTTTTCATCTCTTCGAAGCGAAATTCTTTTGATTGGGCTGAAATTTCAGTGTATTTGATCTAAAATGTTCCTCATTTTATGCACATGAATAAATTCATGAAAAATTCGAAGCTGCTTCTCTGCCTCATGAGTTTATCATCACTTTTTTGCTTTTACCTTCTGTTTTTGTTTTCAACTTCAAGCTGCAATTCAAAAAACTGAAAACAGAAGTTACGCACCTGGTTTCCAATTACAGGTGTAAGCTAAAAGTAGGCGAAACCTTTTTTTGCAACGCCTAATAATAATTTTTTTTCTGTTTTCTAGAGCTCTCTAATTAACTTTTTATCGCCCTTTTACGGCCAAACTTGATTTAAAACGGATTTCGATAACATGAATAAATATCTTTCTGAAATTAATCAGAAAATGCGAGCGATTTACCATTCCAAAACTTGATTGAAATTTGTTCACATGACTTCTCCCCTTTAAAAAAAACCCTAACTTCCCTCTTAAGGTCATTTTTAATGGTTAGTCGAGCGATTTTTAGTAAGAATTCTTGGCACTTTGTTCGCATTGAAGGAACTTGAAGGCGTAGGCGAAAACGCACATTTTTCTTTCTTTTCAAGGCCTAATAATAGCTTTTTCCCTTTCTAGGGCTCCTTTGATCAACTGATTATGCTCTTTTTAAGACGTAATTTGTTTTGCGTTTCAATTCGAGACGAAAAAACATTAAAATCTGTCTTTGAGTTAAGAGCTTCGTTCCTTCAGTCATTCATGAGATAAAAATTCCGGATTTTCGCCATAAAATGTACTTTTTTCTATGAGGAAGAAAACCAACTTCATCTCCAGTTTGAGAGCAAATAAACAAGAAAAAAATCCCACAGTAGTCCACGAAATGAGATAATAAAATTTAACCGTTAAGACACGTTTCACGGCTTTCGAAATACGCCTCCTGGGGCCATCCAAAACCTTCATTTTCTGTTCCTCATTTCTACATCAGCTCTCAATTTTCTCACATTTCCAAGTTGAAAAGCATTGGCGCCGGGGCTCGTGAATAATTTCCCAGAGCCGTTTTTTTTTCTTTTTCTCTCCGCTCATTCGTTATTTTTCTCTCATTTGTGACGTTTTCATCGCGAGTTTAGGCAATGAACGACGGCTACAGTAGCCTGCCTCCACCCGCGGATGACCTGGAAAAGCACAAGAAATTCACGAGTTCGTTTTGGAACAGCTTGAATTGAGTAGTTATTCATTTTATTCAGATGGCACGTCGTCTAATAGATATTTCGATGACATCATCCCGTTCGGGGAGACCGAGGTCCGAGAGGCTTTGGAGAAGGAAGTGAAGAAACATAGGTTGGTTTTTGGAGAAAATTTGAGCTTTGCTTGATAATTGCATCGTTTTGTACTAACTAGAAGTTCTCCCTTCGAGTTATGAAGCTTCAAAGGTCCTAAAAATACGCAAGTTATGGCAAAGGAGCTCTATTTCGAAATTTTGAAGCGTCTCAACTCAAAAACCATACCTATTTAAAAATTTTTTTCTTGTTCTGCAATCAGGAGGTCCTAAAGAAGTTTGATGAAAAAGTTCAACCGCGGGGGGTAAAAAAACGTTTCTTGGTAAGGAGTTTATGAGTTCACAGAAAATCTTTTTTCTTAACTTTAAAGTCCACAGTTGCATTTGGAATGGTTTAGCGCTTGCTCAAAAGCGCGCCGGACTTGAAACGGCTTGCGCGCGCGACCATTTGTAAGTTTTGTCGCCCAGCCATTCCAAATGCGACCAATTATGTACTTTGAACTTGAACTAACCCCACAGAACCGTGAGAACCAACCAAAGCTTAAGCTTAAGCATAAGCCAAAGCTCTCTTACAGATATTGGAAGGGAAAAGCCGTCAAAAAGATGAATTTCGAACAGTTGGAGATGTCGTCATGCTTGCAGGTTGAATAGAAAAGCTTATCCAGAACAAAAAAGTGTTTATAGTATACTCTGGAGTCTTATACGGAAGCGAGATCAACTTCCGAAGTGACAGAAGCCGTCAACATGGCGGCTTTCGCCGATATGGGGGGCCCTTCTTCATCTCACGTCAACCCTTGGGATTATGAAGTCTTGCCGGCCCAGATTTTTGCCGATCAGGTGATTTTTTGGAAGAAGAAGGGGGGCAGATTGAACTATTTTTATCGCCTAGTGACGGTTTTTTAAATTTTGGGATTTTACTAGTAGTCCAGGAAAAGACGCTGATTCACTCATGGGGCCCTTTTTAATCCGATTTTCAAAATTTAAAAAAAAATCCACGATTTCTTTCCTTGTCTGTAGATGATATATGAATCTAAAAAAAGCTCCTAAGCTTAGAGAAATGATTTTGAACAATACCTGGCTGCATATAACCCGAAAATTGACGAAAATAAAACCGTTTTTTGAATGAAACTCACATTTTTTGCGAAAATTTTTAGTGGCCACTATAGGGTTTTGACGTTTTAGTGACCACTAAAGTAGTCAAATTAGTGGCCACTCAAGGGGTTAAAAATTAGGGGCCACTATAGAGGTTTAAGAGCTACTACTAACCCACTAAAAATTTAGGTGGCCACTTTAGGGGTCAAAACATAACTGGTCCAATCTGTTTGTTTTAAAATTATCAGAGTTACTGGAAGGAATATTGGATGAAAAACTACTGAAGTGGCCACTAAATAGAGAACCTCTAGAGTGGCCACTATAGAGGTGGGTTTAGTGGCCACTTTAGTGTCCTCTCCAAGTAGTCCTTGGCGAGCCTCCATAGTAGCCACTGGAAATTTTCCCAGTTACTTCAGTTTTCTTCAAAAATAAACGTTTTGTCTCAGAAAAATTTATGCAGTTCATTCATGACGCGTCTGCAAAATGCAAAAGCTCTCCAAAATTTAGTTATCTTTTTCGATCTCTGACTGTCCTTTTGAACTCCGCGGAACAACTTTGAAAATCAGAAAAACCCTCCGGAGCAAAAAAAAAGTTTTTCTCAGCGAGATCTTCATGGAACTGACCTGTATGGTCTTTTAAAAAGCTTTTTCGAAACCAATAATTCGAATTTTATCAGGTGAGGGTACTGGAAATGCCCGGAACGAGCATGATCAACCCCTGTTCGACGTGTAATTCCGATGGGACGACCCACTGTTTCCATTGTCGAGGCTATGGAACCGACAAGTGCTCTTTCTGCCGGTACAGCGTTAAGTCATCGAAAATCCTCACTTTTCGATAATTTAGCGGGACCGGAATGAAGTCGGGGGTGGCTCATCCGGCCGTTTATACCCATCCGATGGTTGCGACCTTCCCTCACGTAGGCTTTTTTTTGAAATCACGGAATACATGGATTTTTTAGGCAGACCTTTCTCGGGGCTACGCGTCTTCCTCCACGGCCATGGTTAGGCAAGGTACACCTTTTTTGGGGTTTTTGGGATTTTCCAGATAGTTTTGCCCTAATAAACAGCCAAAGTGATCATTTTCATAGGGTTCAAGAGGAATTTTTTTGAATTTTTCCGAGAACCCGAGATTTTTTTACGGAGTGAAGCTTTAGCGAAAGCTCAAAAATTGAAAAATACTGACCCTTCTTTTCAATTTTTCTCATTTTCTGGGTTAATTTTCAAATTTGTATGTTTTTTAAGCAAAAATAAGATACATTTTTCATTCTTGCCGATGATTTAGAGCTTTCAAAAATTTGTTCATCCAAAAAAAAATTATCAAAACTTCAGGCTCCAACTCTTACGGACTCGGCACTCCGATGCATTTCATGTCAAAAACAGGGGTTCCGCCGCCTGGAATCGGTTCGAAATCACTGTTTTTCGTCTATTTTCCCAATTTTCCATTAAGGAACCCACGATCTATGTTATATGTGCCATGGAAGAGGCGTCAAAGAGTGCCATCATTGCAAAGGCGGCGGCAAAAAACCGTGCACGGCTTGCAACGGGACCGGATCAGTACGCACCTACACACGGATTAAAATTTACTTGTGAGTTTTACCGTTCGTGTACTGGGAATAACTAGGAAAAAAGCAAAGAATAAATAACTTGAGAAAAAGGATAATAAAATTGCGCGTCAGGTGTAGCTTTGCCCGCAATGCACAAAAAACTCATCATCACGACATTTAGTAAAATCGACGAATTGATAAAGTTTTATTTTTAGTAATTTTCCATGTTTTTAAAAGATTTTCTGTGTTTTTGCAAAGTAACATATTATAAAAAGGATATTAACTATTTTAGCGTAGAAAATTTGCTAGTTGAGGCACAGAAAAAATCTTGGTGAGATTGAATAGATTTAGAAAAAAATCAAGAAAATGATTCAAAAAGGAAAAAAATTATCATTTCTCTCATTTTTTCAATAGTATTAAACATTGATTGTCTATTTTTTGAGTTTTAAAAGTCGTTTTTGCCAAATTTATTGTGCTGCTATGAAACATAGGAAAATCATTGTTTCAGCAAAAACGAGCGGTCAGAGTTCTTTTCCGAGTCAGAGGTGCCTCAAAAGCTGCTTTACCATGCGACGGGAAAGGAAATTTTTGCCGAAGAGCAGCCTTATGTACGTTTTTTTCAATACCTTGTGAATTTTATATAAATGTCTTTGAATCATTAGGTACTTCCAATCACCAAGTATCCGCTGAAAGAAATCAACGACGCCAGCCGAATGTTTTGCGCTCAACACTTGCAGAAATGCTTGGGCGTTTGCCGAGTGATAAAGGTTTTTTTGAATTGATTATTTTTTTAGTTTTATGATACTTTAGTTTAGGTAATACTTCCTTATGCTGCCCGAAAAAAATTTGATTTATTTATTAGGTGTTTTTTTTGCAAATTATTGGAAAAAGAGCTTTTATTTTTTTTGAGGAACGTAGAACGAAAAAAAATAAATGAAACTTTTTTGATGGTATTTTTTTCCTGCAAAAGAGATTGTATACCAAACTTGAGCATTCTTCGCTTCAAGGCCTTTTTTTGCAATTTTGTAGAGTTTAAGCGCAGAAAATCTGCGTTTACGGTAGATTTGCTTAAGCCGTGCTTTCAAAATGTCTTCCGCAAATAAGAAAAACTATACAGTATGCAAAAAAATAAAAGGTTAAGTAGTATTTCTAATTATTTTTTGCCCGAAAATGATGAGTTAGAAGTTAGAAAACCTTTTTTCGAATTTATTGTAACCATTTTTTTCAGCAACGCCACCAGTTGACCGCGATCCCGGTGTGCAAAGCCCACTACGTCATGGGCAGCGAGAAAGGGTTCTTCTACGTGTACGGCACCCAGAAAATGTGCTATTTTCCCAATTTCCCATCCAAATGCTCTATTTTGTAATTTATGTACTTCTTTCCGTTAAATCCAGCTTCCTGTCATGTGCCTTTGTTCGAATGAAAGCTTATTCTCTTCTTGGATCTTCCTCGATTTTTCTGTTCCCGAAACAGTGCACGAATATTGAGAAGAAAGAAAGTAAACGCCGGATTTTTTAATTGTTTAGAGATGATTTTACGATTGATATTTATGATGACGGTGGCCTCTGCGGCGGAGTATGTGAAAGACACTTCGTGTAAAGCTTTTTCGAGTGTTGAGAGCTTTACGTAAGTATTTTTTTCTTCAAATCTTGTGAAATTTATGAGTTTTTTTGATACAGGATCGAAAAAGATTGAAAATTTCTGAGTTTTTAAGAAATATTTCTCATATTTGAAACAGGGAATTCTTTATTTTTTTCCAAAGCGACTAGAAAAATATGAGGATTTTATGATTATTATTGGAACACTTGATGAAAGGCTAGAAATATAGAAAAAAATTGATTCTCATTAATTTTTTTCTTTTTTTCGTTAAAAGATTTGTTTTTTTCAATTGGCTACATTTTTTTCGGTATTTTTTTAGTAGAAAAGTGAGGTTTCTACTTTTTTTCTAATGGATAAAATGAGTGAAGAAAAAAAAGAAATAGGGTATTTTTTTCAATCGGCTTTGCTGGAACGCTTTTCATTATATTTTTTTGAAGGAAAGTACGATTTTTTTGACTTTTTAAACAGCTAGAAACCACTGAAAAGTAGAGAAAAGCTGCATTTTTTTGACCGGCCCAGTAAGAACATTTTTTTAAATGGTTTTTAAGAAGAAATTTCGACTTTGGGAGAAAAAAAAATAAAACGATTTAAAAAAAGAAAAAGGCGTATTTTTCAATCGGCTCAGCTAGAACGCTTTCTATTGTGTTTTTAAAGAAAGTACGGCTTTTGCGTTTTCAAAAAACTTAAAAAGACTAATAAGCAGAAAAATTGAACCTTCGGTCATGTTTCAACAATTTTAGACATCGGATATTGTCGACATGCCCGGTGACGTATCAAAGCGGCAGTAACGATCCGCTTTTCGATCCCAACGATGTATTTTTCGTCCGTTGCCCGACGTTGCGTAAGTGTTGAAAATTCGAGAAGCTTTGCCAAAAGTCGTTTTCAAGCTCCCACGGGAGACGATCCGGGCGGCCCGATGGTTCTGAATGCGACAGAAGTCCTCGCACTCTTGAAATACAGGGACAACGGCCGGCGACAGTGGTGCATGCTCACGTGGGTTGTTATTATATATGTCGAAACGTTTCTGAGCAGTTCTAGGGTTCACTTAAGGGTACTGACGCAACTAAAGCGGTCACTAGAAATCCCCAGAAACGTCCGTTTCGGGTTACCAATGTCCGAGTTGTTATGAGCATTTTTTTCTGAAGATTTCGACTCTTAAATTGATGCGGAACATGGAAATCTAGACTATAACGGTAAAAAATGCGAAAAATTTGGAAAAAGGCTGCTTTTTAATTTTTTTCAAATCAAAATGCATCAATAAAATAGGAAGAGCTGGACAGGTTCTTCAAGAAAATTTTCCAATTTTGCTCTTTTTTGAGCTTTTCAGGACATTTTTCTATCATTTCCAAGCAAAAAATGACCAGGTTTTTCACAGAAACTGGAAGAAAATAGTTGAAAAAAAAAATTTTCAAAAAAAGCCTTCAAAAGGAATGAATCGATAATCATAGCAAAGATAGATAGGCTCAAAATAGATGTTTTTTTTTTCAATCTGGCGCCTTTCTGAGCTTCTTGAGAGCTTTTTTTTATCATTTCCAAGCTAAAAGTTACCAGGTTTATCACAGAAAGTAGAAGAAAATAGTTGATAAAAGACCTTATTTTTCAAAAAATCCCTAGGCATTTATCTATTGCTTGAAATCACCAGGGTTTTTCACAGAAAAAAATGAGGAAAATATTTTTTTTTATATTTTTCTGTATGTTTCAGCTTGTTTTACGCTCATCAATGTCCCTTTTCGCGCGATATCGCGCCTCATTTCAACGCGTTGGCCGCCCTTTTTCCGGACATTCTTCCCGTTGCGATCGATGCCACACAGTTCAGCAAGTAGGATTTTTTATAATATTTGGGCGGGGCTAGCCTTGCGACGCGGTCGGAGTTTTGTCATTTTTTTCGAAAATTTTGGTCCTTGAATTTTTCGCATGGTTTGTAAGTCAGGGGGTTTAGAAATGGTTCAATTATCAAATATTATGGTTAAAAAAAGGTTCCTTTATCAATATTTTTCGGTGGTATGAAAAAAATTTTCCCGACTTTTTTCCCCTATATTTTTCCGTTTATAAAACATCTATAAAAATTTTTTTTTCCTTTTTCTTTGTGTTTTATTCATGAATGAATGTCTTCTTTACATAGAAATATTTAAAAAAAGAAGATTTTATCGAGAAAACAAGTCGGAAAAAATTTCGTCGGAAAGGTGGCCTTCGGAAAGTTCCCTAGTGATATGAAAAAATTGGAAAAGTCGCCGTTTGAATTTTCGCTGTTGTTTTTTTCATACCACCTATTTTTCAATTTTTTTTACTCCAGAACGAGAGAAAAATGCATTTTTAACATGGCCAGCCCCGCGTAGCTTTTGGATTTTCATCCCTTCAACCCTCAAATTCCATTTTTTGAGACTAAATTTCCGGTACGGCGTGACCGGAACCCCGACGGTTCTCCTGTGGCATGCCGGCGTTGCGGTCGCCAGAATGCAGGGCACTTCCCACGACCTCGCCGGCTTATCCGTAAGAATCCCCCCGTTCTTCTAAAAATACCATTCGAATCCCAGGAGTTTATCGTCGCCAGAACGGACCAACTCCCCCGATTCAGCCCAAAAACGACGAACATAACGATACCCGATGGCTGGGACGTCCTCGTTATCGACATGGACAATAAGAATGCCTACGATTTGGAACACACCCTCGTCTGCTTCGCTGTCACTCTTCTGTGTAAGCTTCAACCCTTTTTCCATTGAAGAAGTGAGAAATTTCAGAGGGGTCAGTGGTTGAGAATCGGACTCCTGTTGAGAAGATTTTGAGGGGTTCCTATAGGGTTTTATTGTTCTAGGGATTTCTATAAAGTGCCCCTCCAGGGTTATATCTTCCAGTAGCCCTTTTAGTGGTTCAGAGTCGAGCCCCTACTGGGGAGATTTCGAGGGGTCCCTGTAGAGTTTTCTCGTTCTAGAGACCTCTATAGAGGTAAATTTGACGACTTCTGTAGGGATATAGGGTTTGACCCCTACTGAGAAGATTTTAAGGGGTCCCTATAGGGTTTTGCTGTTCTAGGAATCCCTATATGGGAAAATTCAAAGGCCCCTGTAGGGGTTTAAGGACGGAACCTCTATTGAAAAAAATTTGAGTGGTCCCTATAGGGTTTTGTTAACTGCGGATGCCTTGAAGAGACAATTTGACGAGCTTTGTAGATAACCTCACTGAGGAATTCTTGAAGGGCCCCTAAAATGTTTTCTTGATTTAGGAACCCCTATAGAGAGGAAATTTGAAAGCACCTTTAGGGGCAAAAAAGGGGTTCAGGGTCGGGACCCTACTGAGAATTTTTGAAGGGTTCCGATTGGGTTTTGTTGGTTCAGGAGCCTTTATAGAGGGGAAATTTGACGGCATCTTTAGGAGAGGAAAAAAGAGAGGGTGCAGGCTCTGCCTCACTACTGAGTAATTTTCGAGGGGTCCCTTTAGGGTTTTGTAGTTCTGGGGACACCTAGAAAAGGCTATTCGACAGCCTCTCTTTAAAGTGATCACTTTGAGAAAACATGACTTGAAAGATCACTTCAATCTATTCACTAAAGGAGGCTATCCGTTCATCTTGCAGAACGGTGAATAGATTTTTCATGACCTAAAAGTATTTTTTCAGTGGTTCTGTACACTCTGCGGAAGCAGGTCCTCTACAGCAAGATCGTCCAGCTCCCAGTCGTGACGTCATTTGGCGTGCAGAGCTACGAGCGCCTCCTCTACCTGTTCTACCTGCCGCCGCCGCCTCGGAATGACCCGGTTCCGGAACCTCAGCCGGAACAGCCGCCAAGAGCGCCGATCCCACCGGCGACGCCTTCGATCGGACGTCGCCCTTCTTCAGACGGCCCCGAGGAGCTTGACCAGATGCAGGACCGTCTCGACCCGGACGCCATCGAAAGAGATGCCAACGAGGAATCGTCCAGTTCTGACGAGGACTGAGAAATCGGGTATCAAAAAGTTTGCTCCGGTTGAAGTGTGCTCCACGGAGAATCAAAGCGCCAAATATGAAAATGCCAAAAGTTATTCTTTCCTGTTTTCCCCACCTAGGTCCTACGTTTGAATCTTCGAGCCTCATCGAAAGCTAGGGATAACTGCTAAACAATAGGGTCTTCAGAGATAGAAAAAGTCTGTCCTCTCATTTTCGAACAGTCTCTAGCTTCTTATTTCATTCTGAACATATTTTTCCAATCTCTGAACGCTCTCCTCTTTACTAGTGCTTTTTAGCTGTCGAAGATTTGAACTGAAAGAAAGTTTTAAAACTTTCTATAATTGATAATTGGTTTTTCTTTTGTTCAAATTGCCATAATTGGTGTGCAATTTTCCGTTTGCTAACTGTCTGCTTTCTCTGCGTTCTCTTTTCTCTAGCTCTTCATTTTTCTAGGAATTCTGGAATTTTACCATTTTTCCTATGATATTTAGCTTTGGGGCGCACTTCAACCGGCGCTTTTTGTGTATTTTTTTTTTTTTTTTGAAAATTTGGCTTTCACTGTCAACTTAGAAACTACGGACTCATGGCTGTTATTTTTATCTTTTTATTACTTATTTTGAGATAATCTGAGCATTGGTCAGCTGTATATGCGATTTAAATTTCGATAATTTTTGATTTTAAAAGGAATAATCAAAATCGGTACATGAATCAAAACTAATGGATTTTGTCAAACTGATATCAGAAGGGTACAGTTCAAATAATTGTAGTTCAAGCCTTAAATTTTTAAACGGCCGTAAATCGCAATCTCAGAAGCTTCTGTTATTTTTTCAGTCTTTCTTTTTTTTTTCCGCGATTTATAGCGTATGAACGGTGTTGCTCACTTTTATATTCAATCTTCTGTTGATCCTTGTGATTTCAATTGACTTTCGGGTATTTCCATATTTGTCGGTGAGCTTGTTTCGCTTCAAATAAAATGAATCAAATTTGCTCAAATGTGACACGGAAATCATTTGGTCGGATCACTTCCCGGCCGTTATCAGGGAATTAGAAATCACATGGAAATTTTTCGCCATGAAAAGCTCAAGACGATCAAACTTCTCAGTGGAAGACACGTGGTCGGTAGAAAAATAAGCTCTTGAATTTGAAATATATGACTTACTTGAGCTAATTTTAAAAGAGGAATGTCAGAAATAAAGTTCGAATTTCTGTTTTTTTCCGTCCCAAGCTAAAAGTTAGGTGTCTTATGATTTAATTTCAATAACCATTTTTGTTTCAAAAAGGTTATTACAAGCAATTTCGAGATCAAAATTGGAATCGCAATGAAAAATCTATGTTTTTAACTCAAAATTAATATTTTCACTGGCGGTTCCCCCTAGAGAGTAAAGTAGAAATAATCTCAAGGCTTAAAATTATATAAAAAGAAAAAAACAGGTTCCCATCAAAATAATGACATCATTTTATCCGGGGAGCACATTTGAACCAAAAATTTGAGCGTTCGCAGGAGGGAAAACATCTGGTTACATCGACGTCACTGGGAATTTGAAAATCGGGCCATTCTTTTCGTTTTTTTTTGTCTCGATGGAGCGACTGTCTTTTCCCGAGGGTCCGTCTCGTCGTCTGGTCTCTCTCCGTTTCCGCGCATCTCGCAACACAGTGGCCTCTTTTTTTTTTCTTTTTTGATTTCAGCACGTTTCTCTCCTTTTTGGATGTTTTGAGGAACGTTTTGGCTCCTTTTTCTTTCCGATTATTTTAGGAATGAGCATCAGAACTGGAGAAGCTCGGGAAACCAGATTTACGGTATTTTTTGGAGTTTTTAGGAAGAAATTTTGGAATTTTGGGATGTTCGATTTCGAAAAGTTTCAGCGATATTTCATAACATAGAATATCAATTTTTCCATTTTCATTTGTTTTACGAACTTCTGAAAAAAAGTTCCTTCTGTAAACTTCCGAGAGACTCCCCCCACACTTCCGCCGCTTTCTCGAGGTCACTCTCCTGTCCATTTTTCTCACCTCTTGCGTGAACGACTTTTGAAATCGGCCCTTCGTTATTTATTTCCCACGTCGTCCTTCTTCAAAGACGATGATATTGTTAAAACAATCTTTGTTTTTGCATTTCTACACGATTTTTCGGAAATTTTCGTTAAGAAATCAAATTATTCTGTGAGGTTGTGGCTTCTTTCTGACAAGGAAATAAATCTAAAAAATAATAAAATCTAAAAATTTTTGCCTTAACAAAAAAGTACGTGGACGCACGTAGAATGGATCTAAAGCTCTAATGAGCTTTTGGATATCATCTTGCGCAAGTCGTATTAATTCGGGTGCAAAGCTTTTTCTATTCCACATGCCACTATAAGCTTCAGGAGGATTTGAATTTTGATTTTTCTGTATATTTCATCACACTGTTCAGCTGTTCGTTTCAGGACCTTTGAATATTATCGTTTCAATAGAAAAAATTGGCCTTAAAAATTACCATAATGTTCAAGTAGCCCAATGAAAAGCTCTGAAAATCTGAAAATGGTATTCACATGAAATAATCGATTTATCGTGCAAATGTGGCTTCTTTCGCATTGGGAAAAACTTTTTTTTCGAAACGCCTCATCAAAAAAAAAAGTAAGGTAACACGTAGAATGGATCCAAAGCTCTTATAAGCTGTTTGATGTGCTCTTGCGCAAGTCGTATCAAGTCGCGTGAAAGGCTGTTTTCATTTCTCATGTGATCATAGGCTTTAGGAGGATTTAATTCCGATTTTTCTGTATGGATTCAGGTGATACTGTTAGAAAATTCCTTCTTTATCACAATATTGTAGCTGTTTGTTTCGAGACCTCTTATAAGCTTTTTAATGTCCTCTTGCCGCAAGAGGACATTAAAAAGCTTATAAGAGGTCTTGAGTCTTGCGCAAGTCGTAATAAGTCGGGTGCAAGGTTGTTTTCATTCCTCATGCGATCATTGGAAGATTTGAATTCCGATTTTTCTGATTATTTTTGTTTCGAAGTTGTTCCTTGTTTCATCACACGGTTTAGACGTTCGTTTCAAGACCTTTTCTTCGAATATTATTTTTTCAATAGAAAAAGGGTCTTTAAAATTACCATAAGGTCCCAGTAGGCCATCAGAAGGGCCAGGAAAATCTCTGAAAATTGAATTTTTATCAGAAAATTTTATTTTTCGCTGAGCACATGCTCAAAAACCGATCAAAAACAGAAGTTTGATGTCTTTTTTGAGGATCTTTCCCTGTTCCGGACCTTCGAAAAACTTTCCGGTTATTCTCTTCTTCTTAACAATCTCCGAATGGTTATATGGGCCGAGTCTTATCACTCACGTCAATTGTTTAATCAGCTCCTTGCATCTTGGCGAGAAAAAGTTTTTGCCTCGGGCAAAAAAAAAAGTAGGATTTGTTGCCGAACCATTATGTGGTAGAGGAATGGCCCAACGGCAGGGGGGAAAAAAAGAAAAGCCATCACTTCTCTTTCTTTTTTTGCTCCTGTTGGAAGCCCCTTCCTCATTGCTCTTTCATTTTCCCTTTTTAGTTTCTCTCCTCAAAAAGTTTTTCGGTAGCTCTTCTCTATTTCCGCCTTTGCACTCTTTGTCCTTGATTTGAAGTTATTCGACTTCCTCCAGCTTTTGGGGGGGCGGCTTAGGGAAGGTTTATTTTTTTGGGTTCCATTAAGAGTTGATGGCAACATAGTCACAAGGAAATGCACCCAAACATGAACCCTTCTCATTTTTTTTTGCGAAGCTTGAGAATTCCTTCCGAAATGTCTATAAAAAAGTTACAGCCTATAAAAAGACCCAGAAAAAAAATCCTTGATGATGTCCTGAAAAAGTTTTTTTTTTGTCATAGTAGTTGGAAAGACGAAAAAGATGGAAATTCATTTAAGGGACCTCTTCAACGATTTTCGACTTTTTTCATAAAAAAGGATCATTTTTGGAATTTTTTTGGGATCTGTATGAACTTTACAACCGCGGAAATGAATTTTAACAAATTTTTGAAAAGCGAACTTCAAAAAAAATATTTTTCGATATGAAAAAGTCTGGTCTGAAGACCTGGTATACATATATAATTTTTTTCTTTCTTCTTTTTTTTTTTTTCAGCATTTTTTTGAATATTTCTGCTTTCTTTTTGTTTGAGTTTTGCAGCCACTCCATTTTTTGCGATCAGTATTTTTCCAAAAATTTTTCAAAACGTTTTCATTCCAAGACTCTTCCTTCCGAAAAAATCGGAGAAAAAAACTTCGAAATTCCAATTTTCCCAGAATTTTTTCTGAAAGCCCAAAAGTTACACAAAATAATCATTTTTGAACCCATCATTTTCATGTCCGATTTTTGACACGTCAAAGCCGAATTTGAGGAAAAACTCGTAAAGAACTCAGGTAAAAACAAGGCCGAAGCGCGGCGGCCTCGCAGGAACCAGGACGAAAAATGGTGTTGCGCGAGATGGAGATCGAGCCATTCTACCTGCGGATCGACGGCAAATGGGTTTTCGTCGATGAGGAGGTCCTCAAGGCGCATCCCGGCGGCAGCGCCATCACCACCTACCGCAACATGGACGTTAGTCTCTTTTTTCTTCAGTTTGCAGGTTCTGACCAAACTTTCGAAGAAGGTATAGCTGATTCACGGCTGGCTTGAGCCATCGAAAAAAGGGCCCTGACACGAAAATGCACGAGATGGTGCCTGGATCGTGGAGAGTGCAGAGAGACCACGCCCCTTAGCGTCCCAAGCTAGCCGTGAAAGCTATAGCCTCAGGTATGACTACGCGAGAAAAAATCTGCTACTGACTTGAAACTGCTGTTTTCTCTGCGCCCTCCTCGTCTCTCAACGACCCTCTCTCCTTGACGCGCTATTTTCGCGTTTCTCTGACCTCGCCGGTGAGGGACTAGAGAGACGCAGACAGTCGAAGAGTGTCAACTTGAACCTTCTGCTTGTCTGCGTCTCTGTGTTCCCTCACACGGACAGAAAGTTTCAAGCTTCACATTTTTCGAGTGTCTGCGTCTCTCTGATCCCTCACAGGTCAGAGAAACATGAAAATAGCGCGTCAAATTGAGATAGTCACCGAGAGACGAGGAGGGCGCAGAGAAAAAGTTGCGAAAAACAGAGTATTACAAGGAAAAATGTAGGAATCCATCAGGAAAAACTGCAAAACTTCGGATTTTGGTCAAAATTTTGCTCTCGTTCGGTTTTTTTCGACTCGAGAAAAAATCGCCAAAAAATAAAATTGATTTTTTTTCGAAAGTCTGTCAAATTTCCTGAGAACTTTTAGGGTTATTATGTAAAGCTCTGTAATTTACAGTAGCCAAGAGGCTAAAAGTTAAAAAAAAACCACTCTAAAAATTGGCAACTACCCTCAAAATCTTGAAACTTTTTTTCGGAAAAGAAAGGAAGAGTTCTGTAACAGTAGACCATCCAGATAGTTTTTTTTTTCACACTTCGTGGCCTTTTTTTTCTTTCAAATCAGCGTTAAAAACGGATCTGAATATCCCATTCTTTGAGAAAAATCGTGGTAATTTTTTTAGTGCAGAGAAATTCAAAATGTCCCTAGAGTGACCACTAATTTTTTTTCTGCGTTGGAATTTACCAGGCATAGTCAATATGGCAAAACTTTGAAAAACTCACTTAAGTGATAACTTTGAGAACCTTTATGAATTTTTATTTCCTAATTTTCTATTCAACTTCGAAGTCATAAGTAGCCACTTGAGTGATTTCACTGGGATTTTCCCAAAATCACTGATTTTTTTTTTACTTTTTTCTGAAAAATAGATAGTGCAACTCCCATGATATCACTCCATTCTCAACTCTTGTTTATTATTATTTTTCATCAGGTGTCAATTGTTTTCATTACAAGGTGTAGCCAAAGCTATGAACCATAATTGGACATTCTTTCAAAACATCCGCACAAAAAACAACGAAAATAAATGGAAAAAAACTGGAAAGACGAATTTTAAGGGCTCAAAGGATATAACTAAACCGGAGAGGAATTATTATTTTTTCAACTTTTTCCCTTTCCCTCCTTTTGAAGTATTACACGAAGAGTAGAAATTTCCCTTTCTCGGTCCCTTTCCAATCAAGTCTTCATTGGTTCTAGGGAATTCGCTACATGAACATTGACCACCAGGACCTTGCAAATATTTTTCCAAAAGCATCCTTTTCCATTCCCCATTTCCCGGAGGTTATTTGGGTAGAAAGAACACAAAACGAAGTGCGCCGTGTGGCGTGCTTTTCATGCGTCCGATCAACCTTATCAATCAATCAAATCGGGCGAAACTACAGGGAAAAAGAGAACGCGTGCGTTTTCTGAAAATCGACATGAAGTAGTGATAGTGAGAGGAGTTTGGAGAGTACGCTTACGATTTTAAAACGGGTTTTAATGACGTAATTTCGACATGTCCATCTAATGTGTCAAAAAAATAATGGCAAAAAACGATAATGCAAAAAGATTCGAACCTTCCTCATAGGCTTCGCTGACTTCCGCGCTAGCCACTGCACCACGCTTCTAGCTCTCATGCAAAAGCTCGTTGTGCGGAGAGATACATTCCAAAAAAAAAAGTCACTAGTTTTAGGCCAAAAACTTTAAAAAATCATATCTCCAAAACTAAAAGTTTGCACAGATAGCGACTATGGGGGATTGATTTCCAGTCCATCAGAGAGTTTATAGAAAACTCCAAATCCTACGCCAAAATGACCTTCCATATTAGTTTTCTAGAGCCGCAGATTGTAACCTTTCACAGAAAAACTTTAGAAATCCCTTAAGTGATCCCTCAAAATATGCTTACAGGCGACCACAGTGTTCCACACATTCCACCAAGGATCCAAGCCGGCTTACAAATGGCTCACCGAGCTCAAGGAAAAGTGTCCCACTCAGTCGCCGAACATCAAGCCGGTCAAGGTCCGAGAAACTTGAAAAAAAAAATAAAAGTATGGAAAATGTTCAGGAAGACATGCTGAAAGGCTTCGACGACGTGAACATGGGCAAATTCGACATTTCCGACGAGAAATCGGCTGAAATTTCGAAGAACTTTGACAAACTTCGGATACGAGTCAGAGCCGAGGGATTGATGGAAGGCAGCGCTCTTTTTTACATCAGAAAGGTTGATTTTTGAATTTTTTGTGTTTCTAACTGATACAGAACTTCTTGTGGAACATTATCAAGACTTACTGCAGAAATTTCAAGTGGCCTCTTTAGGGTTTTGACGGTTTAGTTGCCACTTAAGCGGCCTCTTTAGAGAGCGACTACGATACCACTAAAACCACTATAATGACCACTAAGACGCATAGTAGTAGCTTCTAAAGAGGTGGTTTTAGTGTCCTACCCAAGTAGTCCTTAAAGGCATAGGGGCAGTAAAAAATGGGGTTTCAGGTGAAAGCAGTATCTTATACAGTTTTTCTTTGCGAATCGAATGGTGTACTCGAAAAAATTACAGATGTGACTATTTTTGAAGAAAAACGCGATTTTACTCTCCCGCCTTTAATTTTGAAAAAGGCTTTGGATCGGTATGCAGACAATTGTTTACAGTAGCCGTGCACGCGATGTTGCGGACGTCTCATTAGACTCGCATTTTGTGAGAAATAACCGGATATCTGCTTCAAATTAAGGGTTTCTATTCTGAAAAATCGATTAAGAAAACAGAAAATACACACTGATAATAAAGAAAACACAAATAATCGCTTTCCCAATCGAAACCTGTGTAAAATCATCATTTTTCACCAAAGAAGCATATTTGCGATTGAAGTTTGCAAATTATACATGAATAGAAAGCTTTCGTGACGAAAAGAACTTTGGTGATAACAGAAAAAATTGAAAATTGAAAGAAACGAAGAAAAAAGCGAAAATCCGGAAGATGACGAAGCCTGTTGTCCATAGAGCAACTTTACTGCGAAACCCCCTTTTTGGCGGCAACTCAAACTTTCCTCTCTCCGACTTTGAATAATTTTTTCTTCAAAACTAGGAACTTCTGTACGTTTTCAAGTTCACCGTTCGATTCGCAATCAAAAGCTCTATAAATAACCGCTTTGAACTGAAACACCGTTTTTTACTGCCCCTATGCCTTTAAGGGATCTCTTAAGTGGCCGCAGGAGTTTCGCACAGAATATAGATGCATTTTAAAAAACTCGTCTTTTTCTGATGACGTGAACATGGGAAAATCAGGCTTTGACGTTTGAGTGGCCACTTAAGTGGAGTTAAAACTAGTGGCCTTTTTGGAAGCCCAATGGGTACTACGAGAGCATTAAAACTACTATAATTGCCACTAAGAAGCGAATTAGTGACTTGTATAGAGATGGCTCTAGTGGCCACTTTAGTGTCCTATCCAAGTAGTCCTTGAGGGGCCTCTCAAGTGTCCGCTAGAGTATTTTTGAAAAATTGTTCTCTTTAAGACCCTCGAATCGATCGGGCTCATCTGCCTGGCGGTTTACCTTCAACTGAGCCTCGGTTGGTACATCCCTTCGGCGATTTTGATGGGCCTCGCTTGGCAGCAACTCGGCTGGCTCATCCACGAGTTCACCCACCATCAAATGTTCAAAAATCGACATTACAATGACCTGGCTAGGTTCGGAAAAACTTGAAAGCTGAAAAAAGGGAAAAAGTTCAGTTATTTCGTTGGAAACTTCTTGCAAGGCTTCTCTTCGGGAGGATGGAAAGAGCAGCACAATATCCACCACGCCGCCACGAATGTCGTTGGCAGGGACGGAGATCTCGATTTGATGCCCTTCTACGCGACGGTCGCTCAGGATTTGAAGGTGATCATCTCCTTTCTGGAAATTTCGGGTCGTCTTATTTAAAATTGAAGAACAAATTGATGAAATCGCGTTCATGAGAATCGAAACAGCCATGATTCATTCAGCCTATAGAAAAATCTAATACTTCAGAAGTTTTAAAATGTTTTTTCCTTCAAGCTTTGACTCGATGAAAGTTGGTAAAGAGTGAAAATCGAAAAAGTGGTCCCTCTGGGGTTCAGGGTCTGACCCCTAAAGCTCAAGTGGTCCCTAGAGGGGCCTTTCAATTTCATTCAATAAACGCATGTCCCCTATAAGGACCACTTTTGCAAGCCTTACTGACCCTTATAGGGGTTATAAAGTGGTCTCTAGAGCCTCTAGACTAGAAGGTACCCTCTAAGGGCCTTTAAAGGCCAAGGTTGTCCCTATAGGGACCACTCTGGAGTTCCTAATTGAAGAACCTTCCAGTAAAGACCCGCTTTTTAGAGCCCTTGTGAAAACTGAAAACTGAAAAGAGAAAAAACTCCAAAATATCCGGGCTTTCTCATGAAACATTTTTCAAGATGGCCGACAGTTGGCTTCTGTCGGTGCTGAGCTACCAGCACGTCTACTGGACCGTCATGCTGCCTTTGCTTCGACTTTCCTGGCTCCTTCAGTCGGTTCTTTTCGTCCGAAGCATGCCGACCCATTATTACAAGTACTATCGGGACACTGCGGTTTATGAACAGGTCTTTTTCAGCTTTTAAAATGGAGAAAAAATAAAAGCGTGATTTTTAGGTTTCCCTCAGTTTGCACTGGATTTTGGTGGCGTTGCAGCTTTACCTTCTTCCTGACACGCAGACGAGGTTTTTCGATTTTTTGGAGTTGAAATTTTTGAAGTCGATAGGTAGCACAGTAAGGCGTACGTGTAAAAAACTTGACTTATAATGTTCTTCGGAGCACCCGACCGCAAACGACTTGCGCCAAGTTGGTTGAAGTCGGGTGCAATTTTTCAAGTCATTCCACAAGAAAATTCATGACGAATGGAATATATCTTGAGACTTTTGTCCAAACTAGGGGTTTCCTGATTTTCCAGATTTTGAAACAAAATTTCGATGATAGAAAAGCTTCAGTCAAGCTCAACTTTCAGAGTAATGTTTTTCTTTATCTCCCAACTGACCGGCGGATTCCTGCTCGCCCACGTCGTCACATACAACCATTACTCCGTGGAGAAGTTCCCAGAAAGTTCAAACATCATGTCGAACTACGCCTGCCTTCAACTGATGACCACGAGAAACATGCGACCCGGAACTTTCATCGACTGGCTCTGGGGCGGCTTGAACTACCAGGTATCGAAAAAATAGCCACCTGGAGTGCGCTCCATGGATAAGCCTACTAAGAAATCAATTTTTCTTAAAAAAAAATACCGAATTTTGGGCCATTTAGCGTCTTTGGAAGCTCCCTGAACTGCTTCTGAAACAATTCAAATAAAATTTTCAGATTGAGCATCACCTGTTCCCGACGATGCCTCGCCACAGCCTCTCCAAGGTGATGCCGATGGTCAAGGAGTTCTGTCGGCAGAACGGCCTGCCCTACATGGTCGACGACTACTTTACCGGCTTCCAACTCGAGCTCCAACAGTTCCACAACATTGCCAAGATCGCCAACAAGCTCACCTACAAGATCAAAATGTGATTCGTTCCTGGGGCTGGTGGATGATCATCGCAAATGTTCTGTTATCCCTTTTTTTTTTGTTGAGTTGAAGTCACCGCATACCCTTCCACACTGTACATCATTCCAATCTTTTTATTACTTTGAGCTAAATAAATATTTTAATCCGTTTTGATAGCCTTCAACTCATTCGAGCTCGAAGAATAACCTTCTTTTGATTTTTTGAACGTTGATTTGAGTTCTCTGAAACGGCGGACAATATAAAATGCTGCAGGTAACCTCTCTAAAAAAAAATGTACAGCGGGAAACCAACGAGGTCTTCGTGGAGAAAGAGTTGAAAAAAAAAACGGGAAAAAATGGACTTTTTTTTTGAGGGTACGACGAAATCTCAAGTCCGCAAATCTCGAGGACCGTAATCTTGTGTACGCAGATCTAAAGTCCCATAATCTTGGAAACCACAATCTTGGAAAGCAAAAATCTTCCTTTTTAGTCTTCTTTATTGCACTTTATCTACTTATATTCTCTTGTTTGGATCACCGAATACAATTTCTGATAAAATCTATTCGCAAAAGCGTTGATTTTTATTTTCCAAGATTGTGGTTTCCAAGATTTTGGTCTCCAAGATTTTGGTCTTCAACACTAAGAATAACTGCCGAGATAAACGCGAGACACTGGCGGTACATTGACGAGCTCGCAAACATCTCGCTTTTTTTCTCGCGCCGGTTTCGCATTTGTCTGGGCGCGAGCTCGCATTTTTCTAGGCGCGAGCTCGCATTTCTCTCGCAATTTGAAAATTTCCGAAATGCGAGATAAATGCGAGATGGCGCCGAGAAAAATGCGAGGTCGCGCCGAGAGAAATGCGGGATCGCGCCTAGAAAAAAGCGACATTTTTGCGAGTTAGTCAATGTACCGCCACCGAGCTCGCGTTTATCTCGTCAGTTATTCTTAGTGAAGGTTATGGGACTTTAGATCTGCGTACACAAGATTAGGGTCCTCGAGATTTGCGGACTTGAGATTTTTTCGTACCATCCTTTTTTTTGCGAAATCTCGTCAATTGTGTCAACTACGGTGTACACACTCCCACGCGCATTCACATACTGCCGAAAATTTTCAATACATGGAAAAAGTCGCAAACGTTTTTTCAACGTTTCAAAGTCTTTTTGCTTGTTTCTTTTTTCTTCTTGTTGGAGTTCAAAGTAATAATAGGGGTTTAGTAGCGAATCTGAGCCGTTTTAAGCAATTCATGAAGGAAAAATTCTCGAAAAAAATGCGTTCTATTATACATTTGTAAAAAAAGGTTCTTTTGTTCATTTTTCGACATATTCAAGCAATAATTCAGAAAAACTCTAAAAGGACTTTGCATGGGAAATTTTAAATTAGTTTCTTTTCATCGATTAATGATACTTTTTATGTTCTGCTTTGCTTTGTGAGAGTTAGAGGAAATGCGGAAAGTTTTTTTTAAGGTTTTTTTTTTCATTTTTGGCCGAAGTTTATTTATTTTAAAGTAGAAATTTTATATTGAATGCAAAAAGGCTTCGGTTTTTTTTAAATCTATTTAATTTCATTATTTTTAACGCCTCATTTTAACATCGAAACTGTAGTTTATGTTGCGATTCCTGAATTTCATCTTTATTCATGTTTTCATGTTTTAATTTTTTTTTTTCTTAGAGGATTTCGAGTTTCATTTTGTCAATTTGAATTGTGTTCTGAACCTTCGTTTTTGGGTACAATGAAGCATTCCTCTCGCCGCCGAGGAACAATCCAAATAAGCTGAACCCCGAGGAACCACCGTTTGAATTGTTTGATAACGTGTCAAGATAAAAAGAGAAGGCAAAAAAGTCGTCTTACCGGTTGACGTGTCTGCGTCTCTCGTTGGCAGGCGTGGTCTCTCGACGGGGTCGAGAGATCGCGCCATGGGCGGAGAGCTTCGATAGGAGCCCCTTCCAGCGTCATTCTCTCACGCAGCCGTCGTCATGACCGCCGGTGCCAAAGCCAACGGTATCCGCATGAAGGTTTCCATATTTTGAGTTGATTCATTTCAAATTTGATTCTTAAAAATTCTTTTAAAAATTTTTTTTCGTTTTTTTTTCGGGTTCAAAAGTGGTCGATCGAAATATTCATTAATTTAAAAAATTCGAGCTAGTTCTAAATTTCTGGAATTTGAGTCAAATGATAGCCTGAGTCTCTTGTGTTCGAAGTGATTCCGCGAAATTTAAAATAGCGTCAGAGAGTGAGAAATATAACCAATTTTTGGAGGGTTCGAGATAATTTTTAATCTCACAGAATTATTTCATGCGTTCACAAGTAGCTACTTTTTGCTTAAAATTTGAAATTTTCAGCTTTTTTTCGAAAATATTCCTAGAAAGTTTTTGTTTTTTTTTCTTTCCGATGTAAAGAATTTTCCAATTTTTTTCTCAAGAAAAAAATCAGCTGTATTATAAGTTACCAAAAATCCATTCTTTTTTTAGAGTTGGAATAGACAATAAATTTGAAAAAAACTCTGCAATTTTTTTGGGATTTTTTTAAAAAAATTTAGTAATATTTTTTTCAAATGGACTCTAGTTTCAGAACTACATGTAGATGATTATTAAGCTGATTTGAAAAGTATATTTTTTTCTCATTAAGACCTTCAAAAATTTGAAAGTCCCTGTCCTGTGAAGTTTTTCTATGCGCAAATCTATCAAAAACAAAAAAAAAAACAACTAAAAGATTTTTTTTCAGTTCATACTCGAAATTTTCAAAACCTTTTTCCATCTATCGTGTGATAAAATAAATTCGTGACTTTTATGAAGCCAATTGATTGATGTGTGTAGTCAGTTTCCGAGTCTGCGCAAAAAATGGCGGCGGCGGGAAATTTTTGTCCGAAAAATCACCCCACCAGCCGATCGCCCTTTCTCTGCGTCTCTTTCTCTTCGGTTTTTTCGTTCTTTGCACTCACAAAGCAGAAAAAAAAACAGAGACAGGTGGGAAGATAGGGAGTAAATCACGTAGCAAATCAAGGTAATCAATAAGTTTTTGAAAAGAAAATGGAGTTTCAATGAATCTCAGCTCAATGGGGATGGACGGTCTGGGAAAATTTTTAGTGGCCACTATAGAGGCTCGCCAAGGACTACTTGGAGAGTACACTAAAGTGGCCACTATTTTCCGTTTTAGTGGCCACTTCAGTAGTTTTTCATCCAGTATTCCTTCCAGTAACTCTGGTAATTTAAAAACAAACAGATTGGACCAGTTATGTTGATCCATTGACCCCTAAAGTGGCCACAAAATTTTTCTAGCTCTTTAAGTGATAACTAGGAAATTCCAAGGGGTTACTTTAGTGGAGCTTATTTCTCCTTATTGATCACTTAATGAACACCGATTAATATATTTATCAGTAGTGAATTTTGGGATTTGAACCAGTGACCTTGCGGACGGTAGAACCCGTCTACGACCCTGTTTTTATGAGTAACTTGCAGGTGGACGGCAAATGGCTGCACATCAGCGAGGAGCTGATCCACAAGCACCCCGGCGGCGCTGTTATCAAGCAATACGCGTTCGTTTTTACAAAATCCTAGGAAAAAAACTATAAAGCAAACGCCTTAGTTTTGAATCAATGAAAAGGCAAACTTGTAAAGAAGGATAAACTTCAAATACTTTAGATTATGAGAACCAGCTTTTTTTTCAGATACAAGATCGTGAACCGTGCGAAATAAAAAAGAACCAATTTCTAAAGAAAACGTGACTTTACTCGGAGTTTCAGTATTTTTCAAAATTCAGATTACTTCTCCAGGTATCGGATAAAGATTGTGAAAGTTTCAAACTACAAACTTTTTGAAAAACTGGGCTCAAGGCCGTTTTTTGAGATTAATCGATTTTAAATTCGTTTTGAAGCCTTTTTTTCTCAAGAGTTATAGCTGATCCAATGTTACCTTGAGTCATCGAAAAAGGGTCCTTACACGAAAAAGAGAGATAGTGCATGGCTGGGGGAGAGCACAGACAGGTTACGCCCCCTTAGCGTACCAAGCTTGTCGCTATTGACAGAAGTCGCTATAGCTGATCCACTACTACCTTGAGCCATCAAAAAACGGTCCTGGCACGAAAAAGAGAGATAGTGCATGGCTGATGGAGAGCACAGACAGGCCACGCCCCCTTAGCTTTCCAAGTTAGCCATGAATCGACTATAGGAATTTTCACAACTAGGACCTAGCTGATCAGTTAGAAAGTTTGACCCTGATTGGTTTCTAAAAACAACCATAAAGTACATTGCTCTCCCTAAGTTCCGTCAACTTTCAGAAGTGCCGATGCGACGCACATTTTCCACGCCTTCCACGAAGGCTCGTCCAGCGCCTACAAGCAGCTGGACGTGCTCAAGAAGGGCGCCTGGGATCCGTCGGAGGACCTGGAGGAGCAACTTCGGCTGCGGCACGACAAGGCCGACGTCAACATCTCCGCCTATGACATCACCGTCAATGAAGTTCGTTTGTGATTTATTTTGAAGGGATTGGAACGGATTAGGCCAATATAACCTATATTTTGAATATTGACGTCATTCTTCTTATTATTAGTGTCATAAGAGCGCGCAAACCGGCGCGAGTCGGGTGAATGGAAATATGGCTTCAAATCGAGCCAAAGCCAGGCGTTTCAAGTCGAAGAAAATGGCACACAGAAGAACGACGTCACCTTCTCGGTATTCAGGAGAAGCGAATCGTCGAAAGCTTCGAACGTCTGCGGCAACGAGTCACGAAGGAAGGCCTGATGGAGGCCAATGAAACCTACTTTTTCTTCAAATCCCTCACAACTCTGGGCTTCATGTTCCTCGCCTTCTACCTGCAGTATCTTGGATGGTGTGTTTTTCAACTTTTTGTATAGCCTTTTCACTTGTCTGATTCCTCTAATTCTTACCTGCTATTTTCATGTTTCCAGAAGGTTAGGGAAAGCAGACTCAAAAACTCTAATTTTAAAGGCGCAGACTCTGTAAAATGGCTCTTCGTCTTGAGACCTTTATAAAAATGGTCGGAGAAGCTAATAATATCCACCGAGCGCACTTTCACTAGAGTTTTCTGCTCCTAAGATGAGATTATTTTTTCTGGGCATATTTCTGGAGATCAGATTTCTTGAACTGAAATGATGATCTAAAATGGCTCTTCTCCTTGAGACCTTCATGAAAATGTCAAAAAGCCAAAACTTGCCAATATTATCCACGGAGCACACTTTCACTAGAATTTTCTGCCCCTAAAATGAGATTATTTTTTTCTGGGCATATTTCTGGAGATCAGATTTCTTGAACTGAAATGATGATCTAAAATGGCTCTTCTCCTTGAGACCTTCATGAAAATGTCAAAAAGCCAAAATTTGCCAATATTATCCACGGAGCGCACTTTCACTAGAATTTTTGGCTTTTAAATTGAAATGATTTTTTTTTCTGTAGATCAGATTTCGTGAGCTGAAAATTGTCTTTTCATGAACCCAAAAACAAAAAAAAAATTGAGTTAAGGTACATGACATCGGCGGTCAGCTTGGCTGTCTCCTGGCAACAATTCGGCTGGCTTACCCACGAGTTCTGCCATCATCAGCCGACGAAGAACCGACGTCTGAACGACTTCTTCGGCGTCGTCTTCGGCAACCTCGCCCAAGGGTTCAGTCGCGATTGGTGGAAGGACAAGCACAACACCCATCACGCCGCCACCAACGTCATCGACCACGACGGCGACATCGACTTGGCGCCCCTGATCGCCTTCATCCCCGCCGACCTCGCCAAGTACAAAGTACCCCTTCAGAAGACCCTGCTCAAGGTTCGACCATGATTCAGAAGAAATTATCTATGATAAAACAACGTCACCATCGAGAATATATTATTTCAGTTCATCCCCTACCAGCACCTCTACTTCACCCTGACCTTGCCGCTGCTCCGAGTTAGCTGGACTTCCCAATCGATCATCTGGGTCTTCTCGGAGAACTCTTCTGAATATGTCGTCTACAGGAAGAACGCACTGGTTGAGCAGGTGAGAAATCTCAGAATGAGGATGGGGGGCAAGAACTTAGTGGGGATTTGGAGAGGCACCAGAGAAATGAAAAAAACTTGCGTTCCTAAAGAATTATTGTGCTTCATTTATTTTTTTATGAGTGTCATGGCTCTAGAAATTGAAAAGCGAATCTTGAAAAAGTTAAAGATCTCAACAGTTTGAAGAGACGCCAGAGAAGCCAAGAAAATCTTTTTCTCTGACTTTCTCTCAAGCTACCATTGATCTCTCTCCTTTTTTGTTCCTAGACATCGGAATTTACATCCTGCTAAGCTGAGAGGTCTCCAGTTTTCGAAGAGACGCAGAGAAGCTAAGAAAATTTCTTCTCTGAGAACTCTTAGGGCTGCCGTTGATCTCTCTGCTTCTTTGTTCCTAGACATCGTCAATTGTACTCCGAGAAAGTGAAACCGAGTTAGAGAGACGTCAGAGAAGCCAAGAAATTCTTTTTCTCTGACTTTCTCTCAAGATTACCATTGATCTCTCCCTTTGTTTAGACCCTAGACATCGTAATTTATTTTCTGCAAAGTTGAGAAGTCTCTAGAGGTTGAAGAGATGCAGAGAAGCTAAGAAAATCTCTTTCTCTGGGCAATCTTTAGGCTGACGTTGATCTCTCGCTGTTTCTTTGTTCCTAAACATCATCATTTGGATCTTGAAAAAGTAAGAGATCTCTAGCGGTTGAAGAGACGCCAGAAAGACAGATACTCTTCTTCTCTTGCCCCTCTTCAGGCTACCATTGATCTAACTTGTCATTTCAAAATAGAATCTGAGGTCTTAACAAAACAAGAAATCTGCAGATGACGATCGTTGCTCACTGGGCCTGGGTCCTCTACCAACTCTACCTTCTGCCCTCGCTCCCGATCGCCTTCGCCTATTTCTTCATTTCGCAGTTCCTCTCGGGCTTCTTGATCGCCCATGTGGTCACCTTCAACCATAACTCTGTTGACAAATATCCTGGTTTTGATGATTTTTGAAAATTTCCCATTTAAAACGAGTTTTACAGCCAACTCCCGATTGCTGAACAACTTCGCCGCCCTTCAGATTCTGACGACGAGGAACATGAACCCATCGCCAATCATCGACTGGGTCTGGGGAGGACTGAACTATCAGGTTCGATTGAATTTCGTGAGGGGAAATTCCTGATGTTCTCGGCAGTTGTTTCAGTCAAAATGAGCCTTTTCTGCCTACTCTTTCAGGAATTTAATTACATTTTTTTGATAACAGAAAACTTATTTCTTGTTTAAAGGAGCATAGAAATTTTTGTCATGTGGTCTCGGCGCGAAAAGTCCTTTTTAGGTAACTCAATACCCTCTGAGCTTCAGAAAGTATTTTGAAAAAAATAGATTTCCTTGGATTTCCTATAAATAAGGATAGTCTGACGTGTCTGCGTCTCTTCTCCCTCACCGGTGACGTCATATAAATATGAAAATATCACTCAAACGTCGATTAGGGAGAGAGAGAGAGAGAGAAGAGGGCGCAGAGAAACCAGACGCGAAATTTTTTCTTTGAAGATTCTGTTATAGTCTGTTCAGATTATGAATCTCGAACAGCGCCTTAAGCTCCGCCCCTAATACTATAATAAGCCAATCAGATAGCTATTTCGAATGACGTCATCTCGTTTCAAATTCAAAATCTGGACTGATTCCGTTCAGTTTTTGAATGTCAAGTAGAATGACGTCATTCGAAAACGCTCTATGGATGGCTCGCTCTGTGATTGGTTTATCGCGCCATTAGGGGGCGGAGCTCGAGCGAGGACTTGATATTTAAAATCTGAACAGACTATATGGACAGAAAAGTTTGTAAAAAAGCAGACCTTGCCCAGAAAAGAGCAGCTTTGAGATCTCTATCAGAAAGAAAGTGTTGTCTCGGACTCTTTTCCCAAGGCAATTTTCCAGATCGAGCATCACCTTTTCCCCACGATGCCTCGTTGCAACCTCAACAAGTGCATGAAGTACGTCAAGGAGTTCTGCCGCGAAAATAAGCTACCGTACATGGTTGATGACTACGTCACCGGCTACTCGCTCAACCTTCAGCAGCTCAAGAACATGGCGGAAATCGCCGCCAAAACCGCTTGATTTATCGTTTATTTTTGTCAATTTCTCCATTTTTCAATGTTTCATCACGACGGGCCTCAGAATGAGAATAAATTTGTCATTTTTTGAAAAAAGATATTTATACAGCGACACTGGGCACGGCTGTGGTGGAGGTCGATTCATAGGTTACTTCGATTTTTGGGAGAGGAGAAGCCGCCCGGTTCCGCCGGTTGACAAACCTAAAAAAGTGATTGAATTCTATTTTTTCAAGCTTATGAAGTTCGCTCTGACGATAAAAAAGTCTGTGACTCGAAAAATTTGAACCGAAACGCGCTCCGGAGGTTTTCGAGCATTTCTAGTGATCACTTTAGTGACGGGAAAACTCTTAAAAAGTTACTAGAAGTTCTCAGGAACGTCCGGTTTGAACTACCGAGGAACTGGCAACACCGGAAGTGTTGTGGATGTTTCTGACTATTTCTAGTGATCACTTTAGTGACGTAAAAGCTCTTAAGTGGTTACTAGAAATGCTCAGCAACGTCCGGTTTGAACTACCGAGGAACTGGCAACACCGGAAGTGTTGTGGATGTTTCTGAATTTCTCTAGGGATCACTTTAGTGACGTCAAAACTCTCTAGAAGTGGTCAGACACGTCCAGTTTGAACTACCGTGATCCGATAACTGGTAAAACCGCCCGGAAGCGCCCCGGAGGTTTCCGAGCATTTCTAGGTATCACTTTAGGGACGTCAAATCTCTTCAGGGGTTACTAGGAATGCTCAGAAACGTCCGGTTCGGAAGGTCCAAGGACACACGGTAACGCAAACCGGAAGCGCCCCGGAGGTTTTCGAGCATTTTTTGAGATCACTTCAGTGACGTCGAAACTCTCCTGAAGTGCTCAGAAACGTTCGGTTTACATTACCGTGGTCCGAGGACTGGTAAAACCGACCGGAATGTCGTGGATGTTCCTGACCCTTCCTAGTGATCCCTTTAGTGACGTCAAAACTCTTAAGGGGTTACTAGAAATGCTCAGAAACGTCCGGTTCGGAAGGTCCAGGGACACACGGTAACGCAAACCGGAAGCGCCCCGGAGGTTTTCAAGCATTTCTAGTGGCCACTTTAGGGAGGTCAAAACACTTAAGTGATTACTAGAAATGCTCAGAGATGTCAGGATTGAATTACCGAGGAACTGGTAACACCGGAAGTGTCGTGGATGTTGCTGGCCTTTTCTAGGGATCACTTTCATGTCGTCAAAACACTTAAGTGGTTACTAGATTGCTCAAAAAAGTACGGTTTGAATTACTGTGGTCCGAACAAATACCGGGAGTCTCCTGGATGTTCCTGAGCTCTTTAGTGACCCCTTCAGCTGTCACTTAAGGGATCATTACTGTAAGTGTTACCAATCTCAGCGATTGGCTCATTCTGGCCAGTCAATCAGTGGTCTTGTAAGTTGGAGCCAGCTTCAAAAGCTGAAGTTCAAAAAAACCAACCTCCGATAGGAGTTTGGCCTCAGACGTGAGATCAACGGCCTTATGGAGCGGGTCCGTTTCAGGAGAGTTTCACCTGACAGAAACCGCGAGATGAACAAGTTTAGGCCGCTTTGTGAGGCTGAAATCGGGGGATAATATCCGAATTATGATCTTGATTTTTTTCAATGATCAGAAAACTCATAAAACAGTTGAAAAGGTAGTCGTGGACTTTTTCAATTTCAAAAGAAGCTTTTTTTCGATGTTTTTCCGATAAAGTTGAATCCAAGAACTAAAACGCACTATTTCCATTGAAAAGGCCTTGAGACCTCTACTATCAACACGTGTTCTTCCTCCAAAATCTGCTCATAAACCACAGGATAAATCCGCTAATGATAATTCCTCACGAGTTTCTTCACTTTCTTCTCTCAACGTGTCAGGTGACTGATTAACGTCTCAAGTAGTCTGATAAAGACTCTTCCATCAATTGATTCCGGCTCGATGTGATAAGGAAAAGTCACGTAAATCAGAAAAATGAAGCAAGGTCGACAGAAAATTGAGACAGCCGAATTATCAAGGGAATCGAAACTCAATTGGTTTTGGTGACAGTGGAAGCGTTTTTGGAGAACTTCGCATGAAACTGCTGAAATGTACTAAAAGACTCCCTCTATCCAGAACACGAATGAAATTTCTCGCAATAGATCTCGTTTTCGAGTTATGAAGCTTGGAAGTCTGCACGCTGAGTTGGTGCTGCAAGGCAAGAGGGAATCTGGCTCACGTACGAGCCCTCTACTCTAGTTGACAGTGTGGTGTAGTGGCTAGCGTCCTTGTGCTGCGGTGTCTAAGACCCGGGTTCGACACTTCTTGAAGAAATTCTCTTTTGCCAAAACTTTCCTAGGAAGAAACTATGGTAACTGATCAACATTTTTTTTCAAAATGACATAGTTTCTCATTTTGATTCAGTTTACCGTCTTCGGCGTATAAAAATGATTATTAGTACATTTCAGCAATCAAAAGTTCAACCGGCCACCAAAAACACTCCCCTTGTAACCTTCTCCTAAGCATCCCGAATAAAATCACCTTTTTTTTAAAATGATTTTCTGAAAACCCCTCACCCCGAGTTCGTTCCAACTGGGCGTGGAGGTTGAGGACGGCAACGAAAAGCAGAACGAGCAACAAAACGAGGAGCAAATTGAAGGCGACGAAAAAACGTGACTGTTCCGAGGAGGCCAACGTCAGGAAGAGCGGATATACGATGTGACCGGCGCCGTGGCCGGATATTAACAACGAGACGCTGCTCTCTGGTCAATGGACTTTTAGATTTGGGCTTTTTCTTTGTTTTCCAAGGCTAGAAGCGCCTAGGAAAAATCAAAAAAAGACCTCAAATATCGAGCAAAAATATCGGCGAAAATTATTTTCGGAACCCTAGAAAATTTCAAAAACCGCTTTAGCTGATCCACGGCTGAATTGAGCCACCGAAAAGGAATCTTGACACGAAACGAAGTGAGACAATGCTTTGTTGGTGGAGAGCGCAGACAGGCCACGCCCCCTTAGCATCTTAAGCTAACCGTGAATCGGCTATAACTGTTTTCTTGGGAATTTCTTTTCAAAGTAGCAATTTATTGACTTTTGCGTGAAACGCATCGCGGTCGCGAAGCGGTCTTTCTTTTCAATTTTACGACGCTTCCAGTCATGGAAAATCGAATAAATACCTTTAAGATACAGGTTATATGTCAGGTAAAGTACCAGCGAAGGGAGAATAATAGCCTGGAAGAAACCGTACAAAATCGAGCCGATCACCGCCTGCTCAATGACGAAGCAGCAGCCGGCGACGCCACAACCAATCTTAAAATTATATTTTGAAGAACAATTTTTTTTCTAGTTTTACAATAGAAACGCCGAGAAGAAAGTACGGGGCCATGTGATCGGCGCAGAAAATCGCCAACGCTCGGCCCCACATTTGGAAGATCTGAAAATGACTCGAGAACTTCTGGAAAAGGCGCGAAGAAATGTCAATTACGCTCCATGGATAATCTCATGGTTAACCCGTTTTTTGAATTTTTCTTTCAAACTTTTTGGATAAAAAGAGAAAAAATACTCTGAAGGTTTGAAATTGCGTGCTAGAAAAATGAGTATTTGAAAGATTTTGAAGTGCTGAAAAATATGATATTATCGATCTTTCGGTTATTAACGCAACAAACTTTCTTCATAATCAGCTTACCTTTTGAGTATAATATTCGAGATTATTTTAATGTAAACATTTTTTTTTGAACTTCTATGTGTCTGTGGTTCATCTACACCTACAAGTCTGAGAAACCCAAGCCCCTAAAATGGCCACTAAACTTCCTTTAAACGCTCTCGAAGTTTGGCAGCTATTAGATCAAGCTTCTCAACTTATAAAACAATTTTTTGAACTTCTATGAGTCTGTGGTTCATCTACAACTACAGGTCTGAAAACCCAAATCCCTAGACAGGCCACTCAACCCTAGAGGGGCCACTCAGCTTCCAGCAAACGCTCTCAAAGTCTGACAGCATCAAGCTTCCCAGTTTACATTCCGATTTTCTGATTTTTGATCACTCTGTGGTTCACTTTCAGATTCTGACCATGAACGAACCGAGAATATTTGATAGTAGATGATTGAAGAGTTTGGCTGGGCCAGTATAACGAACGGGAAAAGAGCGTGCAGAACATTGGCGGCGGCGGCAATAGTCGCACAAAGAAGGACCAATTTCAAGCAGGCCACGTCGATGCTTTGAGACGGACCTGGGTCAATTACGATTCAAAACGAAGAGAAAAGAATGAAGGATCTCGGACTTCATTTCACGAGGATGCTCTGAAAATCGATACCTCGATGAGTCGGAGGCTCAATGTCGGCGTACTGAACTCGACGGTTTGGCGACGCCGGTTCATCAACTTCCCTAGGCGGTGGCGGAACTGGCGCTCTTTCAGCGATATTTTTCGCCCATAGGAGAAGCATCGCTGTTGGTATCTTCAAACAGAGAAAAAATTATAAATACACTACGGGAAAACCTGAAATACGGCGATACTGAAGTAAATGTAGTCTATTCGTAGGCTCGGGTTCAGATGGAATTTTTCCAAGCTGAAAACAGATATCTGAAGAAATTTAAAATATTTGGCTTTTCTTGACTTTTCCGCATACAACACACACACACACACACATTGAAGCGGTTAGAAAACTTCTGAAAAATCTGAATTTCTCTAAACTCTCTTAAAACCAAGAACTATTTCGCTTTGAAGATAGATGACGATTTGGCGACTACGGTTCATCAACTTCCCAATGAGTTTTTTTTAAAGATAGAGGAATTCTTCAAATTTTTGCGACAGGTTTGACTGGCTAGGTATGCTTCAAGGCGCGCCCGACCGGAAACGACTTGAGCGTCAGGTCATGACAAAGCATAAGTCAATTGCACATCTATCCGTATATCAGCAAATATAGACGATTCACGGCTAGCTTGGGACGCAAAAAGGCGTGGCCTGTCTGCCCTCTCCAACAACCAGGCACTGTCTCTTCTCTTTTCGTGGCAGGACCCTTTTCAAGATGGTTCAAGCCAGACGCGAATCAGCTATATGTTCTCTTTACCTCGGAATATGCGGACCCGAAGGAGAAAACTTCGGTGAAGCCGTCTGACAATGCTCCTGAGGGGACGGCGTCGATTGGAAGAACATGGAAGCAGTGACGGATCCAACAGCTCCGACGAGATGTAACGTCTGAATTCTTCCATTCCATCTGAACCAAGAAGATCTCAAACGTAGTTGAGACAAAAGTTGGGCTCGTGGAAGATGGAGACGAAAGTGCCGGTGGCGGCGGTCAACGAGACGCCGAGACTCATCCCGAGGAGACTCAACATGACGGAGTAGGTCTCGAGGCGGCTGACGAGTCCGAGGCCGACCAGGGAGACTGAGGCGAGCAATTGGCTCAGAGCCAAGACTTGGTACGGGTCTCGAAGCCGTCGGGTCACGTTGGAATGGACCAGGCAGCCGACAAATATAGACGCGTTGAAAATGTAATGTGAGGCGAAAAGTTGAGTCGGTGAGATCGAGGTCAGGCATGTCGCATGGGAGTAGCCGAGTGAGACCAGCGTGTTCTGAAAAAAGGCTTTTTGAGGCTTACAAACTATTGTTTACGGTATGTAAATGGAGTTTCACGGCACGGAACGATAAACCTTCCGTTTACAGGTCTCACAGCGAAACGCGTACAAAATGGTGAGTATACGGTAGTATTTTGCTACTTTTTTTTGAATAAATTTTGCGGAATTCACTAAAGTCTATTCATAGCAACCTAAAGCAGTATCACATGTCTGCGCTCTCTTTTCTCTCACAGAAGAGACACGAAAAAAGCAAATGATTACGAGAGATCGAGAGAGCGCAGAAAAGCCAGAATTTTTCTCTGATTCCTACCGTGAACCCAACGATGCCATAGGTCCAAATAAGGGCAAAAAACGCCGTCGAATGCTGAGAAGCCACGGAACGCGCTTCTGAGAGTCGTTCAAACAACGATTTCTGCAGAAAATTATAGTTAGAATCAGAAGTTCCAGAAAATTACCATGGCCATGGTTTTGGGCCCATTAGAGCTTCAGCACGTCATCTTTATTGCTAAAATCGATAAATTGAAAAATCCTCGATTTTTTCTAATTTCGGCTTGACCAAAATTTTTCTGAAAATTTGGACCTGAAACCGATTCGAAATGATCGCCCTGTGCCTTTAAACTTTTGACGAATTTAAGAGGGCCAAAAAATTCATTTAAAAGTTTAAAAAAGGTGAGTATTAGAAATATCTCTACAAGCGAGCAATTAGTAGAGTTCAAAAACCTCTTTTGCAAAAAAAAGGAAAATTTTCTCTTCTTTTAAATGTTCAACCTTTTCATCAGCTCTATCTCTCATCACACCAAAAATGGCAAAGAGTGAGAAAAATTGAATATTCTCTCATTCAACTTTTCACGGAAGCTATTAGATCGGTCAACTTTTGGGAAAAAGGGTCCTGGAACGAACTGAAAGCCAAGAAGCCAATAGTTTCAGTTTTACACTGAAAAAATTGATCAAAAAGCAGTTTGGTGGGCGCGAGAGGTTTAAAGGAGCATAGGCAATCGTTTTTTATGCATAAGTCAGTCAAAATGTTTGCAAAAAACATGTTTTTGCAGGTTTTTTTTTCATTAACCAAATCTAATTAGAGTTCAAAGCAAAACCTTCAACGGAAAATCGAACGGCCGGCTAGGAAACCAAAAAAATTCGAACAAAGCAGGAAAAGTGAATCAGAACGAGACGGCGGATGGAAACACCTTGATGACAGGGGGAGACAAGCCAAAATGAGAATAATCCGCTGTTATTCTACTGCTTCTTTGCGGGAATCATCGGGGCGCAAAAAAAACGGCAACTAATCCCGAGTGCTTCCTCTTTGCGTAGGCAATCACGCCTTAAATTAATTCAGAATGACCATTTCCATGTAATTAACCCGTCTCATCGTTGGAAGCAGTTCAAAAACCAATAATAAAACACTAAAGATCTGAATTTTCTTTGAATTCAATTTTTCAGCGAAAAAAATTGGTCAAAAAGCAGCTTGGTTGATTCAGGAAGTTTAAAGGCGCATGGGTAGGGCTCATAAAGGTCTCGAGACGAAAACTTGCTTTATTATATTTTAGGCCGACTTCTGCGCCTTAAAACCACAAAGAAAATGGTGAAAAATGATCCAGGGGCTAGGAAAATCGAAAAATAGAAAATAACGTGAAAAAGGTTCTTAAAAATAAAAATAAAGAAGTGATAATGATAGGTTAACACGCAGCTTTCCGAGTAAAATAATCCAAATAAAGAATATCTTGACGCTATTCCCAGACACATAAAACAAAGTCCAAGACGCATTATCCAACAGATTAGGCCCGTAAGCCTTTCTAATAAAATAAAACTTCGTCCCCATAATACGTGGTTTTTGGCGTGACAAACACAATTACCTTTGTTGTCAGCGTCAAACCTTTTTTGCAAGAAATTTTTTTTTCATGTATAATAATTTATTTCTGTGTGACCGGATATTTGCAGTGCAGAAAAAAAAAAACGAATCGAAAAGGCGGTTTAAAGCTTTGAGTAATATTGTGAAAAGTAGCAAGGTTTTGGCGAAAAAAAAAAAGAAATTTTCATTTCAGATCGGCGGGAATTTACAGCAAATATAGTTTACTAGGGAACTGTTTTTACGCCCCGGTTGAACTTTCGATGAAACTTTGTATTAATATACTTTTGTGGATAAGTCCAACAAAACTATCATAAAAATCTTATCAGGTAGATTTTTAGCAAAAATGAAATTCTTCGTAAGGGGTCGAACTTTGACCACTGCCACTGCAGTTCAAGGCACTAGCCACTTAACTACGCAGCCAACACCAGTCGATTGCGCGTACGCGAGTCGAATATCCTCTAGTCCTTCACCACTGGATTAGTTTGCAAAATTTGAAGCTTCATAACTCGAAAACAAGATGGGGTAAAAACAGTTCCCTAATTAGGTGTTTCCTGGATCTCATAAAGGTTTTCTGGTTTGTAGTTTTGAAGGCAGGTTTTGAATTTAGGGAGAAAAACTGCAGAGGCCTGTGAAAAAAAGTTATAGCCGCTTCTTTTTTATCTTAGAAAACGAAAAGGTAAAATCCTCAAAAAGGTAGATTTTTTAATCTTTCAACGACCATAACTTCTTCCAGAAACCTCCACGCATTTTTTGGGGATTCCATGAAAATCGCCCAGGATATGAGTCAAAAAAACGATATAGCTTATAAAATAGGTCATTTTCTGTTGAAAAAAAAAATGGAGCAGATTGAGATGTTCAGGGAGTACTCTGACCAATTTTCAAAAAACTTCCAGTAGATTTTTTCAAAAGTCCAGTCCGCACCCTAGTTAGATCTCATCATATCAATTTGAGAAAAAAAAAAAGAAAAATCGGAGGATGAAAAGGTCATTTGCAGGTGTGTATGGAAACTTCCTCGGTGCACTGCTTGCACTTGACCTCGCAGCACCAGACGAACTTGCAGTCGCACTGAGTTCGCTGGACGACGAGGCGAGTGTTGTAGCCGCGGCCACAGCAGAGCAAGTCGCAGCTGTCCGAGTTCAGCGAGTTGTGGCGACATTCGCGGCCCGTCGTCCCGAGCACTCCTGGAAGTTTCTTCATGATGATGATTGATTGGAACAGAAAAGTTCCTTTGAGGAACTCCAGAAAGAGCTAGAAATGTTCTTCTAAAAGCTTCTAAAGTGATAGGAAGCAGCTCATTTTTCATAGCCACAGAGGACCCTTTTTGAATCCGTTCCAAATCTTTTCATTAAAGGTTCTTGAAAAGCAAAAGTGAAGAAAAACAGGTCTGTTGTGGACCCTTTGAAGATCCTTTTATTAAAAAAAGGTTTTGAAAAGCTTCCCTATTTGTGTCGTTCCTACTTCAAATGGAATGGCTCGCGGCTTTATCTGAATCCAACCGCAGCGCGACCGCGACGCATCGTGGAAATAAAAGCTGCGAAGTTTTAAAAAATTCGCCGCACTTTTTAGGACTTCAAACGTCGGACTGTGGCATTTACCGTGTACAACTGATTCTCGTCTGGCTTGAGCCATCGAAAAAAGAGGTCCTGACACGATTAAAAAATGAAGACAGTGCCTGTTTGGCGGAGAGGGCAGACAAGCCACGCCCCTTCGCATCCCAAGCTAGCCATGAATCGGAAATAATCGTCTTTTAATCAATGTATATACTGAATCGCCTTTTTTGGAAGCTATTTGAATAATTTCGCTATCGGGAAACGTCAGTGACATTTAAAAATGCGAGAAATTCAAATTCGCGCCAAAAACGCGTCACGGCCGCTCTGCACCCCCTTTTGTGCAACAAGTTCGGTAGGGCAAACTTTCCACCACTGCTCCGAAAAAAAATCCCAAAGACCATACCGGCTGTCGCGTTGGCTTCACAGTAGGACGGCGACCTCTGAACGTAGGCCATTTCGTTGCCTCTGAGCGGGATCTTGCGCTCGTTGCGTTCTTTGCGTCTCAGCCTCTTGTTTGCGCGTTTCGTCACCTGAGAATTATAATTTCAGATGAGTTTGGCGCTAAAAAATATCTTACCTGGACGGAGAAGTGATCGTAGCGTTTTTTGAGCGTTTCGGCGACATTTGAGAACTTTGGCATCTGGAGCCAGCAAGTTTTGAATTCACAGGAGCCCGAGACGCCGTGGCATCTGCACTGCTTCCGGATGTTCTGGGCGATCGCCTGAAATTTACTTTTCCACTTTTTTTTTTGGAATAATTATACTCCAACCTCCCGACCAACAAAATTATTATGTTTTCGAATAAGATGGGCGACGTCTTTATCGCCTTCTTCGAATTGCTGATGATGCCAGTCATCGAGGAACTTTCTGGCGAACTTGATCCCATAAGGAACGTTGTCCGAGCAGCCACCCCAGGAGAACTGGTCGCGGCCGATGCTCACAGGCGACGGGTTAATTGTCTCCTGGAAAATTTCCTCTGTAGCAAATTATCGAAAAATCTCCTGGAAGTTTGAAAAAAGACAATCCGAGTATTCGAAAATATATAGAAGAAAAAATAGGTTGAGAAAATATGACAAATAATCAAATTTTTCAGAAAGTATCAAACAATAACTTTACAAAACACGGTTTTTTTCAGCTCATATAAATCTCAAATTCTAGCGAAATAAAGTTTAAGGATGATTTAAACAATATAATATACTGTATTAAATTAGTGAGAAGCTTTGAAAAAAATACCCGTGTATAATAAAAAGTTGCAAAAATTAACTTAATTCAAAGTTTTATTCGAAAAAATCTTATTTCCTCAGTAGCGCAACATTAAACAGCCAAACTTTTTGCTCTTGATGAAATATATTCTCTACATCACTGGGAATTTATTAAAAACACCAGAAAGACATAAAAAATAAGAAAAAAACGAAGTTACAAAAGAAAAATTTCCGAAAATGTCGACGACGAAACTTATCAATGGAGCGACATTGCTGCGGAATGGCATTCGAGGGGAATTTTTTTTGCGTTCACTTTTTTAATGGCTATGGAAAAAACCTTTTAAGAAAAGAAATATTAAAGAATATTAAGCTAGAGAGAGATATCCTAAATCCTGTTGGAATTTACTGATTTATGTGCTTCGAGTGGAAAGACCTCTTTAATTCAAATTTCACGGCGTTTTTGTTAGTAGAAGAAAAAGCAAAACCAAAAATGAGGGGACGTGATCATATACCTGCCGTTACTATGTGACCTCATGGGAAACACGCGTAAACAACAGGAAATATTAAAGTTCTTGAGACGAATCTATTTCTCAATTATAAAAAAACCGATTTTTCTGTTTTTTTGTTTTTTTTTTAAATACATGCCGTGTTGAAAGTAATTCCGCGAAATTCAAAATAGCCACCAGAGAGTGAAAAATATAACTGAATTTCAAAAATTCAGAGGTTATTTTGAAATTCGCGGAAACACGACATGTGCGAGAGCGCCGCAGTGCATGCACACGACACACTACACTTTACGGGCGGGGCGTCGTCAAAAAAAAAAAACGACGTGCTTTCTCATTTTCTTCAATTTCAACGAACCGTGTCAACGTATCTCTGCATTCCAGGTTTGCTGTCGCATCCGCACTCGGTCAGATTTCCAGTATTGCAGCCTTTCGTAATGGCATGGACTATGGCCGCACTTGTGATCGCCGTCAGAAACGCGGCTTCTTTTGTCGCTAAATCGATTATTTTTGACTTTGTCTGAAGTTGTCGGAGCTCGAACTTGCTCTGAGAGTCTTGCCGAGGATGTCCTGAAAGCGGCCATGTGGAGTGGTAGTGACCTCGTCGCGGGAGGAGCAGTTCCAGCGCTCGAACTTGAACTGCAGCTCGCACTCTCGGATCGCTTCGCGTACGCCTCGAGCGACGTAGGGAATCGCGAATGGGTGCTTCAATTTAGGATTTTACTTCGTTCAGAATGAATAAATGAGTCTCAGGTGTTTTTCGAAAAAAATTAGACAAATTTCATTTCAAGAAGCCTTTTGTTAGTGAATAATTTGACTAGAACTGGTTTTTGGGCTTTCAGACACCCAAAAAGGAAGCGCAAAAGCCTTCCAATTGAGAATTTAATAAAACTTTGTTGAGAGATAATTCAGTACACCCAAATTAGTCGGTAAAATTTGCCCTCTGGCTTTATAGTCTGTTAAGGTTTTTAATGTCAAGTCCTCGCTCAAGCTCCGCCCCCTTATGGCGCGATAAACCAATCAGAGAGCGAGCCATCCACGGAGCGTTTCCGAATGACGTCATTTTACTTGACATTCAAAATCTGAACGGACTATAGTATACTAGGATCTTGGTAACGCGAACCGGACGTGTCGGAACATTTCTAGTGACCACTTTAGAGAAACAGAACTCTTAAGTGATCCCTAGAATTTCTCAGAAACGTCTTTCTACTGACCACTTTAGAGCAACAGAACTCTTAAGTGATCCCTAGAATTTCTCAGAAACGTCAGAAATGACCACTTTAGAGCAACAGAACTCTTAAGTGATCACTAGAATTTCTCAGAAACGTCTGGTTTCCGTCACCGAGATTAAAGTAGTTCTATGAACTCAAAGTTTGAAGGAATTGAAGAAAAAGAGGGTTCCGGCAATTTTTATGCATAGTAACTACTGTTAGACAAAAGATGCATTTCTTTTTTTAAAATTTATTCCGAAGAAGAGTTCCCTTTAGTGGCTCTCAGTCGTTTTTATTAATTATCAACTGGAAAATTGCAACTATCGAGTAAAACCTGGCTTTAGTGATCAAAAACTTCGATGGACTATTTTCGAGAAGAAATAATTTTATTATTGCTGCTTTTTTCGATTCGATCCCTAGGAATTATAAACAAATAAAACAAGAAGAGGATTTCGATGATCTTTTCCGAAATTCTGCATCTACGGCAGAGCCTAAAACATGAATACTGACCCATTTTTTAGCTCCTGAATACCCTCTGGAACAAAAATTGACTTTTCCCTACTATACCTCGGCGCACAAGGTCTTTTGAACCGGGTTTAGACCATCCAGTCGACGGCAAATGTCTCGGAAATGCTCCCGGTCAGTGACGCCGTGCGGCTGTCGGAAGTCGCTGCTGTGGTGGCCGACGAAAGCGAGGGTCCTGCAAACCGTTCTAAGAATCAGGCCATCGGACTTCGACTCACAGCCAGTTGTAGGGCGGGAGTGAGTCCCTCGCAGAGACCCCGAAGAACAGTCCCAGAAGGTGAAGCGCCGCTCGCATCGATTTGAGCCCCCTTGTCAGCGATCGATAACCAAACAGAATGGGGAGGGGAGAAAAAACCGACAAAAATCTTGACAATGCAAAGAAAAGGGACGGGAATGGTTCGAGGAGGAGTCTCAGGTTGAATGTCGCCGTGCGCATTTATGGCCCATCAAGCACGCCGTCTAAGGCGGCCCGCCACGGCCTCGACGTCTTCACAAAACATCAATGTATTCTACCGTCTGCCCCAGCTGTACGCCTTCTTTTCTTGGGTTTTTTCGTTCCTTTGAAAAAATCTGTGAAGCTTCGCAAGATTCTAATCGGAGTTTAAAAATCCTCAAAAAAACTTTGTTCATAGTCCGTTTGAAAGGGCGTGACTTCCATGCGCCCTCTTTTTCTCTCGACGTCTCTCTCAAATTCACGTGCTATTTCCATCTTTCTCTGACCTTGCGGCGAGGGAACAGAGAGACGCAGACACGCGAAAACTGTCAAGGACTATATTGAAGAAAAATTCTGAAGATCAAAATTCCTAATTTTCGATAAACATGACTTCAGAATTTTAATTTTTCTCACTAGTCAGTTTTTTCATGCAAGCGACCTCAGAGGCTTCCTTTTTCAGATTTCTAAAAGGTTTTACAGATTCAGAGTCATAGGATAATTCTCTAGAACAGCCGAGAAAAATTTGGTCAAATTTCAAAAAGCCCTGAAGTTCCGACTTCCAGTGAGAGGAATCTGAAGACAGACGTACAAAATTGAGCTATTCCAAAGCCTATCACATGGTGTACTGGCTAGCACTTTGTCTCCTTAAAATTGAGACCAAGGTTCAATCCCTCTTGAAGCATTCCTATTTTTTGCTGAACCTTCCTGATTTCCTAGGTATAATCCGTCCGCCGCGACTTCGAGTGTCTGCGTCTCTCTACTCCCTCACCGGCGAGGTCACAGAAACGCGAAAATAGCGCGTCAATAAGAGAGGGTCGTCGAGAGACGAGGAAGGCGCAGAGAAGTCCCACCCTTCCAAACCGCGAAAAACGGAGGATGTTCAAATTTTTAATGCCAAGACGTCATTCAAAAACACTCTGTGTATGGCTCGCTCACTGATTGGTTTATCGTACCGTTAGGGGCGGAGCTTGAGCGACGGACTATAGAACTGACTTGATTTCCGAGTCCTGAACTATCACTCAGGGAATTCGTTTGTAATAATTCTATTTTGTGTCGAAACCCTGTATCAGGAAGTGAAAAGGGAACTTTTTTCGAGCATCCTCCATTCAACTCGAACAAAAGGAAGATTACCATAGTTTCCAAGCGATTCATAGGCTCTAATCCAATAATCTAGGTGTTAATTGACATTATTCTGATACTTCCTTGTACTATGAGAGAGGTGTTCTGGAAGAAAGGGAATCTTGAAAAATTGACCTCTTATAGTCCATTTGAATGACGAGGCGTCAAAACTCAAGGGCCTTCCGAAGAAAAAGTCACTACGCTCTTAATATCGGGTTGATAGGAGGCTGGTTAGATTTTTTGAAAAGCCGAACCTTGTTTCCCAAGGAAAAAAAAAGTTTCGGATTGGAAATCGACGTTTCTTTGAGAATATGATTTTTTGAAACTCAAGAGAAAAATTTTCGTTTTCACGATTTTCGGATTTTTGCTCAAAAATCTAGTCTGATTTGATTAAACCAGTTCTGTCTCTGAAAATAAGTAACTTCGTAGTTGTTTGAAATCTGTGCAAAGTTTCAAGTCATTTGAGCCACTTTCAGAGAAGTTATGATCGAATAATCACTTTGAAATACCTTTATGGCCAGTACTGTATATTGATTACATCTATGACTACAAAAATATTGATTGAAGCAGAGAAAAAAAAAAGTCCGGACAAAAATAGCAAAAATGTCCGAGTTGAATCGACTGAAGCGGTGAAGAATGTTTGCGGAAAACTTTATTGGCATCCTCGGCGACATATGCTTCCAATCAGCAATACTGCCCCGCCGACCGACCCAATCTACTGGGCTGCTCCTTTCGCAAAGTGTTTTTTTTTGTCCAGTTTCAAAGGGAGAAGGGTTTTTAATATTTTCAAAGGCAAAGTTGCTCTAAAATAATGAGGTGTTCAAGCTTCCGTACGGCGGGAGAGTAGGGCCCAAATCGTACAGAAGACGAGCTTCCAAGGGGTCTTCCTGAAAGGTTCTTATCAGGTGCAGTCGTTTCAAAAGTTTGTGTTTGAGTTTGAGGGAGAGTCTTTCGTGAGTACAAACCACACGGGAAACGGTTTCCCGCCTCGTTTTGATTTTTTTGGACGCTCTGGGATTCACGGTTAGCTTGGGACGAAAAAAGGCGTGGCCTGTCTGCGCTCTCTATCAACCAGGCACTATTTCCTTTTTCATCGTGTCAGGACCTATTTTTCGATAGCTCAATCCAGCCGTGGATCGGCTATAACAAAAAAAATTTTTCTTCTCAACAAGGAGGATCACTACCGAAGCATACTTCCAGCTCTCAAAATTCGTTTTGTTAATTCGATTTCTCTCGATTAAGAACTTATGAATAAGTCAATAAATCGATTAGGAATCGATTTTCGGACTTTAAATATCTTTTGGGACCTTTCATCATTTTTTTTAAGCTTTTCATGGTTTTTCTTCGAATCAACAAGAAAAATTTGGTTGCATCAAAAAATCATCTCGAAAAAAATTGGTGAGAAAGACCCAAAACCAACTTCAGGCTGAAGAGACGTCAGAGAAAGAAAAGTCATAAACTTCTCTGGCGTCTCTTCACTGCGCCGTTGATCTCTCGCTTTCCTTTCTACTTTCTCTTTTCTATTCAAAGTTCAGAGCGAAAATGGCTATCCTTGTAATGAAACTTGGTCTCTGGCAGCAAGGGCCACAGGAGGCCCAAAAAACACCCAAAAATAAGTTCAGCCTGAAGAGACGCCAGAGAAAAAAGGGTCATACACTTCTCTGGCGTCTCTTCACTCCGCCGTTGATCCCTCCCTTCCAGCTCCAATTTCTCTCTTTTTTCCAAGCTAAATGAACCAACCTTGTAATGAAATTTGGTCTCTGGCAGCAAGGGCCACAAAATCAAGAGGAATAATGATCTGAAACAACCCAATTTGTCTTCAAATAAAGGGAAAATCTGCAAACGTTGGAACAATGAAGATAATATAGCTCCAGCCACCTATCGAAACACTTAGGGGATAGAAAAATAAGGTTGTTAATGATGTACAGAACCAATTCACAGCTACAGCGGCTCCTAAAAAAATAATTTTTTTTTCCATTTTTCTCTTTTTTTCTTGTACCCAAACTAGCGGAAGCGGCTTCAGGTGGGACCAGCTCGGCAGGTAGGAAATAAGCGACTGGCCCAACTCCCAAGTTGTACCCGACTCCGTACATCAGGAAAGCCAGGGCGAACCCCCAGGAGGCCCACAAACTTTCTAAAACTTTCTTGTTTTTTGGTAAAATCTGGAAAAATACCTGAAACTTGTGAGACAAGTGTGAAGATCAAGAAAAAAATATTCGAAATCACACAAAGTATCAACGTTTTGAGCAAGAGTGGACGTCGGCCTTTAGATTCAACCTGAAAAAAGTCATGGATCTACTTCGGTTATCTTAACTTTTGAAGAATGGATTGGCTAGACTCGTTGCGCCCGACCCAAAACGACTTTCGCGCAGAGTTCCAAGCCAGCTGCTAATTTTGGATAATCTTAGGTCCGCACCGACTTGAGCTATTTTTAGTGCGACTTCGAAATCAAGCAAACTAAGACACACAGAAGAACAAAGTCTACCGTAAACACCTTTTTCTGCATTTTCGCTACAAGACGCTTCAGAAAGAGGTAGAAAAGGTGCGCTGAACTAGTGCCACATAAGGCGCTCTAACGTTTCTCTGCCGCGTGATATTTCTCTTCTCTCTGACCGCGAGAAAACGGAGAAACAGCATGCGGCAGAGAAAAATTAGGGCGCACCAATGGGTCTCGAAGCAAAATTCGCCCCGGAGTTAGAGAAAAAATGTGACGTTTGCTTGAAATGATCTAGATTGAATAGCCAAGCCATTGTCAATATGGAATTTTACGGTTTCTTCCGGTTTCTGATTCAAAAAAATCGATAATGTGATGAGAACCGTGGGAAACTTCAGCAAAGATATTCGGAAATTATTCTGACATCTTTTTTGGGAATAATATAAACCATATGAAGCGCTGGAATGGTCAGAACGATCGAGAGGATCGACCCGAGGGCGGGTAAGAAAGGAACGAGGAAATCCATGAAGGCGACGGCGTCGAACATCCTGAAAGCTTGACTGGTTGAGGTCTTGTCTGAGGAGCAAACACGGTCGAGTAGGAGATGCTGACCATGCTGCCGGAGAAGATCTGCGCCGCGCTGACCATCATTCCGAGGAGCATTCCTCCACGGACGGCGCCGTCCCGCCAGGCTTCCCAGAACGTCAATTGGGTCGGCATCTTAACTTATGAGCATGCATGGGCAAGTACAGAGGTTATGGGCTTTACGCAGCGTAAAAGCGATCGCGTAAACGAATTTTGGAAAGTATTACTATTCGTTGTTCTGTTCAACACTTCCAAAGCGTTTAAAAATTTGAAGTTTACCTTTTTCGAACTCATTTATGCTGCGTAAATGTTCCTGGATATGACCTCAGAACTCGATAAGTCTAGGGGGAATGGTGGATTTTGAGAAGAAGACAGGAGAGATTGAATGCTTAGAAATGAGAGTTTTGGTCGGTAGTTTACATCAGATTTGGCACTGATCCAAAAATTATCGTTACTCGATTTTACTATTAGGAAACTTGAAAACAACCAGTAAAGCGGAGAAGTTTTTGGGAAATCTACTTGTGCCCCCGCCTTTTTATACCGAGAAAAGGGAACTCTATTTTTCAATTTTCAAACCTAGAGTATCCGTTCCACACTTCCAACCCGTGTAAAAATTTGAAGTTTACCTTAAACTCATTTACGCTGCGTAAACGCTTCTGAAAATGGCCTCAGAACTCGATAAGTCCGGGAGGAAAGGTGGATTTACGAAAGTTTTGAGAAAAAGCAAAGGTTTATCCTCCGGTTGACCTCTTGGAAATGAGAGTTTTGGTATGTAGTTTATTTCAGACTAGGCACTGATCCAAAAATTATCGTTCTCCTAATTTACTATCAGAAAACGTGAAAATATTCCGTAAAGCGGAGAATTTTCAAAAACCACCGTTTCTACTAGCATCTCCACCATTTCAAGCCAACGAAAGGAACTAGATTTTTGAGTTTCAGACCTCCGGAACCATGTCCCAATACATGCCGATGGCCTCGTCTTCGTCGTCACAGGCAATGTCGTAATAAAACCTGGATTCTACCAATCTTCAATAGAAAATAATCAGAAGATACCGTATACTCTCGATAGCTTTCGTGTATTTTCCCTGTTGTAGCAGGGTGTTCGGTGTGTCAGGAATATAAGAGGAGGCGAACATGAGAACGATTCCTGAATATTTTCAGAACGAAAAAGTGAAAAATTAATATTGTTCAGAGAAGTTTTTTCAAAAAAAAACCATAGCCCGTTCCGCGCGACTTGACTTTTTTAAGCGTCTGTGTCTCTCTGTTCCCTCGCCGGCCAGGTCAGAGAAACAGGAATAGAGCACGGCAAAATGAGAGGGTCACCGAGAGACAAGGAGGGCGCATAGAAAAAGAGCCGTTTCAAGTCGCGAAAAAACTGAGTATATAGTCTGTTCAGATTTTTAATGTCAAGTGCAATGACGTCATTGAAAAACACTCTGTGGATGGCTCGCTCTCTGATTGGTTTATTGCACCATTAAGGGCGGAGCTTGAGCGACGATTTGACATTCAAAATCCGAACAGACTATAAACTTTTGCAAAAAGATAAACGTGAGTAAAAATGAATATATGTCTCTGATTTTATTTCTATTTCCTGTTAATTTCATCAAGTTAATTTTTTCTAAAACTAACGATTATCCCTAAAAATGCGGATTTTTGTGATAAAATCTGATCTTTCTCCTGTTCCTATGCTCATTTTTTGCTTTTTTTTTACAAAAGACTGTGAAAAAGGCGTCGAAATATGGAAAACTACGGTTCACTACGGTTCGATTTCACGTAGAAGATGTTCCCCACTTAACACAATGGGATAGAAATAACCATTAAACTTTCCTAGAACCTCAATTCCTCCAAAACCCACCAAAAATGGCGGGTAACGAGACCAAAATCGGCCAAGAAGTCGCTGAACCAAGAACAAACGGCAGAGAAAGGACGGCACCCAAGGAGGACCCGAAACACACGGCAATGTGGAGGAAGCAACTGAGGGAGCCCTTCAAAACTCGCCATTTCCTTCTATTTTCTCATTACCAATACCTTGATATTTTTCGGGACGATTTGCTGGACGAAAAGGGGAACAAAGGCGCAGGCGATGCCTGAGTAGACGCCTGTCATCATCCGTCCTATGAGGAAAATCGGAGGGAAGGAGAAATAATAGGATGTCGCCATCAGAATGGATCCTGCAGCGAGGATACAGTTGTTGACGGTCAGGATGACGACTTTTGAGCCCATGGGGGCTAAAGATGAGACCAGGCTGCAGCCGATCAATGCTCCGATCGCTTGGGAGGCTATAGTAAGGGACCTGGAAAAAATTCAATTCAAAAAATAATCAAAATTTCTTTAGGTCCAAAATTTTATTGTTTCTAGTTAAGCTTTAGATCCAAGTGAACTCGTAAGGGTTCACACTGATCTGTGAATGAATTTTTCAATTTTTTTTTACATTTACTAATGAAGCTTCTTCTCAAAAATGCGGCCAGTAACCATTCTCCGAAAATTTCTACAATTTCGAGAATTCTCATCAAAATTCGTAGCCAATCAACCAGATGTGAAAAATAAATTTCGAAAGTTCAAAAAAGATATAGTCAATGTTTCCCGACTTGAAAGGCGAGGGAGGCGGAGCAAGGGGCGGGACGCGTAGCGTGTGCGATCGCGGTTTTTGGCACGAATCCAATTCAATTGCCGCCGACTATTTAAAAAGCTCGGCAACCGCTCTTTTTCAATGTTTTCTACTATTTGTTAATGAACACATAAACATAATCAATGAATAATTGAAAAAAGGAATGAAAAGAGTGAAAAACGAAATTTTCAAAGAGTCGATGGCGGTTGAATTGAACTCGTGCCAAGAACCGCGAACGCACACGCTACGCGTTCCGCCCCCTGCCCCGCCTCCCTCGCCTTTCAAGTCGGGAAACATTGACTATAAATAAATTAAGTAAAGCGTGCAAAAACTTTAAAAAGGCCATGAATGTTCATATCGACTTAAAATCCTCATAGAATTAAAAATTTTGAAAATTCCTACAGGCCCGAGAGTAAGTCTGATTTCTCTGCGCTATCTCTGTCTTATAAGCTGTTAACACGTTTCTATGACCTCGCCGGCAAGGGAAAAGAGAGCGCAGACATGTCAGACTGCTCCAAAAAACTATAATTTCCTTGTTAGGCAAAGTAATATTAAATTGCAAAACTGAGGAGCCCAAAATTTACAGTAAATCATTGAAAAATATAATTGAAATTTACAGAAACTTCCAAAATTTAAGGATCTACTCCTTCCAGGAACTAAAGGAACTGAAACAAATTAGGAAAGTTCAAAGGACTCAAATATCACAAGACAAGGCATTTTTAAAAAGAAATTCGAGGATCCCTATAAAGTCAATTCGGAATAAGTAGTACTAGATCAAAAATTATGGAGCTGGAAAAAAGATCTTTTTCTTCCCTAGGGACACATAAAAACCTAAGATTTCTTGTTAGAAGAATAGAAAGTGAACCAAAGAATACTCAGTGCACGTGCGCTCAGTTCAACCCCGAGGCCTTCTCTGAAGGCTTCAGCGTAGAAATTCTGAATGACTGTCGAAGGGACGTTGAGCACGACAATGTGATAACTGAAGTCACTTTTTCTTTAGAGATTTTTCGAAAAAATTCCTGACCCAACTGGCATTATCGTCAAAAGTGTACATAGAAGACAGACGGCGACGACTTTTCCCTGATCTTCTGACTTGATTATTAGCGATTTCATCTGGAATTTTCGATATTTTGGCGGGTTCTCGAAGGTCAAAAGCCATTTTGAAGGTTGAAAAATGATATAATTTCTTTTTAAACTGTGTATTCCTAGAGAAATCTGATTATGCTTTAAAAGGGACCCTTATAAGCTCACTTTTCAAAAGTTTTTGGTTGAAAAGAAATTTTTTGAGAATCTCAATGGTTATTCAAGAGAATTCGGTGAAAAATTGGGAAAAATTACTAAAAGAACTTTTTGAAAGAACCTTTTAATATAGGAAAAGACCTTTTTCCGTTTCTTAGTGTTTCAAAGTGAAACAATTTCCAAATAACCACAAGGAAATGACGATCTCGAGCACAAAAACACAAATTTGACCATGTGGGGCGGAAAAAAAACAGCAACACGGCAATCAAATCAACAGAATCAATGAGCATCTCTTATCACCCTGTCGTTATCTTCTATTATAGACCCTTTATAGAAATACTAGACAGTACAGTGAGCTCAATAAAGAAGATACAATCAAGAAATTAATTTTTGAACCCTGCTAGATAATCTTTTTTTCGCGTTTCAACGGAAAAGAAAATCCATAATGCTTACTTTGTAACACGAAATCTACTGAAAATGGTTTACTTTGGGGTTCAAAAAACTCACTCATTGTTCCTCGAAACGCATGAAAATAGATATAGAAAAAAGGTGGAAGCAGACTTCGTAGAAATCCTGAAATATCATGTGGAAACAAACTAAACTTACAGAAAAAAAATTCTTTAAATCTTAATTTTTAAATGCAAGATCTTATTTTTCCTTAACCTATAGATTGAATACCAGAAAATTTTTAAAAAATTTTAAAAAAAATATATAATTTCGAATTTTTCGGCAAGTACGACGCTGTGTTTGCGAAGTAAAACACTACAGTAACCTTAAAAAAATAGACCTGATTTTTTTCTTATGATTTTTCCTGATCGCATTTGGGATGGTTTAGAGCTTGTTCCAGTAAATGTCCCAGATATTTTAGCAAGTGCGTGTGTTTGCGGATTTCAGGGCTACCGTAATCACAAAAATAGGCTTGATTTTTTTTTGATCATTTACTTTTTTTTTCTGGCTATGGAATGGTTTAAAGCGAATTTTCGTTGCTGGACCATTTTTAATTTCCTCTTCTTGTAACCCTAAAATTTTAACTCAAACAAAAAAGCCTTTGCTATTTTTAAACCGGGCACCGTGACCCGCTCAGATCCTCATTAAGGAAAAGGACAATTGGAGGCGAGCAAAAGGCCATTTGCTTTTGGTAATTTGCTTTTCCCACCCACAAAAATGGGCAGCTTCTCGTGGTCCATTCCTTTCACTTAATCTACATGTATTTGCGTTTTTTGTCGAAGAAATTGAAACACCGATCCGGTTATCCTTTGAACCCACCCCGGATCATTTCTTTTCAGTTTTTTTGCTCTAATTTGTCGGCGAAGAGCTCGAAGATGAGCCTTTTTGCCGGGGAAAGTTGTGTGCTCTATTATTAGCGAATTGCAGAGGACCCCCCCAATTAGAGGCTAGGATCTCAAACAGCCGAGGTTTCAGGCTTCGATTAATCTTTCATCATGCTTTTAACTTTTCAAAAAAAAATGTTTCTAGGTAAAAGTAAGCTAGCAATGAATCAAGACCTCTTCTCCCACGCAAAAAATTCTTTAACTTTTTTTTCGAAAATAAATCGTTAACTTTAAAAAAAAACTTCAAGTAAGAATAAGGTAATGAGCAACAATGAATCAAGCGTTTTTTTCATAATTTCTCCCACGCAGAAAATTATTTTTAGAAATTGAGAAGAATCCCTCCAATAGATGGGATAACATGTGAGATTTTTCAGAAACATTTTTTTTTCTAACTTGTTTTTTCCTATGAAGCTGCTGTGTAGAAATTTCATTGAAAGCTGTTTTTTTTTTCAAGTTTTATTTTGATTTCGCGGCTCTCACTTATTTTTTCACTTCAGTTAGAAGCAAATAGATCTATTTGAAACTCTTGAAACCATATGAATTTTTTCAGAAATGATCCTGGAAAGATTAGAGAGGATACAGTAATCTTTGAAAAATTTTCCAAGGTGAATCAGTTATGATACAAATCTTGCAAAATTTTTCACTTCCTTAATTTTTTCAAAGGAAAAGGTCTTGATTCGTCTGAAAAAAAGTCTATTTATTAGTCAGGAACCGAAATTTTTCCCACGAAATTTCATTTTTCTCTTTTATTTTCATTAGAAAAAAAAGAAAATTCTGAATTTTTTTGAATTTCGAGAAGCCTTGCGAAAGATGAAAGGATCATGTGAGGGCTCTCAGAAATTTCTCGAAGCGCTAATTTTAACTATTTTTGTTTGTTGAAGGTTTCAACTTTGAAAGATGTTGATTTCTGATTCAATAAAAAAAAGTGGTTCTTTGTTGAAATTCTGAAAATCTTATAACTTTATCTCTCCCGCTATTGAATAGAGTATCACTGAATAAATTTCTCAAGATTTTTTTCCGAAAAAAATATTTTTTTCCCAAGTTCTCTTAAGGATCCTGAGGATTTTTTTCGTTCTGAAAGGGTTAAAAAATTTGTCTCACAAAAAAAAACCTTACTGGCCAGTGTTCCTCCATTAATTACAAGCCCCGCCCACTTCCTTGCGCCTTTAATAAGGCTTTTCCCCTTGGAACCTCATTTTTGATGAGTGAACGATGTCCTCTTGCTTAGAAGATTTTTTTTTGAACTTCAAAATTTTTCCGAAGAAATGGAAATATTGTGTTGTACTCGAATGTAGTCAGCACGCGATCATTTTTTCTTCTTTCTCATTTTTTTTGCAATTTCTTCCGGCTTCTCTCCATTCAAATTCTCGATGAATGTGATTCATTTTTCAGTTTTTTTTTCAGATCAAACAGCTTTTCTTCGCAACCCGCATTCAATTGGAACTACGGCAATTTTATTTCAGGTATTTTAGAGAAAAAAAAGAAGATAAATTGAGGCTCTTGAGGAGCTTTTTAACATAAGCGATCAGAAGAAAAATAGGAAAACAAGAAAATTTTGAAAAAAGGGAAAATTTAAAAATTGCTTTCCTTCTCTTCATGCATAGCCTCTCATTATGCTTATTTTTCCTATCGAAAAAAATTGAAGTGGCCTTTATAGAGTTCAGAACGAGAATTGAAGTAGCCTCTATAGTGTTCAGACGCGGTGAGGACTCTTGAGAGGTCTCAAGATGTTTTTAAAAGTTTAAGTGATCATTATAGGAGTCCAAGCTGGGTTTCTGGATACCTTAGTGACCACTTTAGGGTTTTGAACGCATCTTGTGACTTTCTTAACTTAGTAGTGATCCCTATAGGGGTGTAATCGTAGTCAAATAACTTCACTAGCTTCAAGTGGTCCCTCTAGAAGTCTGCGCCAAGTTTTTTGATCCTGAAAATCGGTAGTGGTCACTTCAGGGTCTAAGAAAATTTATCGGGTCCCCAAAGCTCTTACCATCTTGGCTCCGAAAATTTTTTGAAAAAAATTTGATAGTTTTTCGTGACCAGAGGGACAAGATCTATAGACCCTTCAAAAATGAGCTCAATCGGAGACACTCAAATTTTCGACTTTTGACGGTCCATAACTTTTTTCACAGAGCTCCTCGGCAGTTTTTGAAACCAGATTTGGGATCAGCGTGAAAAACTACATCTGGGAAAATTGGTCTCATTGAGAGGTCCCACTGCGACCGGAGACCATTCCCTGGTTAGTGGACATCATGAAGGTCCAAGCACAGTTTTTAGAATTCTCAAGCCTTAAGTGACTACTTTAGTGGTCTAAGCGTAGTCCAGTAACTTCTACAGATTTAAGTGGTCCCTCTAGAAGATTAAGCCGAGTTTTTTTACCCTAGTGGTCACTTCAGGGTCTAAAAAAAGTCTATTGAGTTCTCAAAGCCGTTAGTGAACTTCTTGAAGTTCTGAGCAAAGTTTTTGAGATTCTCAAGCCTCAAGTGACTACTATAGTGGTCTGAGCGAAAATTCGAGGTTCTAAGGGATACCTTTACGGGAAAAAGGCGCATTTTTTTTGAATAAGGTGTTTGAAGTTATAGAAATTTTCCATGTGTATTATGAACTCTCAACGTGGAGATTAAGCCCTTATAGGTGTTCCTTACATGACTTTCCGAAATTTCCTGTTTCCAAATCTGTTTTTGAAAGGGCTTAAAGCTCTAAAATTGAAGATTAAAGCCGACGTAGGAATTCTTTTGTTTCAAAACACGAAAAAAAGGCAACTGCTCGTTCTTTCCAGTCTTACTGTAGCAGCCAAAACTGATGATTTACTTCGAAATACCCGGAATCGAGTAGATTATAGCCTTAAAATGGGAAAAAAAGGGGTAAACTGGGCATTTTTGAGATGACGTCGTGTGGGGCGGAGTCGTAGGCGACTACGGACTTTCTAGCCTTTCATCGTTTTTTTTTCTAGTCACTTCTCATTTTTTGGGTGCTGATGCTTACAATTGCTTGATCTGAGTTCTTTTGATGACGATTTCGCTTTTTTTTGTTTTGATGAATTGTGAGCTCATCATGTTTGGCTGAAGTACACTCATTGCTAGTTTGAAAAAAAATGATTGACGTCTAGATATCTTCTTTTCACGTACTAATTTTTTTTACATTTACTAATTACATGAAGATCCTTATTAAATATGGTCTCGAGTTAGCGGTGGAAAAAATTTGGCTTTATTTATTTTCCAAGAATCTTTTCAAGCTAAGGGCAGGCCAAAAAGTTATTCTTTCTGAAGTTTCTATGCTCTAGCGCAAGCCGTTTTAGGTCGGGCGCAACGTTTAAGCCGGCAAAATTCATTAGTTCTACAGTTTATGTACTTTACTCGCGTCTAATCGAAAAGCCGTGGTCGCACTTGAATCACTGAAACCTTCGCGATTTCGTTGCGACTCTAGCGCAAGCCGTTTTATTTCGGGCGCAACATTTTAAGCCGGAAAAAGTCCTTATATCTGCAGTTTTTATACTTTGACGTCGCAAAATTGAGAAGCCGTGGTCGCAATTGGAATGGCTAAAAG